CCGATAAGATCGCCGTTCTGCTCATTGTCAGTAAATGACTGAAGTTAGGGTTTTCACAATACGTACCGCGCTGGATGGCGAGTTTTGACAACAAGCGATGTTCTGTTGGCACTTCTTCTTGACCAAATCTTGGATCGGGATATTGATGAGGATCGGAACTGCATCAAATTAGTATATATTTAGATCAGCATAAACAAGAAGTATCATACTTTGGAGATCCAACTGGGAGCACTGATCAAAGAGACCAAGGCCATCGGAGCCAGAGCCACTAGCGATGAGGTTGCTAAGAACACCTCCCAACATGCCGTCGTTAACGGCAGTGCTGTCGCCAGCATAAGTAGCCTTGTTGCAGCAAGATAGCTGGGCCTGGTCACCACACTTGGCCTGTGCCTGTTTGACAGTCATGTCGTCGGGGACAGGGAATCGGACGTGGGTGTTGCCCTTGTTGCCAACGCCATTGGCATTGCCAGCACCCCCAGCGGATGGGCCGACCGGGGGCAAGGCAGCGACGGAGGCAACGAATGCTAGAGAAGCGACAAGGGAGAACTGCATGGTGGCGGCGGTTCGGTCTCAAGCGGTCGGTCTTCCAATTCCTTGATTCTCTTGGCAATGAAGAGTTATGAATAATAGACTTTGAATCAGCATTGAACGAACACGCTTTTATATATCTATTCGGTGGTCCGTGAGCCTCACATTTTCTTTATTCGTAAGCTTGTTTGTTCCACTTTTTCCAAGAATGCGCCAGTGGAATGAGAAAGGGCGTTCCCCTTTATGGCATACCAGATATGGATCTACGTATTTCCCGAACCCCTTGTCGGCCACTAATGCAATAAGCTGTCGATCCTAATTGTTGCAGCATATTTCAAAGTTAGCAGTCCTTAGCAGCACAGGGGATGGTCTGCAGGTCGTGATTGGCATCGTGGCAGTCATCTGGGACGGCAATCCTTTCGCTTGCTCAAAGCATTCTTTGGCACGGTAGTTGCACGGTTCCTATCCCTGTTCGCCATATAGCGCTATTGTTATCATTCCTCTCGTGAAATTGTTCACATAAAACGTAGTTTTGGTATGAACTACCACGTGTTTCGTAATCTCCCATCTGCACTGGACCTCGGGTGAGGAATGTAACAGCCGCAAGCTTCAATAGGCAGTCAATCTTGTTCCGTTCACCTGTCGCTTCAGAGAAAACCCTTGCCTTTACACGAGAACATAATTCCAGAGTACTAGTTTCATCTGAATTTCCGGGATCCATGAGCATTACGCTGACGACATGCATTGGTTGACCTGGTCCTGGGCAGCCAAATGATCAAGTCACCTATTATCTTCCTAAGGTGACATTATGAAAGCAAAGGCAGGCGGCTCCCAAGGGTTTATATCAGTGGATTATATTGCTCATAATCGTTCCTGTACCGATCTATTTTCTTATGCTAATCAATGCTGGACACCGACTGACGAAGGCATACAAATCATGCGTCATCATATCTCCGGGACCCAACTAGTTACTTAAATTTACCATCCTCTGACCACAACATCTGAAACGATACGAATGTGCAGCTACTAGTTAGAACAGGTGCTAGCGACATTAAAAAGCCCTCGTTTTTGCCAATACACCACATTCTACATTCCAGATCAAAGCTTTCTATAGGAAGACGTCTCATTTTCGCCGTGTAGTAATCTTGCTGCTAGTATATATTGAGTGGGTTACCAGCTGGGCCGAAGACGCTTAGGCAAGCCATGTTGAAAGGGAGGATCTAAACCTTAGCACATAATGGGTAGTAGTTCTCAAACTCATGGTAGGTACGGCACTAAATTCAAAGCTGTCAAGGGTGAAATTCTAATTTCACCGATATTGCTTTCAGCATGGATGCTACGGACGATACGATAATACGATATCACCAAAGGGACGAAGTTCCTCAACTATCCAGGGTAATCTCGCTAACGGTAATAAGCTCCTAAGACCCCCCTTGACTCTGGCTAGGCCCCTGTTTTGTAGAGTAACTGTGTGCAGGTTCCAAGGACCCAAGCGTTTTAGATGGAGGCAAGGTGGCCAATAATCTACTTTCTGGTCTGGCTAAAAGGGGTCAGTGCGTCAGACACCGATTCTCACACTGTCTCACCCTGTCCTCACCCTGTCTGTTGAAATATCCCGGTTACTGGGATAATCATGGGGGGCTGGGATCACGTGCATGCCTATATACCTGTTCACCAGTCTACTTGTATCTTACAATCAATTCCACTCAACAACATGAACACTGTAGCATCACTTATAAATCAACACCGCCCATGGGTGTGCTGACTAAGACACAACCCAACCCGTGGGTCGGGTTTTCGTGGGCGGGTTTTGGCGAGGCCTAGCGCTCACCCTATTCTCACCCGGGCACACCCACCCGACTATTGACCGTATACTAGCCACACGCCGGCGGGTTAGTAGTATGGTGGGTGACCACATGCGAGTCCCTGCTGCTGTATGTTTTGTTTTGTGCTGTTTTGTCGTGGGTTCCTTTTTTTCTAAACTTTTGGTTACAAGGGGAGATTTTGCTGAACCGCAGCTGTGCTGTGATCCAGAAATCCCTTTCTTCCATTTCCTCCTTTCTCTACACACCTCTCCCTTTTCCTAGCCATCCCCTCAAATTCCTCCTCTTAGACTTTGGGAACATACAACCACCATAGCGGCCTATATGGAGCACTTCGCGGTGGTAAGTAGACCTCCCCCATGTTCTGATGTAACTTTTTTCTCATATCTCGTCTAGGACCCTGATTCCTACTCTTCCTACTCCTTTGGCAACTGGCGGAAGCACTGACCCGCAGGACTTTCAGTCTTGAATAGTCTGTGGCAACATCCTCAATATCCCTCGGTATCCACATATCCTCTGCAAATTGCGGATATGGTATATCACCCGATATCCTTAACCTTCAATTTTGTGGATACGTCATTCCACCCAACCTCCACTGGATATTTGAGGATATCCAGTGGATATGAAGCAGGCCAAATATGCGCAGCTTCGTGGCTTTTTGAGCGTGCATTTGTTACGCGCTACTGACTGGGCGCGGTGAACCTTTGTGTTCCTAGGTGAAAATTAAGTATCTGTAACTCCAAGCATGTCCGCACCGTACCGTTGCGATGCTACGCCTTATACGGACTTGGGTCTCTAGGATGCTTGCAGAGGTGCGGCTATCGAGTGCGCCAAGTAGGTCAGTCCGAAGAGCTTGGCTACTTGTAGGATGTTTGGCTGGGCCGAACAGTGTAGATGAATCAAAGGTATATCCAAGAAACAAAGTGTGATTGATCGCGAAGAATTAAATATATATCTGTAAAAGAGTGTCTTTATATATTGTAGTGGGGAGACCCCCTCCCCCTACTACATGGGTGCCATCCATGTTACGTGACATAGCCGGCAGTATACAGTGGCCGGATAGCTAGTTCTAGAATACACCTTCTTACACCTCCCCGACCTGACCCCTACATTTGGGGTTCTCGCTATTTCCTGATTGCTACGCGTGTGTTGTGTGGTGGTTTTTCTGCTGAATCGACACGCACGTCTCAGCGCGTGCGGCCATCGAGCGTTCCCCTCTTCAATATCTAGTCCTCCCTGATGGTATTCGTGGTAGATGGTATAGTGGTAGATGAGGCTTGGCATGATCTATCCATTGATCGTTATACCCATCTATCAGTGTTGGCTCTTGGTGGCTCGTCAGTAGGCTGCAACCCCTCGTGTTGCAGGGTCCGTAACAGCATTATTTTTGCAGATTTCCTTTGTATTTGCATCGGACAGTCTTCATGTCATCATTTCAGTCACAAGTGACATGTTATCCGTAATACCTAGCAAGTTCATCGCTGCCTAAACTCATTCGCATTTCCCCCTCGCACGTGGTTATACGGTCTTGTTTATCCTCTAGTTGGGTGCTATTCTTCCCCGAAGTATGGGTGAAACCGAATACAAGAAAATTCGTTTCTGTTTGTACAGCTTTTTTCTTGGTACAAATAAAGAACTCATATCCGTAAAGGAGAGGGCGGTTGCGATATTTCCCAGCGTCCATAGGTGCAGGGGGGGGGTGGGGGACTATTAGAAAATACATCATTTGTATTTCGACAAAAGATTTACTAGAAAGTATCCAAAGTTCGTCGCCATCAACATCCCCCATTATCAAGAACGAGCATCGCAAAATTTCTATGTAAAGGCGTTTCCCGATAGCTAATACGCATATAAATTTTTTCCTTGAAGAGATATCGCCGATTTGCAATTAAATGTGGCCATTGTCGGCCCAGCACTCAGATTGACCCTGAGCTAGGTTCTGATCCGGATCTTCCCTCGAATTTGCAGCTCTACGAAAAGTCTGATCGAGGCTGAGCATTTTTGCTCGATCCAGATCCACTATGGTCGGATTCTCGCGTCCTACAGCTTTGTGCAATACCTAGGCCCTCGATCAACAAGGACATCTATGAATATACCCCAGCACATTAACCCGTTCTGTGTACACTTGTATTCGCCGGTATCTCGTGATCAGCTATTACATCAGTTGATGCTTGGCGATTTTGTTCTGAAGGGCGCGTGCGTAATTCCTCCAGGTTCTAAATTTGGGTTGTGGGCCAATCCCTTGGCGTGTCCACCGAGTGGAGTCGCCGACGAAATCCCGCAAGCCCCGTCACTCAACCAGGCTTCAGCGTTGCAGACCGGGCATGGCGCTTTCTTGAAATTGAATTCATCAGTGAATCCTGCTCCACTGCAAATTGCCTTTGAGCCGCAGGGTACAGGGTCTCGTTGCAGTCCACGGATGCAGGTTCTTTGGCTCAAGAAACGATGGGCATAAACAAAGCCTAGTACCTTGTCCATACTACCTGGGCAGGGTATGAAAGCAAACACGTAATTACGGTCAAATAAACGCACAGCACTGATTAAACCAAATAAGAACTTAGTTTTATATACCACGAGTAGAGTCCAGCTTTTAAATACACGAAACATAAAACATCAAACAATGAGGGGATTAACATGATCACCAAGCCTCTAAACTCGCTTGCCCTCAAAGCCTTCAGCGGGCCAGCCCTGAAGAGTATCCCCATCCTCCACATGGTCACCGGACAGAACAAGAGTATGTTCCAAGAGGCAGGCATCCTGGCCCATCGAAGCACCGGACATCAGACGCGATCCAGCGCGCATGATACTTCGGTCGCCAACCTTCAAGGTGTGCAGCTCGAACTCGCCTCGGGAGTTCAAGTGGCAGACCAAACTGCAGTCGTCGACCGCAACGCGCTCACCAAGGGTGAGAAGGTCAGGCTCAGTGAAGTAGACGTTGGGCGTGCCGTTGGCGTGGATCGCGCAATCCTTTCCAATGTCGGCACCAAGGAGGCGGTAGTACCAGCTGAGGTAGGCTGAGCCGGTGATCATGGGCAGAAGACCAGCACCTCCATAGCAGTCCTTGATGATAGTCTCGCAGGAAAGCAGAAATTGCCAGCGCTGGTTGTAGCTGCTCTTGTCCCAGTGGAATTGGCCTTCCTTGCGACGGCCCATGACCATCCACTTGACGCCAATGACGACTCCAAGCGCGATGAATGACTGAACGCAGCTGATTCCGGATAGAATGGATGCGAGCACACCGTACAAAACGAAAGGGCGCCAGGGACCCTGCGTAAATCCGATGGCATCGCTGTGAGTCATCGCAGCACGGAGAGACAGAAGGGAGAACACGACAGTGAGAAGCCAGTAGATCGTAACAACCACAACAGAGAGAACCGAGTAGATGACGATCTGCCAAATGCGGAGAACATAATAGTTGGCCTCGTGACGATAGAACGCGCGACCGAAAGGCTTGCAGGTATCCTTCTCCGTGACTTGGGAGAACATGGCATTCTTGTCGCCAATGGGGGACTTCTTCTCGAAGTCTTTCTCTTCAAAACGCTTCTCGTCGTCACTGCCAGCGTTGGTGCTGCTACTACTGCTTCCGACGACAGTGGGAGCGGTCGAGGTGGGGATCGAAGAAGAAGTTGGGAATTGCACCGCATCACCACCCTTGCTACCAGTCCAGATGGTGTTGGATGGGTAATCGCCATTGCGACGAAGCAGAGCTCCAGAGCCGATCATGGCTTCGCGACCGATGGTGACACCAGGGAGGGCGACGATACGGTCACCTACCATAGTTCCATCACCGATCACAACACGGTCGCGACCATAGCCATCCGAAGTGATGATGCTCGAGCGAGAGCCAAAGACGACATCGTTGCCAACCTCGATCAGATCAAAATCGGGGAGTGCAGGACCGACACTGGGCCAGTAAATCCGCTTGCCGACCTTGCCGCCTAGAAGACGGATGGCCATCGACACAAGTTCGTAGTGACGACCAACCAGACGGGTGAGCTCGTGGATATCTCCATGGGGGAGAATCTCGGCCAAGACCGCCGTTCGCACCTTCTGAAGAGTAGTCTGCTTGGAAGCCGGACCTGGCTTTGGCTTGCCACAGATGATGTCCAAAAGCGTCTTGATGATCAGAACAGAAATGAACAGGACAATCGGACCGCCAATCGCACGGCAGATACGAGCAGCGATATGCAAACCAATTCGCTGACCGCTGGTATACCACTCGAGTGTCGCGAAAAACATGTCAGCGGACGGAGTGGGGAATTGACGGACCATCGGCACCAGACCACCCATCCAGGTGAGACGAGCAGCAACCCAGACCAGAATTCGGATGGGCTCGACAATAAGGAGGCTCCAGATCCAGTGTGGCTTGGGGATGCGCGAAGTGATCAAGTCACGGTTTGACTCATCGGCGTCCTGAAGCTCCCAGCTGGACGAGTTGGGCCCGATGCAGGTGTTCTCCGGAATGTCGGCACCGGGGGCGACGATGGATTTCAGACCAACAGACGAGTTCTTTCCAATCCGAATGCGCTTCAGGAGCATCGACGTGTTGCGCTCCACGGCGAACGGGCGGCATTGACAAGTATCCAGGATGACATCGTCACCAATCTCGATCAAATCGTACTCACCGAGCTTGGCGGATGGGGGCAGAGAGACATTCTTGCCAATCCTAGCACCGAGAAGTCGATAGAACAGCACACGAGACCAGTTGTAGTGGTTAAAGATACCCTTTCCGCACACCTGCAATGCTTTCTGGGTCAACCACCAGCGCGTATGGTATGGGCCCCACATGGGGAAAATGCCTTCCTTGTAGCGACCGATCACAAGCCATTTGAAGATGATACCGCAGAACGGAGACACAATATGGCTACTAATACGGGCCGACAGGACAGCCAGAACAATCAAGACCAGGCGACCGATCAACACATCACGAATGGGGAATCGGATCGAGCATTCCGCCATCACGTACGCAAAGATCAGCCATTGGAACGCCCGCTTCATGGGGAAGAAGAACGTGATCGGGAACAGGTGGAAAAACAGCACGATGGGGTTTGTGCTGCTATATGTCTTCTCGCAGCCAGGCAGCTCGACCTCCCCCTCGTCGCCCTTGGCAGCCTTCACTTTCAGGGCTGCATCGATCTGATGCTCCACCTCGCCGACAGAACTGTGATGGAAGAGAATATCTCCAGCCAGGAATATGCCAAATTCACGACGGAGCTGAGATACCAAACGGCCCGCGCTGAGACTATCACCGCCCACGGCGAAAAAGTCAGTTGACGACGAGATCTCCTCGGGTGCACAAGACAAGGCACCGGCGAAAGTCTCCCGCACGCAGCGCTGAGTAGGTGTCAGATCGCCATCCGAGTTGAGCGCCTTAATAGCTTCGTCAATGGCAGTCTGGTCGGGCTTCCCGTAGAAGTCCAGGGGCATGGAATCCCTGAGAGCAAAGATACGACTGGGAATCAGATACCCGTCCAGCTGGGTGTAGAGGTCGCTGGGGGCCGGTTGGTAGTCATCAGGTCTCTGTTCGAACAGCACCGCTTGCGCGAACCCATCGCGGGGGTTCCGTTGGACATGTACCTGGGACTTGTTTGTCATGCCTGACACGGTGGAGCGGATAATGTTGTCATCGATTTGGCAAGCGTTCTTCGAGATGGAAGCACTGAGCGGCGTGCCGTTGGGCGGGCAGATCGCCTCGTAATGACGATCGGCCAACGGTGTAGTGGGAGTCAGGGTCTCCAAGGACAGACGCTGAGCCAGCTTGATACGCTGGATCTTGTTGTTGGACTTGGGGACGCGATCCATGTAGACCACCAGGGCGGGCCACTTGGGCTGGTGGATGATCGGCTGTAGGGCTTCATGCAGCTGGCGGATATCCGGCCGGGTGGTTCCAGGGGGAGTGACAATCACGACACCGACGACCTCCTGCAAGACCTCGTCGGGGACCGAGAAGGCCAGAGTCTCGATGACACGGCCGTAGATAGGGGAGTCGGGGTTCTTGGCGGTGGTGAGCAGGGCATCTTCGACTTCTACTGGAGAAATAATTTCACCGCCGCGGTTGATGACTTCCTTGCTGCGTCCCGTGATGTACAGGTAGTTGTCCGCATCCAGATAGCCCAGATCACCGGTGTCAAACCAGCCCGACTCATTGAAGGCACTCTTGTCGATCCGGCCATCGGGGGTCAGATATCCCTCGAAGGCGGGCGAGCCACGAACACAGATATGTCCCAGCATCTCGAAGCGCGGGACAGGCTTGCCAGACTCGCTGAGGATGGCCACATCAGGTCCGACAATCCGACCAGATGTGCCGTGGCGATCGAGCGAGTAGTCCTTGGGCGGCGCAGCAATCGGCATGCATTCGGTCATACCATAACTGGGGAGAATGACACAGTGGAAAGTATCACGGAGTTGCATGGCAAGCGACGGTGGAAGACCGGCGCCAGCGTTGCAAATGAACTTGATGGCACTCTGCTTGATGGCGTCCGGTCGGTGCTGGGCTTCGCCAAGGATCATCTGGTGCATGGTGGGTGTGGCATAGTACCAGGTCGGGGTCATATGGGGGCTTTGGACTGCATCCCAGAACATGCTGGGGTCGAACGAAGGGCAGCAGATCGTGGCACCGCCAGCAAGAATAGGGGGAGAAAATACTGCGAATGATACCACCACTGCATCTTGTTAGCGTCCGTTGAGGATGACTCTGGGACAAGGAACCTACACATGGTTGAGCGGCATCATGTTGAGACATGTATCGTCCTCGGCAAGCTCGACAGACTCGATAGTGGCCATGGTACCAGCGATCAGATTGTAGCTCGTGATGGGAACGAGCTTTTTGTTTCCGCTAGTACCACTGGTAAAGAGAATGATGGCGATGTCATCCCCAGTGTTGGGAGGGATCTCGGATGAGCGAGAGGCATGTCGTGAAGAAACCACTCGGAATGTCAAGTCTTCGAGGTGTTCAATGCCAAATACAGGACGGCTGCCATCATCGAGCTTCAGCTTTTCCAAATCAGCATCCAGGGCCACGACTGCATCAGCCTGGACTTGCTCAATGTCCATGTGGAGTTGCTCTGGCACTGTGTTGGATGCCATTGGCACCATGGTGTACCGGCTGGCGAAGGCGAGCACTGCGACGGCCATCAACGGGCCGTTGGGCAGAATGACCGCAATACGCGGCTTGCCATGGCGAGAGTATCCAACTGGCAGGTTGAAGCCTTTCACAAATTGGCGAAGGGCATTATGTGTGATATTCCTTCCGGTGTTGGCATCGATGAAGCCGGCCCGAGAGTCAGTCCCGAGCAGCTCGCCGATGTCCGGTGTGGCGACTTTTACCTTGGCACGAAGAGCACCAATTGTGTCATCATCTGATACCTTCAATGCCTCTGGGAGAGCCTTATAAATGTCTTGGAAAGCGAGAACGAGTTGTCGGATAGGCCAGGGACCGTAATGTGATGATAGCAGCTCAGAGAGGTGGCGGGGCGAGTCCGGGTTTGATGCTTCACTGCGGAGGCGCAGAAGCTGTTCCGCAACACTTGAAAGAGAAAAGTCAGAGTTAGATTCAATAGTGTAAGCTAGTGGGAAAAGCCTTTGAAGAAAAAGGGGAGAGAGGGCCAGCATGGAAAGGAGCACCACAGAAGAACAAGAGGACCTGGACATATCAGCACTTACGGACTGCTTGTCAATCCCGCCATGGTGTCTGACTTGGGAATTGGCTCGACCTTTCGCCAGAAAAAGACACCAATTGCTTCTTGAGAAAAATCCCGATTCGAAAAGAGGCGTCCCGTCAGAACTTATAGCGTTGCCGCTGGAGCTCGCCGGTCCACCAGCATTGGGAAATTCACATCACAGACCCAATTGCGAATCTACTTCCTCCATACGAGGATCAACTGGGTCAAGGCCCATAGTGCCTTAGTGGGGACCCATCCAGGATCCTTCTCTTCAGCCTTGACCTGGTCCCGTAAAATTCCCTTGCTGGTCGAGTCTTGATACAACAACGTGGAGCGGAGACCCAGTGGAGAACCATAGATCATTCAGCTTGGCTCGATCTTCAGCTGTGGTGCTAGGCACCAGTCAACGCAAAGTTTATACAGGTCGTATATTATCTCAGCGCTGGCCGCGAGGAAAATCCTGAAACAGCGATAAGCATTGTTCGGACGACTCCTGCTGTCGCGAGTCGAATGAGGCTTTTTTTTCTTATGCACGTTGCGATGCTTTGGTCCTCTCCATTGGGCTTCAGAGTTCCTTAGCCGAGTTGGGTAGATACGCCGAATTGCGAATGGGGAGAGATGAGCTTCGCCACGCCACCTCCACCCTTTTCAATGTGAAAAGGCCTATGGGGGGATCCCACACTCTACACCTCGTAATATGTATACACGATACGCCGTCAAAAGGCCCATTGGGGGGATCCCACACTCTACACCTCGTATATGTATACTCTATACGCCTTTGCCATTGATTTTTCTTTGTCTAAACGCTTCCTCGGCGATATAATGTATTGCCTATCGTCTGATATCCGCAGTGCATTGTGATCTCGGCCCTTCCGGCTATCGTCACATGGGTATGGTTCTTCTATACTCGCCCAGTCTGTTCGGATCGACAGTGATCGGCGGGACCCACGAAGGCTGCAACGGAAACTCTTGGCATTTCCATTATTGGTATCCGTACCTGTTTCGTACCAGTCCTCCTTTATAGTCGGCCCCGCTGGTAAAGTCCGGGAAATCCCCCCGTCGATCATCGAACGCCTTGGCGGCGTCCAAGGTATCAGCGGCTGCCTATTCCCTTCTGCACCCACGGCCGCACCCTCCAATCACCTCTGCTAGCACGCCAGGCTGTCCATGATTCTCTTAACCCCAAAAACACGCGCCCCGCCGATCGTCAGGGCCGGGCTTGGCGGCTTGGCTGAGCTTCATCCCTCGGGGTCGGCTGCAGACGCCGAGGGATCGTATCACATACACCACCCGCGCGGAATTATCATTATCAACCAGGCCCTTGCCCGCACACATTGCGTGCTCGCATGCTCCCGTGGCGGATGTCGTAACCTCGAGGCACCCGAATGATATTCAGGGTGCAGACAACTCTCGGAAAATGAACCCACCGTGGCCGGCCGAACGCCTACGTCTGCACCGGCGGACCCCGAGATCCGCTTCGGATTCAATAGCTTTATACCTAACCCCCGATCAGGACTACACCGGGGCACCCTGTTGGCAGCCTCAACCTCCTGGGAGGCTGGACAGGAGATGCAGGCCGATGGACGAATGCTACAGTGAGTCGTGTTATCAGATCCGGCATGCCACTATGGCAAATGAGCTCGGAGCCTCAACTAGTCGGGTGTGGTAGCGGTGCGTGGCCAGCCCGTGGGCATGATCTCAGGTCGAACGATTTTAGCGAGAGATCTTCAAGTGTGCGCGACGGGTGTGGAAGGATCGGCGTCATAACACCATGCGGATCTGATCATCCATCTTATCAGATGGTGTGCAGCATGGCCCAAGGTGGGCGAACCACCAAAAAAGTCTGTCGGCAAATCACATTTTTTACTTCATCCACCGCCGTTACTCACCGGCGTCTCCAAGACAATGAATGGGAATGAATAGTATGATCTCATTCTCCCGCAATCTCTCTCCGCTTCGCTTATAGAGCTGGGGCAGATTGGGCCAAGACGCGCAACCTGCGGACCCGAAAGAATGGCCCAGGGAAGCCCGGCCGTTCTTCGATGCCAGTCGCTGTGGCCAATTGTCAGCCACCCGTCCCACTAAACGTCAAACCGAAAATAGTTACTATGAACGAAGGATGCGGTAGACGGAGGCTACGTGCATTAAGCTAATTTTCGTCGAATTAAAGCCCTATCGCCTTAGCCGCCCAGGACCAGATGGAGACCAGTGCGATTACGAGACGAATCGACCAGGGCCGTTTGCCCCTCTTCAGTCAGGACCTTGCAGCGTGCATTCAGGCAGCAGTCAGAGAGACACTGTGCATTCTTATCGCTTTGTGATTGATTACGACACTGCCGTTCTCTCCCCCCAAAGATCTTGATCAGATCATCCTCGTTGCTACATCCCGAAATCTACGTTGCCCTCGTTGCCATATATTCTACATCTTCTATTCCGCATCGTCTCGAATCTATGACTAATGCAAACTAGGATTTGCCGAGGCCATGATACTCTCCTCTGGATGCTGCACATTGTCGGCTCGCAGTAATACACTAGCTGAAAGGGGATGTCTGCAGATTTAAATGTGAGAATTGACAGATACGTTTCACGACAGGATAGCACGCTATCAAGTTGCTGCCAGCGGCCAAGCACTGCTCGGACCATTTGAAACACAAACCCAAGAGGCAGGCCCCTCTGTAAAGCTTATCCAAACTGACTGGTGCTTCCTATCTAGGCAATCTCCCTGCTTTAAGGTACTTCAGCCCTGGTAAACTTTACTATACGTGGTTATTTGGGGTGGAACCAGCCACCCACTCGCTCTGTCCTGTGGATTATCCTCTCCCGTCCTATCCTCTCAGTCTAGACGTTCCCGAGCTCATATGGAGCCTATGCGTATTCTCATCCAACTGATCACCACCAATCTATGATGGTGAGTTCAGCCAAGAAACTTGCGCGATGTTTTCTCATGTCGGTCACGTATCCACCACAAGATTGCTCCGGTTAGTTCCATGACCAAATACCACCCTGAGGCACGTCGCTGCGATGAGACTCCCGTATGGTTGTGATAAGTCTTCCAAGCACCCGCGGGGCTGGGCATACGTAGCCAAATGTGGAATCAACCGCATTCGTGGAAGCGTAGCCGATATGCTTATCGCAGGTGTACCTCGGACGGGATCACATAATATCGAGTTGTCAACAACCCTTACGGAGCTCGGCGCCATCCTGTCGTGCTTGCGCGGGCAATTACTTCCATTTTCCTCGGGTATTGCGTTTCCTGCTTCCCGAGGGCAACTCCCAAGGTTACCGCGTGGCGAACTCTGATATCTATGTGAAGACGCCCCCGGTCGTGGATGTTATCAGAATAGTAAGTGGAGTGTCGGCCGCTTCACCTGAAGGAGATTAGTCCTCGGTACCAGTCTTTCTCGACCACCTTTGTCCAAGCAATCAAAGTCAAAGTGCACAACAGTGGTTGTGGCCGCCGAGAGCACACGAGGAGTCGCATAACTCAATCCCAGGAAATGATCTTCACAAAATGCCCCTGTCAGTTCGCTCCGTGTCGGCCGGTCAGGGTCCCTTATCAGAGAAGGGAACGATCGCCTGCCAGGGCGGGCGAGCTAGGGGTTCAGGGATGCGAATGCCAAAAGCACGTAGATCATGTCGGTCCTACCTACTGGAATGGTCCGGCCGCCAGAGGAAGGGGTTGTGGCGGCTTGCCTGGATCCGAGAAACCCCCAGAACCCTGGTTGCGCAATCAGATCGTGCAGGCGTCACTCCAGAGAAGTCAGCCAGCGTGAACGGGGAAACGACTCCAACAGAAGTGGCCAGACCGGCGGAGTGCGCAGAAAGGGTGGGGCGGATGGATTGGCAACGATCGACAAGGAGGAGGCTTTCGGCGCCGGCGGAAGCATTCGGTTAAGGATAAGGCCCGAGGAACAGCCCGGCGCGCCCACGCTGTGCCTCTCCGGCCCTAGCGTCTTTCTGGAACCGCCGCCACATGCACAATTGAGTTCACTGCCCTATGAACCTGACGGAGGGTACCTAAGATACTCTGACCCTCCAGAGCTCGCCTTAGGGCTTGCTTCCTTGTTTTCCAGCGGGTCCAGCGCGTGGCCCGCATCCATTGGGTGTCGTTTGGCTCGGGGGTAACCTATCGGGCGACCGGCATCTGAACGTGGCAACGAATACCGTCTTCTCCATCCTCCACCCTCCTGTGAAGATGGTTCGGAGCGTGAACCGGAAGAATTGTGCAAAATCATTTTTTTCAGCAATCGACCAGCATCCAGCTGGCCATCTACGGTTGATCATGGTGCTCAGCCACCCAGTCTTTTAGCCAGTTTCAGCATTTGGAGAGGACAATTCAGGATTCCACTCGAAGACCATCAAGAGACGCACTGATGCAGGCGCAGACTGAGCTGAGGAGCTATTACCAACAGTTCGACTGGCCTTTATTGCGAGGCTTTCCCGACACGCCTGCGATATTATTCTGCGCCCGTCCTCGTGGGTATCGCTGATTAGAAGGGGCGCTGGGGAGCCGCTACGGTGTTTCAAAAATTAAAGGTTGAGGTATCGTGGCCAGCGCACGTTTCAGGATGAATCCTGTCTCTGCAGAATATTCTCGATGAACCCAGTCGCACTTTATCTTGGTTTTCTGGCACCGGCTAAACTCAATACCTTAGTTACAGACAGAGGCTTGCCTCATTTTTGAGATGATCAGCTCATTGACAGATTGTCAACCAGAATTTTCATTTTTTCTAGAAGGCAGGTCAGCATGGTCTCCCGCCAGGGGCCGCACTGGTTTCACGGACTTGCACTAAATCCAGCCTAGCACGCCGCTCCAACCTTGTTGCAGCGTTTTGTTCAGAGCCATGTTCCCATCACTCATTTCATTTTATCTTTTGGGGTTTTCTGAATGTTCCTTTTCTACCCCAGTAACAGTTTCCGACTCATCATCCCTGTTTCAATGCAGGTTTTTCGAGTTCATTTTTCCACAATGTCATTTTTTCGCATACAGGTCATCTGATCCTCATATCGCACAAGCGCGAGATTGGCCATGCTACAGAAGAATATGAATCATTTTGTAGTCACTTTCCGTATCTGATCACCTTGATCCGCCACAGAATCTGCTTGTATCAGGTAGGTACTAATACCCCGTCACTGGAAGATGTTAACGGCGAGCATGTGATGACGTCACCACTTGCAGTTCATCGCAATGCACGCCCGTAGGCATCTGAGCTTTCGCAAGCATGTATTGAAATCAGTTTTGAAAACCGAAGATCACATTTGAGGCACTGGAGCTCACCTAGTCATCTTGCGACAAGGCGACGGGTCCGTCTGCCTGGTTGCCCCTTGCCCAGGGCGCTCGGGTCATCTCAACTATGAACCACCTGCCCCAAAAACGTGAGAACCTGGAATCGATCAGCCTCGTCACGCAGATTCTTTGTTTCACTATTGTTTCGCCGCTTATTATTCTACGGCTGTTTGCAAAGTTCAAGTTGCATCACCCCTTCGGTGTAGAGGATGGTAAGTGACCCGTGCGACAAGGTGCAGCGATATATTTCTTCGACATCAACCAAAAGCTTTGAGCATGACTAATCAATGAGAATTTGATATTTGATGTGACAGCATCATGTTATTTGGCATGGGTTAGTATTAACAAGAAGACATGTTGCTTTGCTTGATGATCTAATAAATGTGATTTACCAGATTCTCTTCGTCGGGCATTCTATCTGCGCGCTTTTCTGTACGGAACCCCACTATGACCCACCAAGGCATGGGAATTAGAATCGTATTTCCTGACTGGCCATTAAACACAGACACCTTCACAGCCGGCAATGTTAATTCATACAGCACGGGCGATGAGATCAAGTTCAAAGTATGCTCATGACTATGCTAGTGTGCCTAGGGAAACGCATGCTAACGATTAAGATATTTTACATTGCGACCATGTTTTACGTTCCAATGGTTCTCTTGGTCAAGACATCCCTTATTTATACACTCATACGACTATGGAGCCCTTATCGGGCCAAGGTTGTCTCTCTCTACATCTTCTTGACTATTCTTTGCGGCTATTACACCATCATCTTTCTCGTCAAAGTCTTCACCTGCAACCCGATCCACTTGTTCTGGCAAACCGACAACCACGATGGGACATGTCTTAACCGGGCCGCGATCATCATCGCCGACTCTGTGATCAGCGTCGTCACTGATTTGGCGATCCTGATATTCCCCATTGCTCTGACTTGGACTTTGCACATGCCAGTGTCTAAGAAGGTGCACGTGATTGCTATTCTGGGAGCTGGCAGTTCTGCGATTGCTTTCAGTATTTATCGCTTGATTCTGGTAATTCGCGATAAAGATACTTCTCATCACGTTCAACTTTTCATGAGAGTCTTACTTTCAGAGTATGTGCTATTCTTGCGATCTCTGCTCTCCCTTCCATTCTTACCGTTCCAATCTCACACTTTTTAGTAATGCGGAGGGTGGTCTAGGACTTATATGCACATGTATTCCCGCAGTCAGTAAACTATCCAGCGAGATGAGCGGAAGATACAAGCGCAAACACCGGAAATGTGGCTTACCAAATTGCCTGTGGACATGCTCTCGTCCCGCTCGAGATCATGATGAAGAAGGCGTGGATGCGTTGACATAGAGTTTTGTTATGATCTTTAGGTATTATTCTTCCAGCATTTTCCTCATCAAATAGACCAATTAATCTCATCAATCGAGTAATGTGATCTCTGCGAATAATATACTGTGACATGGTATAAAACTTGGTCTTAAATTTCTTGTTCGATTTCACCATGACGATCTGCATCGGACCCAGACTTTCCGCCGCGCTTCCAGGACCGATGTTGTAGGAGGTTATAAGAAAAGAAGCCACCTGAGTAGGCCACCAAAATCTAGTGAAATATGTGCTGGAAGGATACAATGGATTCGAAGGATTATATAAGATGCAAACGCCGTTTAAGGGCCACTCTCCGGCTCTTCAAGGATGGTTGCGAACTTGTTGAGGACTTGCTTCAGCGCCGGTCGCCGAATTGGTTTACTACAGACATTAGCAACTCATTCAGTCAGATCATGGACTTTTACTGCTTACCTGATGAACATGTCCATGCCCGAGTCCATGCAGTCCTTGATATTGCTCTCTTCTGCAAAGGCACTCAATGCCACAATAGGCGCAGAGTAACCCATCTCACGAATGAGTCGAGTGCTCTGAAGACCATCTAAATTCGGCATCTAAGAATTTGTCAACCTCAGTCTGAAAGTTCATCATGTAACAATGTGGACGTACCTGTATGTCCATGAAAATGAGGTCGAAGACACTTCCTTTCTCCATGTTCGACTTTACGGTATCAAACGCTTCTTGACCGTCTTTGACCATGGTCACATCGTATACTTCTTCAAGCGCCAGCATCCTACAAACTTCAGTCTCGAATCCATCTTCAATAAATACTTATACTCACCGGCGGACAACTTCTTGGTTGACTGTATTGTCTTCAGCCACCAGCACCCGAACCTTTTTCGAACTCTCTTCCTGCTTCACCTCGGCTTGACTCGCTCTCGGTAGCTTGGATGCTGATGAAATGGGGCTTGTTGGTACAGTCGGGGTGAAGAATGGCTGGCTCAGACCAACCAATCTTGGCTGGATATCAGACTTGTCAAACCCAGGAGCTGCAGGTTCATTTTTAAATGAACCGTGGTTGGACGCTGTGCGAACAGTATTCGAGAACTCATCCAGTGAAAGTACACTGGGTGTGCGTGATACAGGCGCACTGGAGCTGTGGAAGCTTGGGGAAAGCTCTTTCACAAATTTCAGCGGGATACGAAGTGTGAATGTAGACCCTCGTCCCTCTTCACTGTCAAGAAGAATGACGCCATTCATAATGCGGGACAACTGCGAGCAGATGCTCAGACCAAGACCAGTACCTCCGTACTTGCGGTTCAGTCCCAGATCCCCTTGAACAAAAGGATCAAAGATACGTCGGTGGAGGTGAGCTGGGATACCTGGTCCATTGTCCTCCACGTCGAAGTGAAACACCAGCGATCGTAAATTCGACTGGTCGAGCGAATTCCGGTCCGTGGTGAAGTTTTCCACCGGATCTTCGGGATTATTGACTTGCGAGCTCGGTCGTTGGAAGGTCGATGATGAAGAGCCATGAATATCCGTGCCGAGGAAATCTCCAGTACACCGAATGCGGACATCCACCCTGCCTCTTTCTGGTGTAAACTTGAGACTGTTGCTGACCAGATTGATCAGAACCTGCAAAAGGCGGTGTTGGTCTCCCAAAAGCACCATATCCATGAGTTGCCCCGGAGGAGCCAACTCTGTGCCTCGCTCCTGGCACATGGAATACCAGCCTGATTGGCTTTTTCCACTCGCAATGCATTTCACACTGAAATCAATATCCTTCTCGTGCACCTGATTCTGAAAGATAATCGCCAGCTGCGATCTGATGTCAGAGAGCTTGAACTCCTTTTCTTCCAACTGAATAGCTTGCTCGATCTGATTCTTGCTGAACGTCAAAAGATCATTCAACAAGTGGAGGAGCAGGTCGCCGGATTGGTAGACCACTCGCAGGGACTTTTTAATTCGTGAAAGATCGTCTTCCCCCATGCAGACAGCACACATTCCGAGGATGCCATTCAGAGGGGTCTTCAGCTCGTGAGAAATGTTGGCGATGAACAGGGTCTTGCTTTCATTGGCAGTCTCCGCCGCCAGCTTTGCCTTCTCCAACTCTCGAGTTCGCTCAGATACTCGCTCCTCGAGGCGATTATATTGAATCGTGAGCTCGTCCGACATTTCGTTGAATGTTTTTGTCAGTTCCGTCAGCTCATCCGTCACACAGTGCCGTCGCTCTTTGACCCGGCCGGGGGTCTGGAAAAAATGTGACCTGTTCCGAGGCGTGATATTGTAGGTGCTGTTGAGTCTTTCGAAGGGGCTTCGAAGCCGTTTCACCCAGAGGGAAGTAGGGCCCTTTTCATTTTGGTCTCCAGTGGAATCCATTCCATCGGTAGGAGCCACAATGCCCTGGTGATCTCCCGGGCTGTGAGGGTCTTCGCGAGGAGGGGTTTGCGGCATGACTGATTTCTGCGCGGCCTCTCTGAGTCTCCGAATTGGAGCAACTGCCCAGTGCGTGAGGATCGGCACCATCACGATGATCGCACCCGCAGTTCCGAATACACAGGCGAGGATAATTTTGCGTAGACGGCTCACCGGAGCGAAAGCTTCAGCGTGGGTTTCCTCAACTATCAAGATCCATTGTACCAATGAGCTCTGAGGGCGAACCGCACCGACGGCGACGCTGGCTCCTGCTTCATTCGTGGTAGAGAGCCGACTGGTCGATGTGTTCTCGTTGTGATATGTCTCGCGCATTATCTCCAAAGCAATCGGATACCGTAACAACGGGAAAGAGGTGTTAGTCGAGACGCCACTATGCCGGCTTTTTTGCCCTGGAAGGGGTGTGGGCTCGAACACATAATGCACCGCCGCTTCGGAGAGCGCAGCCAAATCTGCGCCGGAGGTCGCAGTTGCTGGCTGAGCTGTCGATGCAAAGGTGTTTTCAGGTCTTGCTGGTCCAAGTAACAGCGCCTGTCCTGAATTCCCCAGCCCATCGCGGGAACTGATGACACTCTGTACATTTGTCGCGCTGGCAACAATCCTAGAGTCCAGTTAGCCTGTGTAATGAACACTTTCACAGAGCTTCCAACCCCAAAGACTACACGCACGTTATGAATCCAAGAAGATCGGTATCGGATGTGTTGTTGACAATGGGCAATGTCAACGAGACGAGGGAGAACGAATCGTTAATCTTCAGTGGGCCCAAAAGCAGGGAAGAGCCTAGTCCCAGTACATAGTCCGGAAATGCGCGGGCGGTCACGTCTCCGTCGCTTGAATTGGAATAAGTCAAGTTTGGATACAGCGTCAGTGGAAACCCGTTCTCCTGTGAGCCCAGTTTGACTGCGCTGCCGTTGGGATAGTTGTAGGGCAGGTTGATGTCTGGCACTGTATCACTCGTCACGTTCAGCAGACGTTCGCTCCCATTACCATCCTTTGAATACAGGATCGCCTGGTACAAGCTCAGGTAGCCTCGGCTCCCGAGTGCCGACTGAATATCCGTGTTGGCATAGAACCAGTTATTGGAGGTTCGGTTGCCTTGATTGTACCGACGGAGGGCCGATTGCACAAGAAGCCGCGTCGATATCGTCTTGCATGTTGTCTCGATGAGATCGAGATTCGACGCGATCTGACTGGCCTTGATCGTCGCGACGAGCTCGAGACCCTGGGATCTGTACGATCGAGTGAGAAAGCGACCAACGGCCCAGCACGACGAGTCACGTACCCTACTCCAACCACGAAGTTATATGTGGTGATCCACTATGACCACTATCAGCTCTGAAGCCCCGTTGGATGTCAATTGTTGCTGATGTCTTACTGTTGCGATCGCCAGCACCGCAATCCCCATCACCGTCGTCACCAGCACCAGCAGCGCAAGCTGCACAGCGATAGGAATGCGCATCCGACCGCGTTTGTGTCCACACAATTCATGAGGGTCATGTCGCCGCGTCTTTTTACCAGGACCTGAATGCCGCAATTGTCGAACTGGGGGATGGTGGGCTGAAGCGGTGCGAAACACTTCAAGAAGAGACGTGCCAGAAATTGCGAGAAGTAACCCGCCGGGGTCAGGTGCCGGTGGTACAGGGGCGAGGCCAGACAGCCCCTGCTTGAGACATGTGCCAGTAACATCCGGGGGGCGACGGGGCAGAGATTCTAGACGGGGCTAGATCCGACTTTCGATGCCGCCAGACGCCATCTCGGCTGCCGCTAAACTGGTCACACTAGCCGACCGTCGTTAATAGTTAACTACGCACATTCACCATGAAGTACATTAAAGTGACAGGCGTGCTACGAGGAACTGATATGACATGGTCTCACAAAAAAATAAACAATTAGGGCAATGTGCTCTAACTAAATTGACATCTCGAATTTGCTATCGCGAGGCGCAAAGAGACAAAACGGGAAGCCGCTAACCGAATCTAGTTAGGTGTATTCTTTGATGCCTCAGGCATCAAGCTCCCGTTTGGGCATCAGAGCATCGACAGGTCTACAGCAGCTGCCTGGGGGACAGACTCCATAGTAAGTGTGCGTGATTAAAATCATGTATAACTACCGAAACGAAGATGGAACACATCGGTTTCATCGCTGGTCTGCTCAATCCCCAAAACTTCCCCAGGCTCTTTTCTCTTAGAGTAACTATAGGGTCAGTCTTGGGCTGTTCTCCCGGTCTCGACATGTAAGATGATTATTTTTCCGACCCCATCTCGCAATATTGGGGATACAAGGTTCCAATTATTTCGTCGCGTATTCTCTTCGCCAGCCCGTGCAGCGGGTCGCCCTTGTATTCATCCACGAAGCTGGTGCACACGGTGTTAACCGGGGGATCGGGCGGCCCATATTCTCCAGCAAGAATCATGCCATTCTCTTGCATCACTCCAATTTCTTTCAGCAGATCTTGCATGTCTCGAAATAACGGCCAGGCGGGGAGCAATCGCATTTCAATCCAGTTCAAGCCGGTCAATCGGCACCCCGGAATCACGCCCAGGGTTGCATGGATAATGGCCGCGGTTCGAGACGGTTTGTTCAAGACTTCAGCTTTCGATATTTCCCCGTGCGCCTTTTCCTGTAGAGTCCGACCAATTCTAGTGGCAACAATTTCGGCAAGTGATGAATAGATCAACACCGCCAGAAAGCCCAGCTGCAGGTCACTGCGCATATTGACCATACAGGCGCAGGAAGCGATGCCCGACAACGTTCCCGTGAGGACCCAAAGCCAATGCAGACACTCCTTCTTCCAGGATGGCTTGTATTCCCAAGTTGATCGGGCCCACCGTTCCAGAGTCTCCTGGTATCCTTTGAAGATGACGGTGCCACCTTCCTCGCGCTCGTAGACCGCATACTTCCAGGTTTTGTCCTTTTTGATTTTTGGCTCATGTGTGTCAACCATAGCAAACAGCGATATTAAGACCGATGCGAGCCAATGGCAGATATAAATGACGAACAAAGTGAAGCCCCAGATATCGGCTGTCAGAACACTGAATACCATGCCGACCAACAACATGGACCCATTGATCAGGGAGAGCAGATCTAAAGACCATTTGCCAAACCGCCACCAGAAGCCGCCAATTCGTAGTTGGACTTCACTTTTCCTCTGCTCATCTGATTTGTCGTCTCCATCGACCAGAACGATGGCAAAGTCATGGGCTGGGTTCTCAGACGTGCGAAAGGCGACAACATCATTCAGCCAGAAGTTGTTCTGGTTCAACGGCAGCTGACTGAAGACGTTTCCCGACACGTCCGATCGTACCGCCAGAGGAGTCGTATCCTTTGCGCATGTCTTGATTGCCGGGTGGATATGTTTGAAGGTGGCGGTGAGGTGCTCAACCAGCATTTGCATCGGCGGCAGCGTCCCTCCCAGCATTGTGAAGTGGGGCCACAGGAAAAGACTGCGGCCATAGTGTGTATACAGTCGGACGGCGCTCTTGTCCGCGCGCGGGTTCCCGAGAACCGCGGCGACACCGAGTGGGTCGAAAGTGACTGTGTCGTCGTCGGTTTTGAGCTGTGCCCCTGCATCCTTCAGCGGTGTTGGGAATCTCGCTTGGACGCCGTCCACCAGCATCAAAAGATTGAGAGCGGAGGAGACCCATGAGGACTTGAGGCTATACATGGCTTGGGTGCGCAGCATGCGAGCTCAGCGCCGGAGGACGGAGCAGCTGGAGGGGTTGGCATCGATTCGATCCCATCGTCAGCAGAAGGCTAGGCGATTGTTTAGGGGCGGCAGCGCTAACAAGGCGGCCTTGCTATTTTCGGTATAGCGTGACGACACGTCGGGCTTTATTTGCGGTGAGATCGGGTCGCATCACGACGGATGAGAAATGAAACGAAAGATGAAAGGCACAATTTTTCGCGGTGCATTTGTTGATTACATTAGCGTAGATTCATTGATGCGAGATTCCCGCCCAGCTACTACCGTAGGGCAACTCGATACTCAGTACAAAGATAGCCAAAGAAAAAAGCATCACAAACCACCCGAAGCCGATCAAAGTAGGCATATCAACTTATTCAACGTCGCCCTGCTTAGGGTGCGATGTTGGTAGCCAGTCATAAAAATCTGTTTTTGATAAAGTTGTGGAATTCGGGAAGAGATCCGTGGTTGGAGCCACAATCAGATCCGCCGGTTAAATATGGAAGCTTCCCCGCATTCCCCGCTCAGCACGCCTCGATCAATCTCGCAAGATAAACCAAGTGCAATTCACACTGCAGCGACTCTCATCCTTAGTTGAATTTACTAGGGAGGGATCAGTCTAGTTTTCATGAAAATTGGTCTAGTACTACATACTCCTGTGGGAAACCAACATAAAGTCTGGTCGCAACGACCTATTCCTGCCAGTTTGTTTTCATCCAAGATGCCAGGCCCTGGTCAAACCGAGGTCCGATCCCGGTTCGGCGAACTCTGCGAGAGGAGCGCATTTCAATATCTTCTTACCCCACTTCGTAGCTGTGTTAAAGTAGGAACACTCCTCTGGGCCATCCTTTTCACAAATCCTCTACCGTTTGAGCTGTTACCAATTCTCTCCTAAAACTCGACGTGGAAACTTGGCTCCATAATGATTTTCAAGTCATTGAATCCAGATATCTCCGGTACGGGAGCAAATTCATGTACATATTCAAGGGGTGAAAGACTAACATAATGGTCACTCCGCAGTCCCGGAGGACTTGACACTGTGGGATTGGCTTTTCGAGTCATCCACATCTCCACTCCGTGGTCACGCTCCGTCCAAACTCGCCGGATTCACGAATGCCGCGACAAAAGAGCGGGTGAGGTACGACGAGGTGAAAAGCCACGCTACCCATATCTCGACTGCCTTGGTCCATAAATTCGGGTTATCTGCGGGGGACACGGTCGCCCTTTTCAGTCCAAACTCAGTATGGTATCCCATTGCCATGTTTGCGACCAATCGAATCGGTGAGCTTCCTCTCCTTGGCTCTTCAATAACATTCGTTATGGTTGACAGATTATGAAGGCGGAGTCATTTCGGGCGCATCGCCTGCATATAATGTCGAAGAGATGACATATGCGCTCAAGACCGCACAGGCAAAAGTTCTCATGACCGCAACTTCATCGCTGCCCGTCGCTGTTCCGGCCGCACAGAATGCAGGAATCTCAAAGGACCGCATAATCCTTCTGGAGGGACAAGCTGAGGGGTTTTCGACGATCAAAGATCTTCTTCGTCTGGGAAGGGAGGCTGGCACCAACCAGGTCGCCCCCTTCCGAATTCCTGTCGGCAAGACGAATAAAGATGTTTGTGGATTTCTGAGTTTCAGCAGTGGAACTACTGGTCTGCCCAAGGCTGTCAGTTATCAGGTATTCTGTCTCTTCGAGGCCAAAGACTAACCTGCTCCAGGTCATGATTGCTCATTCCAACGTGATCGCCCAATCACTTCAAGTCGCGCAAATCACATCTGAGGACCATACTAAAGTCTTGGCCGTTCTTCCACTTTTCCACAGTCAGACTTCTACAGCCTATTATACCAGTACTTGCTTGAACTCCTGCTAACCATCACAATCAGTCACCGGTCTCGTGCATCAGATGCATTTACCCGTCTTCCGCAACGCAGAAGTCTACATGCTTCCCGCATTCTCCATGAAGAGCATGCTCAGCACGATCGTCGAGTATCGAATCACCGAGATCCTTCTCGTACCTCCCATCCTGATCCGCCTCCTCCGTGACCCGATCGTGCAGAACTACGATCTGTCCCATGTACAGAAATTCTCTTCGGGCGCAGCACCATTATCGGCAGAGGTCATCCAAGCACTGAGTCGTCGTTTCCCTCGGACAGGCTTTAAACAGGGCTACGGCATGACCGAGTCATGCAGCTGCATCACTGCTCATCCTTTAGATAAAGCCACTTATGAATACGCCCATCGCGTCGGAACCATCGTCGCAAACACCGAGGTAAAGATCATCGACCCTGACACGGGCAAAGAACTCGGCTCCAACGAACAAGGAGAAATCCTCGCACGGGGCCCTCAAGTCGTGATGGGATATTTGAACAACGAAAAGGCCACGCGAGAAGCCTTCGACGCAGACAATTGGCTTCACACAGGAGACGTCGGGTTCATCGACGACGAAGGCTTCATCACCATCACGGACCGAATCAAAGAAATGATCAAAGTCAAGGGCATCGCCGTCGCCCCCGCCGAGCTCGAAGACCTTTTACTCGGGCACCCCATGGTGGAGGATGTGGCCGTGGGTGCAATTTCGGATGATTATACCGGCCAACGTCCGAAGGCGTACGTAGTGCTGAAGCCCAGCGCCCGACAGGGAAAGAGCAAGTCTCAGGTGTTGCCGTTGTTGGACGAGATCATTGAATATGTGCGTCAGAATAAGGTCCGTCACAAGTGGGTGACGGAAGTCGAAATGTTGGAGGAAATTCCCAAGAGTGCCAGCGGGAAAATACTCCGTCGGACGCTGCGCGAGCTGGAGAAGACGCCCCGCACCGAAGAGCGCTTCATCGCGACGCGTGAGGAAGTGCGCTCAAAGCTATAAATTTATGCCGTCGTGCCTACATTATTGTAGACAATGGTAATGGAATTTTTTTTTTCTTCAGCTAAACCCGATTCGTCAACTTTTCATGTTTGTTTCGCTGTTACGTATAGGTACGCAGTTTGATAACTTTTGATATGACGTCATGTGGATGGTCTAAGTAGCGACTACTCTGCAAAATACATTCATGGATGAAGTACAGCTCGGTCACTTTGAGAAGATGATAATACAATAATTGAATGTAGGATGCTCGGTTCATTGAACATATGCAAGGTATTCAGGTATTCTATAAATACATCCAACCGTGGACGGCGTAACTCGGAACTCCAGGCCCAAGACATAATGCTGATCGCGAAACTCATGCAATCGAAATCAAAGTGGCGTAACAATATAAACAGGCCACGTCTATACACAAAGGAAACTCAAACAAGAGCACAAAACCCTGCTTATGCGACCTCGGCATGCTGGTGACCACCCTGCTCCTTGCGGTTATACAGATTCTCATCCCCAGTCCATTCCTGGCGAGCGGGGAGCTCATAGGAGCTGCTCTTCCAGGGAGCGACCTTGTTGACGTACATCCAGTCGAGCTCCTCCAAGGTGCGGCCCTTACCCTCGATGACGAAGAAGTAGACGACCAGCACGGCCAGGAACAGGCAGCCCGCAAAGACATAACCGTAGGCAAAGTCGATCGAGTTGGTGATGAAGGTGGTGAAGAAACTGATCAGGAAGTTCCAGAGCCAGTTGGAGGCGGTGGCCAGAGCCATGCCCTTGGCACGGTACTTGGAGGGGAACAGCTCGGCGGCGATGGCCCAGATCATGGGGCCCCAGGTCATGGCGTAGGCGGCAATGAACAGACAGGCGACGACGATCATGCCCTTGCCGACATTGGGGGTGTTCTCGGGGGTGTTGATGTCGAGCATGAAGTGACCCAGCGACGAGAAGATCATGAACATGACGAACATCCAGCAGGCACCGAAGATCAGGGACTTGCGGCGACCGAAGTTCTCGACGATGTAGAGACCACCGAAGGTAGTGCCAAAGTTGACAGCACCCAGAATGACCTGGGTGATGAAGCTGTCGGAGATACCGGCACCCTGGAAGATGGTGGTACCGTAGTAGAAGAAGTAGTTGGCGCCAGTGAGCTGCTGGAGCGACTGCAGAACCATACCGAGGACAAGGCGGTAGAACATTCGGGGGGCGGTGATGAATTCACTCCACTTCTGACTCTGGGACTCGGCCTCGAACTGCTCGCGGATCTCATCCATCTCCTCGATGATGCGGTTGTGGTTCTCGGGGATACCATACAATTTGGCCAGGGTGCGCTGGGCACTCTCGGCCTTGCCGTGACGGAACTCGAAACGCGGGCTCTCGGGGAAGAAGACCATACCACCACCGAGGACCAGAGCGAACAGGAAGGTCAGACCCAGGGTGATGCGCCATTGGGCGGTGCCGTCGAGGGTGTGGGTACCCAGGTTGATGCAGTAGGCGAGGAAGATACCAAGGGTGACGAACAGCTGGTAGCAACTGATCATGGCACCACGGATATGACGAGGCGCGCTCTCACCCTGGTACATGGGCACCAGCAGCGAGCAGCCACCGACACCAAGACCAGTGACCCAACGACCGACAACCATCTGCCACCAGTGACCATCCGGAGAGGAAATCTGCACAATCAGACCAATGTTCAAGACCATACACCAGACGGTGATGGACCACTTGCGGCCGAGATAATCGGCGACGGGGGCGCCAGCGAGGGCACCGACCAGGGTACCAATGGAGAGCAGACCGACGATAAGTCCGGAACGAGTGTTGCTGAAGGCATATTCGCCCTTGTTGTTCAGCTGGCCATAGCGTTCCAGATAGTTCGACATCTCCTGGAAACCGGAGATCTGACCCGTATCATAACCGAACAACAGACCACCCATGGAAACGAATAGGGCCATGATGAGGGAACGCATGGTGATGCGCGGGATAGGGGTGTCGACGCCGGCGGGCTGGATGGGCTTCTGGACGGGGCTGTTCTGGTAGGAGGAGTCTGTGCTGGGCTGCAGCACGCCCTGAGCAGGGGTGATGGACTCCCCATGGTGGGAGGTGGACTCAATTCCCATGATGGAAAAGGGGGGGGGGGGGTTTGTCTCTGATGGTATGTATCGAGACAGGAAGTTGAGTATATACCAAAAGATCAATGGATGTGTATTCAATCGATCCGAGAAGCCCTGCAGGTAATAGAAAAGAAGGTCAGGGAGGGGAAATGCTCATGGGAAAAAGAAAAAAGAAAAGCAGCCTGGGGAGGGAGCAGCAGGGCCTTTTAATAATGGGGGGTGCCCGGAGAGGAAAACTCAACGTCCGTCATTTCGGCCACCCTTCTGCCCACAATGCCGCCCCGGGGGACACGGAGTGGAGACGTGGAGAGGCCACCACGCGCTGTGACGGCTCTGCCACGAGTGCCGGTTGCCTTGCCTCGCGGGACTCGCTGTTACGCCCGCCAAATGCCCGATGGGCCACGAAAAAGGCCGAGGCCGACTCGCACGGTCCCGAAACCCACCGGCTGTCGGCGGGCAGCCAGCCAGAAGGAGTTCCAGTGGACGATCGGAAGTGGTTCGCCAGTGAGACGGTTAGCCGAGAGCCCCGGCCGGTTGCGTTGGCGAGGGGAAGGATCGGGATGAAAGCGTGGCGAAACTCGGCGTCGGCACGGTGGCGTCACGGCATCTCTGGGGATCGCATGGCTTGGCTCGGCTCCCGACCCGAGCGGAGGCCGATTGAGATGCATCACAGTTGTGATAATCCCATCATCAGCGCAGCTGACCAGCAGAAGCACCGTTCACACGCCCTCAGGAGGACGGTATACTATGTCGTAGTACAGGGATATACTCGGGTAAGTAGTGGGCCATGCGACCGGGGCATCCCCATACCTCCAGGCCCTCCGGATGTTCGCCCACAACTCATTCCCGATGAGTCTCTCGGTGTGTCGCACCGCCCCAGACTGGCTATGCACCACCACGAAATCGAGGGGAAATGCGGAGTCTGGAGAACGTCACTTGGCAGCCAGGGTCTTGCATCATGCAAGATATCTTGCCCATCATGTCTGACGGAGCAGTGCCCGTCCTGAATATGTGCTGTGCGATGCCATGCCAAGATGTTTACTCCTCCCTAGATAGTACTAACCCGAAAGCAACATCATACTGTGTACCTTTGGGTAGATAATAGTGCACACCGTATCTTAGGCCTTACTAAGACCTGGGTGTACCTCAGCATACCCCCGTACTCAATCTTCCAGCAAGCTATGTTACGGCATCTGCCCGAACCCAGGCATGTCTGTGGCGCCGCCACAGCCGGACGGGCGCTTTGTACAGGTACGTCACTGAAGATTCTGCGCGCAAATAATAAAGATCGCCCCCCACCCGCGTGTCTGGCCATCCCGGCAACGGTGATAGGTGGTTGGCATTTCGCAGTTCCCTTTCGAGAAGGTCTTAAAATTATTCCCACTGCGTTCACTAGTGTGGCCATTATTAATCGCTCCCACCCCCATCGCGGAGCGGACGGCCAGGGTCGATTGGCACACATTTGCAGAGGGGCCATCAGAGTTTTCCCAGTGGAGACCCCCTGATGCACTTCTCCGTCTGGAGTAACTGGGTGCCTGCCAGTGAGGGCGAGGGATGAAATAAAATGTGGGCGTGGAGGGGACAGACCGGCAGTCAGCAATTGCCTGTGTCGTCGAGATGTCTGCCCAACGGATTAGTCATACCGGAGAAGTCCTTTGCCTGCGGAGCACTTAGTAACAGCAACTCACCAACAGAACGACTCCATTACTTTAGTAGTCGGCACAGACGAGCGCAGACACTCGGTTCACCCGATCTCAAGCGACTCCCGATCACGCCGAGAAGAATTCCTGCGCAGCACACTCGGCCTGAGATCCCGCCGCCATTATTGGCGGACGGCGCCTTCGCTACCAGCGATGGTTGCGATCTGGCTGATCTGACTGATCGGGCCGGACAAGCCACCTTTCGTCTGGTACATCGTCTAGGCGAGAGCTGGCCGGATGCAGTCAAATCGACCGAGTTTGGCCATGGCCATGGCCGTGACCATGGCAGACGTCGGGGACGCGTCTCGAATCATATAGAAGACGCGGCTACCACATCACGAACACTTTGCAGTAGAGAGCCGCCCTCATCGGAGCTCGCTCGATGTACCAGGAAATACTAACAGCCGGGATTTCGCTCCGACGTGGATGGAATGGAGTCTGGCTTGTTTTTCCCCCGGCTCACCACACCACGGCCACGCAGCCTTGTCAATTCGAGCGAGCGGGGCCTCCATCGCGAATTCCCCCGGTCGCCCCGTCCATCCACCACATGGCCGGAGGGCGGCCACGCCGTCGACCTCGCTAGGCAGAAGCAGTATGGCTCCATTCATTTAAACTATCTTCACGCTGGGAGCAAGCCACCCGCCAGGCGGTTCCCCCCTGCCTCCGCAATTAATCCGGCGCGCGCCTCCGGGCATTCCCACCTCTATGCCCCAAACAACACGGAGCATCACGACACCTATACTACTTGTCCTATGGCGCTCCGTTGCCAGCTCTGACCCCGGACATGCACGGCTACTGCCGCAAATTAGTCACCAAATGCATAACGGAGTCGTGTCCGCCATTGGCAATCGAATAGACGCCGATGCGGGAAGTAGCGTAGTCATAAATGGGAGGATATTCGCACCGTAATACTCGCCAGGTGCCGATCGACAAGCAGCACCCGCCATGAAGTCCCTCGCCATCTTTCTCCTGGCCAGTCTGGCTTCCGCAGCCGTGGCCCCCTACGGTCAATGTGGAGGCAGGGGTTATTCCGGTGACACAAGCTGCCAGTCGGGATGGGTCTGCCAGTATCAAAATTCCTACTATAGTCAATGTGTCGCGGGGTCTGGCACGACATCAACAACTACAACGGCCACGACGACTAGTAGCAGTACCACGACATCCAAGACTTCGACGACATTGGCCACTACGACCAAGACGACCACCACCTCCGTAGCAACATCCACCGTCTTCCCGGGCACCAGTGGACTCAACTTCACCATCGATGGAAAGGCTGGCTACTTCGCCGGTTCCAACTCCTACTGGATCGGTTTCTTGACCAACAATGACGATGTCGACCTAGTCCTGGACCACATGAACGAATCGGGCCTCCGCATCCTCCGCGTTTGGGGCTTCAACGACGTCAACACCGTCCCGTCCTCCGGCACAGTCTACTACCAGCTTCTCCAGAACGGTGTCGCGACCATCAACACCGGCGCCGACGGTCTACAGCGCCTCGACTACGTCGTCGCCTCCGCCGAAAAGCACAACGTGAAGCTGATCATCAACTTTGTCAACAACTGGTCCGACTATGGCGGCATGGCGGCCTACGTCACGGCTTTCGGCGGCTCCCAGACTAGTTGGTATACCAACGAGGCCGCTCAGGCCGCCTATCGCACGTACATAAAGACGGTTATTGCGCGCTACAGTAGTTCCTCGGCGATCTTTGCCTGGGAGCTGGCGAATGAGCCGCGCTGCAACGGCTGCAACCCGTCGGTGATCTACGACTGGGTCAAGTCGACGAGCGCGTATATCAAATCGCTGGATTCGAAGCACCTAGTTTGTATCGGCGATGGTCTGTTTCCGATTCTCATCACTCAAATGTACATTCTACTAACAACATCTAGAGGGATTCGGCCTCGACACACTCTCTGACGGCAGCTACCCCTACACCTACGGCGAGGGCCTGAACTTCACCATGAACCTAGCCATCGACGACATTGACTTCGGGACCTTCCACCTTTACCCCTCCAGCTGTAAGTTTTCTATCTGCTCTCACCTCCGTCGCCACCGCTAACCCATTCTTACACAGGGGGAACCACCAACGACTGGGGCAACGGCTGGGTCGAATCCCACGGCGCCGCCTGCGCTGCCGCGGGCAAGCCGTGCCTTTTCGAAGAATACGGAGTCACATCTGACCATTGCGCCGTCGAAGCACCCTGGCAGGCCACCGCGCTGAATACCAAGGGCGTGTCGGCTGATTTGTACTGGCAGTACGGGGATACCCTGAGTTATGGGCAGTCGCCAGATGATGGAAATACGTTTTACTATGGCACGGATGAGTTCACGTGTCTGGTGACTGATCATGTTGCTGCTATTGGTTATCTTGAAACAAGTGTCCACATCTCGTATGGACAATAGAATGATAATACAGTGTAGTCTGGGTAAATGTGCCAGGGCATCCGAGCATATTCTGTACAGATGGATATGTACCACGTGGCATTATCACAATTAGATTGATTCCATCTCACGTTGATTCATCCAAAATAAGTTATATATACCTCATCCAAAGCCATTGTAATTTATCGGGCAAAATTGCAAAATTAACCGATGCATTGTAGTCTGGGTGTACTGACTAGGGGATGTGCCATGTCGTAAACGCACTACGTGACGAGGCGTCGTTCGTATTGCCAGATTGAGAAAAGGACAAAACAACTTGAACTTAAGCCTCACATCAGACCATGTATCGATGCCTGCGATCGGCTGCATCACAAACACTAAACAGCCCCCCAAGCGAGGTGGCCGAAAAGTACAATGACCAGCCAGTCCGATTCATCTCAGCATCAAGCCCCACCGACATCCAGCTCCTCATGAACCAGACACACCTACCAGGCCTAAACAGCGCAGAATTACGAACACTGCGCAAGAAACAAATGCGACTCCAAAATTCAGTCGCACTCACCCAAGAAAGCGCCTGTGAAAATGGCCTCCAAGCGGTACACAGCCTCGCATCAACCCTGATCTTCGCCCAAGAAGAAGCCGGCACAGCAGTCTGTATCCACACGAAAGGCTGGATCCTCACTTGCGCGCATTGCTTCGGCGAAACAGTCGAAGAGTGGACAAGCCAGCGACAGAAATGGCTCCTGTACTACACCGGGAAAGCAGTCCAAGTCGAATGTCACGCACGCCTGGGACGCACGACGCGATCTCGCGCTGGCAAAGATCATCCGCCTCGAGGCCAACTATGCACCAGCAGACGACAAGACAACCCCAATCTTCACTTCCACCCCGCTGGCAACATCCCAAACCTCCACCACCCCCATTTTCTGCATCGCCAACCAGGTGCCGACGACCTGGAATCCGCCTCACGACGCAAAACCGCCTACGATCTCATCGAGGTGTCAGCGGGCCGACTCCGGGGCCAGATTCCCAGTGCCGATCCACACGACAACTCGGAGATCGGGGTCCTGAAACACAACGCCTGGACCTACTGGGGCCATTCGGGGGCGCCACTTTTGCGGGCGTCGGATGGGAATTTGCTTGGTTTGCATTCTTCGTGGGATGATGCTACGAGTATGAGGCATGGGGTGCCGCTGGTTGCAATTCGGGCGTTTTTGGAATACCTTCCACGCGACGACATGAAGTATGAAGTGCCGGGAGGATCCGGGGGTTGCATGATTGATGCTCCCCGAGTTGTCTCCGTAGGAACAGGTAGTACGCTGAGAGAACGCGAGATTATCGTAATTGACAGCTCGAACTGAGGCATGAGTAAAGTGAGCAATTGGTATCACATATAATAAGAAAAGGTATCTAAATATGCTTATGTACATCTAAACAGAAATCCGCGTGAGCTACCTCAAGCTACGACCCTGGCGGGACATTCGGGCTTCGGTGGCGCATCTGGTGACGGTGCACGGGTCGGGTTCGGGTCGGATCCAGTGGTGCGTGGGAGTAGTCGCCTGGGAGAGATCGAGTCGCAAGGTCCTAGGTAATGGGGAGAGCGCTGTGGAGATTTTTTTCAGGGCCGGGTCCGTGAGTCCGTAAAGATGGTGCCGTGGGATGTGGAAAAATATGGTGCAAGGGTGCTGATATGGCGCATTGGTGGTGCGTGGGAGCGATCGTCGGTTGGGGCGGTGGTGCGGTGGTAAAGGGCGAGGTAAATAGATGACAGGTGCAAATCGGTCAGTGGGCGTTATCATGGGCTCTTCACCTTGTCGACTTCTTCGGTTGCATCGGGGGCAGAGTCAGACAGGGAATGGTTGTCCACGGCATCCGTGGGGGGACCGCGGTAGTTGGCGTAACCCCAGACAATGTACCAGACGGCCGCGATGCAGACAAAGCCGAAGAACACCACGGAGGCATAGTTCATGCTATCCAAAGTTACCTCCTTCAAGGTCGGCATGCAGAACAGCGGGATGGCGAGAAGACTCCAGGCTGAGGGTGGCGGTTAGCAAACAAGGAACCTGAGGATAAACGAAGGCACCTACCGAGGGCGAATACGTTGGCAATCAGGCCAATCACTCCATAGTTGACGCTGCCGTTCTTGATATCCTCGCGACGACGGAAGACCAGCGAGACCGCGATGGGGCAGGCGTAACTCATGGTGAGGAAGATGACACCCACACCGGAGAAGGCATTGTAGGCGGCCTCGGAACCGAAGTAGATGGCACCGAGACAGATCTCGACGATCATGCCCAGAACCAATGAGTTGAAGGGAATATCCAGCTTCTTGTTGACGATCTTCCACCAGCCGGAACCAGGGATACCTCCATCACGAGCAAAGGCCCAGGTGCAGCGGGAGGTGGCCGTCACGCAGCCGACACCACAGATGATACCCAGCACCAGCAGGGGGATCATCAGGCAGAACGCACCGGCATTGTTCCCAATGGCATGCTTGAAAATGACGGGGGTGGGCTGATCGGAATTGACGAGGATGCTAATTTCCGGCATGACGAAGCAGAGCGGGATCAGGAAGAGCAGACCTGCGAGGAAGTTGATGACGATGGTGCCCACCATGGCCTTGGGGACCATGATGGCGGGCTCGCGGACCTCCTCGCACAGACTGATGATCATGCCGGTGGCCGAGGTGGCATACGCCGCCTGCAGCAGGCCGATGAAGAAGGACCAGCCGGCGGGCCAGCCGGCGTTGGGCTGGAAGCTGCCAAAGACCCAGGAGGCATTGTTGCGGCCTTCCTTGGCGATGGCCAGCAGGCAGACAACAATGCAAATCATACCGGCAATGGTCCAGAAGATCGCGAAGGTCTGCACCGTTGCAGTTAGCATGGAGCTTCATGCGGATAATTGGGAATGGAATAAACTCACCTCCAGATGTGGCAGCCACTTGTTGCCAAACGCCGAGATGGCATGGGTCAGGAGAGTGATGGCAAGGAAGATCAGGAAGGTCTGCCAGGCCTCAAAGTTCTCGACCAGGCCGTTTCCGTCGGCACCATCAAAGATGTTCAGACATCCAATGAACAGCAGAGTGGTTCCAAAGTTGACGGCCAGGGTGATGGTGATGTTGCCGGCCACATAGGACCAGCCGCAGATCCACGAGGCGACGCGACGACACCATAGCGGCGAGAGCACAAAGGTCTGATAGTAGACACCGCCGGCCGTGGGGTAGACGGAGGTGATCTCAGCGAGGGAGATGGCGACACAGAGAATGAGGAAGGAGACGACGACCCAGCCCCAGACGATGTTGGCGGGGCCACCGGCGGCGAGAGGATAGTAGAGGGTGGTGGAGAGACCGTAGGGGACAGAAGAGAGGATGAAGCACATGAACGTAACCTGCCAGACGGAGCGATTGCGGGCGAGCTCCGGGACGTATCCCATATCTTCGAGGGTACGGTCCGCATTGCCTGTATCCGCGCCACCGGTCTCCGCGCGAGCGACGGAGACTTTCGATGAGCGGCGCATTGCCTCCTCGATAGCCATTGTTAAGTGTGTATGTGATTTAGCGGAGGGCGGGGGGGGGGAGCATGCGGTAGGGGTAGAGATCGAGCTGTCGAGCAGAGAGCACCAAAATAAATAGAAAGAAAGGTTTTCATCCCGTCGAGGACGAAGTAGAAAGCAACCCAAAAAAAAAAAAAAGAGAAAAAAGCCACTGGCCCGAAGAAGCAGGTGGGGAGATCGTACCTTGGGCTTGCACCGCCTAACCTCCAATGGGAATGGCCTGTAGCAACATTCCTGTGAACTCGACGAATCATCGCGGTATGAGGTGACCCACTCTGGCCCTTCAAGAAACGGGTGGTGACGGGCCAATCAGCATGAAGCACAATTGGGTTTCATCTCCGTCGCAGAAAAGCCTGTTTCGGTTGGTGCCTGCTGGATTAGGCATTCACTCACGATTAGGGGGACTACCTTAAGAGTACTAGTAGTATCTAGGCTGGGTTAGTGTCTCAATGTCTTGGATGCTATCGTTTATCTCATTTCTGTATGAACTGACTGATCGGACATTATTATGCACCCGGTGATGTCAATGCGCCACCGAAGTCCCGCGGGTTCGCCGTATTGCCCGAGGTACGCAGATGCCTAGATGCACAAATAGCTCTGTTGCGAGCGTGAAGTCTTAACTACGCGAGGTTGCAACCAAGGATGCCGCCACCATCTCCATCCCCATTTGATTCCACCGTGGGCCCGCTGCCAGGCGGCCATTCCGCAAAATACCGAAGATTCTCCCGGTGGGGCGCAGATAGCAAGTCAGAATCCGGATTGCCAGCAGCGCGCGGCGTCGAAACGGCACACGCGACGAATAGAGCAGCTGTCTGGCCGATCCGTCGCGTGTCGATGGGGCCATCCAGCAGATATGGATCTAGCAGCCTCGTCTTACCGGGCACAGTTAATTTGACGAGGAGAAATCAATAGCCACTTTCAGTGCTTGGTGCTGCGCAGCCGTCTGGAAGGTGCTGTACGCTGTGACGCCTTCGCTGCAGGGGTAGTCTATAATCCGAACAGTCAGTCTATACATGTCCTCAGGATACTGCCGAAGCGGTAGGGCGCCTGACTGTGCGTGACCAACTTGCCAATCTCCAGCTCCCCCGACTCCATCAGCCTCAACAACCGCGGCGTCGTCGTCGCGTTCACCAGCGCCATGTGGATACCTACGAGCGGTTAGCCTCGCAGGTCGACCAGAAGACATAGGGGCTGCAAAACTCACTGATATTACGATCCCACAGTCGGTCCAGGTGCAAGTCCACTTTCGTCCCGTGCACGCCCACGTTTGCAATCCGTCCGCCCACCGCGACCAGCTCCTGGCACAGATCAAATGTCGCCGGAATCCCGACCGCTTCGATCACCGAGTCGAATCCCTGACCCTCCGTCAGGGCCAGCAGCCGCGCCCGCGCGTCCGCCACCCCCGAGTTGACCGTCGCGTGGGCCCCGAGCTGCCGGGCCGTCTCGAGGCGCGCCTCGTCCAGATCCACCATCACCACCAGCGACGGCGTGTACAGCCGCGCCGTCAGCAGCGCCGCCATGCCCACCGGGCCCGCGCCCACAATCACCACCGAGCCGCCGGGCTGGACGTTCGCGCTGAGCACGCCACACTCAAGACCTGTGGGGAAGGCATCGGAGACTGCCACGGCGGCCCGCGAGTCGATCGAGGCAGCGAGCGGGTGCAGCGAGAGGGTGGCATGAGGCACGCGTACATATTCCGCCTGGGTGCCGTCGACATGATGGCCCAGCACCCATCCGCCCGTCTCGCAGTGCGCGGAGATGCCCCGGCGACAGAACTTGCAGGCGCCGCACGCCGTCATGCACGAGATGAGCACCCGGTCGCCGACCCGGAGACTATGGACTGACTCGCCCAGCTCTTCGACCACGCCCACCCCTTCGTGTCCGAGGATCAGGCCCGGTTTGGCCGTCGGGACGTCACCCTTGAGGATGTGCAGGTCCGTCCCGCAGATGGAGGCGTGCAGCAGCCGGACCACGGCGTCGGTGGGCGCTTGAATGACCGGCCGAGGACGATCCAAAACTTCAATCATACCTGGGCCGGTATAGACGAGGGCTTTCATGGTGACAGGGGCAATGGAGTGGGGTTACAGTCTAATCGTAGTGTAGTTGTAGATGGCGCAGGTTTGACTACCATGTAAGACGTGGAAGCACCCCCTTATATACCTGGTCTTGTCATGGGACTCGTATCGAGGGCAAAAGACAGTCCTGTACTCGTTGCAAGCTGTGCAACGGGGTGGCGTGCGGGGGTGGAGAGATCGGATCCGCATCAGGTGGAGCCCGGCCACCTCGTCAATAGGCTATTCTAGCGTCAGGGACCTACAACTGTGACCTGAGCAGATTCTATCCTAATCCAGGTAGGCTGTCCGAAATATGCTTGTCAAATTTCTGTAGATCTGATGGATATTACCCTATTGCATGTGTCGAGATTCTTGCTACGGAACTATACAAAGCGATACAGTGCATAGATATATGATTCTGACAGAACGTCACAGTCTGGCAGAGACGAGAAGAAATGTGCTCACTACGAGGCTGAAATGAGTTTCATGATGCCCAGAGTCCGCCGACGAAAGCAGGATGACGACCTGATTGGGACGCGGCTCTGCGGTCCCTGGATCGCCGTCACAGACTACCTCGACTAGGCCTAGTATAGTCCGTATGGTTGCACCTCTTGAGAGCTTGCCCTTTTCATACGAGCAGAAGAGCGAGTCGAGACTAGTACAGATCTGAGATCACTCTTACTATGTCTTTTTCATTTGAAGTGAACGGCCGCCGTCCTCATCACCCAGGACATTGACCCCAACCGCTCCCGTTCTTCTTTCTTCCTTCACACAACTCTCCCACTCAACTTGAGTCTCACCACGTCATCCAAACACCATGCCAGTCAAATCAGCCATCGGCTACCTCCATGACCGGGTGGGCCACTTCAATCTCAAGGCCCACTCCCAAAGGCTCGAAGGCTGGCTCGCAGCCATGGCCGAGCAGCGCCGAATCGAAGCACAAACCACCTGGATCAAAAAGTACGAGCAGGAAACCCGAAACGGCCGCCGCATCGTTCAACGCGAGATGAACGTTAGCGCCGAGCTCTTTCACCTCGACACCGATGAAGAGACCAAGACCAAAGCGGGGACGATGGCACGCCAACACAAGATCGCCGAGCTTAACTGGAAATTGAAAGTCCTGGCTGACGACTTCATCCAACACACCAAGCGACTCGACACGCTCAAAAAGGAAAGACCCCGAGGCTCGATGGTCCGCGAGTACCTCAAAAAGCAAAAGAGCAAGCAGCCCCAGCCGCAGGCGCTGTGGAAACTCGAGCGATACCTCTGCCAGCTGCGAGGTGGCTGCTGCACGCGTGATTGCGGCTGCTGCGAGCTGTCGTGGCGGACGATTCGTGATCATAGTAAACGCATTCATTACCTGCACTGCAGGGGACAGTCTTGTGCATGCTGTGCGCGAAACCGTATGTCCCCGGAGATGTCATTGGAAGACGATGCTGCTGAGGATGTACAGGAACCGGCCGCTTCGGAGTCACTGGGCCTTGACGAGGTCGAGGTTGCCGAGTTCCACTCGGGAGAATGCATACTTGCTCTTGCCCAGGGGATGATTATGTACTAGTAGCGTGGATCAAGGGGATACGCATCGATGTTTTAGATTTTGACCCTTTTTGTTACTTGTTACAGGATAGCAGCATGTAAGAATACTGGATTTGCTTCTTTTGATAAATTGCACTTTGTATTTCTATGGTTGAATGGACATTTCTTTGATTGCCGAGTATGTTCGGTCATCCATGAGTTATTATCAATATATTAGTAGTGCTTGGGATAACAACCGGCAAGCTCGCTGGCACTGTCTTGCGCCCACCCTCCTGAGCGGTAATGAGATTTACCTCCTGGTGCATATCCCCGTAGCTTTAAGACAGATGATGGAATAGCTGAGGATGTCTCTCCCAAGAAAGTCATAGTTATAGATACTCACCAGGCTCCCCCCCCCCGGCTAGCAGTACCGTCCACGAACAATGTAAGTACTAAATACCTGAAACATGTCTTGGAGGTAGCGAAGGGGTATCCGGGGGCTCGTTTGGCCGTATACGCCCTCTCTCAGTGATGTGAGCTTCGCGTTCATCGATAATATCGATAATAGGAGAACACTCGGGGCTTCAGTCATGAAATCTGTGGATTTCGGCTGTGGCGACATGATGATCATGCTCAGAATGCCTTGAATTGTGGCTTGCAAACTTTTTTCATCGGTAGTTGTACTCTTGAACAAAGGATTTTCTAGTGACACTATGACTGAGACCGTGCCGTCGACTTTGATATGATGACAGTCAGCATCGACGGCGAGTCATGCAATGAAAGTGAGAGACATTTCGATGTAGTATACCATGCTTCATTATCGTAGAAATGATCTAATGGCAAGAAAAACCTATAAGTATCAGGTGTGTCTCTTAAACATCTTCAGGCACTCACACCCTCAACATCCTCCAACAGCTTCCATCACTCGATCCATCCAAGATGAAGTTAACATCCACCTCAGCTTTGCTATTTTTGATCACGGCGGCAATTGCAGCCCCCGCGCCTGTCAACGAACTTGTGGGTTTCATAGAAAATATTGCTGTTATAAGAGTACCTCGTTGACATGTTCGTAGGTTGAAAAAGATTGCAAACCGGGCGGACAGCTCTGCTCGAGCCACGCTGGTTGCTGTTCAGCCCGATGCATGGATCTGGGACCCGACACTCAGCGACAATGCGCGTATCAGCCTGGAAGAACGGGTTATATACCCAAGGTAGCCGCGGAACCTGGCAAATACTTGGCTGATTTGGGCATTTAATTTGGGGTGCTTTAATTCTTCTGTTGACAATTCAGACTGATTTCTGAGGCTTAGACCGGGACTGTCAGCAGAGAATCATCACATAAAGCACGTGAATGTAGTTGGCTTTCTCGCAATTCAGAACCCTCGAATCGAAGTGCGTATCTCTGGCCTGGGCCAGTCCATTCCATATCCGCACTAGCGTAGGGAACACTTCCTATTTGGGAATCGCCTGGACGCCTCGACCTCGTGTAGCTTCCCACCACAGCCTCTGATTGGCCCGACTGAATGTCGAAGTTGGCCCTGACTTGCATTGGGGCTAGCGTGATGCTCGCCTCCCGCTACGACAGCCAAACCCTCCCATCGCTTCGATCCCTGCATCCTCACTGCCAGCTGATAAGGGGAAAAGAATTGCTAGAGGCCGTCGCTTATCATGTCGGCTAGCAAGGCACTCTTAAGCCTGGGCATCGCCTGTGCCGGTCCGGCCACCGGTCCGGTGTGCTGACAGCTCTAACAGCAGCCAGGCTCTGGTATGGTGTATAGGGCTCGGGTATTCCGTCGCTTAACGCTGTGGCCAGATGCATCATTCCGGTCTGCCGGCAACTGCCGGTGTGGCTGGTTGTGAATGCTCGGAAAAAGTTGGCTGGCACGAGACTGAAGAGTATCTTGTTCATGCATGCAGGGTGCTGGGAAGGCCAGGCTCAGCATGGTTGATGAGAATAGTGAAAAGAAGAGTAGCCATCGTGAATCGACAATGGTGCGCTTGTGCTCATAATGTGCTAAACCGGTGAAATCGGCCAGTGAGGAACTCAAACATTGCATTTTCATGCAGTCGCATGTTGTGTCACAGGGCGGAATAATCAATGGCCTCAAATTAGCGAGTAAGAAAACCACTATCTCGATATTACCCCGGACTCTTTAGCGTGCTTGGATTCGGCTAGCTTATCACAGACCCCTCGCAGCTGGCGCATCGCACGGGATGCGGAGGGGGTTTCGAGAATCATTCAAGAATGTTCGTATTTCCATCCACGGCCAGCCTCAAGTGTTGAGTTTCAGCGCTCTCTGAAATACCACTCGCAGACTTGTATTTCGGCGACAGAAAGCTCCTTTCCAGAATTTCCCATTCGCATCTTCAACCTTTTTTTCTGTCATAAATCATTTTTGCATGGGCACGACCACACGATAGACAATGGCCGCAATCGAACCAGGACCACCGCCGGCGAGCGGATATGGTGAGCAGCCCATGACGGAAAAGGGCAGAGCGGTGCGAAATCTGGTCGAAGCCGATTTGCTCGATGATCGCTATGCGACTACCCAGCGTGGTCTGAAGAACCGACATGTGCAGCTGATGGCGCTGGGTGGCACGATTGGAACGGGTGAGGTTCAACCCACAACCACAAACAGACCCAATTCTGATCGATTATAGGTCTTTTCGTGTCTTCTGGTCAGTCGTTGGCCACGGGTGGCCCTGCATCTCTCTTGCTGGGATACCTTTTCATCTCCGCCATGGTGTATGCGCTCGTCACGGCCATCGCTGAGATCGGCGCCTACCTGCCTGTTCATGGCGGCACCATGAGTTACCACGGATTCAGATATGTCTCGCGCAGTCTCGGATTTGCCATGGGGTATCTCTACTGGTACTCACTGGGCATTCTCGTGCCCTACGAGATCACCGCCGCCGGCCTGGTCATCGGGTATTGGGATACCAACAGCACCATCAACATTGCCGTATGGATCACCATCATGATGGTCGTGATTATCGCGTTGAACTTCCTTCCTGTACGCTTCTACGGCGAGACCGAGTTTTGGTTCTCCGGTATCAAGATCATCACACTCATTGGCTTGCTGATGGTTTCCTTCATCCTCTTCTGGGGCGGCGGTCCGAATCGCCAGCGACTCGGGTTCCACTATTGGAAAGACCCCGGCTCATTCAACACGCATATCGTGGACGGAGACACTGGTCGCTTTGTCGGTCTGCTCAAGTGCACGGTCTCCAGTGCTATTGCTTTCATTTTCGCACCTGAGCTGATCATCATCAGCGGAGGCGAGATGGAAAATCCTCGTCGCAATGTGCCACGCGCCGCACGACGCTACATCTATCGTCTCATCTTCTTCTATATCTTCGGAGTACTCGCCATCGGCGTCATCTGTCCGTCTAACGCGGCTCGACTGACCAAGGGCGACGGTACGGTCAACTCCTCCCCGTTTGTGGTGGGCATCCAAAACGCCGGCATCCCAGTCTTGGACCACATCGTCAACGCCGCCGTGCTGACTTCAGCCTGGTCGGCAGGAAACTCTTTCCTGTACATGTCGTCGCGCTCACTGTACTCTCTGGCCATGTCGGGCAATGCGCCGAGTGTTTTCAAGTCATGTAACCGCTGGGGCGTGCCCTACTACGCGGTCGCTGTGTCGGCCTGCTTCTCATGCCTGGCCTATCTGTCGGTCGGCAACTCCAGCTCCATCGTGTTCAACTGGTTCGTCAACTTCACCAACACTTCCGGTTTCATCTCGTGGATTTGCTGTGTGGTGGTATATTTCCGCTTCCGCAAGGCCGTCCAGACACAGGGGATCGAGCAGCCGTACAAGTCCAAGATCCAGCCATACGGCGCGATCTTTGGAATCTTCGGTGCAACGCTGATGGCTCTGATCAACGGGTTCACCGTGTTCTTCCCGTCGCAGTGGTCAGTCAGCAACTTCTTTACCGCGTACATCGGTATTCCGGCGTTCCTCATGTTGTATTTCGGCCACCGGGCGCTATACTGGAACGACCCATGGGCTTGGCGACCAGAGGAGGTCGACATGCACACCGGACTGCAGGAGATCGTCGAAGCCGAGATGCCCGAAAGATCGCGCGGGCCGTGGTGGAAATTCTGGTAAAGTCATGTGGGACGCGATAGGGCAAGGGATTCCTGTGTGTTGTTTGTTATGTCATTGTGGCGATATCAGCCCTGGAGCTTCCAAGCTTCCAGGCGGCTACGCAGTCAGCGATCAAATCAGATCGAATAAAATCGAATAAAATCCCGCTCTGATGCCTGTGTCCGGGGCCGCGTTGGCTATTGATATGATATATTGAACCTCCACACCTTCCTAAGGGTTCATTCATTCGCAGTCCGCAGATCTTATCGAATCCTCCGCACTCACCCGCACTCATCCGCACCTGATAATCCTCGTAGCTCGACAAATTACCGACGCAATGTCGCTGAGGCTTGCTTATAAATTCGACATGCGCCGTGAACCGTGTCTTTCTCGGGTTCTGCGATTCGGACTCTTCGGCAGACGATATACTACTAGTACTGCACGCTTGGGCCCCAATTTTAAGCATAAAACCGTCCGAATTAGGCTACCCCAGCCGGAACACCCTCGCCGAGCAACCATGTCCGCCACGATGACCGTCACGATGCCGATCGCCCGACCGTTGCAGCCACCGGTCGGCTCGGATATTGACTTTGGCGCTCAGATTGACAATATTGATCTGGAGACGCTGACTGGTGAGTGCTGTTGATGCGATGCATGGCGGCAATGATGCTGATCAGATCCACAATAGATGAACAATTCGCCGCCATTCGCAAGACACTATACGAGAAACACGTCGTGGTGTTCAAGAATCAGCACAAACTCACCCCGAAAGCACAATATGAGCTCACGAAGCGCTTCGACCCAGTCTCCGAGAACTATGGCCACGGGAAAACCATCGACGCAAAACGCAGCATCCTGCATCCCGACCTGAAAACCGTCCCTCATCAACCTCAGGTGCAGATCATTGGAAACGGCTTCGTGCCTTCATACGAAGGGCTGAAGAATGTGCAGCTGAGACATCCCCACCACCGAACATTCCACAAAGACCACATCCCCGACGAGCAAGACTATGATTTCACCCGGTTCTACCGGTGGCACATCGATGCTGCATTGTACGATCTGTACCCACCACAGGTGACTACTCTGCTGGCCGTCAATGTGCCCAAAGGCCGTCGCCAGACACTTTTGTACGATGACGGTAGCAACGAGACCATGGATGTGCCCCTTGGAACCACCGCCTTCGTGAGTGGACAGCGAATGTATGAGCTGCTCTCGCCCGAAGACCAGGAGTTTGTGCGCACGAGCAAGATTGAATATGCTCCTCACCCGTAAGTTCTTCCCAGTATCAAAGTCTGCCAATCAAATCAGTATTAACCCTCTGCAGGTATATCTGGATGAGTCCCGCACGCTCTCGATCCACCGGGCTCGGCATGCACTCAGAAGGCCTCGAACTACCAGATTCCGAGCTGCCCGAGATCGACCAAAAGAAGATTATGGTCTTCCCAATGTGCTGGAAGAACCCAGAATCGGGGAAACTCGCCCTGCAGATCCACCCCTCTGCCGTACGCAAGATCCACTGTGCCGACGGGACAGTGATTGACGACTTGGAGCGTGTGCGTGATATTGTGTATAAGCTGCAGCGACCGGCCATCAGCCCTCAATATGTGTATCCACATGACTGGGAAGATGGCGACCTGGTCTTGTTTAATAACCGAGGCGTGTTGCATTCTGTGGTTGGCGCATTCAAGCCGGACGAGGTGCGCTTGTTCCGACAGTGTAACTTGGCTGCATCGGAGCCGCCTGTTGGGCCTTGATCTTCTTTATCAGAAAATAGCAATGTGCGAGCCGTCGCTGATAGCACCGGAATGTCATAAACGAATGCTTATGATACCTTTGCAATAATGATATTAAAGATTATAAGTCCAGTATATGCCTTGGGTAGCACGAAACTATAGTACAGGATTTCATCGGACGATGAAAAATCCATTGACAGCAACCTGTCGTTCCCGCCATTCGTCCATCACCGAACGCACTCCCAGTTTATGCAATGGGACTTGTTCCACCCATTTCTGTCCCTTGGCTCGGATAGTCGCGTACCCCTCCATGGTTCGGTCGACCCAGCCTAGGTTTTGCTTTTGCAACTCAAGGGGACTGAGTGTCTCAGGGGACCATGCCGGGTGCATCAATGTATTTTGCACGACGTCGGCATCGTAAGCATCAGCTAGAATGGCTGCTTCTGTAGCTGCAGCTTGAGCATCTGCGAGTTCCTGACTGTTGGTACCCCGGGGATGGGGCACTTCCGCTCGGAGAAAGCCCATGACACGAACTTGACTTTTGGTCGTTTGTAATGGTACCTCATCTAGCAAACGCAGTGTGACCACGTGCTTGGAGACCTGGGCCATATCGACTCGGGACGCTTGCAAGGGATCCAGTGAGCGCACGGCGAGAATCATGGGAGTCCAGGAGGTCGGTGATGAACTTTTGCTAGTGTTCATGTCGAACCGTGCCCAGCCAAAAAAGTATCCGCGTAACTGCTCGGAAACCCAGTCTGGAGTTCTGATGAGCGTGATTTTTGGTGTTTCTGTGGGGCTGCTAAAAGGCGTGGAATGACCAAACTGACAACGAGCTTTAAAAGTCATTGGAAATGGATCCTGAGGGCCCTCCTCAACAGGAGAACCACTGTGACCAGTAATCGGAGAAGGACATCCATCGACAGCGAAACCTTGACCCGGCGGAGCGGTCGAGGTAAAAAGTCCTGCCACGCGAGTCTCAACTCCACTCGCCGAATACACCTTTTGCACGGCAGCCTTCTTTACCCAAGATGGTTTATATGGATTCACCCGGGTCGCCACGGCCGCAGCTGCAGGATTCGCCACCGTCCTGGCCGCCGTTTGCGCATACAGACTGACCACCATGGCACCCACCTCCAACGGCAACGTGCTGAGACTCGCACCGCGGAGGGAGTGAGGATTCGCGGAGGTCGAAAGAACACGGAAGACGGGACTATTAGCCAGCGTCTTCTTTTTTGCGCCCTGACACAAGACGAGTTGGAAATACCCATCTCCTGCCTCTGCTGGGATACGCACGACGGCGGTTTCACGCAGTTCATGCTTATCGCGCGGACGCGGGGGCGCCTTCTTGTAGAACTTTTTGATATCGCGCTGCCAAGCGCGTTCATCGTCGGGGTTCACGGATTCCGCTCGCAATGGCATGACGGGCGTGACATCGAGCCAGCTGTCATTAAGTCGGAATAAGGCTTTGGTCCTCATGCCCGTCTTGCCAGACCAGCCCTTGCTCTGCAGCCATAAGGTGCGATCTTCGGGCAAAGGGCTGTCGGAGAAGATGGAGACCGCGACGGAGGTGGCATTACCACGGTAAAAGACGAGGCCATGCGAGTGACGCAAGATAGTAAAATGCCTGTTCGATTCTGTTGGATGGTTTATCAATCCACCCAGGAAGTGCCGAGCTTCCCCATATGCCTTCTGGACAGGGGTGGGAGGTGGCTGCGGAGACACCGGCGCAGATGACGATGCAGCACCCGCGGTCCGGGGCCTCGGAATTGGTTCCGGCCGACTTGGAGGTTTCTGCGGCGAAGGGCCATACAGATCCGTGTAGGATGGGGGCCGTGACAGTGGTGGCGGCACTAGAGCTAGGGAGCTCGCAGCCGCATGGAACGGGGGATCGACAGCAGCCCGCAGGTTGGGGTTGGAGACAGGCTTGCGTGGGATGCGAAAGGCATCGGACGGCCCACCAGGGCTCAGCATAGCCGAATCCATGTCGACATGACTCGACGGAGAATGATCCAACAGTACCCAGTTCTATCAGGAGGCCGTTGGCACGCGACGTTGGTTTGTTATGGCGACCGCTGGTAGCTTGGCGGTTGGCACGGCGGCCTGAGGCAGTAACAGACACCTGAGGCTTGGCGGGCAACCAACCAACTATGCCCTCAGGTACAACTCAGAACAATACGGAAATGACCTGGGGCTAAAGGGGGCAATGGAAGTGGAATTTTAATACATTAATGGTATCATGTCTATGTGTCATCAATCATTAAGCCGCTTTTCGCGGTTGTATACTCGCACGGTCCTATTACCGCGGTCTCTGGGCTGTCACATAGTCACTGTTGAACTCCAGTCAGTTTGGCAGAATGTAGAACGCGAGAGTGAGAGAGGCACTCACATTCTAGTATATACGTGTGCTTTGTTTGATCGCAGCTCTGCGCGTAATTGCGCGAGAAAGACCTGCACCTCGGCCGAGGTCCAGTTGCCAAAGCGGGTGAACAGCGCCAGGGAGTAGCTTTCGATGGCGCCATCGGCCAGCTGGGCGCGAAAATACCGCCCAATTTCCTTCAACTTGGGGTCTTTCGGCCAGGTTCCCACGGGGACACGCGAGCCAGTGACCTGTATATCCTCAAAGGCGGCATCTTGTAACAGACTCCTAATACGTGGCCCCAGGTCCCAGACTCGTCCTTGGATGGCGGTTATACGATGGAATTCGCTCTAGAATGACACCCGATTTAATACATCATCGATGAAATTGGGTCCATGGAGCCTTTCGGGTAAAAACTCACCTCCCATGTACGCAAGTGGCTATCAGCTGGCCAGGAGTCGTCATCGCATTCCAGATGCGGGTTGCATTCAGTTATTTCGATGCGCCCACCGGGTTTGAGATGACTAAAAGCCGTTTAGTAGTGAATCTCATATAGCGGAAACATGTCCAGTTGCTGCCTTGCACGTACTCATAGCACTGACGGAGAAATAAGGGCCAGTCGTCGATACTACCGGCCAGACTTCGCACGTGAATAAAGTCGAACGAGCCCTCCGCAAAGCTCCAGTCGGGCTGATTGATGTCTTCGATCACAAATCGCAGATTGGGCGGAACCCTTCAACCTCCGTCAATATGGCCAGTCCACTTGGATTGGGAGAAGTTAGGCTTACCAGCCAGGCTGAATGGGTGACAGATCCACTCCGATCACCTCTGCGGCAGGAAATTGGTCCGCCACTGTTCGAAGTTAGCCACACTGCGGGTGATCAAGGGAGGAGGGGGGGGGGGGGGGGGGTTTGCCCGACGGCTGGATTGTACCTTCGATTGCCCAGATCCCAGTCCCCGTCCCGATGTCGAGCACCCTGATTGGATTGTCGAGTTCTGTCTGGCAGAGTTCTCCGTTCAGAGTTAGACGGAAGACATGGTGGAGCACATCCATCCGGTCTATTGAGGCACTTGTTAGCATTCTCTTCAACTCATCCAGGCTGACCGTCTTGTCTGTATGATCATACCTTGCTCACGCTCGTCATTGGGAAGCACCTATCTTGTCAGCGGGCCTGCCACATCGTCCCTGGATAACCACATACATAAGATCCGGACCGGTACGCATGATAAGTCCGTCCATTCTCATACACGTAAGAGTACACCGATTCCGTCAGCGAGGTGAGATCGCTTCGGATACTCTCGTAGTCACTCAAGGACTATTTCAGATGTGAGCCGGGGTAACCCTTGAGTAGGGCATGCGGTGTACTCACATTGACATCGGAATCGACCTGAATATTGGATGTAGCGGCGGGGTCGGTCATGATGTTTGCCACAGCACACGAAACCGGCAGCGGAGAGCAAAGTCTGGCAGAGCTGGCACTCGCGGGGGAAGTATTCTAGAAGAACGCGAGTGCCCCTCCCGTCCCAGAAACCAAAAGAAAAACAAGAGGGGAAAGTCCGCGATGCCGACCCAGACGGTCGGGATGGAGAGCTGCTCCACCAGACCCAGCGTGTCGGGACTGCCCGGCCCTTTGGGAGAGTTGGCGGTTCTGGAAGCGGATGAGGTTGAGGTGCAGCGTGGGTCAATACGAATGTCCATCACCGCCTGAACCTCATTCACATTCCCTCCCGTCTTCTGCACTCGGCCATGACCACGCAGATCTCAATGTCCACCACAACTCCTTCTATTTTGGGCTTGAGAAATGTCCGGGACCTCCCCACTCGCTTCTGCAAGGCTAAAGCACAAATGGGCGGTCTGCGTCCACGTCGGGAAAGGCAAGCGTCCGCCACGAACCCACGACAGTGGTGCCGGTGGAGTCGCCCTTGGGAAAGCTCGCGATCCGCGCAAAGACTCCGTCTTAGTGTCGCAGGTATGCAGCCAGGGTTTCGGCTGGTCAGCGGGGAGGACGACTCCTCGTACCGCGTTGCTGGGAAGCTATCTGCAGGTGATGTATCACCTTGCCCTGCAAATCCCGGGGCTTTTTTTTTGCGGATCCGATCTGAGATGCTCGTCGATGCGTAAGCTCTTCCGCTACGTGCGTTACACTTCCCAAAGACCATGCCGACGGCCCTTTCTTCCTCTACAGAAGTGGTCCCTCCACTCTCTTGCGGCCCCAGTTGCTACCATGATTGCCCTGCAAACCCGGGCAAAATGCCAGATCAGCGTTGGACCAAACCCCTCCTACCCAACCCGACGGTAGCCAATGCGGCGACGCGAAGCAGGGATGCGCGGTGGGGATTGCGATGGGGTCCCGGCCCAACTCGCCTTCGTCGGCCCAAGTCTGGGTGGGCTGAGGCTGAGAGCGCAAGAAGGTTGGGGGCGATCAAACAGGCGGACGGAGCACCCAGGTGCGATCGACCGACCCGAAGGTACGTACCTGATTCCTCGTGCTCGTGACACTCTAATCCTACTGTAGGAAGAGTATCTACACAATGGCCAGCGTGGGTGTGCTGGGTCCTTGCGGATCATCCGAGTCGGGCCTTACCACGTCAACCAGTCTCCTGCATAACCCGAGGGAAGGGGTCGTCGACTCCACCACGACATGGCGTGTCTCGTCTGATCTCACCATCCCAGCAATGCAGTTTGCTTTTTACTCGAAAGGGCCAGAGGGCCCGAGGGTGTGGATTCTCATCTGCACTCAAAAGACCGCAATGGCATGAAGCAGATTGGTATCGGAGAAGCGCTTGGCCGTACCTAGAGTACACTTGCTGAGAGCATTACATTGGATAGCACTGAGCTGCCGATCCGAGACATCTGTAAATTGTCTTGTGGTCTTTTCTCCACGATATCTGCCTAACCTCCAGCGTGCCAACCGTTCAACAGCTTCAGAGACGCCCTCTCGCTCGTTGTGCGAGACGCAGATATTCATGAACTCGACCATCTCCGCCGCTGGTGGAGGGGTCAGCTCGTATCTCTACTTGCAGACCAGGGGAAGAGACTTACGCGTGATGCGAACATTATTCTCGTCGTCCTCGCGGCGACCATTCAGCCGGGTATAATGCAGCACCAGGTCAACTCGCGGGCGCCGTGCAGACTGATACAGCTCCAATCGCGCGGGGATCTCCCGCGCCAAAGTGCCGAGAGGGAGCAGGGTCGCGATGCTGACAGCGTCTTCAATCGCCATCGCGCCACCTTGACCCATATCTGCAAGGAACGTTAGTATCCGACCAACGCGGCCACTCGGTGAGGCGAGTTACATGGCTGAAACGGGTGTGCAGCGTCGCCCAGCAGCGCTGCATGTCCCTGGACCCAGGTGGCGAGGGGATCCATGTCGTACAGATCCCAGACCTTGAGTGTTTGATCGGCGTGGCCCACGATCCGCTCGACTGCGGGCGCAAAGCCCGAGAACCCCTGGATTATCGCCTGCTGGTCGCCGACGGTTTGCCAGTCTGAGACACGTGTCAGTTGGGAAGCTGTATACCCGTGCTTGATGTCGTGTCCGACTCACTGTCTTCGCCCGCGCCGGCCTTTCCCTCGCTAGAAGGAATGAAGGCACACAGGTTGAAAATGGTATTGTTCGAGCAGGGGTATGCCACGAGCCGCCGGTCTTTTGCACTCCACTCCAGAAACAATCCTGGGTCGGTCACATACGCCTGCGTGGCCTCATCTTTCTTCAACTCGTCCATCGACAGAAGCCAGCGGAAGCAGGACATGCCTACCGGATACGGCGACACCCCGGGCGCGATGACCGGCCGAACTTGGGACTAATCAGCTGTTAGAGAGTCTCATGCCCAACTCGCACGTAGCATATCTGCAAATACATACATGAAGGCCATCTGCGCCAAGTAGAAGATCAGCCTGGAACACGCGACCATCTTCCAGCGTCACAGACGGGCGAGGTGTGTCCAAGTCGATCTCGGAGATTTTGCATTTCAGGTGTAGCTCCGCCGTCTCGAGCGCGCGGAGCTTAAGGCTATTGTGCAGCTCGACTCGGTGGATCAAATACCATTCCTATTTCCGATGAGTATCACTCTGACTCAAAGTCTTGGACAAACGTACCGCTTGCCAATGCTGGCGAATCTCGGCGAAATCTTGCTTGAACTTCAGATTGCCGTCAAAGTCGTACCGATGAATCTAGCCGGCTGATCAGTCGCATCTCTGTTTCTATGTTGGGAGATCACACATACCTCTTCAAGAAGAGTGCCTCCAAATTCCTCGGGGTTGACACCCATCCATCGCAACAATGCGGTGCAGTTCGGCGGCAGGTGAATGGCCGCCCCGGTTTCTCTGAGAAAACTCGACTTCTCTAAGACCTGTGTGGTGATATCAATTATCGTGCCTCACAATCTGTGTGGATCTTGAATGCCTGCACTTACCACAACACGATAACCCTGCTTTCCCAGCGCAATCGCCGCCGAAAGACCGGCTATGCCGGCACCAATGATCAACACATCCAACACCTGGCTCTTTTCAGTCATGTTGAATTAATCTGAAGAATGAAAGCACACAGAATTGGCCGCGACAACAAACCTTCTTCATATACGAACTCCTCTTTTATAGATCTGCATCCTCCATGTGGCCTCGCCTCGGACGTTCAAAAAGAGACAATTCCGAAACTATGACCGACCGGGGTGGATTCTGTCATCGACCCATCTCTCCTTATGATTGGTCTGTTCTTCGTCGGTCAATATCAGCGACAAAATCATTTTCCGTAAAACCGCTGACAGCAGCAGTGGGTCGATCTTCATTCAATTGACAGCGCAGGGAATGGAATTGGAGGAGGCGGTGCCGAACTTCCGTCGGAATTGCGAACGACGAGACGACATACACGAAACACTATTTTGTGGTGAAAACCCTAACCCTCAACACGGATTCCGAATGAAGACTCCAATCTCTTCATTCATAATATGCGCATTCGTTGCATCCGCCAGCTTCCCGCCTTGTAAGAAATCTCTTCCATTATCGTCCGCGGAAGAGAACCCGAACTCCACTTGGCTTTACTTTCTCAACGACTACAGTAGAGGAACCTCTACGTCCTGATTTGAGTCCATTTCTTATATTAGCGCGCAAGTTATCATTAACGGTTGAGGGGCGGAAAAATTTGTAAGTTGTCGAGGTCGATCACTGGAGGTATTTTCGGCGTGACAGTTCTTGGCCCTCACGGAACACTTAAAGTCTTTAAGGCATGCTCTACGACAAAGCAAGAAACCGCAATACCTAGCTTCCTGTATATCAGCAATGAGGTACTTTTTAAATTGCTAATCACACACCATGACTTTGACAGACTTCATCGGCCCAACTGAAGTTCAAAACAGGCGACGCTCCGGATCCCGCAGAAGAATCTGACCTAGAGGAGTCTATAGGCGAGTTGAGAAATGGAGGCAAACAACATTCGACAAGATAGGTATATTTTGAGAGCTTCGCGATGCTTACTCGACTAGTGTGTTCACAATCTCACCACGTGTCGTTCTCCTGCTCTCCGCGCGACTGTCGAACACATTCAGGCCCCCCGCCGAGCACCGCCACGATTGTATAAATACGACTCGATTTCTCACATTGGATTGTCGACAGCACGTTCTGACTCGGGGAGATAATCATCTCATTTGGAAGGGATTTCCTCTGCACATAAAATTCGGCATATTACATCCTCCGCCATGGACCATGTTACTCAGTTTCTCGCGCAAAATACGCATATCCACCATGCGACCCCACAGTCGCAAGATTACGAAGACCTTCGGGAACAATTTATTATTCAGGAAACGCGAAGGCCAGCCATAATTATACGACCTCGCTCGATTGAAGACATTTCAGCACTGATTTCGCTCTTCAAGGCCCACGATCTCCCGTTCGGCGTGCGTGGGGGCGGGCACGACATGTTTGGGCGGACGCAGGTACAGGATGGTATCACCCTCGACATGCGCGACATCTCTCATGTCCACGTGGATAAGGAGTCCCAGACCGTCAGAATCGGCGGCGGGGTAATCAACATGGATTTGCACCGAGAGCTGCAAAAGCACAATGTGACAACGCCCCACGGCGTCACGCCGACCGTGGGGTTCACTGGGTGGGCGATTCACGGCGGATACGGGCTTCTGAGTTCACATTATGGCGTCGGCGCCGATAATATTGTGGGCGCTCGAGTCGTTGATGCACAGGGGCAGGTTCGTGATGCGGATGAGACGATGCTGACAGCGATTCGCGGGGGAGGAGGGTCGGTGGCGGTGGTTTACGAGCTCACTGTCAAGGTTTACCCATCTGACAAGGTCAGCTTCTTGTTTACCTGCACATGTTTTGTTTCACAATCCTATCTGACACGAGCAGATCCTCGCCGGATTCTACATCTACCAGTCGGATGACTTGGCTGCCACTATCCGTTTATACAACGAGAACTATCGCAAGCTCAAAGAAAATGATATCCCGCAAGCTTTGAGCATCTATCAAGCTGTGATGAATGGGCCCCAGGGCTTGGCTTTTGTCAGCTATCTAGTCTGGTCTTCCTCCGATCTTGAAGAAGGCCAGAAATGGGCCGAAAAGGTCGCAGCTTTGGCTCCCGTCACTGTCAACAATGTCGTTCCGACCACATTTCTGGAATTCAACGAACTGGCTGCCTCTTTTATTGAGAAGAAGACATGGGGTACAATCTTCTGCCCAGGGTTCTACGACTTGACTCCCGAGGTTGTCAACGTCATCGGCACCCACACTGAAAATCGGCCCAATAAGCCTGGTTTGGTCTTTGGAATACATGAACTCCGACGAGAGGCACCAAGAGAGAACAAGAACTCTGTTTTCAATGCTCGAGACCCGCACTTCTTGGTTGAGATTATTCCGATGGTCTCCGCGGAGGAAGGATGGGAGGAGTTGCTCGCATGGGGCCAACAGTTCTACGATGATCTGATGAAGACTGACCCGGCCAATATTCTTAGCACGCCATACCTTCCGTTGACCTCCAATGAAAGACTGACTTCCGAAGCTGTATTTGGAGATCGGCTTGAGGTCCTAAAGAAGGCGAAAGAACTGTATGACCCGCAAAATCTGTTCAAGCACACGATCGTGCAGCCTTGAATGGACCAGACAAATTGAGATGAGAGAGGACTTAGTCATCTGAGAACAAGTAGTTAACTAGTTATACTAGAAGCCAAATATGGCCAATTATAATTATATTCAACCCCTTTGTCTACCCCACCTCTATCGAGGAAAAATAACCAACGCCATCCCAAAGGCCGCGAGGCCGCAAGTCTAGACTATATACAGGTTGTCGGAAATACCAGATTTACTGGTATGACACGGTAAACTCGGTGTCACTCTCAATTTCGACATGGGCCAGAACCTTGCCGCCCTGCTGAATATCGAGGATGGTACCATCATTGACACCGTACTGGCTATCATCGGCCTCGGCCTGGGCACCAGTGAAAGAGATCTCGCCAAAGTTGGCCAGGGGCACAATTTGGGCGCCGCTGTTGAAATCCTCGACGATCCACTCGGCATTCTGTCCACCAAGGGTAGCGGAATTCGAAGGGGCCGAGAGGGTCTTGGTCACGCTCTTGCCGGAAGACTTGTTCTCAATGATGGCCACACCCTTGCTGGGGGAAGAGGACTCGACTTTGGCCACGATCACGTCGCCGGCAGAGAGGTCGATCTGGAAGTCCTCGGCCGGGTTGGGGTACCACTCAAACCAAGCACCGTAGGACTTCTCGCCGCCAGTGATGTAGGCATCGATACCGGTCTGGAGTATTGCCTTGGTGTAGGTGTCGCCATCGATACCGACCCAGGCCGAGGCAGCTTGCGTATCGCCGGAGTTATCAGTGGCCGTGGGATCGGGGACAGTGAAAGTTGCGGAAACAGCACTGTAAGTGCCGCTCGCAGGAGGCATCTCGCGGACGACACCGGCCCAGTTCTTGCTGTATTGCACGTTGGCCGAGTCGGATCCTTCCTTGAGCAGGATCCCGTCTTCCTCGGTGTTGTTGAACTTGTGAGCGGGATTCGACTGGCGGTTCAAGACTCCACGAGCCATTAGACGCTCCTCCAGACCGGGACGGGATGCTGCGAGAGCACTGCCTGCCAGCAGGGTGGTGGAGATAGTAGCAATGGTGAGCTTCATGATGGATAGCAAAGTGAGGGAGTGAGTTTCGGAAGAGGAAGAGACCGTAATGAGGAAGGAGGTGGCGGAGCAGTTCGATTATCGCCAGGACATAAGGCTGGGCCAACGAGTCTTATATCTTACCCCAGCGTAGTCCCATGAGAGTTGCATGCGGCACGCGAACCGCATGTGGAAGTAGAACTCGTGCTGCGGGTTCCATCACAACCTTGGAAGAATAAAGAAACGGCGCAAAACCCACCTGGATGCGGGGCGTGGACAGCAAGCCGCAGAACAGGGCAGTGTCAAGCCTGGAAGTGAGACTGATTCGCCTGTTCTTTTTTCCAGACTATGCTGATCTTCTGCCTTTTGCGCTGGGTGGCCGTCGTCGATGGGTCATGGGCGGTGCCAGCATGTTTGTCGGCGATCATCAGATGAGAAATCAGCAGATAGGCGGCTTGCGTGTTGGGATGACAGATACATTCCTGTCGGGATCTGGAAGTCTCATCTGGTTGACAGCGGCGCCACGACGGATCGGACGATGATCGACGGGCAGCCAGGCTCCGATCCGGAGATCTCAGCACCGTGAACATTAAAATGCAGTTCTATGTAGTCGGAACCATTGTTGTCACTGTCTTTTCCCTCGGATGTGGATCGGTGGGTTAGCCGACTCCATCTGGGGTAAGCGACCTCCATTCGGCAATGTTTATGAGGCAGTATAGCATGGTATCAGACGCGTGGTGCAAGACGTGAATATTGATCACGAGGCTACCAGACTCCGTTCGCGTTCCTGAATTTCTAGATTCAGATTAAGCCCTCATTTTGTTGGTTATGAGAGTAGATGACGTCGTATGACAGTATTGTTTAACCGCGAAGCCGTGTACTATAGAATCCTCGTTAAGTCGCATCTCACAGCAGCTAGAAGGGGGTTAGCACCACTCCCTTGACGGTAGATCAAAGCCTGGCAGACGAAAAACGCAGATCTCACGCAACTTGTGGGCATCAGCTCGTCACCCAAGCAGAAATGGACGGATTGTCCGGTGCGCATTCCAATCGCCACACTACGACGCCTTGACATTCCAAACACCTCCGAACGCCAACCCCATTGGCTCATCGCTAGAACACGTGTGACGAATGCGGTCAAGTATGTAGATCCATCTTGGTTCTTTAGAAACGGCGTGTCTCGGTTTCGATTCCTTGGCCAGCCGGAACAGAACACTGAGAGCGACTGTCCACGATTCCGGGATACTGATTATCGTGCAGTGATGCAAGTCTTCTTGGCATCGGCAGATAGTTTGAATTTTTCCGATGTTCTGTAAGCCAGATCGAAGCGAGATAGACTTCGGATCGCCTCCTCGTAGTACTGATTCATTGAACCGGCGATCAAAGGAAACGTCGGTGCTGACCTTGAATCTCAGTTCGTCATAAGAGGGCGGCCATGACCTGGGTGGCGCTCGATCAGAGCCAGGCTTGAGGTCAACAGGCAAAGAATCTGGTCGCAGGCATTTCAAGTGTTCGATTGCCGGGGGTGTATTCTGGATGATCATCGCGATGCCGCGACATCGCAACATGTCAGCGACGACTGGCCCTGCGCGTTCGGTTTCCACCTCGTCCTATTCAGCTCGATGTGAATTATTATTGTAAAGAAAACGCTCACAATTGGGGTCATGACAAAAAAAGGCTGAACGTAAATATACAAATCCGTAAGAAGCAAGCTGGGTACCTGCGGCGGCGCTTGATGCGACATCACATAGGGAGTCTGCGCATTTCCTCAACAGACCAATACTTGCGCATATTATCCGCCTTCAGTGTCTGAACCTCCTCATCTAAATGCTGCCACAGCACTTTGCCGAACCCCTCCATCAACCGCTTCACTTCTTCGCGACGCATATCCTCTTCACCAGTGCGACAGCTATCCAAGTATGCCTCGAGCTTTTCGAGACCCGCATGAATCTGCTTGTGCTGCTTGAGTAGATCCAGTTCTTTCCGAAACTCGGGCATTTTCTTAGCCAGCACGGGGAAAATATGTTGTTCCTCGATGGAGTGGTGGAAGTCGAGCTGGGAACAGAATTGCAGGCCCATCATGATCATCTGGCGGGCTGAAAGGCCGGCTGGCCGCTTGCCAGTGCCACTGCAAGCACCCCACAGTTGATTCCATGTCAACCGAAAATGGTTATGCTGAGCTAGAGTCAGCTAAATTCCTTGCGCCAGGTTGTGGGGTACTGATAAGAAAGGAAACTCACGAAGCCCTCCATCTGCTCAGACATACGATTGTATGTACGGAACTCACTCGCGGTGAGGGGGGGGCAGAGGCTCGCCCAGGTTCTTCGAGTTCGGAGACTTGTTTTTGCCAGCCATGGGGAAAGAATTTCTGGAGGATGTAGAGTACAAGCGGATGGGAGCCCGAAATGCTAAGGGGGAGGCGAGTCTTCGTAGGCCGCGCATGAGACGGCAGTTGGATCCGTGCCACTGCCGAGGATCGCTAGAACAATCGAAAGAGCACCGCACTGATGCAAGATTGGAGCGGGTATGCGTGGGGGAATTAAATGCAAAAAAGAATCGTTTATTGTGAACGAGGACGCGAAATCCGGGGTGCTGAGAAAGCAGAGATTTCTGATTCGGCGGGGTGGGACTGATTTGAAAGCATTTGCAATCAGCGCCATCAAATGCTAGTGCGAATGGGCGTAGTAAAAGAACAAACACGGAGATACATTATTGTACGTTTTAATCGGGACCTCGCATTTGGGGATTGCTCTTTCCATTTGCCAAGTACATTGTTCTGACCGGAAAGTGCAAGGTCTGACAATAAGCGTAAGGGTTGCTGTCCACGGGTGATCAAGATATATCTTCATCAGTAACCCACGCCCAACTTTATTATTATTTAGTCTTTCGAACAGGAAGATGCGACAAGGGTATATTGAAAGGTCATTTTAATTCAATTGTGAAAGAGTGTATACTTCTGATTCAATTCATGCTGCTTCGGTGCTACATTGTAATAATGATTTACGGTATGTCCCAGATCTTCAATGGATGTATGCCACCTCGGACGAACCGTAGGACACAAATCTAGTACTCACTGGTCAGAGACGTATCTCCATTTCAATTTCAGCACTTCTTCGGCACAACCGCGGCCATGAAAGGGCCGGATCGCAATTTGACATCCGTGCTAGCCCTGCGGGAGGGACGCAATCCTATTCGAGCAATCCATTTGGGGGACGAAGGTCAGTGGACGGGACGGGTGAAGAAAGTTGTAAATTATTATCAATACACATCGTGGCTGCGGTGGCGGCGCGTGGCAACGGGGGAATAATAAAACAAAGCCACCGGATGGGGAATCGAATATTAGCAGTTAAAAAGTCGTAACGCCGTAGATGTACAGGGCCAGGAGCCGATCAGAGTTCGTTCCGAATGGCGGACGCGGACGAGGCAGGCGGCCGGAAGTTGCCGCTCATGACTTCTTGGAAGGCGAGGTCGAACCGGGCACCCATCATCCAGGCAAAGAACATCATGGTACCGGCAACGAAGAGGACGATGCAGCCCATCAGTGCCATCATGAAATAGATATCGCTCTTGTTCTCGGCATCTTCCCTCTGGCGCTGGAGCTGTTCCTCGGAGAGAACGCCCTTGACCTTGCGGTTGGCTTCCTCAGCATTCTGGGTCGGGAAGATAGTCTCGATGAATTTTTCGATCTGTGCGGATTATTAGTAAGAGTGTATTTGAAGGACGAAGAAACGTGTCCAAATCATACCTGGCCACAGACAATGCTGATTTTGAGGAAATTGGGGTCCTTGGGGGTGTTCTTCTTGTGGATCTTGCGGGTCAGGTCGCGGAAGCGATCGCAAAGAACACGAAGATTCTGGGTTGAGGCGAACATCAGATCACAGGCATCGCCCTTGGTGATCTTGATGTTGCGCTCGAAAATGTCGTAGTTGCGGAAGCACAGCTCCAGCGTGGCAATGGCCATGGCCTGGGGGATGGCACAGAAGTTGAACACACTCTGCTCCCGGAGACCAGCCAGGTAGAAAAGGCACTCCTCGGCATGCTCCAGAGCATTGAGGATCATCTCGGAGTTGCAGTTGAGGGCAGCCTCCTTGTGCTCCGGCTTGAAGAGGTCCTCAAAGTCAGCCACATGCTTGGACCAGATCTCCTTGGGCCAGAAGCGACGGTTATCATCAAAGTCCTCTCGGATGTCTCGGATGATGTTGGTCTTCTGTAGGAAAAGACCCATTGACTTGTGAAGGTGGGGGCGCTGGATCAAGGCCGGATTGGCCAACTCGGCCTCAACAAACAGGCGGGTCAGACCCTCGCCGACCAGACCGGCAACGTAGAAGCAGTACAGGTCGTATTCCTCAACCGTCTTCACGCTGGCATCGGACTCCTCAGCCTTTCGGCAGTAGTCAGCCATACCGTTGCCCATCTTGTCGGTGATGTCCTTGATGATGGCCTGGTAGGCCGGCTTCATGTTCATGAACTCGGTGATGACACAGGGGAACTGAACCAGCAGCTCTCGGTCCTTCTCCTCCTTCCTGTTTCCAGTGAAGTTCCATCCATCCTTGGTCAAGATATCCTTGAATCCGCGAAGCAGTGGCTCCTTGGTCGCGAGCGGGATGGAGGTGTCGTCCTCGATGGTGTCCAGACCACGGAGGACGAGGTAGAAGACGCAGACGGGCAGCAAAAGCTCCGAGTGCAGCTCCTTGATGACAGCGCTGAAGCTTCGGCTCGTCAGGTCCAGGAACTTGAAACAGTCCTTCTGAGTCTGAGTCTCATTCGCGGGGTTGCGCTCATGAGGCGGGTTGTGCCAGACTTTCCTATGCGAGGGACCGATTAGCTTTAGTTCGTCTGTCGAAACCTCGCCACGTGGACACGCCTACCATTGGATAATGGACCTCAATTGGAGAGGGTGGAAGCTGTAGTAGATGGCATTGCCAACGAAACCCATGTTGGGCAGGGGACACGAGGTGTCCTGGGGAAGAAGAAGAAGAAGAAAAAAGAGGAGAGAAAAATGGGGAAGAGAAAGCGAGAAGAGAAGAGAAGAAGAAAGAAGGAAAAGGGGCGGGAGAGTCTTCGGCACGTGATGTGCTGACCGCCCAGCGCGGATGGCGGGGACTTTCGGGCAAAAAATAGCTGCCTTCTTGTTTTTAGACAGCTGACGTTCCTGTCACCTTCAAGTTGCTATCTCTGACTTTTTTTCCTCTTTCCTTTCCTGCTTCCGTTCTGTTGGATAACACAGCATATCTTCGCGCGCCACCATGGTCGCGGACACCACCTACTACGACGCCCTTGGCGTCCCGCCGACGGCTACCGAGCTTGAGATCAAGAAGGCGTACCGCAAGCTTGCGATCGTCACACACCCCGGTAAGGCCGCGGAAGCTCCGTTTGATTTAGACTAATTTCTCTGACATCTGTTTTCTCTATAGACAAGAATCCTGGCGATGAGACCGCCCACGAGCGATTCCAGGCGGTATGAGCACCCTACCACGTGCAAACATCCTCATTCATGATTCTGACATCATCTAGATCGGCGAAGCGTACCAGATTCTGAGCAATGAAGAGCTCCGCAAGCGATATGACAAGTTTGGCAAGGAGGAGGCTTTGCCCAGCGGCGGCTTCGGTAAGTCTGAGTCCCCTAGATGAAGGCAACACCACCTCCCCCCCCCCCTCTTCCCCCACACCAGAAGGAGTCCTCCCGGAAGCAGTTCCCCAAGTGGAAGGGTCGCCGGAAGAAGGACTACCCCGGGGACTATATGGCCATCAATCCCAATGAGCCCTTCTGGTGAGAAAGTGAGAACTTGTGATGAGAAAGTTAGCTAACATAAATACTCTTCAATTAAAGAGGACCCCTCTGAGTTCTTCAGCATGATCTTCGGTGGCGAGGCTTTTGTAGACCTTATTGGAGAGATTTCCCTCATGAAAGACCTGACTGCAACTATGGATATCACAATGGAGCAGATGGAGGAGGAGGAGCTGGCCCAGTCAGCCGAGGAGAAGCTCCACATTCACGACGAGGAGGTGAAGGCTGCTGGTGGCGAACACACTCACAAGGGTAGCGATCACGCCCCTCAGGCTCACGATGAGAAGGCCACCGCAACCGAGTCCACTACCGCCGCCGCTGCGGCCGAGAAGGCCTCGGAGGCAGGTTCTGGCACCAGCACCCCGCGCCGGAACTGGGGCCAGCAGGCCTTGATGGACAAGTCCGAAGAAGAGGCTCGTATGGAGGCAGCTGGTCTGTCCCAGGAGGAGAAGGAGCTGCGAAAGAAGGAGAAGAAGAAGGGTCTGTCCAAGGAGCAGCAGGAGCGCCTCGCTGCATTCGAAGAAGAGCGAAGAAAGGCCCGCGAGGAGCGAGTCAACACCCTTGCCAACAAGCTGGTGGATCGCCTCAGTGTATGGACCGAGACGGACAAGAACCGCGATGTCACCCACGCCTTTGAGGAGAAGATCCGCCTCGAGGTCGAGAACCTCAAGATGGAGTCGTTCGGCCTGGAGATCCTGCACGCCGTAGGAGCCACCTATGTGCAGAAGGGTACTTCATTCCTCAAGTCGCAGAAGTTCCTGGGTATCTCCGGGTTCTTCTCCCGCCTCAAGGACAAGGGCACCTTGGCGAAGGAGACCTGGACCACCATCTCCACTGCCATCGATGCACAAATGACGATGGAGGAGATGGCCAAGCTGGAAGAGCGTGGTGGTGAGGACTGGACAGACGAGAAGAAGGCCGAGTATGAGAAGAAGGTCACCGGCAAGATATTGGCCGCAGCCTGGCGAGGCAGCAAGTTCGAGATCCAGAGCGTGTTGCGCGAGGTCTGCGACCAGATTCTGGGCGACAAGAGCATCCGCCTGGAGAAGCGCGTGGAGCGTGCTCACGCACTGGTCCTGGCCGGTAACATCTACGCCAAGGTATGTATTTGCCTCGCTTTCCACATTCTAACATCATATACTAATCTATTTTGCACAGGCCGAGCGTGATCCCGAAGAAGAGGGCGACTACATGGCCTTTGAGCAGCTGATGGCCGAGGCCATGACCAAGAAGGGCAAGGACGAGAAGAAGAAAAAGAAGGAGAAGAAGCACGGCCACGAGGACGAGCCCGAGGGTGAGCACCCTGCCGTTTAATGCTTCTTTATCTTTTTGTTCCAGCCAGTTCTTTGAACATATCCCTTCCCACCTTTTTTTTATCATATTTCGGGTTGGAGTTAATACCACTCCTCATCCCAGTCTAGTGTTTACAGCGACGCGCCGGCGGTGCGCAGAGTTATAGTTACGATATAGATTGCCCTAACTACCTGGGGGCCACGCCGGAATGCAGAGATACCTCCACTCCATGTTGGACGTTACGCAGAGGGCAACAGTATATTCAAGCCAAATCACGAGTAGTCACAATCAAAAGCACACAAATGGCACCGACGGGGAATAGATTATCGGCACAACAAGATATTCAGAACAAACGGGGTATCCAACACAATTCAGATTTCATCTGCAACCCATTACACATTACCATTCTCATTTACCAAATGAACTTGTCATCGCCCCCATCCAAATTGCCGTTTTTACTTTGGCCGCATCGAAGTTAGGGAGCGTTTGTTAACGATGCCCCATCTGGTGATCATGGACGCTGCTCCCCCCATCGAGCTCCGCGCTGGTAACCGCCGACGGCGACGAGGTACTAAGAGATTGGCTGGGTGGCTGGTTATGCAGAGCCTCAGCATCACGCGTGGAGAGCTCGGAGGGGGCCGCAACAGGGGTCGTACTCATCGGCACTTGCTGCACGGGCGCCAGACCCGGATCCTGCGGCGCCGCGCGCTCCTTGCGCATGGATTGATGGCCAGCCCAGTCGGAGAAGAGGACTCCGACGACGGCGAGGATGCCGAGGATGAAGAGGGCGAGGTAGATGAGCCTGCACGATAGCCGTGGTTAGTTATCAATCAAGTCAACAGGCTACTGCGAGATGGCTGAGATGAGAGCGGACGAACCAGTTCAACACGGCAAATGCGATGAGGGCGTTATAGTAGTCGCTAGTATAGGCAGCGCCGTTGATGAGAGACGCGAGATCGGCGAAACAGGCCAGCCAGAAGACGGATGTGACAAAGTAAACGACGAGGAAGCCGATGCCGAGGATCGTGTTCAACTTCTTGGTTACCAGACCCTTACGGCCGTAGTGCCATGGCAGGACAGCCGCCGCGACCGTGAAGAGGATCGTCCAGATGGCCGTGAAGAGCAAAAAAGCCAGGATCCCGGGCACACTGGCGTTAACCGTTTTGTAGGTATAGCCCTCGTAGGGATCATAGGAGTAAGAGCGCGATTTGCCGCCCCAGAAGGTGGTGACATAGGCACTCAGGCCCAGTTCGACGATGGCAAAGACGAGGCCAGTGCCCAGGAGGGAGTAGAGGGCGATATGGAGGGCCAGCATGGTGATGGCGCAGCTGGCGTGGTAATCGCAGTCGCAATCACAGTACTAAGGTGGCGGGGTAGAGGGTTTGAGACAGATGATCACAACGACGGTCCAAAGGCGCAAGAAATAGACAATTCGACGATTCGCCAGGGCGCCAGGGGGGTTCCCTTGCGCTCTTTATTGCATCCTCCACGTGCATCGTATACCTCAGGATACCGCCGGTGGATACATCAAGCGGCTCTCCAGGATCGGCCCTAGCTCAGCGCGTTGGCCCCTTAGGCATCTTCATCGCCAACCAGACCAGCCGCACTTGGCTCCTTTTGGCTCGCAAAGGGTTCACGAGAGTGGGTTTATGGCGCCACCGAGAAAAAGCGTGCCAATGGTTGGCGCTGGATACGAGCACCACGTCGCGATGGCGCTCGCCCTGGGCCAAATCGGTGTAAGACAAGCGAGTCGTGTTTCGGGCCGGGCGTGTTCGGCGAGCTGAGCTTGTTTCCTCTTTGAGCCCTGCAGAACCGGCACAGTCATCTTGTTGAAGAGGAAGAGGAGACATGAGGTTTAGATATCGGGATCTCCTATCTCTCAGGGTAGACCACCCATCATCCCAGATGTGACCAGTCGAGTCCAGTACCCCTGGCAGCAGACCTCGTATCTCCATCGCATCGTCCCTGCACCACATAGGTGTGTAAGCCGGGGGATCGTATTAATACGAGCTGCGGAGCCCTGGCAGAAGCTGCGATTCATTCGACTATCCAGCCGCCCCTCGCATATCGGTGGCGCGAGCTCGGCGCCACTGAATTGGCTATTTATACGGGCACCGACCCTGCGTTGCTGCGAGTGGCATCCCGATGGGCAGGGTGTTTGCCATATTTGCGAGGTCTGGGGTTCGGGAAATTCGTGACGAGCTGGACCTGGACACACTGGAGGCTGTTGAGGGGCTGCTTATGGATCTCGTGTTGCGATCGACAGCGCGGTTGCTGCTTCGGGTATCGCCAGCCTGTGCTGTCCAAATCGGGGCGAGGCCATTACTGGATTTGGAAGTGTAGACTGAGGGAGACTGAGGGAGACATCGGGCGAGACAGAAGTAGTCGTGGACCGGGCCGGAGGATTATCACCGGCCCTGACGAACACAATGCCGACAATTAACCTATTTACCGCAATAGCAGGGTGGGAGTTGTAGTACTTGTATAGTCGGGGTCTGCTCGGCCTCGGCAGTCAACCGTCCTCCGACATTTCTTCTCTCCCCTCAACCCCTCAACCCGCACTACCTTATATTAAATTACAAGGTACACACTGCCAGTGGCAACCGCGGCAATTCGACACAGAATTGCCGAGCGACCACCGCAATGAGGTCATGCAGGTTCTCGACCGATATCTCGCAGCTTCGGGGCGAAATTAACCATGCAACGGTGTTGCCCGCTAACCCATTCCATGTCCAACATGGAAAAAGCAAGGATAAAGGCGAAAGATAACGGAGATAACCAGATCCATACCTGTGGCACTTGATCCGAACTGCTGTTTCAGTCCCTTCCAGTGCAAAACTTCTCTTCAACTCGACAGGAAAGGTAATACGTCGCGTGATGGCCTTCCTCTCTCTCATTAAGCAGGCTAAGCATTTCTCCACCGGGGCACATTGCGCCCGCCAGGACGCCGTGGGTGCCTCCGATGCCCCTGAGATATCCCCGGATCAGCAGTGGGGCTTGCCTTATAGCACCCAAGGGCCGGCCAGTCGCCGGCAATCGCAATCCCCAGCGTTACAACGGTGCACAGCATGCGGAAAACAGAGGCTCCTGCCGCCCTATCCAGGAATCCATAGGGCTGATCCTCCCCTCACTTGCCGCGGGTGCGGAGGACTGCCGTGCAGTATATAGCCATGCCTGCATGGCATCTTTTGACTCTAAGCAATAATTTTGATTGTATCGTGCAGCCTCCACACGATGGCAGCCCTTCCATCAATTGCCCTTGCGCTACTCGCTCTAGCGGGCGGCAATGCCGCCATGGCTCTGTCGAGTGCCAGCCCCAGTTCATTCATGCCCGCCGGGCCCACAGGCACCTCTTATCCATCGGGCTTTGACATGAAGAAGAGTTGGGGCAATCTCAGTCCCTACGACGACGCGGACCATTTCGGTGTGGATAAAGGATTCCCCACGGAATGCGAGCTCTCCCAGGTCCATGTGCTACATCGCCATGCGCAGCGATACCCCACCACCTGGGAGACCGATGGCGGGGGCATGGAAGCCTTTGCCTACAAAGTAGGAAACTACTCGAAGAAGAACCCGGATAAGAAAATCGGATCGGGGCCGCTGACGTTCCTCAATGGCTGGGAGTATATGCTGGGCGAACAGACCCTGCTTCCCACCGGCGCGGCCACCGAGGCGACCTCGGGAGCGCTGTTTTGGAGCGAGTATGGTCGACTGCTGTATCGTGCTGGCAAGGGAGAGGCGATCTATGACCCATCGATGAACACTTTCCCTAATGGGACATCCCGTCCAAAGCCCAGTTTCCGCACGACCTCTTATCCTCGTATTCTGGAGAGTGCACGCTGGTGGCTGAGTATGTGATGTTGAGCCCTGACCACGAGAAATTTGCATGACTGACTGGACTTAGGCGGCTTCTTCGGCAATGTCGGCGCAAACAGCTCGTACTCTTCGTACGACCTGGTGATCATCCCCGAAGAGGACAACTTTAACAACACCCTGTCGTCGACATCGACCTGCACCAATGGCTCATTGGCGGGGTAAGTGCAGCACTGCAGCACTAAATCGGAAAAATATTACAGAGAGACTAACAAGCAATAGTGATGTTTCCGTTGAGAAGTTTGCCCCCATCGTTACCAAGAACGCTTTGAACCGACTCAAAGAGTTCCTCCCGAGCGACTTTAACCTAACAACTCTGGACATTGTCTCCATGATGAACATGTGCCCTTACGAATACGCCACCCTCGGCCGGTCCTCCTTCTGCGCCCTCTTCACCGAACAAGAATGGAAAGATTTTGAATACATTACCGACCTCACCTTCTACGGTAACAACGGCTTTGGCGCAGCAAGCGGCCGCGCCCAGGGCATCGGCTATGTCCAAGAACTCGCAGCTCGTTTGCAATCCCGTCTCATCAACAGCAGCGACAGCAGCATCAACTACACATACGACGACAACACAAAGGATTTTCCCCTACACCAGCCCATGTACATGGACATGTCTCACGACGACATCATCGTCTCGGTCCTCACCGCTCTGGGCATGCAATACTTCAACTATGGACCCCACGGCCTTCCCGATTCAGTGCCACATGCGATTCCGCACAACTTTGACTTGAAGAAGATCACGCCATTCGGCGCACGACTGTTCTCCGAAATCTGGACTTGTCCCAAGGACGCTAAGCTGGACAACCTCCAGGAGATGATGTACAAGAACCCGGATTTGTCGTCGGACTCCAACACCACGGATTACATTCGCTTCGTGCTGAACAACGCACCCGTTTCGACCATGGGGATGGAGGCCTGTACGGGTGCCGTTAATGGATTCTGTCCTCTCAAGGATTTCGTCAAATCTGTGCCGAAACTGTCCGAGGAGGCGATGTACCAGGAGGCCTGCTTTGGCGATTATAACATTACTACTCAGGTTGGGAATGGTCAACCGATTCAATCTTAAGGCTTTGGTAGTATAGTGTAATTCCCTTCTTCATAATAGCCACATATCCCAATTCTACTTTTTAGTTCCCAGGGTCACGCTTAGAACCCAATCTTACTTTTCATCATTTCCATTTCAATAAATCGAGCCAGCCCTATAGTAGAGTGCTCTTTTCGATGCGGTGTATCATGAGCTACAAGAACGAGATTACAAGTAGTAACTACATCAAGTAACAGCACCACCAATCGAAATCGACCTGAGAAGTGTCGAGCAGACAACAACTCAGTTGTTTTGCTCTCTTTTCCTTGCCTCAGAGCGTTCCATATAGCGCCGCCACTGTCACAATTTAGCTCTCGCACAACACGACTCGTGGGATCTGAACTCACCGCAGGGTTGAAGAAATAAACCGGGATGCCCAACAGAAAAATGCCCGCACAGACACCAGCCAAGATTCCCATCGCAGCCGGATAACTATACCGCTCCACCATCGGATTCAACCCATAGCTGATCCCAAAAGAGATGATGTTCTTAGTTCCAACCACCGCCACAAGAGCCGGACCAGGATTCTTCTCCCAAGCCTCTGCAGCAAAGGCAGTAGACAGGATGAGCACCGAAACAAACGCAACCTGAAGCAGCGTCCATCCCATATATGGTCCACCCCAGGTAGATCCGGTGGTGGTAAAACCATACAGCAGCAGCGAGACAACAGTCAGGATCCCGGGGACGATAAGCAAAAGCAGACGGTGCTCGGGGGTATGAACACCACCAGATCGCTTGGCCATCCGCAGGATAAACCAGTCACCAAAGACACCCGCGTACAACATTCCTCCAAAGCCACCAAAGACACCACCAAGGTTAATCAGTCCGACATTCTTTGCGGGCCAGCCGTAGTTCTGTAGAACCGTGTCGTACGTCAAAGACATACCAACACTGGACCCTAGTACAACCGACGACAAAAGAGTGGCATACAGAATACCCGGCGAGCTAAATGCCTCGAACATACGAAACCACGCCATGAGAACAATCCGAAAAGGCTTCTCCGACGGTTTATCCCAAGGCCGGAGCATCTGACGATAGGTCTTCTTGCGCCGAGCCACATCCGGAATCTCAGAGTCACCATCCGTCTCGCGGGCATGCAAATACGTCTGAGCCTCCTCGCCGGAGAGCACGCGAGTGACGCCAAACTGATCCGTGACAACGACCTGACCGTTCAGAACTTGCGCACGACGCTGGTACTTCGTTTCGAAACAGCCGAAGATCACGATGAAAAGTCCGACGCCGACGGCAATCACGTACACCCAGTAGAACCAGCGCCAACCTAGTGCGTCGGCTTCGTAGGAGGACGCTAGGTTGAGACAGCTGGTCACGACATTCTGGGTTGCCCAGTAGACGCCGTAGATGAGGCCACGTTGGTGGACGAAGGTTACCTCTGAAAGCATCAGGGGCAGCAACTGGGACAGGAGTTATTAATTGCGCAGAAACTCAGAAGGAACGGGATACTCACAGACTCAGTGGCGCCAGTAGCCAGTCCCTGCAGGATTCGTAGACCGAGATGCTGCTCAAAAGTTTGCGACAAGGCACAGCCAATAGTCGCAGCGAGAAGAACCACAATTGAACTGATGGTTGCAGGACGACGACCGTAGACAAGGCCCAGCGGAAGAATAACATAGTTTCCTGACAGAAAAGTGTTAGCTTTGAATTTTCTCCATCCAAAAACGTAATGCACATACCAACACCAACAAACAATGACGGAAACGTCCCGAGCCAAACCACCTCGGTCGAAGTATGGCCCTGGGGAATATACATCGCGAAGAAGACGTTGAGAATTGCACCCAGACCTCCAACTACGGAAAGCGACATGATAGCTGTGCAACTCAATCAGCACGACTCCAACACACGAACACATCGATGTAAGGGATGTAAGGAGGTAAGAACACTCACAAAACCAACAACAACTAAAAATAACCCCCATCTTCTCCCACCTCGTATAATTCAACGGATCATTCGGATCCGCACTGGGCACAGGAAGCCGCTGAATCCCACCCTCCGCATCAACAAGCACTTCCCCATGACATGGCCCAGCACTCCCCGGGTCAACATCCTCAACAAACTCAATCCTCACCTTCTGATCGATAGAAGTCATGGATGCCAAAGCAGGGCTAAACAGCGAAGACACTACAGAAGGGTACTGGAAGATGTAGCGACTCCGGCGAAAAAAGTCTCCAACTAGGTGACCGGGGTGATGTTATATGGGCCTCAGCTACACGCCCATTGCGCGGGGATAGGTGGTCTCGGCACGGCTGGACAGAGCCATGGATGAAATAGGGACGATGCGGATTGGTGAATTTCTTTGTCGGTGCTGGGGTCGGCAGTGTTGACCCGGGGGGGGGGGGAGGGTGTTGAAGATTGCCGTGGCTCTCCCCCGTTTCGGCGTGACCTCGTGGGGATGCGAAGTCCCCCACATGCCGACGCTAGCGGGCATGACACGCGAGATCGAGATCGGAGGCTTACTCAAGGCATCAATTCAGAAATCTCTCGAATCTTGCGCTGGATTCCCAGTTTAGGCAGTGGAATAATTGAACATACCATATTGCACATTTCTTTAAAACTATTTCGTAACAATACGTAGAGGAATCCTAGATCACATCGCCTCCCTATCTATCCAGGGCCTGCCAACACCCGCTATATTACAACACACCATGAACCATGACTATGGAAGATTCCCCAGCTCCTCAATCAAAGAGCACAAATTCTGAATCATCGGCGGCAAAATATCATCCGGCAACGGCAACGGACAATTCCCCTCAAATACCTGCCTAGCAACAGCCATAACCGAACGAGGCTTACATAGCTCACAAAAAACCTTTGTATCACCCTCATTCGCACCACGAGGATGCAACATCGTCAAACCGGGCCTCCCAATCCCATGCCCCACAAAAGCCTTGACGGCGTGATCCTCAGGCCCATCCAGCGCAACAGCAGGTGCCGGCTCAGCATCACTAAGCGGCGTCTGAATTTCCAACCTTCTATTCTCGCCGCACTGGAGTAGTCCGTAGACCCATAAGACCAGGGCAGCATGGTAAATTGACAGGGAGTCGAAGCCACGGAATTGGTACGCCACGACCGCACGTGCTGCGCGAAGGACCTGTCCGGCATGCCAGAGGGCGGTGCGCGCTTCTTTTGTCTGGCTCCAATCTCGGAGGGCTGGATATGCGCGTCGGGCGTCGAGCTCGCCTAGTTTGCCGACGAAGCGCTGGATGCCGTCTATGTCGATGTGGAGGTACATCATGACGAATTCGTTGAGGAGAGTTGTGACTGCTGGTGCGTTTGGAGAGTCTTCTTTGATGCTTTTTAGAGTCGTGTATCTACCTCTTCTGTTAGCAGATGCAATACGATAAGGGGGAGTAGAAAGACTTGCAGATCTTCCTGTCTGCTCTGTAGCCACAACCGCATCGTAGCCTTTGGTGCATTTTGACAGCCTTGCGAGAGCAGCATCTGTTGGCGAAATTCCCAGGTCTGCACAGCTAGCCCCTGCAAAAGTGCCCTTCTCGCTACTTCGGCGTCAAGCTCGGGCGGGATGTGGTTGATGAGGGATGGGTCGGAGAGGAGATCACGCAGATTCAGGACGGATACCGCTGTGATGCGGTATCGACTGGTCCAAATATCCCTCCATGCCGCTGCTGTTGAGGCGAGCCATAAGTCTCGAGCAGCAGGGAAAGGGAGCGTGAGTTCTGTATAGGAGGTGATGGCAGGACGGTTCATGGATGTGGCGACTTCTACGTCGTGGCCGAAGAGGTGGTAAACGAGTCTAGCCCGTCAATATCAAGAGATACCGAGCCGAATGAGATGGCGAAGTATACCTTTTCAATGACTCCTGTCGTACCCAGCTGTACCATGCCCGCTGCAACGATACATCATCGTCCCCGAATGAGAAGGGTGTAATAGCTGAATGGGTTGAACGGTCGAACGCGGCCGAGCGTCGAAGAGCCTATATGCGTTAAAAATGCGCCTGATGTTTTAGATGTCTCACATACAGTGCAAAGCGGTTGAAGATAGCTCTCTGCGATTTGCATATTCCGCGTATAGCCACAAAACACGCCAATATCTAGCCACATCATCGAAGCTTGCAGGTACTGCAAATCCCGCAAGACACTGTTATCGTCCTCGACCTATGTCTGGTATCAGTAACTCGTTTCCAGTGGTTTGGAATAGATGTACCGACAAGCTGCGCCAGACCAACTCTCGTAATCTCTTGCAGAATAATCCCCGTCTTGCTGATAGAAGGCAGTCCACAACAGACACACCCTGCGGCCAGTAAAGCAGTCAACAGTTCAGGTCGTAATTGCTGGTAATCTGGATCATAAAAGGTGTATGGATGTATCCACGCATCCGTTTCTGTGCGCTTTCCAATCCCGACTTTGATCAGGGTGTCGAGGTATCCCGCTGACGGGAAGGCCGCGACTGACAGCCTCGATCCTCCTATCCGAATCACCAACTTGAAGATATCATCGCGCGCTAATGATGATAGACTTCCAGGGATCTTGAGAGATTCTAGTCGGTCTTGGTGTTTGATCGGGATGCTGTCGCTGTCGCGAAGTGGGATTCGCCTTTCTTCACTAAAGGCATGTTCATTCTTTTCGGGGACCCATAGCCTACTATTCTTAGAGACCTGATCGAAACCTCCACAAGAGGAGTATACATACCACAGTGATCGCTGAAAAGCCGCCGCCCTTCTACTCGCTGACTCTTGATCATCCAGCAAAGATTGCTGACTATTCTCAAACCCCGGAAATGGTGCCGATATATCCAGAATCCGATCCAGATCCGGAATAAAATCAGTCCCAAAAATATCCTGCTCAGCGAGGGTAAAATCAGTATCCTGCATGAAATCAAATACTCGCGGCTGCTGCGTTCCCGGCACAGACTCCTCCGCCCCCAGATTTGGGAGCATGACCTGCTCGAAAAATGCGGGGAAACTATTAAGATTCGAGTAGATATCGATGTCTCGCTGTGAGATGAACGGGTCGAGATCTAGATCGTTCTGTGATGCCATACTCGACTCGAAGACTTCATGGCTGCTCCCCGAGTACGAGGCCGAGGCTGGTGGGACGCTGAATTCCGAGGGGCCGGAATCGGGCGTTGCGGCGAAATTGGGAAGAGTTGGTGGATTTATTGATCCTTGACCGGTTGTATTTGGTTGAGGTGAGTATGACTGTAGCGAGATTGTGTATGCTGTGCGGTCTCTCAGTCGCCGTGAGCTTTTCGATACGCGGGCGACGCATTGGACTTGTTTTGTCTGGCATCGCTACGGACAGCATTAGCCGCAAGTATACATGTAGTAGTCGTCTCAATTTGATTCCTACCTTGCACGGTCGTTGATTATCACAGCTCACCTTCGCGTTCGCGCATGACTCGCAAGCCTCGGCCGCGCGCTCCCTCGCCGGCCGATGCGTCGTCTTACCTTCGCTAGCTTCTCGCTCGTGAACCGCCTGGTGTCGCCGCAGAACATCGCTAGAAATCCGTCAGCGCCATGCTTCCAACGTTGTTCCAGCCCAAATCCCACCGTCGATTAAATCCGCGCTGACAGATCGGACACTGAAACACGCGCTGGTTGCGATCTGCGTTCCTAGTCAACACTGCTCCCGAACGCCGTGAGCTGCGACTTACGAGACTCCAAGTGCCGCGCGAGGTGATCGGGCCGCTCATAGGCCTTGTCGCAGTGCGAACAGCGATGATGCGTGATCTTGCGCGACGACCGGCGCGGGGTGGAAGAACTGGCCAGCATGGCGGGCGCGAGTTGAAACGCCCGGTTTTGGGTGGGTATTGATAATTTATGGCTGTTTCCTCTCCTATGTAGGACTAGTCCACGACTAGACGTAGCGCAGGCCATCGGGAGACGGCGTGCAATGCGGGCCACTCAGCCGCGGGCATTTGCAAGCATAGCCCAGTGCCACACACGAGTAGTGCAGTGGGTCGACCACATTTTGCGGGGTTGGAGATATAGCCAGAAGTGTGGAGAGAAGAAAAGTTGGGATGGCATTCAGCGGGTTTGCAGCCGATCGGCAATCAATCGGCAATTCGCCGACAACCACCTTATCTATACTACGAAGGTACCACCTCAGTATTCTACACTACCTAGGTATTAATGTAGCTGTTTCTGGATGTTAATTCATGAGATATCTTCTTTTTCTACAATTCAATGACCTATGCAAATGCAGATACTTGCTGCTTCCATGCCCGCGCCCCCCGGTACATGCAGTTGTAGTCCATAAACTCGTCCGGTTTCCTGCATTTCATTCAAGTTAGTCGTGCAATTCTTGATCCAAGCACTCTTTTGGCTCACTTACATGGTCACCTTTCTGCTGTCATTCTCCGCAGTGGCCGGCCTGGCAGCCTGACGACTATACGCCTGGATCAGACTGGCTCGGGAGAATCGTGCTTGGAAGACATCCTAGGTGTGTTAGCCAACATCTCCTAGCGCTGTAATAGAAACATACTTCGAGGGTTCGAGCAATCTCCTCGGGGCTAGGTGCCTCGGTGACTCCCTCGAAGAACGAGCCTAATGCCTCGGCATCTTCTACTGCTTGGCTGGCGCCCTGTCCCTGCGTGGGCAACATGGCATGCGCGGCGTCTCCAATGAGAATGACACGTCCATGATGCCATCGTTCAAGAGGATCCTGTATTACATGATGTCAGGAGTGATCTCATAGGACACCTCTTGGAATAAGAAACAAACCAAATCCCGCAATTGCCAAAGACCAAGACTCGCAGAATGCCTAGAAGAGATTAGACGAGTCCGCTTATGGAAAGAAGGGGATGCCCACTTGAAAATACTAGTCACCCACGATGGATACTCCTTGAAAGTGGTCAGCATCTTTGCCAGGCCCCCCTCCGACACCCACGATTGTTTTGCATTGGGGTCCTCGTTCATTTGCTCTGAATTGGATCTTAGCATGCAGAAATTGTTGTCTTGAGGACAAACAGCTCACCATCCGGTACCAGCGCCACAATCCCATAGACCTCGCCCTCTCGCCCGGGGCCCATGACCAGTCGACAGTCGTGTGCTACCATCATGGACGTGAAGGGGTCGCGAGGGTTGATTTTGGAGCAGAACTCGGGTTCTTCCTTTTCTAAGACATCGGTGGGGATCTGCAATGGATCAGTTTACCACGGTTTAGTTTTTGAATGGACGTAAACGTACCATAAGGCGATATGCTGCGAGTCTCATTAGTACTGTTGATTAAAGTAGAATGTGCATGCTGGAAGTGTTCACTCACCAGAATGCCCTGACGGCATAGCCGATGGCTCATTGTGAAGAATGTGCTTGCGGAGAACGCTATGTCTGCCTTTTTTTTCAGCCCAACTGCGATAATCCAAGCTGCTTTTCATACATACATCCCATCTGCTCCAATAATCAAGTCGCCCTTCACCACCTCGCCCCCATCCAACATCACCGTCCCCTCCAGCGGATCACAGTCCACCACCTTCGACGCCGTTCGCACGCATACCGGATTTCCCGCGCGATCAGGCGAAACAGCTGCCTTCTTCAACATGTCATGTAGATCTCGCCGATGGAAGCACAGCCGGTCCGCACCGTACTCGGTCTTGGTCAGCAGTGGCAGCGATTTGACGAGGTGGCCCTCGGTGTTGTAGATGCGGAAGCCCTCGTCGACAATGGCCCGCGCCTCGCCATGCAGCTCCTTCTTCAGTGCCCACGTCGTCTCGACAATCCGCGATGCATTCGGTTGCAGTGAAATAAGGGCCCCAATTTCCTTGTTGAGACGAGATTGCTCCAGCACGATGATGCTGCGGTTTGGCGCTCGCAGGGCAATCGCCGCGGTAAGGCCAGCGATGCCACCTCCAACGATCACAATGCGAAACGGCATGTCAACGATAAACAATGCCTTCTCACTACTCGCATCAACTCGGATATTTCGGTCACTTTTTGGTATTTTTCTATCTCCATTTCCATCTGTCCCCACGTGATCAGTCCACCGGCCGAGCATCGCCCACCCGCCCACTTGCCGACCACAATGGAGTCATCCCAACAAGCCACCAGTCCGGTCCAGTCAAACCGGTAATGCGACTCGCGAGTGGCGACCGACGGTGGGCATTCCCTCGGGAAATGTTGTGGTGCGACTCCGATACAAAGACGACATAAAAACGTCGTCAATGCACTGGGCTATACGACTGAGCACAAGCTCTACAGCAAATTGAGCGAGAAGGTCATCAACAATAACAATCGTTACAAGACAAAATGTCTACCACTACCACTGTCACGCAAGCCACTACAACGAACCCGAACCTGCACGGATTTGGTCGCATGCGCGTCGACGGCACTGATCAACAATACGGTGATTTCCGCGACCAACTCACGCGCGATGGATATGCGGTAGTCAAGGGGGCCATTCCGCGCGAGAAGGCGTTGGAATACGCGGACCAGATGTACTCCTGGCTGGAGAACTTGTAGGCTATTCGACATCTCCCAAGTCATGTCCGGGCTAACAAGTAGGTAGCAACCTCGGCTTCGACCGCAATGACCCGTCCACGGTTCACAAGGACAAGCTTCCCTTGATCAACGAAAAGGGCATGTGTCTGCACTACGGTCTGCCGCACGAGAAGTTTGTGTGGGACATTCGCAGCGAGCCGGGCGTGATTGGGGCCTTTGAGAAGATCTACGATGACGAGGACCTGATCGTTTCCTTTGATGCCATCAACTTCCAGTTCCCCAAGTACGTTCCATACACCCACCACTCCACATCTCAACCACTCACAAATATCTAGTCGCACCGACATCGCCCCCAACAAACCCTGGCCACACCAAGACCAAGATCCCGAGAAACACGGTTTCCGCTGCATGCAAGGTCTCGTCAACCTCCTCCCGAACGGGCCCTCAGACGGTGGCCTCATCGTCTGTCCAGGCGGCCACCTCCTCTCGGAACAATTTCACCGCGAAATGGCAGATGAAGAACGCATTCCGGCCTGGACACCAGAATGGTACGGCTACACCGAGCGCGGTATGAAATGGCTCGCCGACCACGGGTGCACATGGAAGAAGATCTGCGCCGAGCCAGGCGACCTGCTACTGTGGGATTCGCGCACGCCGCACTACAACCTCAGCCCGAAGAATGAACAGGCGCGCTTCGCCATCTATACGTGCTACATGCCTGTGGCAGATGCGACGCAGGCGGACCTGGTGCGGAAGAAGGATGCGTTTGATCGGCGGGTTGGGACGACGCATTGGCCGAATGCGAAGCATACGGGGTCGAATGTGGCGCAGCGAGATGGAGTGGAGGATCCGCATAATCGCGATCGTCCGGTGACGGAGCCGGTGTTGAGTGAGCGGGCGTTCAAGTTGACGGGGATTCCGTATATTCAGGATCAGACGGCGGTTGTGAAGACTGTGACTGCTTGAGTGGGATAACTAGGATGCTGCTTAACCTGGATTTGTTGCGGTGGTTTGGGACTGTTTAGTGCTGTACAAGAATGGACTTCTATGTAGATTCATTCAATTTGATAAAGAATTCTGAAGTTGTGATGGTGCCTAGGCACTAGGGGCATCTTTTCACCATACGGTGCTGAAAATAGTTATATAAAGTTGCGCGATATTCAGCATATCTCACCCCAGGTATTTTGAATCTAGTCACCGAGCTGATGCAGCATCCAGTGTCATTTATGAGGTGAAGCTGGTTTCATGTTAACTTGTTTGTGCTGAAATCATAGTTTGGGTCGAAGTATATTTTGGGTCGAATAAGTTGGTGATTATCCGCCCTAGGAACATGCGACGACTCAAGTACCCGAGAATCCAGACTAAATCAATTCTGACAATTCAAATTAGCATACTAGATGCATTGATATCCTACTCTTGAGTACCCTCGATAGTGGTAGTCGAGTGACCTCACTGACATGTGAAGTGGGCTGGCCAACGAGCGCGCCAACAAATAATCTGATGTCGATCGCCCCGCTGATCCCTCACCTCCCCGCATGTCTCTGCAACTCCCGAGCTTCCACGCTGACAATATCATCGTACGATGCCGGAGGGGCTCAATTCCGACCAACTGCCCGAGTATGTCAGCCTTATGCAGGCACAACACCCGCATTCTGCACTGAGGACCGCTCGATCGCATCGTCATTCGCGCACGCGGTGAGCATTCAGGCCTGACCTCGGCTATGCGAACGCTCACGCCACTCTTTATTTCTACGACGTGGCGCTTCCGATGCATGTCGCCGAATAGAATGTGCCGTATTTGCAGAGTTATCGCTGATGATCGACGGCTTACCCGTTATGCACAGCAGGGTTGGGGATACGATGAATACAATGCTGCCCCGCGTTCTGCACTCCTCGGTCCGCGCCTCTGGGCTGCGTTAAGCAGCTGGTGATTCGGAGTTCGCAGATCCGTCCGACAGAAGCCCGTCTACTAATATTCTAGTTGGAACGCAGTAAATCACACGGGAGTGTATATAAGATAGGCTAGTCTCATCTCTATTCTGCTCGAATCAAAACGGCACTGTTGATCATCAGATCGTTTCATACTTCTCAGCATGGCGGCCGTCATGTCAAGTTTCACGAGCACAATGCTCAACACACTATTAAATACTTCCCTCCAGGAAGGCATACTCTACGGCCTTCTCGGGATAGCAGCATACCTCTTCCTAGCCTCCTCCCTCCGATTCCGACGGCGAGAAGGCCTCTATCAGAAATACCCCTACACAACCCGTGCATCGATGGCAACCATGTCCCACCACGATGCATGGGCCATTCAGAAAACAATCCTTCAAATGGAATTTCCCTTCATCGTACTCAAATCCCTCCAATTCGCGCTCTTCCGCGTAAGCCCTTCCTGTTTCACACTCCCTCCCCATTTGACGCTAATATCCATTAAAAAAAGACATACGGCATCCCCACAATCTCAACACTCCTCCTACAGACGTCCCAATTCTCCTCCAGCACTACTTCCTTCAAACGCTACGCCGACACAGGCGCCCTAATCGGCGAATTCATGGCCTTCGACCCGCACTCGACCCGCGCACAAACAGCAATCGCCCGCACAAAATTCCTACACAAAGGCTACCGCGCCAGCGGCAAGATCCTCGAGGACGACATGCTCTACACACTCAGCCTCTTCGCAACAGAACCAATCCGCTTCGCCTCGCTGTACGAGTGGCGCGAGATGACGGAGATGGAACGTGCGGCCGTGGGCACGTACTGGAAGAGCCTCGGTGATGCCCTCGATATCAGCTATGAGAAACTTCCGTCGGGGAAGACGGGGTTCCGCGATGGAATTCATTGGCTTGAGGAGATTAGCGAATGGAGTTATTATTATGAGGTGCGGCATATGAAGCCTCACCCGCGGAATAAGGAGATTGCTGATAAGACGATTGATGTGCTGGTTTATAATCTGCCGGGGTTTATGAGGCCGCTCGGAGTATATTTTGTTTCTTTTTTGATGGATGAGAGGTTGCGGGATGCAATGATGTATGCATACATTTCACCTAAAAAAAGTCGGAACTAACTTCTATGGCAGGATGAAACCCCCACCAGCATTCTTCAGCCTGCTCTTCGCATCCGCGTTTAAAATCCGTCAACTCGCCCTTCGTTATGTGGCGCTTCCACGACCGAATTTCCTCCGGCTTGATGTCTTCACTGAAGAGCCGAACCAGCATGGGCGGAACTTCGTGTTATTCTACGAAGGTGCGCCCTTCTACGTCCAACCCACTATTTGGAACCGCTGGGGCCCAGTCGCGTGGTTTAAATGGTCGCTTGGACAGCCATTGCCAGGTGATGAGGGCGACAAGTATTATCCGCAGGGCTATCGCACTGCCGATCTGGGGCCGAAGTACTTTGAAGGCAAGGGACGCAAGGAGGTGGAAGCTATTACAGCCTCGCTGCGGCAGCAACGCATGGGGCAATGTCCTTTTCCATGAGCTCAGGTTCAATAAATGACGTGATGCAAGTGATAACTATGTGTAGTTAGAAGTACTACGATGACGAAATGAAATGGTTCACGTGTTCCAAATGATTGCATGACGATCGTGGTATACTACCGTATCGGAAATATCATGAATGTATATAACAGGGTAGATTGTACAGCGGGTATCTATCACAGGATCGGGTGGAAAGAAGTGGCCGAATACTCTGATATAAGAAAAGATGAGATGGTCAGGTATAGAATGCACCTCCAGAGCATCAAACACAAAGAAAGAAAACCAGCCAGGGTATAGTGGTACTCAACCGAAAGAAAGTCTAGATATCAAGCGCACATAAATAAATAGCAAAGGTAAATGAAAGGGTATTGGGTATTGGGCAAGTGATACAACGAGGGGAAAGAATTAGAAGGTTAATCGCTCCCGCCGGGGGACGATGGCAGAGGGAGTGTAGCGGGGTCGGGGTCATAGAAGGTCTCGAAGGAGGTGTCGTTAGAAGGGAAGACGGCTGAGAACTCGGTCGATGGGCTGAGTAGCGCGCGGCCACTCTCGCCGATCTCGCCCAGTTCTTCAGGTGAGAGAACCCGCCCGCCCAGCTCGACATCTTGGACATGGACGCTATACTCGAGGGCTCGTTGGCCTTCTTTGATAAGCTCTTCCGTCCATCCAAGACACCGCTTGAGACTTTGATTCATCTTCTGGCTGTCGACCAGGAGTTCCTGGTGCTTGGCAAGGTCGAGCATGAACTTCTTCTCGTCATGAGCACGGTGCTTCGCATCATGTTCTGCGAGAGAGTCTGGGTCCATGACATTTTCATCTGCGACGGAGTCCTCATCGCTGAAATCGGACGTGTCATCCTGAGAACGGATGGAGGAAAATTCGCTAGTGCCCTCGTCTATTTCACTCGTGGTGGACAAGGCGGTGCCAGAGAACGAGCGCGTGGAGGGCGCCATGGAAAGACGGCCGGAGCGGCTGAGACGGCGGTATCTCCGCAGCTCCGCATTCTGTCTGCGCATCTCCCGTTCGAGGGTACGATTGATAGCGAGCAGAGAGGAGTTGCTAATTTCGAGATCCATGATCTTGCGCTCCGTCCGGGCATTCAGTACCTCACCACCAGGACTTTCTGATTTGCCCGGGCTCATGGGCATGGATAAGTGTGGGTTGTTCGGACTCATCGACATGGGAACATGTGGATCATTCGATACCGAAGAACAATTGCTGAAAACGCGGGGCCGCAAGGTGGGGATTTGGTCAGACATTGTAGGTGGGTTGGTTTCGGAATTGAAACTGCTGGACACTATGATAGGACTAGCCTTGAGTCCATCATGAGTGCCGTGAGTTGACGAGTCTATACTGGACGACTTTCTATGTCGTGGGAGCGCAAGGGAAGGGGAGTGTAATTGATCGGGGATGTTGTTTGGTGGGGAGCCAAAACGGTGCAGAACATTTTCAATCCCGGTTTCAACATGGGGACTGAATTGGACCTGCTTTTCTGGCAGCGGCGGAGAGGTGGTATCCGACGGTCTGGGGGATCGCAGCCGTGGTGATGGCGACGCCATAGGTCTCGCTGGGGGTGCGGGACGGGGAAGACTCCCTGGACCCCCTGAGCGGCGTTGTGCAGACGACACCGTACTATGGGTGTCCTCTGCGGGAGACGGTTTTTCTTGGTTGCCATTTGCGTAAATAAAGCTGGCGGCGGGAGACATCTTCCCACTGCCGGGTTTGGAGCGGGACGTATCGACCTCGGAGGAGGTTGTGGAACGCGCATCGGAGGCGTGAAAGAACCTGGGACCCCCGGCAGCCATGTCCGTGAAAGTGTTTGGCCGAGAGGCTTGCTGGCCCTCTGCCGTGAGAGTCTTTGCTCTCAAACTCCTTGACTGCTCGGGCTTCACCCCGCGAGCCGGGCTCCGTTCCGTGCGGCGAGGGGCTGCGAGCCCAAGGCCAACCGTCGGTTGCGCATACGGGGTTTGTGGCGACGGAGCGGTGGAGGAATTAGTCGGGGAGGGAAAGGTAGCATCGCGGCGAGTGGTACGTGAACCCGATCGCGGGGTGACGTTGGCACTGAGGAACGCTGGAGGGAGGGCGGGGGAGTCGTGATTGTCTTTGGAGGGGGTGGAATAGGTCTGGTCGGGCTGAGCAAGACGACGAGGCGGGTGCCCGGGACTCGGACTGGCGAGCTTCGGCGTCAGCGGCGCCTTGTTGGTGCGATGGAATGCTGCGGAGAGCGTGGGCGTGAACGGTTTGGCGAGATGGCCATTGTTTTGTTTATCGGAGGTCATGATGCATATGCAGCGGGCATGGCGAGGCTCGGGCCAGCGGGCATGGCGGCAGAGCGACGAGAAGTGAGCAGGAGGTGACGATCTAGAAGAAGTCTCGATTTCCGAGAATCACAGACTCAAGAGGCGAAGACTCGGTGTGGCCTGACGAGTGGAGAGGAAGGGGAGTTGCGAAAGCGAAAACATCCCGCCCCGAAGGGGTTTAGGGCGCCCCTTCACCGCAACGCGAGGAATGACTGCATCCAATGTACCCAGCGACTATTTAAACGTATAAATAATTTAGAGTAGGGAGGAAGTACTCTAAAGATCATTTATAGATCATGCTGCATTCTGAGCCCGTTGATCTACTCCCTAAACTGGATTCAGCTCATCTATGCGTATTGTTTTGTTCCTGCAGTGCTTGCTCCACATGCGACAGCCCCCGACGGATCAACAGCGGATCATGTAGAAGACGGTGAAGAATGTATAGTGCAGTCCAGCGAAGGGAGGCAATTTCCCCAAGGTAAAGTAGAAGCGGCCATGGACATGGAAATTCATTGTAGATTCTTGATATACATCTAAATACCTTAATACAAGGCAGCCATTTCTTCTTATCGGAAGAACAATCGCTTCTGTCGCGGATCCACGTCAGTGCTTGTGGCTGCATTGGGCGTCTTTCGCTTGCGACTGGTAGACATCGAAGAAGATGACTCCTCTTGTGGTGACTCCTGGGCGATTTCGCGGATTGTCTGGCGCGAGAGACAAAAGTCCACATGAACGTTGAACACCCGATCATCTGCAGCCTGCGGACGACCACAGATGGGACACTCCCACTGCGCAGGTGGTTCGACCACAGGAACATCTTCGGCGCTGTTTGACTCTGCGATCTCGGGGCTGGCAGCTTCCTGGCTCAGCTGTTCTAACTCATTCATCTCGTCTTGCACCTCCTGCCGGGCCGCCGATTCAAAAGCCTCCTCCGCATCGATTTCGTGTTCATTGTTGCGTTCCGGGGTCTCCGTAAGGGTGGATGGCTTTGGCTGAGCAGTAAACCCGAAAAAGTTCAGCCCCGTCTTTTTGGTGCTCACCAAATTCGAGCAACGTAGACCAAGCAATCGCAGCTTCATCCCAGGGATCTCCTTTTCCAACTTGACCAGCATAGGCAGCGCATATGTATAGATATCCTTGGCCTGAGAGACCGCCCGTGGGGGTGCCGTCTGGCGGGTCAACACTTCAAACGTGTGTAGTTTCACCTTAAGACACAATGTACGACTTTTAAATTGGGTCCGGGCCAGATCCTTCTCCATCTCCTCCGCCGCCCAGCGGAGCTTGGATCGCAGCTCTTCATTGTCGCCAATCTCGTGGAAGGTGGTCTCGGTACTCACGCTCTTCCGCTCATGAGTCCCAACCGGCTCGATCTTGGTTCGGCCCAAGCCAAGGTAGCACTGGCCCAAGAACTGGAATGCCTTCTCCCCGAACAGTTTGGTCAGAAACGCGCGGTAAGGGTAGATATCACCACAGGTCTTGATCCCAATTGATTCGAGCTCGCGCTCGAATACGCGGCCGATCCCATTGACCTTGCGGACCGGAAGATCACGCATGAACTCCATGACCGCAGTCCGCTCGTTAGACACGCGGAACTGGCCGTTCGGTTTGTTTTTGTTAGAACAGATCTTGGCAATCTTCGCATTTGGGGCGATTCCCGCTGACACCGATATATTGGTGTTTTCCAGGACCTCCGCACGCAAACGTTGGACGGCTTCTTCCGGGTCCATCTGGTTCTCATTGCAATACGCAGTGATGTTCAAATATGCTTCATCACAACTGGCACTTTCAAAAAGAGGATCGTACTGTGCCAGAATGGCTCGGATCTCCGTAGCTTTGGCCGTATACTTGTCGTAGTTGGAAGGGATGAGGACTAATTGCGGGCAGAGCTTTTTGGCCACAAACGAAGCCATGCCACTGCGTACGCCAAACTTCCGTGCCAAATAGTTGCAAGTCGTCAACACACCTTTGCCCACAGCCATGGGAACCGTCTTGAGTTCCGGGCGATCGAGCTCCTCAACGGCAGCGAAGAATGCATCGCAGTCCACATGGACCACGAACTGAGTCAGATCGCGCGTCAATTCGAGCTCTGCAAGATACTCGTCGGCACGCCGGAGGTCATGACTCAAGTCTAGTTTCTCTAGACGCGCTTTTTCTTTGCCAAGTCGCTCGATCTTGATCGTCTGGTTTCGATCGCGCTCCTGCTCATGATTGAAGAATTTGGATCCCTTAGAGGCATTGTAGATAATCTCTGACACCTAGACAAAGGATTTAGCGAGAATTTCCCATGTTCCTGCGGGCGATTCGCACCTTCTGCTGATCAACAGCATCCTGGCCCGCTTTGGTTAAAGAGGGACCCAGCAGCTGATACTTCAGCGTGTCATCCTCGCTCGGCTCTGCGTGGCCGTCTCCTTCGCCCGCCATCGGCCATCAATTCGTGTGAGCGCAGCAGATGAAGTGGAAAATCACAGCACCTCCCGAAGACTCCAGCAAGGAAGAGTCATCTGAAGTAAGAGCGATAGGCAGAACCGGGCAGATGCGGTCACGTGCTCACGCGTCGGGCCTTCACGTGCGCGGGCGGCACCGCTCGAATTCCGCAACGCCGCGACAGCGATGTGGACTCTCGAAGCGACGGGCGACTTCCTGAACGGTTAGTTGGGCTATTGGCGGTCTTCTTGATGGGAAATTATCGCTGACAAGTCGCAGGAAAGCGCGTGTGGCTGCGACCCGGCAAAAGGTATCTCTTCGGGCGAGCTAACGAGAGCGGCGGTACGTTTCCCAATTCATCAGAGAACGCCCAATGTTCGCAAAGAACTGACAGCCCTAGTTTGCCATGGCAGCGCGAGCCGATCAATCTCGCGGCAGCATATGTCCATCGAGGTGGCCTGCGTGAAATCTCACGATGGAGTATGGTCACCTTCCTCAATGCCCGCTACGTTCCACGGCTGACCATTCTTATAGACTCGAACACACGTCCGCACTCAGATTACCATCACCGACCTCGGATCTTCTAAAGGAACATTTGTGGATGGAGAAAGGATCACAGGAGAGCGCATTCTGGAGGGGCCGGAACACAGCATTGTCCTCGCAAAGGCGACGCATACTCTTCGCCTGAAATGGGAACCTGTGGTGCTCACGTTCTCATTCTCCTCAAAGGAGATGCGGGCAAATGACCCTCTCGCCAAAGTTCGTGCTCGTCTAGAAGAGCTGGATATCAAGACCATCATCCCATATCTGGTCGACCAGACCACGCATGTGGTACAAAGCAAACGAAATACGGCCAAGGGTCTTCAAGCGTTGATCAATGGCAAACACATCGTCAAGAACTCATTCCTCGACGCCATCGAATACGCCACAACCCCGACAGATCTCGGAACCCAGCAAGAGATCTCGCCGCTGGAATCTGACTTTGACGCTGCCTGGCCAGATCCGGCAGAACACCTGCCCCCGCCTGGGAATGAGCCGACCAGTCGTTCTGCCTCTGCTTTCGCTCCGAATTCGGACCGCATCAATGTCTTCGATAAATACACATTTGTCTTTGGGGATGCCAGCCAATTCGAAAACTTGCAGCCGGCAATCAACAATGGTCATGGGAAAGCCCTTTATTATGAGATCAAGGATGGTGAGACAACAGCAGCCGACATTGTGCAATTCATGAAAAAGGCCGGAGGCAGCCAGGGTGTGGGGGCCGAGCGAACTGGCCCAGGCGGTGTTGTGTTGGTGCGGTTCCGGTCTAAAGGCGATTACGAGAATTGGTCGGTTAAATTGGGAAACGAAGTAGCTCTCGCGATCGACCAGCGGTCCATCGAGCAGAGAGAGTTTCTGGATGCCATTTTGAACAACGATGCCAAACCACTATGCCGCCCACTGCCTCGCGAAGAAGTTTCCAGCCAGGTCTCCCCGACTCCAACGCCTGCAGTTGAACTACCACAACCAGCAGCTGTCTCAGAGGAGCCTTCTCCGTCTTTGACGCCCCACGAGCAGACTCAGCCGGCTCCATCACGAGCCAAGTCGTCTCGCGAGCGGAAGTACGTGAGCAAGATGAAAACCTTTGACGATGGTTTTGATATGGAGTCCATTCCTGTTTATGAGCCAGGGATGGATGAACCGGAGCAAAGTCAATCCATGGGACTTGATCCTATTGAACAACCCCAGCCCAACCAGACACTCCCTACTGTGGAGGAAGAAGAAGGAGGAGAAGGAGCGGAAGATGACGCCGTGTCTGATCTGCTTCCTGGGGCACAGGCCATGAAACGCCGGCGAGCTGCTCAGGGAGATGACGAGGCACGTACTGCTTCTAAGCGCGTGAAGACAGAAGTGGCTCCCAAACCTCGACGTCGCAAGATGGACGTCCTAGAAGAGGCACGCAAACATCGCGAAGAAGAGGAAAAACAGCACGAGGAGGAGCTACATCCATCACAGAATGTCGACATTGAAAAGCTTCGAAACCTTGCCATTGTTGAAGAGATGGATATCCCCGTCCGACAACCTCCAGTCCGGGAAAATGACCAGTCAAACCGATGGGATGAGCAATGGAATGGCCGCAAAAACTTTAAACGATTTCGCCGCAAAGGCGAGCCACGCCATGCTCGACAACGGGTACAAAGTGTGATTGTCCCTTTGGAGGAGGTCACCCGCAAGGACTACGGAATCGGCGACCACTATTGGAGCAGCAGCAGCAAACCATCTGAAAGGGAACAGCCCAGCCAGACATTAAAGCCATCAGCTTCTAGTCGTGATGAACTAGCGACGTCACAGTCTCAACTATCCGTGCCAGAGGCGTCTACGCCGAATCCCACGCCTGGCACTCAAAGCACACTCTCTCGCAGTCGCAGTCAGAAACGACCTCGCGAAGTGGCGGACGCAGAGAGTGAAGAAGAAGGTCGCTTCCGGTTCCGACGCAAGCGCTAGTATTTTTATCTTTCGTGTAACATTGTTGTATTATTAAATATCTTGCATATTGCTTATAGCGTGTCTCGAGCATTCAATGGATACCCTCATCAACACCCGATTCCAATCTTAGACCACAAGCGTCGATCTATCGTTATATCGTTCTAAAAAAGGTTCTCGATTCACCTCGCGATTTACAGCTGAGAGAAGTACCATGCATCAACCTTGTCACTTTACAGTATTCGGCGCATCATTCCTCTGTTCGAAAGGCTGTATATCAGGTGATGAGCTGGGGTGATAGAGCTAGGGCCCAAATGACGCATCCACTGCGGATGCAGCACTCAGCCGCAAACTATCAGTATCGAATTTGACAATATCGTCTCCCCGATCCATCTCAGCCACGCTCGGTATGATGCCAGGGAAAAATGAGCCGGATTCTAGACCTGATTTGAGATTCGAATTCGAGACCGATTTTCAGACCCCCTGCATCGAGACGGTGCCTACCTACCATGGATCGAACCCTACTTCGCGCCGGCCCCTGGTCGCCAGGTCAGAACGCTGGAAACGAGAAGGGAGGGCAGGTGGAGGTGCATTCTCAACGGTTTGGAGGGAGGATTGCGTCGAAGGCTCGAGTCTTCAGGTTCGAGCAGTGAAGCGGGCAGATCGAGACCAGAGGCCCGTACGAGCGGATCATTTTCAATCAGGAATTGGAGGTCATCGCGAAGTTCTCGCATGCGAAGGTTTGTGATGCAAGACAACTGACATGACTGGTTTTTGCATATTCAACATTTCTTGCTGATGTCAAAAGTACGAGCACTGCTTTGTCAAATCGTTTGGCTTAACTTCCAACATGAGACCAACATCACGATCATTGGTACTGACAGCTCTCGATTTAGTATGGTAAGAGCTATTAATCGCTAATTCTTAACAAGGTAGACGTCCTTGGCAAGTCATCGGCATCGGACTCGCGGGATCATATATGTTATTCTCTAGCTGCAAAGTCTTTAGTTCTGGCTCTGAGAAGCTTTGACCATCTCAATCTCAATTTGGAAGGAATTGGTACCTGTTCCAGTGACAGTGGCCCCATCGCATTACACCTGGGCCACTCGCTACTTTGTGCTCCACTGGGCCGACTCGATGCCCAGCAGAGACACTTATTTGGCAAAGTCTCTTTGCAGGAAATTCTTCATTCATTACGAGAAATGGGTGCACTGCAATTCACCAGACAGAGAGTTGAGCGCAAGAATTCAATTATAAGAATATTGTTCGAAATTATCGATTACTGTTGGTGATATAGAGGCTCCATGTCAGAATCAGTCTTCCCAGTGAACCTTCCTTGCCATGGCGATCGGATCCCCATTAAGCCCACCATCCTGGATGATGATGCCGAGGATCCAAATATTGACGGCAAAGAAAAACAAAGAAGCAAGGAACAGGCCCGGCACAAACGAGGAGAGGCCGAGGAATTCCAGATTGAAGCCCTGCCACAGCCAAAGGGCCTGTCCAACAACCCAGAGAATGGCAGCCAAGATGCCAAGCTTCGGCCTGCCCATCAGAGAAGAGGAGGGTAGATAAAATGGCAAGAGGATGAGGTACCATAGGAAATACTGTTGTTGAAGTCAGTGACATGTTGAAACAAAGAGATTGAATTAACTTACCTGGCTAGTGCACACTTTGTTGAATGTCACAAAGGCAAAAGTCTGCGCCAGCATGGTCGTCGCCAAGTTCTTCTTCGCAAGAACCAAGGGCAACGCAACCACGGAAAGCAGTAGCTGAGGCAGAAAGGCGAGTGCCTCAAAGTGATACCCGGTTTGCCCGGCCGAGGTGAGGTAAAGAAGAGTGCTGTAGGGCGAGAAATTGTGTCGATGGTCGATGCGCGTGAGATGGTGGAAGAAAGTGTGGTGTAGGAACGGCATACCATATTGGAGGTACATGATCCCATTTAGGGCAACAAAGGTAGCCAAAGCCGAGAGGGTGACTCGGACTCGAGAATGCGTCACGAACTCCATCGCCCTCGTAAATAGATCGGGCTGGCCAGCCGGAGGTGCACCGTCGCGCTGTGCGTCCCACCACCAGATGATGGAAGCGCCGTAAATAAAGGGGTAGATCTTGAAATGCACCGCAAGACCCAGGATCGCGCCAGCTAAGATGGCCTTTCTGGTCAAGGTAGCCCACAAGAGTGCAGCAACGAGAACGCCCAACAAACCCTCCGCACTGCCGCGGGTACTGATATTGGCGACCATGGGATTCCACAGCCAGACCGCGGCGACATATCGCAGTGCTTTAGCAGTCGACAGGCGGTAGACACGTCGAAGAAGCTGGAGTACCAGCCATCCGGCCACAACGTCGGCGGCGGCAAAGAGAACCTTGCCAAAGGCGAAAGCGAGAGTAGACCAAGGTTTTGGACCGTCCCAGGCCGTGGGAAGAAGCATCCATGCTAGGAGGGGGGTGTACCGATACGTATCCCGCGCATAGGGCGGCTCACCCTTTGCAACGTAGCGGGACGCATCAGTGAAGACCATGTAGTCAATATCGGTGTATTTTACCGCGGAGTTGGCATCCTGCCAGCCGCCGTAGACTAGGAAGACAACACGGAGGAGAATAGCGCCGACGAAGACGCGGGGGATCGTAAAGATCCTATAAGGCGCCATCGTGGATGCGAAACAAATGAAATATACCGAGGATAAAAGTTGAAGGGGGTAGACCCTAGGTAGAATAGCGAGTACAGGCCGATGGCGACATGCGATCTGCCAGTGCTGCCGGCGCCTCCCTTGTGTCGCGGCGATGGAAGCCGGCGGGATTGCTCGAGCGCAGGGATTCAGTCAAAGCAAAGGCGTCCCGGTTGCAAAAGCAGTTCAACTCAGTCCAAATGAAGGGCGTCCCAATTCGCCGCGTTGTCCATGTCACGCCTTCAATTGCGTTGCGGTGTTTACAGATTTCACAAGCACACGATTCGCCCGTTGCCGGTGATGAGTCAGCAGCCATCGAATCCCGAAACGGAAGGTGCTGTCGCTGCTGCAAGAAATTTGGTGCTGTTTTAAAAATTTCATCATTCGTGCCCTAAGGTGGTTTTATAATTTATGTACATCAAGAAGTGGATGCAGGAAAGATACATTGTGTATATAGCGCGGAAAGAGTCAATCCGATCAAGAAGAATATGCTGCGCTGAACAATTCCCATCTCACCCTCGCACCACCGATCGCCGATCCGACCAGTCAATAACCCCACGGGGCAAATAATATGACAATAAAGTTCTGATAGAATAAAATCAATAGTAAAGCGGCGCATTTGTGAAGTACGAGTCCGGCATTGGCTCGAAATACGGCTGTGTACCGAACTTTGGCCCTTTCTCATGGTCCGGCGTGAGCAGTGCCATGGCTTCGCTCCGAGTATCAAGGTCTGATAACCCCGGCCAGACATTGGTGTTATCACTCCAGCTGAGGTATTCCCACAAGTACTGGCCGCTGTCATCCATGAAAGGGGTGGCAAGTGGATCGGCGACGCCGCTCTCGCCAAACATCGCCATGCGCGCTGGCTCAGGTGGAGAGAACATCGAGCTCATCTCCCGACTGACCGGATAGAGGTTGCCCGGCAGGGAGCCAGACGCACTGCTCGCTGAAGCAAGATCCTGACCGCGTTTGCTGGCTTCGTAAATGCGAGAGACAGCATCGAGTGATCGCTTCGCGGTATGTCCAAAAGCCTGCATCCGAGCAAGGGTCGTCATGGCGGTTTCAACCTGTGCCTGACAAGACTCGATTGTGGCGCGATGATCATCAGCAGTGGGATCATTGAGGAAGAGGCCGACCAGCGGCACTAGAGAGGCCTGGAAGGTCCACCAGACAGCATTCCATCCGCAAAGCTGGTTAAGCTGTGCGGTGGCAGCAATGTTTTGGATTGAGAGCTCGGCAACTTCGCGGCATTTCTGGATAGCGGTGCGCTCTTCGGCGCGGAGGGCAATATATGGTACTCGACGCATCGCGTAGCTGAGTAGTGTTGGGCGATAGAGAAGCATGCGTTGGTTGTAGTAGCGCCAACGCATCACGGTTCGAACGGTACAAACAGATTCGGTGCAAGGTTCGTGGTCTTTCAAAACTGGTGGAAGATTCTCCCACCATTCTTGTAGTTGTGCATCGGCATGGGACATCTCCTGGTGTTTGACAAGAGGAGCAGCAGCCAGCGATTCCTGGACTTGAGTTGCGATCTTGGCGAAACGAATGTTTTCCACGAGAGGTAGAATCTCAAGAATATTTTCCTTCATGTTCGTTAGCTCAGCCATGTTGATGTGGTTTTGATTCATACCTTGTCTCTGCAGTTCGGTGGCTTCACGGTGATGTTCGGTCCAAAGCGGCCCATACTGGGTCGTCCAAGGGTCATACCTCCCCAAGTGTCCATCACAAAGAGTGACCACCATACGCGTCGCTTGAGGTCCATCGAGGCAAATTTGGATGGGCTGGGTGTCTGACGGCTCTCTGCAAACTCCTTGTGTAGACCCAGCCCAGCTGCCATGCGCAGGGCAGCACCCATAAGAGAATATGCGAGATTTGGTTGACTTATATAGTGACAGTACCAACCCCCAATCAGCCCCAGCGCCTGAATGGTTTCAATGTGAGAGCTGCCCAAAGAGCTCAGACTTAAATGGCCTTTGCAACGAAGGAAGTATGTTTGATGTGTAGGGTCGTCGGGCGTTGAGGCCGCTACACAGCCGAGGGCGAGCACAATGTTGAGTAGTGCGAGCCAATGATCGTCTTTACGACGACCAGACATATATGTTTCGCGGAAGTGTTGCTCATCGATCAATGGTGCGAAGGCGTGGAAGTACAGAAAATATGCATCAAGCATTTGCATTTCGGTAGGAGGTATCGACGGTTGAGGTGGGGTGACAGGCTGTTGATGTTGCCACACCTGCTGGATGTCATATTCCAGGCAAGTTTGGCCACGGGTTGGCGTTCGGGCAAAGTATGCCGCGCAGCCTGGATCCAGCCAGACTATGACTTTGAGGACGGCCTGAATGGAGGAGACTCCCAGGTAGGATGACGGCTGCCGGGCAGAGAGTGAAAGCGCATTCACATCATCAGATACACCCTCCACTAGATCGCTTGAACTAGTGTGGCGGCTATCGTCCAGCTCTTCTGGCATGCTTTGGAGAGATTCAAGGTTGTCGTCTTCGTTTGAGAGGGGGAGAGACGTGCGCCTCTGCTGAAACGGAAGTGGCGGGTGATTCGGGATGTGGTGCAGATGTGGTTTGGTTGGAAGGCATCGGCACAACGGACGAACAGGTCCCTGTCAACTCGAGCAACTTCTCTCGAGATAAATTGACCAGGGACTCGGGAGCAAGGTCAGGGAACAGCTTGCTTAGCACACTGCGATATTCATCGAGCGTGGTCGACAATTTCTCGACGTGTCTTTGGTAACTATGGAGTTATCATCCCGAGATCGCAAAAAAGGGTATTGCTACACTCACCTTCGTGATGGTCGAGGGTCCGAGTAATGACACTGGTCGGATTTCTTATACCATCGGCAGGCTTCGCATGGCTTCTCGCCGTCGCACTTGATCTTACGATGTCGACATGATGTACAGGCACGAAGCGTTGTTACTCGGCGACCGACAGACTCGCGTCGCTCAGTAGGTCGGTTTCGGGCAGGCGAGGCTGCTGTGGGATTCTCGAACCCCTCGAAGGTGTGGAACATGGTTGCGACAGATCACCCAAAATCAGCGATTTGAGTCACATAATTCAAGGATTCTGTTGTCAAAGAAGGGCAATCTGATGAATGTAAATCGTACGATCGAGCAATATAAAAGGCTGCTATGAAGATATCGAATGTTGCCAAGTCAAAACCCGAGTGCTGATACAGGTGGAGTGTGCAATGACGTCTCGTTGATCATGAAAAAAGGTCGCAGATCATGTCGTTACAGCAGTTATCGGTGGTATGAATGAGAGGGTCGGGGGAGAGTAATAAGAAAAGAAGAGGGCTGCCGGAAGAAGCCAGCGGGTCTCAGGGCAGCTAAAACCAAAAGGAATTAGTCCTGGAGAATAGCCTGATCCGTCTAAACCCCAACATCCCCGCATTTCCAAGGAACACATCTCGTTCGCGAGACCGGGGTTCCCAAGCCTCGCTTATGGTGTGTCGTGCATGAGCTTTGTATTGTCACTGCGCATAAAATGACGCATTTAATATCCCCAGGCACCCGGCAGGTGATGTGCGCAATTCCCAGCGCTAAAAGGGATCAACTGCGGACGAACTTTTGCATGGACAACCTCCACAAGAGACATATATGGTGTTTGATAGGGACCACCGCGTCATCGCCGTTGTGCTAAGACATAACCGGCGACCAGAATCGTGACGGCAATCTGGGGGCAAATCCGGAGGGCAGCGATGTTCCAGGAACTTAGAGATACATCCATCACCCACATCACTACATACGACTGGTGCTGACGGCCCGTGCCAGGCTGACCGGGGTCAGGGGATCGAAGCAAATTACGGGGTGCCGCATGCTCTCGCAAACGCCACAAAGCCGGCATTCGCACGCCGGATGTTATGCCACGATTTTTCCACGAGGGGCGCAATTTTCCCGGGAATTCTTGGGTACAAACTCGGTCCTGAGAGGAGTACTGCAGAGTGGGAACGAACCCTGCAGGGAGGACGATCGTCTGGGGAAGACGGTGCGAAAAACCTGCTGGTTCAGCGCCTGTTCGGGAGCCCACTCCATTGCCCAGATATCTTCCTTTTGTCCGATCACAGCAAGGCTCATTGTATGTTATCTACCATTCCTAATCTCAAGCACGGGCGTCAAGACATGCTAGGCATGCGTAGCATAGCATCGAACAACGGGCCGGGCCTCATGAAACTTGAGCCACCACAAGAAGAGCATCTAATCAAGCGGTATGAACAAGTCACTCTGGACAAGCGGGGCAGGACGTGCCACCTTATTTCCACTTGATTATGGTCACCGAGAAGGGGTGCACACCGAAGCCGAGACCTTGTCGGGCGCGATGCCTCTTTCGAGTCAAGGGCCCGAGCTGGACTGTAGATGCAACGGTAATCACTCAGCCCCCTTCTAATGCCGGCCAGCACGGCAGTGGAAATTGTATCCGGCCAGACTATGCAGAGTAGTGGAGAGAGTGAAAACGGAAAGACGGGAACTGCTCAAGACCCGATATCCGTCCTTCTCTCCACTGACTGCTGGGCATGGGTTGTGCATGATTCCATGATGGAAGTCACCAGCCAAATGCCAAGAGTGGAGCGTGTGTGTCCTTTCCAAGGCTACCGCAGACCTTTCCCGGAGTCCGGGGTTTGGTCTGGCCATTGGCTCGGTTAGGAACTGGCTGAATTAGCGTCAAGACTAGCGGCTTTGGTGGATTCGGCGGCTGTCGTCGATGCGAATGTCCAGATTTGCAGAAGGCTTCCATTCAGTTTAAGCAAAGCAGCGGGCAGAGCAGAGTCTATGCCGGTGAGAGAAGGGGGTTGAAAGTTGACTGTGACTGGAGTGTCTGCTGTTGGCTGGAGGTGTCCGCATATTGCAGAGTACCAGCAGCTGGGCGGGGTCAGGTCCGTGTCGAAAAGAGTAAAGCCTAGAATTCGCTGGCCTAGTGAGCGAAAGGCGCTCAGACGCTTGACGTTATTTCACTATGAAGACGGGGTAAAAGTAAGGGAGGAGAGCGCAACAATGTGAACAACCCTAAGAAGTCGCGGTCACTGTTGCTGCTCAGCACTGTTTATGCCATAATATTCAGGCCTCAATTTTGCCTTGTCGCCTGAATCAGATGACATGAAGTCACGCATTCGGGACCTCCGCGCCCAAACAGGAAGGCCCGTGGGGAAACGCTTATCGATAAGCAGCTGGTGCATTCGTCACGCAGCCAGAAGTTGCAATTTAAAAAGCTCCTTGTCCGACTTTCTGTGGGAAAAAGTCTCAAGCATCGTTTAAAATGGTTCTCAGTCGTCACTCTTTATCTGCAGGGTGGTCCTTCCGCGACCGCGATTCTGAAGAATGGCTACCCGTCCAGGCAGTCCCATCCGTGGTGCAACAGGATCTCATCGACAACAAAAAGTATGAACCCCACAGCTACAATTTCGAGCGCGTCTCACAATGCGGTGGCTACACAGGCTGAAAGACCCATTTATTGGACTCAACGAGATTGACGCCAACTGGGCAAACGAGAAATCCTGGGTCTACCGCAACACTTTCCAGAGACCAAGTGTCCCAGCAGGATCCACTATTGACCTAGTATTCGATGGCTTGGACACCTATGCCACCGTCAAACTTGATGGTACGACGATTTTGCTGAGTGATAACATGTTTCTGGCTCATCGTGTCAATGTGACCGAGGCACTGGCTGCCGAGGGCGAACATACACTCGAGATTGAATTCGACTGTGCTCTGATGAAGGCCCGTGAGATACGGAACCAGCACCCTAACCACAAATGGGTCGGGTTCAATGGAGATACATCCCGCTTGGCGTCTCGAAAGGCTCAATATCACTGGGGCTGGGACTGGGGCCCAGTCCTGATGACCGCTGGCATTTGGCGTCCAGTCCAGCTGGAGGTATACACTGCACGAATCGCTGATCTCTGGCCGCAGATCCAACTTGAAGCGGATCACCAGACAGCCGAAGTTTCGGTGTCTGTCACTATTGAGGCTCCTGCAGATGTCGATTATACCGCACGGTTCAACTTGAGCGTTAGCGGTACTGAAATCGCAAGTCAAGATATTCCGGTATCCCATGATCACAAAGCGAACGGTACTTTCTGCGTGAACCGACCTGAGCTTTGGTGGCCTCATGGATATGGAAAGCAGTCACTCTACCAGGTATCAGTATCGCTACTACGCGATGCAGATAGTCTAGACCAGAAGTCCAAGAAATTCGGCGTTCGGACAGCCGAGGTCATTCAACAGCCAGACAAGCACGGAAAATCATTCTTCTTTCGTGTTAACGGCATGGACATTTTCTGCGGCGGATCCTGCTGGATTCCAGCGGATAGTCTGCTTACCAACATTACTCCGAGCAGATATCGAGAATGGATCGAGCTGATGGTCGCAGGCCGACAAAATATGATTCGGTAAGAACGTCATGAGATACATGATATACAACATCTGCTGATCTTTTTCAGGGTCTGGGGTGGTGGTATTTATGAAGACGATGTCTTCTATGAATCTTGCGACGAGCTGGGTGTTATGGTATGGCAAGATTTCATGTTTGGCTGTGGAAACTACCCAACCTGGCCTGAGATTCTTGAGTCCATTCGCAAGGAGACAGTCTACAATGTTCAGCGCCTGAGACATCATCCGTCCATCGTGGTCTGGGTTGGGAATAATGAGGACTACCAAGTGCAGGAGTCTGAGGGATTAACCTACAATTATGAGGACAAAGACCCCGAGAGCTGGTTGAGAACTGATTTCCCAGCAAGATTTATTTATGAGAAGCTGCTACCAGAGGTTGTAAAGGAGCATTGCCCCGGCACATTCTATCATCCTGGCAGTCCCTGGGGTGACGGCAAGCTCTCGTTTGACCCGACAGTTGGTGATATGCATCAGTGGAATGGTAAGTGGTGCATTGTCTCAAATCAAGTTACAAATCGTCTGACTCTCTTCAGTCTGGCATGGTACCCAGGAAAAGTACCAGATCTTCGACACCCTCGGAGGCCGCTTCAACAGCGAGTTTGGCATGGAAGCCTTCCCGCACAAATCGACGATCGAATATTTCGTTCAGGATAAGAAAGACCTGTTCCCTCAGTCCCATGTGATCGATTTCCATAACAAAGCAGACGGTCATGAGAGAAGGCTGGCGACTTACCTAGTGGAGAATATCCGCACGCAAACAGATGATCTCGATGTATGATGTCGCATCCAGCTTCCAAAGTTGAAGATCCCACGGCTGATATATGCAGACATACATCTACCATACGCAAGTGGTTCAAGCGGAGACGATGATGTTTGGATACCGAGGTTGGCGCCGACAGTGGGGTGATGAACGACACTGTGGTGGTGCCCTCCTTTGGCAACTCAACGATTGTTGGCCGGGTATCTCCTGGGCTATCGCCGACTACTTCCTGAAGCCAAAGCCAGCGTACTACGCAGTGAAGCGGATTCTCAATCCCATCGCAGTTGGCGTCAGGCGCGAACACCATGACTGGAGTATTGCGCACGCGCAGCCTCCCAAGGCCAGCAAGTATGAGCTCTGGGTCGTCAGCAACAAACCACACGTCGTCCGTGGTTGTGTCGAGCTGCGATTTGTGTCCGTCGATACTGGCCGCGATATTCGACCTCCTATCGTTCACAATGATATTTCCATCAACGCAAATGGAACAACCAATGTCATCACCGATGGTGTCCTCGATCACATCGCAGAACCCCAGCAACACGTCCTGGCTGCACGACTGTGGGTCGACAGCAAAATTGTCGCGCGCGATGTTGACTGGCCCCAGCCTTTCAAGTATCTTGATCTCTCTAACAGAGGCCTCCAAGTTGAGCAAGAGCGCACTGAGACCGGGCCGTCGCGTATTGTCATCCGAGCGCACAAACCCATTAAGTGCCTGGTATTTGAAGAGCTAGCAGGAGTTAGACTGAGTGACAATGCTATAGATATCGTCCCTGGCGATGAGCAGGTGGTTACACTGGAGGGAAGCTGGAGCAAAATGTCTTATCGCTGTCTTGGCCAGACTAGCTCTGAGTCTATACAGTCCTCGCTGTAGATCCGCGAAGAGCACCGGACTCAGAATCATATTGAAAATATGCAGATACTCTAAAATTCTGAATTTCACTTTTCTTGGATCTTTTCAATTTTCAATTAGGTCTTTGGTGGCCTCCCGGGTATAGATCCTGCTGATCCATACTTATCCGAGGATCTCACGACTTGCCGCTTCGACGGCAACAAAACTCGGCAGTCTCTCCCGCCATCCAACATCGTCCGCCAACATGTTTCTATATTCACCAACGCCCGAAATATTGACACTACTACCTATATTCTCGCGCACACAACAAAATGCGAGCAGATATTCCACGCACCCAAAGAGCCGCTGTCGTGCAAAATCCCGGCAAAGACTACCGTATAGTCCTCCGCGATGACATCCCCGTTCCCGAGCCGGGACCAGGCGAGATATTGATCAAGCTGGAATGCACCGGACTTTGGTATTTCTCTTTCATTTCATAGTCTGGCGCAGACACTAACTCAGTAACACAGTCACTCCGAAGTCCGCGCTGTCTTGGCCTGGGGCACATACAACCCCATAATCGGACACGAAGGCGTGGGAAAAGTCGCTAAGGTCGGACCCGATGTAACGAACACATCGCTTGGTCAACGCGTAGGCCTTAAATGGCTCTACAATGCTTGTAAAACCTGCTCCGTCTGTCGACGTGGGTTTGCCCACCACTGTCCTAAACAGCTTAACACAAGTCGGCACGTTCCGGGGACTTTGCAACAATATGCCATCGCCGATGCACGCTTCATCACTCCGATCCCAGATGGATTGTCTTCCAACATTGCTGCGCCGCTTCTCTGTGCCGGTCTCACGATGTTAGGTGCATTGGCCCATCTAGACGATGAACTCTCGTCTGGAAACTGGATCGTGATATCTGGCGCAGGTGGAGGCCTCGGACATGTCGGTGTACAAATCGCAGCGAGGATCAAGAAGTATCGCGTTATTGCAATTGACAGTGGAGAACAGAAGAAAATGATCAGTCTCTCATCCGGCGCTGAAGACTTCATCGACTTCAAGACAGAAGATGTCTCTGCACGAGTCTCGAAAATCACCGGTGAAGGTGCCCATGCAACTATCGTTGTCCCTGGTACTAGGGAGGCATTTGCGACTGCACCTTCCATTGTTCGAAACATGGGTTTCATTGTTTGTGTCGGACTGCCGCCTAATGAGATGGATATTCCGCTTTCCATGACAGTTTGCGCTGCGCGAGGTGAGATTCGCCCTTCCAAATCTGTCCTTGACGACCAGCATGCTAATAATTTCAAGGCCTCACAATAAAAGGATCATCTGTTGGAACGGAGAAACAAATGGCTGAGCTGTTACAATATGCCGTGGATGGAGTCATTACCCCTTCGATCGAGGTGTTCAAGTTGGGGGAAGCACCGGGTTTGATCCAGGGCTTGATCAAGGACGATATTAATGGGCGGGCTGTTATTGAAATCCCTCACACTGATGACTGTAATTTAAATGTCGACATTGGTTTACAGTGTCCATAGCTCCGCCGCGATTGTGCATATCGAAATTGGAACCAACCTCAACTTCAAGGAATCAGGTCGCAGGCCACCTCAATTGTCAATATTCATAAATTATGTCCCGTAGCCCTCTCAAAAGATCAAATTTCTCTTCGGATACTTTCATGTCTGTCGCTGTTGCCGCCTTCAAATCAGAAACTAACGTAATTCACAAGCGAGCCCACTTCAACTAAAAATGCGTTCCGACGCGTACCTACCCTCTTCAACCACCCACCATGCCACCACCACCACCACCACCACCACCACCACCACCTGGTCAATCAAGCCAAGATTCGACTAATCGCGAGGGCAAACTCTTACTAGCCATCCAGACTATTCAGAATGACCAATTCAGATCAATACATGCTGCTGCAAAGCTATCTAATATCTCATACACTACACTATGCGCTCGCTACACTGGACGAACCTCAGTACTCCACACGTGCTAATAGTCATAAATTGACTAGATTTAAAAAATATTCACCTGTACAGTGGGTTCTTGTGATGCAGCTCCTAGGCTCTCTACTGTGAGAGATATGGCCAATATTCTACTTGCCGACCGTGGATACACACTCCTCACCACGGACTGTTGGGATCAATTGGGTAACTAAGAATATCAAACGCCGAGAATAACTACAATCCCGTTTTTCAAAGCGTTATGGCTATCGACGAGCTAAGAATGAGGACCCAAAGACCTTACGTGAATGGTTTATAACGATTAAATCCGTCATTAAGAAGAACGGCATCAAATCAGATAGAATATATAATTTCGGTGAGACTAGATTTGCGATAGGTCTTATATCAGCACAAAAAGGCGATTACTCGAGCTGAGTATTATGGTCGTCAGGCAATTCAATAGCCTAGAAATCGTGAATAGGTGACTATTATTGTCAATCAGGGCGGCTGGTTTTGCTCTCCCACTATACATAATCTTTAATGCCAGAAACCACATCACTAGTTAGCTTAATAGGCTTTTAAAAGATTAGTTAGCGAATTAAAGTCTCTCCAAATGGCTGGACTTCAGGTGAAATTAGCATCAGATGTCATCCCATTCACATTAGATCGGATGAAATGAAAATATTGCCTTCTGATTTTTGATGGCCATGGTAGCCATCTCACGCCTCAATTCGACCGAATATGTGCTGAAAACTCAAGATTACGTTACGTTAACTACATAGTTGGTGCCTCAGGCTGCTAATGTGAGCGTTCTTATCGCTTATCGCCAAATTCCAACTTGTCGCAGGGATTCCGTTCGAACTCCCCGCACGAATCGGAGCTCTCACCTCTTCACCTCCGACTTCATGGGCACCAAACGATCCTGGGAAGGCCAGCCAGTGGGACTGCATGTCAAGTCAGAAATGAATACCTCAGAGTCGGCCAATTCGATCCTGTCGATCTTCGAGAACTTCCGCAGTGAGCTCGACGAGCATCACGACCGCCGCGAGCGCATCATCAAGACCAGTCGCGACATTACCGCGCTGAGCAAGAAAATGTACGTTGCTTGACTCTCACTTCACCTTCGATGACCGCACATGTTAACGCCACTTTCCCAGCATCTTCGCGCTCCAACGCGTACGCGCCACCAATGCCCCCATCCCTCCCAAGATCGCGAAGGAAAACCAAACCCGTCTCGAACAAATCACCACCCTCTTCACGAATATCGTCCCCGATCTTCAGGGAATCAATGCCTGGCGCTACCGCTCAATCAGCAGCGGTATCCAAGAATACATCGAAGCCATCGCCTTCGAGCACTACCTCCGCACGCAAACCCTCATCACCCACGGAGAAGTATGTGCCCGAGTCCCCACCGGCATCCTGGTTACGGAAGAAGATTATCTGCTCGGTCTTTTTGACCTGACAGGCGAAATGATGCGATTTGCCGTCTTGGCTCTCAGCTCCGGTAATGCCAGCACCTCAACATCCACAGAAACACAGACTGCAGAGACGACGAAGCAATTGCCTCATCTCTCCGCTTCACAGGCTGGAATAGTGTTCGATCTGCGAGCTATGCGTGCTAGTTTTGAGGAGTTGACTGTACCCAGGAAACACAACATGCTTCGGGACTTACTGAAGAAGGTCGAGGTGATGCAGAATAGCGTGGAAAAGGTCGAACGAGCGGCATATGGTATTCTGGTGCGTGGTAGTGAACGACCAAGCGGGTGGACTCCGGATCTTTCTGTCCCTGTTGAGGTCGGAGTTGAATGAAGGAGCGCATCGACTTTGTCAGTGATCCACGCGAGGGCTATGCGTCTCCTTTCCAAATGTTCTCAAAATATCGACCTGGGAGTACATCTCATATGACCGAATTACGACCTCAATGATTTTCTTTGCTTATTCTAGGGTAGCTCCAGCAGGGTAACATATCTAGCCAAGCTGTATTTGTGTTCCTAGTCAGAAGGCTTGACCAGTACTGCAGTTCTTCGAAAATCCATTTTTCCTACTGGGACAACCATCGATCCTTATTCTGGGTGGACCAACAACTTTTCAATATCTGAGTCGGGGATTTATTTCGCTTGTGTCAGATTGCGTATCAAAAAAAATCAAAGTACCACCCTAGTTCTTGATTTGCCCTTGGCTCTCAAACAGCACACCAGATATTCACGTTTCTCTTGACAACATGTTGTAAATCAGTGTAGCTCGTTCACTCGGCATACCCCAAAGCGATGCGACACCATTAGTCTAATAAGAACCGACCTTCCTCGCTCAAGTGAGCAACAAATCCCCGCTGGGCTGAATCTTCCATGCAATCACACTGCTCCCAGAATTTCCGCAACTTCATCGAAATTCTGATCACACTCACACAGCTATTCAATTCCCATGGACTCCGCAGGTTCTGAGGGAAATGACGTGGTCTTGTTCTTGTCTCGTGCGAATGTCTCTCCGGCTCGAATGCTGTCCATCCATTTCGGTGGTCGACTGTAGAAATAGCAGACCAAGCCAATCTGCGCACACTTGCTTGCAGGGGCGCTTACCAACGCAGTGGGCATCGATGGAGCTTCCCAGACAAGGCACGCATGGTTTTATCTTTGGCCCTATCATGCCATGCAACGTGATCGAGAAAAGGGGTGGCGGAGAGGTACTCAGACTCGGTCAATATTGGAGGGGTGGCTTGTAGAAGCGAAGAAGGACTGAGAGCGGCACTGAAAGGGTTGCAACTATTTAAAGGTCAAACTCACGGCATGAGTGTGCCGAGAGACGTCCACGCCTGCACCCCTTCTCCAAAAAGGTCCCTACAAAATCAAAAGCAACTAGTATACATCCGTATTTACATTGACTATCCGCCTTATTTTTTTAGTGAAGGGAAATAATACTTCTCAAAAATGAATGATAGTCAGGCGTATGATGTTGTGGAGTGAACTTACAGATGCTGCATTGGTTGGGTGTTGTGATGTCCGGAGCCCAATCGTTCACTGCGTTAGCAAGTACTGGTAACCAAAGGCCCATTTCACGCACTAGTTTTTGCCTATCCTGTACCTGTCAACGTCTCTTTTTTATCGTCTCTGTTGAAGTATTTTTATCGGCATGACAATGAAAATATAGAGGGCATTAGTCTACCAGACTATATCGTATTACACGAGTGACGTGGGATATGGTGGCCGGCAAGTGGGGTGGCTGGTCGGCCTGATGGATGAAGCGTCCAATCGCCTCTCGGCCTTTTCAACGGCCATGAAGGGACCCTCGCGTCACGTGATGGGTTAGACATTGAAATTAATGATTATGAGTGACTCGGTAATTTTAAGGCCAATAAGTAGTAATACCGGAGTCCTTTATTTTGAAGGCCTGCATTGTCTCGAGTGACAATGGAGGTATCCAGTTGCGGTTTCCCAAGGATTGTGAAGCATAGAAATTGTTACCGCAACTGTCAGAAATATATATGAGCAACATCAGTGTGATTCCTTTGACCCCTCTCAGGACGTCTACGCGATCGAAAGTTACTAAAAAAATTCGACGAGACACAAACTCTTAGGGATTCCTGCATAGGATGTATATCTAGGCTATAAATAGTAGATACCGACCAAAAGATTATCTTCCGACCATTCATTGTGGTAATTTATGAACGTACGCTTTGGAGGCTTTGTGCCATTCTGTAACACGTTCTTATAATCGAGAATTGAAATACGTTACATCAACTGGGCTTGTGGTTTAGTGGTATAATACCCCCTTAGCATGGGGGTGGTCCGGGGTTCGATTCCCCGCGAGTCCATTTTTTGTAAATTACAGATTCTCCCAGTGGGGCGCTGGCCTTACCTCCTTTTTGCCGGGCCGCCTACTTCAGCATCACAGTTAAAACTTAGCTACTCCAGGCAAGATTATTGCTACGGAATGCTTCCATGGCAAGCAAGGCGCAGTCGAGTTATGCTGGAATCTCCCACGCTACGAGAGCAACGCGCCACATCAACATGATCCATTCCTTGCCTGTCAGACGAACTGCTGCACTTCACAGGTACTCGACCAACACCGAAAAAGCCCCCGTATCTCATACAATGGAAGCCGAAAGGGAATGGAATACTGGCATAGGCCATGTGCAAGCAAGTAGAATCCGGCTGTCGCAGACATTAAACCTAATACACCAGCGAGTCAATTCCGACTTGCTATGTGCGTACATGAATTGAGCAGTGCAATTGAAATTGAAGATGTAACACAGCTCCAAGGCTGCATAGACCACGATGTCCGGAATACGTCCTTTAGAATGTCAGAATGGCCGACAGCAGGGTCAGAGAGGGGCATACTGAAGTTGGGAGCGCGGCGAGCAGGAAAATCAAATTAAGAAACCACCAAACTAGACGTATTATCAGCAAAACAGCTGAATGTTACAATGCTTTTGCCTTATATCAGCTGGGTTGGTTCCTCATATGCCCTTATCCAGCTGCTGTTTTGCCACCATAAGCATCGACAACACCCCTGTACGGCATTAGCATGACCCCATAGCCGCCATAGTGGAAGCCTGATTCCCGCTATTAGTTTTCATCTTGAGTCATGAATGGATAGTTAGCTCACCGAATGCCAGGAGCACGGTATACCCGAAAGTAATACCCTTCACCATTTCCCATTGCGCCGATATAAGAAGGCAACACCAGCGAGGAAACAAAGGTTTGCAACGCATAACGTCTGATTTGAAACACCGCGGAAACCCATCATATAGAGGGAGAGGGTCATCAGAGTTGTCGCAAAACCGCCGAACCCTAAAGGACTCTGGGAGTCATTGTCAATATGGCCGTATTTGCCTTAGCGATGAGACCCACGTAGTGTTTGGGGATTTGATTACCGGATTGGCTAAGTGACCGTTAGCCATCGAAGAAAAGGTCATGGAAATTAGATTCGAAGAGAACAAAGTTGTCGCTGGGCGTGACACAAAACCTCTGATTTGAAAGACATTTCTCAAGTACCTCTCTCTTGATATACACATATTCCAATAAGCGAAGAAAAAGCATTATTCTTTAGATTTTATTTTGCGGTAGCGAATCTATACGAGTGACGCGTAGCGCGGATCTCAGGAAGTGAGCACCACTCTCGACAACTTCCCATACCGGCGATGGTAGCTTACCAACCACAATCCCCCGTATGTTCAATTTCCAACTGACCTGAAGTTTTTCTAAGAGTTAGTGCACCTGCCAAGGAGATCTCGCAATGAGATTTGTTTTGTCGTCCAAAGCTCATCATGGGATACTGTAACGTCCCGCTTGGCAAACCACGCATGTATTCTCCCTTGGGGGCCAAAATGCCCAAAATCTCAATTATGGGAAACGTATTTGCCTCCTACGATGATCTGTACCGGGTATCAGTTTATCGCAGAAAGGGCGACAATCATCCTACTGTCGGGAAGCAGGTAATCGGACTGTTTACGAACGCCAGAGAGAATTTCTTGAGGTAGGAAAAGGCCTTGGTAATCTTGAGTCCTTGGCGAGGTAGCATGCTGGAAATTTCGGCTACTCACTGCGACTAACTAGTGCCGATATCAGAGAGACAACAGACAATTCCATGCAAAAGGGGGGTCAATTTCCATGGTTTTGATAGCACATTTCCCTGTCCTGGTTGGGCTGCTGTGGATTATGCGAGAAGTGATATGGTGCGAATCATGATTGAGAACAACTTCAATCTGAATCCAAGCAAAACTATTCTCGGGTGGGGATGTCCGCTCTATACTGCCGTTGAGAAGGATCGTCTGGACATAGTGAAACGGCTCGTTGCTGCAAAAGCTGATGTAAACTTTGTGATGGCTGTTCTGTTGAATCTCGCCGTCAAAAACGGGAAGCTGGAGACGATAAACTTTCTGATTCACCAAAATGTCGACCTTTGCGGTGAGATTTGCAGAAGCTTGTCATTCATTCTTTCCGAATATATGATGCAGATAAGAAAGACAGTAATATGGGAATGTTTCCTGATAAGAATACACTGGATCATTTACAGAAGCAGCTCTTGTTGGGAATGTTGAAGATGCCAAGTTACTACTTGATAGTCGCGCAGTTATTAATGCTCAGAACCCAAATTACTGGGAAAGCTGCTTTGGTGGATGCCTGCGAGAAAGGTCATTTTGAGATCATCTGCTTGCTCATTGAGAGGGGAGCAAATGTTCATTTGCAAAGCATTAAGAAGAGATGGGAAGCTTCCTGCATAGATATCCCTGGGTCCATTGGTTTTGGGGCAGAAAGGTTCTCTTGAGCAAGGCGGCTGCAACAACGTCATGAAGAAATTTTTTCATGGCTTGAAGAAAGAGTTAAACGTACTGCAACGCCGCACCTGTAAGGATGACGACCTTGAATAAAAGGCCTTCTACCTACACTCATTGAAGCATTTAGGTCCGCAGCCGAAGCAGACGTAGACACGATCTTCACCCGCAGTGGAGCGGCTCCACCCAGCGGACCCCGGAGATTGTGATAAGACCGGAGCAACGTGGGGAAAATACGACAGTCCTACGCAGTTCTACGTACAGACTCATACTGGGCTGCGAAGGGGCTAAAGATGAACAGATGTCAGTTGTGGAGAGCGTTTAGGCACTGAGCGTCACGGTGACATCACCACCAGCGAGCGACGAAAAACATTCAACGCAGACCAAAAAAATAAAGAAAACGAAAGAACGAGCTGCCCAACGCCCATTGATCATCGAGGACTCGTGAGGGTGTCCGATAAAAGTAGTCGAACCAAAACCCAGCCTCTGAACGAAAGAAAAGTCCCTGGTAAGAAGGAAAGACGGCAAAAATTGGCTGCGGTGAAAGGTGAAACCATCACATGCGGGGTAATCACGCAGTCGGCGATCGCGGATCCTCGTCTTCCTCGAGAATGCCCTGTGAAATGAGCTCCTCGGGGTCTGGTCGGTTTTGGATCTTGTGCTCCAGGTTGTCAGCCAGCATGTGCTTCTCGAGTTCACGGGCGTGCGCTTGGAGGGCCGGGGCGGCGTTCGTGGCGGGGAGGATGTTGCCTTTGTATAGTCAGTTATCCTGTCGCAGCTATCCCAGCGATGGGAAATATAATAAAAGAGAAAATAATCGAGCATGTACGTAACGGAGGATAGAAAGGCAAATGGGACATACGTTCAACAAGCTCACCGCGGTCAGGTCGCTTCTCGAGGTTCTTCTTCAGGCTGTCTTGGGCGCGCTGGCGATCGAGTTCCTGGCGAGCGGACTGCAGGGCACTGTATTCATGTCGCATGGTCAATAAGCGAAAGTAGAACTCAACCTGAGAGGCCTATGGTCAACTCACGGAGCGACATTCGTGTCAAGCAGGATATGGCGGTCCTTGAGATCCTGCATGTCGGGGCGTGTTTGGAGGTGCTTCTCCAGCGAGTTGCGGCGCTCATGGAAGACGGCGCTCAGGGGAGTCTCGTCGATGTTAGTCATTTTGGCGATGATTGATAATTCTCTGGTAAGTTGAATAAAGGTGAAGAGTAAGTGTTGGGAGGAGTGGAAGAAAGAAGGTACAGAGAGGAAGTGGCAGTCAAATGATGGTCGTCCCACGGGCGAGTCACGCGGGGAAGCGAAGTATACGGCGGTACATTGGCAGGCACACACACTACAACAACAACAACAACAACTACTACTACTACTACTACTACTACAAACTACGAGAACAGGCTGAGTCTACCCTACGAAGCAATACAAAGGATGGTAAGAATAAAGGAGCAGAGATAGCAGAGTAGATTGTAAAAATCCACTACGTACAGCCCAGGCTTAGAAACCAAGGGCGACCGATACCGATTCGCAAGGAAAGGCTAGGGTTCAACAGGCAAAGGCAGCGCGTGAGAACACGCCCAGAAAAATCACCATAAGATACACCACAAGCTCGCTGATGCAGATGCCCACGAGGCACCAGGTCATCGCGGTCCGACCATGCGGTCTGGAAAAGCTTCATGCCGGGCGAAGGGGATTTGGGGGATGGAAGAGAAACACGGCTTTCGCGACAGGGAGTCCCCGAGTTTCTCTCGATGAGAGATGTCCTGCACAAGGAAAGAAGACATTACCCGTTCCGTTCCAGCCCTGGATGCAATGAGTTCCACAATTAAAAAGAATGCTCGGTCCGCCGAGGGCCTTGACATCTGGTCACGATTCCAGAATGTCCAAGGGTTCTCAGTAGACCCGCTTTCGTCCTTCAAGGAACCCACAGCTTGCCACGACCACGTCCGTTACCACGAGCACCACCACGGCCAGCGCCGCCGCGACGATTGTTGGGACGACGCGAGGCGCTCGCGTTGTTGCGCGCAGCACCCTGCTGGGTACTCAGGTCAACAGTCGGGGTCTTGTTCGGACCGCCCAACGATCGGCTGAACGAGTTCGGGTCGATGGGCTGCGTGGGGACGTCGATCGGGGCCTCGGTGGGCGCGGGCACGGTCTTCGGAGCGGCCTTGGGCGCCGTCTTGCGAGAGGAACCGGCCCGAGCTCCACGGGAGGAGCCCTTGCCCCGGCCGCGAGGAGCACCACGGGGCACAAAGACCAGTTCATCCTCGTCGCTGTCGTCCTCGTAGGAAAGCAGAGTCTTGGGTTCGGCAGGTTGGGCCTGAGTCTTCTCAACGTATTTGCATCTGTTCTTGTACTCGCGCTCCTCGTATTGAATGGCGGTGCGCAGCTGAAGGATGTTCTTGACGCCGATTCCGAATTTCTGAGCCCATACCTGCGTCGCACGATCGTTCGTAACCAGAATGCAGCTCTTGGCGGTGTTCTCGGCATCGGGGCCGCTGTGCAGACGCCACAGCAGAGCACTCAGCAACGGGCGCAGGACGGGCGGGGCCATGGGGATGATGGTTCCGGAACCAGTGCGCTGGTGTCTGGCCTGGAGCTGCTCGGACTTGTCGGGGATACCGTTCTCATGCTGAGCACACTCCGGGCTGGTGCGCGAACTGCGGGAGGAGGTGCGCGAACCGGGTCCACTGGGCGACCCCACGGAGTCGATGGATGCAGTCTCGGTCTCCTTCTTGAAGTTCAATTTGCTCAGGAGCATCTGCGACAAGTCCTCGGGAGCCGTGGGGCCATTGTTCTCCTGGGTCTGGGGCGCGGAAAAGGATGCATCGCCGTTGTCAAGCGGCTCGGGCTCAGGCTCGGGCTCCTCCTCGAACTCGGGCAGAAAGAACTTCTCCGCATCTTCCCAGCGCTCGTACTGTTCCATCGGGCCCTGAAGGGTTACACGGTCGGCAGTAATGTGGTCTTTTCCGGAGGTAACGCGGTCAAGGAAGCGAACGGCCTCGCGGGCATTGATGGCGACTTGGGATCCGGCCCGCTTCAAGGCGTGGAGACGTTCGAGGGCTAGAAGAAACAGCAGTCAGCCACATTTGCACACCCTCCAAGGACCCTATGGGAGACTGCGGTAATAGCGACCGGAGTCCACGGAGCGTGGAGGGGATCTCTTACTGTAAAGAGGGACAATGAGATCGATGGCGCCGTTGGTGGTCCATTTCTTGATCTCGCTGATGTTCGTGGTCAACGCTGTCTCGTCCACTGCACAGTGAAAGACCTTGCGTTCGGTCGACATAATGGCGAAGGAGCGACGGCTTCGGTTGGGGAGTAGAGGGCCAGGGTGCCCTATACCGGGGAGGTTGAAGAGTTGACAGTCGCAACTGGTCATGGTGGGTTCGGAGTCAGCAGGGAGGAGGTTGTGGTGGGATGTGGGGGCAGAGCGGGCGGCCAGTTAAAGGCTGTCGGCGCTGCGCGAGGGCAATCACTCACGATACAGTGACTGGAGGATCATCTGCCGCATCTTTCTCACGGGCAACACAAAGCAGGGGTGGGCGTGCGATGTCCAGCAGAAAACGAGAGGATGAGGACGATGCAGCTGACTAAGCGGGGTCGGCGGCGGCAACGCGGAAAGAGACAGACAAGAACAATCTAAGCAAACCACGCACTGAGATAAATGAGATGAGATCAGTTCGTGTAAAAGAGGAGTATCATAGCTGCTGGGATGCCTGGGAATCTAAGAGCTAATCAAAATGTAGAATCAAAACAAGTGCCTCCAGGTGCCCGCCATGGGGTATAATATACACCATGCCCGTTCCCTCTACGCCTTCTTCACCTTCTTGATAAGCCCATCGGACTCCTTCACACGCGAAGCCCATTCACTAGATACAGTCAGCAAAGAACAGTCAAGATCGTAAACGAAGGGGAATACTGACGTCCAACTGCCATCATAGACCCGACGCAGGTTCGGGTCTCCATATTCCGCTTCGCCTAGCGCGGTCTCAATGATCGACGCTGTGACACCCGTGCCACAAGAGCTGATAATTGACTGGTCGGGATCCACCTGGCGGCCCTCAAAGACCTTCCGGAGGTCCTCGGCAGGAAGATACGTCTTCGTTTCGGGGTCGAGCAGTTCATTGAACGGCAGGCTCCGAGAGCCCGGCAAGTGGCCGGATGACAGACCTGGTCGCGGTTCAGGGTCGGTGCCAGCCCAGCGTCCATAGCTGCGGGCATCCAGGATTTCTACTTCCTCAGCGCCCTCCTTACCATAGTCCATGGCCAGCTCCTTCATCTCGCGGAAGGAGATCACCAACTTCGAGTCGTAGGTAGGGACAGGGTATTTGCTCTTCTCGACCGGTGCGGGCTCGCCGCTCTCAGTCGGAAGACCCTGCTGAACCCAGAGACGGTAGTTGTTCAGGATGTGAACATTGGGGTGGCCGAAGACACGCAGGGTCCAGCCCACGCGGGGAGCGGAGAAGATCCCTAACTCCGCGGTGTCGTAGACCACCACCTCATCATCGCGACGAATACCCAACTCGCTCATGGCCTCAGCAAATGTCTCACAGGTGGGAAGCATGTGAGGGTAAGGGGAGTCATTGTCCTTGACACCATCGAGGTCGAAGAAGCGGGCTTGGGGGATGCGAGATTGTCGGAAAGAGTCAATTCCTTTGCGACCCTCGGGATCATTGGGCATAAACCAAGCCGCACACAGTGGGATCACTCGGGGAGAGGTCGAGATCTTGGTCGGAGGGTTCTTCTTCAGCGCTTCGTTGAGCTGGGTAGGGGTAACCAGGTATGAGGAGAAGGAGACGTTGCGCTGCAACTGGCGACCGGCAAAGGCCGAGACGGGGGCAGACATGGCTGTGCGGAGGGTGCGTGCGGGCTGCACGGAGCGAAATGCCATGGAAGCCATGTCTCAAGGCGGGCGAGGGCTTTTTGAAGGGCAGTCTGCAGGAGACGTCGGTGATGTGTGGAGGTGCGGAGAAGCTCATGTGATAAACACGATAACCACGCTTATCAGCACGCCTTCCAATGTTTTCTCCCTCCACTTCGGCCGTCCAAAGCACCCCGCTGTCCCCGCCACACGGAATATCCTACAGTCTGTCTGAACTGAGGGGACACGATGAGGGTCAACATCAAGAAGTGGAATGCTGTCGCCACCTGGCACTGGGACATCCCCGAAGACGAGGTGTGCGGCATCTGTCGCGTCCAGTTCGACGGCACCTGTCCGACCTGCAAATTCCCTGGCGATGACTGCCCTCTGCGTACGACTCGTTCCACTTAGACGACTAATTGACAAATGCTGACCGGTAACGCAGTCAACGGAAAATGCGGCCACTCGTTCCATATGGTGAGACCCGAAACCCCTTCCCCCCACGCGTTTATGAGATCTACTGACGAACTCGGCGGCCAGCATTGTCTTATGACCTGGATCCAGCAAGAGTCATCTAAAGGACTGTGTCCGATGTGCCGACAAAGTATGTCACTCTATCAACCCGAGATCGTGACCGGGAAATTCAACTAATGGCCCTAGAATTTGAATGGAAAAAAAAGGATAAAAAGCATAAACATTGACGCGGATCGTCCATTATTACATGCATGCTTCGCGCGGCGTTCAATGAGCTCAAGGATACCCCTGCTTCTTATCTTTCTGTATTATTTTGCTTGATGCTTATCTCTTGGCGCGTTTGGTATTGCCTGAAGAAATTTGGGCTAAGGTTGTTCGGATGAACAGCCGATCCGAGATCCATCTGATGTTGCTCTTCACGAAACTGTCCCATTATTGTATCTCGATTCAATGGCGATTGATAATTGATAGACAAAACTCCATGGTGCCCTTCATTGTTCAATCAGTTTGCATTAGTATGTGCGACGGGTAGTAAGGCACTTCACAATCTTGAAGTACTCCATCTCGGAGTGTTTTGACTGTGGTGCTAGTGTTTCGTACGCGGATAATGTCGCTCTCCGCCGGAAGCGGCGGAGAGCGACATGTTGGATATAAATTTGAAACGGCGCCTTAACCAAGGAGCGCAAAAATTCAAAGGACACTGCTTAAAACAAGACCTTTCGAGGCCATCCCTTGCATATTATATACTTGATGGCATCACTGTTGATTGCTGGGGTCGCGCCGAGTCGAAATCTGGATTGGGAAGTATTGCCAGCATCTTTCCCCCACAAGCTGTGGCGAACAGCCGCGCTTTCGCTGCACCGCGCAAAGTTGTCTCGAAATGGGAAAGTCGCAAAGTCCGGGGAATTGCAAGTTCGCGTCAGACACTTCCATATTTGGCCCATTTGTCCTAAAGATCGGGTATTGCGCGTTGGGCAACCTCACTTGACTCCATGCAATCGACTTCCCCATGCAGAAGAGCTCTCGCAGGTGTTGCCAAACAGATCAGTCCAAAGAAGGAGTTATCTGAAGTACATGCCCTTGTTCTTCGCGACTGGGCATTCATAGATACACATGAGAGGGGGCCTATCGATCCATATCTGGGATAGCAGCCCCTAGGGGCGCCTTCAACATGCGATACAACACTCCCCGCGAGAAAAATCCTTCAACACAATTCCGGCCGAGAGTCTGGGGGCTTAACCCAGCACGATTCGGTCAATTTTATTCCGATCATCAAGCGCGTTGCCAATGCATCAAATCGGAATTTCACGGCGCAGTGCCTCGGTATGCCGGTTCGATAGCCATGCGACATGAATGAAGGTCCGCTGGTGGCGAGGGGAGGCTGAAACCCTCGTGGAAACTAGGTGCGCAGATCCCTACCTTTCTAGTACTGGCACGAACCCTCTGGCGGAGATACCGAATCGGGCAGTATTCCCAACTGCCGCCAAAGTGGACTCTGGACTGACCTCATCCGGAGTTCAACCCCGCGCTGCTGGTCTGTACAGTCCCAATCCTCTGCCATGCAGAAGCTCTCCAAGAAGTTGGAGAAGTGGGGCACCAAGACATGGACGGCATCCTAACGTTTTTTATTTGCGAGTGAAGCTCGGTATGTTGGCCGTCTTACGCATAGCGTGGACGTTGCATGGTGCAGCACCGTGCTCTTAATGAATCAACTGGGGAAATCTCTCAATAAGGAAGCCTGCTCAGCCTTGGCTGGCTCACCCCATCTCAGTTTATCTGACTCCGGCCTCCTTTAAACGATGGAACTCCGCATCGAAGCCGAGGTCCTATCTTCCAACTACAAGACTTGTCGTCGACATCCTAACACCTCAGACTCCTGATCCCGTTAAGTCCGAGCTCTTAATTCTATCATGTCCTTTCACGCCAAGCTCTCCCACGATGGTTATATCTATACCAAGCACGACGGTCTGGTCCAGGGTCTTCGTACCTACGGTGTGATTCAGCCTGAGACCAAGATCCGTGACGCCGATGCCGGGAAAGTCTGGGACGCCGTCATCATTGGTGGTGGATATACTGGCCTGATTGCTGCCCGTGATCTGGTCAAGGCCGGTATGTTGATTAAAATATAGCCCAAGAAAGGCGAGATGAGCCGTGCGAAGTGAACGATCCTAACTCGATCGTACTGTAGGCAAGGAGACCCTCCTCCTCGAAGCCCGCGACCGTATCGGAGGTCGTACCTGGTCTGCCGAAGTCGATGGTACGACATACGAGATGGGAGGCACCTGGGTCTCACATGTTCACGGTCGACTCTTTGCGGAGATGCAGCGTTACGGTCTCAAGGACGACGTTCAGATGACCCGGACCGATGGCGGTGGCTGCTCTTACTTCACTCTCGATACTGGCACCGGCTCGCGAAAGCTCTCTCTCGAAGACGCTGGTGCCATGACCCAGCGCGCCTGGAAGCTGTTCATGAACTACGACGGCCTCGACGGTCGAAAGCTCTGCCCCCTGCCCTACTCCACCCTTGGAAACTCCCGTGTCTCCTTCGAGGAGGTCCAGGCCGTTGACCAGATGTCCTGCCGAGATCGCATCAACCAAATCAAAGACCAGCTTTCCGCTGATGAACTTGCCCTACTCGAGTCTCTTGTCCCTCACATGTGCGCCGGGACCGTCGAGGATGTCGGCTATCTTGAGATGCTGCGCGCACAGGCTCTCCAGGGTTTCTGCCCGGAAACTTTCGAGGAGGTCTGGACTCTCTACAAGATCCGCGAGGGTCAATCCGCCCTTGCTCGACGCATCTTCGATGATGCCGTTCGCCTCGGTCTGCAATACTCCTTCAATTCTCCTATCAAGTCGATTATTGACCGTCATGGCGTTGTCTCCCTCGGTACAACCACCGATAAGTCTTTTCGCGCCCGCCGTGTCGTGAACACGATTCCTCTCACAGTTCTACATACAATCCACTTCGACCCCCCCTCTCTCCTCTTCGCCAGGAGGCCATGCGAATTGGCCACCTCAACCACCTTACCAAGGTTCACGCCGAAGTTGAGGGCGATCTGCGCGGTCTCCGCGGTTGCACTTGGCCCGGTGACCTCCTGTATGTCTACGGAGATGGCTTCTGTGCTGGAAACAAGTCCACTCGTATCATCTCGTTTGCTGGTGACAACCGAGGGAAGCTCGATCCTCTTAAGGAGCCCGAGCGCCTAGAGATTGCCCTGCAACGCTTCCACCCGATGAAGATCAAAAAGGTGCTCTTTCACGACTGGCTGTCTGACCCCTATTCCCAGTCTGGCCCTGCGTGGTACCGCACTGGCTACCTCACCAAGTATCTGGCTGAGCTGCAGAAGCGACACGGCAATGTTCTGATGGCCAACTCAGACTGGGCTTCGGGCTGGCGTGCGTTCATTGAGGGTGCTATGGAACAGGGTGCCCTTGCTGCGGATACTGTAATGAACGAGATTGGCATTCTCGGTGCGAACCCATCCAGCGATCCTGAGCGTGATGCGCGTCTTTAAATTGTGTATTAATTTTAATCTGTTCGAGATTATGGCACCAAGTTAAACGGGGCTTCTTGTAGAAAATCGTTTTACTGCTATAGGTATTACTAGGTATCCATGCAACCATAGGACAGTAAATTACCGAAAAGTCAGTCCAATAATGATGTTCAAGTTGTGATGTACATAATGTATGTTCATCACATGACGGCCAATTCCAGATTGTTTGTGTCCTTCGTTTTGTGCCCAGAGAATAATGATGTTTATATTGGTACAACCATCAATCAAAATATCTGTTGTTGTTCTGGCAGGGATGTATGAGAATAGACTTTCAAATATGTGATACTGCATGCTTCTACCCCTCCTCCCTCTCCAAAAGGAAAAGGAAAATTGAAGTGACGGGGAGATGATATCATTCTACTCAACTTCGCACTCTCCTATGTACAGGAAGATAAATAAGGCTGACCTAGTAAATCTTGAGGTTCCGTCAAAATACTGCTTGAGTTTCTTAGTTGTATAGACCACCGTTGGCGCAGAGGACAGAGCCGGTTGTCCATTTTGCATCCTCCGTGCACAAGAAGGCAACCAGAGGGGCAATGTCATCTACCTCGGCGACACGAGGGGCGGCTGGTGTAGATTCGATCATGGGCTGCATATCCTTGAGGAACTGCTCGTCACTCTGGAACCATTGGTCTGCAAGCTAGTCAGTCATCGGAAACCTCAGAATTTAGAATGTAATTGCTCACCAGTAGCAACGGGTCCAGGGTTGACGCAATTAACAGTCACGCCGTGAGAGTGGCCCAGCTCCTTAGCCCAGACACGAGCTAGCGCTTCATTGGCAGCCTTAGTGGGCCCATACACGGTGTGGCCAGCAAAACCGAGGCGGGCGGCCGCGGAGGAGACGAAGACGATGCGACCACCACGGGGGAGATAGGAGAGAGCAGCCTGAGTGAGGAAGATAGGGCCGCGGACGTTGCAGTCGAAGTGCGAGCTGTACATATCCACCTTGAGGTCCTTCAGGTCGGCCTCTTCACCAAGAGCGGCGCTAATTCTTTTGTCAACAAATTGCGCTATCCTTGTTTGGACCACAAGGGCGACTCACTTATGAATAAGTATATCAATCTTTCCGTCCTTGCTGATCTTCGTGGCGGCATCGATGAGACGCGGGATCCCTTCAAGGTTCATCACACTCGCCTGGAAGACGATGGCCTTCACGCCCAGTTGCTCAATCTTCTGAACAATCTCCTCTGCGCGATTCTTACTACCCTCGGAGACATAGTTGACGACAACGTTGGCGCCGCGCTTGGCGAGCCGGAGGGCGATTGCGGCACCGATAACCCTAACCATCATTAGTCGCCAGCTTTGTTAAAATTTTTGATTCTAGGTTGTTCCTGTGCATACCGGGAAGATCCAGTAACAATGGCAGTCTTTCCCTCAAGAGAAACACCGGAGAAGTCCGGCATATTGGCGGGATTCGGTTTTGATCCGGACGAAAGCCAATGGAATAAGGCAAAATGAAACGATGTCCATCTCGAAAATTACAGCGACAATGAATATATAGGTTCGGACAAGGTTGAATGACTTCATTGCCCCTCTATATGCCCCTACTAACACACAGCTGGTGTGGTTGACTTTCATACCGGATGGGGAACATCACCGCTTCAGGAAGATCTCCCAGCTCTGGATCTACGCCACCCCTCATCATCAACCCGACATCCAGTCGATTTTGGTCCGAAGTACGGGGTCGACAAATGGACGTTTGTAAGCGACCGAGAGAAGACCGACGTATGAAAAAAATTCTCAAGAAGGCCAAGGGCGCCGGCTAATGTCTAGACTCAACTACTCTGTGGAACCGCTTGAGTGCCAACGCGCTGTCGTAGGCACCGTCGCGCTGTAACTCAGAATCATGAAGTGTCAGGAGAGCATCAGAGGCGCATATCCAGATTATGGGGCTTGTCGGTCTTTTGATGAATATCGCGATCCACGCCCTGATTTCCTATCTGCGGCCATCGGTTGCTGTTTCTGCAGGATGTCTTGTCAGTGGAGTCGCGCCCCTGCTTCTAGCCACACTCTGTCGTCTTGATGGTCCTGGATATTGGCGTGGTATATCAGGCCATGGCCCTTAATCGGCATCGCACGATCCAATCTAATCTGTCATATACTAGAGTAGTGGGTCTCACTGGGCGCGGATCTGATATACACCATTGCGAGCTTGGTGATGACAGCAGCATTTCCAAAACAGACGCAGGCTTTGGCTGGCGGTGTCTTCAACATGCTTGCTTAGATTGTTCAAAGTGTCGGAATTGCGACTTCTGCGATCATTGCGGGTCAGAGCACAACTGTGTCAAAGCGGGTCAGCTCTAAGGAAGAACTTCTGCTCGGTTACCAAGGCGGGTGGTGTTATAATTGTGCTTTGAGCTTTGTCTCTGTTGCAGTCAGCTTTTGTGGGCTAAGGAGCCTTGGGGATCTCGAAATCAAAAGAGATTAAAGGAATGAGTTTAGTTAACTACTTGCGTTCGCGATATTCTGCCTTAGGCACCGCGGCGAAATCGTCGTCGGAGCGCTACTGCGTTTTTTTTGGGGGGGAGGCGTAAGGGGCAACTTGTATTGTCACGAGCGAAGCGCACTAGGGAAGTGAGAAACAAATTATCCCATTTCCATTCGATCGCACTACTTAAGCTCCATTTTCTGTTGTTCGAGAGCAGTAACCCAATCTCACGCCTGTTGTATCACGTGCGATATTCGGCCCGATAAGGATGTACTCACGTGCCGATAAGAGCTTCGCACGAGGAGAGGCAGTCATCCCAACGTCTCCACACCCACGATGCAGTGGAGATGTCGGCTCACCCGTCCCATGCGTTTTCTCCCTCCGGGGACACATCCAAGGCTCACGCCAGATCGCCTCCGACCCATCCCGACCTTTCCTCCCGAATTAGCGATCCTTCCATCAAAGAAACCGAGCCGTCTGTAGAGACGGAGCAACCACCAACCATCTCGCCGAGCTATGATCCTGCAAGGAACGAACAAGGATGCCCGACATCAGGCACAGATAATGTCGAACCGGATGAAAACATTTCAGAGCAATCGTTTCAGCCTTTCTTCACCATCCTCGCGGATGCCCATAGCCCCGTAATTCATCACCCAACGGTGCACTATATATTCTCCGATGACGACACCGATATAATCAAGGAAGCCGGGTTTCGCAGTCTTCACATGCAGAGAATCACTATACCCTCAATAGAAAAAGACAGTGAGCTCGAAGATGATCACGAGGGTTCGACCGAGCATGACCCGGAAGAAGAGGAGAAACCCGCTCTTCCACCTGCGATTCCTGGCGTCCGAACCCACTACCTCCTCCTCGACGTCAAACCCTTCGCAACTGCCGTCGAAAGGAACACTAGTGCAGTCCAAAATATGAGCACCTTCCCATCAGTACCAAGTGCGAGCCCTTCGAACCCGGTATCTGCCTTGCCGAAACCCGACCAACCCGCTGGGCTCCATACTCGAGCTCAATACCGTGTGAACTCCGCAAAGAGCTTCTCTCCAACTTGGCAAATTCTCAATGCAGAGCTTGTTCCTGCGCCAACATTCGACTATCAGGATAACAGCGATGCACAGTCTCATGGAATGATGCTGAATATTCGTGGGACATCCGGCGCTCCACAGGAACAGCGGAACAAGGAAGAGGGACTAGAGGATTTGATGGATAGGTTTGAAAGCCAGATGGCAGAGCTACAGGCCGTGATCGATTTGGCGAAGGTGGAGGAGAACCCGAGAGATGGACAGGCTGATGAAATCCCAGCTATGACCACGGCTGCAGAAAATAACTGAGCCTTAGGAAGGGCCAGGGCTTTTATCAGCTTAGATATTTCTCCATGCTAACATTATCTTATATGTTGACGTTCATACGGTAATAATTTTGGCGCATTTAACAAGCACGGCGTTTGGCGAAGTCTGATTGGAACGAATTCTGGCTTTTTTGGTCTCATCTATCTCCACTATCTCTAGTCCAGAAAATCTACAATGTTTTTTTTGAAGATCAATTGTTCCATATGAAGTTACACTGACATGTCATAAGTCCCAAGGGAATGTTCGCCCCAGTGGCTGGGAAAATTCACGTCTAGGAAATTCTGGAAATAGATGCTGAATGAGCCCTCCTTCAACGACAATAAATCATTACTCTCAAAGAAATGATCCAAATCGGAGGAAGGATCTTCTGCCGACAATGTCTCGTCCCGGATATCGATGTTGGCCTGAGTGGTGTCGACGTTTTCCAGATTGAGAGAGTCGGCTACTGGACCGCCAAAAGTATTGGGCATGTCCAAGTTTTCACTGGCTGGTAACAGAGAATTAGCAATTTCAACCGCTGCCTCATTGTTGACTTCTGATGTATTTGGTCGTTCATGGTGTGTTCGACGGTGGCTGCTATCCAATGCATGCTTGCCTAAGCGCATCATCACTGCTGCTGACCACCATATTTCGCCAAGTGAGCCAATGCGCTGATGAAAAATTGTCAAATTTTCCCTTGCCAATAGCTGGTGACTTGGTAGCTTGGAAGTCTGCGATTGTCTGTACGCAATCGAAAAAGCCAGCGAAAGGGTATAGGCAGAAACGGATAGGGGTAACAAATCCCGAATTTCCTTTCTGCGACAAAGTGCCGCAATAGACAGAATCGATTGACGCTGGTGAATGATAGACGTTCGTGAGTTCTTTCGACTTTGCAGTTCATTTGAATAGGTTGAAAGAATAATGATCGCATGATGGTATAGCTCGAGGGAATCTTTTTTTTTTTTTGTCAGCTAGTAACCGAACAAAGCTCCGGATCTTGCATACCTAAAATTCCAGGTTCTGTGTCGTATGACATAGAGCTCTCCACAATATCTTCAAATGGAGAAAGATCGGGACACTGATCAACATCCACATCCGGCGTTGGTCGAAAAGAGTCAATAACATGACCAAGTTGATCCGCTAGCAGCAGCCAAATGCGAAATGGGGGTTTGAACAGGGAAAGAACATCCGTCACTTTCTGGCCATGATCCCGATCATGAATCAAGACCGGTCTCCCATTCATGGCCGAATTCCATCTATCGAGGCTCCACAGGCACCAGAACAGCGATTTTGCTTTCATGGAAGATTCGCCATCCGGTCTTCGTAAGTGCAAGCCAATTGTCTGTGCATGATGAACAGCTTGAGACAAGCTTAATGAGCTGTCCTCTGACCCATTCGGGCCCCATTCGTGCAATGACAGCAATATCAGGATCTGGATAGTTGTGATCCTATTTCCCGCTTCTCTGCCGGGCATATTGCGCAGGATATCTTTGTAAATCCTTTGAGCGAATGTCTTGACCTGCAGAGGCTCCGCTCCTGGGCCCAAGAATAAGAAAGATACCGCGTCGCGATCCTTTGCTGCGGCAAGACATATAGACTGGAGAAGAAAAGGGGAGATTGTGCCATTTATGAACTGGGAGCGTGTCTCGTCTTCGTCAAGGAATGGTAAAACAGGATGGATACGACGGAAGTAGATCGCAAGCAATCCGTTTTGACATGCTCGTGGGGGTAGGAGAGCGCGATCACGATAGGACTGTTTATTCTGCTGACACATATGCGCTTCTTCTGATGGATGTTGACTTTGCTCTTCATACAGCCAAGCTCCAACATCTCCTCTTTTTCTAACTTGGCCTTTGAGTAGTCTCGCTTGAGGATCGTCCATCAAGGCGACCAGAGGATTTGAGTCGCACGCAAATCGAGGAGGCTCATGACTTTCGCATGCGTCTGCAACATTTTGGGTCGATTCTTCGCCGAATCCCTGCGATTCAGACAAGTGCCGACTTTCATCTCTAGCTTCGGCCTGGTCGGGGAGGGCAATCAATGGTGCAGAGCCTTCAACGTCCTTTGTATCGGAGTGACTGCCGTGCAAACACCGTTTCTGGAGCTAAAGGTTAGCTCATTGTCCGGGCAGATTGATGATATTCAGAGCACTGGATTATACCTTTTTGTGGCGGCATGTTGTACACGCTCGTCGGGGTCTTTTCACATTAGGATCATAGCTCCCGACCAGAAATGTCAGTTCCATTGTGGTATGACTCGTACAATAATCACAGAAAGATACAGCTTGACCTGTGTACTCGTCCGTCACAGAAATCACGACGATGGTGAGTTTAGAGCTAATTTTATCACCTGACAGCCACGCGGCGGAGGCGTGACGAAAAAGGCAATCGCCGCCGCGCGGGCCTTCCTATGTGGATGCCGTCCCAGAATGGAAGTAATCCCAGCGGGCTTAAGTCTTGGCGCTCGGTGCACAGCGTTCAGAAGTACCGCGTAGCTAAGGTAGGGCTGAATGCTGTGCTCATCTGATCTACTAGCACGAAAAGCCAGAAGCTCATATCTGCTGTTAGCTAATGCACTACTATCTAGTCTGAGGGTCGATTTAGCACACTTCTCAGAAGAAAGCAGAGCATGGCTTGGATTGCAATGATGAGTCGTAAGATCGCACATCATTGACAAGAAATATTCAAGCTCGTTGGATACATAAAATCTTTTATTGTTTTGAGCCAAGCACGGCCCAGAGATATCTCCTGTGTCACTTGATGAGAAATTTTTAGTGACGTTGGTTTCCGCCCCAGATTAGGAAGGTCTCCGCCAACCACAATAGACCCCCGCGATATAAAAGCAGACTCGGGTTACTGACCCTTGGGAGAATTAATCTATATATCTACTGCTATCTGATTGCAAAAATGTTCTCGCGCAATGCGGAAGCTTATGACTTGCGGTGAGTCGAATGGGTCCACCATGAACTCAAGTTGCATTGGACGTACACTAATGCGCAACCTTGTCTAGGCTTGATCAGGCATGCGTATTCATACAGGATGATTCAACTTGCGTTAAAGGAAAATTTCACATCTATCTACCACGCTCCGCCTCTCTCAAAGACATTCGAGTGAAGCTGATCGGTTCCATGAATCTGTAAGATGCCAGACAAGGCTCCCACAATGTACATCCATTGCTGACACGACTACGACTAGGCCACGGGATGACTCACTCTTCGAGAAGACTCGTGAAATTCTCACATTGCTATCGGACCATGCACTAGGCTCATCGAAGACACTGAACTCATTTCAACTGTCGGCGGGAAACTACGAATTCCCCTTCAGCATCCCATTACCAAGCGCCATGACAGATACTGTTACAGGCCCAAAGCACATGTACCAGATGTACTACGTGCAGGCCACTATTGAGCGTCGTTTCAGATACAACACCGTGGTATCCCAACCTATTCGAATTTATCACCCTCCCGTACTTGGTCAATTGATGCCTTCCGATCCTATGGTATGTCTTCCAGCCCCAGTACGAGGTTCAATCAGTGCCTAACAATGCATCATTCAGACTCTGGAAGGGCAAACAAAAACGGACATTCAATATTGCATTTCCATGCCAGATTTAAATGTTCCATTTGCAAGCAGCTTTACAGTCAATTGTTGGATCGCTCCTCTTTCAAAAAATTTGAAATTGCGCAATGTCTCCCTCGCCGTCATCGAGAAGCATTACCTTCGAGTAACGGCTACAGCTGCCGAATCTGTCATGCATAATGTCATGACGAGGAATTGGACACGTACCTCCACGATCTTTTCGGCTGAGCAGAAGTTCTCTGGGGTTACTGGTTCCCCAGATGATCTTTCGCCGGAGTGGAGCCTAGATTTGCCAGTGCATTTGCCCGACAGTTTCGATCTTGCCTCACAATCAGTCTCAACGAGCTCTATCAATATAATTCATGAGGTCGTGGTCCAAGCTGAATTTGAAAATACAGAGATACATGCAGTGGTAAAGGTAGGGAAAACTGCGTACTTTGTATATAGAACCATACAGCTGACTGGCATCCAGATGGACGCTAAGATACCTTTTTCGATATACATGACACCTGCTGTGATTGGTGAAGACGCAACAATTCATAATCAGAGCATTGAATGCTTTTCGAATATTGGCGAAACTCCTCCCCCCTACGGTGACCACAAAGCCGATGCGATACTCTTGGCGTGGGAGGGAAATCTGAGAAGACTCGGCTTGGAGACTTCGCCAAGTTTCAGCGACCAATGCTGCCAGCTAGAACTTGCAAATGCTTCTTCACAATACATTGGGAGCTCAGCTAGCATTGAACCACCTGCTTACGGTTCTTATCCTACTGCATAATCATTTTAAACATTTCGGCTTCAAGAGAGCTCAAAAGTTGGTTCAACGGCCATTTCAATGTCAAGCACAGAAGTAGCAATAGCATTGTAATATTACGATAGTAATCCTTAAACCACAAAACAGTTCAAAAGCCTGCAGCTTTCTCAGTCCCTAACTCCGTTCCCGGGAAGATCCAAAACGCATCTGGGTATCAAGATGTCACACGAATCGAAACAAAGTAAACAGAGGTGAATGCAGGGGTACTCCATCTAATGCGACCCGTTTCGGTGGGTTCTGCGGCCAGCGATACCAGATGGAGGCACGTTCTCTCGGCCCTCCATCATACCGGCCATCTTTTTGGAAAGCATTTTGTGGGGAAGCTTACTCTCTACGGTGGTGTTCGTAGAGTTGGAGGTTGAGCGACGCTTCTTGAGAGGCGGCTCGAATTCATCCTTTTCGGGCGTGTCATCAAGCTCCATAGAGGCATCCTGGGCGGGGGTCTGCGGCTTGCCGGGGTTCGCTTCCTCTTCATCACACTCGGCTGGTCTGGCGACGTTTACATCGACTTCCCTAAGGCCAGTGTTGGAAGCGGTCCCGGACGACGAAGGATGATGATTTCCTACCTCTTCCGCGGCATCGCTATACACATAGGAACGCTTGGACGGGGATGCAGTTGGGGAGCGGATGACGGAGTTTGGATGGATGTCTTCATTAAAAGGAAGCGCGGTGAATTGCTTCGAAGTTCGGTGCCGAGAGCGAAGACCATCGTGGGATTCGGTTCGGGGTAAAGTAGAAGGGTATTCGTAATGTCGCTTTTGAGGAGTCACACCGGTCGGCACGTACTCTTTCAGTGGATTGCCTTGCACACTGTCTCGCAGCTCGTTAAGCGGCTGTCGAACCTCTTGTTGCAGTGGCGCGGTTGAATGCTGCAGGTTCTCGGTATGCATATCCGCGTCTTCCTGAAGCTGTTCAACCCGCTCAGTGAGACCATTGAGCTGGTCATCCACAGCCAAGTGAGACTCTCGGACATTGCTGGACATGGCATTCAGACTGCCCAGCTGTACCTCATGGAAGCGGCCGTTTTGAGACCGAGCCTTTGCAACGAAGTCATCAAGGGCTTCCATTTGTGTGCTCATGTCGCTCATTTGGGCATTCACAATGCGAACAGTCTCCTGATGCACGGATTCGGTAGCCCGTTGAATAGAGGCATTTCGTTGATCGAAATTCTGTTTGGGTTAGTGGGTTAAAAATCGAAATGAAGATCTGGAGATTCTTACTTCCCAATCGCTCTGCATCTTGGCCTTCATATCATCCCGAGATGCAGCGACATCCTTGGCAAACTGTTCCTCCTTGAAAATCCATTCATCGACGTGTCTGTCGTGTTGCACTGTCGCCTGCTCGAGAGAGTCGCCGGAGGTGGAGAGATCCGTTCGCACGGTATCGAACTTGCCCTTCAGGCGGTTGGCTTGGCGTTGGCTGGACTCATCCAGAAGATTTCGAATTTGGGACATGAGGGTTTCGCGTTCAGCTTGAGCACTTGCATGCTCCTCTTCAAGAACCTGTGCAAGATTGGATGAAGCCTTGCGGTTGGCCTCGATCGACTGACGGTTGGCTTCTTGCAGCTCTAGACGGAGCTTATTGATTTCGGATTTTTGTTGCTCGATGTGAGAGGTCATGTTTTCGAACATGCCCTTGAGATCCTTTCCGAGAACACTGTAGGATGAATGCAGCTGGGAATAAAACTCGCCAAATTCGCCGATGACCTCCTTTGAGATCCGGGCAGCGGCAGCAGACAATCCATTCAGACCTTCGCCCACTTTGGTCTTCACATCCTCGCGAAGAACCTTGATTTCTTCCAAAACCTCATTCATCTCGTCGTGTGCACTGGAAGTTTGGCTCTTCGCCTGGGCCTCGACTTTATCGAAAGAGTCACCAAGCTGCTGGAACTTCGAGCGAGTGGACTCGACAGTGTTCAACTCGCTATCAACAAATTGGTGGATTCGAGTCGACATGCTGTCCAGAAGCTTAGCATGCTGTGACTGGAAATTCTCCATGCGAGCATCGATTTGCTGGGTTACACTAGAGACTTCTCCGGTCGATTCCTGCCAGGTTTTGCGGTTGTCGGTTTCCAGAATTTCTTTGCGGTCCAATTTCGCGTGGAGGCCGTTGACATCTGCAACAGTGTGATCCAGTGTTGTCAGAATGTCAGCGCCAATTTCGCGAAGCTTGGCTTCGGTGTCCTGGTGAGCCTTGCGCACAGCCGTCTCTTCGTCCAATCTCTCCGATGTGTTCTTCAGCGTCAACTCCGTCTCCGCCAGATCAGACCTGGTGTTGTTAAGTTTCCCCAAGGTCTTTTCGTTGTCCTGCTTGAGGGTGTTGAAGTTACTTGTGAGAGTGAACAGCTCCTGGACCTTGTGGCGAAGGCTGGATTCCATAGACTCAATTTTGGCGCGTTGTTCCTCGTTGACGATCCTTCGGGATTCGCTCTCCATGGTCATCTCTTCATGTGCCTCCGGCGTCATGTAAACACCGTTGCGGTGGCGGGTGGCGATGAGTTCACTCTTAAGCCGCTCGATTTCCATTCCGATTTCCCGGAGGAGTTTGTTTTTTGAAATGATGGAATTGATCTGAGGTTTGTTGCGAATGTTCTTCGCACGGAAGGCATAATCCAATGTTGAGATCGTTTCCTCCAAGTTGCTCCGTGAAGGCGACACCGTCGCAATAATGCATGTCTTGGTACGACCGCCCAGCGAGTCTTGCAACAGACGTGTCAACTTCGATTCACGATATGGAATGTGGGAGCCCTTGTCCACCAGGGCGTTGATGACCCGGCCCAGTGTCAGCAAACTCTTGTTTATCAAGCCAGCCTCAGTTGCTCTCTTGTTTTCTGCACCACTTCGCCCAATGTTCTCACTTCCAGCCAGATCCACAAGGTTGAGTTTGCCGGAGCTGACGTATTCTTCACCCGAGTCGGTGGTACGGTTAGTCAGGACCGTGATGGTGAATATGGTGTGACTGCGGGAACTGAGATCATTGCACTTGGTCGCGGCAACTTGACGCTTGTGACTTCCAAGCTGCAAGAGTTTAATGCCGCTTGAAGCAGAATCGATGTAAGTTTCCTCCATACCCTGGACAATAGTCGCGGCATGGCCTTTCTTTTCGTTCTCGAAAATCTTCAACTTGGCGTTGTCTTCGGCGGATAGGAGATCGCGAAGTTCTTCGTTGTACAATTCGATGAAAGAGCATTTGACTGTACTTTCTGTGTCTTCGAGTTTGTGGAATAGGGAGTAAAGCGTGCGGGGGATGATGCCTGCATCATCGGACAAAATACCGAGGGTGTCGGTCATGTCGCCTGACATGGTATACGTTTTTCCTGTTCCTGTCTGTCCATACGCGAAAATCGTGCAGTTAAATCCGGCCAGCATCTTGAGATTATGTTAGAGCATTGCCATTGCGAAGCCAGTATATAGAATCAGGAGACAAACCTCGTGAACGATAGGGAGAACTGTATCTTCAAAAATTCGTGTTTGGTCGGCCGCCGGCGAAAACACCTTGTCGAATGCATACGTCTTGTTGGAAAGGGCATTTGGACCCATCGAAAGGTCCACCGTTTTACCATTCACGCCTTCTGGGGTGGACAGGACAACGCCGCTGTTCTCCTTGACTTCGCGCTGGTTGCGACCGCGGCAACGCACCACCACATGGATGCTGGTATCTTCGTTGATTTCACGTTCATAATCTCTCTCTTTGCGCTTCCCCATGGGAGCGGAAGCAGAAGCAGACGATTGTTCAGGGGTGGGTTTCGAGTATCGGGTCGCAGGAGTCGGCGCGGCCTTCGTTGACACCGCAGGTGACGCCTGCGCCCGGTCTGGCACCGTGGAACCCGCTCGGCGTGTAGGCTGTCGCAAATTAGACCTTCTCGCGGGAATCGCGGAGGCGGGCCGAGCTGGGCCGGCCATGGTGATGCGAATTGCAGAGGTTGAATCGCAATGGGGTGGGGATGTGTATGGGTTAAGGGGGAAGTCGATCCGTGCATACAAAAAGTGCTGGCGGATCGTTTGGGCAAAACATAAACAAAGCGCACGTGACGGGTCACACTCCCCTCTCATGTGATCACATGACCCCGCGTCATCGGCCCCCTCTTTCATGTTCCTCGAGTCTCCTCTCCGCGACCTCCATCGGTGCTCTCGATCTTCTCGATACTCTTGTCGGATGGGGACACACAGAATAGACACTCTGGCAAAATGACTGCCAGTTTGGCACCGGTTCACATCTACCCGGGCAAGGGCCTGGGCTTCATAAGTATGCCCTCGGATGATCTGCACGCGGGGAATCTACTCAGCTCATACATTCACGCAGCTCTCGGTTCTTCACTGCACAACGTTTTGACTCGAGTCAAGTCCCACCCTCAGACCTATCCCGCGATCGATCTGGCTTACTCGTCTTCGGACCCCCTGCGCAACCCTGTCGTTCTGAAGCTACCTGCAAACGGACTTCGCCTCCGCTTCGATGGGCCGGACCAGCGTCTGCGCCTGATCGAAGTAGTAGATTTTTCCCGGGTGAATTTGGTGTACAAGAACCAAGATGTCATGAAAGGTGCCAAGTCAGCGGAGCAGCCGACATCCTCCCAGGGACCCAGCTTCCGACATGTCTACAACCGTCTCTTCGGACCATCGTACCCGGGAGAATATATACCTCGATCAGACCAGTCTCCATATGGCACCTACGTACTCTCTTATCCCGGCGTTGCTTTCTCCTTCCCACTCCAGCACTCAGCTTGGTCCGACCATTGCGATTTCGTAGCACTTCTTTCTTCGTCAGCAGCACAACCAGCTACCTCGATGGCCATCTTCCAAGGGTCCTCGTGGCCCGAGGTCCGCGCGAAGCTGTTCACCCAACAGCCGCAATACCCACGCGCTTCTGCAGTGGTCAGCAAAACGCGAGAATCGTTTGCCGATGAGGTCGAAGAATTCCGTATTCTTGGGGCTGGAAGATTGGAAGTGTCGCGTCGAACCAGTCCGCCGGTCTCTATCATACTTGGAGAAACCACGCCACAGGACTTGATCGCCGAATTTGGCCCGCCAGATGCCATCTACCGTAAACACGACCGACGCATATCAATCCATCGCGCCACCGGCGCCGTTGGCGGAGACACCCTGAACCCAAGTCTATCGCCACGAGGAGGTATTGAAATTGCCGATACTGATCATTCATCTAGCAACAGTGTCACTGATGACTCGGACGAGGAGACATTGGGCGGACAAGTCAGCGATCCAGCCTCGGTGCCGGCCGAGAGTTTCTTCAACTATTTCCACCATGGCTTTGACGCATTCATATCGCATCCATCTACACCGGGCCCGGCGTTCCCCGGCTCAGGATTGCCTGACCCGACAGGCCCGTCCGCGTCCTTGTCGTCGCAGTTGACTGTGACCAAGATCATCCTCCATGGAAATGTCCCAGGATCATACCCATTCAACCGCCACCGTCGCAGTCGCTGGTCAATTCATCTGGACCAATCTAGCGAAGAGCTAAATGCCGAGTCGCACTTCGATGAGGTTTCTGAGCGACTCCGCGGCGTGTGGAAAGGATCATATCCTAACTCGAAGGAGGGGCGCGCCATGCAAAGACCGATGGTGTTGAACCGCGGCTGGGGTGATAGTCCTGAAAGCAGCGTTGAATTTCTTGGGGGCTGGGAAGAAACCACTGCCAAAGGACAACGATCTGGGTCTGATGGGCATGATGGCGGGCTGGGCAATACAGAACTCTTCGGATTCCCGGGACTTCTGTTTGAAGTCCTCAAGAACGGTGCGGTTAGCTGCCTGACGGTCTATTGAGGCGACACTCTTAGCCCTCCATCACTTATTTTATTATGCGACACGACCTGACGACTGGGTTCTACTTTTGGCGATTTGTAAACATTCGCAATGCATGTAATATTTGTATTTAGATTTCATTTCTTACGTCATATTTGGCATGCTAAATTGCGTAAATTTTGTTACCGTCGGTAATCCCGCCCGAGCTCCGCTGCTCTCCCGCGATCGTCGAATTTCGCATTTGAACTTCACACCTCGAACATCCGAGAGGATATGCAGGGAGAATGCAACCACCAGGGCGATCGCTCCCTCGATCCTGGACGTCGACTCTGAAACTTCCCAAGTCGAATTTTCCTCCGCGAGTGTCGCCGGCCGACCGGACAAAATACCTGAAACGATGTACCGATGACCTGTACGCCTGGCAGCGCCGCGAACGAGCGGCCGCAAAGCCTTTCATCCTCCACGATGGCCCACCCTACGCGAACGGCGAATTGCATATCGGGCACGCATTGAACAAGATTCTCAAGGACATCATCAATCGCATACAATTGGGACGAGGAAAGCAAGTGCGATATGTGCCGGGGTGGGATTGTCATGGATTGCCAATCGAGCTCAAAGCTCTACAGGGGCTGCGTGATGCAGGCATAGTGGACAAGTCGGTCAACCCTGCTGTCATTCGCAAGTCAGCGAGACAGCTTGCGCGACAGACTGTCAAGGAGCAGATGAAAGGATTCAAAGGGTTTGGCGTGATGGCAGACTGGGAGAACTACTGGAAGACAATGGACCGAGATTTCGAGATGCGACAACTGGGGATCTTTCGGGAAATGGTAGACCACGGGCTCATCTACCGCAAGTTCAAACCGGTTTATTGGTCGCCATCGACGGGCACCGCGCTCGCGGAGGCAGAACTGGAATACAAGGACGATCATGTGTCGACTGCAGCTTTGATCAAATTCCCACTTGCGAGTGTTCCGGAGCACATCACCAAGAACCCATCACTTGACTCAAACGAGATTAGCGCCGTCATTTGGACCACCACGCCCTGGACCCTGCCTGCAAATGCCGCCATCGCAGTCAGCGAGTCGCTCGAGTATGCCATTGTCCAATCAGAGAAGCATGGCTATCTGCTCATCGCCCAGTCTCGGTTCGAATATCTGCAGAGTATGCTCAGGGAGAATTTGTCTATCATCGTCCCGTCTATTCTCGGTTCAGAGCTGGCCGAGAAAGCCACGTATCGCCCCCTGTTCAAGAGCCCAGATGCCGAGGCGCAGCCCATTATCGGCGCGGACTTCGTGACTGCCGACTCGGGATCCGGATTGGTTCATTGCGCTCCTGGCCATGGTATGGAAGATTACGAGGCCTGCCTAGCACGTGGTATCGAGGTGTTCGCGCCGGTCAATGACGAAGGCCGATTCACAGAGAAAGCCATGCCACACGACCCGACGCGTTTAACCGGAAAGGTCGTGCTGGGCGAAGGTAACGAAGCTGTTCTGGAATACGCTAAGACGCGGAATCAGCTACTTGCGCAGCACAAGTACGAGCACAAGTACCCCTACGACTGGCGTTCCAAGCGGCCCATCATTGTGCGGGCGACGGAGCAATGGTTCGCCGATGTTGCCGACATTCGCAAAAACGCACTGAAGTCGCTGGAAGATGTTCGGTTCGTCCCGGAAACAGGAAAATCCAGATTGGACAATTTCGTTAAGAACCGAAGCGAATGGTGCATATCGCGGCAACGCGCCTGGGGTGTTCCTATTCCTGCCCTGTATCACCGCACTACGGGCGAGGCTGTCCTCACCAAGGACAGTGTCTCTCACATCATGAACACCATCCAAGAACGAGGCGTTGACGCTTGGTGGACTGACAGCGCTGATGATATCGCCTGGGTTCCTCCATGCCTACAGGATGACTCTGCTGGCTATCGACGTGGAACCGACACTATGGACGTCTGGTTTGACAGTGGTACCAGTTGGGCGGAAATTGATGTGCCCACCGAAGGACGAACCCACCCGGCGGATGTGTATCTGGAGGGATCCGATCAGCATCGTGGCTGGTTTCAATCGGGCCTTCTCACCTACACTGCGCACCAGCTCGCCAGCGGCACGAACGATACCCGGGCTCCTTTCCGTAACCTAATTACACATGGATTCACTCTTGACGAAGATGGTCGCAAGATGAGCAAGTCTATTGGAAACACCATTCCCCCTCAGACAATCATGGATGGCACGTTGCTACCCCCGTTAAAGCCGCGGAAGAGCAAGGGCAAGAAGCAACCTGAAAACCAAGAACCAACCTACGACGCTCTGGGCCCTGATGCACTCCGTCTCTGGGCTGCTGGAAGCGACTACACGCACGACGTGGTGGTCGGAAAGCAGGTGCTTCAAGGCGTGCATACCAGTCTGCATAAGTTCCGAGTGACCTTTAAGCTGCTCCTGGGCGCGCTCAGCGATTTCCAACCGGAAAATGTCGTGCCTTACGACCAGCTGCAACAAGTGGACCGAATTGCACTCAAGCATCTTTCCGACATGGTCCTCGCCTCGGAAAAGTCCTACGATAACTTCGAGTTCTACAAAGCCGTCAACACAATGAACCGCTGGGCAAACCTCGAATTCTCCTCTTTCTACATGGAAGCCATCAAAGACCGTCTATACACACTAGGCGAGAACAGCAATAGCCGTCGTGCAGCCCAAACAGCTCTCTTCTACATCTACGCCTATCTGCAACAGGTTCTGGCACCTATCACCCCTCTCCTCGTGGAAGAGACATGGGAGCACACCCCGGAAGCAATCAAGTTGCACAACGGCCACCCCTTACAGCGCATCGGCACCAGCCCAACAACGGAATGGCAGAATCCCGCCCTGGACACGAACTACCAAGAAATCGTCGCAGTGCACTCAGTTATCAAAAACTTGCAGGAACAAGCTCGCGGCAAGAAGCAGCTCGGCTCTTCCCTGCAGTCCTTCGTGCACCTCTCTCTCCCAGGCGCAACCACCTCCGTCTTCCACCAGTACCTCTCCGAGCTACCCGATCTCTTCGTCGTGTCATCAGTGACCCTCGGCGTGCCAGGAGAATCTATTCCGAACGAGATTGCGCAAGCCGAGTGGCAATATGCGAGCGAGTGCGAGCTGCCCAATGGCCAGAAGGGACTGGTGCATGTGTACGCGCCCCTGGCCTCTAAATGCCCGCGTTGCTGGCGATATGCTGTGCCTGAGACCGAGGCGATTGACGAAATTTGTGGTCGGTGCGAGTCGGTCGTGGCGGAGCTGGAGGCGTAACGTAGCAGGCGTTTGTAATTATATTGCATGTACCATAAAACCGCCCTTCTCTTCTACGGTGTAATCTACTTGATCTCCTATTCAATTGTTCGCTCTCAATTTCTTTGTTATTTGTGGAATAGATGTTCCATATCAGCTGAGGTACATAAACTTCAATGTTAAAGCAGGGATCCATTGACAATCTGGCATATCTCGTGATTCGTAGCGCAATGATCGATCCTGATGATCTGAAAGAAAGAAAAAAAAAAAAAAAAAAAAAAAAAACCGAAAAAGCCTGAATCTCATACGCCGAAACATCCCCCGTGATGAAGATTGATCGTAAACTGTGTTTCTCGAGGCCGGACTTGAAGTTGTTGTTGACCTAAAGTAGTCTGTCGCGCTTAGGCACCCTCCTCAGGGAGATGGATCGCACCCTCATTACCGACGCCGTTGGACCAGAAGCCGCCAATGTGGACAGTACTAGAGAAAAAAGTCAGTAGTTGACAAACACAGTTAAAAGAATGGCAACTTACATTCCCGGGGAGCTGTCATGGGCCAGCAGAAGCCAGTAACCAATCAAACCCTGGGTGAAGATATCCTGGACGGCGAAGATAACCGTCTCGGTGTCGACACTTAACTTCAGAGCCAGAGGGCCGGCGGCCAGAGCACTAAGGAAATAATCAGTATATGACATCAACAGAACTCGAGGGGATGCATACATTGGGAACAAGGCAAAGACAGTCAAAGTCGAGCCAGCCAGAGCACCGAAGAAACGGCGAGTTTGGGCATCCTTGTTCAGACTGGCGCGGTGGGCATGGAAACCACCGTGGTGAAGAACAGTCAGGTAAGCCACACAGCTGACAACCAGCCAGACCCAGCGAACCTTGGTGTGGCCGGCATAGGTACCCAGCAAACCCGAGGCAAGCATAACCCAGTTGGCGACGATCGAGGAGACCAGATTCGCTCCGGGCACACCGCTAACCAAAGCAAAGTTGGTGAGAATGAGCGGGGTGCTCAGGGCCCAGTTCAGATAGCGCAGCCACAGAACCTGACGGAAGTACTCGTCCTCGGTGTTGGGGACATGCTTGTGGTGGTTGACAATGTTCTGGAAGACATAGTCGCTGCCTTGGCCGGTGGACAGGGCGAGGTAGGTAATGAACGAGATGGTGGTGATGAACGCGGAGAGCGTGTGGAAGATGCGCTTGGACTTGTCATAAAAGTGTAGAGTTAGCGGGCGATCCTCAAAGCTATTGGGGGGGTGGGGATGCGGAAGTCTTACCAGAGGGGCACGAGCGGCGAGCGTGTAGAAGACCAGCGAGGTCAGGCCCATCAACACAGTGACGACCCTGTTCAATGATTAGCACGAGCCAGAAAATCAAACATGGGGAGAAGTAATTTACCAAAGAGTCCGCTTGCCGGTCGTCTGGAGCTCCTGGAAGATGGGCTCGCCAGGAATGACGGTGGGAATGGGGTCGATGGAGTTAGCAGGCGGCCACGAGGGCAGCGTGCCGGTGGGAAATTCGTCGGGGTTAGGAAGCATCATGATGGTGGAGTTGACGAAGTGTGGATGTTAGGAAGGAGATGACGACGAGGAGACGCTGGCAGTAATAAGGAGAGCAATAAGGAGAGCGAAGGCGGAGGTGAAATCAAGATTTGGGCGGGAGCTACTTCCCGGACTTGCGTCATCGCCACTGCCTGCTGCACGGGGGTCAACAAAGCCCCTACTTGGTGGTACACCTTCAGCTGTCCCTGCTTAGCCACATTAGCGAGGGGAGGCCAGACGGTTACACAACAGGCTGACGAGCGCAGATGTAGATCAATAGATTCCTGCAGGACCCTCACCAGTGCCTATAAAACAAAAAAAAAAAAAGGCGAATCGGGATCGACGGGATCGACAATCCGGGGAAGCTCCAGAACCGCCACTACCCCCACGCACCGTATACGCTTCACTGCCAGAGAGTACCTTGGGATATCTCATCCAGGGTATTCGGATGTGGGCATTCGAGATAGGTGTGAGGTCTCGTATCTTCCTAGTCTGGATTGATATCTCGCAGCAAAAAGAACAGCCTCCAGGACAGTTGATTCGGAAACGATGGAATTTACACAAGAAATATTTGAGTGATGACGGAGCAGAACATTACCTAGGTATGCATTAATGTATGCAAGCCCCTACCTAGATAGATAGATTAAGCTCGCCGACCGACAAATATTGTGTTGGTTCAGTCAGACTGCCTAACACCGCAGAGCCTCAGCGCCGGCACAGGTCAACCGGGACATGTCGAAGCACAATCTAGCCCAGAGAACCGCCTTTGAAAGATGCTTTCAGGAACACATCTATCATCCCACCAGTCCTTTACTAGCTACCCTATCCGTGATTCCTCCGATAAGGTAGCCAAATATGATTTTAAGCACATGTATTACACTTTTAGGAAAAACGCAAAATGGTGGGGCCTTATGCGATTTAATCCTACGTGATGCCCGGGGCGGTTGGTTCACTTTGCACACCCTATCCTACAAACAGTAGTATGGAAAATGGGAACGATGAAATATACGTGCCAGGAAGAGTAGAGTTTGCACAAGGCACTAGTCGAGCCTTTGTTTGACTGGTGGATGGCCAGCCGCTTCAGTCAGTTCCGTACGAACAATTTCCCTGGGTACGTCAGCCCACGCCTCGTTTAGTGGTGGATGAAAGAGCCGCAAGCGAGGAAGAGCGAGAGTGAACGCTTAGTAAGCAAGCCGTGATGGAAAGAGCGGATGTGTTGCGGGATCTCCATTTATGAATTGGCCCGTTGGGGCTTCGGGTGGAAGCCCACCGATCATCCTGATCATCGACGGCCACCGACTCGAATAATGTCTGGGATTTCTGCGAGATCCCGTCCTCGTGGGGCTCGCGATCACTTGAGACAATAAGAGGGGTAGGCTGAGCTGGTGATGCAATCAGTAGTTGACTCGAAAATGTGTTCTGATGATCCGTAAAATAGCACGGGTATCAACACATCATACTACTCGCGAGGTAGTAGCTACCTCTCACCGACCGTCGGAACGGTGTAAACCCTGAAGTTGTACTATACGAGCAGCGCCATTGACGTCTTTGCGGCTTCTGAAGGCGCTATTCGAAAGGGACCAGATAGTGACGGGAGCTTGGCGTGCCGAATGCGGCTGGAAAATAACAAAAGTACGTGCCAGAAGTACTACCAGATGTACCGTACTAGTACAAAGTTCGCGAGACCAGCCCAGCCCGTTGCTGGTTGGCAAGACTAGGGTCTTCCAGCCATTTCCTTCGCCAAAATTTGTATCGAGCACACCTAGTACTGCCAATTGTGGTTGTTGTTTCCCATCCAGCGACTTCGATACACAGGTGGACTTCATCAGCGAGATAGAACACCTCTCAGACCGTCGAGATCAACCACGCCTGGACATCATGAATGTGAAGAGTCCAAAATCCCCTCTACATGATGTTGACCTCGAGCCAAGCTCCATTGCGGCCTGGGAATCCGGGGGCATTCGGCCGTGCGATCGATCGATCTCATTATCGAGAGCCGACTCCAGTCCCATTGGACTGACCGAGCAATGAAGCCGGCCGAGATCTGTTTCGGAGGCACGGCTAGCATCTCATCATGGGCCCGGAGTGAATCTAGAACGAGTCGTGCAGGGCTCGACAGGAGATGGCAGGTCCATGACTCTCCATGGGGGCCGGGATTTGGGTGGATGCGCTCGGGTCGCATCGAGTGGGACGCATGCATCCACTGGGAAGTCGATGGCGACCCAGCCCGGCAGAAATAGCCGGCCAAAGCGTTGCATTCTCGTTGGTTGCATTGCCACAACCTGGGGGCGCCATCAAATTGACGTATGCGTGCACAAGGGACTGTCAGGATCGCCCGCGAGGCGTTCAATGCAGGGGCTATCGTGGCCTGACTGCCGAGCTCGGACCCCCTTTAATTTACATATGAATCTACTGTACATCCATGGGGGCTGTGGGAGACGAGCCACCGTCGGAGACGAGCCACCGTCATCAACCCGCTCAACTATGCAAACCCCGCGGATAGCCTTGGAAACGAGATAGACCGTCGCGACCAACGCATGTGGCAGAGCGCTTCTGCTATGAATGGTCGGAATTGAATATCAATCCAATATAGCCCCACGATCGGGGAGAATTTTCCGCGTACTGTAGGATGATCTTTCGAGAGACCCCTGTATTCCAGGAAATCATGACCTCATCGGGGTGGGGAACAGCTGAGGACAAGGTGACTGTACCGATCTCCATTGGCACTGGGCTCCAACTTTCTTACCAGGGTATAAAATGTACCAACCCCGATGGGCGCGCGACACTTGCGTCACCCAGCTAGTACCGTCGCAAAAGAGGCTGCCACTTCGATCATTTGTATGATCTTGAAATTACAAAAGATTGAGAGTGTCCTGGTACCTTACAAGGATTTCTTTCATTTTTTCTTGCCAAAATATTATCGCTGTCTGATTGAGCAACAATCGGAATCACGAAACTCCTTATCATCAAAGGGCACGAGAAACAACTTGCATTCAGTGTATCCTGTGTGTGTGGGAGCAAGTCACAATCCGACTTGAGTTCCTCTCCAGCACCGTGAGTCGAACATACTGCAGTGAGAGTCGTCTCCAACGCCGAATTAAATTCTCGATGTTCTGTCGCCGGTAAGGTCGGACTTTTTTTCATAATGAACCGTCGGAACGAAATGGTTGACGCGAAGTTGCCCTTGCGATACAGAGCGAGCTCTCGAAAGCCAGATACGGAACTTGTCAGTCATTTCCAAAACACTTTTGGCAAAACATTTTTCCACGGCAACGATGATAAACCCCACAACACGTTGGAAAAAAACATGAACTCTACATTAGAAAGGTATGAGGTCATTCTGAATACCGGTTTGAATCGAAATCTCATAAAATCAAATAGTGCACGCAAGAGCCAAGGAGATAATTTCTCGGGACTTGGAAACCCTTACTCTTTTTACCAAGACACACAACCAGACATGACGCGCACATCGCAATCAGTGCAGTTGCTACCGCCTCAAAGTAATGATTTTGACCTCTTCTCCACCGGATCGGGGTCAGTCGCGCCGGGGACACTCTACAAACAGCCTGGACTGTACCCCCCTCCCCAACAAGCCTTTCTCCCAAGGGAGACATCCACTCCAACATCAACTGGTCCGGGGGCAACCAGCCTGCCACCCACTTCAACCAACCATATGCCGAAAACATCCACCCATCGCAATTATGGAACACGCCGGACCCCTTTTTCGCCAGTACAGGATATCCGCCAAATCATTTCACGCATCGCGACTCGGGATACGAGGCGATGGACGAGTCCCAGGATCCCCTATACCCAAGTGAACTTCCAACCTATACCGGATATCCAGATTCCATGGAGCCAGACTCTGCAGACTCTGGGGCCAGAGATTCGGGCTCTGAATCCTACACCCTAGGCGAGAAGTAAGTTTGCCACTGGCTCGCAAATTGCGGCGCGCGCTAACATGTTCGATTCAGATTTCGCTACCATACAACGCTTCGCACCTCTACAGCTACGGTCGACAACCCTAGCGATGCGCCCGTGACATATCTGAATAAAGGCCAGGTGTACTATATCCAGGTCGCCGATTCGACGCCACCCAGGGCGCAGTTTGAGCCTACCCAATATCGGACATGGATTCGCATTACTTTCGATCGAGAGGAGCAGCGATCCGACCCAACTGCATACTGGCGAATGTGGAAAGAGGGCCGGGGTTCGACTGAATCGCAGAACCGTGAAGACAAAATGGTGGCTGTTGAATTCGCGGGCCAGAAAAACCATCAGGTGAAGATCGGAGAGTCATCGCTGGACGGATTTTGTGTGACATGGACTGTCCAACCCGGAAACAATATCCATCGATGCACCATCCCCGTTCGATTCAACTTCCTATCCACAGACTTTACCCACTCCAAGGGAGTCAAGGGAATGTCAGTGCGACTCTGTTCCAAAACGGAACAGCTCAATTTCCTGCAAGACCGCGAATCAGAGATATGTTTCTGTAAAGTCAAACTCTTCCGAGACCACGGAGCTGAGCGGAAACTGGCAAATGATGCGACTATCACTCGCAAAAAGATTGAAAGACTGAAAAAGATGCTCGAGAAGTCAGAGGGCCCAGAGCCACAAAATAAGCGGAAGCGCAGCAGCATAGAAACGCAGAGTCGACTGAATCACGAAAGTGGTTGGACGGGAGGCATCTTTGATAGCCCGCCTCCAACACCATTCCACGACAAACAGCAGAGGAAACTGACTGCGCTACTGAAATCTCTGTCTTCCTCTCGCCCTGAAAGTGTATTCGGGATCCGTGGCGACAGCATAGACGATCCCGAATTGAATCCAATCCGCCAAGATGAAATCACCTCTCACAAGCCCGATGCCTCTCAGTTCAAGGCCCCATCCCAAGATGGTAGCTCTTCATCACGCCCAAAATCCAGACTTTCTACTCCCGAGAATGCCTCCAGTCTATCGGATGAAGTCAATGAAGCACTCCTGGCCGCATCAAAGAAATCAAGTCCGCGACGGAGTGTTTCTATGCCAGGTAAGGGCCTTCTACCTTTAAAACATGACGAGATAATGAACTAATCAAATTTATCACAGTGGCGTGCTTCTTCATAATTCTCGCTGGAAGCGAACCTTCTCTCAGCCAGCACTATCGCGCAATTTACCCTCGCGAGCGAACAGCCCAAGAGCTGGTGAAGTGGATCTGCGAAAAGTACCTTGTAGATCCGACAACTATTGCCCGTGTTCTTTACACCAACAATGCCGGACTCGAAATCATAGTCGACGACGACTTTGTCCAGGAGATGGCCGAAGGCCAGAGCATGGTTGTTGAGATTGGTCCTCCGTCCGGGGCGGAGACCACGTCAAACACCATGCAGGTGATTCGCTTGAAGTATTAAGTTTGATACCCGGGATAGGCAGTCTAAGGTGTTTTAGATCGGTGTTAATACCCCGGGAAAGGAAATTTTGTCTTTTCGGTGTCGATATTCCCGGAGTCGGAAATTTGCAAGGGTTTGCAAACACGACCGAAAATTGTACTTGTTATGACGCTACGCGTACACGATGAAGATGCGAACACGATGTATGATAACAGTTATTTTGTTACATGATATAATTTCTTTTGATATAATTTCTTTAAATTCCTTTGACATTGGATCAAGTCTCCCGAATTCGCGAGAAGATTAAATTCGATTTTCAGATGGCCCGACGAAGCAAAAGCCTCTTCAATGATGGCCTGTGCCGCAAAAGGAATTACACAAAATAATACAACATTTTATTTACTCCCTGCTTGCCTGACTTTATTTTGACCCATGATGCTCCGCGTGTTCTTTTCCAGCGGCCGCTTGAGCATTCTCGCGCCCACGATTCCACAAGAAAATGGCAGCCAAAGCTCCACCGCCAGCGGTCCACAGCATCCTATACGGGAGAAGTATTAGCCTAGATTTTTTTCCAACGAATGCATTTACAGCGAAGGATGACAATACCATTTAGGCGTGCCCTGGGGATCCGCCTTATCGCCAGTAGTAGACACACCCCTACGCTGAGCGGCAGGGGGGTTGGAGTCTGCAGTCTAGCGGCGCCGGCACGAATAGGCTTTGCGCCCGCAACGCGAGCGGCCGAATGGCGAATAAAGGTCATTATGTTGAGTATCCCGGTGTAATCGAAAAGACCGATTTTTTTTCATCAGTTCGAAGGGGAGTGTCACAAGATCTTAAGTATGCGATTTCATGATTACGTCATACATAGGGGACATGATTATCATGCAATTCATCCCTGCACTTTTAGGTTCGAGAATCAAGACAGAAGTTGATGACTCAGGTAGCTAAAATCCTGATCTGCGTGTCTGCAGACATTCGAACAGCTTTCCTGGTTGGAGTGGACCCGCCAATCAGAGACGAATGACTTGGATCATGACAGCATCCCGATCGATCGGGCGTGCGAGTCCTTGGTTTTTATTCTGGTCAAAACAAAGCTACCTAAGTTTAGCGGAGCTTATTTACCTCCTTTGCTCACTTGTTTGTTGCCCAATATACCGCATTACCTAATATTTAGCTCCATCGGCGATTCAAATGGTTGCTGCAGGCGCAATCGGCGATTCAAACATATCACGTGACTTGACCAATCACAGTGCGCTTTGTCGACCCCATAGTTCTCGTGGGGAAATCACGAAGAGGCCACTGCTACTGATTTCAACAATGAATATTGTTTCCGAAGGAAGACTCCGACGGGAGACTGGACCAGGAACTACTAATAGCAATGACCATTTTTTTCAGTGTACAATATGCTACGACCCTTGCCTACGCAACCCTGCATGATAATACCTTCGGGGAATGAAACAATCGCCGTCTGTCTGGGGGACCATGCGACACTCCGCAATAACGTCCGTAGCCCCCAGATTTTTCATTTCTGTTTACATCTGCGCGAGACCTCAGTGCAGAAAAGCGCAGTGTTCGGCGCATACCGATATTAGTAGATGTGTGTCAGCTTTTGACCTTCCTGCGCTCATTACCGAAGGCGGCTCCGGCAACAACACTTCACCTACAGCCAAACTGAACACAACACCATGCGGGCCACTTATTTCCTCGGGGCGCGACTTCGTCCGAATCCGAGCTTGTTCTTCATCCAGGGCAGACGGTCGACGTCGCGCTTATCATGCGAGGCCGTGTCCCCATTTGAGTCGACCTACTCGAACTGCAAGGTCCAACTCCCTCGATCCAGCATACAGGTTGGGGCGACAAGGAAACACAGCACCAAATCGACAAACCCATCTACAGAAATGGAAAACAGCCACGGCCAGCAAACAAAAAAGCTAGTTCCTGGCCTCATCGCGGCTCTGGCCGGCTCGGCAGCAGTGTTTACATGGATTGAAAACAACCCCGATTCACTCTCAGAGGCTCCACCGAAACTCAAAAACACCCAACATGATACCTTAAAAGCGACTGGCAAATTTTTCAAGCTCGAAGAGATCCGCCAACATGGCCCAGACTCAGATCGACCCTGGATCATGAGGGGAAACAAGGTCTACGACATTACAGACTGGATCGAGAGTCACCCCGGAGGCAAAGTGATTCTACGAGCAGCCGGATCAGCAGTTGAGCCGTATTGGGACATCTTCACAATCCACAAGAAAACAGACGTGTACCAGATTCTGGAGCAATACCTGATCGGACATGTGGATCCTGACGACCTTGTTGATGGGCAGGTCCCAAAGGGCTCGATAGAGGATCCATTCTCAGGCGATCCCATTCGCGACTCTAGTCTCGTTGTCCTAACTGACCGACCTTGCAACGCTGAGTCCCCAATGTCTGGACTGACGTCCTTCATAACGAGCACAGCTTTATTCTACGTCCGACATCATTTCTGGGTCCCTCAGATCGCCAAAGAGTCGTACAAAATGACGATTGATATTGGCGATGGATCCGACGAGAAGACCTATACACTCCGTGATCTGCAGACAAAGTTCCCGCAACATACTATTACTGCAACCCTGCAATGCTCTGGAAATCGACGTGCGCATATGAACGAGGGTTCGGGTCGTGATGCGAGTGGCCTCAAATGGGGCGCTGGCGCCATCAGCAATGCCGAATGGCGTGGTCCTCTTTTGCGCGATGTTCTTGCAGACGCTGGATTCGATGTTGATTCACCACCGGGTGACCTGCAACACGTTGAGTTCTACGGCGAAGACACGTACAGCACTTCCGTGCCTATAGACAAAGTCCTCGATCCCCGCCAAGACGTGCTCCTTGCCTGCGAGATGAACGGAGAAACCCTCACAGGCGATCATGGATACCCAGTCCGAGCGCTGGTGCCTGGAAATACCGCAGCGCGCAGCGTTAAATGGGTCAACCGCATTTCCCTCTTAGAAGACGAGAGTCAGTCACAATGGCAACAGCGCGACTACAAGGGCTTCGGGCCAAATGAAACGCGAGATACGATCGACTGGGACAGTGCACCATGCATTCAAGATACACCCGTGCAGTCAGCGATCACAACCATCCGACCGGATCAGAACAATGACCGCTCAGACTCGATGGTGGTGGAAGGTTATGCCTTTTCTGGAGGTGGACGGAAGATTGTCCGAGTCGACGTCAGCATCGACAATGGGAAGACCTGGACACAAGCGAAGATCGAACCGCACAAACATCTAGGGCATAAGACCTGGAGCTGGTCATTATGGACTCATCGGTGCCGACGCCCACCAGCTGATAGCTGTGTTATCGTCAAGGCCGTCGACGAGGCATACAATTCTCAGCCGGATTCATTTGGGCCAATTTGGAATTTCCGAGGAGTTTTGGCGAATGCGTGGCATCGGGTTCGGATTGACAAGCTGTTTCAAAGCGACACAGATTGAGAGGGCACATATTGAAATTTGCGATTAGCGTTCCTGATATGCATTGGAGACCACCAAGCTAGTACTTCTCCATTCAACTTTTTTTGGCTTCTATGAATCCAACCATACATTCCATTGAGGCTATCACTAGACTCATATTTGTCCTTTATGACCTCTACTCCAAAAAAAAAAAAAAAAAAAAAAAAATCTATCCTAATGAATAACCCCTGCTGTAAGAGGCGAAAGATACTACATTTATGTAGTATAGCCACCCACAATCTATGTCTCGCCCCACAAATCCGGCGGGGCGGTGCGCCCCAAAAGCTTCCCCACAGCTCCGCTCTGTTTCTAGAAGGAAGCCGCAAAGTTACGCAAAGCTGGATTTCGACCTAAGCACCAGCTTCCTAACTAATTATATTCTACCAGAAATCTCCTGTTTCACATCAACAGGCCAGCCTTCATTCTTTCTTCTGCTTGTTGACGCCTATCACTTCAATCGACACCTATCTTCGCTGCAGGGGGTCCACGCGCAGATCGCAATGATGAAAAAGTCGGTCGCTGCGAGCTTTTTGACTCTGTTATCAGTGACTTCTTCTTTGGAGCTCGCTTTGATCCATACTTTGCCAACCTGACATGGCAAGCTCCGCGCACACTTCCAACTGGAGCAATTTGACCGTCGAGTCCGAAACAGAATCCTTCGTTGGTCTTCTCAACAACACTTACCCAACTGTCCGCCAGTTTTTGCGCGTTCCTTTCGAACAGGCCAGACCTATTTCTCGTATTTGCAACCACCCCATTAGCACTGTGCTTCCAGCTAACGTACAACACGCTGTAACCCCCTGCCGTCGAGCTCCGCTGGATGCACCCGGTTTACCCCTAGAAATCCAAGAAGAGAATTAACTCGACGTACTTTGGCCCATATAAGTGCAAAATACCTTCGTGGAAGTTCCTTTTCCCACTCGCAGCCTACCCTCAGTTTGTTGATGGATCTGCCACTCTTTGCAACGAATACCAGCTTCCCAACACCATCGTCAACCTCGGAGAACCTTCTCACGCTGTCACCGTCGCCTGGGCCACTGCCGAGGACTGTCTTTTTCTCACCATTTGGACTCCAGCTGATGCCAATAAACAGTCTAAGCTACCCGTGGCTCTTTTTGTCACTGGAGGTGGTGGTGTCACAGGCGGCATCAATGTTCCTTTCCTAGCAGTGATGGCTGGCATATACATGAGAGTCCCTTTCTCGAAAATCCATGAACTTTCGGGCCTGTAAACTCCAATGTTCTTACCTATGTCACCTCGCAGATGCGATATTACCGAATCTCAAGCCGGACGTGACGACCGACTTCAGCGGGAGAGTGGTCGATTTATACAAGAGCATCATCGACTTTCAGGTTCAAAGCGTGATCGGATAGTTCTTCATAGCGGAACTAGAGAATACTTCCGAAGTGTTGTCAAATATGACAACTGGAGTGACATGCTGAGCGCCACTCAGAAGAGCGAAGGTGATTTGGATACGAAGCTAAGGCAGAATATCTTAATTTCAGCTGCTCAGTAACTTGATCAACTAGCTGAAAAGACGACCAAGTAACGCAAGCATCTGCTTGATATCTTCTGCGAGATGCAAAAGCTTGTCAAAACATTCCGGGGATCAAAAAGACACCATGTCTCCGTTGCCCAGCACTTGTATGACGCCGAGAGTCGTCGCTGCCGTGATCTATTGAAAGCAACAGTTCCCATCCTTGATAAAAAGCGTATTGAGCAAGACAAACATCCTCGATCATCGGTTTTTGGTGGTCGCCAGACACCAGTCGGCTAGCATCTGCGTCCATCATGCGTACCAGTGATACCAGTGTGTCCGACGTCATGATACTCAAGGTATGGGATTTGTTAGCGGGATGATTTACGGTGGCACTTGATAATGTCGTCACATTTATCTGGTCTCCTGGTAGCCAACAGCTTGCTGTAATGTACCAGGATTTGCTCGTAATTCGAAACATTGATACAGGCCAGAGCACAATTCTTCCAGTTGAATATTTTGGTCTCTATCTTTTCCCATTTTACTTATTGGGACTTTCTCAAGGCTGCCCGACTGAGAAACCTACTGGCACTTTGGGATGTTAACTTGATGGCGTGGTCCAACGATGGGCAGTATATAGCCTTGGTCTGTCCGGACTTGACGGTTGAGGTCTGGAGTATTACGTGCCGGCTATGTACACAAACACTTTGCTCGCATGCTCCCCCGAGGGACGATTTCTCATTTTCGGTCCAGGCCTACACAGGTGGTCGCCTGATCTAGGGATGGCAGTGCGCTCGCGGTAGCCACTGTGGGCAAAATTCAGATTTGGAACCCAGCCACAGGACAATGCAAGCTGAGCATTGATGACTCGCAGTCTCGCAAATGCCTCAAATCATAACGTGGTTCGGCGACGCAAATTATCTGGCTTTAGCAGCGGTGAATTATGTCAAGATATGGACTTCGGCGGGAGTGCTTGTGGCAATGTTTGACGTCCAGCACTCGAGCGAAATTTGTCCAATCAACGATATCCGATTCCTAGACCCGGAACAGCGCTGTTTGAAGATTGTTTGCTGAAGTTCCGCGGCATGTCACTATACTGTACCAACTGATTTTCCCGATCCTCAACCCCTCTCAGGTCTGTTGCAAGTCACCAATATAGTTATACCTATCAGCATCGAGGCAGCTGGATCACCTGTAATGAGAAAAAGATCGTCAAGGTTGCTCCGGGTAGTCGAGCCTTAACACAAACAATATTGTGATTCTTCATGGCAAGGCAAAAGTCGCAATAAGCTCTAGTCCTACTCAGTTTGGATATTTATGGTTTCTTTTCTATATCATCTTTGGTGAGAGCTGAAAATTGAATTTACAAGAAAAATTGAACGGAAACCACGGGTTTCGTTTATTAAGTGACCAGCCTCTTCTAAACAAGATTCTCAAGACGAAGCTTCAAGGCCTGCATCTCACCCGTAAGAACTGCTTCAACAAGCCAGAAAGCATCTGAGTCATATCATGATAGAGCTCTTGCCTCTTAGTCTCAAACGCATTGAAGATATTCCTAGCCGATCTGACCGAGATTTGGTCCTCGCCCTTGGACAGACTGTTCCAAAACTCATCAACAAATTCCTGCAGCGGCATCCCAATAAGATGGCCGTCCTTCAAGTCAGGCTGGTGCTTAGCGTCGTGCAGCTCAGTCTGTATAGCCGGGGGATAGATCTCCAGGACCTTAACATTTCCGGGGCCATCCTGAACCTGGGTGCGAAGGGCTAGAATGAAGTGGTGCAGAGCAGCCTTGGAAGCACCATAGTTCGGGCAGCGCATCATCGGAACAAGTGCCATTTGCGAAGTAGTGAATGCGATAGCGGTTTGGTTCTGTTGTTGCTGGAGGTGGGAAGGAATGCCTTGGTGAGGCGTACAGCAGAGGTATAGTTAGTGATCAACTCCTGGTCGAAGATGTCGAGGTCGACACTCCGGTTTGGAAAAGTCGAAGGGTCTCTGGATGCCAGAGTTGAGGAAAATGCAATCAAGGTCGGGGTTCTCTGAGATGATCTCAGAAGAAAATTGGGGGATCTATCTGTTGTGAGTGCGCTGTATCCCATGATCCGGGGTCGATGACCTCACTTGCTCGAGATTCATGACATTGAAAGCCTTCGCATAAACCTTGTCGCTCCCGTGTTGCTGAACAATCTCATGGAGGTTCTCCTTTCTTCTTCCCGAGATAATGAGCTTCGAAGCCATTCTGCACGACCTTTTCGGCAAGAGCTTTGCCAATGCCAGAGGTGGCGCCAATGACGAGGACCTTCTTGTAGCCAAATGCCATTCGGAAAGATGGTGGTTTTGGAGGAAAGGAGGGTGTAAATTGTGAGATGAGTGCAGATGTAGTTTCTTTCTCGGGCCCGAACTGACCAGCTTATAGACTAGAGGAACTGAAAAGGCCTGATGGCGACCGAGGTTTGATGCTTTTGTCATGCACGCTTCCGTCCTGTTCCCTGCGGAGACTAAACCCTAAATAAATATAAATAAACCAAGTTGATTGGCTGCCGCTATTAGCTTACCCACTCCCGAGGGTCCAACGCCACCGGTGGAGGTTAAACCCGATACAGTTGCACTACAGTTTTCATTTTGGTCATCTATGAATGATCACTATTTGGATGTTCGATGGATTTCTGCCGAAGTGCGTCAACTAAAAGAAGTTTGCGACCAAAGTTCCATCTGACTTGAAACCGCCTGGTGGCTGGCCCAACTAAGCCGAGCTGGCAAAGGTAGAGCTAACAATGTTGACCCGATATATAAAGCCCACAAACAAACACAAGTCAGGAATGGGATTGAGATTGATCGGTAGATACAACAGTACACTAATGGGGTTTGCTCCACAAAACGACCTTCAGGATTTCCGGGGTTAAGCGTATAACAGGTGGTGGAAGAGCCTGCTTTATAGAAAAGCCGGGCGGGTGATGATTGGTTCATCGGGGCAAAAGCTTGGACGTGTTAGCATAGTGTGGCATACATTGTAGCATCACGAGGTGTGCGTGCTCGTAGTTTTGTCGTCTAAGATCAAAATAACCAGATTTGATAAAGTCGTTGACGTCCCAAGCAGGGAGTATGTTGACAGTGGCAGAAAGTACCGACTTTTGCGCAAATTTACGGCCATTGAGATTAGAAAACCTACGAACTCCTACAAAGAGACTTCGAAATTGGCTGGTAGATGGCTGACTTCGCTATTTTTGTTATCCCATCCCGATAAATACATCCAATGGACACCCAGAGTCCGAGGGGGAATCAACCCGCAAGCCACTTTTCGTCATCCAGCTCAGATAGAGAAAAGGGTAAAGAAACTCGGAACTAAATCATGCATCGTCGCAAATCCCACTCTAGTACTTCTTGCCCTGGCGAAGGACATCACCGAACTCCTCCAGAGGGCTCCGGATGAGCTTGGTGTCCTTCCAGAGGTTGGGGGTGAGGAAACCGTAGGTGTTGACGACGGCGACGAAGGTGGCCTTGAGGGTGTTCTCGAGGGTCTTGGTGGAGCCGGAAGAGGAGGTGTAGGCGTCCTCGACACCAGCGAGCTGAAGGAGACGCTTGACAGCGGGGGAGGCAACAAGGCCAGTACCGCGGGGAGCGGGGATAAGCTATAGGTTAGGGTATTAGCGCCTGTTTTTGTTTTGCAGGAATCGCTTGAGTCGGAGTCTGCTCAGGCTGAAGGTGTACATACACGGACGGAGACGGAACCACACTTGCCGCTCTGCTTGACGGGCAGAGAGTGGGGTTCACCAAGGTTGGAACCCCAGTAACCGCGACGGACGGGCAGGACGGCGAGCTTAGCGATGGTGATGGCGGCACGAATGGCAGTGGCGACTTCCTTGGAGGTCTTGATACCGAGACCGATGTGGCCCTCGGAGTCACCGATGAGGACGATGGCCTTGAAGCGGGTACGCTGACCGGCACGGGTCTGCTTCTGGACGGGCTTGATCTGTAGGTTGGAAATTCGCGTTAGCCCTGATCCATCGCAATTGAGCTCCGACTTCGTTTCCCAATTTCCATGAAATTCAAACCTGCGCATCGCAGTTTTTTTGGTATCAACTGCGCATGCGCAGGCGTGTCCTCCATTGGTCTCGAGTGTCGGATTTCGGCGGGTGTTTTCGTTGTCGTACCTTCATAACCTCATCCTTCAGCTTGGGCAGGAAGAAGTCAACAATCTGGTACTCCTTGATGGGCAGAGAGTGCAGGTAGATCTGCTCCATGCTGGTGATCTTGCCGGCCTTGACGAGACGGCCGAGCTTGGTGACGGGCTGCCACTCCTTCTCCTCCTGCTTTCCACCACGGCGGCCACGGCCACGGCCACGACCGCGACGGTCACCACCACGGTCGCCGCGCGAGCCAAAACCTCCACGTCCACGGGGAGCAGCGTCAGCCATTTTGGATGTATATAGGGCGACGAAAGCGAATTTGTCGATGAGGTCGAATGGGTCGTCGGGGACTGCGTAGCGGTGTTGGCGTCAAAATTTCGGGCAGAGGTGGGCTAAGCGAGGGTCCGCCCGCTGTCTGCCCTAGCCCTAACTCCCAATGCGGAAGGGCCGTGCGGAGGCCGTTCATGCCTGAGCCGTCGGGTGTCTGCCGCACGCCCCAGGTGTCGATCAGGTGTCGATCGTTTGTCAGGGCAATCACCTGACTTTGAGTCCAGGGTAATCTGGTTTTGCAGATGACGCATCAGTGCCGGTATTGATAATAGTCCATTTACTTTTACATTTCAAAAGTGTAGGAGGATGGACCTAAAAAAATAATAACTTCTTCCGTCATTTGTTACGTTTTTTGCTCGAGTGTTGTAGTATATAAATCTCTTCAGCTGAATCGACGTAATAGTCGGTACGCCCAAAAGAGAATCCCGTGGCGGCTGCGTTTCCCCCTTGGGAAACCCCCATCTCCGCAATTTAAAGATGCGGGCCCGCCTCTGCCCTGTTCAACCCCAGTGACTCTGGCTACTTCCCCTCCTTCACTTTTCTGTCGTTCGTTGCGTGTTTGCCGCCTCGAATTCCACTCCTTTCACCATGTTACGCTGGTTCGTTACTCCCCGAGGGAAACTCTACCCCCGAAAACAAAGAAAAAAAAGGCTGATCGCAATCCAGGTACCAGAGCAAGTTGGCCAGGCGGCCCATCCTCACTGCGAGCGTCACCAGTGCCGTACGATCTCCCACCTCTGCAATTCAATCCGACCCTCATTGACAATTGATCTCTATTAGGTGCTGTTTGGCAGCGGTGATGTCCTTGCCCAGCAGGCCGTCGATCGTCGCGGTCTCCAGAAGCACGACTTTGCCCGCACCGGGCGCATGGCTCTCTATGGTGGAGGTATGTTACTCTGGTCCGGTTATATCGCATTGAAATATTAATACAAGTCTCTTTTCAGCTGTCTTCGGTCCCGTCGCCACTGCCTGGTTCGGCATCCTCCAGCGTCACGTCGTCCTCAAGAACAACTTCAGTACCACCGTCGCCCGCGTGGGTTGCGACCAATTCCTCTTCGCACCTGTACAGTTGACTTGCTTCCTTTCCTCGATGGCAATTATGGAGGGTGTTTCCCCGGCGGAGAAGTGGATACACTCCTTCTGGCCTGCGTACAAGGCCAATATGTTGGTCTGGCCGTGGGTTCAGGGCGCCAACTTTGCCTTTGTGCCTTTGGAGCTACGGGTTCTGGTGGTCAATGTGGTCAGCTTGGGTAAGTTCAAACTCTTTCATAACCAGATACAACTGGCAGGCACCAACAGAAGGTGTCTGGTGCCTGACTACGCTGTCCAAAGCTAACGCGGACAGGCTGGAACTGCTTCCTGAGCATGATGAACAGCGGCAAGTAGTAAATATACCCAGTCACATTCTGCATGGCGCTTCATCTGCGATTTGTCCATTTTCATAGAGGGTTTTTGGTCGCAGGTCTGTACTTTATGGGTTGATTATATATATTTTCCGGTTTGTTAGAGTTTTGCTTTTGCAGCAGACTTTTTTTTCTTGTTTTTGGCAGGGTCACGAATGATTGTAAAAATTGATAGTCAATGTGAATACTCAGATTTATTCAATACCGCCTTGATCTGAGCCTTTAGTAAAGCATAGAATCTTCGTTGCTGTTCTAGATGTATATCGACGCTAGTGCGCAGTTAGGCGTTAAGGCCGACCTAAAAAGGCAAGGCAGTTTTTGCGTTGCCGCATCGCCAACACGAATCTCCCGCCGACTCCTCCTTTCCTCACCCTCACCCTCACCCTCACCTTACTCTGCCTGGAGCAGAATCTCGTGCCGACTCGACTAAAGCTCCGACGAGTCCTCCCTTCGACTCTTTGTGCGCACCGACGGCGCCTTCCCGGGCCGAAAATCTTCCCCTCCGAGCACGCCGCCTTTCCAACCTCACCCTTCCACCTTCACCTCCACCCCTCAATCCAACCACAATGGCTGCCGTGGCAGAGAACGGTCACGCGGTGACCGACGAGAATGCCGCCCCCGCGGTCGCCTCCTCCACTGAGGAGATCACCGTTTTCCACGACCCCGAGAACTTCAACGTCAAACACCCGCTCATGCACGAGTGGACGCTGTGGTTTACCAAGCCTCCCAGCGGCAAGGTGAGTCGCGACCGAGACTTGGTCAGCGAGGCCGATTCTAATCCAGGCAAACGCAGGGCGACAACTGGAACGACCTGTTGAAGGAGGTTGTCACATTCAGCTCCGTCGAAGAATTCTGGGGCATCTACGTATGGCAACACCCATCCCCCATCCCTTTAAGTCGGAGACATCATGCTAACCACCTCCCTCGATCTACAGAACAACATCTGCCCTACTTCCGAGCTCGGCCTCAAGGCTGACTACCACCTGTTCAAGAAGGGCGTACGACCGGAGTGGGAAGACCCGCAGAACAAGCACGGTGGCAAGTGGTCGTACCAGTTCAAGGACAAGCGCTCAGTTCCCATCGACGACCTCTGGCTGCACGCACAGCTGGCCGCGATTGGCGAGACCCTCGAGGGCGACGAAGACAACGAGGTCATGGGCGTGGTGGTCAACGTGCGCAAGGGCTTCTACCGTGTCGGTCTGTGGACTCGCACTGTCGGCAAGAGCATTCCCGGTGACAAGAGCACCCGCACACCCGCGCAGGGCAAGGACGTTCTCGAGGCGATCGGCCGGCGGTTCAAGGATGTCCTCCGTCTCAAGGAGGCCGATGTGGTGGAATTCTCGGGCCACACCGACAGCGCGCACAGTGGTAGCACCCGTGCCAAGGCCAAGTACACAGTCTAGAGAAACGCAGATGGCAGGTGGTGAATAGCGGATGGTGGAAGTTTTGCTGTGCACTCGGTGGACGGATAGATGGAGAGGGGGGCGTCCACGGGTGTTCTCATGATGGCTGGAGAGAAAAGTCGATGATTCCCAGTTTTTACCCTGCTGCAAAGTTATGTGCAGCGATGACTTGCTTGCGACATGTACCCTACCCTTAACAACGCATTTTATGAGGCATGTCGTCTGACCTGTCCGTATCGTGTGATATACAAGTAATTAAATGTAAATGTCCGGTAAGGCTGAGCACTGCCTAGCAGAAATCGTAGAAACCACACTACACTGCTAGCAATCAACACTCAAGTCACAGACCACATGTAATCAGAAGGCTTATGATAGACCCTTGGATGTAATAGTGCACTCGATGATCTTCTCCTGTGGGCCTGGTAGTCAAGATATATTTAGGTCCGCGCTACCCACACGTCAAATCCCAAGACTGCAAGCATATCAAATCCACGAACAGTTCAACGAAAACCAAGAAAAAATGATGGCAAATCCATAATACAATCTCCCAGTCTGCGCTATGCAGCCATTCAGCGTCTTTCACACTGTAATCGGCCAATCCCAATGCAGCAAAGGTTAAACAAGCCTCTGCCGAACGTTGCAAGTATCCACAACAACAGCAGCAGCACTGCGAACATCGACGATTATTCCCAGCACCTGTGAGGTACAAACACAGCAGCATTTAACAGGATTCTCGATGAACTCGATACTTGCTCCAACACGTGCACAAATGCAAACAACCAGCCACATCGTCGCACTGCCGCTCCCGATTCACAGTGCGGCATTATATCCGAGCCTTCGATCCACGGCTCGCCGGTGATACAGAAATCTCAGCTCAGCTGCAGTGTCAGCATGATTCATCGGAACTCGCGTTGCACTATGCCAACGGTCTATTACGGCTGTGGACCCTCGTTTAAGTGTCGGTAGTCAGCACGGTCATGGCTGATCAACTGGGGATAACCGTCGATATTTCAGTCTGTTGCTCATTTCCTTCTTGCCTTCTTCTATTACTTGAGTAAAAACACTGAAAATCGAAGGATACAATCAGAATTGACCCGACAGTACACAGCTGCACCCACGAAATGGACTGGTCCCCCTTCCTCACCAACACCTGGGCCCGCATCGCCCTAACAATCCTCTCCTCCCTCCTCCTCCTAGTATACTGGTACATTCGAATACCAAGCGACATGCCAAAAAACATCCCCAGCGTACCAATCTACATCTCAATAATGGGGCTCTGGAGCGACATGGGCCAAACGGACATCTACGACAAATGGCTGCGGGAACCACTCGAAAAGCACGGCGCAGTAACCTACTGGGCCGCAGGACGCTGGAACGTCCTCGCCACACGACCACGGTATCTTGTCGACATGTTCCGGCATGAAGACGTATATGCGAAAGCAGGCAGCCAGAAGAAGATTCCTTGGAGCGTGATTGCCAGTCTTGTGGGCGGGAACATCATCAATTCGCACGGGGAGTTGTGGAAGCTTTTCACGTCGATTATGAAGCCCGGGCTACAGAGGAGGATTACGGATTCGATGCCGTTGCTGTTGAAGTCACGGCTGTTTGTGGATTGTATCTTGGCAGAGCAGGGGAGGTTGGGGGAGAGCGGTGTTTTGGTGAATCCGTTTATTCAGCGGTGGGCGTTGAGTTGTATGGGGTTGAATTTTATGAATGTTGATCTGGAGGTGCCTCTTCTTCCCTTTGGATACGCACAGTAACGGGACAGCAAGCTAATTCAGACCTGATTTGATGTGCCAGTCCCTCGAAAAACCAAACCAACGCCTCGAACAACTCCAAACCCTCATCAAAAAAACCCTCTTCGAACCGCTCTTCTTCAACTTCCCCGATCTAGACCGCTACCCCACGATCTTCCGGCGGCGCAAAGTCGCCTTCTCAATAATGCAAGAATTTGGAGATCTACTAGTCGCCACGGTCCGCGCACGCCCGCGAAACGAAGACAAAGACGGATCCCAAGTAGTGGACGCACTAGATGCCGCACTCAACTCAGGCCTAATAACCGAAGAGCAATACCGAGCAAATCTAAAAGTTACCTTCCTCACAGCGCACGAGAACGCCCAACAGCTCCTCAACTCCGCATTCTGGGTGCTCGGATCCAACACGTCAATCCAGGATAAGCTCCGGGCTGAGATACTCGCTACGAAAACTACCAATCCCACCTCGGACGAAGTCAATGCCCTACCGTACTTGTATGCCGTCATCGTCGAGCTCCTCCGCCTCTACCCGCCCGTCTCGCAGCTAGTCAATCGTGTAACGATGTCCAAGACTGTGCTGGGCGGGGACATTGTCATTCCGAATCATACGTGGGTGGGATGGAATGCGTTCGGGGTACAGACAGATCCGGCAATCTGGGGCGCTGATGCAAGGGAGTTTAGACCTGAGCGGTGGGGGGAGTGATGTCAAAACGATTCACGGTAGGGTGCGGAGTAAGACGGTGGCGTGCCATTTTATTGCGTTTAATGCGCATTCGAGGAAGTGTTTGGGGCAGGGATTTGCGGTGTTGCAGATGAAGATTTTGCTGTTTGAGATGGTGAGACGCGTGCAGTGGGTGATTGATCCGGAGTATGAATTGAAGTTGACGTCGGTAAGTCCAGCTGGTGGAGAGGGATATACTTTTCACTCGGCTAATATTTGTTAGGGGGGAATTATGGCGCCTTTGAACCTTCGGGCGATTGTGACAGAGCGGGAGGCTGAGCCGAGAGCGACGACAGCAACGACTCCAGTTACGGTTATGGAAACGGCGGCAATTACAGGTACAGCTGGCGATAGTGAGAAGGTTTTTCCGTTGGTCGTTGTCAACTAATAGACAGTGGGTCGGAATTTTCGAGACGTATATTGAGATATCGGTGGCGTGGAATCAACAATGTCTACGATTCGAGTCAGGTGGCAACCACTTGACTCGACACCACCAACACCACGAAAGTTGCAAATTGAATTCAGGCCGGCAGGTATAGCCGATAGCAAGTAGCACAGAACCAAAGTTGACAAAAGCATGTCCTCGGTCCAATCCGCGATAAATCTATAACGCAGCTTCGCACCATAAGCCTAACTCTATATCTTCAAAGAATAAGCAAAGTCTGGTCCTCAGCAGAACTAAATTCCACAATCACTACTATCATACCAAGCTTCCAGCATCACATTACTACACTGAGAAGTAGCACCAACCACTGAACAATGAACCCAACCATCAAACAACACCACTTCGCAATTCTAATCTTCGACGGCGCCGACATGCTCGACTTCAACGGGACCAATGAAGATCTTGAGTCACGCCAACAACGTCAGCCTGAGTGACCCCTTCAAAATAACCACGATAGCTCGCACCCGCACCGTGCAAACCGGCAGCGCCACCAAACTAACCGTCGACCTCCTCATCCCCGCCTCGTCTCTATCCCAACCTACGACATCCTCCTCATCCCCGGCACCGCCCCAAGCCTAGTTCACGCCCTAGTGGAAGCGGACAAGCCCGAAAAAGAGCTAATCCGCACCTTCGCAAGCGCCAGTAGCCCCAAACCACGCATCCTCTTCTCAATCTGTACAGGGTCCTTCCTCCTCGGCGCCGCAGGGATTCTAGCCGGGACGACGGTGACGACGCACCAGCACGCGCTGGACGTTCTACGGTCAATCTGCGCGGCTCACGGCACTGGCTTATATGAGAAGACGCGGGTTGTCCGCCGACGCTTCGTGGATGGGGGCTTCGTCCGCGGGACGCGGGTGCAGGTGATTACGGCGGGGGGAATTAGTTCTGGCCTGGAGGCGACATTCTACATTATTTGTTTGCTTTTGGGTGCTGAGCGGGCGTCGTGGGTGTCGCGGGAGATGGAGTATGGGTGGAAGGAGTCGGAGGATGGGGTTTGGCCGGCGAAGTTGGTTGTTGGGGGCGGCGGTATTGTCGGCGAGATAGAAAGGCGTGTACCTGACCTACCGTAGTGTATACAGTCTGGGACTGCTAGTAGAGTACGAAGTATACATGAGTCAGAATCCATTTATTCATTGAGTACTTTCGGAGTCCGGAGCCGCCTCCGTCGGCAATCTTCCGAGCCATCTCCGAGCCCTAAACGCGGAAGCCTCCACTTCGCTTACTGTTGGGTCGGTGAGTGGTGAGCCAGTTGGGAAGTGAATCTCCGTGGTCCACTGGGTTGTGAGTGGTCGGCGATGTCGCCATTTCACCAGTGTTGCTGGGAGTAATAAAGCGAGGTTGACGGAGGAGGGAGTGTACAGTAGGAGCTGGCGATATCGGCTTGCGTCTAATGTTTTGGGTATTTAGATCCGACCCTCAGTTTATGTCCGACGAGAAAGGGCGGAAATAGGTGTGGTATATGTGGGACTATTTGTTTATGAGAGAGTTATGATCAGGAAGAATATTTACTTATAAGTATGTATTAGTCGCCAAGCCCGACGCAACCTTAAAAGCTGTTACGCGAATGCGAGTGTGCCTATTACTGAGGCACACTTGGGCAGTGCTAGGCATAACCTATGTAAGCTCACTGATGCCAAGTTGCCAATGCGGCCTCTGCCACTGCCAATCTCTGCCCAGGCTGCGGGCGGCTGGGCGACGCGAAGGGCGCGGGATCTCGTTGGTCTGCGGCGAGCGAAGTCGGAGCGATAAGCATTGCCAACACGCCAGACAGGCCTACTTTATGGCGGGCGTCCCTCCACGCAGATCGGGCAGATCTTTCTTTTGACTTCGTATGCAACGCAGCCATACAAACCTGGCTCCCACCACTTCTTTCACCACCACCTCACACACATTTTCAAGTCATGCTTGCTGGACTCGGACCATCTACACTAATGACCAATACTCACGACAGCCAGAAACGCTTATCATGCTTGGCGTCGGCGACTCCACCACCTTCCTAACGGTTACGAGAGAGAAATTACCCCGGATATTAACAGCGAAGGCTATCGCCGGCTCCTCCAGGCCTTCCAAGTCATCTCGGGCTCGCTTGCCTCCAACCATGCGATCCCCGCAACCACGATCGCGACTCCGGGGTAGCATTGCCCTGCATCTGAAAGTCAAGGCTCCGCGACGACGACATGATTCGTGCCCGGGCGGGTTTCGCGGGGAGCCCCAACGTTGCACCGGCGATGAACCAACGGGAGGACAATGAGACCGAAAGATGGGGAACCGGGGAAGCAGACCACATGTATTACAGCACCTTGGGTCATCGTGTGCTGCACGATCAATTGGGAGGTGTGTTGAGATGCAAGAGCACCTCCCGAATGCGGCAGGCAGCTCTCGGGACGAAGCGCGGTCATCTGACCTCCACCTCCAGTCAACACTGTACACTACAGGTACCGGTACACCACTCTGCACTACGCCTACGCCGTACACCGTGTACCAGCACGCCTCCCACTTGAGCAAGTCCACGCCCGATCAAACCCCAGTTGCCTTCGGGTTCGCCGCCGGGGCGGAGTCCGGCGGCTGCACTCCGAGTGCATGCAAGAATGTGGCAAGGAAATTGCGGCAGCCGCAGCCGCACACGGAACTGATCCAGGAACTGGCCACAGCTACCAGACCTGACCTCTGGGTAAGGCTACAGTCTCACCGGCCTTCTCCGAGTGTCCGCAACCGCGAAATCACAAATATTACGGCTCACCGGCTGCTGGACTGATAAGGCAAGCGTGGGCCCATGTCTTCAAGAACTCCCCTCCAGCCCGGTGATTGCTCAACCACACAATCCCAGCCGGCTCCACGCTGCTTGACATCTGAGCAATGCTGAACAGTGCGCCGACTATCCGTCCGTCCTTCGCTTGCAGATAGGCCGGGCCCCCTGCTGGGGTTACATCCGTGGGCAACTCCGCGAAACTGCCGATCGCATCCACGGGTGCAGTAGTGCGCCGCGAACAATTGGTTATCTGCATGCCAGACATGGCGAGGACTGGTCGCGCGGTGTTTTTGGGTCGGGTGGGACGAGACTAAAAATTTCCACTTCCCACGCGATAAGCCTCCCCACTGCCTCGGGTGAAAATTGCTACATATAGCCGCTGTATACGCCCCAGATTCCCCCCCCGAGAGGATTCTGCTTTTTCACCACTGTCACCATGGCGGATCACGAGGTTCAGGCTGCTCCGTATGTTTTCGTTATTCTCTTGTCGCCACAAGAGGTAGTATCCAAAGATACAATGGCCGATCTAGTACTGACATTGACATCTCGGGTAGTCCCACCTACTCCAGCAATGAGGTCCAGCAGATCGTCGTGACCGACGACAAGGCCGCCCTCGACTTCAAGGATGGCGCTCCCACCCCCGATGGCGAGGAGCCTAACGACGACGAGAAGCGCTCCCTGCGCCATGTCGCCGAAAACCTGCCCGTCTCCGCCTGGCTGGTCGCCATTGTCGAGCTGTGCGAGCGTTTCACCTACTACGGCATGTCCGGTCTCTTCCAGAACTATGTCCAACACCCGCTCGACGGCAGCCAGGGCCGCGGTGCCCTGGGCATGGGTCATCAGGGTGCCACCGGTCTCACCACCTTCTTCCAGTTCTGGTGCTACGTGACCCCCATCCTGGGTGCCATCGTCGCTGATCAGTACCTCGGCAAGTACAAGACCATTGTGTGGTTCTGCGGTATTTACCTGATCGGTCTGCTCATCCTCGTCTGCACCTCCATTCCGACTGCTCTCGAGCACGGCGCCGGTCTGGGCGGTTTCATTGTCGCGATTCTCATCATTGGTTTGGGCACTGGTGGCATCAAGTCCAACGTCGCCCCCCTGATCGCCGATCAGTACAAGCGCAAGAAGATGGCCCTCAACACTCTCAAGTCTGGCGAGCGTGTCATCATTGACCCGTCCCTGACCATCCAGCGCATCTACATGATCTTCTACGGCTGTATCAACGTCGGTTCGCTCTCCCTGCTGGCCACCCCGTACATGGAGAAGTTCATCGGCTTCTGGTCGGGCTACCTTCTGTGCCTGTGCATGTTCGCCATGGGTACGCTGGTCCTCCTGCTGGGCCGCAAGTTCTACGTCGTGCGCCCGCCGCAGGGCTCCATCATCACCGACGCCTTCAAGGCACTGGGCATGATGATTGTCAACCGCAACATGGACGCGCCCAAGCCCAGCTGGCAGCTGGAGCACCGCGGCTCGCAGGCCACCCTCCCCTGGGATGACCACTTCATCGACGAGCTGAAGCGTGCTCTCGTCGCCTGCCGCGTGTTCGCCTTCTACCCCATCTACTGGGTCGTCTACGGCCAGTTCTCCAGCAACTTTGTCACTCAGGCCGGCCAGATGGAGGGCCATGGTATCCCCAACGACCTGATGCAGAACTTCGACCCCATCTCCATCATTGTCTTCATCCCGCTGCTGGAGACCCTGGTCTACCCCCTGATGCGCCGCCTGAAGATCCCATTCCGCCCCATCACCCGTATCTCCCTCGGATTCGTCGTCGCCTCGCTGGCCATGATGTACGCCGCCATCGTGCAGCACCTCATCTACTCCGCCGGACCCTGCTACGGCCATCCCCTCTGCGACGCCAGCAAAGTCGACGGCACCGCCCAGGGCAACAACATCCACATCGCCATCCAGACCCCGGCCTACATGTTCATCGGTATTTCCGAGATTTTCGCCTCGGTCTCGGGTCTAGAGTACGCCTACACCAAGGCTCCCCCTCGATGAAGTCCTTCGTTCAATCTATGTACCTCCTGACCAACGCCTTCGGCTCCGCCCTCGCCGAGGCTCTTACTCCTGCCGCCTTCGACCCCGCCGTCATGTGGATGTTCGTCGGCCTGGCCTGTGCCTCGTTCGCGGCTGGTATCATCTTCTGGCTTGTCTTCCACCACCTCAACGCGCAGGAAGATGACATGAACGCTCTGGATGCGGACGACGATGCTATTCCTGCGCCGCGGGAAGAGCGTCGCAACTCGAAGGAGTAAATCCTAGTCTTCACTGTTATTGTTGATTATTGTGACGGATACGATCTGAGTAGACCTCAATAGATCATTTGCATATATTTTGTCCGGTGGCGTGCATGCATTCTGCTGTGCAGGTAATGAGATATGAATGTAATCTCTAGTATATAAATACAGCATAATTTTGACCATATAATACCTTAAGATACCTAGGAATCTAGACCGGAGAGTAAATTTACACTAGTGTAGATGTAAATAATGGAGATTTCAAGCATCGATCAGTCTTGTCAAAGCTTGGCGATCTGCAGTCCCACCTGCCACGCAGCTATACATACAGGAGATGGTCTGTGATGAAATGCCCCCTCATCCATGCTTACCTAGTATGGCTATTGCGATGGAAATCAACCCAGGTTGGTGTATTCAACTGCTATTCAAATATTGAAATTTTCGACCTCGATTTTTTTAGGGTAGTGCCTTGCGCCAAGAAGCCGTGCCTTAGAAGTCTCGGCGTTTCATCGATAGACCAGTCGTTGTCTTCTCGCGATCGCGATTGCAGTAATCGCCATACTCAGGCACTTCGTGCTGACTGAACTAGGCGTCATCATGAATATTGGCAGATGTAGTGGAGCGGTTAAATATAGATGCTGCGCAGCCCCGCGAGATACGCATCCTGGGGCTTGTGATTGGTTGTTGTGCTGCATTTGCCACATTGCATGTCTTTTCCATCTCAGTATACAGTGATTGGTGTCGAATAGTCTCTATAATAATGTAAATGTAGTATGCTTTGTAGAGTAGATTTTATTTGGTTAGATTTTATCGGTGTTCCTTAGTAGCTTCCTTGGTTATTAGGGTATAGCTAAGCTACACCTAAGTACTGCTGGTAAATACGGTCGGGATTAAGCTCAAGTCATCCGACATTATGACGTGCAGACTCGAATCCATCCTTCGCATCACAGTCAGGCTATGATATACCTGATTTAAAGTCGGTAGCAACCCTAGAAATACTGTAATACACGCCACACTGCTGCATAGCTGGATGTACTGTGCCTGCGCACGTCCAACGCCGATCCGAGCCTCCTCAGAATAGCAACATCAGCCACACTGGAAAGGGGTCCACAGAAAATTCAATTACACCCCTGACATCGACTTTATTCATCTCCTTCATCTTATTCTTCGGTTCGCTCCTTAATTTATTAAACTTCTTATCTAATTTTCTCTCTCGAATTGTTAGGGTGTCACTGGAAGACGGCAGCGCTTAGCAACGTGACCCTGATAATCTTAATCGGACCGAGTGCCTGCCGCCAACCTCCACTTCTCCCGTCTCACTCTCCCTTCATCCTTTCACCCTTGTTCCACCCCCCATCAGCATCATGAGTGTACGTGACCTCCATTTTTTGCGGCAGAATTTCAATCGCTGACACTGACTCTTGACAGTACCAAAGTCTCGGGGATAACCAGGGCGGCTACGGCCAGTACAACCCCTATGGGGGCCAGCAGCAGAACCCCTACGCCCAGCAGCAGGACTACGGATACGGCAGCGGCTACGGGCAAACCGGCGATGTCGAGCAGGGCAATGGCGGATACGGTGCGTTCTCTATATGCTAATCGCGATAGGCGATTTCGACGATACGCGCAGTACTAATGACTCCCAGAAATGTCCAACATGCAGCAATCAGGAGGCCCAACAGCAATTCTCAACAAGTGCAAAGAAATGAACGACGCGATCAATGAGCTCCGCACCAAGCGCGAAGGCCAACTGGTGTCCGCGCAGAACGCCCTCCTCGACAGCGCGACCGGCAAGGAGGACCAAGCGGCGCGCCAGAGCGTCGACTACATTGAAGACGAGATCAACACGGCGCTGCGGTACCTGCGCGACCAGTTCAAGCGGATCAAGGAGACGCCCGGCTCGGGCGACCCCCGCGTCTCGGGACAGGTCGAGAACGTCAACCGGAACCTCCGTCGCGAGATCGAGCAGTACCAGCGCACGCAGTCGGATTTCCGCAAGCGCCTAGAGGAGCAAGTGCGCCGTCGGTATGAGATTGCCAACCCCGAGGCGACGCCGGAGGAGCTGGAGCAGGGTGTGCAGAATGTGCTGGCTGGACAGGAGCAGGCCTTTATGGTAGGTACCAGGACTCTCAAAGAAGAAAAAGTGATTGCTGACTTGCCCGACTGAACAGACCCCCGGTACTCGCTCCCGCCAGGCCAACGATGCCCGCCAGGCCACCATGCAGCGATCCGCCGCGATCCGCAAGATCGAGCAGGACATGATCCAACTCGGCCAGCTGTACCAGGAAGTTGCCGAGCTGGTGCACCAGCAGGAGCCGGCCGTCACACAGATCGAGCAGGGCGCTGAAGACACCCACCGCAACGTGCAGCAGGCCAACACCAAGCTGGACAATGCGATCGTCAGCGCCCGCAACGCCCGCCGGTGGAAGTGGTATGCTCTGATCATCGTCAGTAAGTAACCTCCCCCTCCTCCCCGTTTCCGTCGTTTTCCAGCCACTAATCTCGCTCAACTAGTCATCATCATCGCCATCATCGTCGGCGTCGCCGTCGGTGTCACGCAAGCCAACAAGAGCGCCTCCGGGAAATAATCGCGTCCGCCCGTCATGTTTTCTTTCGCTCCCCGTTCCTACCCTTCGTTTCTATACCACCCTCTCGCATGTCATTTGTAAAAGCAATGCTGATCGGCTCTTCCCCCCGGATGATTTGCTCCCCACGGTCCGAGCTTGCCTCGTCTGGGCTGGGCTGCCTGGCTGTGCGGGATGTACATACTAGATTGTTTCTTGCGGCCATTGGCGATAATCTATGTAATACCGTTTTTCCTGCCGACTTGAAACCAGCAGATGTAGACAAAAGACACTCAACCAAGAGGATTAAATGTAGATGTATGCATGGGTATCCATTCGCTCTGAACAACCTCGTCCAAATTTCCTCCCACCCCGGAAAATCACTTGACAAGTGTTTATTGAGCAGCCTTCTCCCTTTCCTTCTCCCTCGCCTCCTCAGCCGGCGTCTTAGTCCGCAACTGTAAAGCATGAATCCCACCCTCACGCGCCATCTCCTCCTTCAAAAGTGCATAAACCATCCGATGACGCGCGGGCTGCATCTTCTTCTCGAATTCGGCGGATGTAATCGTCACACTAAACCACACAATACAGATTAGACCTTAAACCAGACGGGAGTACCCCAAGAAACAAGAGAGGTGTGGTGGTGACTCACTGAAAATGCGTCTCCTTCGACGTCGACCCCTCCATCGCAGCGTGGTGCGCGTGTTTATGCGAATCATTTCGGATGATCAGCGTCGTCGGCGTGAATGCGTGCGCAATCTATCAAGCCACCCCCGAATTAATCCAGTCCTTGAAATCAGAGTGCCGGTGCTGAGTACGGCTTACCTTGTCACGCATAAGGTCCTCCATCGGAGTCAGAGAAGCCATGCTGGAGAATGGACGGCGCGGAATGAAGCGCGGGAGGATCGAGCGGAGCATTTGACCGTCAACGTCAACACCGGACCACGAGGAGTCGTAGCAGTAGTGAGATGCTGGGTAGATGTTGGCGAGGCGCGGAGGTTGGGCGGAGAAATCAAATTGGCGGCTGCGATTTCCGCGGACCGCATGATGTCAACTTCCGCGACAATGCCAAACAGCCACCGCCCCTAATTGAAAGGACGAGGGAAAGTCTCTACATCGCAGCGACACCCAATTGAGTACAATGTCGCTATTCGCGCGTCTCCCGCGCGTCCTCCGCGCAAAACCTCGCCTTCTCTCCAACGGAGGTACAGCTACCGGCCCAGCTCCGCGACACCTCTCCACTCTCCCCAATATCCCAATCTTCCAGGCACTAAAGGACCACGATCCTGAAAGTCTCTCCGTAATCCACAGTCTGAGCCAGCGGAGCTTTACGTACGGGAACCTGGTCGGCGACGTCTTGCGCGCGCGGGAGGATCTGCGTCGGAAGGCGGGTGGGATTGCTGGCGAGCGGGTTGCTTTTTTGGCGGAGAATGGGTATGATTATGTTGGTGCGTCTCCCCCGATTATAACCCAATTATGTCTTGTTTGGGAATACTTATTCTGTGTAGTGACGATGCTAGCCATCTTCGCCAGCGAGGCTATCGCGCTTCCGCTGTCGCCGGCTTTCCCGACGGGTGAGCTGCAGTATATCATGGATAACTCGTCGGCGAAGGTTCTGCTGTCGACGGAGAAGTATGCCGAGAAGGCAGATCAGCTTATTTTCTCCGGGTTGCAACGGCAGCCGGTGTTTGATGTTCGGTCGAAGGTGAAGGAGGGCGCTGGGTATGAGAAGATTAAACTGGAGGAGGCGAAGGAGTCGTTGTCTGGGATGATGCTTTATACATCCGGCACGACCAATCGACCAGTAAGATTTTCATCAAAGTCGTAAGTATTTGAAGGGGAAAACGGGGCTGATTCTAGTAGAAAGGCGTCCTCATCCCCGAATCCGCACTGGCAGCACAAGCCAGATCCCTCCTGCAAGCATGGAAATATACACCAAACGACCGACTCCTCCACCTCCTCCCACTGCACCACATCCACGGTGTCGTCAACGCAATCGTCACGCCGATCTTCTCCGGCTCCTCGATCGAATTCATGTACCCTTTCAACACAGATGCTGTCTGGAACCGACTCGCGGCGCCATTCCTTCCAAACAACGAGTGCAAAAAGTCAAAGATCACCTTCCTAACCGCCGTGCCTACAGTTTACAACCGTCTCATGGCCTCATTCCCCTCCCTGTCCCCAGAAATACAAAAAGCTGGACAAGAAGGTATCTCCCCCGCAAACCTCCGACTGAATATCTCCGGCTCCGCAGCCCTCCCAACCCCGACGAAGAGTAAATGGTCCACTCTAAGCAAAGGCAACGTCCTCCTCGAACGCTTCGGCATGACTGAGGTCGGAATGGCGATTAGCTGTGGCCTCGATACTGCAGACCGCGTCGACGGAAGCGTAGGCTGGCCTCTACCAGGCGTGGAAGCACGACTAGTCGACACGGAGACGAACGAGGTTATCCCAGAAACAACCGAAAAAGACACCGCGGGCCGCAATGTCGAAGGCGAGATACAGTTGAGGGGTGATACGATCTTCCACTCATACTGGGCGAACGAGAAAGCGACGTCTGAGAGTTTCGTTCCAGACGCAGAAGGTGGAAAACCCTGGTTCAAGACCGGGGACGTCGCGTCCCGTCGACTCGTTCAAGGCGCTGGCTCCGGAAAGAGCGGGGAGTGGGCGACGGGCCCTATGTATTTTATTTCTGGACGGAAGAGTGTCGATATCATCAAGACAGGTGGGGAGAAGATTAGTGCATTGGAGGTGGAGAGGGAGTTACTATCTCTGTGAGTCCCCATATCCCATATTTTATCTCTAAAAAAAAAAAGAACTATACTGATGAAGCAGCCCGCAAATCACCGAAGCAGCCGTCCTCGCCCTCCCTAGCGAAAAATGGGGCCACAAGGTCGCGGCCGTGGTGGTGCTGCACCCTGATGCCGCGAGCAGTGGACGCAATGGGAAGACTTGGGGCGTGATGGATATGCGGCGGGCGTTGAAGGATCGGTTAGCGGGATATAAGATTCCGTCTGAGATGAGGGTTTTGGAGACTATTCCGCGGAATGCGATGGGGAAGGGTGAGTCTTTCATCATTTCTTTTTTTTGTGATTCATTATTGGGTGGTGCTAATGATGGTATAGTTAATAAAAAGGCGCTGGTGAAGGAGGTTTTTGGGGTTTAGATTGGGTGGCGTGAGTACACCCTAATGTTCCCATATTTCTTCTTGTATTTTTATGCTACTGAAGTTATAGAGTATCTCAAATAAACTAATAGTTTTTGTTTGGATGTTTGTTTTGCTGGTTGTCTAGTGAGTAAGGTGTTTGTTGTTTCCTTGGGGTGAGAGGCGTATACTTCGGGCGGTCCTCGCAAGCAGGCTGCTCCTTCCTGCTGGACCTCACTTGCTCCCTCTTTCCTCTGCATTTCTCCCGACCCTCCCTTTTCGTTGTCCCTGCCCCCTCCCACCTCCTCCATCCTATTCTTCTCGACGGTCAGTATTTCAGCCTTCTGCAGCGTTTGCATCTGTCCACCGTTACCACACTGCATCGCCAGCATGGACACCTTGGTTGCCGACGACTTCACCAACACATGTCTCGGAGTCATCAGATTCGCAGACACCTTCCGCGAGCTCGCCGCAACCTGCCAAAAGATCAGATACAACGATCCACCCCCAAGCCTGATACTGAGTACGTAGACGATGCATCATTCTCTTGTCCCACCGGCGATGCCAATGAGGTGAAGCTATGGATCCCACCCAGCGGAGCCCGCCTCTCAGACCAGGTCGTCTTCGCCATAATCCAAGCCGACATCCCAGGCCCCATCCGCGCCAGAAAATGGTCTTACGAATTCGACTCTGAGGGCAACATCCGCAGAGAACGCGTCCCTTCCGGCCCCGCGCCCATTTGCTGGGGAAACCGCGTGCCCTACTTCCCCGTTTATGGCGGCTACTATATCCTGGGCGGAGACTATGTCGCGAAGCGCTGCTGGCTGTTGAACGCCAGCCCGCCTGTTCCAGGCCTTCCATACCCCAAGCAAATCATCGCCGGACCTGTTGTCGCCTCACCTGAAGCTATTCCTCCCGAGCACTATCGGGACCTTCTGCGCGAACAACTGCACAGCTTCGCGCCGGATAAACTGGATGTATTCCCGGGTTCATTCCTCGAGCAGAGCCAGCGAAGCTTTACGATCTACGTCGCGGACCATACCCGATTTTCTGTTGTGTTCTTGGACGACAATTATTTCGGTTTTGTGATGCCTGCCAAAATCCCCGGCTACAATACTCGTGTTGATCCCGAGGGGACGACCTATGCGGATGCAAATTACATCTATCCGATGGCGAGATGGGCTCAGAGGGCGAAGGATGAGTATGTGAATCCGAGTAAGGATGAATTCTGTCTTCCGCATGGAATTCAGCGGTACAAGCTCTTTCGAGGGTTTGATGGAGCAACTTGGGGACGGGCTATCTAGTCAGTGGATGAGCTTGGTCATATCTTGAAGGTCTGGATCGTGTTTGGAGATCTATGTGGGGCTGGTTTACTTCCCCCAAGTCCTGTGGTGACATATTGTAAATCTTCTTGTTACCATTCAATCGGACAATTGAGTTAACCCAGTGAAATTCCTGCTTAGATTCATACGCGTAGCATCGAATATCAAGAGATTGAATTAATGGTTGTAGAGAGGTAGTGATGGGTGTGGTAGTGATCGTAGCGAAATGGAGGTATGTAGGACAATGACGAGCAAATGTTGACTCTGGTGGGCATTACAGTCGAGTGTTCAACCAGAGAACTTACCAAGTCGGTTGAGAGTAGATTCATAATATACAAGACTACCAGTAGAAATGTAGTCAACCAGGACCAGTGGATCCCAAGATAATATACAGCAATATACAAAACACAAGATCAAGCCCACTCACCCGTCCTCTCAAAAGCCCTAACAAACCTCTTCGCCTCCATCGAAACCTCCAACGTCGCCATATCAACAGCCGTAAGCCTTGCCTCAACAACCCCAAAAACATCCATGTGCTCCTTCCCAGGACAATCCTCAGGAACCGTAAGCGTACAGCTCACGCCAAGATTCGTAATAACAGCAGAATATTTCGTGACATTCTCTCCGGGCGTGAGGGCTAGTTTCTTCGTGCGCAGCAAGACAGGGAAGGAAGACGGCAGCTCACATTCGCCGAAGTAGAATGCGCGGAAGAGCAGCATGCATGCCCAGTGCTGGTTTGCGAAGGTCGAGATCTCGCGCAGGCGTGTGGTTATTTGTTGGGCGTGGACTATGTAGTCGTTTATTTCGAATTGGGTGTATGGGAGTGGGGAGGGTGGGTTCGGTACTGGGTTTTCTTCTAGGATTTCGGATGGAGCGATGTCGTCTTCGACTGGGACTTGTTTTTGTGTTTCTGTCTGTGTGGGTGTCTCGTCGGGTTCTGGATTTTCTTCCAGAATCTTGGACGTGGCAATGTCGCCTACGACCGGGATCTGTGCCTGTGTCTCGTCGGGTTCAAGTTCAGACAATTCAGTCGGGATATCAGTCGCGGCGAATTTTCTCCCGTTTTCAGCCTCAAAGCGCAAAGCCGCTTCAATCTGATAATGTGCGATGACATCGGTGAAGCGTCGAAGTGGACTCGTACACTTGACATAGGCGTCCAAACCCAGAATATGATGCTGAACAGGAGCAGACATGGAAAGAGCCTTCGGCAGAGCAGAATGATAAAACGCCTGCCCACCGAACTGGGCGATATTCTCGTTCGTGACGCGCGTGTATTCGGGGTCATACCAAGTCCCATCGAAGACGGTAGGAATGCCTCTGTCCGCGCAGAAGCGGCCGGCAATATGGCCAGCCAGGTTCATGAGGAGGGAGATAAGGTAGTTTTTTGATTCGTCGCGGACTTCATGGGGGTTGGAGTCCTGCATGCCGAGGCTGATGATGGGGTCGCCGACGAAATACCGTCCTTCCGTTACTTGCATCTCATAGGGCTTGACTGGTTGAGTGCCGAATTGGAGAGAGACGGAGGGGTTTGGACGAGATTGGGGTAGGTCCATTGCGCCGTTTTTCTGGCGCTGTGTGCGGAATCCTTGCATTAGCTTACGGAGGATTGTGAAGGATTCCTTGTCTTCGGGAGTGAGGGTGTTGCGGAAGGTTGCGTCGGAGGGAGGAGGGGTGATGGAGGAGGAGTCGCCGACAATGAGAGCTTTAGAGGATTTCTCTGCATTTGGGTTTAGGAATTCGCGCACGGTACGGTGCGTGATGCTGATGACGTTGTGGACGGTCCCGTTGACGACTTCCGTGTCTAGAATCTCGCCCTGGAGGTTCATCTTGGCGCTGAATGTCAATGTCGGTCGTCCGGCCGACAGGCTGAAATGGCCTTGTGTCAGGGCCGAGGGCAGGATGGGATATGTTCGTTCCGGGACGTATGTGGTAGCGACGCGCGATGAGGCATATTCGATAATTGGATGATCGGGATCCAAGAAGGCTGTCGGGTTGGCGACGTGAATGCGCACCCAGAAGGTATCGTCTGAGTTAGGGATTCGTTCCACCGAGACACCATCATCGATTTCTTGTGCTGTCACATCATCTACACAGTAGACCGGGAGGTCACCCCAGTCTTTTCGAAGGTGTTGCATCGAATCTGTGAGGGAGAGATCCTGACAGGACTCTTCGATTTCTTCCCACTTCATGTCCTCGAGAAGGGACATCCCATGACCGGGCAATAACAGACTCTGGTCCAAGACACCCAAATTCTCCCACGGAGAGATCACTCCCAATTCCTGCAGGAAAAGACGAGTAGATGCTTCACTCAGTCCGAGAGTGTTGTACATGCCCGTCGCGCGCATGATATGCGAGGCGGCCGATCTCAACGTCCCTGACGGCATGATCACCGATGGAATGACATAGTACTGCATGAACTCGAGGATTGTCTGATCAGTTGCAGTGAACCTTTCAGTCAAAACTTCGCGATATATCATCGACTTGCCATCCTCTGCCGGTTTGAATTGCTGAGAGGAAGGTCCGACACTAGACATGATAGTCGGCGAGCGAACCTTTCGACTGAGGCGGATCATCCGCTGCGCCTTTTGGATAAAGGTGTACATTGGATGATCTTTTGCGCCCACGGTCGGCTTTCCCATGACACTGCGGATGCACATCTCCTGGTGGTCGCGGACCCAGGCCGACACCTGATCGACGACTTTGGAAATTCTCTTCGGCTGGATCAGATATGTCCGGCTGAAATAAGAGGGGATATCCCTTTCCATCTTGAAGGGAAATCGTCGCACAGCTTGATGCACCGCAAAGAGATTCATCGCATTCAGCTCCGACTCCTCAATACCCAAAAGCTTCATTGTCAACTCGTCGATACTCAAACGAAGGAATTCCGCCTCGTCCGCCACCAATTCGTAAGCATTATCCAGAAATCTTGAATGGTCGCGATAAAAATCGGCCATATGCTCACTGAAATTGTTCATCATCGTAATCAGCGGCGCACCAAGCGGCCGCGGCAGTCCACCCTCAGGAACAATCTGCAGCTCCGACTTGGGCTGAGAAATTTCATCTGGGAAGTAAGGAATGATTGGCTCAAGCAGCTCCGGCGGCGCAAACCCCTTCATAACAAAGTCAATTTCACGATTACTGCAGATCCTCCAATTTCCTCTCGCAGTATAGAACTGTTTCTGCTTATTGACGGACCGGACATAGATCGCAAGACCAAAGACACCATCCGCGTACAGACGAGCCACCAAATCTCCCGGTTCAAGGTGCTGACCCTCTGATTCCTCGGATGTATCAAAGTCCTCTTCTTGTCTGAGATTCGAGCTGGTCCAGAGCGAATCAGCATGGTCTCGGCCGTTGAGCATTGTTCCAATGGAAGTTTCGATTGCTTCAGCGCTCATTTTATTGCCGGCGTCTTGGATCGGATCGAGGACGAGCGGGTTGGTCTCGAGCCATTTATGGAGGTATTCTCGGATATCACGATAGGTTTCGAGTTCGGCTTGCGAAATACCAGAAGTGTTGGACTTGGAGGCTTCTTCGGCCGTTTGCTACGGCACATTAGATATATTCATTATGGTATATACAGGAATGTGTAATTACCTCAGTGACAGTCTCATTAGTGTCGACAGGCTCCAGTGTATCTGTTGGAATTGCTCTCAATGATCGCGTGGTTGATAGCGGGCGTTTGACAAAGCCCGCCGTCTTTCCAGCAGGTAGGGGCCGCCATGGTAGACGCCCTTGACTGCCACAATGCAAGCAGACTGGTCGCACATTGGCGACTTTCTGCACGAGGCCAATCCTCGATCGAAGCATGGTTGACGCTGCGAAATTGTCATGGTCGATCGCGAAACTTGTTATTTTGCCTGAACATGCACTTCACCGCCCGATGAAAGCAGGCGGTCTCGATACAGTCTCATAATATCACGTGACTCATGCCAGGGCTTCACGTTTGTCTCGTTTGCATGTTGGTATAAACGAGAACGAGACGCCGTTTCAGTTCCACTCCAGCGATTGACCGATCGTCCTCGAAAATCAGACATGCCCCAACATTGCTGTCATATCTAAGCGAGCACTGATTATTGTGAACTATCTCATTGCACCCTCCACTCTGCCACGTCGACCCACGATGCCCGATGCACGATGCAACTGCAACCTGCCACGCCATCACGGGAGGAGACATGCCCGGCCACTTTCTTCCGTGGAGGGCAGTGGCGGGCGCCATCTGCCGCAGTTCGTCCGCTTGGACCGGCTCGGCTCTTGCGTCGCAGGATCGAGCAGGGATTCGGCGGGCTAACTGACTCGCGCGGCGCCATTCGGAGAGACACCCGATTGCCAAGTCGAATTCGTTATGCCTCAGCCCCTGTTTTTGTAATCTATAGAACGCCATCACAACCTATACACAGTAGTTTCAAATTCCTATCTATTTCCTCTGTCTTCGTTGTAAGTGTCTGTTGGACTGTTCTATATATGGCAGCGAGGCAAGGCCGCCAATGTGTGATTGCCAATTAAATGGCCTCACGTCTTCCCCCACACGTTAAAACACCACTACCATCCCCTCTCAGCTTCTCCCCCGGTTCCGGATCCCACACTGCAGAAGAACAACCTCTCGTATTCCGCGTATTCGCTACTGGGCCTCTCGCACATCTGCATAACTGCAGTGTGCTCTTGCCGAGCCGCTATCCTCGGCATATCCGAAGCCCATGTGAACGTTTTATCATCCCACATTGATCGCCCGGCTCCCCAGCAAACACAACAGCTAGCGCGAGCCACGTCGATCGTGCACAAGAGCGAATGCCCAAAAACTTGCCAAATAGTGACTATCCCTGCTGCAATTGTTTAAGCGAGGCCGGCCCGAGCTCGATTGCGGAGCAGAGCGGGCATGCTGCCAAATCCAGGAACCGTCCAGGGGGTCCACCGAGCTTACCATTGCCCAGCAGGAATTTGACATGGATGGAAAGGGTCTTATCAAATTCACTGGTGGGCGATCACAAAAGTACGACAACGGTTTTTGCGGTGTCGGCGATGGCAACTTCTGAATTTCAAAGTTGGGTCAGTCCCTCGGCTTAAAGACTATGACTCTCTCGACTATATCATGGCTGGACAAGCAGATACCCTCCTCGGGCTCAAAGCCGGCGAATTTTTATTTTGTCTAGCGAGATGCCAATTCCCCTGTCTCGCCAGCAGTGGTGGTCACTGGGTTCAGGCTAAAGAATCCGACTCCAGGCCAGGCTATGGTTGGCTTGCGCCTCAGGATGCATCGCTGGCTGGAAAAGGAACAAACTATTGACGCCACCTATCAGGGAGGCTGTCCTTGTCTGCAATCGGAATCTGCAGATGACTCCACTGAGGCGCACCTGCATCAATGCATGGCATCACGTTTGACTGGTGTAATGCAAAGTATACCTCGATCGACACAGATGCCTTCTTGGCTACGGTCTCATACCTCCGATCAGCTCTGGACGTCAGCAAACTTCTCCGAACCCCCGCCCGAGGCTTCAAAAGCAAAGCCTGACGCCCCTGCCATGTGCGTCTCCACAAGATGCAAGCGAGATGGAATATTCAGATTATCGCGTCCGCCATTCGTGGCTCTTCCCGGGTAGAAGAGCCCTAGATGCTCACTACCATATTAGGAACTGCGTCAAGGAGTTCGGTTCACCCAGAAGGTTGTGATACCCACTTCCGGCCCCCGCAGTCTGTTTTTATTCTTCAAGCGAACTCCATCGTCGGCTCCACAATGCTCTGAAGGGGTGTAATCTGTGGCTTGGTGGATATGCCCCGAGCCCTGGAAGATTTCCATATCGACTCCAGAAAGGTCTTCTATATATACCAGTGTACGATTCGCTTACATTGATATCTCTATGCTCTTGCATACCAACTTAATCCACTCCTGGTGTTGCTCTTTGCGTCCGCGAAACTTCTTTGGATTTAACGGTGCCCTGTATCATTGACTGTTTGCTTCGTCCCAATTCTTTGTACCATCCAGTCAAGATGATCTCCAGCCTCGGCTGGCGCGCCCTGGCGCTCTCGCTGGCAGCCCTCCCCCTCGCCCACGCCGATATCTGCTCAACCCTTGAAGATGCCGGCATCGATGTCGAATACCCGATCTCGATCAACTATAACACCGACCTTACGAAGTACTGGTCCGCGGCATGCGGAGATCTCAAGCCGACATGCATCGCCGCCCCGTCGAGCGCGTCCGAAATGTCACACATTATCACGCAATTACACGACGTCGACACACTATTCGCGGTCAAGTCAGGAGGACATATGCCCAACAACGGATTCGCCAGTATCCAGGATGGACTGTTGATTTCGACCAAGAATCTGGATCAGGTGTTTTATCATCCAGAAGACCAGACTGCCGTTATCGGACCGGGTCTGTCGTGGGAGGAGGCGCAAAAGGGCCTGGATGATGCCGTCGGCGGACGTGCTGTGGTGGGAGGTAGACTCGGAGGCGTTGGGATCGGAGGATATATGCTCGGATGTATGTGCTGCGTGGTAGCGTCGATGAAAGTTTGTAACTCAATTGCTAACTTAAACAGGTGGTATGAGTTTCCTAAGTACTCAGTATGGCTGGGCCGCCAACAACGTGAAGAATTTTGAAGTTGTGCTTGCCAATGGCACGATTGTCAATGCCAACGCGGACGAAAATACAGGTGGGACACCCCTACCTCTGATCAGAATCGAAAGAGTCGCTAACTCTATCAGATCTCTTTGCGTCGCTCAAGGGTGGTGGTAACAATTTTGGTGTTGTTACTGCGTACACCATGCAGACACACCCTCAAGAGCACAAGGTCTGGGGTGGGAACTATGTCTTCACTGCCGACAAGACGCCGCAGGTGCTCTCGGCCTTGCGCAACTTTGTTGACGAATACCCCGACGACAAGGCCGCTATCATCCTGACTTCGGAGCACGGCGCCGTCATTGATTTCTGGATCATGTTCCTCTTCTACGATGGACCCGAGCCGCCTGCGGGAGTCTTTGATGAATTCACTGCTATTGACCACACCTCGACTACAAAGACCTGGGATACCTACTATGACCTGCTCAAAAACAACGATTTCTTCATTCTGCAGTAAGTGTCGCGCACTATCATCTACAAAGAGGATGCTAATCACTGTCCCAGCGGCCAACGCTACACGATCGCCACCGAAACCACACCCGTACCCAACAAGACGGTCGGATCCAGCGTGCTGCAGGAGTACTATGACCACTGGTACAACGTCACTAAGGATGTCCTTTCAGTGACCGGAGTCCTGGGATCGATTGCCTTCCAGCCAGTCCCCAAGACATTTTCTCAGAAGGCCAAGGACCGTGGCGGTGTAAGTTTCACCTTGAAAGCCCGATAAAAAAAAAAAACGACAACAAAGCTGACCAAGAAGGATCTGCTCAACGTCCCCACCGACCAAAACTACATCTTCATTGAGCTAGACTTCTCCTACGCGCTCTCCGTCGACGACGACAAGATCGATCAAGCCAACCAGAAGCTCTACCAGGGCATGGGCAACCTCGTGCAGAAGAACATCGACCAGGGTCGACTTCCAGACGTCTACAGACCACTTTTCATGAACGACGCCTACTACCGCCAGGACTACTGGGGACGAATCGACCCAGCCTCAAAGAAAGAGGCGCTGCAGACCCGTCTGAGGTACGACCCTGACGGCTTCTTCCAGAAGCGGACGAGCGGCGGCTGGCGACTGGAGTAGACTCAAAGAAGTCGAGATGAAATGATGTATATTCTCGGACTCATATGATAATACTTGTTTATAATACCATCTACACCCCAACGAGGAATGATATTCAAGCCATCGACCCTGAACGACCAATCGATCATCACCATATACCCCCTCCAATCACATTTCACCGGAGGAAATAACCCCAACCGCCAGAGGCGAAGTCCCTGAAACAAGATCGCTCTCGCATGCATCAATCTGATCCTAGTCCGTACCTCATTCATTTGTGTAGCCGCGTGCATCAGAACTGCAGGTACAGTCGCGACGAGTGGTTGCGATGCGCCCGCGGGGATAAGGATAAGCGCCGCAGTGGAGACACTCTTCGCGCCGGACGAATCCGCATGCACCGCATCTATATTTGCGATCGCGCAAATGTCAGCCACAGGAATACCAAAGCTCGCACGGCCAAAGCTCGCACAGCTCAGCTGTCATTTATGCAGATCGCCCGGTCGGGAGTTCGAGCTCAGAGCTCGCGCATTGGATCAGGATACTGGGCCGGACAGTGGAACAGCGCTTAGAGTCCAGAAAATAACCTTCACGCCTCATGCAGGCTGCTCACGATTCCGGAGAAGGGTCCAGACTCCCTCGTGTTCCGAATGCTGCTAATTTTATCGATCTAGATCGCTTTCGTGCTGATCACACGGGGGCTGGGGATGGCCTTCTTTGATGACTATATAAGTCGTCTCGAATGTCTTTGGACTGCCTACTAGTTTCCACTCTTCATTCCATCCTTAACTCTCTACGGTCCAATTTCCCTTTGTTAGTTTCATATCTCAGAACTAGACTCGTTTCCACTCTTTCTTAGCGATTTGTGCCTTACGTTTTGCAGTATATATCTGCTTTCTTCCTCGATCTGCTACTACTCGACAGTGCATTCATTTAGTTGACGATCTTTCTTTCGACGACACAACGTTCGTACTTACACATACGTTCATTTCGAAATCCTCAAAATGGGTCGCTACGGAGCCCTCGGCGCAACCTTCCAAATCGCGCGCCTCTTCCAGGCCTGCTCGCTCATCGCGATCATCGGCATGACTGCCAAGTTCATTTCCTCTATTGTTTCGCAGAATGCGACCCCGCCTAATATCCTGATTGCGACAATTACAGTGGTACGTATACAACACACTTCTAACAAGGGAAGGAATCCGCGAATCGCCACGAACAGTACTAACCACACTGAAAACAGACAACCATCGCCGTCATCTACTGCATAATCTCCGCAATCCTCTTCATCGACGACATCCTCCCCTTCCTGCCCAGCGCAATCGCCGACTTCCTCGTTCTCATCGCCCTAATCGTCGTCGCAGTCGTCATGGGTAAACCCCTCTCCTACCTGAAGTGCTCAACATTGGCCGAGCTGGGCTACAAGGACGCGACAGTTTATGCATTCTCGTCGAAGCTGTCGAGCTACATCGCAACGATCAGCGGGAGGATTGATTACTCGTCATGGATCGGAGCTTCGAAGGCGATTTGTCTTGAGACGAAGGCTATTTGGGGGTTGAGCATTGCTTTGTGGTGAGTACATTTTCCTCCTGCTGGATTTGAGAACGAATCTGACGATTGTGATGTGGTAGTATTCTTTTTTTTTCTCGTCTATCTGCAGCGCTTGCTTGTGGCGGCAGAAGAAGGCTATTATTGCTGCGGACAAGTAATTATGCTCGTTTCACATTGGCTTGTCGCTCCATCGTGGGCTTAATATGAGAATTATCTGCGTGGGATGAGCGGTTGTAATGAAAGACATAGAGGGAATATGTTATGAGGAGGACAGATTGCTTCAAGTTTTTGCTTTTTCGTCTGGTGGCGATGAACTACTTTGATAATGAAGTTTTTGCTTCCAGAGAATCGAATTATATATGACAATAAGAACAATGGCTCCTGGAACACTCGTGGAAGACTATATTTAGTGTACTTGACCTGATTACCCCGGACAAACTCCCATTTTCCCTCCTATCAATTTGTGCATTGTTCCTTTTTGGTCGCTCGCAGCTTGATGGCGAAGATATATGACACGATTTCTTGGCACTTCCAAGGTTCTAGCACATAGTGTACGATGCACTACATAAATGCAGTACAGTAACACGGAAGAGAGCATGATGGCAAACAGTAATCCTAATGTTGCTTTCTTGATGATGGAAACTGATTCTTCCAAAGATGAGTGGGGCTGGGCGCCGATGTACTGGAATAGCGAGATAGGGAATGTCTGGGCTGTCCGTGAAGACGGGCGAGATCTTGCTGTGAATGATGTCGCAATGATGTGCCATTTTGCGAGGCGCAAACTACAGCGTATGTTTGCAGACGTGATGGAATCGGGCTCGAACTTAGTGAGTAGGCAGAGGGTTTTGGATTTCATTACTCGGTCATCGGCTATCTGGTCGATCATCCGATATTCTAGAACTTCTTCATCGATAGCCGAGCTGCGTAACGACCTGTCTGTTATCGAAGCTTTCGAGGTCTAGGTTCTGAAGATAGCTCAGGAAGGCCGCGATGGAGCCGTTGAAGAAATGTAGCGACAGGTCTAGGCGTATGCCGTTTTGTAGCGCCTCGATCGCGGTGGTGGTGGCCAGCACGCGCTCGACGTACCAGAGAGGGTCGGGCTGGGCTGGGCACACAAGACCTCCAGCAGCAGCTACGCATAAGCGGCTCGTTCGGACCTTCTTCGTCCCCTTTATGACAGCGTTCAGATACTTGGACAGCCGGTCCACGCGGGAGGCTAAATATTTGGGACAGTTGGGTTACCTGAGCATCGATAGGGTTAGTGGGTTCGATCCCGACTCCACCAGTAGAAATGGAAGCAAAGATGGAAATGGAAGTGGAAATGGGAGTGATAATGATGGCAGAGGGTGAGGGCGGCAAAGGAACAAAAATCGGAGAGCCGCAACAGCCATGTAACCTCCCTCCAGGCAGTGAATAACACAGCAGCGAATCCGTGCAGGTGAATAAACCAGACAAAGAGCCAGCCTCCGCCTTCTTCCCCAAATACAGCGGTCTGGGCTGGGAAATGCTGGCATCGCGGATTTCGTCCCCCATCTCCCTTCCCCTCCTCTACTTCTGCTCGTCCCTATCCCTACCTTCCCAGCCTGGCGTTTGTGAAACAGCCAACAAAATGCAAAGAGCTTCATCATCGCAACCCCAGTGGAGTTCTTGCGGGAGCTGCTTCGGCGAGTGGACACTGTCCCCACACCAGCTCCTGCCCGGGGTTCGCCGCTCGGTGGTATTCGCCACTCGGTGGTTGAATACGTTAGCAAAAGCTGTTGTGTCCCTAGCAATTCCCAGAAAATGCGATTAAAACACGTAAAAATGCGAGGGCAGCAGCAGCACAAGTAACAGGCGTCTATTGTACTCTTTGCGGGAGCTGTCAGCGCTGCCTTGGATGACGGAGTACAATACGAAATTGTCAGCTTGGGACCATCACAGAACCAGACCACATCGAGCACTTCACATTGTTCGAGACCATACACAGACCTAGACCAAGCCACGCAAGGATACAATGACACGAAACTAATGACCATGTTGTAGAATCGTCAATGTATCCCATGTATTTTTCTGGAAGAGCCGAGATAAAAGCGGTTACGTGGCAATCATCCATATGGATACAGTGAATTCATCTCATATTTGCTCCCAAGGTCCCCTAAAAGGATGAGATGAGAAGGGTCAGTCACGTACCACTATCGGACAATTTTACTGCCGGGTTATCGGAATTTTTTATCCTAGAGAAATCAAGTCAAATATGGACCAGACTTTCTTAATAGAATATCTAGGTAGTGCTCAAACAATCTATCCATAGATGTTATCAGGGCAGCAACCGGCGCTCCAGGGGAAAGGAAGAAAGTGGCCCGGGTATGGGGCTTGGCATACTCATGGACAGCTCACGCGGGAACGTATTGAGAGCCCTTGCGTGGTGGAGCGAGGAGAGGAGGCGCTTCTAGATCAATATCCTACAAGTTAATGAACTAGTCACTTCGGGCTAAATTTACAGCAAATTCTCGTCCAACAACCCGGGGACCGAGAGGCCAAAATCAAGTTATCCCTCCAGAGTATTAAATGCCATCAGCCAAAGTCTGGGAAACGACAGTTTCTCTTTATCGAAGACGTCAGAACTGCATGTCCAATAAATGACCTCCCGATTTCCTGAGCAGCGCTCACCAGAACGGGAATCGAAATTTCGAAAACAGGCACAAATAGCAAATATAAGAGCATTTACAGTGCAAGGCACAGGGCTGAGGCTGAATCCGTCTCGTCCAAGGACTCAGACAGTGGAGACAGCGACTAGCAGACCATTGGACAATTCGCAAATACACTACGCTAGGCCCCGAATCTGTTGGTAAGCGCTAATCCAAAAACACAACTAGGGGCATCCCCCCTGTACACAAAGCGGATTTGATTGGACATTGCATTGTCACACCCGTGCTGCTTCATCTTACTCGAGTTAGCAATCGCTTCGCTCCTTGGTCATACATCGCAATCACGCCTGGCTTGAAGAGCCCAACATTTTTCAAAACGTGTAGAAAATTCCCCTCCACCGACTTGTCCTTGCCTTGGACGCTCTCTACGTGATAATCGACATGGTCGTGATGCGATACTCGGTGTTCTGGGCTCTACTTCTTCTCGTCCACTCTACCTGGACAACACAGTGCTTTGCGCCAAATGGAACAATTGCAGACTCAAGGTTCATACCATGTATTGAGATCCCGGGTGTTCATTCTATGTGCTGCAGATTGAATGATACGGATCCAGACACCTGTCAATCAAATGGGCTCTGCTACTGGTCGTCACCGGCCAAGTACTATCGCAACTATTGCACGGACGAGAAATGGGATAGCCCGAACTGCTTGCAAAAGACAATTTGTGTCGAAGCTGTAAGACAGAAATTCTGGTCCTGAGATCAATCAACAGACAAAGGCTGATATGCACTCATTCGATCAAGGCTGGGGGGAACTCAGGCGGGGGCTCCCAGGTCACCCTTTGCCCTGGGAATAATGGCACCACGTACTGCTGTGGCAGTACAACCGACTGTTGCACGAACGAAGACGTTTTTACCTTGGATCCCACTCTAGTCCGGTTGGCGTCTGACACAACTGCCACATCTACCACCCCAAGCACGCCTACTTCCACAAGTGTGTCCATCGCCGCCACAAGCACATATATAACCAGCCCGACGACCTCAGCCTCAAAAAGCGACGACACGCGCCCAACAAACCACATCGCGATCGGAGTTGGTGTTGGTGTCTCGGTGGGAGTCTTCGCCGCAGTTACAATGCTGGGAGCCGGATTTTGGTGGGGCAAACGACAGGCAAGAGCGAGGTACCGGTCGTTTGAGCAAAATGGCCCACATGTACCGATGACACTTCAGGCAGACTCGGGTGCTGCCCATGAGATTGGTACTTCTGCTCAGCCGAAGGGGCCCTTTGAGTTATCGAATCCGCGATGAGGTCTAAATAAGCTGGGGGTATACCGTGGAAGAACGAACAATAGGCAATTGTCGGTGACCTGTTTAGGTCTCTCGACATACTCGATCATGGCCTGAATTTGAGGTTCCTCGAAATTCTCGTCTGAAACATGCATTATCCACGTGTCTATATAACAGATGTGCCGTGTGGACTTTATTGCCATCAGAATTCAACAAAGAAATATATTTTACAGCAGAGTAGGGCCATTGTTCGAGTCTAAACTGGTTGACGTGCTGAAAGCAGACCGCATTTTGCTCTTTGTCTCTACCCGACGCTGTCAATAAATAGCTGATACTCGAGGCTTTGTTTTTCTTCGACTCTGACACCGTAATAATAACTTAACGTGAGGCAGCAGCTGGGGGTTAGAAGACTCGGCGCCATTGAAGATTCCACTATAAAGAGGCAGAAGCACCCAGTCCTTCTCAGTCCATCACCAAGCTCATCACAGCAAACTCTGATATCTCACCCACTGCATCACCATCCAATAAATAGACCATCATCTCAAAACGAAACTTTCGAGACCAACAATCAAAATGGCCAAACGTCAAAGCTACATCTGTAAGTACACCGACTGCACCAACCAGCGAGAGCGAGGCGGCTACTGCGCCAAGCACTGGAAAAAACTGAACGACGGCAAACCGATGTTCCCCTGCGCCTTCCCCGACTGCGAAAAGGAAAAACGAAAGGACAAGTACTGCATCAAACACTGGAACCACATGAACCCGGGTAAACTCCACCGCCCCTGCAAAGAGTTAGTTTGCAAGCGAAACGTAGCGAAGGAAGGACTTTGCTGCAAGCACTGGAAGGAAGCTCACCCCGACCGCGAATTTCGAGCCCGTCGTCAATGCAAGGGACTCCACAAAGGATGCGCTAACATTGCAGTGAGGAACGGACTTTGCGCCGTACACTGGAGACATTTGAACGGTAGGCCGTGGCGGGCTTGCAAGGAGGCTGGATGCAACCAGTATGCACAAAGAGGCGGACGTTGCTTACTCCATGCGCGGGATAGGGGTGCTAGGGCTCGTGTTCCTGCTCGGCATATTCAGTGTGTTGAGCGCGGTTGCAGTCGGTATTGTGTTGCTGGAGAGGATCAGTGTAAGTTCCACTGGCATGAGTTGTATACCCGTCTTGGAGAGGAAATCGGGTACTGCACGGTTGATGGGTGTTTGCGGGATCCAGTAAAGAATAGTTTTTGCCAGCATCATTTGATGATTAACCTCTAGTCTGAGATGTAGGGGGCTGGGAAGGAATTTGACAGAGGAGGAATCGCATCCAGAACCGACATATGTTTGGCAGACCACGACAAATGTTTCGATATTGTACGCAACAGAAAAAGAATGAGCAAGCGAAGGTCAAACGGTCAAAAAGAGATTTATAGCGATGGAAGAGGACTATAATTTTGGATCTTTGAAATAGAAATAGGTGAATGAAGATTACGTCTGGGTTTTTAAGGTATACATTGCTTTGACCGTAGTCATGTGTAGTTCAGATCATATCGCTGCTCCTTGTGATAATCAACTTCCCCAATCGCGCGATGCTTATTCAACATGTGTCCATGATCATTCACGAGCTCCGGCATTCTGGATGGGGTGCTTTCCAGGAGTCGTATGAGGAACCCCTACCTCCATGCCAGCGCGGTCCGTGGCAGAACTGGCAGCCTCCCTGGCCTTACAATTTTGAATGGAACAATTTCCAAGGCAGCAGGAAGATCTTCAGCTGCGAATTCTGCCACCCGAATTGTGTTGCAGGATATGATCCCAAAGTTTTGAAGTGGATCACAGATGCGTATTTTGCTATCCTCTTATCCCGACTTCACAATTTGCGATCTGTTACGGGCCGTTCGAAAGAAACAGATTCATTCGGTGCCTACAGGACGAGAATCTCGAAGATGAAGAAGGAAGGAGAAAGAAAGAACGTCGGCCAGAAAAAGAGGGCTTAAGTCCCCAGCAAACGCGCACCAGCAAACGCGTGGTGCAAACGACCCAAAATTATGCCTCAGGCATCCTTCCACGAGATGAGGCTATTCCCAGGTTCAATCCGTCACACGATCATTGAGATTTGATTACGCTTTTGCGTAGCAATCGTGCTTCCCTAGCATGATGATATACCACGTGGTGCTTTTCCCAAAAACTCTCTCAAACACAATTTACAGGTTTGAGAGATCATCGCTTGTCGAATTTGGCGTAAATGTCCCACTCCTCTGTATGGCCATTGCCCTCTCATCTATGATTGTGAGACCGTTTACGTTCAACAAGGGGGAGTTATGACCCCAGATTGCAAGGCCAAGAAGTTCCACGGCTGGTTCCATCTGCCCTCACTCAAGTCTCTCGAGATATGGCCAAGTGATCTTACGGGACCTGGGAAGTGGTAAGGAAAAATGAATTTGGCCCAGCTGGCTAATCTTGGAAGGCTAGTATCGGTAGAGGCTTTCATCAATGGACATGATCTCAAAGATCATCTTCCCCTGCTTTCGCCTCTCAAATTCCTGCACGTCGGTCTCACCAAGCCTCTGCATTGGGTACCGGCGATGATTTGCATCATCTACGTGATAGTAGAGGGAATGCTCTTTTGGAAGGGCTATTGAGCGCGAACACTACACTATAGCACCTTTCCATTGGAGCCGAGCTCCGGCCACCGTCTTTCTCTGATCAATGGGAACCAACGGTCTCCGCGAATTTCGGCAACTCTTGCTTCCTTTTCCGCGGGTTTCTGAAACACGTCAGGATTTGGGTAATGCCGACGACACGGCGCTCCAGAAGCTGTGTGCACAGGAAGAGATGAGGACTCATATCTATTCAGCGGTGAAAAATGTCGTTAGCTTCAATGCCGATGATGCGGCGACGATCAGATATCTCCAAGACGCGGATCGTCGGGATGATGTATTTATTATCTTTCTCGCATGACGATGCGCTATTAGATATTGTTGATTTCTTCCCCGCCGGTGCGAATGGTAACATGCAAATGGGGTGGGTTGAGAAAAGCAAATTTGTCTTCCGTGATTTCATTGAATCTGATACTCCGGTTAATTCATTAGAAACACAAGGTGGGAAACAAAAAGAGGCATAATATCCTGCGCTGCGTGGAGCTTACGGATCAGATGATTCATCTTTCACGATGTACCATATGAATTAAAAATAGATTGTACCATAAAGTCACAGATTCGACACTCCATAGACAAAGAAGCCACTCACCACCCCAAAATCCCCGCACCATTTCGAAGTTCAAGGTTCCCCTCTTCAAGCTTCTTACAGAAGCGCCCGACATCGGTTTCCATGCTGCGAACATGGAGATGCTCTTTCAAACCCTAACCACATGATACAAGTAAATAACACGTTCTGTACATACCAGTAATAATACCAATTCCTTTTTATAGATTGTAACACAGATACTAAGGCCTAAAATTAGAAGCCTGGAGTTTCTGGAGGGTTCTAAACAAACGTAACAAACACTGCAAACAAAGCAACATCTGAACTTGCAAAGTGTCAACTTCTCCCTTCTGCATCTTGCTGTGGCTTTACTGCAGCGCTTGATGCTTCCTGGGGGTCCATCTGGGGTCGAGGTGATAGGCAAGTCTCAACAGCAAGGTTTACTTTCGGGATCTCCACCATTGCTTATCATCATGCTGCGGCTTCAAATCTTATTGGATACCAGAGATGACTGGCTAACGTCTTACAACATTGCTCAGGTCACACCACTCCGCAGATATCCACGATGACCAATAATCTTTTTGATGACGATGCCTATCAAACCCAGATGGTCGACCGCTGGGACGGAAATTCAGATTATGCCCCCACACCTGGTAATTTCGCTCGCACGCCCGCCACCGTGTACTCTCTTAGCCCTGCCCCTGAGTGTGCCACGGACCAACTGCAGCCTGATTATCTTGACTTTCTCCCGTTGGCTGAATGGGAAGAAGGTGGCGAATATGACGAGCTGCCACCGAGATATGTCTCGTACACAATTGCCTGGAGGCTTATACTCAACCGCAAAACGGTAGGCAAAGTAACTGAGGAAGACCTGGTTATAGCTCCTGGCGATTACTGGGGAAAGAGTTTACAAACAAACGTTGAAAACATGCTGCAAACAAAAAAGAAGCGTCACCAGCGAGTTCGATCAGAAGGCACGGCTATTACAGTCAAAGTGAACGAACGGTCGCAAGCAAAACTGGAAAAGTTTTGTAGTTCTACTAACATAAACTGGACCCCAGTGGAGAAGCAACTACGTAAATGGAGCAATCTACTTCGTATGGGCAAGAAGCTCACGATCGAGATCGCCTTCACTTATAGGGAGGATGATGATGGCCATTCCATGCCTCCGCCAAGAAAATCCGAAAAGAGAGGACGTGTATCTGCAACTAGCAGAATGTTAGCTGAACGTGAGGCGAACATTGTGGCGGAGGAAGAGGTCACTGGACAACCTTCGACCTGGGAACGCGTATACGAGCTCATGCGATGTAATGTCCGCTCGTGTCCGCACAAGTCTGATTGGTGCTGGGAGTGTTGTAATTCAGAGGAAGATTGCTTGTATTCCTTCTGGACAGAAAACTTGAGGGTTTATATACACATGCGACCTCCAGATTGATTTCCAATCAACGCTGGTAATTCCGTGAGGTTAGGAATTGATTCCGTTACGATACGACATATCACAACAGGGAGGACCCGAAGGACAAGAAACACTACAAACTCAGGACCCCGCATCTAGAACGGCTTATCGACTATGTCGATGAGGGTGGCATCCTAGATGGTCATGACGATATTCCCGGTGATATTCGTCGAGACCTAATCCTGGAAAGCCAGACAGGAAGAAGTTCGAAAAAAGTTGATGTGCCAACAACGGGAGTACCATATCCTCCAACAATAGTCAATGTTTTACCAGCACAAAACGGGAGTGCGCCCGTGATTACTTCATCTCTACCCAGGCCCTTATCTGAGGAGCGGCTGATGATTGCCGGGCCTCGTGAAACAGCTGTGAGAGAATACTGCAAATGGCCGGAGTCACGTGCCACTGAGGAGGCGTATAAAGCTGATTTCCGCAACATTTGCCAGGTGATTTTGGAGAATCATCTAGATCTTGAACTGATCCTCGAGGATCCAGACTCTGGCTTCTTCGTTCAGCGCGAGATTCGAATTGGGACTGCTCGTCGCTTCCTACGTGACATAAACGCATGGGCCACTGCGAAGAATTCAAACGGATCACTTGACCAGACCGCTGAACTATCTCCCAGCGGTGCCCAATTGACTTGACGGCTATGTTTTCTTTGTCCTGCCCCGGGTGTGGCTGGTTCCCATGAGATTCACTGACGTTTTCATGTTTCTGCGAGGCGAAGGCATTATTTTGCACATTAACTTTGAGCTTGTTACAGTTTGTTCTCAGATTATTGGCTTTTTAGATTATTTCTCTCTTAGGTTATTGGGTCAGTAGAGTGATGTTCGAATTCAGTTATACCTCCAAAGAGTCATTGTACAGTGGCGTCTCATTAGTATTTGCACCCCAGTACATCCCGCCCCTGACCGCTCTTTTGTACCGCCTGCCTATTACTATCATACGCGCGGTAGTGCGCGCTGCGCGCAGCGTGCAGTAACATACCAATTATCAAGCTTATCACCCTTTTCCACTATCCTTTTTGCTTATATCTGCTAGGATATACTGCTTCCTAGTATGCCACGCGGCCCTGAGCTCCCTCCCTACGTCCGGGAGCGAATATGCGAGCTGAAACGATCCGCAAAATGGGGTGCTAAACGTATCCAGAAACACTTTTGAAGTTCTACCGGCAGAAAAAAGTGGGCCTCGGGCCTGCCGAAGTACTGGGGTGCAAATACTTATGAGATGTGACTGTATACACTGTATTACCGTTTGCTTCCAAACGGAGTCAATACCGCAACTGAAAGCCTTCTTCTATCACGTGATGAAGCCTAACTGCGATTAGACACGTTTCCGAGAATCAACCGTTATTATGGAAGGCGGTCGGGGACAGGCGACAATTCGATTTTCAAGACCATCAATTTTTCCACTTATACTAGCTAGCCCTTTCCATTTTCCATTGCCGCCGACATATATGAAATATGCTCAGAGACAATATAGTTCGTCCCGAAACTGGTGCCACCACTTCTACTCTTTCACCGTTTTTCGGACTTCGATTACTAACCTTAGCTAGTCCCCATTGGGAATTTTACCGTGTATCCTCGGCATGCTGGCCTGTATTGTTTCTTACACACCTTACATACTGCTATGGTGGGATTGTTTTTCGCTTGTACTTTATTACATCCATCACCTATTTCACACCACCTCAAAAGAGATAAACCGAAAATGTTTGCCTATTGGGTTTCCGAAAGTTGACTGATATTTTACACCATATTGCCATGGCCCCACTCTACTGGAGGCAGACAAGCACAGCTCGCTGATCATGACATGACGATCGACTACCGAACCCGAACCCGAATCGAAGGCTCCAATGAAACCCGCTAATCACTTTTGGGGACGCAAAGCAGGCATACCAATTTTTTATCAACAGTTACGTATCCATGACGGTGCAGCATGATTCAAGATTTTGGGATGCATCTGCGATAGTCCAGGCAGAAAGGTTTACCATGCGAGCGGACAGGGCTCAACTCGCTTTGATTTGAATTCCTGTGTTCATGAAAGAGTGAAGTGGGAACTTCGGGCCTCGTGCCTCGATTTGGAATTCCTTTAATACGAGTACGCAGTGGGTCAAGTTGGAAGCATTCAATCCGGGTGTTAATTGGACAGTCCCAGCCTCCTACATCAGTCACTTGCCAGGCAACAAAGAGACATTCTGGAATATTTAAATTCGTTTGCGACGGGCTGGTGCGAAAAAATTCCAGATATCTTCCTGCGTGTGAAAGGAATACTCTACGAAAATGGCTGGCCCGAACCACACCATATCCCCCGTCGAAAGCTCAGATCTTGCCTTTCTATCGAAATTCATACACTCCGCAAAGCTTTCTCTAAGCATCAATCGTCTTCTGTATCAGCCGTGGCCCAATGATCCTGTCCAGGAAAAGCAGTACACAGGAGCTGTCGAAGGTGCATTTGCGGACTCCTCGATGGAATGTTTCAAGGCGACTGATGGTGACTCAAATGCGATCATCGGCTACATTGTCCTGGCGAGGAAGACGGCAACCAAAGGAGACTCAATGGCCCCTGCCCAGTCCGCAGACAATGGGCACAATGTCCCGGAGGGAATGAACCCTGGTGTCCTTGCAGAAGTATCTGCGGCGAACATAGCCATAAGCAAGGCAACGGAAAATATTGACCGTTATGGTAGGGCTTCCATGCAGCGGGTTTGAATGGTGTCTTTGCTAATACCAGAAATTGTGTCTAGAATTGGTCTACTTGTGCGTCGAGCCATCATACCAACGACAAGGTGTAGGCTCCAGCTTACTCCAGCTTGGATTTGACCGAGCTAGAGCAGAGGCCATTCCACTTGCTACCGCTGCGGAGGCACCTGCATATGGCTTTTTCGATAAACTTGGGTTCAAAGAAACAAGGCACGTAGATATTGATCTACGAAAATACGCACCAGAAAATAGCGGATTTGGGATCTTCCGGCTTACTGGTATTATTTGGAAGCCATGAATTTGGTATCAACCAACAGAGAAACGGCCCATGGTGTTATATCAGCAATGATAGTACAACAAGATGACTTGGATGGAGATAACCTGTCGATACGAGGTGGTACAGTATTTTACCACTAGATATTGGACGATTCAGCGGCCACCCAATTCTCCATATTTTTGGTATGACAAACCGGATCAACTCGGATACTCATGTACAAACTTTAGCCCCTGAAGCCTAGAGACACTTCAACAGTAGTCTCTAAGATAGTTCTTCAATCAATCAATCATATTTATTGGTTCCCTCAGTATTATTCCATGTCAACTCTGAGAGAGGTAAAATACTGTGGATTCTCCACTGCTCTTGGTTATTCAGCATCCACCCACATTGCAATAGTAATTGTATGGTAATTCGGGTCATTCTCGGAAGAACTGTGATGTAATACGCAGTTTATAGCCCCTGGATCATTTTCAACAGATCGGAATACACAGACACACTCTCGTTAATCCATCTCATGCATCAATTGGCCGTCCCTCGATACTAGATGATACACGTATCCGACATCCTGACACAATGCACTTACACAAACAGAGATCCAATGAGTACGATAATGCGAGAAACAAAGACATTGCCGATGACGTCGATCGAACAATCGAGTCTCAAGATACCAACAAGTTTCTCTTCAGCCAGGCTACCTCCTCAATTCGGTAGCCCTGTCCCGTCAGGTCATTTTCGTCCATGATTTTCTCAATAGCCTCCGAGTTACCATTTTTCAGGTCGAAATCCTCGGTCGGAGTACGGTGCACGACTACTCCAAACCGCAGTTTCATCAGCTTCGTGTTGTTTCTCAATTCGTTTAGCCATTTAGTGTTTTTGCGGGCCACATCGGCTGATGTTTGATCCTTAAATCGGATAACATAACCTGACTTAGTGGTTCCGATCCCAGCCACCTGGGCGTCTTGCGTTGGTGGGGCGTTCAATAGCGCCGTGCGGATATGGGTGTTAGCCGCGTCCGTAGGGGGATAACGGCCGAAGGTGTTTCCGTCGCTGCTTTCATTGTCACTTGGGTCCACGGAGGGTCGCTGGGTGCTGGTTCGGATGCAGTTCCGGTCTTTATCGGTACGTTGGTGGATTGGGTGGGGGGAACCACTATTGCCGCTGGCCGCTACTGCCGCCCAAAGTTCGAGACCGAGGGGCTACAGACGTGGCCTCGTTTTGCGTTCTCAACGCTTTGATTTCCTCGTGGAGCTTTTAATTCTGTTCGTGGAGAAGATTCTGATCGTGTTTGACTTCCTGTAACTCGGCTTTGGCCGATTCGATGAGTGTGGTGTGATGATGGATGATGTCTTTCAGCACGTCGATCAGCTTCCACACCTCCCGGGTGGTGACCCGGCCCATGCCCTCTTCGAGAATCTGGCGAGGTCACTCTCCTCTGCCACTTCCCATGTCCAAGTGACAGTCTAGTGTTACTCGGTACCAGACATTGCAAATAGTGACTTAAATTAGCTTGCTTACCTGGAGGCTACTCATGAACCTGCTTATCGCTCTACTCAGCCTGTCAGCCACAGCTCTCTTTACTATACGCTCTGTGACACCCCTTCGTAGAAGCTAACTCACAATGATGTTACTAGACTCCGCAGTGGCATCTTCTGCCTTGGGGGGATGACTTATACTCCTTTCAACAATGATGATACTTACCGAACTGAACAGCCTGATCTCTGGGAACGGACTCCCTCATATGCCCCCACTACCGGTTACTTTGACCGCCAATAGACGCCATCAGTAACCTGCCCTTCATCCTATGCCGAGGACATAGTGAATATTTACTCTCCTTGTACCAATATCCGTCTGACTAACTGAGTTTTCATCCAGCGGTTGTATGTGAAAATATGAGTGCATGGGATGAACAATCTCCAGACTGTATTCACTACCAGATCGAGTGGAGGGTTAAATTGAACAATCGAGTTGTAGTGAAGGATACGGAACAACACATGACTCTGCTACCCAGCTCTTATTGGGAATAGATCAAGGAGAACGCCGGGAGAATTCTATGACAGAAGATAGCTCGCAGCCGGCGGGTCAGACTAAATGATACTGCCCTAGTATTATTTGTAAATGAACTTACCTAAGGAGATCTTACTAAATGCATATGCATGACCTGATTAGGGAGTAAGAACCTGACATTGCGCAAGATTTTCCGATTGGTGATAAGTATCATAGAATTCGGCCATTAATCCATCGCAGGAAATATATCCGTACCTGAAATAATTAATTGTGACCCTCCCACATAGGACCTAGTGTCAAATCTAGTGTTGAGTTTCAGCAGTCTTCAATGCCGCTGAGGCTCCGATGGCTATCTTGCCATCCCCCCTGAGACGCACTAAGCCTTATATGGTAACGCGGACAATTGGGAAGCGTGTAAAGCACGCTTCCATTCAGGGGTTACTTAAGACATCTTCAATCTTCAATATCACTCAATTGCTGGCATGCACACATCGCTCCTCCTAGATCCTATCCTTCATCTCGACATTTAGCACGTACGACGTCCCATTTTGGAAGAGCAAATCACGAATGAAAAAGTCTCTGATTGACTACGTCTAGGATTACCCAACAATTTAAGGGTAGAAACTAACTAATAATCGACGAGTACAAAACGGAAAAGCACGGTGAGGCTTAAGAGCTTTGTATGTGACCCATAGGAATTCCAATCCTTGATACCTAGTTATGTAGCATCCCATCCACCTTCCTCCTTCCTACTTAGCCCAAACATCATCTTGCACTAACAAGCAACCAGGCCACGGATTCGCGACAGAGTATTTAGCACTATTGTGAGGCGTCGATTAATTCCATTCTTTATTAGAGAAGTTAAGGGAATACTTACACTGCACCAGCCGGGGAGAGTAGTAGTAGGTAACTGCGAAGAATTTCAGTCAGCAACTCCCGTGCAATGGTCACGGTAATTTTTGGTGACTATCACTTACGGAGCAGCAGCCGCGCTATAGGCAAAATCACGAAGTTAGCACTAATGATACTCATAAGCATCTGTGACTCAGCTACTTACATTGTAACAGTCATCCCACATGATACAGAGACCTTGGGTATTCAAGTTGTCTAAGGCAGACTGCTGACCCTCCGTAAGCTGAGCCATGTCAACCTTCTCAGTAGAAGCCTGAGCGGCCATGGTAGCTCCAAGGAGGGAGGCAACGATCACGAAAATACGGGTCTGCATTTTGGCACAGAATGAAAATCAGACGAATGGGTGAGGAAAGACGAGTTTTTAAAATGGCGAGATTTAACGAAAAGGCTTTGGTTCACGAATATCAAACACTGAGTGGGAGATTTATCGTTCTATTTGTGGCTGGATTGTAGCCTTTGTAATTAGTTTATTATGAAGCAGGCAGAAATTCTAGAGGTTGAACCAAATTCCTCACCATACCACAAGATGCCACAAGATGCCAATCATAATCGAGTTACTATTGTGCTTCAGGCCATGATTTTCCTTGGCGACATAAATTTTACATTCCGTACTACGTGCCGTCCTCGGAGCGTGGAAGGTTGCAGCGTACCTCTCACAGGGAATGCCACGAAGCAATATTTCTTGGTAAAATACGTTTCTACCGTCTATTCGCGGTTATGGATTTGAAAAATGAGCTGCATAAGGAATCTCCCGACGCTACATTGTTTTAGAAATTTTACAAAGTGAGCAAAGTGTCATAGAGACATCTTCTTAGAAAAGATCAGAAACAACCCTATTACATTCTTCCTTATCTCGAAGCCCAACAACCTTTATTTCGTCCACTTTGGGGACGGTTACAGTAGCAGCAACCCTACAGTCCAAATAGAGAAATAACTCAGCCCCTTCATGGTCGCATTTGCAGTCCAATCCGGTGTGTATTTGTGGTGAGAAGTGATGGCGAGATTCTCCGGGGGGTGCTGAATTGTCAAGCAGTTAAATACCTGATACGATCAGCGAGCGATATTAGCACATCTGGTCTATTTCCCACAGTGCTGGAAAAGCTGCTCAATATAATCTCAAAGATGAACGCATCAGTTGAGTCTTGAATACTCGAGACAAAACAATGCCATCTTGGGGATATGCAGGCAGTATCTGATATCATTGATCACTATGGAATTTGGACACTTGAACAAGTGCGGTACCGAGTGGGGACCAACCCGTTCGCCTAAAGCCTGTCCTTTTATCACATCCAGATGCATCCACATAAACAAGGTGGTAAGACTGGAACTCTAAGATAAAATAAAGGTATTCATCACGGTCTAGGTTGCACTCTCGGGTCTTGACCCGGGCAGTCTTTTTTGACCAGCCTTTGGAAGCAAGGGCGCGACTGATTCTCGATTTCGTTGCTTGAAGTGCGAATTTGTCACACAGAAAATCGCCATCTCGTCGAGGTACAAGGTGGGTTTTTCGGGCAGATGATCGCACAAAGCCTCGAGCATGACTAGAGTGATGCTATGGGGGCGTCCACCTTTATTAGGCGGTGCTTTAACGCTGCCAAACATCCGTATATTGGAAGAGATTTTCAGGATGCTACTCCTGTTGCAGCCCGAGACTGGCCATCTGCGATAGATAGTTCTCCACTGTGCGTAATTAGATGTCCCGGCATTGGGCAAATCAATGATTCCAAAGGATATCTGTCCAGCGGCTCAGACGTACAGTACATTCCGAAACTGGCGCGACCACCTCCACTCTTCGAATGACTTTTTGGCACGCTGCAAAGATGCACTAGACTACATAGGGAATTCTTCCGGAGGGCCCCTGTAAGTTGCTGTGTATTTCTTCGTCCGTAAATTATTCAGTTGTTTCAAACATATATTCGCTAGTCAATTCTATACAACTGGCACCTCCATACCCCTCCTCTGAAACAGCCTTCCTCGGGAGGCACACTGAACAAGCAATCACAAGTGGTCCAACCAAAAATGGCTCCAAACCTAGCTGCTTCCACGCATGAGCTAATCTACGATATGATCCACAGTGGCGAACTATCTATAACTGAGATGGCACGGGCAGCTGGCTGCCACAGGAGTTCCATCCTGAGGATTTCCTCTAACATACGGATGGTAGGCAGCGTAGGAGTGGAAGACCGAGACACGACCGCGACCATCCTCTGGACAGCAGGTCAGCGTTACAGGCAATCCAGAATGAGAAAAGGAAGTCAGGGCGACGGATTGTTCACGCAATCCACCAAGCCACTACCGAGGTCCAAGCCGCAGATATTGCCCTGCGCCTTCTGTGGGTGCCGGGGTATTGTGACGACCCCGGCAATGACGCCGCGGATCGAACAGCGAAGGAAGCCGCCAAACCGGGTAAATCGCACCCATTCCGGCCGCTGCTGACGAGGGAAAGGGCGTTTATACGTAGCACTATCATCGCTCAGTGGGAGCAGGAGTGGAGATGGTCATTGTCCGAGGTCGATTGCGTACGCTGCATACCCGGCCGAACGACCTTTCTCCTTATAGACAGGGCCGCTGAAAAGAGATAATTTGATTTCATCACTCCCAGGCAATAGCAAAGGAAACAGGGAAATACCAGACATCGGTGCTTTCTGTAGAACGTCCAGGTATCATTGGACTGCGCCAACCGCGCATATGTCATACTCATACCTCGAAAATCTCACAAAAATTCATTCTTACTTCTTATATCCATTGCCACTGCTCCCACTTGCACGCTAACGTCATGTTGGTGCTCCCCAAGCGTTCATCTGCCGCTCATGTTGACAACCCTTTCTTTTCGGCGTGAACTCTGCAACCGGATCCACCGCCATGGCTTTTTCTTTTCTCCTTGCTCCCGGTAGACATCGGGAAACTAGTACTTCCATCCTTCAGGGAATCGAATATGGAAAGGCTCGGGGCTTGGGGTAATTTATAGAGAGGAACTAGGTGTAGTGCTTCGATTCGTATCCGTAGTACTGCCCGAAGTATTTCCATCCAATTAGACGCGGACTTGCTTGCCATCGTCGATGACACCCGTATTTGTTTCTTCCTCCGAGCCTTTTCCTGCTTGTTTCGCCGACAGCCCGCTGTCTCGGAGAGTCCGTTCTCCATGGCCGGCGGGCAGGCGTCTCTAACTCAAGGCAGTCAGGATTCTCGCCTCGGATGACGGATTCTGGTTGATCTGCGTTGTCTCTTAAAGTGGCCGGCTCGGGGTAGGCTGGGAGTCCATTGGGGGCCCTGGGAGCTGGTTTAGTTCAGCCTAGTCATTATTTCACTAGGACCAGCGTGTCCTACCTCTCTGGCTTGACCTCCGTCTAGGTTCCGAGTGCGTGAGTGGCCTACTCACAGCGTGAGTCTGAACCGCTTCTTGATGGGCACTTCACACTCCCTGTCTCCTTGCCCAGCTAGCAAAGGTATGTCTTTGAGCTCCAGACGACTGGGGTATTGAAGGCTCCAACTGTGGACGCGATATGCTGAATAGGATTGAAAGGGGATTATCTTGTGCTTTCTGCTCTGTAATCCGGAAGAAGAGCACAGGAAAAAAAGGGGCGTGTTTAATAATCGATTCCTGGGGGAACCGCATCCAGCGGCTCGATTCAAGCAGGTGATTCGCCGCCGATGTTTGCTTGGAGTCGTTGTTGATTTGCACTTCAGACCCCTGCACAGCGGGCATCTTACATAGAGGCAATAACTCGAAACAGAAAGGTGTGAGAAATGTGCATCCGGTTCACAGGTCAGAGAGGGATGTAAGGTTGGGTGGAAGGATCGCCTTGCGGCGAATCTCGAGAGTCGGCGGGTCACCTGGTTAAGCTCGGCGCCCTTGCAAGTGACGCCTGCTGCTGCAAGGCCGAGGATGCGATTGAGCTAGCCTGTTAAGTAGGAGGTATCTGGAGAACCTTTGTCGTGAGGCTCGGAGTAAGAGCATTGTAGATCTGGGGTTTGGAGGATTCGAAGCTCAATTGATAAAGGGTCTGTACAACCTCCAACATTCAACATACACATCGACATCAACACAACGAGTAGCCAACCACCCATCCATCTCATTTAACCCCATCCCAAACCTTCTATACCCTATTTACCCCGAACTAACCGGCGGAATAATAGCAACCTCGCTCCCCACCTCAATAACCCTCTCCCCCTCTGCATCTCCACCCTTTTCTTCAGCGGGAGTTACATCAACATACTCACCATCAAGACTAACCCCACAACTCCCAAGGACCTTTTCCTCAATCCCCGGATACCGACTCTCGAGTTCAGAGAATAAAAGTGACAGCTTCAGTGGCGCCGGGAGCGTCTCTGTGTTTTTGCCCGTATAGCTGCTTGCGGAGGCGAAGTAGTGGATTGTGAATGTTTGGGTGGCCATTTTTTGATTATGACCGCTTTCTCCGGTAGATGATTATCGAAGAAATTTGTGAAGAGTGTGGTTTTTGTGAGTTGGAGGTGTCTGATGTGGGAGATGTGTTGATGAGGAAGTTGGGTGAGGTGAGGATATCAGCGGGGAGCTCCGCGGGTGGACTTGCCTTATCGGCTTATCGCGGCGTCGAATTTAGGCCCGACAACAATATTTCCAGGTGTCAACGTTACCTACAAGCAAGTACTAGTAATAGAATACGATCTAGAGTTAAAAAGCCAATCAGATATCTATTAATATTAGATCTACCAATCTAATCAAACAGCCCCTAGGCAGCTGGTATACTATACTAGTCCCAACCCAACCACAGTCGAAGACTCACTCCTTCGACTCCTTCGCCAACTCCCTAAACGCACCAACAAGATCCGACTTGAGATCCTCCCAATTCTCCAATCCAACACTAATCCTCAGCAAGCGTCGATCAACAGTCATATCCGACAGCGTGCGCCACTCAATAAGTGTCTCAACACCCCCAGACTAGTCGCATGCTGAAAGAAGTGCAATTTACTCGGCAAATAGCGCGCAGCTCGCTCAGTCTTCATTGTAATGGAAAACACGGGTCCGAATCCATTCGGCATCTGCTTCTTCAGCCAGTCACCCTCCGTCTGTTGGATAGAAGCGTGGTACACTTCTTCCAGAACAGATTGTACCGCTGCTTCGACGCTGTCCGGACTGGGATTAGGCGTGTGCAGGGCAGTATGCAGCCAAGAAACCAGATTTGACGCATTGGCACTTTGTCTCTGCACGCGCACTTCCAACGTACGCAGACTCCGCACCCCAAGCCAGGACTCCATATTCCCCATAACACTGCCCAGAAAAACACGATCTTTATAAAGCTGCTCATACCACTCTCTGTTCCTAGTAACCAGAACCCCAGAAAGCAAATCACTGTGACCACCAAAATACTTCGTGCCAGAATGCATAACAACATCCGCGCCAAAATCAAACGGCTGCTGCAGACCGGGTGGAGCGAACGTGCTATCGACGATGAGGACGGCGCCGCGGGCGTGTGCTTTCTCCGCGAAGTGGGCTATGTCGAAGGCGGTTCCTTTGGGGTTGACAGGTGTTTCGAGGAGGATTACGTCTCCCTTTTGCAGGGCGGATGCGGCGCAGTCCAAGGGGAGTTTTTTCAGGCCAGTTGTGCGAGTGAAGAGGGCGATGACGCCGTGGCAGCCGTGGTAGCCTTCGCCGACGGAGATGTGGCGTGGATTTAGGAGGGTGAGGGCTGCGTGCAGCGCGGAGAGGCCGGATGAGTAGGCGATCGTTTGGCCGGCGCAGAGGGAGGAGAGGATTGTTTCGAAGCGGGTTGGGTTTGGGGCTGAGAGGCGGGAGTAGATGTGGGAGGTTGGGTCTGGAGTTCCAGACTGGTATTTACGGTTAGAATTAGACTGATGGGTATAAAAAAGACTAGAGCTTACGTTGGCAATGTCGGCGGCCGGGACTAGGGCGGCCGGGTCATTTGGATAGCGGAAGGTGGTGGCCACATGCATTGGGGGAGCGACATCGGAGACGAGGTTCAGCACGTCGTCCGCGTGCAGCGAGCGGGTGGAGGTGCCGCTAGACATGGTTATGCTATGTTCTTGAAAGTGTATGCACAGGAAAAGGCGCGGGTTAAGAGAAGTTGCAGGTTATCTGTACAGCCGGAGGGGCAGGAGGGGGTGGTCACTTGGTCACGTGGTGTGGGGAAGGCCCACCGCGGTAGTTGGGATGCGCCGCGGCAGATGAGACAGAGTAAGGGACAATATGGATGAGGAATCGGCAAGAGCTTCATCGACGCAGTGATCCCATGCGGGATGGTTCACGGACCGAGCCAGGTAGGGCCACCTTGAAGTTGGTGCGGTCTGCAAGAAATTTAGCGCGGATCTATAGTTTATGAAAGGGGCAAAACACACCAGCCTCCGAATCAAACGTAATAGCAATATCGTCATGTTCGATCGGATATTCAGGCATATCCAGACACACAAAGTCGGCGCCCGGTTCTTCGGGCTTCCGCGGTAGAGCGAATTTGGCGTCAACAATGCGAATGCCGAATTTGCCAGACCGGCCAAACGACTCGATATGATCGGCAGCCTTGAGGACAAAGTTCATGCAGGAGCCGTGGTGGAAGTCCGCGAAGAAGGCGAGCAGTTGGACCACCTTTTCTTGTCGCACGATCTGGACGCGGGCGAGATTGGCCTCCCATTTCTTGTAGATGGGGACCACCGAGCGGCGGCGAGAGATGGTGAAAGAAGACGCGGTACTATAGGAAAGGTCAGCGAGAGCTCAAGACAGGGAGAAAAAAAAAAAAAAAAAAAAAAAAAAGGAACAAACCCACCCATCATAGATAACCGAAAAACCAGTCACTGCTTCTTCAAAGGCATGTAGAGCTAAACGCATGTCAGCAAAACCTTCTGATTAGATCCATTGGTTATCCATTTGAAACACACCTTGCATAGAGGCAAAGTCCAGCCGACGAACCATCGGCTTGGCAGTAATCTTCTGAAGGAATTCAGCCACTTGCTCCGGCATCTCCGGGCGAACGAGATTGTCCGCCAGCGAAACCGTCAGATCCTGCTGCGCGGGACGGTACAAGCTCATGCCCGTCTTGCTCTTGACATCCAGCCCGATCTTCAGCTCTCCAGGGCCTGCAAACGTAAGTTAGCAATGATTAGACGCACAAAATGAAAACACTTACCCAAGTTAATACGGTCCGTAACAGAGCCCCATTCAGTAGCGATAAACGCTCTGAGATGTTCAGACAGGATGGTCGGTCCATAGCCATGCTCCACATACGCGTTGTCCTGATCAATCACCAAGACATTGCCGGCGGGGAATTGGAGATGATTAATGGCGGCCTGGCCACTTCCTTCGCCGGGTTGCTCAATGGTGTAGGACCGGATAGGGAACTCGGGCGTCTTGGCCTCGCCCTCGCGGGGCGCCATACCCAACAACACCGAGTGCATTCTCGTACGTTCTTCCGCTTCGTGGAAAGTCATCAACATGGATCGCTGGCGTCCTTCTTCGGTAACCTTGAGCAAAAGCGCGGCAGCGCCGTCTTCTCCTCGCAGCAGTCCGAACACGACAGGCCATCCCTGACCCAGCATATGCTGAACACTGCTCAGCGTCTTCACCTTGGGGCTTGTGAGGATAGCCAGTCGGAAACCACGGTGGGCATTGCGCGTTCCCGTTCCTTCTGTCACCTTGACAGAACGCTCAAACAGGCGGATCCGACATCGCTCCAATGGCTCTGAGGGAAATGCCTTGTGGGCGCCCGAGTCCATGTACTGGAACACCTTCAGAGTATTCTCAAATACAACCGTCTCGCCCGGTTCCGGCGAAAGACTAGCCTCGGATTTCTTCGTGTACTTGACGATGTTCCAAAGCGTTTTGAAATCTTCTTCCTTGAACATGACATTCAACTCGAACCCGCGAGGCAGTTTCACCCGCATCGAGTGGGTGCGAACTTGCCAATCCACGTCCTCCCAGGTGGGACCTTGCTTGCGGTCGGACTGGATCATGACATTCACCAGTTGGCTCTGACTCGTAATCGCGGCATGCACGTACCAATCAGATCGATCTCGGATGATCGTCAAGGCGCAGGGCATGGCGTACTGCTCGCCCTCATCATCGCTGGAACTGACGCATGCCTGGACGAAAAGGCTGCCGTAGCTGAAGTACCGAGGAGTATCTCCAAGTGGCATCATGTGGAAGAGGCTTGGGGCCTTGCCAGGCTTATCGGCAAGCATGGATCGCGTGGCATTGCCAGAAAGCACAGCCGAAACATCAGGGGCAAAGAACGGGTATCGGAGCCAGATGCTCGTATCGAGTTGGCTGGGGGAGTTCTCGTCGGCGAGAATCACAGAAATAATATTATTGCGCTTGATAGACATAGAAAGGGAACGGAGGTGGTTCATGGTGGTCTGGTGCAGAGTGAGAGCTTCCGCCAAATCTTTATTGTTTGTGGTGTTAGCCACGGCCAGGAGGCCATCGATGCCCAGATTCGGACCGTACTGCGCCAGTTCGTAATGGGCCGGGATGATGTTCTCATTGATCCACAGGGACTTTCCGAGGTCGATGACGGCTTGCTTCGCATAGCTGGGCGGCAGAGTGGCTCGCGAGCGGGCAAAAGTTTCCAGCCGAGTTTTTCCCCGCAAGAACCACCACACACCTGCGCGGATCCATTCCATCAGAGATGTCTCCATCAAGGGCTTGACGCTCTCAGCCGCCAACCTCAGGAGACTGTCGTAGCGAGCAATGTAATCCTTGAATTCCGTAAACGACGTATCACCCACCTGGTTGGCTACATTGCGCAGAGAAGATTTGGGGGGATTGGGACTGCGCGAGGGTTCTCGGCTCGCTTGCGGCGATGTCAACTGGTCAACTGCGGGCGTCCCATGTGCAGGCGGCTTGGGAGGTGGCGGCGAGACCTTCGAGGGGCTTCCTGGGGTGAGGCCGGCCGGCACGCGAGAGTCAACCGGGCTCAAATTGGCGGGGTTGCGGTGGACAGCTGGGCTCGAGGGGTGACGAATCGATTGGACAATGGACTTGAGAGAGGGCGCATGAGGAGAGGTTACGGACATGGGAGGGGTTTCGTAGTGCGACGTCGATTCCTGGGGGCTGAACGCCGAGGCGGGCATTTCAGGAGGCGATTCGGGGCTCGACAGTTCATCGTCCTCGTACTCGTCCGCTGGCGACGCCACATCGTCTTCGTAATGCTTGTGCAAGGCCCGAGCTTCTTCGGCCTGCATCTTGTCTCGCACGCGCTCCGCAAACGAGTGCGAGTCGGGCGATCCGCGGAAGGACAACCGCGAGCCCGGCTTGTTGGCCAGGCCAAGCGTACTCAGCAAATCCGCCTCCTGGACATTCTGCGATGGCGGTGGTCGTGAATTCGGGCTTCCTCCCGAGGCCGGGGAGGGCGTGCGTCCGCGCCGACGGTCATCACCTTCGCCCAGCGAGGTGTTGACGCGGAGGGTGGGTAGCGGGGAGCGTGACGGAGCCCGTCGCGGAGGGTTGGCGGCCTGTCGCTCGAGGGCTCGTTTGCGAGCGTAGGAGATCTCGATGGTTGGCGCTTCAGACTCATCACCACCTTCGCCAATCAATTCGGGCGCTCGGTCGGAGAAGCCCACGCGGAGGCCCTTGTTTTTGCGGCGACGGGTGGTGGGTTTGCGGGCGGGTTCAGCAGGGAGCGGGCGAGGGGGCTGGGACGAGAGGTCGTCGAAATTGAAGGCGGCAAAGTCATCGGTCGGGGGTGGAGGGAGCGACGGGGGTAGTGAGGTCGAGCTGGAGCTGGCGAGATCGTGCGTGGCAGGCGCACGGGGGCCTGCGAGGTGGGCGAGTTGGGGCGGCGGATAGTCTCTCGGGGTGGTGGCCGGGTCGGTCTTGGGCGCAAGGCCATCGGGGCGCGAGGTCGCGAGGAAGTCTTCGATCTGTTTGTCGGGGGTGGAGCGATTGGACTTGTCCTTGGAGAAGAGCTTCTCGCGCCAGTGGGGTTTCTTTGTGGGCTTGGGCTGCTCAGCAGCCAGGAAGGCGAAAGGGTCATCGGTAGGCATGTCGGAGCAGCAGACCCGTGCTGAACATGGCAGTCCTAGAGTGTAGACGTGCAGTGCAGTGTGTGGATGAGAAACACGGAAGCCAGTCCGTGGTTCAAACCCCTCCCCCGGTGAGCACGAGCGAGGATCGTCAGGAGGACCTGGGGCAGTGCGAAGGCGGGGGGTTGCGAAGGGAAGGGGATGAAAGGAAGGGAGGGGCGCAGATGGTGATCAGGAACCGCTCAGTCCAGCATCCCCTGGTGGAGAGAGATCGGCAATCACTACTACAAGTAGGACTCGCACTGGAGGAGGCTAGGACGACTACCGAGATTGTTCAAGTATTTTAGCGGTTCTACATTTGTGGTTATTCCTTAGTGTAGTACCCAGTACACTGAGTACGTGTTGTTGTCCCTACTTACTACACGGTGTAGTACTCTTGAGTTCCTGAAGTATGGGAGTGGCTACACTGTACGGGAGGCAAGTACATTCTAAGGGGACTCGTAAGGGATTGCACGCCCGACCAGCCAGTCGCGCCTGATATCGCATCAACAATGGACTCGGGAGGATTGTGGATGCGGATTGCAGATTGCGGATTGCGGATTGCGGATGGTGGGCCTGAGTATGTAGTCTCTACACTACCATACCATGTAGGATGTAGTATATACCCTAAGTGAGTAGTATCTGTCTCGCTCTATATATAACTCTCATACTTTTTGCAAACAACGTTTAATGCTATCACCATAAGTCAGCCACATTTGCAACTTGAATATCCACACGACTCCCTACTCGATCGACGTCTCATCGTGAAACTCGCCTAAACCGCATCGAGCGACGCCAGAGGGGCGGCGGGTCCGCTGACGAGGCGTGGAGTCGTTCGAGTCAGTGCGTTTCCATGTTTTCTTCGTTATATCTGGAATACCCATATCGACTGGGTCACTGAGGAGTGTTTCTCTACAGTCTACATTTACATACTACAGTCGTGTATCGGCTTCCCCCTTTGGTCCTCCCGAGGCATGCGGAATCTGCGGCACCGCGTTGGGGCGCTTTGATTTCCAGCAAATGGCGGCATCTGGTTGGGTTACCGCCAGAACGGGGTTGCTTGAGACAGACTAATTTAAGAACCATTCTGGAACCCTTTTCCTGAAATAGACCCCTTGCAGGACGTGAACACGGTCGTGTGGCCCATTTTAGTGAACACGAGAGTTCGACAATTTGGCCGTGTACGCCAATATATCAGTGCTCATCTGCACTGGCCACATCCACACCTGTCCATGCGTCCCATACACTCAGGGTATACACTATAATGCTTCCGCAAGCTTATTTCAGGTAGGGCAAAATTATTTTCCCTTCGATTCGCGTATTCGAAATTTGTTCAACTCCTGCTCATTAATGCCTGCTCCATTCAATGTTGCCTCTTTAGCTTACCTTAAACTGCTGTCCGAGCGTATAAAATCTCCGATGGTCGCTCATCATACCATAGTACGACCTTTACTCACATTACCAGTAGTAGTACCTGGGGTATTTAGTATCATACCTAGCCATTTAATATGTGCGGGTACTCCTCGAAACGCCTACCACTCTCATCCCAACCGGGTCATCCACACTCTGAGATACTTGTGCCACACTGGCGCATGGTATCTACAACATCCGGCTAGATGCACCGTTGACAACCCCAGGTCTCAGGCCGAGGATCATCTCCCCGCAGGTTCGAGCATAATGCCTGAGGTATATGTCAGCAGCGCAATCAACATGCAACACAATAATCAATTCCATCCCAATACTACCTATAAGCTCATAGCACGCAGAAATATACCCACCATGCCCCAAACGATCGCCAACACAGCCCACCAAAATCCTCCAAACAAACCTCGCCTCCAACCCCACTCTCTCCCTCCCCGAAACAATAAAAACCCGCCTCCCATCAGTCCATTTCACGCCAGAAGACAGCACGCCCTCAATTCCGACGCCCGCCAAACTCTCCGAATCCTCCGCTCTCTGGGGGCTTCTGGGTACATTCTCCGCCGTCATAGCGGAAGGGCGCTACAGCATCCCAGAACAAAATGTTATCGTCGACGTCCACAGCGCAACGCTCTTCCCGATGTCAGCTTTACTCGCAAAAATTGAAGGGAAGGGCGTTTGGGATGCCGAGGTCAAAGGGCGAATGCTGTATCTTGATCTAGGCGGGATTCGGGAGCCGTATCGTAGTTTGGCGAGTAATATGTATGATCCTCATCCATGCCAATCTACCATGACCTCGCAAACAATGCGGAATTACACTCAGACCACATTCGGAAAATTACTGACTCGGTGATGCAGATACAAAACAAAAGACAACCGCTTCTTCCACCTCCACGGCAGCCTCAACACAACCAACACACTGCACATGCTCTCCCTCCCGCAACACAGACCAGACCTCACAACCGCCAACTCGATCAAAGAAATCTATCGCACCGCCGTAGCCGAGCACACAGCCGCCAGGCTCGACACCGAAGCAAACGACTTCTGGCGCCAGCCTGGCACAATCTGCTACACGCAAGAATAATTCCGAACTCAGATCCCACACGGGCATGCCTCGTGGTCAGAGCCATTATATCACATCCACAACATCCACGCATCCCTACCAGCACAGGCATGGCCAAGCACACCTCCTCCAACAAAATCAGGAACAGGACAACACAAACCCCTCTCAGGAATAAAAATTCTCGACCTAACCCGCGTAATCGCCGGCCCAACGATCTCGAAAATTCTCTCCCTACTCGGCGCAGACGTCCTCCTCAGCTCATCCCGTAACATACCCGAAGCAACAGTATTGATGTACGACACGCAAATCGGCAAGCGGGACGCAGAGCTCGACCTGAAGAGCGTGGAGAGGAAGCTTGCGTTCTGCGCGCTGTTCGGAGACGCGGATGTCGTACTTGATGGGTTTCGACCTGGTGCGCTGGAGAGGCTGGGTTTTGGATTCGGTTTCGTGCAAAGTCTTGCGGTCAGACGGGGGAAAGGGGTTGTTTATGCACGGGAGAATACGTATGGGTGAGTTGGGAAGTGGTCGAGGAGGTGTGGGTATCAGCAGATTAGTGATTGTGTGAGTATATCTAGAGTGGCTGTCTTCTGTCATTTTGTATGTCTGGTGCTGGCGGGTAAGGTGAAGGGAGTGAGTTGGGCGCAGGGGAAGTTCCTTGGACTCGATGAACCGGTTGTGCCGTTGTTACCGAATTCGGATTACCAGTGAGTCTCCCCTTCACCACTACCCTCTGCAAGTAGCAAGTGAAGGCTGATAAACCAGAACGGGGATCGTGGGCGCCATCGCCATCACACACGCGTTGTACCGGCGAGCTCACGAGGGTGGCTCGTACAACGTCGACACCTCACTCAACCAATTCAACAACTGGTACCTAGACCTGGGTCTACAAGATCCCGACACCGCAGCCACGATTAAAGCGAAAGATCCAGACTTCATGGTCTGACATGATACCGACCTCTTCACGATGGTGACTGCGACGATGGATTGTCTGCGGAAGAGCCATGGGGACGAGAAGGAGAGGTGGGTGAGTTTTTGGATTGGGCGAATATTGTGCAATTTGCACCCAGCAGGTGTGAAGATGATCAACGAAAGCTACAGTACGGGTTTGATTATGGGTCTCATAGGCCCGGATCTGACCAGGCCCGGTGGCTTAACTGAACCGGCTGGTCTGTTCGGATCTCAAGAATTTGGACGGCGATCTGGCTGGACATTTTCTGCTAGTTTGTTCCGGCTGTCGCGAGCGCCCGTAAGACGGGGTCCTTGGCGAGGTGATAGGCAGCGCCAATGGGCGCGGGTTCTCCGAGACATAGAATAATGTCCATCGTCATTGAGACCCTTTCAGCAGGGCTCGTTCGAGAATAGATACTACGAGGTAGTGTGGGCACTGAGACTGGTATTGTCATTGGCAACAATGCGGAGGCTGCAGGGTAGATGCAGATACCTGCAGATAGTACATACTGGTAACAGCACAAGGCTGGCGGAACATGCTCAACCGTAGTTCAGGCATCCGACGAGTCGGTGTGGTCTCCGGCAGCTCGATTAGGACCTGGCGCCTGCCGCATGGTGCAATTGGCCCACAGAGTGGAAAAAGGCACTCAGCCACAAGTTAGCAGCTGCCCACCGCCACTGAGACATCGTGTCCACGACCATCACGGCCCCGAAGGGTGTGTATCAACAATCATGCATGCTGATAGCCGGCCATGAGAACCTATCCCCGGTAAAGAATCAGCAATATCCCCGCCGTTGGAGTCCTGATCGACAGGTGTTCGGCGCTGTGGAGGATGCTGGTGCCTTTTTGCGCAGGCGATCAGCATCCCGAGTGAGACAAGCGCTGGAGCACATCGCGCTGAACCGGGTCGACTGAAACATCGGTAGTTTGAATGTTCAGCTTTCCCCAGTTCATGACGGGGGTTCGGAACAGGGTCTGCAGTGGTCGCGGCAGTAGGAGCTTGAACTGAGATTCCCCAGATTCGCCATGATGCGAGGGGGAGTATAAGGCTGACGGATCGACGGGGCTGAGCAGGGTGAAGGTCTGTAAAATTCAGGCAGCTGCTATTTTAAGTGAAGGATGTGAGAGCCGCGACTGCCGTGTAGCCTAGCAGCAGCAAATAGAAGGGGACGCCCTAAGGAGACCCTAAAGAGTGTAGGAACGAAGAAGGAAAGAGGGAAAACACCAAACTGAGCAAAGGCTTGGCGCCACCGGCCAGACCCAACAAGGCGCAGCAGCTCTTGTCCTTCTCTTCACTCCCACTTATTCGACTATTCTTATTCACCTTACCTTCACCACTGGCAGGTAGCAGGTGCGTGCTATTCCGAGAGTTCCCTGCCCGACCGCGCGCTAAGTCTCTAGCCCCTCTGCAGACTTACGTACTCTGCGTAACTCGTGTTCCCGATCCTCCCCTCTCATCGCCGTCTCCTCCCCCAAAACAACACCCCCCGTCTCACCACTGCCCCCTTCGAGTCCGGCCCTCGATCCTGGGTCTGAAGGTCGTCACGCCAGACCGGCTTCCCCGATTGCCCAAACAACGTGGATTCGACCACCAACACCGGGGGTTGACCTCCCCTAGGAGGTCATCCCGGATGCCCGAGACTGACATGTGTCACGACTCGACGCGCCGGCGAGACGGAGAGGATGATGTCGAGCACGCTGCCGCCGATGCGACCGATGCGACCCGGAGTTTACGTCGTAGGGCTCTGGTGATGCCCCTGGGACAGACGGCCAGACAACGGCGGTTCCGGCTGCAGCCTGGCCCTGGCGCGGGTGTCGCCAGCGGCGTCTGGTGGATGGCACTCCTGTGCCTGGTGATGACATGGATCTCGCCTGCAGCCGCTGCCCTGCTGGATTTTGACAATTGCCTGGACAAGTCCATCCTCGAGTCGTACCCCCTGCAGCTCCAATTCGTGCCCCTCGACGTTGGCGTGACCTTCGACCTCTCCGACCCCCTCCACCCGCTGAATGTGACGGTCTATGGGAATGTTTCTGGCACAGCAGACGGATCTTCTTACAACTATGACCCGAACGATCCCCAGTGGACCAACTCCTCGTCGACATACGGAAAGATTGTGGATTTGAGCAAGTCGAACAACAAGTACAGCACGTTGTTGACGGCCTTTGACGTGCTGAGCTATACCCCGTGGAGCAATCCCTCGCGATTCTGCTCGTCTCTGACCCAGGGAGACTGCCCGTTAGGGCCTGTTTTCAATGGTAACGTGTAAGTTGACTTCTAGCGATCCCGGCAAGTCAACCGGATCGTCCCCTTTGGCTGACATTTTGCTTCTTGTGGTGCAGGAGCGATTTACGTACATTGCATTCATTTTCCGTGGAACATGATATGGTTTCTACCTACCGTTTTTCTACAATCACCCCAACCTTCACCATTCGCTCGGGCGACTCCTCTGCGGCCGAGCTGGGCTGCATCTCCGTGCCGATCACCCCGGATTTTGGCGCACCCCTCAAAAATGCTCTCGCATATATTCCGTTGGTCATCTTAGTGCTGGTGGGTTTGACTACCATCCTCGCGGCCATGTATAGTCCTTGGGGGACTACCGATGTCTTTCGATGGACCAGCAATTACGGCCGCGACGAGGATGTCCTCCGACTGGTCACCCCGGGCTTCGCGGACTGCTTGCAGTATCTACAATACGTGGTATTGACTGGAGCCCTTTCGCTAGACTACCCGGGCTTTTTCCAGCCGGCTGTCAGTCACGGCTCGTGGTCAGTTCTCATGTTCAACCAGAGCTTCGTCAACCCCGGCGGCAACAATCCTATTCAGGATGGCGTGTATGCCGTGAATGGGACGTACGGTCTCGACCGCATGAACCAATTGGTGGGCATGACGTCTAAGCAGGATATTTGGCCTGGTATGATGGTGTGGCTGTTGGTTATTCTGGGCTGTGTCACTTTGGTGATTCAACTGGGCTTTGCCCTGCGATGGCTTCACCGTGAACTCGCCAATACCTCCGAGCAGGATCTCCGCGCGAAAAACATGCCCTTCACCGTCGGCAATGTCATTCGCATTGTCTTCAACTTCCTTCTTCTCCCCATCATCTCACTCTCCTTCTTCCAACTGGTCACCGCTTCGGGCTCACCGGCATACAGCGTCGCCTTGGCAGCCATTGTGGTCGTCGTGTTGCTCTGCTTCTCGATTTGGATGGTCCGCGTGATAATTTCCACCCGCCCCAAGTCTCATCTCTTCGACGACCTTCCCACAGTCCTGCTGTACGGACCGCTGTACAATACCTACTGCGATGACGCCGCCGCGTTTGCCACGGTCCCCATTTTCCTGAACTTTGCCCGTGGCATTGCCATTGGAGCTTTGCAACCATCTGGTATTGCGCAAGTGGTTCTGCTCGCTATTTGCGAGGTAGTCTCTGTGCTGACGCTGGTGGCATTCCGCCCATTCCCGTCTCCAACCCATATGAACCTGTATCACTGCCTCTTCTCGTTTGTGCGGTTCCTCACGATTATTCTCAGTGTGGTCTTTGTACCATCTCTGACGATCTCGCGGGCTGCACGAGGCTGGATTGGCTATTTGATTCTTGTCTTGCATGCGTTAGTTTTGATCTTTGGATTCTTCTTGAATGCTCTGCAGACCTTGATCGAGGTTTTGGCCAGACTTGCTGGTGCTGGCGGAGCCACTCGTGGTGGCCTGTCCAAGGTATTTGGCATGCGCCAGCTGTCTAGGCGCGAGGCTCGCGGTGGTATTGCACGCCAAAGTATGGGCTCCGAAGCCGCCATGCTTGCAAATGTCGATGGGCGTATGTCTTCTCAGTGGGAAGGCTCTCGTCCACGCAGTCTGTCTGGTAGCTCCGGAATGCTGTTGAATCGGGCGACTGCAAGTGAGGGACGCGCCAGTGCTATCCTAGACTATGCCAGCTCCCAGGGTGGTGGCTCACACAGTCGCGCACCGAGCGGTAATCTATACGCGAATTCTCCAACTGCGTATACGGGAGCCGGTGGCTCGCCAAGTAGTAGTACGTTCATGGCCGCACACCCTCGTGATCCCTACTACCGGCCTCCTCGACCCGGAGCAGTTCGACGAGACACACAGCCAGGAGCCAATGACCGCAGCAAGAGAAGCTCCAGAACCTTTTTGAAGCCCAGTCGATCTGGTGGTGCTGATGATGATCTTGGAGATGGACCCCCTATGTCTGGTCGAGGTACACCCGTTCCTGCATACCTACCTGCTCCTAAAGATGATATGGAACTGGAGGACCCGCGACAACGGAAGGATTATGCAGTGCGAGAGGTGGACTTCTATTACCGTGTCCGCGGACCTCCTCTCTCCCACACAGGCACTCGCAAGTTGAAGACTGGCCCTGCAGACCCGACTGGCCCAGTTTCCTCCGCCACCGGCTGGTTCCGCAATTTCTTCCAGGGCAAGACCAAGGACAAGGGCAAGGGTTTCGAGGTTGTGCGGAGTGCCCGTGCTCCTCCCCCGGCCTCTTCCCTGTCGAAGACTATCACGAGGAACCATACCAAGACGACCCCGAGTATCCCACGGCCGGCGGCCACTCACGCAACATCTCTGGCGGCGACGAAACATCGTACCGAGACTCGGAAGGTGACAACACGCCCACTAAAACTCGAAGCGACGCTCGTGCCCCTGTTTTGCCGCAGGTCAACTCAGTCGGCAGCATCGAACTGCCAAGCCGTGTTGGATCCCGCCGAACCCAAGCACTATCCGAGGAAGGCGGCGACGGCGCGAATGACCTGCCAACTGTCTCAGAAGCCCACTCTCCGCCACGAGGCGCTCCCGACTCTGAACACCTCCGCGCAGATACACCCGGCACAGCCCGTCTTCCATTCAGCGGCAGCAGCTCTCCATCTCGCGAACGCGGCCACTCCGTCGCATCGACCTCCAACTCCATGGCCTCCAGCCACAAAACCGCCCGCGAGGGTTCTCGACGAGACCGACCTTCCAGCATGGGCTACGTGGCACAATACCGCACAAGGGACAACATACACGAAGCAAGTCCCGACGAGCCTTCTTTCAGCGGAAGCCAAGCGGAATTAGTCGACGAGCAACTCCATGGAGAACATCACTGATTCCTTCGAAAAACACCTCACATTTCTCCATCTCTCCCAACCACCCCACCTCCTACCCGAATCTGTATGCTAAAAAGCGTGAACGCTACGAATCTCCTTTGCTTCAAAATTGCCGGCGTTCATCGTTAGGAATATGCTTGTGTGCACTTAATGGACAGTGCTTAATCTTCCTCCCCTACCATGATATGGGTATGGTTCCCCGGTTTCCTTCCCGGGATTGAGTGTTTCCCTTCTCATTTGTTTTAGTTATCACCCATGCAGTCCACGGGCTGGGTTTGCTTGTAACATGATCATGGCAGCGTGAATACGATTGCTTCTGTTGTACCTTTCCTACCAGTAAATTGTAACTACTGTCTCCTACAGTAGTATCATGGCGTATCCAGTAATGACGGCAGCCGAGCACGGCTATCCGGCGTAAGGCTCTAGTAGACAGCCTCGCGCTAGATGTTCTAAGTGGGGAGCCGACGCGTTCGGTATAACTGGGCTAATAGATTAGCCTCCGAGTCCGACTGATATAGTAAGCGATATTCAAGCTGTTCATGCTAGAGCTGACCATACCAGAACTTACCTTAATACCCAAACCGTTGCTACCATGACTATGAGGTACGTCCTCGACTTCATTCATCTCCTCCTACTCAGGTCAGCATTAATTTAGATATTATGAAAATACAGCGACCCAACAACCTTCCTCCTAAACCAAGCATCCATCTACACCACCAAAACAATCCTATCATTCGCGCTGTTTTACTTCTCCCCGATAATTTCGCTCCCGCGCACTGGACCTTCTCAACCGATACAGAAGGACTTTCAACCGATACATAAACCCGTTCTGCATCGGCGTGGCCGTCACCACGTACCTAGTCAAACTCTATCATTCCTACGAGTCGGAGAATCTGAGTATGATAGTCCATGTTCGGGCTACAATGGTAATGAGGTACGTCCATAGTGCGCAGTAACTTTCCCCATTCATAAGGCAGACCTTGATGATTAACTGTCGGTATTTGCGGCAACCCAACCACCTTCCGCCCAGCCGAAATGTACATCGCCCTCCTCACATCAATCCCCACACTAGTAGTCCTCTGCTTCTGGCCCTCACTCCGAGAAAGAGCACTGGGTGTAATGCATCATACGAGGTATGGAGTATTTTTAGGCGGTATATCAATCTGATTTGTATTTGGATTACGCTTGTTACGTATATCTTTGTTTATCAAGCCGGGATCAAGCCGGGGAGTACTTCTTCACGAAATGAGGGGTTGGTGGGGATATCCGTTGGCGCTGAGGACGGATCGAAGGTTTACTATGCCGAACAGGATTAGTTGGATAATCTTGCTGAGAGTCTTGCGCGGCTGTCTGGTGAGAAGGGTTAGGTTAGGGTTGTTGCATTTAGTATGGAGGTTCATGGGTTAATTAGGTCTTTTGAGGGCGGGAATTGATTGGATGGTTGGTTGTATTAGAGAATTCTGAGGCAATGCTGTTCTAGCTAAATTTTTTCCTCTTCGTATTAAATAGCATGATAAAATAATTATTTTTGACTTCGCATTCACGGTGCAACTGTGAAGTGTTGTGCCGTTGATTGACCGTGGAAAAGAGCATCACAACATATGGCATGTGATAGATATCCATAGGTATCAGAGATATATATTCATGATCAAGATACTCTCACATCTTTGTGTGATTTAAGACCAATTACTGAATAGAGAAGTCTGTGTTGACTTTATATATTGAAAAATCTAAATGACCCTAGCTTTTCAGAAAACCGGTCTCTTATCATATCCTGTATAACAGTATGTCCACTGGCACAGTTAAGCTCAAGTGGCGACGTCAGTGGGGCTGGCCAGTTCTGCCCGTCCACACCGCCCATACCGCTGCTTGCGCCTTATCAGTGGGGCCCACGAGACTCCTTTGCCAAACAAACCGCGCTCCCTGTATCTCAACCCTTGAGTTGTGCTCAGAGAGCCAGGGACCGGTGACGGCGCAGTGCGCAGAAGCGTTTTATATTTACCAGCAATATTCATATCCCATCAGAATCCGGCAGTGCGGCACTTTCAGACATCACGAGACCATCCGTCCTACACCGAAATCTATCCTTCCCCGATCGCCACTGCCTGTATTGCATAAACCGCAGAGATTGCCCTATCGAATCGTTCACATCTCCTCTGGAACACCTCGACGGCTTCTTCCAGTTCCTCCGATTAAACAACGAACATCCCATGACGAACACTGTTGTCAACGGCTGAGAGTGATCTCGCAACCCGGTCAACTCCTTACCTAAACATTCGAGTTCCCTGGGATTGACACTCAACATGTCCCTTCCAAGTACCGCCTCATCCTCGGAGGCCGAGACCAGCTCTGCGCCCGAGCAGGCCGATTTGCGGGCAAACACCGAGCGTCGTGCGAATAACGATCGCGCCGAAACGGCTGCAGCGCAGATCATCCTTGATTCAGACGACGATGACTCTCTCGAACCTCCAGGCGTGTTTCGATCCCACTTTGGACAAGCGGCGGGCCGCGATACAGTCTCCAGACAAACATTGCCTCACCGAGGTCTCCCGGCAGTACGCGCCCCTCGTAGCAGCGGCGGTCTGTCCGTAAGGACCGGGGCAACCTATGAAACGGCGATAGACATTACCTCTTCTTCCCCGGAATTCGATGATGATGTTAATGACGCGCGTGAACATCATGATGTGCCTCGATCTCCCGCTTCGTTGTCTAGAAGACATTCACAAAGATCGAGTTACGTAGGGGACGAATATCCTGTCCCAAGAAGACCCCCATTCTCCGCAAGCGCACTTGACGCAGACAGAGCTGAAAGGTACTGGCCGAGTGATCTAGGTCGGTCGAATTCCTCATCGTCAGGCAGGCGACACCTTAGTCTTGGGGAACGTGGTGGTTACCGATTCCCCGATGTGGACACATCAAACGAAGGGAGAGGTGTTATTATGGATGGTGAACCGCAACCACACAGAAGACCATCATCCATATTCATGCCGTATCATTCACACGAAACGGTGGATGACCTTCAAAACATGCAGAGATCGCCTGTTACCACCAGAAGGGTTCCCGGCGAACACACATTGCGATACTCCATGGGCGCGCCCGGTCCACCTCGACATCCAAGTTTCGAGATACACGATCCAGCTGTGCAAACAAGGTCGTTCTCATCTCGACATTCCATGGGCGAGTCTTCGAGCTTCTCCCGCCACGGCTCCCATCAACTATATTCAAGTATGAGCATGCCCCGGTGGCACGCAGGTACCGATGAACTCAATCGAACACGCAGGGATAGGGTCTCACTCCCCGCTCCAGGCGAGACATCACAAAGCAGGACTCTTGATGAGATCTTTCCAGAGGTCAATCTGCCTAGGTGGCAACCTGATTCGGAAGTGTCAAGCTGCCCGATATGCGGAACGGTCTTCAGTTTCTGGCATCGGAAGCACCATTGCAGGAAGTGCGGGCGAGTCGTCTGTGCCTCCTGCTCACCCCATCGGATCACCATCCCCAGACAATACATTGTTCGGCCCCCGGAATCCTCGGACACGCCTCCACCTGGATTATCCCCCTCTTCGTCCTCCAATGTGGTTGATCTCACGACGGATGACACAGTCACCTCAAACCCCGTCATGAACCCAGCCTTGGGTGGCGGAGAAGAAGTCCGTCTGTGTAATCCCTGTGTACCAGATCCCAATCCGAACCCTCTCGGCTATGAATCTATTCGCCCACATGGTCATCGTTCGACTCATTCGCTTTCGTCCACGATTGGAAGCATGTGGACGGTAAGTCGCCAGTCGATCAGATCTCCCTTGTCCATACTAACCAATACATCCAACAGCCTGAAACGCGTGGCTCAAGACAGAGCCGCCGTACCGTGGGTGCCAATGACCGACCTTCTGCCTTCAGCCAAGAGACGCTACGAAGTCCTTTTAATCAAACATCGACTCGAGACACCCATCAACCCAGGAGCCAACACCCCGCATTTAACCCACCACGACAAGTCCAGCGCCCGTCTGCAGTATCCGAACGAGATCTGTGTCCAATTTGCGGCAATCGATTCCCCCCTTACCGACGAGTATCCCGTCGAGTCTCGTGAGGCTCACATACGCCAATGCATTGAAGGCTATGGAGCAGGTCGAGGATCCCCAGCTAGCCAGAGCCAGGGCGAAGGCTCAGCACGACAAGCCCTGCCATCACCGCCCATCGCGCGAATGCTACAATTCACAGCGACGGAGAAGGATTGTCTCGGGGAAGATGGTGCAGTTGCCGAATGCACGATCTGCATGGAAGACTACGAGGTTGGGCAGGTCCTGGCCCGGTTGGAGTGCCTGTGCAAGTTCCACAAGGATTGCATCATCGATTGGTTTGAGAGGAAGGCTGAGTGCCCGGTACACAAGGTCTCCTAGCTCTAGAAGAACTGAAGTAGACGTTTCTTCGAATTTACCTAGGGTGGTAATTTACTGTTCCATTTAAGTACACATCTATCAGCGCTGGTGGCTTTGTCTTTTTTTCGTTTTCAGCATGTTGCGCTTAATGAATCATGAATCAATGAATACTCCACCTTTATCAAAATTCGCATCGTACACTAGAGTAGTTTTGGTGTCAAATTGCCCCACAATGCCTTGAGAAGCAATCGCATCGCTGTACCCGGGATAGTCACGTGATGCATGACTGATGGGGATTCCTCCTACGAGCTCCATGCTGCTTCTTCGACATCTCGGTAGTCTCTTGCTGGAGCACCCTGATCAAACTGCGCGGTCGACGCCTTTTGAAACTGGACCCTGACCTCGACCACTGTTCACAAAATTACAACCCGCAGTCACTCAGACTGTCGCCCTGAATACCTTGAACTGCCCCATCGGTGATCGGTGCTTGCATTCCCCGTCCTCCGAGTGTTCTCCGTGAGGCGCAAAACAATCCTCGTGGGAGCGGGCCATCATCCACCCCAGCTGTCAGGAGGACCCTGCTACCCACATTCTTCAAAAGCAAATGCACGAGCAGCAGCTCAATTCACGAGCTAATCTGAGCTGCTATTTCCCTTCAGCGTGCGCTCCACAGGCCGATCAACCGGGCCCCGCCGGAGACTCCGCAACGCGCTGAAGCTCGGTCGAGTCCTCCTCCAACGGACCGGTATAACAAACGCCGTCCCGACAGAGCAAATAGCCATGGATTCCGACTACCCGGAGCCCCCGTCGCAATGCAGAGCCGACTCGCACGGCCGCAATGCGCCACCAGAGGATCGGCCCGCCTTTGGCATGTCTCACGCAGCTGAAACGTCTGCCGAACCAGATGACCTTAAGCGCCCCCGCGCCTGTGAGCCCTGTCGCCAGTTGAAAGTCCGCTGCGACCCAGACCCGACGCACCCCGATGGGTCCTGCAAGCGCTGTGCCAAGGCAGGTCGTACATGTATCACGACGGCGCCGACCAGAAAACGCCAAAAGAAGACCGATAGTCGGGTCACTGAACTGGAGCGGAAGATCGATTTCCTGACGGCGACTCTACAGGCGTCACACAGCAATGCTTTTATGGGACCGCCAGGAAATACGCACTCACGTGAGGAGCCCGCTTCTAGTCGTCGTTGGTTGCGCGATGATACGAACCCCAACGAAAACAAGCGCACCCATGATGGATATCTTGCTTCGCAATATGGTCGACCGAATAGCCCATCCGCAGAGCGGATTTCCAAGCCCGCTGATTCAAAACATTGGCGTGGGCCATTCGGCGGCGAAGTTGCACCCCCGAGGGAGGTGGGAAATCAGTTTGTGGATGTGATTGATAGAGGTCTCGTCGATGTCCAGTCTGCCAATGCCGCTTTTGAGCGGTACGCCACTCGAATGGCACCGGAAATGCCATTCGTGATGCTCCCCGCCGGGAACGGTTATGGGAGATGTGCGTCGCGAGAAGCCGGCGCTGTTTCTTGCCATCGTGGCGGTTGCTATCGGGCCGTTCAAGAAAGATTTGCATCTTACCCTTCTGAATGAGATATACCAAATGATCGCCGATCGGATGGTCGTCAAAGGCGAGAAGTGCTTGGAGCTGGTACAAGCATTGATGGTTTGCTCTATCTGGTACGTCCCGCCAGATAATTTTGAAGAGTTGAAGTTCTACCAGCTGGTTCACTTCGCCGTTATTCTGTGTATGGATATTGGGTTGAACCGTCGGTCGAGCAGTGAACTTAAGCCGTTCGCAAAGATTCGAGAGACACTGATAAAGAAGCCAGCTGGTGATCTGAACGGCCCGGAGGCGAGGCGGACGTGGTTGGGTTGCTATTACATGTCGGTTCAAGTCTCAACGGCATTGAGACGAACGCAGCTTCTGAGGTGGTCACCTTACATGGACGAATGTATCGAAGTGCTGCAAACACATCCTGATGCGTTGCCCACCGACAGGAAAGCAGTCTGGTGGGCCAAACTGGGGTTCATCATGGAAGACTCTAGCGTACAGCTGCTCACCGAAGATTCTGAGTCGATTGCATCCTTCTCGGATAGCAAGGTTCGGTACACCATCCGAGGATTTTCGAATCAGCTGGCGCAATGGAGGAGAGAGATCCCCGACGATGTATACACAGGTATGTTTCGATGATATCGCATGAGTTTACATTTACTAATTTCTCAGACACCTTGGCTCACACATATCATGTGCTCAATCTGTTCATTCATGAAACCGCCATGAGCGTTGATTGCAAGAACACCACCATACCAAGCTCTCCCTCGAACGACAAGTTACCGACATCAGCAATCGCCCCTCTCATCGACGCCCTTACCACCTCCATCAGTTCGATCCATCAAGCCTTCGACATCATAATGAATGTCGACCCAGAGCGACTTACATGCCTGCCCACAGTAACACTAGCACGGACATCATACCCGTTCGTCAGTCTGGTCAAAATCTACTCCCTGCTCACCGCTCCCGACACCCGCATTGGCCAAGTAATCGATATGCAAAGCCTCAAGCTGGAATACTACCTCGACCGGGTGATCGAACACTACCGCAAAGCAGCCTCGCTAGACGGCGGTCGCGCCGCAGCAAAATTCGGCAACATATTAACAATGTTACGCAACTGGTTCGCCAAGAAAAAGGAAAACGGCCCTGCCTTGCGAGAAATCTTCGGAGCCGAGACTCCTGCAGATTCACCTGCAGACGCCAGAAAGGTAGGTATCCCTTGTATCTGCCTACTAAGCGGAAATTCCAACTCACTTACCACCAGATGAACCACGGAGCGACGCCCCTTCAACTACTCAGCGAAGTAGCCTCATCTGGCGCATCAGGTGAACCAAACTGTCCACCCTCAACCTCATTCTCCCACCGACCCAGCCAATCCTACACCCCATCAACCCTAACACCAGGCCTACCGCCAAGCCAATCACCAAACCCAACAACCAGATACGACTCGCTCGGCACGAAGCCAGAACCAAGCTGGCCAACCCCGACCTCATTCTCGCCCTCCATTCAAAACCAAGTCACATCCATGAGTCCCGCAGGCGCCGACGACCCCAGCCGGACCTTCTACCAACCCTACGGCCCTAGCCAGGCATACCCAAATGTACCAGCCAGCACAACGGGGTACCCCGATATGTCGATGGGTATGTCTATAGCGCAGCCTATGGGCATGCCAGGTAATGAAATTGGGATGGATGCTACGTTTGACCCGGATAATCTGTTTGCGTTGGGGACTATGATGGATGAAGGGTTGCTTACGTTCCCGTTGTCGTTTGACTCTAATTTTCAGTTTTAATTTCAACCTGGGTAGGTGGTGATGTCGGATTTATTATTGGTGTACGATTCGCCTTTTTCTCTTCTCTGATTTATTTTGTGTCCTTGGAACTAGTACATGAATGAAATAATGGGAGTTAGAATGTGTCATTATTGTAAAATATGCATGTGTTTGGCCTTTGATAGCACACTTACAACGCCCTTTTTCTCCCTGCGTCATTTACGACCACGCATCAACGCCTTTCACCCCTCCGTGGTTGCGGTTGCGTTTGTTTTTGATAACTCAAAGCAAAGGAGATAACCAATTGCTTTAAATGCCTTGGTCTGGGTTGGAAGCTTTCTCATCTTTCTCATCTGCCTAAGAGAATTTTCAACCCATACAATTCTTTTACCCTTCTGTCCCTGAGCTTGATTATTTTCTGTGTTCAAGGTCGAAGCGAACGACAGGCGACCCGACATTCCTCTCTCAAACCCGGTCTACCTCACCATGTCATTGCCGTCGATGAAATCCGAAAACACGCCCGAGCCCTCAACATCTCCCGACGCGGCAAGGAAAATTCAATCAACTTGGTGCAGTGCATCCGTGATGAAGCCGATAGCATAGAGTTCAAACCATTCAGAGTTACAGGAGAGCACAAAGTCGCGTTGGAAGCCATCTTGGAGCTGCTTTGTCAACCAAACCAAGACACGAGCACACTCCCAAAGGCATCTTGGACAGGCTCTAGCATATTGCTGGACGCATCAGCCCAGTGAAAGACCCTGTCAAAGAAGATGAGATCCAGAAACAGAAAAGCTCGTGTTACGGTGAAGAATTCTTGGCAGCATCGTCAAGAACTGTCGAGCACATCTACCTGGACCGAAGTATCCGGAAACCATCAAAGCACACTTTTGACTTGTTATCGCGCGATACACTAGTTGCATCCCAATTTTAAATAAATGGGCCGAGAAAAGACGCCTGGAAACCACATCCGGACAGAGAAAAGCCCTCGACTCGCAGCATGAGAGCACACTGAGGAGTTTGTACTGACTCGGGATTGTGCAGCTTAAATCGAATCCTCTCGGAAAGCCGAAGCCGAGTGTACCTTGCGGGAGACAATTGCTGGTCGACAAGTGAATGGGAACAACCACAGCGAGACATTAGACGCATGTCATGCCTTGCTCATTTTATGAACCAGCAGGCGAGGAAAGCCGAAGCAGAAATTATCTTTCAAAAACTTGTCGATGCCCAGCTCAAGAGCCGTGGCCTCTGTCATCGTGATACGCTATCAACGCTGGAAGACCTCGGACAGTCAGTTTCACCAGAGAAATACGCACTGGCTGAGCACCCCTTTCGACTGGCTTTGCACGGACGAGTGTAATGTCCCATTCTAGGACTTGATGTCGAGAGCATACGGTCTTTGAAGTGCTCACTTGCGTATTCGTGACACTTACAGAGAAAATACGAAAAGGTTGAGCGTTTATGGAGTAGAATCATCAAATTCGAGAAAATATATGAGCCTTCCGATAGAAATCGGTATGCTCAAGATTATTCAAAAAGGCTCGGAGAAGCACTACATGTGCTGGGGAGATATCACGATGAAGTACCCGTCAGAAAAGACATATTGGAAGATTGGGGACGTGAAGTTGAATTTGACCATCCGAAGACACTAGCTCGCAAGAGGGATTATGATCTAGCTCTTGCTCGAGTTGGCCAGAACGAAGAGGCTCTCGCCGTATTCGAGGAAGTGCTGAGATGGAGAGGGGACAAATTTCCGAAAGGCCATCGGCTGATTCCGCAGAATCTGAAGGATGTCAAGAAGTACCAGCCTAGAAGCATAAGGCAGAAAAGACCTTGAATAATTCTGTACTTGGGTGAAATATTTTCATGTTTTGCCGTACAATGTCCTTTTCACGCTAACCGCCAGGAATTCCTATTTTGGGCCTGGCGCGTATGCACCTCAGCCACCCTGAAGGACTCGCCTTTTTGATAATCCTGGCAGAGGCTCAGCCCCAGATGGGACCCCGCACTGTTCCTTCCACTGGAATCTTCCCAGATCCTGAGTCAAAATTTTGCCAACTCCGATGCCGCCAAGTTGGGAGTAGCGTAAAGCACCTCAATGTGCATTTATGAGGCCTCCAGGCTGGCAACGGACCCCTGCGCATCAACTTCGCGGGGCGGCTAATCGATTTCGCCCCCATTTTCTCGTTGACGAGACTTTTACCACCTTAGCCGAGATAGAAGACACCTAGACCACCCTCCCTGGTTATACTCGGACGCCGGCTCGAACATATAGCAGCTAAAATGAGTTCTGGTGCTTCCGATCTCGTATTGGGCACCAAGCTGCGCGTCGAATTCGACTCTGACGTGACACATCGCATTACATTCCGGCAGAGCAGCACTGTGAGAAGAGAAGAGCGCAAAGATGCCTGGAAGAAAGAGAAAAAGCTGGGATCTGGGTCCTACGGCAGTGTCTGGCTCCATCGCTGCATGGCAAGTGACTGTGCAGCCAAGGTAGAGGCCGTCAAGATGATGCGGAAACAGCACCTCTCTGCGCAGAGGATCGATTTCTACAAGGAGCTTGAAGCAATTGCCAAGTTTTCCCTGCCTGAGGTTTGTATCGGACCCCCTCTGTAAGGCTGAGCTAACTCGATGCAGTATCGTGGTCTCTTTGTGGAGTATCGCGGGTGGTACGAAAGCGACGAGAAAGTCTTCATCGCTATGGAGTACATCGAACATGGAGACCTCTCTCATCTCATAATGCCATTGCTCGAGGACGATGCGCGAGAGATCACTTTTCAGATTGCAGAAGCACTCGAGCATCTCCACAAAGATAAGTTTGTTCATCGGGACCTCAAGCCAGCGGTCAGTAAAAATATTCTACTTCCATATCTTTCGCGGGGCAGTGGGGAACCTAACAAAAACGATAGAATGTCTTCGTTGTACAGACAGGGCCGCAATGGTGGGTCAAGATCGGCGACTTCGGCTTCAGTAAGCGCATCAAAGAAGGCAGCAGCCTTCGCTCCTTCGTCGGAACAAGACTCTACGCTGCACCGGAAATACTTTCGAGCTATAGTCTGGACCTTGACGACTCGAGTGGGTCGTTCAACTACTCCGAAAAAGTCGATATTTGGTCTCTGGGTGTGATGGCTTTCCAAATGGTGTTTAACACCTTTCCATTCATGCAACCAACCTTATTGCCCAAGTACATTCGGGGCGAGCCGCTACCATTTCCAGAACAGGCGGTGGATATTGTTGGCCCAGAGTGTCGCCAGTTCATAGTGGCTGCGATGGCTCCCAGAGCTACAGATCGATTATCTGCTACTGAGTGCCTGGAGAGCGAATGGCTAAAGCAGGGTAAAGTGGGGACTCTGGATCTGGACGCATTAGAGGGAGCATTGTCAGATCTCCAGCCAGGTGGAGCGCATCTTGCTGTACCAGATACCACATTTCAAGGTTCAGATCCGGAGGTACCGTCTATTCCACCATCGCCTAGGCCGTCGAAGTCACCAGTTCATGAACAAAAGGCGACGACTTCGCCTCCTGCAAATGCTCTTGCCACGGACTCGAATGTACAGCCGACTTCAGTTGACTACAAAAAGGTGGAACCGAAGCCGATACTTACACCTGCAAATGGTCGAACAACCGGCTCAAATATGCAGACGAGTCCATTTGGCCCCGCAAGAGTGGGACCGAAGTCAACAGTTTCACCTCCTCCAAATAGCCGAGAAATGGGATCAGATGAACATTCGAATCGAGACGGGACCAAAAAGATTGATCAGAAGCCAACCGGAGGACGTCAAAAACAAGATTCCGTTCCTGACTACCTGAGCAGGTTCAAAGACAAGTCAGGTAATTTGAGAGTTCTCGACTGCAATGGTCTGTTCGACCTTGCAAAACAACAATTTGAAGAAAATGAATATGGCGCGTCTGAATACACATTCAAGAAGATCTATCCCAAGCTGAAAGAAGAACTGGGAGAAAAGCACGAAAGAGTTCTCAAGATCCAGTACTATCTTGGCCGGATATTGATCAAGCAAGGTCGAACTTCTCTTGCAAAAAGCCTGCTCCTGGACACATGGGAGAAACAAAGAAAGTTCTTGGGATCAGGTGCTCAAGATACGATGAATACCGTGATCTACCTGGAGCAAGCACTCCGAGCAGAGAGAAGCCTTTCAAAACTGGTGGACCTTTTCCGCAAGCATTCGAAAGATCTCGAAAAAGTCCGTGGGCCAGAACACCAGATGACCTACCTTGCTCGATACTCCCTTGCCAGGGCACTTTTGTTTCAAAGAAAACGTCTCCTAGAGGCCGAGAAAATATTTCGAGAAACATACGATGGTCAAAAGAAGCTTCTCGGGCCGAAACATCCAGACACGCTCCAGTCGTTCAATGGCGTTGGCGAGGCGCTTTTTGAGCAACAGAAGTACGAAGCAGCGAGTAGGACGCTTCGCTCAGTGGCAGAGCAACGCCTAGAGGTTCTGGGTGCGGAGAATCTCAGTTACCTGTGGTCAATGAAGCTTCTTGGTCTTGCCCTCTACTCAAACAAGAATTACAAAGAGGCCGAGGTTGTTCAGAAAGAGGTCTACGACATTTTGTCAAAGAATAATGCTGCTGGGGAATCTTCAGGCACCGTGGTGTCACCCAAGATCAAAAACAAGATGATGATAACTGCTGATCTGATAAGCACCTTGAAAGCCCAAGGGAAAGCAAAAGAGGCCGGAGCTTTATAGCAACAACTTAACATGAACCGAATCATAGCTAGAACGCCAGTCGAGCTGATCAACCAATAGATCAAGTCGGTCATTGCAGGGTGTGATGTATGAGAGGAACAAAAAGTTTTCAGTTGTTCCTTTGTTCTGTCATTTCAAAGTTATGGTCAAACTATAGGGGTATATAAGTATATAATTGATTCATCTTGAATTTCCCCGCCATGTATGAAGAATTCTCTGTTCAACATACGCCCATGGCCATCCATTTTCTCTTTCCGTGCGCCGAAGTAGGTCAAACAGGAGATTTTGCGCGAGGGGTTCGTCTATCCACGAGCTGCCTGTAGTTTAAAAAGGAATGTTAGCAAGTGTCCCTCAAAAATCAAGGGAGAAGAAATCGTACAAGCACACAATGCATGGCATGCCATAATCCGCAATGATGGTTCATCATCTGCAGATAGTGCAATGCCGAAAAGATAATTGAGATTGTCAGAGATTTGTTGCTGTGAAAAAGTCAATAATTGGCCCCCAATCCTCAGATCACGTGCACTCACCTTAATCCTCACGCGCTGCTCATGCGAGTTGTCATATACTTCCGTCTCCCGAATCAACATCAGAGCCTTGGCGAGACACAGATGTTGCATCGCAGTGGCTGCCAAGGAAAATCAAATTAGCCCAACCCCACACGATAGCCGACGGCATCCACAATGCATAAGCACATCAACAAAAGCAGATCAACTCACAATGCCAAAGACTCGTGTACAAAACAACGGGAAACGGCTTCCCTCTCGCATAATCCCGCGGTGAGATATGCAACGGAACAAAGGTATCAGGCCGGCCATGCTCCCATTCCAGGATGCGCAGCTTGAGGGCATTCTCGCCCACAGGACCCAAATGACCTCCGTAGTTCCGGCCCGAGACGTTATAACAGAAATCAATCGTCTCGGCAAGGATCCAGATCGCCCGGTTAACCCAGTCGCCGTCGCTAAGGACCGGCTTGGCGACCCACCAGCGGCGAAGCCGGTCGTCAAAGGGTGCGAACGTTAGCCGAAGACATTTTTGGTACGTAAGTGCGAACTGGATGTCTTGGATTACGAAGACCCAGAAGGAGGCCGATGCGAGGCCGCCCGAGATAGCGCAGTCCACATGGGAACTGATGTAGACGGATCCCGCGAGGAGGTGGCGCTGCGGGTCGTTGGATGGTGTGTGGGCTAGGGGGTGCGGGTTAGCCGGGGAGATGACGCTCATCGGAGGTTATGTGGGGAGTTTGCGTGAGCTTGACGTACATGAGATTTGTTCAAAGAAGCGTAGGATGACGGTGGAGCTGAGAAGGATGTCGATACCGATGTCGAAGTCGTGTTTGTCGAGCACCGGGAGCATAATGGAGACGCAGCGTTCATGATAACTGTCTGCGACTTCGGGAGAGACAGTGTTTGCTGTACGGGAAAGATGGCATGCTGATACTGCAATGCATGCGTAGAGAAGTAGTGGGTATTGGCTGGCCAGGTTGGCCACATCCGAAGAAAACCGGTGTTCGGGATCCCCGGCATCAAGCTAGAGAGATATTAGTTTAGTGATATGAAAATTGAAGGAAGAAAGAAAAAGCTCACCCATGGTGCTAGATGCCGTTGGTAATGCCGGAGTAGGTAGGCCTCGTTGATACTAGCCAGTCTTGGCTGCACCACAGGCGTATGTGTCGAAAGAGGCGAGTTGGCAGAAGTCGACCGCGAGCCACGAGAATCTGCGACATAAAGAGGCACGGAATTGTTCGGCCCCGGCACAGAAGGGTCCATGCTAGACGACGGAGAGGAACGAGCCTCCGACGGTGACCTTGAGCCCGATTTAGGTTCTGTCACGGATACCACATGGTACTCTGCGGCGGTCTGATCGGTTTCATCTTTGAATGAATCTGCATGGCCAAAGTTAGAATTTTTGATCGTTTCATCTGCCGATGACAGGGGCGCAGGGATTGACAAATATTTGCTTCTGGCGTACATTCAGAGGACGTTTCGACCCAGACCTGATCATCTGGGAACGCTAGATCGCTCTCCCCGTACCTCGGGGGGCCCTTTCCACGTAGGGATGGATTCTGGCCGTGGCGAAAAGAGACCTCTTCAGATTTGCCGGGAGCCGGCACGCATTCACGGCCAGATCGCTGGCACCGCAGACATTTCGTTCCTGATTTGTCACCTAGATCTCGCTGTTAGACAGACACCATCACCGCTGGAGACTTTTCATGGATCATACATTTCAAATGGCGCAGCCGACAGGTGAGGCTGGAAAGGACGGTCAGACTTTTGCGTCGTCGTTGGCACCCAGGTTCAAACTCACCATCCCCTCATTACGCAGCGACGGTGGCAGGGAGACACGAAGGGGGAAAGCTTCCAGAATGGGAAACATAACTCGGTATCCCAGGCCCGAGACCACTAGATAAATAAGGCCACGCGAAACGGCCAGGCCACGATCCTGGCTACCTCGATGGAGCACTGCTAATCAATATCTCAGGCGGAGAGAGTGGGGAGCCCGAAATGGCATTGGTAGATCATGGCGAGTTTGCGTGAATTTGTTGGGGTACCGACCAGACAACGCCCGAGCAGTTGGAGATTAGCTTGAGCCAGAAGGGTGTATCCTCATTCCTGAGTTTCCCTCGGTCTGGCGCAGAGTGGGCGTATTGTTTTGGTCTTACTGGGTCGGGCGGGTTTCAAGAGCCAGGTCAGCTTCATGCGAATTGGCTCTGATAGAAAAAAGTGCCCGCCCGGCAAGGCACAGCGGTGGCCCGGCTTTCATGAGCATTGCAACGCTCCCCACCCGCCCAGCGTTTTGACAGTCTCCTGCTTATTGTGGTTGGTACAGGCGCCCCCACGCAGCCGCAACAAAGTTTTGCTTTCCCCCGATCAGGACCGATCGTTGCCCGAACAAGCAAGATCTTGGGATGAGGGCGTGGCCGAGACACCGCGCCGGGCATCGGCAACCCGGCAAGGTGAAAACAAGCGAGTCAAAAACACGGTGAAGATATTTCAACAGGAAATGCCGTGGCCGAGACCGTCTTTCTTTTCTTTTCTTTTTCTTTTTTTTTTCTACAGAGTATGTACAGATCGAGGGAGCCCCTATTTCGTATTTCGTATTTTGTTTCGTTTTTTTGTGTGTGGACAGATTCCCGGCGGCAATTATTTTAGCGGAATGCAGCGACACACCAATCACGGAGCAGCGGGACAGCTCACGGTCTCCAGCATGTCGTCGGAGATTTTGGTAGTGGTCGATTTTTCCGAGTTCACCTGTCACCGGCTTCCGTAAGCATGGAGAAGGACTCTTGTCAGGTCTTCCAAGGGGTATGAGGTAAGAGCCGCGGAAACGTTTCTACAAGCTTTGGGGGGGCAGCCTGTAGCATAGCTAGGGGCGAAAAGCTGTCACCCACTTGATCCGGACTTTGAGCTCCCCTTTTTTTACCGAATTATCTGGTTCAGGGGCCGCGTCCACATCTGCCAGCCATGGTGCCGGGACCATGTCGAACGTATGACAACCGTCAATGGCCATGTGGGAGGAGTTTGGTGGAGGAAACTCTAACTCCGCCCGAGATGCATCCCGTGGATATCGCTGCTCCTCTCCAGTCAGGAATTTGCAGACCCTCTTCCTCTTTCTCGATATACTGGGATCATTGGGTCGGCGATGCCGGGATCGACTCCGGTGCCTGACAAATCCCGCAGAGTGGCACAGAAAGCACCGAGTGGGGCGAGTCCTACAAGGCAATTCGGCACTGTCCGCGATTTGCTTCAGGTTTCATTTCGTTGGACCCGTGGATGGCGTACTCCGGACCCGTCGAACCCTGTCGATCGTTGGGCTCGAGGGCGTACGAAGCCGATGCTGTGATTCGATGGGCAGTGCTGATGGCTGGGCACCAGGGGCCGCTAGACGTCCAACGATGCTGTGACGCGTCTGCAGCCCACAAAGTTAAATGAGCGGCTCCGGAGGTATAACCAGACTGGTGTGCGTTCGTCCGTGAAGGATGTGGAGAGGGCGAAATGCCGAGTGATTCAACTGCCTCTTTCAGAGGATATGCCGGACGTAACCAGAAGAGGTATCTCTTGTGAGTTTGAGGGGTTGGAGGGCCGGTGACTCGATACTATCGATACACGTTGGAAGTATATCCAACCTAGAACGCCAACGAGCTGCAGCATTCACCGGGAGGACCTACCTTCTATCAGAGTATCGACAGAGGTTGAACTAGACTCCAAATAGTGCCAGATGTACTGATGGTAGAAAAGCTTTGGGTATCGTAGCACGTGCCTTGAGGCAGTTATGCTTATCCTTATCGCATGCGGCCGCCATGCCAGATTGGTGATGCGATATTTACAACTCAAACAAGGCACGGGCGGGGAGTCACCTGACTCCCCCGGATTCCTGACATCATCACGACTTCGCGCCTTAGGGTAAACCCAGCGCACCGCACGAGACACGATGTCTCTCAACCGCATCTCGTTCCTAGAGGGCTGGGAGCGCAATCCGGCCGCCTTTCTACGGGGACGAGCGGAGGACTCTGGGTCCACGGGCCCCGCATCCGACGAGGAATCGTACGTTGATCAAGACCTGCCAGAGACGCTCTCCTCCTCCTTCCCCTCGACGTATAGCAGACTCAATTTCAACCCATATGCCGGCCCCGCCTGGAGCGAGCGCGGCGACGATGGCGATGATCCCTCGCTGGCCAGTCTTTCCCCTACGACAACGCGGGAAAGTCGAGCGGAGCGGGGGTGGACACCGGGGCCCGTGGCAGTGCCCGCTCGCAGGGAGCCTTGGTGGTCGGAGACCACCGGCGCTTTCGAAGTGAGCCCCGCTAAGCGTATCGGTATGCCGAAGCTCTTTGCCAAAAGTACATGAGCCTAGAGCCGAAGCCGTGCTAACTTGCAGTCATGTAGTCCAGGTGTGTTTGGCCGTGGTCTATTGCTTTCTTGCTGCTGGTATCGTATTTGGATTTGCGGCGCTGAAGCCAGTCCTCATCCGTGAGAATGTGTATCGAAAATTTTGCTCCCAGGCGGAGCTGGAGGCCAATGTGCCTGTCTGTGATGGGCAAGAAATTCGGTAAGTCCAAATTACTGGGAGTTGGCTGGGCCCTAACTGACAAGGCTTGAAAGATTGAACTTGATGTTCACAATTGCAGCCGTGGCTACCAACGTCTCGGCACTTCCTGTCGGAACAATCCTCGACTCTTGGGGTCCCCGCGTCAGTGGGGTGATTGGCAGTTTCTGTCTAGCCATTGGGTCTCTTCTCTTCGCGTTTGCACATAAGCTGTCCTTCGATGGATACATCCCGGGCTACCTTCTTCTATCACTGGGCGGGCCCTTCATCTTCATCGCATCATTCCAGCTATCGAATACATTCCCTAAACGGTCAGGACTGATACTCTCAACCTTGACCGGGGCTTTCGATGCGTCGAGCGCGTTCTTCCTAATTTTCCGACTCTTGAATGAGCATACGCAAGGGTATATCACAGCCCAGAAATTCTTCCTCTTCTACCTGGTCGTTCCAGTCTTCATCACTGTGATTCAATTCACCGTCATGCCAGCAACATCCTACAAGACAACTGGGGAACTCGTCCAACACGCAGAAACGCAAATGACCGAAGAACGAAACGACCGCATCGACACGACCATTCAGGACTATGATGAAGGCGAGCGCCAGCGCCAGAAGCGTCGTGCCCAGCGTCAGGAGATTGTCCTTCAAATCCAGGACCTGCTAGACGATGGCACAGCGTCGATTCTCTCAGCAGAGACCATGGACGATCCATTCTTCCCCAGAAACGTATCCAGCCCTGGTAACGGTCTGTCCCCGCATCGTATTCCATCGCGGCCGGCAAGTCCCAAGCCCTTACCGCTGCCGCCGAATGCATCAAATACGCATAGAAGCGGAGTCTGGGGCGTTCTTCACGGGCAGAGCGCCATCTACCAGCTGCAAACGCCCTGGTTCATACTCATTACTCTCTTCACTGTTCTGATGATGCTTCGAATCAACTACTTCGTCGCCTCTCTGCGTGCACAATACACCTACCTGCTAGCCTCGCCCGAGAAAGCGCGCGCCATAAACTCCATGTTCGACATTCTTCTTCCTGTGGGTGGACTGCTCTCTATTCCCTTTATCGGCACCTTCCTGGATACACTGCGCACGCGCACCGTACTGGCAATCCTCGTCTCCACCGCCACGGTGATCGGTATCCTTGGCTGTATCCCGCACAGTCTTGGTGCAGCTTACGCGAACATCATCCTCTTTGTCTTGTATAGACCGTTCTACTACACGGCTGTGTCGGATTACGCAGCCAAGGTATTTGGATTCCAGACCTTCGGCAAGGTCTACGGACTCATCATCTGTCTTGCGGGAATGGGTAATTTCGCACAGGCTGGTCTGGATGCACTTACCCTGAAGGTATTCGACGGAGACCCGGTCCCGGTCAATTCCGGATTGACTGTCATGGTTGCCGTGGTGGGCGGCGCACTGGTTGCATTCGTCAGCTGGAAGACGACTGTTCTCCTGCGTGCTGGTCAGGGTGCTGTGGAAACCAGCCACCCCCAGACCACCCAGGATGTCATCACTCGTGACTGGGAGCGCGAGCCGCTACTGGCGCGATCTGGCAGTATTGAAGGTGGTGGACAGCGGGCGTATGGCGTATAGTGTGCCATTTTTGTCATGTATGGGACGCTATGTCTGGCTAAGCTCCCTGGGTATCACGGTATCACTCTAAATACAGGTCGTTCCTCTGGTTCTTCTCAATGCATATGACGTAGGTTATAAGGGTATATCTCCGCTCATGCTGAAGTTGCACGCTCCACGTTCATCCATGTCAGGCCTCTGCCTCACTGATCAAATCCGCAACCACTTTTTCCGATAATCTCCAGTCCCCGTCCTCTCCGCGCGTAATGCCATTCAGTAGCCGCCGCGCATCCTCTCCAATCAGACTCGTATCGGCCCCATGCAATAATAGTGTCCCAATAACCTTCACGTGTCGTTGGTTCGAATGCCGCTTCGAATGTTGTATGATTTTGCGAAGTGCTTTAATCGCGATCCCCAGCGGCGTCAGGCCCGTGCGCTGCATCACGTCCACCTTAGCACCGTGTTGAAGGAGGATGGTCGTGACCGAGACCCAGCCTTCCAGCGCCGCATGCATGAGCGGTGTTCGGAGGACAAGATCGCGCGCTTCAATATGTGCGCCGTGGTCCAGCAAGATATGTACCGTGCTATCCTGGCCGCGCGACGCGGCCAACGACAATGCCGTGCGACCCTTGTAATCTCTGTGCTCGGCCTCGGCCCCCTGCTGCAGCAACAGCTTGATCATGCTCCCATCCGTCGTCTTGAACGTATTGCACGCACTGAGCAGCGGCGTCCGGTCCATGAGATCAACCTCTTCGATATTCGCGCCATTTTCCAGCAGCAGCCGCGCGCCATCGACAAAATCACAGAAGGCAGCGATATTCAGCACGGGCGTCGAGTCGTACGCGTCACTGCTGATGTTCAGATCCGCGCCATGCTGCAGAAGAAGGTGCATAGCTGCAAAGGACGACTCGATCGTCGCCACGAACGCATTTTTCGGCGAGGGAATATCCACACACAGTCGCAGCGCATTATCACCGACGATATTGACGGCATTGACATCGGCGCCCCGTTCCAACAATTTCGAGACCGCGCGATAGCGGTGCTCGTACACGGCATACAGTAACGGGGTCATGCCGCGGCGGTCCTTGTGGTTGACATTGGCATCACGCTCGAGGATCAGGCGCAGCGAAAGATCGCTGCCGGCGGCGGCATAGAACAAGGCGGTGCGGCCGAAAGCGTCCTCCTGCTCGACGTCGGCGCCCTTCTCCAGCAAGACCTTGACGATATCATCCTCGCGGCTCTTGACGGCGAGGTGCAGGGGCAGGGCGCGCAGGGCGGTTTCGGGCTCGAGGTCGAGCTCGACGTCGAAATGGGCGGGGGATCTCTGGGTCAGCCGGGGGCGCTTGCGCTGGGCGCGATCACGGTCGGGCGTGGCTAGCTCGCTCTCGTCTTCGGAAGCCAGGCGCTTCAGAGTCTCCACCATTGCAGGCTCCCCGCGAAGCTCTTCATAGGCGTTTTCCCATGAAGGTGGTGTCGCGAAGTCGGTGGCTGGCAGTGATTTCGGCCCCACCGCGTTTGAATGTCTCGCGGGGATGCACGGATTCTCTTTTTGCCGAGCTTTGCAGTCCCGGTGGTTTCTGGGCCGAAGGCAGCAGAGCAACATAGTGCATACGTTCATGAATTCAATACGGTTGAATATATATTATTGCGTATTATGATCTCCATAGAGCGGATTATATAGCAGAATATATTATGTCTGGGATAGTCAGCTGATCCCTGTGCAGATCGCGTGAACACTGCATCAGCATAACGGAGGCACCTGACATTACCCTAACACTATAGCAACACTGAATATTTGATGAAGTGGATAGAACGAGTGCAGTTGGTTGGTGGCGGCGGAGTGCTGGACTTTGTAGAGATGACTATTATTGTGCTGTGGCGCATTTAGATGTTAAAGGTGTATATAATCGAGTACTGCCCATAACGAATATCCGGTAACATCATGTTGGAAAGGAGTTTCGTACACACCGATAGAGTAGTCGAAGAAAGGATAATGTTTAATGAGTGGAGATTCTATATTGATATACGTCAAAGGAGATGGTTATATCGTACATGTCAGTGTCTAGCCAGCGTCAACCCCATGGCTAGACTACCTCGGCTGAAAAGGCCAAGTCTTCCTCGCTGCTTCGGGACTTATATCCTTGCCCACCGTCTAAACAAAGTCATCGTACAGCTCTTGATTCGCCGCAAGAGTCCCGTTCAAGCAGTGGCTCGGAATATCCCCAGCATCATTTGTACCAAGCTTCTCCTGAACAAGCTCGGCCAAATCGATACTCATATGCAGCTTCACATACTGCTGCCCACTCCTCGCAATCCTCTCCTCCGAAAAAGAAAGAGGGCACTCTCCAGAACGTCCAAGCCCGTACAATTCCAATTCAAAGCAAGCAAACGCTCCCGGAGTCCCGCAAAGGAGCCATAATGTGTCAAATCGCAACAGTCATAGAGACGCCACGGCTTGCGGTCGATGTCATAGCACTGCTGCATATTCGGTATAGCCCGAGCACTGTTCAACTCTCAATAAATGGATACATTTGATTGCATCATCGTCTCCTTCGCTTTTGCTTTCTCCTCAGGACTGAGCTCCTTGATGTTCTCCGGGAGGCTGTAAATGTGATTACCCAGGGTGTATTCAGCGGATACTTGGTGGAAAGATGCAAACTTGGGCTGTAGCATACAGGGCCCAAATTGGAGTCTCGCCAGTGGATGATTCCTTCGATTCTTGCCGGATCGTCGGCTGAGACATAGATGTTGAAGAGACTAGGTTATGGCTGCTCCATTACTTACCGGCGCCGTCTACCTGTCCGACAGCATCGTAAGTAGAACAGCTTGACACGATGGCAGTTTGCGTGCTATCCGCGACGAGTTTGGGGTAGTAGTGGATCAAATTCTGTGTGAAGGGATCGAATGCAAATGCGAGAATGACAGCTAGGCTACCTGGAACGGCGAAGTGTCTGGTTGGTGAGCATCTGGTAAACCCCATAGCTCATAAAATCAGAAGAATAGAGGGAGCATACCTCGCGCGTAGATTCCAAATCAGTTCAGCACTGCCACAAATTTCACGACTGGTTGAATCAAACGTCTGGAGCTCAGATATCGGTCGCGACTTTTGCGTGTACCAGACCCATTTCAGCTGTTCCAGTCCCTCGCTGACGGAAAACAGGACACAGGCTTTGGCGATGGTGCTCAGCCAGGAGATGACCGAATTTAGCGATACTAATTTCCAGACCGGTTGGGGTTGGGGGCTGTAGTTGGCCAAGACCGCGACGATTGCGATTAGCAATATGGTAGAGAGGATCATGGCGAGCATCTCCCAAATGAATACTTTGTACAAGAGCTTCCATATCGAGAGTGATTCTCGGAGTTTCGGCTCGTCGATTCTGCTTGCGTCAGATTCGACGAAAGGCAGCCCTGTTGGGTCGGGATGCGGCTCAACTTGGGGGGTCAGGGAAGATCGCGAGGATGTATTTGCGCTTTGGTCTTCTGACTGAAAGTTGTGCCGGGTGGAAGAGGTGGAAGAAAGTAGAGACTCTGTCTGTGATAGTTTCAATCTATCTTCCCTTCGCTCTTGAGACATATTGGCGACAGAAAAGCGGTGGTAAACAACTGGAGCAACGAGAACACTGTCCTCGAATTTTCAAGGTCAGGATCCGAAGGGCTTTTCGCCCCCAGAGGGAGCCGCCATTAAAGTGCGACCGCAGTATGCAGTTCATCCAGGCTGCGGGAGGCGATGCTTTGAATAGAGGGGACAGCATATTTTGTCAGCCTCGTCACTTTCAGGATTTGGGTAGATACGAGATGGGTGCAGGGATCGTATTGGAGAACACGAGTTTGGCTTGAATGCAATGCAACCAAAATTTCATGCGGGCGCAACGCCGCGCCTCTTCCCTATTGAACTATACCCATTGGGACGAAAATAGCAACTAGTGTAGGTGCATCATAAGTAGACAGACATTTCAGAGTACCTACACTCAAAGTAAAAGTCATCAACGGAAGGGTATAGCGGCCAAAGCCGATTTTCCTTTTTTTGGCCCGCGTTATGCCCTGTTTTAGATTTATGACTGATCTAACACTGGCAGGTGAAAGGCTATTAGAAATACAACAATATGTTACATCTATCACACCAATTGGAGATTCGTCGACCGTACAAGAGGAGTGGCAATCTTACTAGTCCTGGAGGTACCTTATACCTGAGGTAGGTCACTGTTCAGATGACTTTCTAGTTGATCATTTAAAAGACTGCTTGGACCACTGCTTCGATGACTGTTATGTAGGGCGGTAAGATTGAGGTGTAAATCACTATCCCAAGCGTCAATACTGACTGTAATTGAAAAGTTAGCTCTGGCCGCAATACCCTCCCGAAGCCATCTATATTCTTAGCAATTGGTTGGCATTAGTTGTCTTGTGCCACCTCAATTCCGGAGCAATATTTACGAGACCTATTTATGCAAGCTTTCTGAATAATGGGTCAAGTATAGAACTTGGCAAAGTATCCATAAACTTCGCCTCGGCAGCTTTGGAAAATCTGGGGCTTCCCCACCCGCCGATCCATCGGAATTCAATCGCCGATGCAGACTCGGCACATCTCCGGAATTGTGATCTTGCACCCCAATGTCACCTACGATTGAATCTAGCCTGTAGCTAGTTACTATCACCACATAGTACTAGCAGTGAGGTCGAAGTGGATCTAAATCAGTCTGACTTTGCCTGCTCGATCATCGATCATTGTGCCCCGCTCCTCCGCAACTCCCCGCAACTCACCGCAGCTGGACAGCTTCTTACATTTCCAACACACGACAGTCATGCGGTGAAAGACTCTATGCATGATGCCGCCAAAGTCTGCACCCAGAAGACGGCATGCCACGATGGCATGCGTCCCGTGCCGGGAGAGCAAAGTCAAGGTGATTCGAACCGTCGCCACATTTTCGCGTCTTTTACTGATGACAGTACCAGTGCGATGGTGTCGAGCCAACATGTTCCAACTGCAGGAGCAAGAGCCGACATTGCAGCTATCAAGCCATAGACAAGAGAAAGTATGCACCTGCGTTTCAGCGCGACCAAGCAGTTTCGCCGTCCCTCCACATCATGACAAAACCTGACACGTCTCGACAGGCTTCCTCTTCGTATCGCCATCGACCTGTTGATCAATAGAGTCGACCAACTTTGCGACTTCATCAGTGATAACGGCCTGAAAGCTCCGCCCATTCCACAGGACCAGGATGCAACACTTAGACAGATCCTCGACGCTCTCGGACCGGCTAAATCTACAAGCGCCGAGGAACAGCCTACGGTTGGAGAGAAACATGCATTATCACCGCTGGCCAGCGAGTCAATTCTGGATACCGCAGCGGTGGAGAAGGTGATGGGGCCACCGCCGATCCCAGCGAATGCACCTGTTCCCAAAACTCCATCTGTCGCATCGCCCAATGTCGAAATTCGAGAGAATGCCACCCTCCAGAGCCCGTCTTTACAGTCCGTCACTGCTAGCAACGCTCCACAGAGACCAGAAGGCTCAGATAGAGACTTCCGAGGCTCCTCTGCAGATACCCCAGACAGTATCCTGAGTAACTGGGATCTAGACCTGGCATACGGAGGCACTGCAGCGTCCGCTCCCACTGACTTACAACAGCTTATTGAGTCCACGTCCCAGCCCGATGCACTTGGCATTGATCTGGAGAGGATATCAAATATAATATCAACAGAGAGCGACGATGGATCCACTCTAGTCGAAGATCCCAGCACCACTTCTGATATTGAAGGGCTGATCGACGAACTCTCTGACCGCGTCGGCACACTTCGAATCGGACGAGGTGGAAAAACTCACTTCTTTGGACCGACGTCTACATTCAATCTCAAGGACATGCCTCACTCTGACAACTTCGATTCACATCGCAGAGTCCATGGCTACAGTTTCCATAATCCTGACCGAGTGGACGCGGACAAAGAAGTCCCTCCTGCGCTAGAGGAGCACCTTATCAATCTATATTTCAGCTGGCAAGACCCGTCTTTCCATGTTGTCGACCGGACAATGTATGAAGAAGCCAAGGAGAAGTGGTTCTCAATGGAAGATACATCCTTTTACTCAGAGGCACTCCGAAATGCAATGTAAGTGGACATATCTCGGACAGTGTCGATAGAATCATCTCTAACAAGACACCAGGTGTGCAATCGGCAGCGCCTTCGAGACCCGCTTCCACCCAACTTTCGTGACTTTCCCGAAAACACTAGTCGACTTCTTTGGCGATCGAGCGAGGTCCCTCCTTGAGAGTGAACTGGACTGTCCCAGTGTAGCCACCGTCCAAGCGATGGTGATACTGAGTAGCCATGAGATTGGCAACGGGATGGATTCTCGAGGTTGGCTCTATAGTGGTAAGTCCACATTCAACCCCACAGGCTGGGCACCCGCTGATTATTTTAGGTATGGCAATACGACTTGCTTTTGATCTAGCCTTGCACATTGACATGTCCGCCCATGTATGCAATGGTGTCATTTCGGCAGCCGATGCAGATCTCCGGAGAACTGTTTTCTGGGCCGCCTATATCGTTGATCAGTCAGTATCATTTTTTCTTAGGGTATTATGATCTATCTAACACTCTGCAGTCAACTCGGATTTCATCTGGGCCGGCCGTTTCGCACAAACATGGACGATGTCACAGTAGGCAAGCCCATACCAAGCAGCATTACATCTTACAATTGGATTTTATACGAATCCCCAGCATCACTGGACCATACCTCCGACGGGATAGACTGCACCAAACTTGTGAGCCAGCAACTCGTGTCTCTTTGCGAGATCATGGCTCCATGTGGATATGTGCTGTGGGTCTACTTCCCAAAACCTCCTCATTGGCCATGGACGTTAACTTGATTCATATATTGTAGATACACGACATCCAAAATCGACAAGACCTCCATGCAAGAATTCAATGAAAGAATCGTCGCCGAGCTCTGCCGATGGAAAGCCAAACTCCCGCCATCCATCCAGATCGACATAAACGACCACATAACACCTTACCTCCCGCACGTCCTCCTACTCCAGTAAGTGCGACCTACCACGATGCATGTCTGAGCTGGCCACTAACTCCGATTGTATCTAGCATGCAATACCACCAAAACATAATCTACGCCCACCGCCCGTGGATGTCAAAAAGCTACCTCCAACCCCAACCCCCAAGAGGACCAGGCTATCTACACGCGCGACAAATGTGCATCCAATCCGCAATAGCAATCGCCAAGATCCTAGCTCTCTACGAAACGCGCTACACACTGCGACGTATAAACGTAAAGGCCGTCTCGATAACCTCATCCGCCGTCCTCCTCCTGCTCTTCGCTGCCGTCTCCAAATACCCCTCACACTCGCAGCCGCAAATCGCCGCGCACCTCGGTACCTGTTTCCGAGCGCTTGATGAATTCGCTCTCTCCTGGATGAACGCGCGACGCGCGAAGGATTTGCTCGTTACGCTTCAGCATCAGTGGGAATTGCGGACGCATTCTGGGAAGATAATTCGAAAGGCGGAGGGGTCGTGGCCGCCGAGTAAGAGGTCTCGGCTATCTGGGGCGCCGATGAGTGGTGTCAATCAGGGGCCGGTATTTAATTCTAGAGGGGAGGTCAGTGCGGACTTGTTGGCTGATGCGGAGTTGGACTGGATGGTTATGACGGATGGTGATCTGCTGTCTGAGACTTGTGATCGGGATCTTTTTGGGTGGGATCCTAGTTCTGTGATTTTTGAGAGGGATCACGGACCTAGTAGTGGATGAGCTATAGTAAATTAGAATAGAACGAATTTATATTGAGGTACTTGATTACTGCAATGTATCTTAGACTGAGAACACTTCCCAAATTGATAAAAAACCGAGAATGCACGGGGCTTTAGAAGGGCAGCATTTGGAAGGTGCCACCGCTAGTCACAAGATAGCCGCAAAAACACCAACAAAACATGGACTGAACCAAATCCACCACATCAGGACCAAAACACGCATTTTCAAACATCGACGAAAATAAACATAATCCTGAGTCTTCAAAGAGAAGAACACATCGAATAAAGTTCGCAAAACGCAAGTAAAAAACAAGCAAGTTCAGATTAACGATGGGTTATATTTAATATGGAATGATAGAATTAATCCTTACCCAGGATAGCTCAGTGATTAAGCACTATCATACAACTACCAACTTACCATTAGCATAGATCCTCTCCGCCATTGCAGCCCGACAGGCGGAGTGCGTGGTTGAGGGGCCAGGTGGGATGGCGCAAGCCGCGCCTGATGGCTTGGAGAGGTGGGATTCCCTACTTAACCCACAGGGGTGGGGACTGGTAATCAAGTACTCCCTTCCAGTGGTTGTTCTAGAGTTTCAGTTTTCAGTGGCATGGGCTTGCTGTGGGGTTGGCTTGAACTTCTTTTTTATTTTGGATTCTGGGTGGATGTTGCGTACTTTAAAATTGTACCTGATGTCTGGGGAACAGTGCCACAATCTGTAGCATGATATTTCAACATGGCGTAATACGGTCCAGTAATTAGCTAGAAAGGTGGCGACGGCGACGTCGTGAGTTCAATTTCGGCTGAGATATGGCAATTTCTGAAAAGCATTGAATATTGAGGCTTTTTAGGTGTGGCTTTGGGATTCTGGAGGTGGGAAGATGATCGGGAAAAATCAGTTGCTTCTTTATGCTATACTTGACCTTGATATCTTATACTATCTTGGTTGTTGTTCTGGGAAGTGCATGTTTAAACTATACTGCAATCATTCTGACGAAGATTTCCACTACAAACACACTGCACTCCGGAACCTCAAACAATGAGCTAGGTTCAAAAATCGTTTTCAATTGACCTCATTCCTCATCACCCATAACATCATGATATACCGAAACCCACAAGCAACAAAGAAATACTAGAAATGAAACAACCAACGCAGTTATCTCCCCAAATCTGTATGTAGTTTAATCAACAAAGAGCGATGCGCTTACCACCATAGTAGTAGAGAGTATCAAAACGCTAATGCAAAACCCAACACCACTAAAATCAAATCAAATCATTCCCTTATATTAAGTACTTACCACCAAACTCAAATCATAACTCATCAAAAATTCATCAATCATAAAACGTCCTCCTCCCAGGACCAGGACCAGGCGCAGGCGCATACAAATCACCCTCGACCAGACTAGGAATATACCTCTTCGCCGCCGCACTCCGTGAAGGACTAGTCCACCTCGCTGCACGATTAGGCCCCACATTACTGAACGACCTCGGCCGATCAGATCCACTTCCTCCGCTATTAGGTCGGCTACCGCTACTCCCGGCACTATGACTCCCGCGGCGGTCGTCTGGTTCGAGATTATACCGGTGACGAGGCTGGACGCGCGGGTGCGGGGAGGGAATGGGTTGGGTGTATTGTGGTGGATCGGGGGCTGGTGCCGGGACGTGGTCGAAGATCCATTCGCGGAATTTGACGCCTGGGCCGCGCGATCGGGAACGGTCTCGATCGTCGCGGCGGGCTTTGGCGGCTGCTTCGGAGTGCGTCATGCGTGGTGGGGGTGATTTTACGGGGCGGGAGTCGTAGCTTCGGTGAGGGGCGGTTGGGGAGAAGTCGCGGGTGGGTTTGCGGGTGTAGGCGTCGTGGGAATGTCGGCGGGCACGGGTGTGTGGAGGTGGTGAGAGGTTGTGTCGGGGTCGGAATTTATGTTTGGGGGTTGGAGGTGAGATATCTTCTGCTGGTTCTGATTCTGCGATGTCCGGGAAGACGGGTTCTTCGGCGCCGGGACTCAATGGGTGTCCGTACCAAGTGGCGCGATCTCGACCTCGTGAGCGTGGGGGACGGTCTGGTCGGGATGGAGATTGGCCGCGGGGTGTTGACATGCCAGAGCGTCCGCCATCAGGACGGGGCACGAATGACGGGTCTAATCTGTCTGACCTGCGCGAACTGGAGGAGTGATGATCGCCGCTCAGACGGCGGTGGTGATGACGTCGACGGCTCGAGCGATCTGAATCATACCGGCCATGCCGATGTGACGACGAACGACGGGGCGGATGTGAGAAATAGTCTTCTTCATCGGGTAATGATTCCTTCCCACTAAAGTGATAATGATAGGCGCCAAAGTTGGGTGGCGAAGCGCGGTTGGCCTGTCTCTTCACAAAGTCGTATTCCAGCTTGCGACAGACGCCCTCATGCCACTGCAGCATTTCCGGGTCCGGTTCTGAAGGAAATGCATCACGGGGAATCTCCTTGGGAAAGACATCGCCTTTTGCATCAATAATATCCCACTGACTAACCGCGTTCTGCAGGTACCGCGAGTGCTCATCGGGGTCCATCAACAGCTGTATCGTCTGCCATCGCACGAAGCCGAGCGGGAGCAGCGAGGGGACTGAGGGTGGCTCATAGGGGTTCGTCGAGGGCTGGAGACTGTGGAAACAGCCGACGGACTGGTAGATGAAGGAGAGGGCCTGGGCTTTTGTCTCGAGGAAGAGCGAGTCGTAGTTCCCACCGACCTTGCGATAGAAAGCAGCTAGGCGATCGGGGGTAAGATCGGCAGTTCCGTTGTTATCGAAGGAGGGCTAAACGAGTCGTTGTTAGCACGTAGTCCTCTGTGGTACTATACCCTACGTAGGGTAAGGTACCGCGAACCGTGGTCCGATCCGGGGCCGCTGTCAAAGAATGGGCGTACCATCAGCTGGGCAATCCCCAAACACAACTGCTCCAGCAGGGGCGCGGGGCTCTTGTCGGGATTGATGAGGGTGCCCCAGGAGTTCGCCGCGGAAGACATGGCGTGGACGGAGTAACATGCAGAGGGAGAGTCTGGGGGCGCAGAGTAAAGGCACAGCGCACTGCGATCATCCCCAGGCAGCGAGGGGCGGTCAGGCACACACATGGACCCACTGCGGGGGACAGCGATCGAGGGTGGAATTGGCAATATGCGAGTGGAAAATTGATGAGTGAGCCAATCTGGAAGAGTATACGTAGTGTGAGTAGATATAGAGGTGGAATGGTGTGAAGAAAAGGAGAGAAGGAAAGTGCACGCGGCCATGTGGGATGACTGCGCCAGCTGCTGTCATCACAACTGGATGTACACATACAAGATGTAGTACTCGAGTTCGATCGGCATGCAGCACGCAGGTCACCTGCCATCGATGATTCTACGTTACTTCGATCATTCAGATGAGACTACCCTTGGGTAATAATGATATCATTAACATTGTACCCTATTTACCGTCAGGAAGTTCTATGGGCAAACTCGGCTCCACTACACCCCGATTCGCCCCATACCCAAAACAAGCCAAATGTACCTTATCATCAGCTCTGACTCATCTCATACCATCCTCAGGTAGTTATTGTATAAGAGTATTATACACTTCCCACCATCAAGCCGTCCATAACGAAAAATTCGGCCACGAATACACCGCATCCGCCACCCCAACCGGTACCCCCGAAGGGTCCAAGGGCCCAAAGTCCACATCCGGCTGCGCCAAAAAGTCTTCCATACTCTGGTCCAAAAATACCATTTCATCCGCCAGTGTGCCCGACGCTGCGGTTTCGGGCAGGTCCAGCCCCGCCTCACTGAGCCGCGGCCCCGGTAGGAACGAGGGGGCGTCGGCGGGCACTGGGTCAGTGAGAGAAGTGTTGGGTATGGAAGGCCGGTTCGGCGAATCAAGAGACTGCCGGACACATTCGAGATTATCATAGAACTCGGTCGCGGCCAGGTTCCCGTGGTCGCGCATCGCGCGGAGAATTTCATAGCCTGTTTCGAAGAGAGCGAAGTCGGTTTGATTTTCTGCGTAGATCTGGCTGGAGATGACCATGATAAGCGCGCAGGAGAAGAGGTAGTGCGCGTAGAAGTACCCGTAGATCGGTAGGGAGCCGTTCGTCCATTCTTCCACTATGAGTGAGTGCGTGTGTCGTGCAGCATGGATGCAGGCGTCGCCGAGGGTTTTTAGTGTCTGCTCGTTCGGATTCGCAGAGCCTCCATCCGGAATTTCCTGGTTGCGCGATTGGATGAGTGTATACAGCAAGATCGGTCGTGTTGCCAACATGATACACTGATATCCGTTAGAAAGCAGGGCATGGGCTCGACCGTTGGAGAGGGCTCACCTGGTTGAATTGCAGATGTAGCGAGGCCACGTGTTTGGGGACGTATCCATCGCGGTTGAGTCGGAGATGCGACGGCAGGGCCTGCGACCATTCTTTCAGCGCGATGAGGAGTTTCTGCTCCCGTTGGAGGAATGAGTCTGGCTGGCGCTTCCGACTGTATATTTTCTCAATGGCCTGCCCCGTGATTCTGGCGAGCTGAATACTCGCGACGAGGAACTGCGTATCGGAGAATTGCTCTAAGTTGGGATCGCTGGGGACCTCCGATGGCATCTCGACGTGGATATCGTCGTCTGCAATCTGGATCGGCCATCCGGTCTTGGACCCGTACATGCGGTCGTAGACGTAGATTGCCCACCAAAGGCGTATCCGGTGTTGGCGGACGATGGGATCGGGGCAGTTGCATTCGGGGATATCGTGATTCAACCCGAGCGTCAGCCCAAGACGCATTGCATCGCCGACCAGCAGGAATGCCGAATGGCGACGGTTCAAGAAATAGCAATATAGTGACTATCCCAGAATGTCAGTGTGAAAAATCACCACAACAAGACGTAAGTGTCTCACCAAAAGCAAAAGCGCCTCAACATGCGTCAAACTCGGCCGTTCAGGCAAAATCGGAATCAGGGTCATAGCGTTAACATAGAACTTCGCACCGGGAATCCCACCCTCAAGGCTCGAATGCGAGCGCGCAGAATAAACCTCACCAAGCGCAAAAAGCGCAAAAAACTTCATCTTAAGCACGGGGTCATCGAAATGTCCCCGGGCATAAACATCCTCCAATTCCTGAATCGTCGCCTTCCGCAGAAAAAGATGATAAACCCGACTAACCTGGTTAATGACAATCTGCACAAGTAGTCTTGCCTGAGGAAGACCCGGCCATTCTAAGTCCGGATCCCGGATTTTGTACAGCGTTGCTTCGGGCGTGTACTGCGTCCGCGGCATGTGCGAGGTTGCCTTGCTTTGTGTTAACACTTGACGCAGGCGCGTCGCGAAGGCTGTGCAGGCTGCTTCGCCGATGTGGACTGGTGGGGCGGAGTGGTCGTAGGGTTGAAACCAGCCGCGTTCGCTGAGCATGGGGTTTTGCACATGGGCGTCGTGAATATCTATCCCGAGTAAGCAACTCCGCAATGTTGTATCCGCGCTGGACGACTTACCTTCAGCTTGGGTACGAACCGGTGAATCCACGCCTGGAAAACCGGGAGATTGAGAGAGCTGCTCACGCAACTTTTCATTCTCTGCTGCCAGTTGATCCAGGTAACTACTCCCTCCAATGGCTCGGTCAGCTGTGCCCTGACGCTATGCTAAACAGTGACAGCTGGAGTAAGGTACCCACCTCTCATGCACCTTAATCTGACGATCCCGATTAACATACGTACAACCGGCCGCAAGACCCATCCCCCGACACTTAGAGCACGGCTGTCCGCCCGAGCACTTAATCTTGTGGGTGTGACATCGTCGGCAGCTACCTAGATCAGTGATGTGCCGCAGCACACAGTGGAGGTAGGGACATACGCGATGGATTTCTTGTTCTTGCGCTTGACGACCGAGTCCGCCGGTTTGGAGGTTGGCATTTTCGCCGAACGATTCAGTAGCCGACTCGTACTGTAGGAATGCTGGAGGGATGTAGGAGTGGCCGACTTTTGCGGCGGCGGGCCGTCGGGGAAATTAGACTTTGCCGAGTGGCGACGGTTCCGGCGGTGCCGTCGCGATTTTATACATCGTCATAGCCACGATGCTATCTGTCTGGTGGAAAGGTAAAGGACACTCGCACTTTTATTTAAAACGGAATTACAGCGCTAGTTTCCGAATCTGACAGCCTAATGTGCCAAGCTTTCGACATGAGACTCTAAATCGCCGCTAGTGAGGCTCCGGCGACGGTCAAATTTGAATTAAATAATTCGCAGAAAGATAAATTCTGCCTTGCAAGAGCTAGCAGGAAGTAATACATCGTGAAATTGTTTGAGAGCAACTTTGTTGCCTTGGCGTAACGAAGAAAGGTGGCCATCTCATTGCACCACCGCCGGCGGCCTGCCATTTCGCCGAAAGACTGCGGCTCGTCGCCGAAATGCACCTACTACTTAAAACTGTAACCCGCCAGGATGATATACTACTAGTAGAGTAGGTTTTGCAAGTGACCAATCTACTATTATGAAGCAAAGCCCCGTGGATATCGTCATACGCAACCCATCGGGGTCGGCCTACTTCAAGACAAATGACCTCATCGAGGGAGAAGTCATTTTCACACCTCAACATGCGACCCGAGTTGAGAACATCAACATCAGCATGCAAGGTGTTAATTTCCACTCATTCTAATGACCACTGATTTACGTAGTCGGCCTAACACTGCTACAGGTGACATGATGGTCGAAACCGAAAACATCGAAAACCACATCCCCCTCTCAAACAATGCCCTCGTCCGAAAATTCCTCCGCATCGACTTCCCGCTGGAACAACACCTCTCCGAAGCAACACTGCAACCAGGAAAAACATACACCATCCCCTTCAGCTTCATAACCCCCTCACACATCCCGGTGCAAATGTGCCAGCACCCCTGCGCCAACGCCACCCTCTACAACGAACACCTCCAACTCCCGCCCAGCCTCGGCCGCAGTCCATACTACAAGAGCACACACGACATGACACCGAACGAGGCATCCATATCCTACAGCATCAATTTCGCAGTCCTGAGGAAATACGCCAAATGCTCGACTTTAAAACAACTCCACGAATCAATCTACCCAATCTACATCTTCCCAACCCACTCTGAAACAGCACCTTTATTCATCTCTCCGATGAACAAGTATTACAAACTGCGCACCGCGAAAACACTTAGAAAAGGCGTCCTCCGCTCGAACCTGGGTTCCTTAATACTCGCCACAGCTCAACCACCAGCAATCGAGCTGTCCACCCCGCAACCGCGACAACACGCAGGAACAACACTCCGATTACATCTCCGCTTCGAGCCAAAGACTGCAGAACAGCCCCCACCCCGCATGGTCTCGAGCGACATCAAGCTGAAAGTAATGACTTTCTTCGGCATGGAGACTTGGCGGGATTATCCTGACCAAACGGGGCCTGCCACGTGGGGTCCCAGACAGGCGTATTGGTCTGAGGGTATGCCGCTTTGTTCGGAGAAGTATGTCCTCGACTGGAAGCTGCAGAAGTCTGAAAGAAATACCGGAGAGGGACTGTTCTATTTTGCAAGTCTTGATATTGCGGTTGCATTACCGGAGTCGCGGGTTTACCCGCCTACTTTTCATTCTTGCTTTTTGTCGAGGACGTATGCTTTCAAAATGGCCTTGTCGTATCGGGATCATGAGAAGGCGAAGGGATGTTCATCTGCTTGTTTGGTTGTTCCTGTTCAGATTTGTGTTTTGTGAGGACGGCGTTGGTGGAGATGGTTTTGATACCCTGTTTCTTTATGTGTTTACTAAGGACGACCTGCTACTTCAATATCAAAATGAATGAGAATCTAAATGTTCAAAAGAGATATTGGATCAGGTGGCCTCAGCTCGGTCTATTTACTTCCTCATTCATTGACACTACGTACCGCCGGCAATCGCATCCCTTGCAGCCACCACCTTCCTTCGGCATCACCAGTCTCCAAACGAGCTTCTGCCACGATCTCTTCTACAAGCAACATTACCCTGTTACTCCCTTGGAATCGTTACCGATCCACCCTATCCCAGCAATACACAATGTTGACCATCCTAGCATCGCCACCCAACCCGTCTCACTATCAACCACCAGCATTCCACAAATGACTTCACAACCGCCCATTGACTCGGCCCCAACCACCATACGCACAACACCCCTACATTCCAGATCGGCATACCAAAGCCAACAGTAGGATTACCCACCCAAATCGACTTCGTTGATTGGACCGCCGGTGATTCGCAACAACCCCGGAAGCCCCAAATAGCCCGGATCGCATTATCGCGAGGGGTCGGCCACATATCCGAACCGGGCCAGATGGCTGCCTCGTCCAGTTTCTGCATGGCTGGTGCTGGATTCCTGCCGCGTATCTGTGCGTCGGTCTTATCTTAAGTCTGCGACTCCCCCGACTGCTGCCCAGGATCTAATCTTCGGCCTACACCACACCACACACCACACTACCCTGCTTGGTTACCATCCTCACTTCCCTCCTTGTAGGATCGACCACTATATTCTTCCATTCAGACTGCTCAACTCAGCTGCACATTCTCCAAGCCACAAGAATCATCTCCTGATTCCTAGCAAGGGGTGTCAACACCTTGCAACATCAAACCACGACCACACCAAAAGAAACAAAACAGAATGGCCCTCGTACGCGACCCTTACTTCTGGAAACGCTTCTCAACAGCCGTCCATCAAGACGACGAAGCAAAAACCGCCAGCCAACTAAACCTCGAACAAGCAACTGAGAAGTGAGCACCCTTCACCCAACCCTATCCAGAACAGTCAACTAACATCGTTTCACTAGACAACCCGACTCCTGGCTCGAGCGCGAACGCCAAAAACGGCGGCGATCGCTGATCTGCGGCTTTATTATTTTCTTCTGCATCGTCCTGCTTGTCACGGGCGGTGTGATTGTTTGGTGGCTTAGCAAGCATAATTGGTTGCAGTCGCCGGAGCCATGAACTCCACAAGGAAAATCTAAAGAGGGAAATGATTTGTTTGGGCTTTTGAGCGGTTTGCATAGCGTTGGTGTTTAATGGATCTGGAAATATACCCGCCGCGCCTCCAGGGCGGCATTGAGTTTTGTGTGGATTGGATGTGAGATTTGATTACCAGGGTTTATATATAACTGTAAAAAGCATACGATTATTTTAACTTTTAAAAAGACGGTCTGTGCCTTCCATTTTGGCATTGCTCGGGGTATTCAGTAGCTTTGACTGTCCACTGTTTTTCACTTGGCAGTGCAATTCGTCTCAATGCTCCTGTGGGTCCAAAATATATTTAAGACTACATTTAGTGTACAATCTGAAAGTTCTATCTCTAGGAAAAGTAAACTAGTGTAATCTCTCGGGTCATTAATCAATCCGAACTTTAGGTGAGTATCTCGCCGCAAACACTTTGAAGCCTCAGGTATTTTCGTCTATCCAACTATTGTTATTATCTCATGCTATGCAGGTCCAAGGTCGAGACGGTCCGCCGGGGATCTAAAATAAGGTATGCAACATCAATCGCCAACTGAACATCAGACCATCTCGAGGTATCAGCATATATGTATGACATTCAAATTCGGACCTACTGCTATTCCTTGCTACTACGACCTGCATGCCGACATAACCGACGGCGGACAAAACACCGCCGCGGCCAGCCTGAGGCAGCCGCGACCAAATGGAGGGCCTCGGGCTTATCGCATTCCCCACACCGACTTCCCCGCACGCCCTCTTAAAGACAGAGCAACTGCCGCCTTCCTCGCTTTCTGAACACACCACCACCATGCTGCCCCCGTTCGACTACTTCACATACCGCCGCCTACGGTACGGTTGCCAACCCCGCAAATCCATCCGGTTTACCACTGACTCAGACAGGAACCAAAAGCAAGCGGAGCGCGCCGTCCGCTTCTCCTCGCTGCCCTTCGTTTACAGACAAGCCATCAACGCAGCCGACAAGAAGATAATCGACCAGCGGATCGAGGAGCTCGTCCAAGATGTCCAGACCAAGAGTGTCTCGGCCCTAGATGTGCTCCACACGTACGGAAAGGTCGCTGTGCGAGCCCAGGAACGGACCAACTGCATTACGGAGCTGTTGCTTCCTGAGGCGGAGTCCTGGTTGAAGGTGGATATCAACTTGAAGGGCCCTCTTGCTGGAATCCCTGTCTCGCTGAAGGATTCTGTTCATGTGAAGGGCTTTGATTCTACCCTTGGGTACTCGGCGCTAGCGAACCAGCCTGCTGCGGAGGATGGGCCGATGACACGATTGCTCAAAGATGCCGGTAAGAACAAACAGATGCGCTTACTCCATGAATTAAAGGTTACTAAAATGAGATAGGAGCTGTTCCATATGCAAAGACCGCACTGCCCATCACATTGCTTTCTTTTGAGTCGGCAAACGGACTGTGGGGCCATTGTCTGAACCCCCATGTTCCTGGATACTCCCCCGGTGGCTCGACAGGTGGTGAGGGCGCACTCCTAGCCCAGGGTGGCCGTATCGGTATTGGCTCGGATGTCGCTGGCTCAGTGCGTGTGCCTGCTGCATGGAGTGGCATCTACTCACTCCGTTGCAGTACCGGTCGCTGGCCCAAGGCCGGCGTGAGCACCAGCATGCCAGGCCAGGAAGGCATTCCCAGTGTTTTCAGCCCTATGGCTCGCACATTGAACGATCTCACCTACTTTACCCAGGCTATCATTGGCATGCAGCCCTGGAAATATGACCACTCAGTGCACCCCATTTCGTGGCGCAGAGATCTCGAGACGGAAGCGCAGAACAAGCCCCTTCGCATCGGTGTGATGAGCAACGACGGTATGTCCACCGAATTACACACCACAACATTGAAATACTGATCAGTTCAGGCGTCGTCCCTCCCACCCCAGCCATTGAACGAGCCCTCGAAACCACCATCTCCGCCCTAACCTCAGCCGGCCACACCGTTTCAGAAATTACCTTCCCACCAACCGCCGACCCCCTAACCGGCCTGAATCTCGCCTCACAACTCCTCAACTCCGACGGCTGCCACCACTTCGAGTCCAAACTGCACAGCTTCGAACCCTCCGACCCAGGCGCGAACCAACTAAGCCGAATCGCACACCTCCCTCGCGCTCTGCGCTACCTCTACTACCTCTACGTGCGATACATCAAACGCGACACCGTCCTCGCAACCCTAATCCGCAACTTCGGCCCCAAAACCTCCGCCCAGCTCTGGACCCTAACCGCGCAGCGCGAATCCTTCCGCGCAACCTGGCACAAATGGTGGGACGCAGAACCCCAACAATACGACTTCATCCTGTGTCCCGCAAACGCAACACCCGCCCTCCCGCACAAAGCCATGCACGACGCCGTCTCCTCGTGCGGCTACACCTTCCTCTGGAACTTGCTCGATTACTCCGCTGGCGTCATTCCCGTCGGCCATGTCAACGCTGTCCGTGATGCGCTCGCCGCACCGTATAGGACAGCTCTGAAGAGGCTGGGTGCGGATAATTCGGTCGCTCGCGGCGCGTGGAAGCATTATGACTCGGCTAAGATGGCGGGTCTGCCGACTGCTGTGCAGATTGTTGGACGCAGGTGGCAGGAGGAACAGGTGCTTGGCTACATGGCTGTTGTTGAGAAGGCGTTGGAGGAGTTTGTGGACCCGAAGAGTGGGGAGGGTGGGAAGTATACTTTGCTGGACATTGATTAGATTGATTGCAGTGGAAGGATTCTGCGTGAAGTAGTTATGGATAAGCGACTAAATGAAATTACGATTCCCGGATTCATCTTTCAATCGATGCTTCAAACGTTTCTATGCTGGTATATTTCGTTCAAATTCCCTCTAGCCTTACAGTTACCATGTGACGAGTTTGGTCATTCACATATACTTCTCCATCCATCGATGAACTCCATCGCTGAACTCCACCCACACAATGCTATCAAAGCCATACAGGTTCGTAGCCGACGATGACAGGTTGTCATCGCGCTAATGACTAGCGATGCAACATCACGGGCAAGTTCTCTCTCGCGTGAAGACAGATCCGTCAATTACGGAAATATTGATGGATCCTGCCCTCTGGTGCTGCGTAGGAACCAATGTCGCTCGCATAACATCTTGTCCCTCTTAGGCATCCTGGACACCCGGATTTCTCCATCGACAGAGCCGTCGACCGCCCCGATTTCTCTGTTGCTGACGTTCCATGTGTGCCAACTTAGGCGGTTCTTCAGAAGTACCGGAGCAGGGTCTTGGCATTCGTAACCAGGGCCAGACAAAGTCTCTGTTCCTCTGTCAGGTTCATGGGATATGAACTTTCCACATCTTGGATTGCACGGCGAGGGTATGAAGCTGGTGTGTGCGCTTCGAGTTGTTCCATGATTGGCGTTAGAACCGGAAGGTGTTGTGTAGGCCGTGAATAGCCGCGTGGCTGGCGTTGGAGGTTTAGGTCATATTAGTACGTGTTTCTGGAAAGTGTGGGCGGTATTCGCTCGGAAGTAGGTCATTAATTATTGTGAAGCTTGGGTTTTCAGATTGCGCATTTGCTCCCATAGCTCCCCCATATTTCGCTGCATCATTCGAACTTGACAGGCAATTCAAAAGGTCGTTTCAGTGTCTCACAATTCAAAGTCGAACAGAGACGTACACCTTTCCATAGATGCCATCTGAAGCATTTGAGCGCGCAGTGTCCACATCCATGGAGGGCCACGAGATGATACGCATGTTATCCTTGATGCTAGTTTCTGGACACTCTCCTGCCGGAAGGCATTGACGCAAGCAATGACGCGTCTCACGTTGGCGTCAGTTAGAGAAGTAGTGGACGGCCATTTCGAATGGATTTAAGGGCCGACGTTGAGGTTTTGCGACGGTGCCTCTTAGGAGAAAACAAATCGAATCTTGATTTTGAAATGATTTGGAGTGCTTTGACTCAGCGGAACACTTGATCATGTTGATCACGTTGCGCTGCCCGGTCCTTTTTTTTCCGGTTTGGATTCAAATCCCCCCTTCGGATGTCGAGCATCAGATTCAGATTTAGTGGCAAATCCGAAGCCTGCAGGTTGAGAGTCAGGGCTGGAGTTCGATTCACAGAGAGATCAGGGTGTCAGGGTGAGCGGGTTGTGAGAACGAAGCTTGAAATTCGAAAATGGGAAATGCAATGGATTCTGGCCTTTGTCTTCCATCATTGGAAGCGATGTAAAGCTGGATCTCGAGTGATATCTGGATGACGGGGGTTGAAGCGAGGGGGTGGAGGTTCTCTCTGACATTCTCACACAAAGCTCCCCTAAAATACCACGTGGATAGTCCTTGGGGTCCTCATTGTCTTTGAAGCTTCAGGGCTGCATGTGCAAGTAGAAAGCTGGTTCTCATGCGACGGGGTGACGAAGGACTTGCAGATTACTAGGTGGTCAGCACCATGACGTTGTTCTGAAATGTCTCCCAGGGTTGGAAAATTAGAAACCGCAATATTGGCAATCATTTGTCCCATCGATGCGGCCATCCAATGGCCGTTTACCACTCGACAGGACAGAGGTTGGACTCCGCGATGAGAAGGCCACACATTTCATTGTCTCCAAATCAGCACAAGGCCCATGAGGCAGTGGGAGGAGACACTCCAAGTTGCCCAGCGACCAAATAATAAAGCCGCATATCTTCAGGAATTCCCTTCCAGCATCCGCAGGCATTCGGTGGTGCATAATTAATTGTGGTCTTCAATCTGCATATCGTATTGATGGCATCATCCGTCAATCATGCTCGTCTTCGAGTCTGACAGGGATAGCGACTGAGACCAGTGTGAATGAACATTTTTGACAAATCAGTTAATCGAACCTCCATCTCATCTGTTGGCCGCAGTCCGTTCTGTCTAGACAGACATGTTGTGCCTGGCGCTGGATGTCTGGAGGAAGATTATTTTCGGACAGGATTGCCTGTCCCAGAAAGACAAAGAGTTCCTGAATCAGGGTGACCCATCCATCATGAGCAGTCTCCTCTTCGGCGACTCCAATAGTTGATTGAAATCTTCCCAGCCGGTATGGACGGGCCAAAAAAAAAGTATCGACTGTGATGTCGCCTCTCCAAGCTCCAAATTGGCCGAGCCCCGATTGACAGTAGACAGTTTTGCGAATCCCCGATCGGCGACAAAAATGGCCCTTGCATACGACACCGGTAGTCATCGTATTTCTGTTCAAACAAAGGGTCCTGGAGAGTAAAAGCACATGTCTGCCAATCCAATGCCAACAGCTGAGCTGAGACTGAAATCGTCCAGAGTAGCCAAGGACCAGGAAAGATTATTCATAATTCAGGCAGAAATATACGTCTGACTCGAGTAAAGCAGAAAGGATGTCTTGTCATGATAATCGCATTGAAATATAATTACGAGATAGGTGGATATATAGCAAAGAGGCAGTGAAGGTATCTTCGTTAGCAGGTGAGAGAATCTCCATTCAGTCCGCGCGATTGTTAGTTGCCACAGCTAGTTTTAGCAGTTGGCGAGATTAGTATAGTCATCTCCGTAATTGGTAGGTTCCGCCCTTGCGAGAGAGGCTCATTCCACCCCGCAAAATATCATATTAACAAAGAAATTATAACCTCTTCGAGCTAGACCTCCCAGCTCGACCTTCCCACGTGCATGTCGTGGGAGAGAGGGAGGTCACTCCCCAGTGTGACACCCCACATGCAAGTGCTGCACCGATCCTCAGCCGTGTAACTCGACTGGACGCACGACAAGGAACGCAGGGTCAGAAGCCGGTTCGCGGCTGCAGCGAACAGATTTGTCGTATGCTCGCAGTGAAGATAATGCAGTCGATCGACCTGTTGGGGCAGTCTCCACTGAGGGAGATCAGCGGTGTCATTGCTGTCAGCCGTGAAGAGCAGTACAGCCCAGACCATTGAGAATTGCTGGCCGTCGTCGATTAGCTGGAGATAAAGAGTTTTTTGAAGCATGTCTCGTAGTCTAGAATTTGGTGCAGCGCATCCTGGCCTGCTGCTGAGGCGAGACATGAGCCCCTATTAGCGGCTGCCTTAGCGCTCCTGAGTGGAGTCTGCAACGAATTGCGCGACACTGGCATTTGGTGCCTCGGATCGCAGGCCGCGTTGGGGCGTGCATCGGAGCAGCCCTCGAGGATGGCCTAATGCGACGCTAACGGGGGTTTGCAAAGGTTATGCGCCGGTGAGGGCGACAGAAAGACGACAGAATGTAAGATAGATCTGCGCGGGTCACGGGGTCCTGCCGACTTTCGACGGCTCGCATCGCCCCTTCTCTTGTCCTCATTACTCCCCCCTTTCGCCTCCGGGCGCGTCTCGTTCTATTTTCTGTCTGCTCGTGCTTGACTCTATCCCTGCTCGATCTCGTCTCGCGCAGGATGCAGATCCGTGTCTACTACACATATCGCCGGGGTTAGAGGCATCGCGGGATATGGCGTCCAAGAAGAAACAAGGCGGCATCCGCAAGAGGGACGGCATTCATTTCGTGAATGCGCGTCCGGCCTCTGAGACGGAGCGATTGAGAGCGCACCGGCTCGTACGAGCGCATGTGGGGAGATGGATTTCCGATCAGACGAAAGGGTCTAAAGACCGCGCGGATGCCGAGGCTGCGACAACAACCTCAACCGTGGAGGCGAAGCAGCCGACTAGTTCGACTGGTGCGCGCGCTCGAAAGTCTTCATCTACCTCGGGAGATTGCTCTGGCAGCGATGCGGGGGTCGGTCCGTCGAGCTGGACTCTCGTCTCGCGTCCCTCGCCTCAGACTCGCTATGTCACCGTGGGCCCCCACCGGCACCCGCACGCGCTGAACGCGCGACCGTCCGAATGGCAGTCTGTCGCCTTTCCGCCATCCCAAGCCAGCGACAGCAGTGATAGCAGCGATGATGCTCAAACACCAAGCTTGTCGAAACAGCCAGTGGCATTTGTGCCCTGGTATGAGGTGTCGCGCATTGAGCCGCAGATCTCGGGCTACTTTAACCCCTTCGGGACATATCCGACAAGCTTCCCGCCGGACGTGGTGGACATGAGCGAAACATACCGTGCGTTTTGAAACTGACGAAAAACAAAGACTCAAGCTAACTCTATCCCAGTATCAACGGTGATCTGGCCCGGGCTCGTACCCAGATCTGGCCGCCTTAAAAAGGCAGGCGAGTCCTGGCTTCCACTGTCACTATCCGACCCAGCGCTCTTCACGGCATTCATGTATGGGTCTCTCTGCCACCAGCGGGTGCAATGGCTCAACCAGAAAATCCCCAGCTCCAAATTCGGGGCAAAGGAGCAACGTGTCTTGCAACTCTGCGAGATGGAAGCGATCAAATTGATCAACCAAGCAATGAACGATCCCTCGCGACGGGTCAGCGATGCAGTCTTGCTAAGTGTTATTTGCATGGCGCACCACCAGGCTGGTGATGATACATTCAAGAGGTGCCTTCCAACCCCATTTAGAGCTCCCCTGCAGAACCTGCAATGGCTGAGCGTCTACGGGTGTCTCCCGCCCAACATGATTCATATCCAGGGCCTTGTCCAGCTAATCATCATGCGCGGTGGGCTCCAAAACATTAAAACCAACGGACTAGCAGCAACAATCAGCTTGTATGTAGCCCACTGCAGCCCATTGCATTCAACAAACCCCACATTGAATCACTAACCCCTTCCAGCTCGGCCTTGTTCACTGCCAGCGTCCTCTGCGTGAAACCGGGCTTCGAATTCTGGCCCGTCGACGAGTCCCGTTACGGAATCACCCTTCAAGCCCTACTCGGCTTCAGTCATTCCGACGTGACCCGTGGCTTCGGCAGGCTCCTCACTATCGGCGTCATTCCCGAAATGGCAGAAGCCTTCACAGCCGTCCGAACGTATATCAACATCGTCAAAATCGGTCTCGAGAGGGGCTACGATGTTTCCTTAATTACAGACCAGCGAAACCTAACCCAGCACACCCTCTTCTCCCTCCTGCCCGCCCCCGAACTCTCACATTTATTCACCGATCTCACCCAGGCAACAACCTATGAGGCATGCCGCCTAGCATCGTGGATCTTCGCTGTCGGCGTGATCTTCCCGATTCCGGCCCAGAGTACCCCGCTTGGCCGACTAGCCAAGGAGCTCCAGGGTGTTCTTCGTGCACCCACCGCGTCGTCTTTATGGTCCTCGCCACATTCGCGCATTCCACTGATATGGATTTTGATGTTGGGCGGTATTGCCGCAACCGCCATGCCAGAGCGACCTTGGTTCGTTTCAGTACTTGGAAAAACACTGCAGAGGAGTGGTATATCCTCCTGGATAGGCATGAGGCGGGTCCTGGACATGATGCTTTGGTATGATCTGGCCTGTGATGAGTCTGCCGAGGCTCTCTATCGTGATGCGAGCATTCTACCCGAATCATATACTGCGTAATATTTCCCGCGTCTTCGATCTAGCTTTGAAAACATGTGGGGAATCTGTATCCACAGGACCCGTGTCTTTATAGTAAAACTCTGAAATATACAAACAATCTACAAGTCCAAACAAAAAACTTCCAGTAGCTGGACCACCCCTTGCCAACATGACACAAAGTTGAAAGTGAGGCGAAGTGACGTACCCTCAAATTTTCACTTAATCCCTCATCCCATCTTCACTCTCACCAAGCCCGTCCGTCATCTCCACCGCCGAACTCATCTTGACCTGATTCATCCACAGCCTAACTTTTCTACCCATCTCCCTCAAACCCCTTTGTCCCTTTTCAACCATCCACCTTCCCTCTTTCCCAACTCCTCCGTCCCTTCCTTCCCCTCTCCTCTATCTCAACCACCCACCCCCTACATCTCTTACATCCATCGGTACTTTGCCACCAACGACCGAGCCTTGAAGTGGCGGGAGTCATCCTACTTTTGCATGCCTTGGAGAGACAGCCTTTTAATGTCCATGTTCCGGGGGGGGGGGAGAGAGAGTCCTTTGACCTCTAGCCCTTGGTAAGTCACCCACCCCCACTTCCATGATCCAGCTAATAACTCCTAGTGGCTGTGTTCCAGCTGGAAACCGCCCATACCAAGTGGTGATAGGAAACGGCAAGATCCTGGATGTGCGCTTTTGTGGAAATCTGCGGAGTCATGCTCTTTTTCGATATTCTGAAGCGACGCATTTCTTCAGTGATTTTAAGGTCAAGACCTCACACAGGGTTCACGTTTGGTCTCGAGAGAAAGCCCCATTTGCGAAGGTTACACCGATTTTCGACATGGTGAAGGTCACTGACCCAGGGTTTTGGGGACTTCAAGACCGACGATTGAAGGTTCTACGCAGACCTCGTGTGGGAGTTCGAGAGAACAGCAAACCGTGAACAGAGACCGCAGCAAAACATACCGTCGGTGGGGACGTTTCGGTCCAGCTCCCATAATCGACATCGCACTAATATGGCAATGGAGTCTTGGGAAAGACCACGTTACTGGGAGTGTGTTCCATCGAGTGTGACCAGCTGGATATCAGCTCCCAGGGAAATCATCGAGATACTACCAGACAAGATGTAGTTTGGAGAATGCCTAAATAGTCGCCCTGTTTTGGCGTTGGCAAAGGAGTGATCGAGTTACGAAAGGCGGAAGCCTTCAAAGACGGTCCTAAAGGTGGACAACGACCCAACAAACAACGCATGCTTCGGGAACAGTGAGATCAAACTATTTTTTCTCGAGGTTTCCATGAAAGAGGATGCCGGAGGCTTGCATATTCGGCATGACATCTCGCTCTCTGTCCGGTAGGACACAGAGGAGAGAATTACGCCCACGCTGTTGCTTGGCTCACTCCATTAAGTGGGGTGGGAAGATCTGAAAGTATCATGATGCCATATGCGAATGCCCGGAAGGGAAGCCCCCAAGGTGTTCGTCCTTCAATTACGGCAGAAACGAACGATTACGAGCACATCTAATGAGACATGGACTCACCGTTGGTTCCGGGTCACAGAAACGCGGATAACAGATCCTATCTGAATTTTTCCTGCCTGAAATATGAATCGGATGTTAAGAATACTCGCCAGATACTTTGATCCAACATGGACTGGAGGGGATGGCGTGTGCGGCTCGAGCAAGCAAGACTTGCAGGTACAAGGTCCAACAAACTTATGCTGGCGCATTCGTCAGTTAACCTTAAGCACGTCAATTTGGGCTTTTGCGAGTGCCTGGCCCTCATATACCTTTTTGCCCTTCCCGATGAATGCAGAATGGGCGTGACAATGACATAATACATCCCAGGGGCGAAGCTCCGGGTGTCGCGCACGATGGTCTGGCTCGAAAAACAAAGTCCTACCGGCAAAGGTGGCTTCGCCAGAAAAGAAAAATGCGAATTGGTCAGGTATATCGAGTTAAAGAATAACATCCATTTGGTGATTGTAGGGGGAGGAGGGAATTTCGTGGATCGACAATACTCTGCGTCTGCGTCCTGGATGACCAGCACATATTTTCGAAGTGGCGCCCAGCAATTTCCTGACCACGAACACCTTTAAATGGTCTCTCGTTGGTTAGCCCTCCACACGCCGCCTTCGATGCGCCTTGCCTACATGATAAATCCAGGTGATACTTCAGGAGTCGTCAAAAGCGCCATCGAATTGGGTTTTACGAAACAGTCAAAATGAACGACGCGCAATTGGCTTTCTAGTTTCGTGGAGGACATATGCCTCTATCGGCTCGAGTCACGGATTGGATCTTTGGAGGGTCACCTCTGGCTTCCTTGGGAATGTCGTTGGGCCCGGCAGATATCATGGAGTCCATGCAGCGAGGATCCAAAAAGGCAGAGAATGCATAAATACTTCCTCTACAGCTGACGTGGCATCAAGGGTCTTCCAAGGCTGGACGATGAGGATTGATGCATCTAGGGCCTCGGTCGTGAATATAAAGCGTCAGGATAGAAAGGCGTGAAGGCATTGAGTGCAAGCATTAGAGAAAACCCCGATGTTGTGCTTGGCCACGGAGAGATCAAAAGTCCATGAGGGCCTGTCCTTTGTCCTTTGGCCTTTCGAAGGTAATAAATCTTGCATCCACTACGCAAGCCAACTCGAACGATTCTGGACCCGAGGACATCAAAAAGTCAAAAAAAGCGGCGCACATTTCCCCCTAAGGTTGGCTTTTATATACGGCCCATATGGGAAGACGTGCGAGACTGATTTACGTACCCTATGATTTCGGACGATTATTCGAAACTGGTTTACGGAAGCAGCGAATTCCGTCACCGGGTTAAGAAAGTCTAGAAGCAGCCAGACTTTTCAACCTCCAAGGGAGTAATGATCACAAGAGTCAACAAAGCGCTCCAAGGGACTAGAGCGAACTCAATATCACGCAGCATGACGCCTCCAATTCGTTCCTCCCAGGACGAAAATGTACGAATTGAAACAGACATTGCTTGAGGACCAAAAGGAAAGTATTTTCCTTACACACGTGGGGCAGTGAACCCACTAAGGCCTGGCTCGTTGTCGCGTAAACCTGGAAAAGAACGCGCCTGAGTACTCCGAACAATTGGAGGTGCATCAAGGGCGACTCACTGCCTGTTTGCCCTCGCTTGGATAATGTGACTCGACGAGCTCATCCAAACGTGCATGACTTGGCGGCAGCGAACATACTAGCTTCGCTGTTTGCTAGCGAGCTGTACAAGCCTGGGAAAGTTGTGTGGGAACCTTTTCCTTCGTTTCTTTCGAAGAGTTCAAGCCACCGAAGCTGACAAACCACTCGTGGGAATTGAAGACACTGAATGCAAATGGGTTTGCGCCTCTCACTATTGAATAATTTGAAGAATGCTCTGCCAGGCATCTGTGGAGCCAACATGGGATATGACTTATCCTATGCCTGCACACCGCAGTCACCAACTCAGAGGAGTCTCAGCCTAGCAAGCTGTGCTGGAAGACGATCGCGGAATACCATTAATCTAGCCATTAAGCGGGAGGAGACGGCGTCCCCAAAGCCAACTGCGAAACGTGCCGAAGGGTCTCTAGAGGCCAAGATGCCCTAGAACTTCGGGTTGCCCTTCCGCCCCCCCCTCTCCCTCAGGAACACGACAGATTGCTATGGCCACCCATGACGCAATGGGTCCAAAGAAAAAGGAGTTATGGGACTTTGCTAAGAAAATGAATACCATTTCCTATCTGGTGTCGAGATCTTATTCCGAGACTGCTATAGGCACGCCGAGATGTTCTAAATTTCGACAAGCGTCTGTTGAAAATGCGCTTGGAACCAATTCCTGGAGGACGAAATCATTCACTCCACGAATTTTGGGTCGCATTGGGGTCATGTTCCCATTTCAAGGGTCAACTGGCCACTTGTTCCAAAAGCCTAAAACTTGTCAATGATCTGGTTGCGTCCCCCCAGAGATACAAAGAAGAAGATTTGCCATCGCTGACGACGTCAACCGAAGGATCCAGTTTCAACCCCACACCCTTTTTTCCATATGGGAACAATTGTCTTATTACAGATGCACGTTTGTTCGCTCTGCGCGTCTTCCAATATTTGCCCAACACAGGAAGCACCGCACGCTCTCCCGTGAGATGCAAATGAAACACGCAATCTATTTTCTGGACTTCAAAATTAAAATCGGGTTATATCGCCTCGCGATCATTGAATGAAATTATTACCACATGAGGCCGAGTGTACACGGTGGTGGAGGCCTAATTTTGAGATTAATTAGCTCTTATGGAGGAGAAGCAAGGAGTGATGTTTCCCATGAATTCTCTCGACCAAGGGGAGGGGTTGCTCTGCGTTAACACATGCACTGAATTAGATTAAGTCCCACAAATGCTCGTCTCCACTTCAAAGCCTCCATCTCACCCTCTGCTTACGAGGCTTCTTCTGCATAACGACTTTCCGAACGAGTTGCAAGCCAAATGAAATTGAAATAGCAAAACCGGAGGACCGAAGATCTATCTGGTCGTCCGTGTGTCACGACTAGAAGTCCTCCGAGGTTCTGGACAACTCAGGCTTTCGACGCAATTCTTGCCCTTGCTTTGCCTTGTTGTTGCTGGAGCGGACTGGAACCACTGAAGGTACATGGGTTCGCAGATATCATCCAATGCATGCCGGTGACGAGGGTCGGTGGGCTATTTATGCCAAAAGCAAAAGACCTCATGGCGGAAGGGAAGTGGACTACGAAGTTGAGCTACGTGGTGGTGAGGACTAAATGTGTCTGTGGCACTAAGACGACTACAAATGAAGTACCCTGAACACCTACACTGGCACCTTCCAGGAGGTGTTGTCTGAGCTGATCAAGAGGGCTTGCTTTATGATACTATGTCGCAGATGCTGCATACTTTCCTCTGGCAGCTGGCGTTGGCCGGCATAATGCGGAAATCCGATATTCCTGCTCTCTTGTTCTGATGCTACGACACCGAGTTCAACACCCCGTGAAAGGGTGGCCTTGCAGTAGACCTGAGCAGTCCAAGCGCTCTCTCACAATGTATTACACAGGTATGAGCAAGGCCCGGCCCAAGGAAACCGAAATGATAAAAGACTTCACATGGAAGGGTTTTTCAAAGTTGCTGGATCGCACTCGAATAGCCAACTATATCGAGGATTCGACTTCAAGGATACGATAATATTCCTTGTCACATGCGCACACTGTATCTTTCATAAACGACTCTCTTGATTTCCGTGCCGGATTGCCCAGGAAATTCACTCATCGCGCTTGGAAGGCACACCAAAAGATTCCGGCAAGCTATTGACCAAGGAAGCGAGGAGGATCAATTCTGGCTGATGTCCGGATTGACACAGACCGTCCCTATAGGTGAAATACGATCGCATGATTTTGATTCCGATGGACCTGCTCGCTCTATGAGCCAAAGTGTCGTCAGAGCTCCATCGTTTCGTCCACAGCCCACCACTCCTACCCAATTATCGTGAGAATGACGAATTTTTCCGTTGTGGTCCAATCCAGATTCTACCTCAGCTGAATACAAGTCCAAATTGATGGCAAACTCCTACGAGGCTAACTCCGCGGGCTTGTTTTGGCTATTGACGAGCTTTGGATATACCCGCAGTCAAAAACCATTCTCGACACCCGATGGACATACATGTATCAAGTCGCCATCGCAGTTACCCTCCTCGCTGTTTGCAGCTGGAATTTCAAGCGTGATAGCTTGTAGTTGGAAGAGGAGTTTATGGAGTCTACGCGTTTAGATCCTTTTAGAAATAGACGAACATTGACCGACCACATGGTGCAGTCGAAGGAAGGTAAAAATGGTGAACAGTGCCGCAAGATCTACAGCTCCCCGCATCACGGCGAGCTAAACAGTATGTGGCGACATGAACGGTTCCACTTTTAATATCTTGTGGAAATAACCGTGAACCTTGCAGTTGATGACGCATATCCATCAAATCATCTCTCGACACGCATTTTTTACATTTCAGGCTCGAGGACCGCATCGTAAATGTCACCAAATTTCTGCATAAGCAGCCAGATTCGGGAATCATCACATTTCCTCTCCTATCTACTGACAATACATGGCTAGGATGTACCAGAGAAAAGTTCTAGTCAGTACATTTCTTAGAACAAAAGGGCTCAGTAATTTCAGAGCGTATGATATTTCACAATGTGATCGGAGCTTATATCCGATTCAATAAGATTCATGGCAGATCATCACAGTGACGTCATGAACGAATCCCGATTCTCAGGAGCCTCAAGTTCCACCACTTCTTCCATACTGTCCGCATGCATTCTCGAGAATATTTTTAAAAAATACCAATAATACTCTATAATTTATGCACGCTCTTCAGGGTCACGAGATCTTGGCACATTTATCATGTTTATATCGGTATAGTTAACCGCGGTTAATTCGCGGTTATGAACTTTTGTTCCCTCCCTAAATTCACCGCAGTTCTGCGGCCACGAGATCTCATGGCCATACTCGCACCGAAGCGGCCATGGTGCGGAGAGATTATGGTTAACCGCGGTTATGCCGCAGCCCAAACATCTTTTCATGGACAGTAAATATTGAAAATTTCTTGCTTTGTCTAGACATAAAAAATAACCGAAAACCCGTCCCAGCCTTCCCTCTCCGTTCATCCACTGTTTGTCTCGCCAACTTTGTTATACTTGGACTTCAGTTGATTCAACAGCAATATAGAAAGTCCTTCAAGGGTGCCTGCCTGGTTAATATCCTTTAGCGAGATTTCAACCTTCATTATCCGTCGAGTCCAATTCTTCAATTCAATGGCCGTCAGGGAGTCAACAGTGATTGCTGCCATCTGCTCATCGTCAAGCTCCTTACCCGGTAGTACGTAGTCCGCGACGGTCCGGCGCACCACACTTCTCATGTCATTTGTGTATTCCGCATCATCAAGCTTATCTGGAGCCAGGTCCACTTGAGCCAGAAGAGCACGAAGATGATCGTGTTTTGCCTGGCGTTGGACTGCAACTGCAGACTGAAGGTTTGCGTACAGGGAGAATCTGGCGTCGTGGCCCCACAAGGGCCGTGTCATAGTGTCAGAGATAGGCCCCCTATGACCCATCCCTACGACAAGGTTGCCAGATTTTGTGTTGCACGGAGAGTCCTTAATGGCCACTTGGAAGCCTTGTAAGACTTCCTTCTCGTAGAGAAGAGGGACTCTCCCCAAGTTCGCATTCTGGAGGTAATCTGGACGCCGACTGATCACTCCAATGTCCACAACAGCACCCAGATTCAGCACTGAAGCAGCCAGCCCCCGTTGCCGCCGGTATTGCACGAATGAATTCATGAATGCATTGGCGGCGACGTAATTGGCTTGAGTCAAGGACCCTGAAATCCCTACTAGCGAGCTAAACAGGATGAAGAAATCTAGGGCGGTACCTTCAGTGGCGTTGTGAAGATTCCAAGTCCCAGTCACTTTGGGCAATAGCGCTGCTGACCAGTCATTGTATGACATGTTCTGGAATGAGACGTCCTTCAATAAAGATTAGAATCTAAAATTGCAAAGTCGACAACGGGTTAGGCATTACTTACCTTTAAATGGATTGCCATTTGCACAACTCCAGCGAGACGTTTAGTGCATTGAGACACTGCTCTTTCGACATCTATCATGCTGGTGACAGTACCAGTAACGCAAATCACTTTACAGCTCTGGGCCTCAAGTTCACGTATAAACTTCTCATCATCATCTGATTGACCTGCTGATCGGGAGAGATAGACCAGCTCCCGCGCACCATGCTCCACCAACCACGTGGAGATAGCGCGCCCAATACCGCCCAACCCTCCAACAAGCAGATAAGATGCGTCCGAAGGCAGATGTGGTGCTTGTTTAATTGCCGGGCAGGGAAGAGAAGCTGGATTCGACGGCATCTGGATTACGATTTTACCCATGTGGGTGCCGGCCTGCATGTAGCGCATAGCATCTTCAATACGGTCTGCATCAAATACTTGAATGGGGCGAATCGGCTGAATAACACCCTTCCTGAGGTATTCAAACAGTGTGTCTTGGACACTAAGTTTGGCGTCAGCACTCATTGTGTTCTCGTAAGGCAGACGAATTCACTAACCGATCCCGGAGCTCTAGGTTATGCGTAAGGAGATGCAACATGTCCACGCCAACAAAGGTACGATTGGCAAGGAATGGGCCCATTTCGAGGGCTCCATGTGTCATGAAGTCGCGTTTTCCAATCTCGATCATTTTTCCAAAAGGTGCGACGCATTCCCATGACGCATGCAAGAGTTTCCCAGCCAATGAGTTCAGGACAATGTCCACCCCCGTCCATTGGTTGCTTTCATAAGAGCAGGTACAAAGGAGCTGTCCCGTGAGTGAAGTATCCTTTCCCTGGGGATACCAAATGTCTGGGAAAGATATTGGGCCTTTTCCTCATTACCAACTGTCGTGTATATCTAGAATCTCAAGTCAGAACTAAAGTTAATATAACAACAAGGACAGAAACAGCGATACTCACCTCAGCACCAATCGCTTGACAGAGATTGATCGCTGCTAAGCCAATCCCACCTGTACCCGAGTGAATAAGCACAGACTTCCGCCCGTACTATGTTAGCCCATATCCTTACGAAGGGAAACCACCATCTAAGGCTTACCTGTCCCTTCTGTAGATTTCCTACATAGAGGAACGAGTAGAGGACTGTTGTGTAAACAGACCAAAATGTCACCACGTCTTCGGCAGCCATATAATCCGGATACTTGAGGCAACTCGACTGATGCAATATCGTTCTTGTTGCTAGGAAGCCAAAGCCCGCCAGGCAGACTTTGTCGCCAGGTTTGAACTCTGCCACGTTGGTGCCAACACGGCGGACGGTGGCCGCCGCCTCGATACCAAACTGGCCTGGGTTTCCCACTAGGCCCATGGCAATCATCAAATCCTGATTAACGATTCAGCACATCTGACCCCAATATAATTTAGGAAATAAGAGTCGAAGGGCCGGTCCATACCATGAAATTCAATCCAACGAATTGAATGTCTACCTCTACTTCTTCAGAATCCAACTGAGACTTGAGGTTTTTAGGCGCCCATTGGAGGGTCTCCAGGCGACCAAAAGACACAATATCCAGACTCCGGGGCGTATCAGGTGGCAAGGTAATGGCGAGTTGCTCAGATATTGGAGTCCAATGATCTCGGATAGTATGAACCACGCCATCATGCAAGATAAACTCGTACTCAGTATGTGGTGGCGAGGCTTGTCTGGCAGACTGAACCTTTTCGTAGACATCAAATAAAGATGCAACTGCCCTTGAATCCCAGGTGTCGACCTCCAGGGTACAGATGTCCAGGGGCAACTCAAGTCGCAGGGCGCGGGCCAGTCCTTGGATCATACCGGAATGCGGCTCATCACACACCACGCGTGAGCCTTTAGTAACCCACATAATAAGCGAGTCTTTGTTTTCAACAAAGAATCGCCGAAGAGAAGTGAAAGAGTCTTCTGTGGTATCTCCCAAGAATGGCACTGGTATGTCCAACAAAGACACTACACGCTCGTGTCGCTCTCCTGCCTGGTCCAAGGTGATCCAGTTCACTGTGTACCCGCGAGATTGAAAATGCTTCTCAACTTCAATAGGCCACTTTGCTGTTCGGTCGTCGGCCAGGAGCGATATTTGCTTTGTAAAAGTTATTTCAACAGCAGGCCTAGCAATCATGCTGGCTACCGACCGACAGGGAGGCTCAGCATCGTACACCACCGCATCTATGCCACCAAAGCCAGCGGCACGCAACTCTTTATCCCACCTTTCCGGTGTGACAAAAGGCTGGTTTGGACGGTCGTCTTCTTCACCAAGCCACCAACCAGGAAGGGTGCCCTAGTCAGTGATGTCAGCAACGTAGATGTGTTATAACAGATCTCAAGCCTCACCATGATATAAGAAGTGGTTGGAAGGTCTATGAAATTAGATTAGTAAGTAGCTCTTATTTTACCTCATGCAATTATTACCTACCTGGATTGATCTCATGAAACAACAGTCGGCCGTTGGACCGCAAAAGCTTTCGTACTTGTTCCAATGTTTTCTTTAGATTTGAGGTAGCGTGGAGAACCTAATACACGACTGATCAGTATCGATGAGTGAAAATAATAGTGAGATCACTCACGTTGGATGCAATGATCAAATCAAAGCTGTGAGGTTCAAACCCCTGTGCCACTGGATCTCGACTGATGTCCAAAGTGCGGTATTCTATCTTCTCTTCGTGTTTGAAAACTTCCTTTGCTTTGGCCATGAAACCCGGGGATATGTCAGTGAAAAAATATTGAGAATACATGCGCACTCCACCAGAGGACTTCAGACACGGGAGGGCTTTCTTGGTTCCAGAGCCAGAACCAGCGCCAATCTCCAAGACCCGCAAGGTAGGGTTCGAGTGGCAGAGCAATGACAAGAAATTGCTCCAGCTGATCCGCTCATCTTGGGCACTGTGATAGACTTCCCACCGGTCGTTCTGCATCAAAGCTTCCAAGGGAGATTTTTTCCCCTCATAAAATCTATGCTCTGCGAGAAAATATCGCTCAGCAAGGATCGAATGATATCAGAAAAGTGCGTAGGATCTGCGTCCTCTTGTATATATTGCTCCAACATCTCTATTCGGCGGATGGGGTCTATGCAAATCCATTGGGGTAAGACCGAGCTGAAGGCTTGCTGGGCTTGGTTATTTTTGACGTCTGATTCCAGGGCGCGGTGGAATTTTTGAAGTTTCAAAACAAGAAGAGTCTTTGTTTCGGTAGCTTCTGACCAGTCAAATAGGGACTTGAAGAGCTCATGATTTCCTGAATTGATTTTGGCCGACTCGGCAAGAATCCAGGCCTTCCATTTCATGAGGTGTGGCTGGTCCGAGTGGACATCCTTGAGGCGGGTCGCCATTGCAAGAATGTAATGAAAGCATATCAAACCACCTGCCTTCAAGTGGTCGTCTAATTCATCATCTGCTGGGGGCTGGGGCAGCAGAGTGCAGGCAGGGACTAAGTCAATATCAGGCTTCAGGTCCATTCGCGATGCGAGGCGAACGGCAGCTACGCCAGAATTCTCTGGCATCTCCGCGCCAAACAAAAAGCCGCCCTTCATGGAAAAGGCTGTTTGGTCATTAATCACGCCAATGGCGTCACCTAACTGGCCCCCACGCATGCCTGGTCGAGTCTGAACACGTACTGTCATATTCTGTGCCCCTCTGCCCACGTAGATGCTCTCGATCATTGCCGGTATGTACATCCGAGTGAGCCGAGAGGGAACTCCAGATGACACTGCAATACCCATGAGCTGCAAGCACTGATCGATGGCAGAAGGGTGCTGTAGGTATCGGCTGGCATGCAACTCCCGAGTATCAGTCACAGTAGCTACAGCAGTGGTGCTGCTGGGATCAGCCGTAATATCCTGAAGCCCTTGAAACCGTGGCCCATATGCCAGACCATGCCTCTTAACCGTCTGATACCATCTTTTAGAGTCGAGGGATCGAGGAAAGGGATGTATAGGCTTGGCCTCGTCAAGATAATCTGCCCCCGCTCGGACCTGACCCTGGCAATGTGTTGTCCATAACGTTCCATCGTAGGCCATGATCGTGAATCCGTACCAATCAGAGCCCACCCCATCAGCCAATTCGATGGGTTTTAAGTTTGTGATCAGCTCGGTTGAATGATCATCAACTAAGATCAAGGGAGCCTTGAAATGGACATTTCGGAGAGAATACCCTGTCATTTCAGGGTGCAATTGCTGGACCGCTTCTCCAGCCATGGTAATATATCCAGCTCCAGGGAAAGTGACTTCGTCTCGTAAGGTATGTTCAGAAAGCCATGTAACGTTATCAAGATGGAGCATGTTCCGCCAAGACGGCTCGAGATCAGTCGACTCCACGATGCGGGAGCCCAGAAGCTCATGATGGGACAACGGCCTGGACCTCCAGTCGCGCAATACTCGCACTTCTTTCAAGTGGCGACTATCGTGCTGCCATGGATACCTTGGCAGGTCTTTCAGGACCACCCCCGACCCAACGACAGCTGATATGTTGACCGAGATGCCAGCGCTAAAAGCGTGGCCCACTGTAGAAAGTAACTGTGATCGAGCATCATGGTCATCACGTACAAGAGTGGGGATGTAGAACGGCGCCTTTTTCGTTGAAGTGGACTGAAAGATTTGCCCCAGAGGCCCTGCGAGAGCTGAGTGTGGGCCTATCTCCAAAAACACTTGACTCTGCTTCCCTGTGTTGCACAGGGACTCCACTGCTCCTGAAAATAGAACAGGTGATTCCAAGTTCTGCCTCCAGTAGGCAGCGTTCAGTTGGCGTGGGTTGACAATAGTCTCACCTGTGACACTTGAAGAAAAAGGGATCATGTATGAGCTGGGTTTAATGTATTGAGAAATCGCCTCCTCGTAGAGTGGACCTAGAGCGGACATATGATCTAGATAGGGACCAGTCAGACCTAGAGAAACTGGTAAGATTCCATTTAGACTCACATGAATGATAGGCAATTGAGACACGGAGACGCCTGGTAAAGGTATCGGGGTTCTGGTCTTTGATACTCTCAAGTACCTCGTCCAGGACGTCTTTGTCACCAGAGAGCGTGACGCTTCGCGGGCTGTTCTCGCAAGCCAAGACGACTCCGTCTTTCAGAAAAGGGACAGCATCTTCGCGACTCATCGCTACAGCTGCCATTGCCCCCGTTCCTTCTTGAGACTTTGCCAGTCTCCCCCGATAGTAGGCAATGATAATCGCACATTGGGCAGTGATAGCGCCAGCGGCGTAAGCTGCGGCAATCTCACCACTGGAGTGCCCAACGACGGCGTGTGGCTCAATCCCCCATTCCCGTAGGATGTTGACGAGACCAACCTGTAGAGCAGTACACAGGGGTTGGGCCAATTCGGCCTCATTGATCCGCGATGACTCCTGGTCCCGCGCGAGCTCCGCTATTTTGAGATAATTAGAGTCATTCTTACTGGGAGAGAAAGTGATATCCTGCCTTTTAAATTCCAATTAGGGGGCTGCTCCAGCTCTTGGAGTGCCTGGTCCATTTCTTCGATCGATTGTGTAAAGCTGAGCCCAGATCTCAGAAGGGTTCTGCCCATGCCCGCCCACTGCGCTCCCTGTCCAGTGAACACAAAATTGACGCGTGGAGCCGTAGAGCTTGGCGTAGAACTTTTAAAGGTCGAGGCGTCAAGAGGCGTATGAGGATGGGCCACGGTGAAAGTTCGATGCGACAGATGATCACGACGTACTCCAAGGGTGTATGCAAGGTCATGGAGAGAAGAGGGTTGATTGTTGGCATATTGGGTCAGGTCGCGGACACGCTTTTTCAAGGCGTCCGGGCTATGTGCCGTGATTAACAATAGCTGCGAGTCACCAGAAGACGTTGCCGATGGAGGATCCAAGCCGACAGAGGCACAGGAATCCAGAACGACGTGGGCATTTGAGCCTCCAATACCAAAGCTGTTGATACTGACTCTCTCAGAACGACCTTTTGGCCAAGGTATGGCCTCTACTGGTACCTCTAATTTAGCCTCTTCAAACGGTATTTTGGGGTTAGGAGTATCAAAGTGGATGTTGGGAGGAATGATTCGATGCTCAAGCGCCATGACCGCTTTGATCACGCTAGTCAGACCCGAAGCCCCCTCAGAGTGTCCGACATTCGGTTTCACCTAATACAATTATCTTTCTGTTCATGCACGACAATGTTATTATATCTTACCGCTCCGATAGTAACACCGGCGCCTTGAAAAAGCTTGGCGACAACAGACGCCTCTACGGGATCTCCTGTCCTCGTTCCTGTTCCATGGAACTCAAAAATGCAGTTTCGTGGATGTCCTTGATCCCGGCATCTCGATAAGCCTTCCGAATCAGTCTTTCCTGTGAGGTGGGACACGGATGGGTAATGGTCTCAGTTCTGCCATCGTTGTTGGTGGAGGTAGCTCGGATCACCGCACGAATTGGGTCATTGTCCCGTAAGGCGTCACTCAGGCGCTTGATGTAGATAGCATTGATTGCTTCACCGCGGCCGTAACCATCGGCTTCGGTGTCGAAAGTCCGACAAATACCGCTAGGTGAGAGGACCATATTGGTGTTCATAACGGTTGTCATCGTCGGAGTCCAGATCAGATTCGTCCCGGCGACGATAGCGCCCGAGCAATCTCCGGCTTGCAAAGACCGACACGCTTCGTGCAAGCTCACCAGGGAGGCCGAGCATCCAGTCTGGATAGTCATACTGCATTCCCAGTCAGACGGTTGTGACAATCAATTTAAGGACACGTACCTAGGACCACAGAGTTCGAACTCATAGGATACCCTGTTAGACAGACCGAAGCCTCCAGTACAAATGGGGTGCGATCGGTCTACTGGCTCGCCCGTTTTCAAGGCCACTTCGAGCCAATCTTCTCCAAACACCCCCACGTAGCAGCCAATACGGCTTCCACGCCAATTTTGTGCACCAGCGTTTTCTAGACATTCCCAGACGACTTCGAGGAGAAGACGTTGCTGCGGATCCATGTGAACCGCTTCTTGCGTGGGTATAGAAAAGAAAGTAGCATCAAAGCAAGCGGGGTCTTCCTGCAAATAATAGCCAGTAACCGGAGCCTTTGAAGGATCGAAGAAAGCCTCGACGTTGTAGCGGGTAGAAGGAACAGGGCCATGCCCATCTCGCTTATCGATTAGCATATCCCAGAATTCTTCGCTTGAGTAAACACCTCCAGGCAGCCGCAAGCCAACACCCACAATGGCAATTGGCTCCTTGGAAGAAGCATCGCCATCTCGACAAATGGAAGTGAGCTCGGGTAGGTGAGGCATTGTTGAGATTTCTTGGAATGGAGGCCGGAGATATAGAGTGGTGTGAATCAACGGCCAAGCAAGCGTAGATTGAAGGACATAATAACTTGCTATAAAGCATGCTCTGCTATCCTAAATACTCTTACGGGAACACCAGCTGCACTGGGCGATCACAAAATGGAATACGTAGCAAGGAGGTGATAGCGTGCCAGTTCTGCATGGTACAGTAGCACGAGGTATGGATCGTTATTGAAGCTTTTCAGCCCGTACCTTGTGCAGGACTACAAGACAGGCAAGTTTGACGTATCAGAAGCAACCGACGTGCAAGCCCAACAACTCAACTTGGGAATCAACATACGGCGGGAGTCTGGTAAAATCGTGACAAGATCTGCAATGACAAGCTGACCGCTTGTTTGCTTTTCCCTTCATCTTGGCATGGATGAATATCGGCATTTTGCTACATGCTTTCCAGGTTTTGTTAACCGTCGTAATATGATTCATCGAAAAGGTAATAGTTGCACTGACCTCCAACACTTCACTCTCTTCCCAGTTGTGGATGCGAAGGATTCCTTGAACTTGAGTTGATGGTTGGAAATTGTGACAACCCACACCAACCCCGGGAAAATTTGAGTCGACTGCATTTCCTCTGGCAAAGTTCAGAATATTCAGTGATACAACAAACTTGCATTTTTTCTAGAGAAAAGTCCGCCTTTAGCATATTTCTTACAGCGAGAAAATGGATGTTATCTCATAATGTAAGAAGGGGTGGTCCGGGGACTTTGGGAACGGCTGGAGCGAAGATTTTGACCCCGTTTGCAGTACGAGGCTATTGTAATGGGGGATTCCCATTCAAAAAGGAATTATTCTGTATTTGGACTAAGGCAGTGTAACGATCAGAAAAGATGAAGCCCAAAAGCTTGGATTATGGCCGCCTGATTCGTGGAGATTTCGAGAGTTCCGGCGCTATTGCTGTTACGTCCACCACCCAAAGCGTTTATCCCTATCGCTGTATTGGTTACAGATAGCAACAACGGAGCCACGATAATTCTAGAAATGTTAGCCTTAGCAAGGAGCAAGAGAACAGGAACTGGGGCTCGTACATTTCGCTGACAGAATATCCTGCTCTCACAACATCAAAAAGCTCGCGGCATTGATGGATGTATTGACCCATGCGCTTCGGGAGATCCTGATCCCACAGCTGGCTGCTTGTAAGCTACTCATTGATTTTCTTGCACCGTGTCTCTGAGACCCATGGAAGCCTCCTGACAAAAGAGGCGAGCGAGGTCGCCACTGAGTTTGCCTTGGCACAGTCCAAGAAAGGCTGTACACGCTCAGAATGATCAGATGTGGCTCTGATAAAGTTATCATCACACTTGGCCTCGAGACCTTGGAAGAGCTCGTCAAAGAAATCCGGAGCAATTTGCTTGTCTTCCATAATACCAGTGGATTCGGAACCGTCATTGATAAGAGGCTCGATGACAGCTGACTTCGCATAGAGATCCCAGTGCGACATGACAGGTTCACATCCAGCGTCACAAGAAAGGACTTGCTCGTGTTGGATAACAGTGCCGGGGATGTCGCTAGAGTTCTCATCAAGCCGATGCAATAGGTTCCAAGGACAGCGGCCACAATTGGAGAGAAGCCCAAGCACGTTGCGGCTGCCCAACCCCCCCAAATATTGCTTATTTTCCCAATTTGGATGCATAAAAAGATGACTAATCTCAATAAATAACGGTAAAATAAGGCTGTTCTGGTCAGAACAAGTATGACTTCCATCTTCGCCATGATAAATAAAGGAAATATTTAATTATACTACCGTATCCAAAGAAACTAAATCTCTAGGCGTAGACAAATAAATCTCTACTCGATTTCGCTCTGAGAAATGATAGTACTACTGAGGTATAGTGAAGTTTCGAGCTCCACACCCAGAGAGCCACGTCGTCTGCAAAGCGCAGATCAAGGAGACAAGGTCTATGCTTCAAGTGTCGCACAAGAAGGTCTATGCTTCAAGCGTCGCACAAGAAGATCTATGCTTCAAGCGTCGCACAAGAAGGACTATGCTTCAAGCGTCACACAAGAAGATCTATGCTTCAAGTGTCGCACAAGAAGATCTATGCTTCAAGTGTCGCACAAGAAGATCCGCACAAGAAGATCCGCACTCCCCTAGGGCTCATAGCGGACATATTACGAGTTCGAGGTCGACAATCAAAGTCAAGGCATAGGGAGATCCACAAGGTTTCACTGCTGCATCCCGCGTCCACATTGTACACATAGCGCCACTCGCCACCACTGGCCCCATAATACCCAGTGCGCTCCTATCTCTCACACCTTTCATGGTATATATTTGCAAAGGACAATCCGCCTCGTGAACCAAGAAAAGGCACCCGAATGCCTAGACTATCTGCTCATAAATGGCTCCATCCGATGCAGTCCCATTTTCCGCCAAGGAATGTGTCTATTGGCTATCTCTATGTGGCTTCGCTCTTGTGCTCTATGTCGGGGTCGTTGCTCCGTACCGACTATTCCTAAGCCCTCTGGCTAAATTCCCCGGTCCTCGTCTAGCTGCTGCTACGAGCCTCTACGAAATCTACTTTCAAATCGTCAAGGACGGCAAATTCACCTGGCATATAAATGACTTGCACGATAAATATGGTCCTGTGGTCAGGATAAAGCCTAATGAGGTGCATATCAAAGACCCCGAGTATTACAACACTCTCTATGCTGGGCCAGGCAAGCACCGCAACAAGGACTCCGGTTTTAGTTTTATCACCTACCCCCAATCTCTCTTCTCCACCAATGGCTATGAGCTTCATCGTATGCGACGAAGGGTTCTGGGGCATTTCTTCAAAAAGAAAGCTGTTTTGGAGATGGAACCGCTTATCCAGGCGAATGTCCATGCCCTATGCCGGCATTTCTCAAACGGGCTCCAGAATCAGAAACCCCTAGAGCTGCATACCGCCTACGAATGCTTCGCTAGTGACACCCTTTCGCAATATGCCTTCGGCCAGCAACATGGCTTCCACTACCTTGATCAGCCCACCTTGTCAATAACCTGGAAGAGCAGAATCACTTCAATGTTCAGCCTTTGCCGGCTTGTGCGATACTTCCCAGCCTTGAGCGCCATTGCACGCCTTTCCAAACCCATTGCCACTTTAGCTAGTCCCTCGTACAAGCACGTACATGAATTTGAGCAGGTAAGCTGTTTCAGTCCTGACGATTATTTCATGATAAATGACTGTGAATTTAGGATGTGAGGCAGCAAGTGCGAAACGTGATCAAAGAGCACAAGAAAACCACCAGCAACAGGCCCGCCGCCTTACCCATTGAGAGACTCGGGTCGATTAAGCTCCCAACACCCATATATTACGCAGTCCTCGCCGATCCCACCATACCGGATAGCGAGAAAAAGTCCGCACGGCTGGAAGACGATGCCTTGTTTCTTATGATGGCCGGTACCGATGCTCCAGCTCAAACGCTCGCGATTACCATGTTCCATATTCTCAATACTCCTTCGGTTTACCAGAAGATCAAAGCAGAGCTTTTCTCTGCTATTCCGGATATTACTACCGCGCCCTCTTTCGCCCTCTTGAATAGTCTTCCATATCTGGTATGTCGTTCCTACACACCTGGTTGCTGGCCAATAGAATAACAGGAGTCTAGAGCGCTACCATTCGAGAAGGGCTTCGACTGTCTTCAGTCGTAACTACCCGTCTTCCACGAATAGCCCCGGATGAGGTTCTACAATATCAACGGTGGCAGATTCCAGCTGGGGTACGCAGAAACTTTCATTTCTTATACATAATGCTAAATTTCTATAGACTCCAGTGAGCATGTCAACCTACTTCATCCTCCGCGACCCAACGATCTTCCCCGAGCCTACGAAGTTTATACCAGAACGCTGGCTGCTAGATACTGAGGACCTAAAGCGGCTACAGCGGTATCTTCTGCCCGCGTCGAAGGGTACACTCGGTTGCCTCGGACAGAAGTAAGGCCTGTTCCCCAGAGAAAAGTCCTCATTGTTGTATCTAACTGTGAGATGCAGTCTGAACTGGGCGTGGATGAATATTGTGATTGGTACGCTTTTGAGGAGGTTCGACCTTGTTCTCTATGACACCACCGAGAGAAACGTGGAGATGACAAAAGACAACTTCATTGGACAGACGGAAGACGGTATGAATACAGTCCAGGTGAATGTTTTAGAGCAATACACTCAGTGATTGCAAAGCAAGTAACCTGGTGGATGATATGTATTGAAGAGGGGAACGCTCGATGGCAGCACGCGCTGAGACGTGCGGGTCGATTCAGCAGAAAAACCACCAAAAAACACACGCGTAGCAATCAGGAAACAGCGAGAAGCCCAAATGTAGGGGTCAGGTCGGGGGAGGTGTAAGAAGGTGTATTCTAGAACTAGCTATCCGGCCACTGTATACTGCCGGCTATGTCACATAGTCTGGATGGCACCCATGTAGTAGGGGGAGGGGGTCTCCCCACTACAATATAGATTCTCAAAGTTTCTAAGGTCGTCAATAATTGATTTTATTGCTTATCCTAAACCAAGTTCCAGGTAAATATTTTTTTCCTTTTTCCTCAACAGCGAGAATACATTGCCTTTTCAAAGCCGTATATGGCGGGCCGTTCGTCAGGGCGCAACCTAGCAGTAGAACCAAACCAAACCTACAACTGACCGCTATCCTCCGTCAGGGGCCCTGGAAGATGAATTTAATTATGAGTGAAGAGCACGCAATGGTAAATTGAGCCACATAAAGTATACGGTTATTGTTCAGGAAAAATCGCTGATTCTCCCGCAAAAGGCCTGCGTGAGTATATGACGAACAGAGAGAGGGGTCAAATACCACTAGGACACTTCGGGATAGGCTTATTCATCGTTCGCCGAATTTCCCTTAATGTGGTTACACAACACGCCACAGTTCGATAAGGGAGACCCCTGAGATCGCTCAACTGATCTTAACAACCTTCAATCAATCATCTGATTCTATTTGGATATCTTCAGTACTAGCCAGTACATCAACTCCTCATCCTGACAGTATATAACAATTGGCTATAGTAAATTTCTATTACCCGTGAAGTCCGTGGGGGTGATTCTATTTGTACTTGGGCTGGCAAATTTATATCCATAACACTCCACTTACTCCAACCACCTATCTGTCCAATGGCACCACCTTAGCCTTGAATACGACACATATTACTAGTAAAATAGTCAAAATTGAATGTGCAAAAAGCAAGTGCAGCCGGTTTTAAGGAGAAATTCAATCATTTATCTGTGCTTTCTAACCGAGGCGACCTATCATATGCACTAAACATAAGAGCGTTTTGGCGTAGAGGACCCCCTCCTGGGTATCTAGGGACAAGGTCGTGGCAGGATCTCGATGAATTGATTGCGGAGTTTCGCTATAGCTACAAAGTCGGTCAGTTCCTGTGACGAAGATTCGACACAACACGACGCATATTTGTGAAGGGCTACGGCCGAATTGATTCAATTGAGCGGCGCCAACATGCTGTTTATCTGAAGCTTAGAGAAGTTTAGAAATAGGCGGTGGCAAGCGGTGACTAAATATCCTGGGGAGTTGATAGATCACATCGCACAGGCTTGGCCTGGGCAATAGATCGGGACCTGACCCGTTACATGGTGAATGACTTCCGGGGACCCGAATTGACCTGCTTCGAGAAATCCAAGAGTGGACAAAGTCACCACAGGGAAATACATATTCTGGTGGAATGGCATGGCAGGGACAGGGAAATCAACGATATCCCGAGCAGTTGCAAACCATCTAAGCTTCTCGGGGCAAGCTCTTTCGAGAGAGGTGAAGAGGACCGAGGAACTGCAAAAAAGCTTTTTCCCAACATTGATCGAGCAAGTGGTCATCGGTATGGGGCTATTCTCCGGCTCTTGCCACAAGTTCAAATGCAATTAGGCTGGGCTTTGTAGAGATCGTCAACTTTGACGAGACAGGCTTCGCGATAGGCCTCACTGCAACCGCAAAAGTCATCACTCGTGCGGAATACTACGGTAAGAGATCGATGCTACAGCCATGGAATCGTGAATGGGTGACTGCAATCGAGTCAATCTGTGCCGAAGGTAGGCTCTCCCGCCATATATCATCTTCAAGGGCAAATTCTTCATCGAATCGGGGTTTGATGACCTTCAGGACGGCTGGAAAATCGATAAAAGCGCAAATGGATGGACTACAGTTGATATTAGCTTTTATTGGCTAAAGAATCACTTTATTCCACACATTTATGGCCGGTCAAAGGGTAAATATCGGCTACTTATCCTTGTTGTGACACCAGGCACTTGCTGCGCAGGAATAAAGCCGCAACATCGGAAATAATTCCTGCTCTATGTATGAGGAGAGCCAAGTTGATTGAAAATCAACTTGAACTTCACGTTGTATATATACCCCCATGTATTCCCTCAAGAAGATGAATCAAGCTTCCTTCGCATTACAACAATCCTTGATGGCCATGTCAGTCATTTGACGGCTCAATTCCACCATATTTGCAAGGAGCTTGATACTATACCGATTTGTATGCCTGCGCATTCATAGCAATTGCTTCTGACCGCCTCAGATGCCGTAAAATCTCTCTCTGCGCACGCCAAAACGGCTCTTTTTGTGGACTTTCCATCGGCGCGCACACGTACTCTCGTGGAGAACATGTACCATTGGATGAAAACTTTTATCAACACGATATTGTAAGCAGTAGTCCCTTCCTCAAGCCCATAGGTATCGTGAAAAGGGGTTCCGCTAGAATCAAGAAACCTACATTGCTAACACGTGGAAAAAATAGAAATATTGTGGCCGCTTACTCGATCCAAAGATTGAGGTACCTCCTATAAAGGTGTTTCATGGGTGTCCTATGACGCGAGTGCTTTGAAATCGGCAGAGCTGGCCCAGCTTCTGTGGTTATAGACTGCTAGTCGGTTGTATTGCATTGTGTCTGTCTTTTTTTTTTGGAGTATTGGGGTCGAAAAGTATTGATAAATGAGGATTGTTAGCGGTGGTTCATGAGCTGGGATCTGGAATGAATGGTATGACAAGATTGAGCGGTGAACAGGCTCTATTTGTCTCTGGGGAAAGCAAAGAGCTGAGTTTGATCTCCGGTATCTTCGTGCAAGGCTGCATCTTCCTCGATGTTGGTATGTGGATGCAAACTCGTGGTTGGCTGGGCATACTTTCTGTGGGGCTGACCGGGCGTTTGTCTGGTCTGCACTGTTTGTTGGTGTTTCTACTGGTGCATTGGTGTGTCCCCAAGATTGCATGTTCAACGATGGCACGGTGCCGGAAAGAAAAGAATATCTTCTGTCTATATGCTCCTCTATTTCCTCAAGTCCTGCGTCTGTTAATGAAAGTTCGCGTTAGACGAAGTTCAAAGATTAATAGTGGTTACGATTGAGGCTCTGCGGCAGTTTCTGCCCGAGCCTGTAAGTCACCGCCTTCTCGAGTCCTCTTTGCCGATCATGTTGCTGCACATGTCTCCCTATCTGAACTGCCCTTGTTCACCCACTCACGTCTTGCGCCAGAAGCTGTCTTTTTAAGACACCCATCGCGCGAAACTACCTGGTCAGGACTCATGATATATCCCAGGAAGTCTCGCGATTTAGCCTCAACTATCAGTCTGGACTATTCTGCCAGAAATGTTGAATAGTACGAGCAAAATGCTCAATTTGCTTCAACTCAAGCTTTAAAGCGCGGGCGGGCGGTGGAAACACATCCGCTCTGCTCTAGTTAGTTACCTCATTGGCAACCCTTGCAGTTGAGTCATGCCTCGATTCGTGACTGATTTTCATGATTCACATGCACGTCCCAGTCCCCCGGCCGGTTCTTCGCAGCTCTCGAGACTGTTATGGTGACAAATGAGGCTCAACGAAACTTAAACTTTTGCCATCCTTCCTATTTTAAGCCAGGATGCCACATCCGGCGCTAGTGTCAGCGCGGGGATGAGAAGATCGGCAAGGGATGGCATATGTACGGGTTCCCGTAGAACCCGTAACAACAAATGGCCAGTGGACCACTCTGTCGCGTGGTGATTCGTGAGTCTGGGGGTGCGGGCGTCTCCCTTCCACCACTATCCCTTGAAACACCACCTCCCCCTTCACAGCGATCCCCCCTGTGGAAGTGTGGAGCCCGTTCCCCGGGCCCAGACCCCGCTCTGGCACCATTCACTCACAACTTCGTTAGTCTTTAATGACCAGATCAGGAAGCATCTTGTGATTTTGGGGCTGGCCCACCTTGGTCGATCAGTGGGGTTTCCCAGACCCTCGTGGTTGGCCCGGATCTGCTTCATGCAGCGAAAGTACATGTGCATGCCGAGTCGCGCTGCGGTGCGCGTGGTATGTGATGAAGCTGTTTTCCTGTTTGGACTGGATAGCTCATGGCCAAATTAGTCAGTTACCCATGCAAACAATGGATGGGAGCTATTGTCCTGGAGACCACCTGCCAGAGATTCTAGAATCTGTCGAGCATGATGAGCACTGGAACATTCATGGATTAAACTCCGCTGGTAGTTGTTTCAGGCAGGTGTCACTCGAACGTAGGATAATAGTGTCGCATGTTTCAAAATTCCTCAAAACGCATGCGAAGATCGTGGCTCTCCCACCAAAGGGGGCATTGGGTTCCAGCAGAGGTACCCTGGAATATGCTAATGCTTAAGCCACGCCCGGCCCGGAACGTTGGCGGGGAAATACATACCCACGCGGCGATGGATCTGCGGGTACTGCATTTCGAGCCTACTAGCTCCACCTTTTGTTGATGGACCAGTCTAGGGCAAATAAGGGAACCCATGATGATGGATGATCCGCGGGCGTTCAGCCTCGACCACCTACACGGGACTTGCTTCCCCGGTTCCGCTGTCCCCAGCCCTTGACTCCTCCCATCCGATTTGTCGAGGTGTCGATCGTGCCAAAGCCGGCTCGAACGGGCTAGACTGATTGTGCATTCTTCTGCAATAGGAATTGATCGGGTGTATTTTGCAGCTTGAAATTGAATAATGCCTTTAATCGTAGGGCCTCTGGCCTGTTTTGTCTTTCGTAGGTAATATTGTTTATTTAAAACCCCCGTTTCATAGAATACGGAATTTCTTTTCCCTCTAAACCTCCAGGTTCTCCTATTCCCTCCACGTTCATCATTCAGGGCGTCCACTCGACCATTCATTCTCACTGCCAGTCCAACGGTCGGCAGCCATGGCAGGCTCCTCGCACAACATCTGCCCAAACAGTCTAGCTCTACAGTCAGATGACAATGCCTGGGAATCTGGCTACGCAGACGTTCCCTGGTCCAACCCATCTCACTACTCCACCTCCTCCGGGATTGCGGTCGCACACCACTGGGACCCACGAGATACCCAAGTGATTACGAATATGCCTCCTGCCGCAAAATCCCCCAGTTCCAACTCCATGATAACCCCTCCCATGACCCAGTACCACACGAGCTGCCTACCCTGGTCGATCGCCAGCCCCTGCAACTACATCCTGCCCGATGCGCAGAACACGACCCGAGTTTCGAATCCTGCTTTAGGTACCCCGATGACCAACACCTCGTCCCTGCACTCCTCTCCGGAGGAGTCCCCCGACTCCACGACCTGCGAACATACATGCGAACACGGACTTACGCCACATCCAAAACGCCAAGCCCTTGGTGTCGAGTACGTTTAGCCTCCATTTCTTCAAACATTCAACATGGCAGTGTCTTACATACCTCACAGTCCGAACCACTTCGGTCGATACAAATGCCGATGGGAGGGATGCCGATACACTGGGTCATTCTCACGAGAGAATTGCCTCTGGCGACACATCAAGTCCTTCCATGTTTCTCCCGAAGAGTACCGATGCCCTGCGCAGAACTGCAAGAAGACATTCGGTCGGAAAGACAAATTTGAGAGTCACTGGCGACTGTATCATATTACCCACGGTAAGGGCGAGCCATGCTCTTGCCACTCTTGATTGCCTTCCACTTTTCGCAACTTCTCTTCTCTTCTTCCTTTCCACATCTCTTTACCGTTTCACGGCTTGGGGCCTTTTCCTTGTCTTGCACCCATTGATTGGGCTGCCACGATTATGAAAACCTAGAAATATCTACGATTACATCATTTCTTTGTCTCCTCGTTGCTTTCAGCATGGTGTTTGAGGGGCTAATGGCTAAAGGGTTCATGAAGGTCTTCATTGTATTATGTCGCATCTGCTTTCTGACGATAGAGGATCCGACATAGGTAGTAATGTCACACGATCAACACTAACAATTTCATTCACGCCACGTAGCCGAAAAAGACGCCACTTTAAGAGACTACAATCAAGGTTAACAAATGTGCGTTGTTAATCATGACAGTAGGTTTGCAAACCCATGTTCATTTGTTATAGTTAGCCAGTGTAGTGTTGCTTGAGTCATGTCGATATATATTTCTGCAGAAGGTGTGGAGCTGGCCGAGTGGGTCATTGTTCACCTGCAAGCAAGAATGGAAGTTGGAAGGCGGTGGAACCGCATATGTGATAGCAACCAGTGGATGAACAAGTCTGATTTCGAGTACAACTCCTGAGCTAACAATTTATAAGGGGTAAAACAAATTAATAATGATGATGTTTATCCAGAACCACCCACTAATATCCTGTTGAAGTTGAGGATGCCCTGGTAGTGATAGTGACAAACTGAGAAGGTGGTCAAATACCACTAGGACCCTTCGGGATTGGCTTATTCATCGTTCACCCAATTTCCACCTAGTATGGTGTCATAACACGCCATAGTTCAACTATAAAGACCCCTGAGATCGCTCAACCGATCGGGGGACCTACAATCAATCATCTTATTCTGTTTGGACATCTTCAGTACTAGCCAGTACATCGATTCCTCATCCTGACAGTTATGAGCCCGGACTGCCTGACTGTATGAGAGAGATATATCACCTACCTGCTCTGTATCTCGCAGTCAACGAATCCCCGAAGCACCTAACACGGTCGGATACCCCTGAACGCTTAGCCACCCCTTGTGAGCTCTTACGTTCAGCACACAGCGAGATCCGCACCGACAAACATCCTTCGGAAACGTTATATGAGGAGAATTCGAGTGTCTGAGCTATATCTTTTGCGAAGATGTCTGATATCGCGAGGGAAGATCTGATGCAGGTCCCGCTTGACCAAAAGCTTCAGTCGGAAGCGCAGTGGAGGGTCTGGATAGGCCATATCAAGTCAGCGGCTGTTGCAGAAGATGTATGGGATTACCTTGATCCTGAGAAGACGGACGAGGAGGTCCTACAAGTGCCCGAGGCTCAGGAAGAGCCCTCACTACCCCGGGATAACCGCCAACGAGAGAGAGATATTATGGAGCTAGATGATGCTGAGCTGAAGAGATACACGTTCGCTGTTCAAGCGTACGATCGTCGTAATCAGCGCCGGCAGAGGTTGTTAAAGACTATGTCACGATTGAATGGCCTTATCACCCGCTCGCTAGCCACAGAACATCACTATCTCATTGTGGGAGAGGACTCACCGCGGAAGAAGCTACTGAAGCTATCTGAAACGTTCAAACCAAAACCTCAGAATCGACAGCAACAACTTCGCCGTGCTTGGAGAGAGATGATCAAACAAAAGCCTTCAGGTGATACAAACCACTGGTTAACTCAGTGGGTTAGCCTATTCGAAGAGGGCAAGATCGCGGGCATACCTGACTGCTCACTTGGAGATCACTTCGCGATACGAGACTTTCTTGACGCTATACAACCAATTGATGATGGCTGGTGCATAACCTGGCGCGAAAAGCTTGCAGATAAGGATAAATCTGTCACATTTGATGAAGTTATAGCTAGCTATCGCAGCCGCCGTGGAGATCTTACAGTCTCTGGAGGACGGAAGCAGCCCAAGATAGCTCTAGCTTCACTGAATGGTGAACCTGAGGCTAAGCCTGCAGAAAAGGCCTATCGCAAGAAATGTCCGTGTGGTAACGCACATCCTCAGCATCACTACTCAAAATGCTTCTATCTTGACGAATCACTTCGACCAGATGGATGGAAGCCAAGAGAGGGAACTGTTCAACGCATTCCTGAATACATAAAGCAGATGAGTCCTCAAGATCAGGAGAAAATCGCCAAAATACAGCAGAAAAACGCTAAATCAGCTCACCTTGCTGGTTCGGCTCAGCCAGAGAATCCGTCCTTAGCGTTCTTCGCTAATGATACTCGAGCTATCGCAGCGTCAGCAGTGGACGATGAGCTTCTCAAAGACAGCTGGATTCTTGATACCGGAGCCACCTGTCATATCTGCAACGACCGCCGACAGTTCTTGACCTATACGCCGCGAAATAGCACCGTTAAAACCGGTCAAACAGTGACGCCGATGATAGGCTATGGGCAGGTCAGGATCACTGGGAGACACCCTCGTACAGGCGCTACAGTGCCTATTACCCTGGATAACGTGTGGTACTCGCCTGGCTTCCACACAAGCTTGATCTCACTCTCTGTGATCGAAGACAAAGGATTCTGCTTCAAATCTGCTGAAAGAGCGATCTTTAAAGGCGAAGAGGCTGTTCTTGAGATAGGGAGATATCATGGTCTCTACACAGTCATATATGATCCGAATCACCGAGCAGCATTTTCGGTACGGCATTCGGAGAAGCCCCATCTCTCAGTAGCCTCAGCGCGGCGCTGGCATCGTCGGTTAGGCCACGCCTTTGACCAGAAGATTGAAAAGCTACCAGAGATGGTTGATGGAGTCAAAATCGATGGGATCTGCGAAGATAACCGTCATGACAACCCTGAGAGATGTGAAGTCTGTCAGCTAACCAAGGCCAAACGTCAGATCTCTCGCAGGACTACTGGAACACCGTACGGCAAGTATGGGCGTATCCACTTTGATCTTGTCCAGATCGACCCAGGTTATAATGGAGATCGCTGGATGACGCACTTCTACCTCGAGGGCGTACGCCTCCATGCAGCCTATACTCATGAGAAGAAGAACGGCTGTCAAGACGCGGTTAGTCAATTTGTGGCCCTAGCCAAGAAGCAGTGGAATCTTCCGATCCATGCCTTTCGATACGATAACGAACGCTCTGCGGGTCGTACAGTAGAGGATTTCCTGTCAAATGAAGGCTTTATCATTGAACACAGTGTCGTGGGTACCCCGGAACAGAATGGCTTCGCGGAGCGATCTGGGGGGTGGTAATCACCATGGCTCGTGCTCTTATATCCGATGCAGGCCTTCCGAAGAATCTATGGCCAGAAGCTGTTAGAGCCGCGATATGGATCATCAACAGATCGCCCACGAAGTTGCCAGACGGCCGGTGGATAGTCCCTTACCAAGAGGCATTCCTTAATCAGCCACAACAACGTGTTAACCTCGCGAATCTGAGGATTTTCGGCTGCCGAGCATATGTGAGGAAGCAAGTTATTCCGAACGCAGCAAAGATGGAACCACGCGCCGAAATAGGCTATCTCGTTGGCTATGAAGCCTCGAATATCTGGAGGGTGTGGTTTCCACGCAGAGGAGCCGTACGATCAGTGCGAGATGTTGTTTTTGATGAGAATGTGTTCTTTAACACTCAAGAGCTAGAAAAGGAGCCTGTCAGCGATATCTTGGAATCCATGCCATTCGTTATCGACGACAACGAGGATTCTGACCAGGTTATTTCTGGACCAAGTCTGGATATACCTCAGCCAGAGAAATCAGCCACTCCAAAGCTAGTGGAGCCTCAACAGATGATATCACCGTCACCCACGCCATCCATTCAGCCTATACAGGCCTCGATGCCTCGCATACCACCAGAATCAATCCCAGGTGCCTTTCCGGAACCACCAACTCGTGATTCTCAAGATCAACTCACTGAACAACTTCAGAGAGAGCTCTCAGCCGCTACACCTACACAAGGGACTCGCATTGCGCCTAGAGACATCGTGGGAGATATCTCGACTCGGAACATTCTGTCAGGCTCACGTAAACGAACATCAAGAGATATCAGCAATTTAGCCTTCTCGGCAGACGAGGATGCTGAAGAGGGTATACTCGCAGCCTTTGCAACTGGCCTCAACGGATCTCACTCACACACGAGACCTCACCGTGATGATCTTCCCCCTGAACCCCGGAACTGGCGAGAGATGATAAATCACCCGTTCAACGAAGGTTTCCTAGCAGCCGCCGGCCTTGAGGTAAAAACTATCGAACGAAAAGGCACCTTTGATGTCATACAGCGTCCAAATGACCGCAGCGTGCAGGTGCTTCCGTTGAAATGGGTATTCAACTATAAATTCGATAGCGATGGATATCTCGCGAAGCTGAAGGCGAGAATCTGTGTGCGAGGAGATCTCCAGAAGCTCTCTACAGAAGAGAAATATTCAGCTACCCTCGCTTCCCGTACGGCCCGCACCGTTCTTGCCCTAGTCGCTGCATTTGACCTTGAAACACGCCAATTTGATGCCGTCAACGCCTTTCTCAATAGCTCACTGGATGACACAGTGATAACCGAGATGCCAGAGGGATTCAGACAGTCTGGACATTGCTGGAAGCTCTTAAGAGCTCTCTACGGCTTACGGAAATCTCCGAGGCTCTGGCAGCGCGAGGCCTCAAAGGTCTTGACTCAGCTAGGTCTCACTGTCGTTCAAGAAGATCTTTGTCTCTTCGCATCGGACGGCATTATCATATTCTTCTATGTGGATGATATAATCATTGTCAATCACCCATCTCAGCGCCAGCGTGCGGCAGACATTAGAGAAAAGCTCAATGTAACATGGGAATTGAGAGACATAGGCGAAGCTGAGTGGTTCCTAGGGATTCGTATCGTCCGTGACAGACAACAGATGGCCCTCTGGCTCTGTCAGGACTCATACATCTCCTCTATGGCCAGCAGATATCACCTTACCACATACCGCCGCTTCGATACACCCTTACCACCAGCTACATTGAAGCCGTACGCTGGGCAGGCCACAAAGGAACAGATTCATGAGTACCAGGAAAAGGTAGGCTCCACTCAGTATGCCACTACCATCACACGGCCAGATGCAGCCAAAGCAACTTCCGCGTTAGCTCAATTCCTCACGAACCCGGGACCGGAGCATCTCGAAGCGATCAACCGTGTGATATCCTACCTATACCACACCCGTTTTCTTGCCCTTACCTACCGGCCACGCCGATCTGAGGACAACGAAGCCGTCACTCTCTTTAGTGATGCCTCGTTCGCTGATAATCCTGACCGGAAGAGCTCGGAGGGATACATATGCATCATTTTCGGAGGACCAGTTGACTGGAGAGCTAGCAAACAGCGTACAGTGACTACCAGTACTACCGAAGCGGAGCTACTGGCGATCTCTGAGACTGCAAGGAATATTAGCATGTGGAAACGTCTCTTTGAATCTATTCGCTTTGATCCAAAGCACGAGCTCGCTATCAGATGTGATAACCAGCAGACGATCCGGCTTCTCACCAAGGAAGCTCCTCAGCTGCGCACGAAGCTACGTCACGTTGATGTACACAACCACTGGCTCCGTCAGGAGGTCCAGGCAGGCAGAATTCTCATCAGATGGAGCGAAACAAAGGACATGGCTGCGGATGGGCTCACCAAGCTACTGCCGCGTCAAAAGCACGCAGAATTCGTTCAATTGATGGGCATGGAGGATATCGGAAACCTGCTCGATTAGCAGAGGATTTTTGGAGATTGTGCGAACGCTGAGGGGGTGTGACAAACTGAGAAGGTGGTCAAATACCACTAGGACCCTTCGGGATTGGCTTATTCATCGTTCACCCAATTTCCACCTAGTATGGTGTCATAACACGCCATAGTTCAACTATAAAGACCCCTGAGATCGCTCAACCGATCGGGGGACCTACAATCAATCATCTTATTCTGTTTGGACATCTTCAGTACTAGCCAGTACATCGATTCCTCATCCTGACAGATAGTATTCAGGGGATGTCGATCAGGTTGTATTGTTGATCATGTGACCCATGAGTCGAATTGGCCACCGACTATGGATTGCGGCCCGGGGATTCAGGCACTAAAGCTTGGCGCCGAGCTATTAGGGGAAGCGGGACTCACTTCCTTAAAAGTTGATTCTTCAGGTTTCTTTCACCAGAGGAAGTGATTTTGGGACTTTTGTGATCGCATGATCACAATAATAGCATACGAATCTAGCGATTCAAGGCATCTCCAAATATCGACCATGTTGGAGATGGATGGCGTGCACAGAAACTCGTGGCGGTTTACGTAACTAGCCTAGTCTGACTCGCACGGGTGGGTCCGTGAAGATTTCTGCGTCTACGGTTGATATCATGGCATCGCGTTTCTCGCTTAGGGTGGCCAAGTTCTTGGCGGAAAATTGCGATTACTCACAAGAGTGTTGAGAAGAAGATATTCGTATGTTTGTCGATTGTGAAGTCAAGAGTGAAGAGGAGATATTAGCTGCATAGAAATCGAAATGTAAGGTCGGATCGGATCTAGGCCGATAATTTTAAATTTGCTCTCATGGGTTGGGGTTGTCAAAAAGGAAGGTCCCGCTGTCGCGGCTGCTTAATGCTGAGCACGCCATCGCCCCTCGCGATTTTTTTGCCGGGTTTCCTGGCCGTCGGGTTCTATGGCTCACGCCGGCCTCTACCCTTAACTTCTCCTGTCTTTCTTCTTCTTTCTCTATACTCATCAACAAGGGAAGTAATAATGGGTTCAACAGCTCCTGAGCAAGAAGTCGGGGATGTGGCAGCGGAGTCCGTCGAGACTCAGGTCTCTGTGCCTGGTCGTCTGAAGTCTGTGTTTCGGTCAATTCCCTTTCAGATCGCCATTGCTAGCGGTGTGTCATTCACTGCTCCCGGCATGTGGGATGCTTTGAACAACCTTGGTGCTGGTGGTGCCGCAGAGCCGTATGCTGTCTCTGGAGCCAACGCTCTGGTGTATGGTCTGTTTGCTGTTGTCTGCGTGATGGCTGGAGCGATTAATAACCGCATTGGTCTTCGATATGGCTTGGCGTTGGGGGCTATCGGTTACCCCATCTATGGTGGTGGTCTTTATGCCAACAGTTATACCACCACGACATGGCTGATGTTCTTTGGAAGTACCCTGTGTGGTATCTCCGCTGGTTTCTTCTGGGCTGCCGAGGCAGCTATTATAATCGGTTATCCCAGCCCGAAAGACCGTGCTTTCTATCTTGGTATGTGCTCGCAAAGGACACTATGCCAATGCCAAGGACTAACGATCTTTCAGCTATCTGGCAAACCGCAAAGGCTGCTGGCCCTATTGTGGGTGGCGCAATAAATCTTGGCCTCAACGCGGAGAACTCGTCCAAGGGTACCGTCAGCGCCGGAACGTACATCGTTTTCATCGTCATCATGTGCCTCGGTCTCCCCATCGCCCTTTTGCTCAGCCCTGCCGAGAAGGTCCAGCGCAAGGATCAATCCCTGGTTGTGGTCCACAAGCAGCCCACCTGGGGCGCTGAGTTCAAGGCCGCCCTGTCCTTGTTCAAGACTCGTCGTGTTCTCCTGCTTCTGCCGTCATTCTTCATCAGCTACTTCTACAACGGCTTCATGAGCACCTGGGTTACTGACTACTTCACCGTCCGCGCCCGCGCCTTCAACTCATTCTTCACCAACTTCGCCGGTGTCGCGTCTTCCTTCCTTATCGCCGCACTCCTCGATCGCCAGTCCATTTTCATCAAGACCCGTGCCCGCATTGCGTTCACCTCGATCGTCGTCATTCTGACCGGCACCTGGATCTGGGCCTCGATCCTCCAGAACGAGTTCTACAGCATGCCCGAAGCCCCTCTGTTCGACTGGTTCAAGGGCGGTTTCGGTAAGTCCTACGCCCTGGTCTTCTTCTGGCAATTCGGAGGCCAGGCATTCCAGCAGTTCCTCTACTGGCTCGTTGGACAGTACAGCACCGATATCTCCTCGCTTTCCTACCACACCGGTATTTTGCGAGGAATGGAGGCTCTGGGCCAGACCGTCGCTTGGGCCATGCAGTCGGAGGGCAATGCCAACCACTTTGTCAGCATTGGCTTGAATTTTGGCATCACTCTTCTTTGCATTTTCCCCACGTGGCTGGTTCTGTCTGACCTGGAACACAGCCACGAGGTCACTGTCACTGCTGAGGACTTGCAGAAGGATGGCGACGCCAAGCCGGTATAATTCATGCACACAGCAAGACTTGGGCACTTCAACAAGTGTCGTTGAACAGAAGAGGGATTTAACATCCTTCTGCATTATATTGCACAATTGTATTTTAGAGCCTTAGACCTTTTCAACATATACCCCAGTCTATAATGATAATTCAAACAACTCTCGCAGGCGAGTTTTCGAAACATGGTCCTCTTTGTTTTGAAAATCGTATATACTAAGACTTGCGGTCCGATATTGTCCCGATCAATCTGTACTTTATGCAGAAAGCAGTATTCTTGGCATATGAGAGAATCACTGAAATAATGAAGGATCATGTGAGAGAAACACAAGATTCCTTTGCCATCGACACGAGGCCCCTGGAGGTTCCTGTGATATCGATGGATTCATTTTCTTATTAGTGGAAGTCTTGCTTGTGTAAATTCCGAGATACAAATTGACGAAATCCTTAGGATATCTTATTCAAAACGTACTGTGCTCTTATCTACTAATGAAGCAGAACTCTACAATTGGGGTCACTTGAGTAGATAATTCAATTGGAAATCGCTTTGATCATGAACGCAACAGCTCCCCGAGCCGGCTGCCACCCAGTGTCTTAGATGTTGGTTAGTCCAAGACTCTGGGTGGGCAGCAAGCTCGGGGAGCCTGAGCAAACAAGAGCTTCGCTTCTGTAGTCAGCGCGTCGATCAAGTAGTTGCGGCATCCGCAAACCTTGCATGGCATTGTGACTTAGTCATGAGTAGAACATGTGTTTGATGCATCAAGCTGACATCATGAAGTAGCATACACTCTGGTACAGGTGCCTCCCATGAGAATCGTTTCGATCGTTAGACATGGATTCGGTCATGAGGATCGGCTCGACTGGGGGCTGGGGTTGAAAGATTCTGTGGTGCGCACACGTACTCAAGCGTAAGTGTTGCATGAGATCATGGTTGAACCGTGGAGTGTGAATGTCTGTGAACCTGGTCAGCAGAAGGCACGAAGGAACTGGCAGAGGGAAAAATCAAACCAAATGTTTCACAGGAAGGTCATCAAATAATCAAGCAAGTGCCCTGGGTTGGCACAAGACCAGACATGTGTGGGCAGTTTTGGGGGTTCGTGACTGGAGAACTGTCTGAGGAGTATATAGCAAGTGAGTTCACACGAAGGAAGCAGTAAATGAACCAGCACCCGGATAGAGATATTGCCATATGTTTTGCTACGATATTCCGAACGCGCTCCGCTGCACGACAGATTCACAGAATAAATTCTTAGTGTGAACACTGGGGCATGAGGTTCTGCTTTTATGTAGTCACAAAGATTTAGAGCGAACCAAATGTCCTGACCTGGTTGAACCATGAAAACGCTAACAATTCCAGGCTGTATCTGTGTTGCTACTATTGCTATTACTACTATTATGACAGGAAGGGACAGGTGGCCATGGCCGATTTGCGCACACTTTCTGTCTAGCATCATGTCCGGCGGCGGATAATCCGCGTCCCTTTTCCAGACACAAATACGATATATGCGAGATAGACCACAGCGACGACTCCTACGACCACGCTATACGCGACGACTGCTCCTGTTGGTGCATCCTTCGAGCCGACACCTGCCAAACGAAACCCCAGACCACCGTTGATAACCCCTAGAGCCAGAAGGATTCGACCGAGCCAGCGATGCGCGTACGCAAATACCCCTTTTTCTCCCATCTTAAGGAAGTGCCGATGTTGCAAATAGCCCATGACAGGTTGAAAAAGGACGAGCAGCGAAACGGTCACTATGCCAATGATTGGGTGGTATTCCTCAACCTCGTGCAGCTTTTGTGCCATGGAAATACCGATTCCCATGCCGGCGATAGCCAGGCACAACGTGAAGAGTTGGAGGAAGGCATGCACTTGGACAATCATCGATGATGGGACTACATGAAGCAACAGGGCGAAGGATGGGAAAAGGATGGCAAATGCGACTATCATTATGACAGCGTGCGCAATCCTCAGATTATTGACCGAGTCTGGGTTGAATGTCGAGGCAGAACCACTAGAACTCGGAATCGTACCGTTGAGTGTCGCGAATGGATTTTCGGAACTTCCACCAGTTGCTTGTTGAAGATTGATGGATGCAACACCAGAGTTGTCATGCTTAACTATAGACACAGAAGGACTGTCGGATTCGATCCAGCTTCCACTCTTCACGGCCCAGACCCATGAACTCGAAGAACTGGTCGGATTGATGCTTCCACCGGACCACGATATGCAGCTGTCACACCGAACGTTTGCTGTCATCACCCCATTGTTGACGCCACTCCCGTCGAGGACTGTCAGCTTTGCCTCGGAATTGTATGTTGGCATGACATGTTGGAGTCCCAGTCGCGGAGAGACTGTGATATTTGTGCCATCACTGGAGGCATAGACGACGAAGATATTCGCTCCAAGCATTTGGCTACCCTGTCCCCAGGCAAACCACTCCAGCTCATGGGTAGACTTCAACTGGAAGAAGATTGGTCCTGAGCCTGAGGAGGCAGTATGCGACGGAATATTGACGTCGAAAGAGATGCCACTATAGCCCGGAGGGGAGAATTCTTGGATTTGAGCAAGGACTGTGGCGGACAACAGCCAAAAGTATGGCAACGGTTGCATGATGGCTAAAATGGATATTATCGTGCCGGAGCCATCGATGAGACGACCGGCCGCTTAAGAGTTAATTTAACTGTCCTAAACTGACCTTACCACAAAGCACGAATACGAGAACGACAGCGGCTTTGTGGATGACAACATGGTGGCTTAGAGGCAGATCAGGGTCCAAGTTTAATCGGATTACACACTTGCTCGATACGACATTTGGTACAAACCTTGGTCGGCTCTTGTCCACGCGATGCGTGGCGGCCACGGTTCTTCTGCAGTGACGGCCGGCGGGAGCCAATCAAGACGAGTTTAATTTGGGCCTTTCCGCATTGAGGGGGTCTACCCATACCTTATTGGACTAGCGCGTTGCTTCGCCTCCACATAAGCACCACAAGCAATTCCAAATTTGCACGGGTCAAAAGACGACCTGTCATGTCTCGGCGTTGCTGGGCTGGGGTTTTTAGGCCGATCTAGAGCTCCACTGGGAATGTTATTGTAAAAGTCAAAGCCCAAAGCTCGATCGCAAGTTTCGTGATCATGTTTCCAGGCCAATCGGAATGCCAAGACCTTTTCCTCAATCTGGGAACGAGGTGCTCCAGCCACGAGTCCTCGAATCATTCAGAAAGAGGTGTTGCGCTTGTACCGTATTCGGGATATGCGCTGGTGGCTATTCCTAACCTTAGCTTGGAATAGTGTGCAAAGCTTGCTATCCCCGCACCTGCAAGACCCAGGAAGAGAAAAGCATTGAGCTGCCCGGTCTTTGTGCCAAGTATAAATGCAGTGGTTTGTTCTGATCATGAGAATAATCTATCCACCTTATTCTGCAAAGTCTGGTCCGAAAGTTCGAGTACTCAACTATGATGATGGCCAAGAGATGCCTTTGCATCTTTCTATTTTTGACTCTCCATGTTGTGGATGCTCAGTATGGAAGCCGGGATGATGCGACCACAACTTCCAGCACATCGACAATGACTAGCTCGAGTACAGCGGCATTAGTATCGAGCAATATACACAAAGTCGATGTCGGGGAGGACGGACTGACCTTTGACCCGGACACCCTCCATGTATCTCCCGGAGGAAAGGTAGAGTTCCATTTTTACCCTGGCAATCACTCGGTCGCCCAGGCCGCTTTCGACAACCCGTGTCATCCAATGAGCACTAGCAGCTTTTTCAGTGGTTTCCATGCCCCTACGCACGACGAATCAGTAAGTTCATTGAGACTTGGTCTGGTTTGAGTAGATTTTGATCGTCTTTCTAGTCTACCGTCTTCACTCTCACCGTGAACGACACCGACCCAATCTGGTTCTACTGTGGGCAGGTCGGTCATTGCCAAGCCGGCATGGTCGGGGTTATCAATCCATCGTGAGTGAATTTCTGGATCAAGCTCTGCTATACGATGCTTAACCACTATATGCCTGACAGAGGCGCAAACACCCTTGATTCGTTCAAAAACGCGGCCTCGAATGCGGACGGCATAACTGTCCCCTCGGCTGTTCAAGGCGGTGTCCTCGGGAAAAATGACGAGACCGAATCATCCACTTCGTCTGGCGCTAGCACGGGGACTGCAAGCAGTACGGAAACCGAATCGTCCACTTCGTCTGGCGCTAGCACGGGGACTGCAAGCAGTACGGAAAGTCCTAGTCCAAGTGCCGCAAATGCCGGAGCAAAATCGCATTCTGTGATTGATATGAGTTGTGTCTTGGTTCTTAGTTTCTTAATGGGTCTATTGCTCATGTAGGAAAACGCTCTCATGCAACCTGATCTGTGGGTTGGTGGGTTGTCTTCACGCGGGATTTATTATTTCGATGGAGCTCCTATGTCTGCTCCTTGGCAAATATTTTCCATGAATGGCCGATCACCGACCAATTTATTGTGTTACTTAAAAGATCTTACCTGCCTTGACGTTAAGTAAAGCGTGTCTTACACTCGTTTGTAAAGGTCATGTGATTTCCCATTCATCTCTCACTTTCAAGTTGATAGCTAACTAGTCTTTTTCTCTTCACTTTCCTTTCGCTTACTTCCCACACCCAACCAACTCCGTGACAACCCCTACCATCATATTTCACCAAGTACCTCATCTGCAACGTCATGTCTGCGATTGTTAGTTGGCAACGATCTTTCCCTGCAACTTGAACACACAGGGGAACCCCGACTCATGGTTGGCTGCCCATCGCCTCACTTCTCACTAGATCCCTTTGCCAGCCTACACATAACTACACATGCGCAATCCCGCACCAATGCAGCAATCCTCCCCATATCTCCTCGGGCACCTCATACTGACCGTCCTGTGCTCTTTTCCGAGTAGACTACAGACATGGATCGAGGCAACAATATGGAGATCGGGCGGCATAGGCTGGAACCCAATTTCGATAAATACCACCTCTGGGTCGAAAGCCTGAAGGCTATTTCAGTTTCGACGACCTCAATCTTTGGCCAGTTGTTACCGACGGGATCCGCCAGTCCGCGACCCCCGAGCACCCTTCCATTGCGGAAATAACAGCACGTGCTATCAGAGATAACCACCTTCGAAGCCGGCGGACCTTACACCGGCAATCTACGATGACTACATCACTCTCAACGTCTCGCCTTTCAATCATACCTTCAAATCCTGGGAATGCCTAAACAATATCGATATCATAGTCATTTACCCAACTGTGTAGGAAACCGTTTTTGTTCAGATTTATCGTTTTCGTTCAGCTTCTCAAGCCTTCACCCAGAACCAAGATATGTACAGCCGGTCCCAGCGCGCGTCCTAATTTGGACGCTAGGTGAGGCCTGATTCCAATTCCCGGATACATTATCAAGGACACGAATTCAAAGAGCTCTTGGTGGTATTCCAGTGTGTGTCATCACATTTCAAGCGTTGCTCGACAAAAGTTTGGGTATTTTGTCGACTATGAAGACAGCCAGATACCACAACTTCGCTGACAAAGCTTTGCGTTTACACAACACCCAAAAGATTCCTTCTTAGAAGAAATGTTAAGCATTCCCTCTCCTTTCGGCGCCCGTCTCTGTCGCTCATCGAAGTATACGAGCCTCTCCAGATGCGTTGGTTAGCCGTCCGCTTTTGCAGTTCATAATGTCAGGAAACGGTGCGTAGCAACATCACTACGGGGGTAGCTTCCTGCCAGGAGTGATGGACCTTTTGCCTCCTCTGCGGACGGCAGTCAGTTACCATAGTTTTAGTATTGCATCGGTAGGTTAATATTCCACTAATTGCTAACTTGCTAGTATGCGTAGCCCAACTTGCTCCTTTCTGTTATCTTCTTCTGCTTCTGCTCTCCTCCATTCTCGAGGCACTTGCATCCCGTCAAGGTAGTCTTAACACATATGCCTACATTGGGTATCTCAGATCTTCATATATCGTCAAGGGAGCCAGCACATATCCCGATGCGGATGCTCTTGATCCGCTCTGTCTAGGCTCTCTTTTCAACACAGACTCGCGTGACCTCAACGGAGAAACAGGAAATTCATGATGACTCTGGAAGCGGAGACAACGCTCATTTCTGCAGATAAGAGAATAAAAAATTGCCTTCGAGATGGTTTATTGGAATGCTGCGTTTCTAATAAGAAAGGACGGGTGTAATGTGATCTCGTCTCTCTCGTCCACCAAATCCACTTTTCATGAGGTAAATGGGGAGCACTACTTGCTCGGCTCTAAGACAGCGGTAATCTCTTGTAAGCAAAGAATATATTTTTACCAGATCTTTCCCTTATCGTGGTCTATAGAGGGAAGTGCATGCGGGGGCGGGTCCGCCCACACCACTGAGCAGCATTTGCGCGGCGGGCGAGGCCAGCCCGGTAGTCGGAACTCAGCACGCGCCGGCGCGGCAGCTTCCGCTCTCCAACGTGCATAAAGAGGGGAAGGTTACCTGATAAGCGGAAAATTACCTCACACAATCAATCTCTTCCTTGCACTACCCAAACACGACAAAATGGACTTCTCAATGTACCATTTCGCCGGTGGAAACCGCTCTACGCAGGAAGTACAGGCTGCGATAGATGACTACCTCGATGGCCTGGCGCAGCCACTCCGTGAGCTAAATCAAAGAGTCGGTACCTCACAAACTCTGATGACCCGAATCCAAGTCACTGACATGCAATCACAGATTCACCAAAACCCCGAACTGGCTTACGAGGAGCACTACGCTCACAATCTTATCTGTGAATTTCTCGAGGAGCGCGGATTCCCTGTCCAGCGCCATGCGTACGGCCTGGCAACTGCCTTTGAGGCCAAAGTTGGAGACCCCCAGAGCCTGCGCTGCATCAACTTTAACGCCGAGTACGATGCACTGCCCGAGATCGGCCACGCCTGTGGTCACAATCTGATTGCAACGTCCAGCGTCGCTGCCTTTATTGCACTGGCTTTCACCATTCGCAAATTCGCTCTCCCTGGCCAGGCTCAGCTGCTCGGTACCCCTGCTGAAGAAGATGGTGGCGGCAAAGTCGACCTGATCAATGCAGGCGCTTACAAGGACGTAAGCATGTCCTTGATGATGTGCGTCTCCATCTTTCTCCTACTAATTGCAGTTTCAGACTAACGTATAAAGGCATCCTATGTCGGAGGAAGAATTCGAAAGCCAGAAAGTCAAGGGAATCGGTGGCCGATCCACAATTGCCTGCTTTGACCTCGTCGCATCCTACCACGGTACCAGCGCCCACGCAGCCGCCAACCCTTGGGAAGGCGTCAACGCCCTCGACGCCCTTGTCCTGGCCTACAACGGGATCTCCATGCTCCGCCAACAGATTCGTCCCGACGAGCGAATTCACGGCGCTATTATGCAAGCCCCAAAAGTCACCAACGCGATCCCCCAGTACACACGCACCAAGTACACGATCCGTAGTCGCACCGAAACCAGGGCCCGAGAGCTGGGAGAACGTGTTCGCAATTGCTTGGATGGCAGCGCGAAGGCCACAGGCTGCAAGGTGGAGATTGAAGAGACCCAGATGTACTCCAACCTGATTGTCGTCCCGCCCCTCTGCGATATTTACAAGTCGTTCATGGGTGATATGGGTGTCGAAGTCGATTCTTACGACAATGAGCTTATGCCGGGCTCTACAGATCAGGGTAATGTCTCTCACCAAGTTCCCGCGCTCCACGCTCTTGTTGGTATTCCGGTCACTGATGGAGCACATAACCACACTCGGCAGTTTACCGATGCTGCGGGCTCGGATGAAGCACACCGTCGATCGATCATTTCTGCGAAGGCCATGGCGATGACGGCCTGGGTCTTGCTCACGGATCGTGTGCAATTCCATGCTGTTCAACAGTCCTTTCGCGAGGTTAAGCCGAAGACCGAATGATTGATTTCCTGCGCTAATGGTCGATGACAGGGAATTTCGTAGTTATTCGACAGCGATTTTCGATGTATTTGAAGACAAGCTAGCAACAATAAGAACACATTTTACCTGTCGATCTAGCCTCTTATCGGATAGCGGGCTTCGTGACATGGCACTCCGGCGTCTGTTGCCAGTGATACTAACCAAAAGCCTCGAAACACTGAACTTGACTGAACCAGAGGTTAAGCACCAGATTGTCTTGGCATAAGCCTCCCCCTACCCCTAATTTGGGTTTAGTCCAAGGATCGTGGGCCAGTCATGCCAGCTCCACCGCCGATCTCGACCCACAACCATGTGTGCAATCGACGCCATGAACAGATCGGAATATCACGACTATCAGTAGCCAGAACTTGCTCCGTGTATCCTGGAAGACTGCACGATGTCGAGTTTTGAATGCCGCGGTAAATTTCTCCGATTAAATTCCAGAGGACCTTGAGAGTCAATGATGTCATTCGTGTTAGGTTCTGGACGCCACTGTATATATTAAGCTCGACCGCTCTGTTTATATAATAGGGTATGACTAAGTCTATTTAGGAATATCTTTACTGAGATATTTAGGGTCACAATCAGTGACAAAATCAGTATAGTTAGTCCAATGGCATTTAGCGTAGTATGCTACTTGTCCTACCATTGATCAATCACGGATATTGAGTGAACGGGCATGGAGGCACCATGAGTTAATAGTTAATGATCTCAAGACAACTGGAAGCTAGGATATTTATAGGGGGCGAGAATTTTTCAATTGTCAAGGGACAGGTTAGGTCGGATCTGTCAGCTGTTGGCGATGCCCCTGAGCGCTTTGAGCGATGTAAGCAGGATGGGTTAAATTAACCTGATCGTAGGACACAGGTCGCGTATGTTCGGACCAAGATTCCATTTATTTCTTTTTTCCACTGAAATAATGTTTATATGAAGGGGTTCCTCGTGAAAGAACGTGGAAAAATATAACGGCGACCACCTGAGCAGGACCGTCGATAACATATTAGTGATCAGCCGTCCAACCTTCCAGCTAGCCAGTCATAAACAAAGTCACAAAAATTATTTCATAGTGCTGTGAGCGTATTTAATTGTGAGTGTGATTGAAGATAGCGTGGTTAACATTCAGCTATTACGCATAGTATTTAGGGATGAATCCACAGAATACTGTGACAACAGCCCTATATAGCAGGCCATGGCTGCCCCTCACGAGATAGATAATGTACAGCACATTTGGCAGCAAAAAGGCTTCACGAGTTGGTGGAAAACAATGGGAAGCGCTCTTGGCAAAGGAACCTGAAATCGATGGCAGAACAAAGATGAGTTCGTTGGCGGTCACAAGGGCTGAGGAATCTAAGGTGAACGTAAATGGAACTTTCAGACATTATTTTTCAAGATGAGCGTGAGTGGCGTAGTGGTTAAGGGTGTCACATACCTTCCATGATACTGCATTAAAGCGAGCGTTCGTCCATCGGGAAGAGTGACCTGGAGTCTGGCCAGCTACAGGTACCTCCTACTGGTGCCAAAAACTCAAGGGACGCCTTGGGGTTTTATAGCCTACTCCAGCTCGGCTGGCAGGTGAATTTTTTGTTCCCGAAGCAAAATGATATTACCTTTTTCGGCCGCTCCTTTTAATAGAGCTGTCTATTTCATTTTTTATTAAACTTCTGCGGCGCGAATCGCTGAGAAAAAATGAAGATTGTCGAGGACCATTGCAGATCGATGCCCCAGGTACCTGGAGCCTGCCCTCAAGGAGGTACCGTGTGAAATCGTGAGGCCTCGCGTACAATCCAGCGGCCTGCCATTTTTATTTTCCTTTTTTTTGCCCTCAGCGACCACCGTTCATCAACAGCCATCGCTGGCCATCTCAGAAGTGAACTTGTGCATCTAGAATAAGTTCCTCCATCGTTCAAGACCATTTTGGACGTGATCACCGTATCCGCCCTTCATCAACTCCACCGTTCGACCGCGCATCGAGCGTAGCTTCCTCCGTCATTGTGTACCCCTACTACTACGCTCCATAAACTCACCAGCTCTATGGTCGGAGCTGGTACAAAGCATTGTACCTTCTTCCACTAACCTCGCAGTTGTCTGAGATTGAACGAGCTAACCTTCGCGTCATTTTTTTACCCAGACGACACAAAATTGCAGCCTACATGCATCCCTCTACGATATCCCGACTGCTCCACGATCAACAACCTGTCCTTCACCCACAACAACACCCCCCCCCCCCCCAACCACGACCAGTGATCGGGCGCGTTTCATCTTCTTTGATTGACATTCGCATCCTACAGCCAAATGACGGACCTCCGCCTGAGACCACCGTCGTGCACGGCAAAAAAACGCGACCAGAGACAATGAACATCCGCGCTGGAGCCACCAGCTACACCTCGCAGCATGACTCCCATGTGAAAAACCGACCCAGGTCTGCGGCCTCAACAACCTGCTCAATGAACCGAACGCACTGGACTACCACAGGTCGATCGAACGCGACTCGGGCACCACCTAGTTTGGAAACGATACCTTCGGAACCCCCAAAACCGCCAAAAGAGGCCAGCCTACAGCATGTTACACCTACGAAAGCCTGGACAACATCTGGGGTGAGATATCGACCCACCGTACGCGTCCTTGGGTGCTGCTCTCGCTGAGAAACGCCGTCACGCCTCGCAGCACACCGCTGTCCTCAACTCTTCGTATCGCGGTGGAAGCAATGACCTGCCGAGCAAACTATCGAATACAATCGTGGGCGGAAACTCGCGTCGCCAGCTACGGACCATGTGCCTTTATTCGATGTGGGGTCGTTTTTAAGCTTGGGTGGAGAAACCATGGCGCTCCAGGGATATTGGCCAGGGCACCAATCACGGACGCACGCATATGCAGAAGATCGGGCTCGTTGCGGATGTGGATAAACAACACACGGAAATCATTGGGCTCTCATTGGACTGGGCGAAAGCGAGATCGAATGCCAAGATGTGTTTTTCCAGTGTCATGGCGTGCCGGGTTCCACGGAAACAGACGCCAGACAGCGCGCATAATATGCCTATGGCATCTGCATTTCCCGCACACTTTTACGTTCATCATTGGGAAATCTACCATTGCCCGCCTGACAGAGAACAGCCCCCACCATCATGTCTTCCAACGCGCTACCCAGCCTGTCATCTATCTTACCCGAAGAGTCCATGTCCTCTACCTCTTCTTCAGGCACATCACCCGATGACTCTCACACCGTGCTATTCGAAATAGCCTCCAACGGACGCGTCCGAGTTCCCGGAATGACTGAAGTTTCTACGCCGCAAAACGAATGCCACTGAACGGCGATCAACGCTGGGATGTACCAGTCTTGGGAAATACACGGAAATGAGCTCAACAGAAATCGTCCGACGACTCGACCTCTCAAAACACCAAGGTGCGAAGCCACTGAAAACCAACCGAGCAACGCCGACACGGCGAAAACACCCGGGAAAGCCCTTAAAGCTCTCTCCAAATATCATCGACCGCGTGATCGAATACATCGAAACAAGTCCAGAAAATGCGGCCAAGTCCTATTCCGATGCTCTGGCAGGCTAGGAGTTGCCCGTTGGGGGCAGACTCTTCAGAAAATGCTCAAGTCCCGAGGTGTCACTACACGGCCCACGGCAGAACACCCACATTCTTTGAAAAAGGGCGAAAGCCTCATTCATCGATCTAAGGATGCGTGCCAGTGGGCGCGATTAGATTGCGCAGGACTGTGACATCACTGAGCATTTCTCGCAGTGGGTATCTTATCGAAAAGCTTCATCCGAGGGTTGTCAGTGTCCAACTCAAGTTCAACCACCTTCGCCCTCCATGTCGGTATGTATGTCGTACATGAGACATCTTTCACCGTCGCCGTACCGATACCTTTCTTAAACATGGCGCTAACCGGTTTTTATTAGAATGATCCCCGGGCCAGAACAACTTTTTACAAAACACCAGTCCAGTCTTGCTCTCCCCGGTCGGCCATTACGATCTACAACCAATGCCAACCCTTAAATTGTCCTGTCCCCAGCATGAACATTAATTGTCAGCTTGTCAGTCAAAACTCGCGCTACTGATTGTTGCCCTGATATCTTCTGTGGGCAGTTTCCTGCCTTGTTGCCCGTCTCCACTATGATGGCACTGAGTGGGTTGATCTACAAACACCATTTTAACATGCCCATCGCCAAGGGATGGCCTCGTTTATTGGCCTCGGCGACAGGATACATCAAATCAAAGGTTACCATCAGCGCTAAGCTTTAGGCCTCGGTGCTACCCAGGAGACAGGCGCGTCGCTACCATGACGCTTTGGTTGTCCACGATTCTGCTTCTCCCTGGCAGCCTGGCAAAAGCTGTGCCGTCTCCGACGGACAGCCAGTTCCCTACGCCGGAGTCAGTTCGTCAGGTTCTGGCCGTGCATCACAATAATCTCTGCTCTAAGAATAACGGCACGTCGGTACCACTCTCGCACCGGTACGCGAAATTGACATGACGCCGACGACGCAGAATAAACCAACCACCAATGAAGAAGGCGAGAATTGATTTGTACATAATGCTTAAATAATCCGATAACCTAACAACCCGAAACTCCACATATGCGAACCCAATCGCTCAACCAGATCCCACTGAGGCCAGCCCGGCTGCCCCGACACCCGTCATCAAACCTCCTTGACAGCTTGCTCTATCTTCGCCCAGGCTCTCGGCAGCAGGGTGCCCATGAGCCAGTAATTTCCTGCATGGTCTTGACCGAGCATGACAAAGATGTTATAGCCGACGTAGCCGGGCCCGACCCCCTCGTTGTAATAGTTCACCATCGTCCCCAAGGGGTTATTCCTCGCTTTGTCCGGTTCACCTTGTCTCACAACTGCGGGCCCGAACTCCGCCATCGTCATGATCTTAGCCTTGAGCAAGTTGTTGAAGATGATCGGCACTGAATTTGATTCTCCGAAGAGCAGCCGTGGCTCCCGGCCTGCGTCCTTGTCGTGGAAGATTTGTCGGAGTAGAGCCATGGCTTGGGTTTCAGTTGCTTGCTCCGTAAAGTGCTGTCGATGTTGCAAGGCTATCGATCCAACCGACTCCGAGCCGACCTTGCCAGAGAGAAAGGTATATGTGCCCAGTACGATGTTCTGAATAAACACACCCGCCGACTGAGCGAGAAGTGGGAGCCGAAAACGTCCATTCATCAGGTTCAAAACCGTCACGGGGCGTTGACTCGGTTCTGACGCGGCAAAGGATTTGGTAATCCATGCTGTGAGAATGTCGCTATCACTCACAAACGGTGCTTTCTCCAGATCACAGGTAGCCTCCAGAACCTCATGCAACGTTTTGACCTTCAACCGAGCGAACGCATCCTTCGGTATAAAAATAACACGCCGCTCTCTTTTCGAGTTCCAGAACTTATCCCATAGAAACCGAAGCATGAAGATGAACAGTCCAGATCCCTCGAGTCGTTTCCTCTCAGCGGCCAACTCTTCAAGCGAATCATCAGCGCCCGTAATCAGCGGATGTCGACAGATATCCTCTCGTGCGCCCAGAACATTAGGAACTTCATCTTCCCGACCGGCGAGAACAGATGACCATCCTTTGAGCAATGCCTGGCCTCCCATCGCGTCCATCAAAAGATGTGGCCAAGCCATTGCAACCAGGGTCGCGTCAATGAACGACGTCACATGCATGGAGATCATGGGCTCATTTTGCCGAATCATGTCTTCGAAACTGGGGAAATTCGGTCTCGCAACGAAAGGTCGCGTCGCATCGGTGACGTGGTGAACAGATGGCGTGTCTGTCTCTCTGGGCAATTGGCTCGCGACCGGATGATCGCCCAACCGACAATCATGGCTTTGGTGAGTGAAGAACACTGATTTGTGATCCAGGCCCGGGGAATGAGGGACGTGGATTTCGAGTTTCCCACCCTCCTACGATCATTCATTAGCCTCGTCGCGATTTTTACGTAAGGTCGTGTGTTCTTACCTTCCACCGCAGCCGTCCACCCAACTTCCTCCAGTCCTCAATCCGCAACAACTTAGACAGCGACTCATTCAACTTCTCCGTATCCAGCACATCATTGAAGCGCATCAACCAATTAACAAAGCACTGATTCGCCTTGCTATCGTCCAGCGAATGCAGCGGATAGACATCATCAGCTTCGAACACCTGCATATTGGAGAGACCGACGCCGACACTGTGTTAGTTGTAGATGCACTGTCAAAGAAACGGGGAAGTTCTCGCAAATGCGGAGACAGGGAGCCCAGATCATTTTGAAGCAGCGCACATTGCAAGAACTGGGGAACGCCATTATTGAGTGCAGCCCGGATTTTAGGGCAGAGCGCGTCCCCGCAGAAACCCTGAACAGACTCGAAGTTCGAAGGGGTGGTGATCGGCGCATCAAGTTAAGATCGCGTGCATTGGTGGGACAGGGGCTGTTGAACCGCGGTTTGGCTGGCGACGAAACTCTGTGAAATGTGGGATCGGCTCTGTCGTCATACCTGATCGAGTGAACGCCCTTGCGTCTGCTGTGATGGCCGACGACTAATGAGTATTGCTTTTTTGTGGTGAGAGTGATTTGTCACCTGCCCATAAGTTGAGAAGTGAGGCAGTATCTAAATATCCGACCGTTTCGGGCGCTGAGACGAGTTTCAAGGGTTACACGTGTTTCGGTAGTGGCGACGCAAAAATGAGGCAGCATTCTTTGGTTCAAGGTCGTGTCCCGGGAGCCCGCGAGACCATAAGCAAAATCAATATAGGAGGGGACAAGGTGCGCCCCGTATTTCATCGTGAATCTGGGGGCGGGTCCTGGGGTGAAACCGAGGAGCGAGAAATCGCGGGGTCATTGGATGTCCTCCCCGACAAACCCCAAGAGAAAAACTCGTCCCAGAAGCTGCGAAATCCAGCACTCTAATATTATCCAGAATTCAGAGCTAGAACGGCCTCTTACTGCTCGCAATGATGGCACCGCGCCGCCAAGATGGGAGACCATCACGTGATTTCCTGGCCCTGTAGTTATCTGTTTGACAGATTTGCCTGTTATTCTGCGTGAGGCCGCAATACTGGATCCATAGTGTCTTGGCGCTTATCCTAGTTTCCTACTCACTTTCTCTCTTCAGTATGCATATGTACGTGATTCCTGATGTCAGAAAACATCACCCTCTTGCCGAGTACCATTTCCCTTGTTACATCAAATCGGGTTGAATGAGGCTCATGGCTTCCATTTTCTGCATATATTATAGCTTCGACAAAAGGCAAGCGCCGAATGTGATCACAGAAACACAACCACCAGCCCCCAGTCAGTTCACATCCTAAGTTCATCAGTTTCCTTCGGCTCATTGACTGATACTAAGACTGTTTAGTTAGCTTTAGCCGGTAGTCTCAGCCTACCAACCGCTCCAAGTCAACCATATACTCCAAGTCAGTTAACTGCTCCGCGTCAAACATATGCTCCGCGTCAAACATATGGTTCAAGCCAACCAACTCCTCCACGTCAACTAACTGCACCACGTCAACCAATTGCTCCAATTAGACCTCGCCACGACCCTGATATTGGGTCCCTCCTACCGACTCGCGACCCGGACCTGGACGGTTCCGGTTTCGAGCCTTACGACCCGGACCGACCCTCAGGGTCATAAAATCTCGTCAGGGTCACCCTGACTACGACCCTGACTACCCTGAATTGCATAATTCTTTTACGCCTTTCCTGATTAGGATGAATAAATTCGCTGACACATCATTATATATTACTGTTTCTTATACCTGTTCTGTATGTCTAACTATGATTCCATCAATTTTCATCCATCCCCTATGTAATTCTTTGTATTAAGTCTTTTGAATACGTCTTCTGGCTTGGTAATACTAAACTTGCCCTCTTTTCTACCTAAGAGGAATTGTTGTGGTGTGTTTTATAGAAAGTTGGTGAAATTGGTGTGTAAGGATGCGGAAATATATTCGAATGTATGAGATAGTTGCACTACATTCCGCAGAACTTAAACACTATCCTAACTCCTGCGGTGATGGTCTTGAAAACCTAGGTCAGTGACCTAGGAAGGACCGTGGCTATCGCAATGAAAGGGAAATCCTATGGGAATCCTATCCTATGCCATAATATTCGGGTGGGATTCAGGATAGGAAATTCCCTCCCACGGTCAGTCTGACTACCCTGAGGGTCACCCTGACTATCCTGAGGGTCACCCTGACTACCCTGAGGGTCACCCTGACTACCCTGGAAGGTCAACCAATTAGCTTGAGGATTTGAATAAAAAGCGGGGTTTAGATGTGATCTATCAAGCAAAAAATCAGATAATGCAGAATCAGCATGTACCTCTACCCCTAAGTCCTTTCGCCTAACACCAAAGAAAAATCTCAGTAAGTCCTTCCTTCTTATACACAGCTTCATCATGTCTCAGTCATCTGATATATTCCACTCCTCTATACATGATGCGCCACCTTCGGATTTCCTTGAATACGTTGCTAATTCTACACCACCTCAGCCTTTCTCCCCCGTCCCCTCCGGAAGCCAACAGACCGTCTACGAGCCTCTGAAAGCCCCCGAATGCCTTAAACGCGTTTGCCCGGACCGGATCAGAACATACATTCTATATTCTCCAGAAATGAGTGATGAATTTGTGACTTGGTGGCTTCAGACCGACTTTGGGAGGAAGAAACGGATGACTTGGGATGGGAAACGCGCAAAGTGCTGGGAATACTTTGACCAGGTCGCCTTAGACAGAAATGGGAAACCAGGAGTTATGTGCCCGCAATGTCAGAAGGTTCTTGATCACCCTGGTTGGGCTCATAGCGGAACAACTTCAATGAACAAGCACTATAATGGGGTGACTTGTCGGAAAGCTGCCCTAGCCAAAAGGCAGAAGCCAAATATCAAGCTGGCATTAGAGCATGCTGTATGTTCAGCACCCTATTATCGGCTTTATTTTACTAACTTACTTCTACGCCTAGGCCCAGAATTCACCCGTACGAGCATTCGATACGCGTATTTGGCAGCAGAAGCTTGCGAAGCTTCTTACTGTGTCACATCTTCCGTTCCTTTTCCTTGAACACCCTGAGTTCCGTGATCTTATCTCTTACGCCCGGCTTGCACCATCAATGCCAGATATCCCATCCGCTAAAGCTATGCGCCGGCAGCTTCGAGAGCTAGTCCGTGAGAACCAAAAGATTATCCTTCAGACACTTCCTTCTGGTGCTAAGCTATCACTTGCCCTTGATTGCTGGACATCTCCATTTAAACAGGCTTTTATGGCTATCACTGGTTACTTCATTGACAAAGACTGGGAGTACCGTGAGATATTACTTGGATTTCAGCCCATACATGGTGCTCATTCTGGTGCAAATCTGAGTGAGGTGGTTTTCGACTTGCTACAAGAGCATCAGATCACGAATCGAGTGCTTTCGGTGACTACCGACAACACTTCAAACAACAAAACTCTTATGGAGAGTGTCAACGAGGCGATTGAAGGTCTACAATCCTCGAGCGACGTCGCTCTCATTCGGGTACCATGTATTGCACATGTGATCCAGATTAGCCTAAAAAGTCTTCTTGGGAAGATGAAGGCTATTCCAAAAAATGACAGGGCTGAGCAAACATGGTCTGATGATCGGGTAGAAGCTCTGCGGGCGACGCAGCAGGAAAGAGGGATTGTTGACACTCTAAGCAAGGTAAGACGTCTTACTTAATTCCGATTCATAATCTAATTTGTTCCTTAGGTCCGAAACCTTGCGATTTATATTAATGCAAGTCCTCAGCGCCAGGAGTCATTCTACAACCTGCAGGCAAGAGAGAAAAAGCTAGTTCCAATCCAGGACGTTACTCCTCGATGGAACTCTACATTCTTAATGCTCGCACGCGCGAAGAAGCTCCAGCAGGCCTTCGATGCTTTCTGCTCCCAGTATGACCAAGGGCACTTTTCCTTGAGCCAGGAGCAGTGGCGGCAGGTTGATTATCTCCTTTGTATTCTTGAGCCTTTTCACCGATTCACAACGCTTTTGTGCAGAACAAAGAATGTCACTATCCATCGGGTTTTCAAGGTCTACAAGAAGCTATCTGATCATCTTGAAAAGTCGATTAACCAGCTTCGACGGAAGAAGGTTGCTTGGAAGCAGGTGATGCTTATATCCCTCGAAGCAGCAAAACTCAAGCTCTCAGCCTACTACAGAGACACCGACAAGATTGACAGTCATCTCTACGCAGTTGGCGCAATCCTTTCTCCACAGGATAAACTCAAGTTCTTCTCGACTCCCGACTGGGATCCAGACCCAGGATCTGGGGTCGACTACCGAGCAGCCTATCGCCAGAGCCTTGAGTCCTTCCTCGAGAAGTACTCTGAGAGTTTTGCCGAGGACCATCAAAGGTTAGGTGGTCCGACTATAAGTTCGATACCGGATGAATTTGATTTAGCTTGTGCTCTAGATGAGTCGCAGCAGTCTCAAATTTCACAGCCAGCACAGTCAGATGAGCTTACAAGGTATCTTGATAGCAGTAAGTATTTCTTGATCTCTATTTGAGCAATTACTGACTTGTCCTTTAGATATAGTCACAAATGCCCAGCCTCTGACCTGGTGGAGAGATCATCAAGATAAGTTCCCTACGATGGCAAGGCTTGCTCGCGATGTGCTCTCTATCCCAGCTAGTGGTGCAGGGGTAGAGCGGCTTTTTAACTCTGCACGAGATATCTGTCATTATCGTCGAGGCTCTCTTCAACCTCAAACAATCTCAGATCTTATGATGTATATGTGTACATCACGGTTTGAGATTCATGAAGAGGAGCGAATAATGCTTTCTGAATATCTTTCGGCTCAGGAGATACAGGCTGCAAAGGAAGAGAGAACACAGCAGCAACTCGCTGTTGATCCAATTAGCGACAATGAAGAGGATGAAGCGTCTACGACACAGCTCCGAGCCAGGTCCCAGCCCCGAGCTATCTCGAAGACCCGACCAACCTCGCAGGCTGCCCAGGGTCCGTCCGCAAAAGCACTCGGCAAAAGACGTATAAGCAATATAGCTGACTATGTGAGAGGTGATGAGGAGGAAGACGATGGTCAAGAGTCGGAAGCAATACCCCTGCCGGAGATACAGCACCGAGTGTCAGGCAGAGTCCGTAAGCGTTCAAGGTTGCTAGATGGGTATGAAACGTCTAATATGTAATTCGAGATTCGGGCAGTCTTTTCGGTTGATTCATTAGTTTGATTTGTTTTGATTTAATTCATTCTACATTGCCAAATTAGGAAACTTCTCCTCTAAGTACTGTAAGTGAGATACTCAAAAATACAGACAAAATCTGCATAACTTATGCTCCGCGTGACTTGGCAATGTTTGCCTTGTTTGACGACCCTGAGGGTAGGTTCTCGACCCTGAGGGTAGGTTCGCGACTTTTATGGCCCTAGCCTGACCCCATTTCAGGGTCTAACCTTACGACCCTAAAACCTGCGTGGTCCGGGTCGCGGTCCGGGTCGTCAGGGTCACCCTCGGGTCGTGGCGAGGTCTAGCTCCAATTCCGGAGACAGATGCAGGTCGCAGTCCCGGACAGTCATTGGGAGCAGTGGTATACAGGAGTTATTTGGATAACCCAGTGCAGCCGAAGATAACAACGCGTCCGGGCTTCGCAAATGATCGAGATAGACGTCAGTTAGTGAGAGACAGACTGGCCATCGATAGGGGAAAAATCAAGAACAACATCTTCCGATCCAGGAGAAGAAAACTATTACACCTAGAATATGAGGGCCTGTGGAATTGACGCCGAGAATGACCACTTTTGACGCCAGAAACGGCTGCCTTTCCACCCGTAACTTTGGATGTCCAGCCGCCGCTTGACCGCCCACATCCCTAGAACACCACTAGTTAGTGAAGAGGGGAACGCTCGATGGCAGCACGCGCTGAGACGTGCGGGTTTATTCAGCAGAATAAACCACCACAAAACACACGCGTAGCAATCAGGAAATAGCGAGAACCCCATGTGTAGGGGTCAGGTCGGGGAGGTGTAAGAAGGTGTACTCTAGAACTAGCTATCCGGCCACCGTATACTGCCGGCTATGTCACATAGTCTGGATGGCACCCATGTAGTAGGGGAGGGGGTCTCCCCACTACATTAGTTATTCTGCACCCGCCCAGAACTGTTAGTCATCCTCCAGTCCTGATGTTGGCGCTTGACTTCAACAGTTGTTCCTGTCGATCGGAGAGACTGATATTACAATCAGGAGCAGGATGATTCAGCAGATACCCAATCTCTTAACTACCTATTTTGTATAGTAATCGGGGTATTCTCGGAAATAACAGCGCTGTAGCACACTAAACACCCCTGAATAGATCGCATTCTGAACGGGAGCCGACAGATAGTTCTTCAATCAATCAATCGATCGCTGGGATGGTTCAATTGGCCCTCATGAGTACTAGTCGATACTGATATCCTGAAGTCCGACAGTTCCCCTTGTTTCCACTGGTGACCAAAACGACGCCAAAAATTGCTCCCCTCCCTTTTTGCCCAGCCCCGTCGAGTGCCTATAAGGTGTTTGGTCTTCCCTCTCATCAGGTGTCATTGCACCCTCCCGCTCTCGCTCCTCATCCCTATTGCCCTCGGCCTAAGTCAACCTTGGCGTTTCCTACACCAAAATTTTGCATCCTGGCCTTGGTATCTGACCTTTCCCATAGCACCTGCGCCCGTACCTCCGGCTCAGGCTGATGAGCACTAGTACTGGGCCGATCCTATTCTTTGCGAGGAAACTCGAGCCAGACTAGAACATTTTCGCAGCCTTGGATGGCTCCCTCTAAACTTCAAGCTAAAGACGTTAGAAGATATCGCCGTCGTCGAATGTTATTAGCGGAAAGTGAGTATTCGCTTGGTCGGGAAAAATCTTATGATAGGGAATAACATACGAGACTAGATATTGTATTCAATCGAATGAGGACTACGTGGACTATCTTCTATTGGAGGATTAAGCGACCTATATGAACTTTTTCGACTGGATGTTCAAAACGTCCCGAGAGAAAGTGCTTCGGTCGTATGACGAATACTGGCGCCGCCTTTGTCAATACTTTGAGCTCTTCGCCCGTCGCCGCGTTAATGACGACGTCTATAGTCAGATGCGACGAGTAAGGGTGCTTCCTAGTTCTCGTAAGTAGAAAGCTAATTAGAGTATAGTTTCTTAATGGTGTATTCCCCGCCGAGCGTAGAATCGCCCGACGAACGAAGGAGAAGAATACTCTAGATGTGGATATATTTTGTGTGATCTATCGCTATTATTAGGTCTATGTGAAATTTTTTCGCTATAGAAGTATGATCGTATAATTCTCCACGGTCCAGCTCTGGTCCGCAATTACCAGGACTCGACCTGGCGTCATACTCTCACAGAATACCTCACTGCCTGACTCGTCTTTGGGCAAACGCAAACGGGTTCATACTTTCCAAAGTGATATTCCCAAACACGTTTCCCTGAAAGATCTTCCGGACTCTGTCTGCTATCGTGATATCTGTTGTGATATGTCGTATCGTAACGGAATCAATTCCTAACCTCACGGAATTACCAGCTCTGATTGGAAATCAATCTGGAGGTTGCATGTGTATAAACCCTCAAGTTTTCTGTCCAGAAGAAATAAGCAATCTTCCTTTGAATTACAACAGGTTATGAGCCCGGGTGCTAACTTCTCGGGTGTCGTCTCCACTCACTCTGAGAACCACTGCATACTATAACTTGTTGAAGCTATATTTACCCCGCACTTCAGGCACAGCCACGATGCTTGCACATCTAACCGAGTCTCCCGACCGAAATGTCGCGGTTATTGAACCTTTAACAGGGAGTGATAATTATGCAACTTGGAAACATCTTATGACCTCCTACTTAAAGGCAAGACAAGTCTGGGATGTCGTGTCCGGAGATCTCCAACGCCCTAACTGCCTTTTTAAATACGCAAAACCGATTACGGCCGAGATTGTTCCACTGGTTGATGAACGCCTTATTGGAGCCCCAAGACAGAAGGCCATCGAAGCTCGTCTAGAAGCTGAAGTCCAGGCTTTTGAGCGACATCAGGAATGGTCCAAACGTGAGGCTGAAGCCTATCACACAATCTTTCGATATCTTTCCGTCGAAATCAGTGTTCATGTTGCAGGGCTAGAAAGATTAAACTACGCAGCTATGTAAATGGTACCTGCCGCAACATTCACCTTGAAAGCCCTAAAGGAATCCATCACCTTCCGGATAGGTGTCAACAGCCCATCTGGTATATTTGACGAGACTGGCTTCGCAATGGGATTAATTGCTACCGCAAAGTTGTTACGAGGTCTAAACACTACGATAAGACAAAATATCCAATAAACAACGGAGCAGGCTCGAAGCCTGTAAGGCCGTTTATTGCATGTTTTCAAGGGGTCTAAAGTGGATCCTCTTCTAAAGGTGGCAGATGAATATTCTTACCATCGCCCTTGCTGATTTTTATGGACCCCAAATCAATATCGTGTAGGAGGCGCATCTAAAGTGGAACCCCGGTATATCTGTTAGCTTATGTACACTCTCTTCCATAGCGTTGAACAGGTATTGTCTATAAATGTAAGGGTGGCAATCAACGAGTAAAGCGTTTACTTACATTAATAGCACATTGACCATATCTGAATTTTGGATTCACCGATTTGTTGTAAACATTGGCACCACAGATTCCGCAAAAAAAGATCTGTATAGTATGCGAACCAAACCGATATTCCTATATCAAATTGTTGGTTGATCTTAGCGATTGTCTGGGTATGCTAAATATTATAGAGAATAATATTGAATAGGCAGGTATAATAGCTGATTCATACCTTCAGCGAGTTTGTCCCTTGGTGAATTTCTATATCATCCACGAACGTAAGCAGACTACCTGCAATGTGACAGTAGCTACCTAATATGGTTTTTAGCCTGGCAGCCAATTGCATGATATAACTAATTCGTAGGGCAGGGGAAAATAAGCTTGTTGGGGGCATTATGCATGCGTGTACATACAGTTGCAGGAGACTACTGTCAATTGCGACAGCGGAGACGGTAGTTTTGCAGAGAAACACACAGCCTTGCAATGGCAACTTCCCTTGTAGGAGACTTCTGTAAAATGATCCATAGAACGCTGTTTCTCGGGAACTTTGGATGTAGGCGTCTAAATCTCAATTTCTGCGTAGTAGCTCTCTCCTCTTTCTGTCGTACTAGATTTGTACTAGAACAAGATCTGGATTATAGAGTCAGACTTGAGAGCTGGGTGTGAGAAGTGCCCAGGGGAAAATAAATTGTGAAGAACATGACTTGATTTAAGCCATATTTGAGAACCTAATTATAGCTGTTGAGCCAAAATCGTTGAGAGTGTTGGGCACCGCCCGTTGAGATAAACGGGATTCGGCTTGATTAACTAGTTAAAGTTCGCTCGGAATGATCACTCATCACTCCGATTATGTAAGGTCTGAACCGTGGGAGGATCAACCTAGAAGAGACTTCTGTTGGATCCCCTGTACTGATGGTATTGTCCTGTCACCCTGGTACGCACTACTCATGCATTAGGGTTAGACCTGTGTCTATTGTAGTGGGGAGACCCCCTCCTCTACTACATGGGTGCCATCCAGACTATGTGACATAGCCGGCAGTATACGGTGGCCGGATAGCTAGTTCTAGAATACACCTTCTTACACCTCCCCGACCTGACCCCTACATTTGGGTTTCTCGCTATTTCATGACAGCTACGCGCCTGTTCTGTGGTGGTTTTCCTGCTGAATCGACCCGCACGACTCAGCGCGTACTGCCATCGAGCGTTCCCTCTTCACTATATAACCGGGTCCGAGACCCACAGATCCACACACAATACAACTATCATACACATGCTACAAGAACTTCAGTGCATTTTGTAGCAGCTTTAGATTGGAGAATATTATGTTATTTCCTTACTTTATGCTTTTGTTGGATCATTTGGCCCATCTCAAATTCAGCAATAATAGAACTCCACTTACATTCCCGCCAGTTTGGATAAGAAAAGTACCGATGTGAAGCCGTTGGGTAATCGGATAGGCCACTTCGTGCTGAATATGTTTTATAAGAGGGATACTGTACCAATGTATTTCCCGTCCGAGGCTACGGGTTGCTTAAGTGAGCGTCGGATTTTCCCGTAATAGATAACTGAGTGTAGCACAAAACCTTTTATCTAATCATGTCAAAATTGAAGAAGAGGGTTGCCTCGAGAGTTGTACTATTCGAGCACGAATTTCAGTCTTGGGGGCAATCGACAGGACTGCGAGCCTATTTCAGACCATAGCAAGCGAACATTAGGCTTTCTGTATCTAGTTTAAGCTCGTGTTACTAAGACTATGCAGCGAATAGGTCCGCCGTTTACACGGAAGAAGATCTCGTATTGGCCCCAAGTGCCTACTGATGATTGTTCCTGGAAGAAAAACTACAAAATTTCCTTCGAGAGAAACTCACCCGCAACAAGAGGGTGAGGGGCAATGATACAGCGATTGTTGTGGCAGTCAATGATCGTTGAGAGGATCTGACCGAGCTTTTCAACAAGACCGAGATTGTTTGGACCTCTATCGAAAAACGGTTGCGGATGTGATCCAGTCACTTCTGCCGCGTAAAGAGACTCACTCTTAAAGCCTGTTTTAACTACGTAGAGGATTGTGCCCTTCTGTCTGCTGGGCGGAAAGGAGAGAAGAGAGGTAAATCTTCCGTCACCAAGAGAATGCTAGATGATCGAAATGCCCAGATCGACACCGAAGAAACTGCATGCGGCCAGCATTCAATTCGGTGCCGAGTTTATGACTTGAATGCTTGCAGCTATTATTTACAGCTTATCTAGATCCGGATTAGAGTACACTCGGGTACGGGCCGAGGAACAAAGCCCGAGTGTCCATAGGGTAATCTGCTTTCAAAAGTCGAACTTGGTTTACCGAACGCAACCTGCTTATTTCATACGTACCAGTGAAAAAGGAAGTTGTGCTAACGTATGCCGAAGATTACCCAGATTCTGATAGCTACTCAAGAGGTTTAATTTTCTCTCTAAAGACCCATGCTACCATTGATCCTCTGAACATCCTCATTTCCCATTTCGTCCACCCATTTATCCTTTCGATGATAGTAGATTTCTGTTGCTAATTTCGCACAATTAAGTCGGTGCTCTTCATCGAGTGTTCCCGACTTCACCGCGATGACTTCTTTATCATCGTTTGATCGTGATGTGAATGGCGTACCGCAATCAGGACAGAACTCGCGCAATACCTGCCCGCCCTTATTGCTGCAATCCGAATACAACTTGGGTGACCCCTTGATGTACTTTAAACTAGATTGCGGTACGATGATATTGGCGGAAAAGCTGGAGCCGGTATAGCGTTTGCAATTGGTGCAGTGACAAATAATCACCTGGCAACATTGTCAGTAAGCGAATGGAATTTTCTGATTGAGTAATTGGAGATAAAGCATACTTTAGGGAATGACTCTGACGTGGGCAAAATAATATGGTATGCTATGCTCTTGCAGAGGCAGGCGCCAGTCAAGCAATTCTCAGCCATTGTGGATTGTGGGAGTCGTAGCTAGCTCTGTTGGTTCAGAACTTCAGTGTGTCTCTCGAAGAGGTTAATGCTGAATGTAAATGATGGAAGGCGAAATATGATCGTTTACTGCCAGATTACTAGAAAGTTCTAGACACACAAGAGACTTTACTAGCACGATACCGAGGCTATTTTTATCCTAACGATTAATACTGTACTGGGACACCGCCAAGAACAGGAGTGATTGTACAGTAAACTCGATAGCTAGAGTGGACTTCAAAGTGGAGTTCGAGAATTGATTTGGGCCTGTAGATAAATCTGATCACGACGACTGCTGTGAATCGGAAGGAATACAGCGGGAATTAGAGCTTAACGAAAAGGAACAGCAATGAAACAGCAAAGCCAAGAGGCTATGGGAATAGTATAGAAAAGAAAACGCCGACGTCAGGTTGTGATACCGGGCCTATTCAAGCCGCAATGGACGATGGTCTTAGTTTGGTCCACAAGACTGTGAGAATCTAAGGGCGCTTCCTGTAATTTACCTTGTCTATCAAAGATCCCTCGACAGACGCTTGGCGGGCGGAAAAGTTCCCCAATATGTACTAGTGCGAGATAGGTGGGGGAGATAAAGAGGGACAGAATAGAGGTAAACTGATTTCGAATATTACTGTATCAGTTCCTTGAAGTAGCCGTGACACTCACAATAGAAACGAAAATTTTGAATCATCAAGAGGATCTCCTGGTGGACCATCCCATTCCCAGCCATCTCGGGGACCACAAGAATAAGGCCGTTACGGATGTGTACGTCACAGAACACAGTAACTAATCTGTCGGACTTTCGGATATCGGTATCGACTAGTACTCGTGAGGGGCCAATTGAACCATCCCAGCGATCAATTGATTGATTGAAGCACTATCTGTCGGCTCCTTTCAGGATGCCATCTATTCAGGGGTTTTTAGTGTGTTACAGCGCTGCTTTTCCGAGAATACCCGATTAACATACAAAACAGGTAGGAGATTGGGTATCTGATGAATCATCCTGCTCCTGATTGTCATATCAGTCTCTCTGATCGACATAATCTTTTTGTAACTAGCATAACTAGCCTCCTAGAGGACTTACGAGTCTTAGTAGTATCGCCTAGCCAATACCCGTAGATTTTGTGGCAGCTCTTTGCCCTTGGGCAGTTCCATAAAAGTTCCCCTCCCTCTCTAAAGTCAATATGTAAGCCCTATTTTAGCTGTAAATCCATAGTCGTTGAACGGGCCTCGCAAATTTTGATCGACCTTGCAAAGATATCTGCCTTTGCTGGTCATTCTTTTCGACTGCTTTCACTACGAGTGAAGGTATTTCAAAATATACAAGAGGTTTTTTTCTGGGCGTCTTTATAAAGTATAGAGCTCTTGCACATAACTGAACAAACTGATGGAATGGCGTGATACAGTACTATATTTAGGTTGCTAATTCTTGCTTCACAATTAATGCTTCGACCAGGAACCTGAGGATATCTCTATTTTTCAGGCAAGTATTTGCTCCCTGGGAGTCTGCTGTGCGATCAGTGCAGGATGTACCAATAAGCACTTATGATTAGTTGACATACAGGACCTCGAGTAGAGATCCCAGGAGCAGAAAGGATCAGATAATTGCTAATGCCGAGGCCTTGTCCCACCTAACCGCCCCCTCGAGTGATCATATATCAAAGAACCACAACAAGAAAGGACCACTATGTGATTGGCTCTTGTTTATAATAATATTGCCTCGTTGATAGGCTCAAAATGTGGAGGAAATTGTTCAACTATATTCCGGAATATTCAAAGAGACAATTTGCCCCTCTCCATTCTACCAATCTGTTCACTCACTTGAGCATGATTCTCGAACAGAATCTTAGTTTTCTATGGATTTGGAAGAACGAGCCTTGTCGAATGCTGCTGCAACGGCAGTAGAAAGCGAGCCGTATAATCAACAGAGCCACAGAAGGCAGTCAGGTAACATACTCCCCCCTCGCCCTTCTCTTACAGATTATTCCATGAATGTTGCAGATCTCCCGAAGGCCCCTCACTGGATCTTGATCTGACCGTTCGCTAGCCACTCAAAAATAACCTCAATTACACTAGCCAGCTATCTCAATTTCCTGATAGTTGCTCTGTGGCCACTTTGTGGCCACCTCCGCGGATGACCCAAGAGTTTCTGAGTCGCCAACTAATCCGGCAGAAGCGGATGATCAAAGCCAAAGCCCATTTAACGTGAGAAAGAGGACTGCCAAAAATTTGTGTGGCTCACGAAAGCAACGTAAATATTCCAAATTCTCCTCCCCAATCTCAAATAATGTACGACCGGCGGCACAAGAAAAGCATAAAGGAAGAGCTCAAAGAATCAGTATAAGACTTATCTGTGACGCGGTTCAATATCTCGAAACGGTTTCTACCCATATCAATGCCTCGGATGGAATTGCTGTCGAGGGCTGGGCATCGTTGCAACTCACAGCACAGTTGCTACAACATAGATACGACGATTTTATCGCAAATGACGCCAAAGAAATCGATATTGTGACTCATTATGCTCCTGAGCAACCGCAATCGGAGTATAAGTGCAGGAACTATGAAGCTGGCTACTGTAGAACGCGTAAAATAACAAGGCTCCTTGAAAGGGCTCCAAAAAAGTCGCTATTAGCGATTATAACGACTGGAATAGTACTACAACCTCTATATATCTTAGTGCAACCACCTCTTTGTACGGCAGGAAACAATTAGCAGATCTGAAGGTACATACACCGGCCATCATGGTGCATTCATTTGGGCTCCACCTATTACTGTAAGCCAAGTGTTCAGGTCGCGGGGCTGTTGAGCAAGGAAGTCTTGGGAGAACCGAGGTGTTCGATGACGGTGGGACATAGTTGAAAATAAGCTATGTATTTTCCTATTCCATCCAATGGAAACTGAGTTCCTAACCAATTGTCCCGCTAACATCTAATTTCGTCTTCGGAGGGCGCTAGCAATGATCTCAGCGATCAGTTCATGATATTGCATCCCGTTATTACGAGCGATGCAAGTAAATAGGGAAAGGTCGTCTCGTAGGCCGAACGACGGGTTCACATAATTTGAATTAAACCTGGGACCAAAGTATATAGCAGAGTGCACGGTCAAAATGTGCATATTTTGGGGGCATACTGATCTCACTTCTATAACGTTTGGAACTGAATTCTGCTTTTCAGGGTTCAAACGTACATCAACACGAGCCCCCGTCCAGACAACCTAGTATTTGGTATGCGGATAGAGCAACATCGGCGACTTCTTTTATCAAAGGATCGGCCACGTCCGCATGAATATGTCCCATGTCCTGGCCAGGTCCCCGACCAGCTTTTGAGTTCACTGAAGAGGACGATTCGTTTTCTTGTCCCTCCTGGTTTTACCATGTTACTTCCAAGACGCTCAAGACTGTAGCGGAGCTGTTGGTTCCAAGGATAGCCACTGTGAACTCTCGCCCGTCGAGAAACTCTTCTAGCATAGTTTGCTGGCTTTCAAATTGGCATCTTAAACTTTCGATAGTTGCCTCAAGATCTTCTTGTTTGTATAATTTGTTCGAGGGTACAATCCCGTTCGAGGTGGATGCAACAACTGGTTTGGCAAAGAGAGGATAGGAAAGTCCTTTGCCCAGGGAGCTCTAATCTACCTTGTGTCCATAATTTGGAACCAGGGCAAAGGGACTCGTTGGTATTTGGTAATACTGAAGCATCATCTACAGACATTCAGCTGGGAATGCAAAAGAGAAAAGGCGTGAAGCTTGGATGCAGAATGGTCTCTCACCTTAGTCTTCGCCTTGTCAATACAGATTGAAAGCGTGGCGGCATCGGAAAAAGTAATGCCAACTCCATAAGCTTCAAGTAGCGCGGGCACTTGGGATTCACGTGCAGAGCCACGAACGCCTTCGCTAAAATTGAACACCAAGTCCCAATTCATCTCCTCGCCAGCTGCCAGACGACCAACGAGGTGTCTAATGCCGGGGAGATGGAAAACACGGTCCGAGCTTGCAAATAGCATTATCGATAGAATTTATTGTCACGTCATCGGCCAAACCAGCACATTCGGCCTCCGAGTAGCCGCGTTCAAGATAATAGGGCTTGGGGTCATAAACGAATGCAACATTGAGTTTGGTGACTTTCGAATCTTCCATGCTGTCCTCTAGTATCCACATGTAGCTACCAGTAACAGATACTGGTTTGGTCTAAGTAGATATGTGTGTCATATAAATGTTGAGCCCAAACAGTTCTTGGTTGGCTGGATGGCTGGTAAGTCCCCATGTTCATAGCTCAGGGTCCAGATGACGTCACCGCTACCACATCCATAACGTCTAAAATATGAGCATCGAACATGCTTTTGTTCTTAATTGACGATAGCGGATATACGTCACCGCTACCTCATCTAGAACATCTAGAATGTGAGGATCGAACATGCTTTTTCTTCTTATTCCATGATGGCGTACATATGTATGATGCCTTTCCATAGGCCTTGTAAAGGTCACGAAGGACACGACCTGTCTTGTCTCCGAGAATGTGGTGCGCCACCTCCTATGTCGACCTGTTGATTGTCGGTGCTGGCCCAGCAGGTCTTGCCGCAGCGTCCTGGGCAGCTCGGTACAACATGTCGACGCAAATAATTGACCAGAAAAGCGGTCGGAAAAATTCTGGTCACGCAGATGGCCTACAAAGCCGGACTCTCGAAATCTTAGAAAGCTTTGGGATTGTCGACCCAATCTTGAAACTAGGCGTCCCTGAAGTCGATATGTGCTATTGGGTCCGTTCCACGCACTAAATGAAACCCACAATATGACCTAATCACAGAAGTGCAGGTAATGAATCCTGAGACGGGGAAAATTGAACGCAATGGGAGAGATGCTGCAGAGACTGGGCGCATGTCCAGATTCGGACAAATCTTGCTTAACCAGGGATCCGTTGAACAAAATTTCATTGACCATTTACGCGCAAAAAGCAACATTCGTGTTGAATGGAATAGGAGAGCTGTGTCACTGGACTTGACGGCATCTGGCGATGATCAAGAAACATTTCCAGTAGCCGTAGGAGTGGCTTGTCTTGACGAGCACGGTATGTACTGCAGTTATTGAAAGTTGCGCCTTGCCCGACGGACAGACAATAATTCTCCGAGTCCAAGGCAATCCACAACCCGTCGAAGCGTCGCAGATGATCCACGCACGTTATCTAATTGCATGCGACGGTGCCCACAGCTGGGTCAGACACAAGCTCAATGTTTCGGCTGATGGCCCAGATAAGGACACAGACTGGGGTGTTCTTGACATAGTACCTATCACCAATTTTCGTATGGTTCATCCTCACCCCGTCTTTGGCATTGCTATGACAAGCAATTGACATTTTCGTAGCCGATATTCGTCAAGCCTGTTCAGTCCAGTCAGGGCCATATGGAAGCATTATGATGGTACCACGGGAGAACAAGCTAACGCGTTTCTACATCCGACTCCAACACGGATTGAGAGAAGACAACTCGTCGTATTCCAAGGATCCCCCAAGGGCTTTAGTAGAAATGGCCAAGAAGGCGATGTGGCCGTATGATCTTGCTTACAAACGCTGTGACTGGTGTTCATATTATACAGTAAGTACAATTGAACATTTAGTCTCACGGGCTTTTCTAATTGGGGTAACAAATGTAGACTTCCCGACGCGTCGTTCAAGACTTCAGACCTCACAAACGGTAAACAAAAGCCCATCGTGAACAAAGGGCATTGACTAATTTCTTAAAGTATTTTCCTTGCCGGTGACGCAGCTCATACCCACTCCCTAAAAGGTGGACAGGGCATGAACGTCTCGATTCAGGACACTTACAACCTCGTTTGGAAATTGGGAGCAGTCCTTACCGAGGGTGCGCATCCTGATATTCTAGAGACCTATGACTCTGAACGCCGGTGTGTTGCCACGAAGCTGATGGACCTGGATGCGAATCTTGTGAGAGCATTTGAGGACCAAAACAGTGGCAAAAGTGGCGGAGCACATGAGGTCCGCGACAGATACGCTGGTTTTATGGCAGGGGTGGACGTAACTTACAGCCCTAGCGTCTTAGTCGCTGACGGAGTTGTCAATGGTAATTCAGCTCTGGCACATAAAGTCAAGTTGGGTATGCGTCTGGCTTCGGAGAGAGTCACCTACCATTGCGATGGCACCTCTGTTCATTTGGCACAAAGACTGCCTAGTGATGGATCGTGGAAGCTCTTGGTTTTTCCGGCTGACTTGGAGAAACCAGATGGAATGAAGGCCTTAAAAGTCTTCGCTGATTATTTCTCTGACAACTCGCATCTAGCACACCGGAGCAAAGATGCAGAGGCTATCGGTCCTCTTATTGATGTACTTCTCATACATTCAGGTCCGAGGAACACAGACAGGTTATTGGACTTACCACGGATCTTTCATCCATTCGATGAGGTAATGGGCTGGGATTACTGGAAAGTCTTCGCGGATGTGGATGGGCAGGCGTACTCAGGCTATGGTATTGATGGGAGTGGTGGCGGTTGTCTCATTCTATGCCGTCCTGACCAACACGTCGCCTGGGTTGGCGCATTGGATGATGTGGTCGGGCTTGATAATTTCTTCTCTTTTTTCTCCTAGGTTAATAGGGCTGTCTACTTTATCGAAAGATATCCTCAAAATGTTCTCTTAAAATCATCAAGTAAACAAACAGTCGGCAAATGATATGTCATCTATGTACTCCTTTATCCGCAACCTCTCATTCAAGAATGTGTCCGGCCGAATCATACTGAAGGGATTCAGCTTCTGCTGACAATCAACAGAAACCTGTTCAATTTACCTCGTGTTGAAGTGACAAAGTCACATAATTAATTTTAAAGCCTCTTCCTCTGTTTACCTTCCGTCAAATCAAGCTAAAATGGGATGAGCGGAATTATCAGATTACTGATCTTAATGGTGAAGACTGGATGAGGGTGCTGTTGAGATACCTTGGGTCCAATGTTCCGTTACTCGGCGGTTACAACGCTAAGATCTCAGCTGAGCTCAGAATTACAAACAATTTGTTAGAGACCGTGCTGGAAACTATGAGCGACCACGATACCCTGGGACGTAAATTCATTACGATAGGGCCAGCTACACAAGATTGTTTTGGGATGACTAATTATCCATTTCATTTCATCCAACACCGAAGAGATGACCTTGCATTGAATTCCATTATGAATGCCCGTCACCCTTCAGATGTTTCGCTGTTGGGAGGACTGCAAGGTTAGGAAAGCTATCACAGTCCCAAAGCAAAGGACAAAAATTACTTCGATTTTCGACCCCAAAATAATATTTTCCCAGTGGTTACTACCGAAGATGACTGCAGATGACAGGCACTTGGCACCGGGTCTGGAGCTAAGCCATGTATTTCAGCATTGCAGGCCTCAAAAGCGGGGCATGTTTGCCAAGCCTCTTGAGAACATCAACTTGCCATCGGGAAGATCATGACTTCTCTCAAGAAATGTCTTCTACCGTATGATGATTTTCCGGGCAACTGGTGGCGTGCATGCAGCTGTGTAGTATACATGCTTACCCACAAGTTTGGTCAAAAGATCCGAACAGACCTGTCAATCGACAAGGCCAAGCTCTAGTCATCTTCTTGGCCTGGATCAACCTGCGAGGGTAAAATAAGCTGCCAAGAAGTACCGCAGCCGTTCCCATCTCTTATTCCCTTTTGAGTCTGGCTGAATCTGAATGTTGCATATCGTAAGCATGTTGGTCATTTTTATCGGCTCCTCCGAAATCGTATTCAGCGGTCAGGATTGAGGTGGCTTATGCATACATGGGTTGACTCTCGAAAGATATGGGGCATTGAATCTATACAGCAGAGTGAGATATTGTCCCATGCGAAAGAATGAGCGATAAAACCCGATGTGGCTTTACCCCTGAGCGACAACATCGCCCATATAAATAGTTTGAATTCGCCGATATTTCGCAGCTCATTGCAGTGAATTGGTCTTTTTCCAGTACTCCATTTGATAATTCTCTCAATGATTCTCTTCAAAGCCTGTCCGACCTTTCTTCTGGTGGGATTCCTACTGCATTTGGCCTCATCTCGGGAGCCACTCGTCGATAAGAATGGGAGGTACGTTGCCCTATTCGCTCATTTCCAACCCGCGATACTTACTGGCTATTCGAAATCAGATTTGGCTTTGTCGATAATATCCAGACTATAAGTGTCAATGGGTCGACTGGAAAGTGAGGAGCACAATATTGATAGCTTATGATTTAGATTTAACGGCCTGCAGCTATGCTCCTCTGAGCCTGGTCCGTCGTGACTCGCAAGATCATCGATGGAAGCTATGCCGTAATAAATGCGGCCCAGGGAGTTCTAGAATCTCCCGGAAGAGATCTATCATAAATTTGTCAACAAACTATTTTCGGCGATTGTGGAACAGATTTACGAAAAGAGTTCTCCCCGACATCAACGATGGCAGTACCTACCTCCTCGGCAGATTCGCGCAGGGAGGTATTTCACTAGTTTACAACAGTGAAACTTCAGGCAACTCGGCAATATTCGAGCAACTTGGCGATATCCCGCTCTCTATCGGACTCACGGACCTCTGCGGTTGTACGGCCGTGGTGATCGCATCCAGGCGAGCGGTTTGGTATGCCCATTTTTTGTGAGTTTCCTGTTATTACAGCCTTATCAGGAGTTCGATATGCTAAGATCTTGGAAGTGAAAACATTTCTTTCAGCCCAGAGCTAGATGAAGAGACTGAACTGAATGAAGAAGGTCAAGACGAATGGCAGATATTCGAAGAAACCGCTCTTCAGTTCATGAGATCAGGGTTCGATAGCTGGAGTGAGCAGAGATACCCTGGTCTGGAAGATGTGGCCCGATTCTTTCAACTGGAATCCTCTCCACAGATCTTTATCATATCACCTCAGCAGGAAGCCGAACCTGCAATTGATATGGATGACAACGGCCCCGGCGACGAGCCTGACCCAACGCAATACCGCCCTGGGCTCATTTATGATATCAAGGTCGATATTCTCAGAGATTCCATGCTACACGTCCTCGGCGATGCTAGAATCCCCGTGACAGTGTTCACTTATCAGGCTCTAAATCAGTTTTCAACAATCGAGTCCAATATTCTAGACAACACAGGACGAGGGAAATCTCTATTTGAATACGATCCGAACCTCGATGGCCGTCGCAACTGGAGGGGCTCTCGACTCATCGTCGAAGGGTATGACTGGTGGGTCACGACTGACACTGGTAATGGCGTTCCGATCAATCAAGGGATCGTTTATCGCGACTGGTGGAGGCCGAATGATGTTCCATGGCTCGGTGAAAATAGGATACTTGCTACCTTGAGCCCAGGTGCTCCGTACTTGCTCCCATGCGGCGAGCAATATTACGACGACGTTGAAGTACGTACACAGCACCCCCTGTTTCATTCTGGCACTACTAACTGTTCTGACTGTCAGTACACCTGCTACGAGAATAGCACACTCTGTCCTATTTTGGATAGTCATCCGACTCTTCTCTGCGGCTCTCAGTGCTACGACGAGTCATTGTATGCCTGCTATGATGCCAAGCTTTGCCCCATTCTGGATGGCGAGACAACTTTCCCATGTGGGGAAGACTGCTATCTTCCTGCAGAGTATAGGTATGCATTTTCAAACACGCTACACACAATATGGCTAGCTAACAGTCAGGAAGTTGTGTGTCATCTAAGCTGGTTCAAGTCCACGCCAACACCAAACCTGATCAATCGGGTGTTGTTATTCCCACCCGGACAAGCCGCAGCTCCCACAGCTCTGCAAGTATCACGACCAACACAAATTCAGATAGCCCCGATCAGTCAGGTAGCAGGGTCCCTACACCAAGCCCTGACATACAAGGGTCAGAGGTCATTCTTGACGGGACAACATATACCATCGGCCCACAGTCGACCACGGTCACAGCAGATGGGCACGTAATCACGCTTGGCCCTGGTGGTATTGTGATCGGAACCTCGACAGTCACAATCCCACCTTCTCAGAGAAGACCGACGACGATCACTGCAGATGGGGTTGCTATCACCTTTGCTCCCCACCAGACTGTTTCCCCAACCACTAGCTCTACTTCAACCTCAATTCCATCGAGCAATCTCCCGACCTCGCGGGACCCAGCGACCACAACACCCCCAGTACCGGGGCCGACCTCGAATCCACTCACACCCAGCTCCACGACGATTCCGATTACCACGCCCATCCTGATCCCCTCGAGTACTGTGGTCACAATCACTGCATCTGATGGCTCTCTGACAGCGGAGGTTACATTTACACCCACCACATTTACCGAATACACTCTCCTTCCCGGCACGATCACTGTCACGACATCTGTGAATGGCATTGCCACGGCAATCGTGGTTGGACCGGGCGGGATCGCATGGAACCCCATCGCCACGACTACGATTACCAGTGGTTTTCCCCCTGTTCCATTTCCCACCATCCCACCAAGTCCGCAGTCTGCCAGTCCTCTTCCATCACGAACTTCCACCAACACTGACCCATTCCCCTCATCCATCTTTCCTGTTCCGTCAGTCATCACTACCGTCGTGACATCTGATATACCGGTAGAGGGTCCCGTAGTTACTACGATCACCGGTACTACAGACTCAAGTGGTATCATTGTCCCGATCACCACCCTTTCCACGGCAGCAGCAATCGCCTCTGCGAAGGCCATTATTTCAGACCTGAGCACTCTTTCTGGAGCTCTGGTCGCCTTCTCCTCGAATACTGCCAATGCCGCAAAGGCGACCTCAGTCTCAGAAGCTAGAGAAAAGGCCAAGTCCGGTACGTCCATATCTCCTTATCTCCATTTCCTATGCACCTAAAAGCTGACAGATTCCACAAGACACACACAACTTCGGCATTGACCTCGGTATTTCTCTCCCTGGTCTTTGCTTCATCTTCTGCGGGTCGGCAAAGGGAATCAGTTCTTCCCTCGACACGGTTAGAGATGTTGTTGACCAGATCATCAAAGGCACAGTCAACGCCGACTCTCTGACCGGACCTCTTACAAATTTGAACAGTGGCATTAACGACCTATGGAATGATGTGAAAGAGGCCGAGAACTCGAAAGGTTCCACAACCAACCCGATTTCGGGTGTCACGTCCACTTCCTGTAGTACGCAAACACCTCTTACCAACTGTGTTGTATTTTGCTCTACTGGACACCCCTCGGGGGATTTGGCTACGACATCTTGCTTCTCGACCACATGCAGCTTCACCATGGCTTGCGACACTGCTGCTACAACTTCGACGTCTTTCGAGCTTGACAAGTGCCCCTTGACCACCCCGTCTCCCGGAGGCATGTCCGTATATTCTTATCCGGGGTTTAAATTCCAAACGGTCAAGCCTGCATGGACGGAATCAACGACCACAACCGAGTCCACGACGACTGAATCCACGACCACTCAGCCCACAACCACTCAATCGACAACCACTCAGCCCACAACCGCTCAGTCCACAACCACTCAGTCCACGACTACCGAGACTACAACCAGTCATTCTACAACGACTCAGTCTACTACCACAACCGCTACCACAACACAGACCCCCGCCCCGACTCCGGATATGGTTGACAACTGCAACGCCATTACCAACGTGCGCCCAAGTGAGCCGATCTCCTGCGCCGATTTTGCAGTTAAGTTCTCGATTACCGTAGAGCAGCTCCTGGCTTGGAATCCAGTACTGGGAACAACCGACGTGGATAAATGCGACTTTGCAGTCGGCTGGGCAAATGGACGACAGAACTTCTGCATTGGTGTGAATGAGCTTACAACAACAAGCGCATCGCCCCCAGGGCCCACTGGTATAACCAAATGTAATACCTACGAGGACTGCCCTCCCTGTCGAGACGGATACTGGCGCTGCTGTCTTTCAGGCTGCCACGGGCATCTGGTGCCGGAGTCGAATACTTGCGGTTGTATCAAAGATGGAGAGAGTGTTGGTGCGGTCTGTGGATGCATGTAAAAAACCTGCGGTTGATCGGTTGCTGGGGGGAGGAATTGTGTGTTGTAAAGAAGAGAATTAATAAGACCTCGTGTGACTACTTCTACTTTACCGCACTAGATCGTACATCATATGTCACCTTCAAATGCTACCTAGTGTAGTGGGGAGACCCCCTCCCCCTACTACATGGGTGCCATCCAGACTATGTGACATAGCCGGCTGTATACGGTGGCCGGATAGCTAGTTCTAGAATACACCTTCTTACACCTCCCCGACCTGACCCCTACATTTGGGGTTCTCTCTATTTCCTGATTGCTACGCGTGTGTTTTGTGGTGGTTTTTCTGCTGAATCGACCCGCACGTCTCAGCGCGTGCTGCCATCGAGCGTTCCCCTCTTCACTAGGTAGGACACTTACCTGGTTACCTTACAATCGCCATACACCTACCCAGTGACTTACACAATAATATGTCCGCCGAGAGTTCCATCTTCGCGAGTCGGCGCCTCGGACAAAAGGATTACGAGGAGATGGGACCGAGCTGCTATACTGATAGAAGTACATAGAAATTGGCTTATTCAGACAGTTTGCGAACTTTGATGTGATTAAAACTGAGTTTAACGAACAATACTAGCGGGCCTTTTCCAGCTATACCTAAAATAAGGAGCTGTTGCATTCTCGCGGCAAATACGTTCCAAAGTTGTCCGGAAATAACCTCTTCTTCCCGACCTGAAGAGATAAATGCACCTTCTGATCTCCTGGTTAAATTTTTGGCCAAACTTGCCGACGCATTGACGCGTCCACGGCCACATACCTTTCGGCTTAGTGCCGATCCGATTGGACGCCAACTACCTGCCGACGTACTTATTGTTCTTTGCTTGATACAGTGTGCTTGGGTCTTCATCTTGCATTTCTGTTCGTCGATGCTTGAGCCGTTTTAAATACGCACGGTGTCGAGAATTGCCGTAGGTGCTTGCATGAGCGAGTCCCCGCGTCGTGCCATGCGACCAGTGCCGATACCGCATTAGGCAAGGCAGGGATTGTGTGGCGCATATTCGGCATTTAATGAGCCGAGATCGAGGGCATTGTTATGGTTTTTCTCGCTCATCATTAGCGCGAAGCTAATGACCCCGCGCTCTCGGAATTGCCGAGTCGGAAATCTGGGGTCTCCGGCTCATCCTCGGGGCAATAATCATCATCTTATATGAGGAGGGCCAATCCCTCGAACACGCTGCGTTCAATTGATCGATTCATCTTCCCCCAGGGGCTTGTCTACTCGAGCCCCCTCCGACATGGCTAAGACGAACGAGGACTCCATCGGCGAAAACTGGGTGGAACAGACGCCAGCCACCCACGCAAATGCCAACGAAGTCCACGGACGCGCCATCCAGCAACAGGAACATAACCGCACATACTGGCAAACACTGAACAAAGATCCCTGGCTGTTGTTTTGGATTGGCTTGATGCTGTGGACCCTTATCGTCCGTGGGTTCGAGAATCAGTCTGCCGGAGCAGTGATCAGCATCACCGAATTCAAGCGCCAGTTTGGCAAGGTTGACTCAAACGGAAACTACTTCATCGAAACACAATGGCAGTCGGCTCTCAGTGGCGGAGCTAACGCTGCTGCGATCCTCGGTGCCTGGGCTTCGTCCTATATTGCCGATATTTACGGCAGCAAGCCTGTTCTTCTTGTCGGGTGCTTGATTAATGTCGCCTCGGTCGGAGTGGAATTTGCGACAACATCTATCGGCATGTTCTTTGGCGGCAAGATGATAAATTTCGTTGCGATTGGAATCTTTCAAAACATCTGCACTGCCTATGTGGCTGATATCTCGCCCCTAGCCATCCGTGCGTCTGTGATCGGATTTTGCAATCTTTCTCAGTGCATCGGACCTTTTGTCTCGGCCATCATCACATACTACAGCTCTAGTTGGAGCACAGCCTGGTCATGGAAGGCTCTGATCTGCGCACAATGGGGCTTCGCTGCGATCGCTCTTGTCGGTCAAATCTTCATGCCTGAGTCGCCGGTGTACCTTGTTCGCCGTGGCAAGATTGAGGCTGCGCGCAAGGAGCTTGGTCGTCTGTACTCCGACCCTAGTGACGCAGAGGGCCATTTGGCACGTATTCAGCTCACCCTGGAAGAGGCAGAGACCCGGCGCAGCTCTTCCTATCTTGAATGCTTCCGTGGGACCAATTTGCGACGTACGATTATCGCTGTTCTCGTCTTCTTGGCAGAGCCCATGGCTGGTCTGGGTTTCGTGCAAAACTATGGCTCGCTGATGTACCAGTATCTCGGCATTGGCGATCGTCAATCCTTCTTGCTTCAGATCGGCGCGCAGATTCTGTCAATTTCTGGAGCCACATTTTCTTTCCTGATTGGCGATTTCTGGGGCCGACGACCTATGTTTCTCTGGGGTTGCATTTGTTTGACGATACTGCTGATCTGCATGGGTATCGCAGGCTCTGTCAATGGAACTGCTGGTATGTTAACTCCTAATTATAGTCTTTGGAACTCAGGCTAATCTCATGCTAGCTGTCACTGCCGCTGTCGGATTCTACACGATGTATAATTTCTTTTTCAACATCGGCGTGGGGTCAAATGTCTATGCCATCGCAGGTGAGGTGCCGACTTCCGTTCTTCGTACCAAAACGTTAGCGCTTTCCATGATTGTTTCGAGCGCAGTCAACACCATGTGGTCTTTTGTCGCTCCATACATCTTCAATCCCGGGTACGGTAACCTGAAAGCAAAGATTGGGTTTGTCTTCGGAGGCTTCATGGCCTTCTTCATCCTGGGTGCATTTTATCTTGTTCCCGAAACCCGCATGCGTACTTATGAAGAGCTTGATGAACTCTTCATCAACAAGGTACCATCGCGCCAGTTTAAGAAATATGTCACGGTGGCTGAGCGACGTGCCGCTGAGGCTTATGCCACGGAGCACAAGATCCCGGAAACCGAGGAGGCATAAGGTCATGGCATTTGGCCCTTTTCCCCTTTTTTTTGTATAAACTTGCTGTGCCTGTAGTCATCTACTATGTCCATGCCGGGGTGGCTATGCGGTTAGTTTATCAATATCAAAAAATGAGGTATTATTCCACTCACCAAGTAAATGAATGAGATAAGGCAATTACCTCCCTCTTCCTTCACAATTTCTGCGGGAGATCAAATTTCAATCTGAGCCAGCAATTGCAGTCGTAAGATCAAACCGAAGAGCAAGAGTCTCGGAAGGACCCGTCGAAGAGACGATTTGAGCAATCCGACGTGTGTCATGGAACGCTCCCTACACAAGATAACCCACGACCTTACCAATGCGAGATCCAAGGATTGTGTTGTATTCCGGAGTAGCGCATTCCCATTGACGTCGCGTCTCATCCGGCCAAGGAAAACCTCGCTGATTTGTGTACAGGAACCTTTGAGCAAGCTGCCTCGTTTCCCGGTTAATTATCAGGTTCACACACAAAAACGTACCTCAGCAATTCATGGGGGAAGTCATACAGATAAATCCATTCGACAAGCTCAGACAGAAATGGACAAGGGACATTTGGGCTCTCCGTTGCATTTTCTTAATGAATGTGACGCCCTCGGCCGTCTGCGTAATGCAAAAAATTAGCTGCTACCGTAAACATGGCCTAGGTCATCCTGGGCAGGCGTCTGTCAGAACAACATAGTGTGCATAAGCGCGCATTCACGCCCGTGGGCGTAAAGGACCTCGTACTGCACCATGAGTCCCGGCATCGCAGGCCTTTGGGATCGACGTATAAATCCTTTATACTTGGACCCATACTTGGACAAAATTTGAGTCAATTATTGCAATGAAGGGAGCCCATAAAGTTTCGGTGAGCGCAATATCCCCTCCACTAGTGAGTTATGGGTCCCGCCTGGGACGAGCGGCTCAAAGAAGCCGACCTCCTGACCAACAGACCCGATATGCTCGACGCTTAGCCTCGCAGTAGACCTCAAATTACCTCACCAGACGTATTCTTGGTCGCTATATCTCAACCACACGATTATAACATGTCTGCATTCCCTTCGGTATCACATCCTGGACGCTGGTACAGCCTGCCTTTAGCTTCACCAACGATAAATTTTTTTCATATTTTTCTTCGCTCCCAAATTCCTCCCAACGCTCAGTTCTTTCGGCTCCTCAGTTCGCTTCACTTTCAACTCACTCCGTACACTTCTCAGCCCGTTCTGATTGCTCAGTCTGAAACCCTCTTCCTCAACCCTCTGCTCCCGTTTCGATTCCGTTGATTCACTCAGTTCGTCCCGTTCACTCAGTTCGAGCCGCGATGCTAAGCATCGTACACGAAACCCGAATATAATTCGAAAGCGTGCCTTGGTTGCGTTACCCTCTGTGGGCTTTTTTTGGTCGTCAGAAATTCTCGACTAAACTTTAACAGCCAGCAATAAACTACAGGGCTTGGAAGATGCAATCACAACAACGCAATCAGCAATCAACAGTACACTGTGTTGACAGTAAGGGGAAAGTGAGGTGATTTTAAATGTATCTTCTGTGACATTTGATCTTCAAAGAAGGTTTGACAAAAGCTTGTGCCCTGTCTAGCACCTAGTGACGTTCCTTGCATCCTTTCCGAATATATGTTTCTCGGATCAAATCCCCCTCGTGCTGATAGACCTCCCATTCGCCAATGCCATAGAGAATCGGAGCACACTTGGTTGCTCGACCACCACCGCCAACGACGATGTTCGCAGGCCGATACTCCGAGTTCGACTGCAGTCGATGGATCGCCGAGGAGTGAACTTTCGCGTTCGATGGGATTTCCCGAGCTTTCCCACGGTGAACCGGGAAGTGAACCAGTTTTGTGGAGCCGTCCGGGAGGGTAGTCTGACGACGTATGGGCAGGTATTCCATGATCCGCCAGGCCATGACAGAGAGAGGTGATACGCCCTCGCCAAAATCGATGCGATCGTGCAGCAGGCCTTCCGTACTGGATTGTCGAAGCGCGGCCTTGAAGCGGCTGCTAGACGAAGGGTCTTCTTCCCAGTTTTCCAGACACTTGAACTCGTGCAACGTTTTCTGTTCAAATTCGATACCAGCTCGCTGTGCCTCCTGGACCATCCATACAAGTGGAACGTGGCTTAGCTGCGATTCTTCGTCTTTTGCCTTTTGAAACCCACCACCAATGTCGGCGTGGCCACCTGGGAACCAAATTTCTTGAACGTCTTGGTACTCCTCATCGTCCTTCTGTTCCTTTCCTGGTCCTGAATTCGGATTCGAAACGTCTGTACCTGCGTTCGTACCGTCGGCATGATTCGTAATCCCAGGAACGACCAGTGGCTGGGTTTGGACAGGATCGAGCTGCTCTCTGTACGGTCCTGTTGTTGTTCGACCTTGCATGGTCGGGTCTGATTCCAGAGGTAAACCCAGGAGAACAGGCTGGAATTTGACTCTCCGTTCGTCGATACTGACTGCGTGTCGAATCACTCGAGCACTTGGCATGGTGTCATTATTGATCTCGAAGTCCGCAATGCTGTTAACAGTGTCGAATAAACCCAGAAATTTGACTCTGTTCACAGGCCGACACAGGGTTTCGCGGCAGTCTTTCAAAAACTTCCTTGCCTTGTTTCTCTTCTCGCTGCCCTCGTATCGAGTCAACTTCCACTGCGAGAACGATTCCCAAATGAATGGTATCATCTCCTCGTTGTCCGGGCCAAGCAATCCAGCATGATCGAGCATTTCCGCGAGAAAGCGGGCCGTGTAGGCGCCGCGTGAAAAGCCAAAAATGTAGATGTTCCCATCCCCGCGGTAGTGCTTCATGAGAAATCGATAGCCACCCAAGACATGCTGGTCGAATGATTCTCCCAGTGCTTGACTGATGGTCTTGCTTTTGCCAAGATGACCGCTCTTCTTCAGGGTAGTGGCTGCCAGGGAACCGGGTGTGATCTCGGTACCGATTCCCGCTGCGAAGTGTTAGACATTGTCATTCAAATTGAATTTGAATTGATTTTGGTCGAGTTCATACGTTGATAATAAACCACTGCTCGAATATTAGACGGGGGACTTTCCTGAAGGCGAATGGGGCCATCTTCAACCCGCACAACTCACATTGCTCATCGGTTCGTTGCAACATGCGACAGATCTTCAAGATATTTGTCTCCGTGCCATCGGCACGAAACGTGTTGCCCGTTCCATCGAAACATAGAACGAGTTGTTTTGGCTTGGGATGCGGTGTGTCTCCCATCGTGGTAAAATGAAAATTAGAGGCGCATGTGCGACCTCAGCGAGCAATGCGATTGCTCTATTTATCTGCATGCACTGACCGTCGCGGTTCGTGTCCACCATGTCAATCATGACAGTTTCGGGTTAGCTTAGATTGGCTTTCAGCTCCATGAATTGGCTAGCCTGCCTCTCCCAAGACTTCGTCTAGCCTGTCGTTGCATTTCATTTGAAAACGAGGCTAATCTGTGGGGCAGCTGAATAGCCCGTGTGACGTCTATCGATGGTAGTGGGTGGAGTGACTTTTCTTCACCCCTTGACTCCTTTTCGCCCCACCGTTCATGCAAATTGTTCCCCTGCCGAGTTGAACTTCGCGGGACGGACGAGGCGCGATGTCGCTTCTCCCCCTCCATATGTATATATCCTCGCGGGTGTGCATGCAGGAAAGAATCCAAATAGGTGATGATAATGTATCATTTTTCTTGGTAGATGGAAGAAGCTATCCGACAGTAGAATTGTATTCATCGTTTCATCACGTGATTGGGGCCGGTAGCATGAACGAATACCTATCCTTCGATAATGGTCAACCGTTTTGGCTGTGACTCTCAAGCAAAGTATGGCACCCCAGCTACATGCATAACGAAATCCTCCCACGACTGCAAATGCCTGCTAATGGCAGTTTTTCGGGATCCTGGACGTGCCAACTCTAATACGCAAATTCTTCTGACAACTGAATTCTGAGCACACTTCGTTCATCGACTATCCGAATCGTCAGGCCGTCGTCAAAAGCGGGTGGGTGTCGTGGGGGCTCAGTACGATCTTTTCATCCTGTGAGAGACTAAAGGATTCCGTGCCGTCAAGTGAAAGCAGCAGATGGAAGCGATGGTGGCCAGTGCATTCGCTGGGCGCATCGTTCGTTTTCCGTGGACACTCGAGCATACCGATGCCATCGCAGGTGCGAAACGGATGATTTTGGTAGGCTTGTGTCTGTCGTCGGGCCAAGGGATAACCAACGCGTTCTCTGTCGTTGAAGTAGTAGGTTCCATCAGAGCAGGTAAATAATATGTCCAGATGGGCCTCTCTTTGCTTGTCGCTTTCACCCCAACGTGGAGCCAAATGGATCCGAGGGTTTGCCGGGACGGCCCTTCGCCGCCTCCCGCGCATCACGAAGCGAAAACATCATGACCGCTGGAGCATGCTAGACAACCGAGATATTAGGTCACGACTGTGTACAGTCCTGTACCACTGAGCCAAGTTAGATTCCAGAGACGAGAATGGGGGCCGTGAAAACTTATGGATAGCGAAGCCACAAAGAGAAATAGCTAAAGTAGCTTCAAGGCCGGGCGTGGATGTCTGCTGACTAATAGTTACCTGATCTTGATCACAATTTGGCATTCCTCGACGCGGCCTCCACCTCATCAACGGGGCAGCGATTAACTCGGTGATCATGGTGTGCACAGATTAATGCCACCTGGGTCCCCCAGCTCTTGCTTCTTTTTGCACATAAAAATATGAAAATGGGCTAGTATTATGCTTCTCAATGAATGGAACTGATGGCACTTCAGATTTAGTGGCGGTCAGTCTGAGCGCTCACAGCCATTCGATCCCCCATCACCCCCCAGAAAATATACGCTAATGCCCACTACCCATTTATCGAACCTTGACATTGCTCTTCGGTTTCGTCGGTGCATCCGTCCTGCTGATGTATGGCACCTTCCCCGAGCTCGGACCGAGTCAGCGTCCGAAGCCCTTCTTATTTCACCCGGTCATTGAGAACCCTGAACGAAGAATCAAGGCGGATCACTTCATATTTGCGGATGACCGCTACCCTTTTCCGCCTCGATATCGTTTCGTCAAGGATCTGGTGTGCTTGTTGGTGGTAGGCTTGGATTTCGGGGTCAAATAGTGTGTTGCCCATCGTGAGAAGCAGGGCAGCTGCAAAAGCTATTTCAAGGTCAAAGGACAGAAAGACCTCTCTATGAAAGAGAAGCTAATACTTTCTCTGAATGAAACTGTTCATCGTAGTTTGTCTCCTCGTGGTCTTGGCGTATACTTACTAAACAGTATAGTTAACGTAATCCACAAGCGAGTGAAACACCCCACCAGAAATCGCGTATTCCTTCCTACCTACCTTCTTCAGCTACCAACCATGCCACCAAATCGCTCGCGATCCTCACAGGATTCGATACAGCAAGAGGGCAGAATCCTACTAGCCCTCCAGGATGTCAAAAATGGCCGACTCAAATCGATTCGCGCAGCTGCTAGGCTATATGGCGTATCCTATGCAACCTTATCCCGGCGGGCGAAGGGGATAACCTCACGCGTCGACATACGCGCAAATTCGCATAAATTAACCCAATTAGAAGAGGATTCGCTTGTTGAATGGATATTCTCTATGGATTCGCGTGGAGCAGCGCCTAGGCCCGCTACTGTACGAGAAATGGCCAATATCCTTCTTGCAGCGCGTGGCTCGACCCCCCTTTTGACCGTCGGTCAGTCTTGGGTATCAAACTTCGTTAAACGTCATGAGGAACTTCGTACACGCTTTTCGAGACGCTACGATTATCAAAGTGCCCTAAACGAAAACCCAAAATCGTTACGAGAGTGGTTTACTACTATACAACGCGAGATTAATGAGAATGGGATTCAACCAGAGGATATCTACAATTTTGATGAGACTGGATGCGCGATGGGCCTTATATCAGCGCAAAACGTAATTACTCGAGCTGAATACTACGGTCGGCCATCAGTTTTACAACCAGGAAATCGCGAATGGGTCACAGTAATCGAAGGAATTTGCGCTAATGGTTTTTCGCTACCTCCATGCGTGATATTCAAGGGCCAGATTTACAAGGAATCCTGGTTCGATAACTTACCGAAAGATTGGCGATTCGAGGTCTCAAATAACGGGTGGACTACTGACGAAATTGGCCTTCGCTGGCTACAAAAACTGTTTATTCCATCAACAAATTCGCACATACGAGGGAAATATCGGCTATTGATCCTTGACGGCCACGGGAGCCATCTTACACCTCAATTCGATCAAATCTGCAAAGAAAACAATATTATACCACTTTGTATGCCTGCACATTCCTCACATCTACTACAACCGCTTGATGTTGGATGTTTTGCTGTGCTTAAACGCGCGTACGGCCGCTTCGTGAGCGATCTAGCACCCGTTGGATACAACTATATCGATAAACTCGATTTTCTCGAAAATTACCCTCGGGCGCGTGCGGAGGCCTTTCAATCACACATTATTCAAAGTAGCTTCGCAGCTGCAGGTCTTATTCCAATTAACCCAGAACGTGTGCTTTCGAAGCTTAATATCTCACTCCGAACGCCTACACCACCGAGTAGTCGACCAAGCAGCAGATCAAAGCTCATTAGGCCCAAAGACGCCTAAAACTGCCATTCAACTAAATAAGCAAGCTTCGATACTTAAAAGAACTACTTAGGCAACGGTCAAATAGCCCTCCGACCCCGTCAAAAATTATACTAGATCGGATTATCAAAAGCCACTATCAATCGCTACATAACACAGCGCTACTAGCGCAAGAAGTCACGAATCTACGTGCAGCGAATGAGAAAAAACGCCAGAAACGCACACGATCGAATCGGCAGATACCACATGAAGGAGGTCTTTCGGTTGAAGAGGGCCTACAGCTCGCTCAGCAGCTAAACCAGCCAGTTGAATGTGACGGGGTTGTGTCACATACGCAGGGCGATCTGCCTAATCAGCTAGACCAGCCAGCCAAAAGGGCTTCGCCCAGGTGTAGTGGGTGTAGAGAGATTGGACACAAGATCAATTCATGTAATAATCACTATATTTAAATTAGGTTGAACGGCCTCTATTTTAAAAATTCGGCATTGGTACGGTGTTTCACTCGCTTGTGGATTACGTTACGTAATCCACGGTCGAGCTGACAATACGGTCGAGCTGACAACTTTGCCCGACTCGGCTTTTCTAATTGGAGGCCTTCCAACCAAAACGCATAAATTTGTTTAAATATAGCGATTATTACATGAATTTATCTTGTGTCCAATCTCTCTACACCCACTACACCTGGGCGAAGCCCTTTTGGCTGGCTGATCGGGCTGGATAGGCAGATCGTTCTGCGCATGCGATACTGCCTTTTCACCTTCTACTTGCTGATTTTGCTGCTGAGCCAGCTGTAAGCCCTCTTTAACCGTTAGGCCCCCTTTATGTACTATTTGCCGATTAGATCGAGTGCGTTTCTGGCGTTTTTTCTCATTCGCTGCACGTAGATTCGTGACTTCTTGCGCTAGTAGCGCTGTGTTATGTAGCGATTGATAGTGGCTTTTGATAATCCGATCTAGTATAATTTTTGACGGGGTCGGAGGGCTATTTGACCGTTGCCTAAGTAGTTCTTTTAAGTATCGAAGCTTGCTTATTTAGTTGAATGGCAGTTTTAGGCGTCTTTGGGCCTAATGAGCTTTGATCTGCTGCTTGGTCGACTACTCGGTGGTGTAGGCGTTCGGAGTGAGATATTAAGCTTCGAAAGCACACGTTCTGGGTTAATTGGAATAAGACCTGCAGCTGCGAAGCTACTTTGAATAATGTGTGATTGAAAGGCCTCCGCACGCGCCCGAGGGTAATCTTCGAGAAAATCGAGTTTATCGATATAGTTGTACCGACCCGGGCAAGATCGCTTACGAAGCGACAGTGCGCGCGTTTAAGCACAGCAAAACATCCAACACCAAGCGGTTGTAGTAGATGCGAGGAATGCGATGGAATACAGAGCGGTATGATATCGTTTTCTGCGCAGATTCGATTGAATTGAGGTGTAAGATGGCTACCGTGGTCATCAAGAATTAATAACCGATATCTACCTCGGACACGCGAATTCGTTGATGGAATAAATAGCTTTTGCAGCCAGCGAAGGCCGATCTCATCGGTAGTCCAGCCGTTCTTCGAAACTTCAATTCGCCAATCTCCTGGGAGATTATCGAACCAGCTCTCGATATAGGCCTCGTTTTTAAATATTACGCATGGCGGCAGCGAATAGCCGTCAGCGCAGATTGCTTCGATCGCAGTAACCCATTCGCGATTTCCTGGCTGTAAAATCGATCTCCTACCGTAGTATTCTGCTCGGGTAACCACCTTCTGCGCTGATATAAGGCCCATCGCGAATCCGGTCTCGTCAAAGTTATACATTAAGCACGCTTTGGACCTTCGCAAACAACTCACGTAGGGACTTCGGGTCTTCGTTTAGAGTACGTTGATAATCGTATCGTCTTGAGAAGCGCGTACGGAGCTCGTCACGGCGATTTATAAAGGTTGATGCCCAATTCACGCCAACGGTCAAGGGAGTAGTTGATCCACGCGCCGCAAGAAGAATATTTGCTTTTTCTCGCACAGTAGCGGGCCTAGGCGCTGCTCCGCGCGAATCCATAGAGAAGATCCATTTGACAAGCGAATCCTCTTCTAATTGGGTCAATTTATAGCCGTTTGTGCGTGTGTCAATGCGTGAGGATACGCCAAGTGCGCGATTTCTTAGCGTTGAGCGGGGTATACCGTATAGCGTTGCAGCCGCGTTTAACGATCGATATTGGCCATTTTTAATCCCTTGGAGGGCTAATATGATCTTACCCTCTTTTTCAAGGGAGTTTCGAGATGATTGAGAGCGTTTTGGTGGCATGGTGGGCAGTTGAAGAAGGTAGGTTGGCGGAAACGCGCGCGTTCGGGCAAAGTTGTCAGCTCGGCCGTGTTGTCAGCTCGACCGTGGATTACGTTAGTAAAAGCTGCTGTGTCTGTATCAATTCCCCGTGATAATGCATGGGAATCGCCTAGTTAGCTAGGAATGCCCTCTGATAAACATGGGAGAAGCGTTAGTTTAGTTTGCATTTTTTCCCCCATATAAATTGCTAGCTAGGAGATTTTATCCAATTCAGCCTTGTTTACCTTCTCATTCACTACCATACATATTCATACACCGCCTTCCCGACACAGTGACATCCGCTCACTTGAAAATTCACTCAGCATGAAACCTATGCCAATAACCAAATCAGTGTTAGAAAACACGGTATGTCGTTTCGTGCTGTATCCGGGGGTCGACCAACCTCCCGAGGGTCGGGAACAAGGGATTCATAAGTCACGACACATAGTGTTCTGATCGAAAATCTTTTCGCGTCGAATTGAATCTAAATTTTCACCGTCATACCTTAACTTGAACATCACATTTGTGAACAGAGTAATAAAGGAAAGCCCGCACGACCCCATGCATACTTTCTGTCATAATCGGCAAGTCACGTGTTCTTGAAGACAGATTGATGTCTACTCGATCTAAACATGTTCCACGAGCAAAAAGCCCACAAAATCTTCGATCGGGGACATTGTCACACTAGCACCAGTAACGCAGATTTGATGAGCGACTGACGTGACGCGTGTCATTATTCCGCTTTAGTGTCATGTAGAATTTTGGATATCTGACAAACTGAGGGAGTGGTCAAATAGTTAGTTACCACTGTGATATTTGGCACAGAATACGCGGTATGGTCTGGTACTGACAACCCTGGTTAGGTCAGTCAGTACAGTGTGGAACAGGCTTACTAAGTTCCATTCGGAATACTGAATCTCCGATTCAGTACGCTAGTGTATATAAGACCGTATGCCCCAGATAGTTTTCAGAACCAGACAATCCCTTCTGTTGAGTTATCACATCTGGTAGCATGTCCTACTAGGCCTGCCTCCTACGGCAGGCCCAGTGGTGTGTTGGCCGGCGGGCAACTGCTCGTTCTGATGAGCTTCGGCCAAAGCTCTTCGGAATATGCGAGCTTTGTTTACTCGCCATCAACTTCGGTCTACGTGCCCAAGTTCGATCAAGGGCCTGAACAGGAGACTGAGGGTGCCAGATAAGGAGCAGGAATGAGAATACTCTTCCACAGTTGGACTACCATGAGATGTGGGAGCACCATTTACCCCGGAATAAGGACAGTCAACTCCTCCCGTGACGCTCGGTACACATCGAGGACGTCATGAAATCTTATTTCGAGCGGGGAAACGCCTCAGGAAGCCGCTAGGAGCGAGCAAGGCTAGTGGAAGCGTGTGTTTTGTCCCTCATTCTGAAGCCTATGACGACCTCTTGTGGAAAGAACGGCAAGTCGACACTGTTCTTGAACGCCCATTGGTAGGCGTTGGCTACTGAGATGCGGACTCAGTGAATACGAGAGGACCCCCTCAGTTGAAATCTCCTTGTCAACATGAAGTGGAAGTGCTATTTCGAGGGCATAAATAGTGCCTCGGAATCGGCTGAGAAAGAGTGTCTATGAGAACAACTCATAGTGACCATCCAGTCGGAAAGAACCATCCTATACTGAATTTTATCTTATGTCTTCAATTTTGTTCTGCGTTTCTTTGATACTGCTTCTTCAATCTTTTATTCTGTTGATCGTTCTTATACAATCCCTATGTCCAATCAAGGAGACCTTATGGAATCGGGCGAAACCACGGGTCCTACCCAGGGGACGATACCGGAGACCATTGGTACCCCAGGGGCCGTTCCGAACCCCCAATTGTCACGAGCCATATCACCTGGGACAATGCAAGCTCTGCATGCACTCCCAGCAGACATGGCGGAAGCCCAGTACGTTCAGTGGCTATCCGCTACAAACCCGACAGCCCAGGCCCAAACCATCAAGGCCTTGGCGTGGGGGATCCAGGAAGGTCAGCGCCGACAGGAGGAACAACAAAGAGCTACCGAAGCGGCAGCCAACGTTCCGAGTAACTCCTCAGGATCAGCCATCCGTGGAACAGCTAGCACAGCTGGACTCCTTCCTGGGAGAGCAGATTGGGAGACTCGGAAGGCACTCCTCAAGGACCTAGTGGGAATCCCTGAGTACTTTGGGCAATTCAAGGACGATGCGGCGCGCAAATGGATACTCGCGTGTGAGCGCCACTTCCAGGATGTGGAAGGGCTTACCGAAGTCGAGATCTCAGATACTCAGAAAATTATTGCAGCCAAATCGAATCTCCGGAAAGCTGCCGAAGACCGATGGCGGGTCATGTACGGAAGAAAATCAATTCAAGGCATGCAATGGGAAGAGTTCAAAACTTGGGTTGAAGAGCAATTCAGTGAATACCTCAGTCCGGAAAAGAGGTATGCCAAATACCGAAGGATGACCCAGGGGAACCAAACTCCTTTTCATAAGTATGCAGCCGACCTACGCCAAGCGGCAGACGATTTGGAATTCAGAAATATGTCCGAAGACCTGATGATAGCGGATCTGATTCATGGTGCCAAGGCAGATCTCCAGGTCCGGTGGCATGCTCTACCAAAGCATCCTACCGAATGGAACGCCGTTGTGAAAGCCTTTGTGGGCCTGGAAGAGGGAGCTACTAGAGGACATGCTGTATCAATAACAGGTGACCCTATGGACCTCTCATACATGCAAGGTGCACCGCTAGGATCCACTCCAGGGAGGAAGAAAGAATTCAAACAGACATCAGAGAAGAAGGGTGAGCAGTCAAAGCCCAGGATTCCAAGAGGCCGTTGTTTCAATTGCGGCCTGTCTGGACATTACAAAAGAGACTGCCAAACCTCAAGGAGGAAAACGCAGAACACAATGACATCGCCGTCGGGAAAAGTGAGTGGTCGGTAAATGTGGAGGCATTGATCGACCAAATGGACAAAGCCTCTAGACAGAAGCCTCTGGAAGTACAGGACCTTCTGGATCCTGAGTACTCATCAGATTCAGAAACTGCAATTTCGGATTCTGATTCAGAGACTGTAGTGTCGGAACGAGAGCTTTTGGACGCGAGCCTCAACGTTATAGGAGACTCGCTGATCTATTTCGCAGGGACGGTAAGACAGGGAACAGCTAGACCAAGCGCTGTTAAGATACTCCTTGATTCAGGAGCCTCCCACACCTTTGTGTCACAAAGGTTAGTGCGGAGAATGAGGGGAGAGATTCAGTATCAGAAAGGTGGGAGATCGCTTTCGGTACGATTACCGGACGGCGGACAGATCCCCACCCATGGATCCTTTACAGTCCTTGTAAGGATTGGAGGATGGTTCGGAAGGATCAATGTCTGGGTTCTTGATATCCCAGAACATGATATGATCCTAGGCAGAGACTTCCTTCGGAAATACGACCCGCGGCTAAGTTGGCGTACTTCGCAAATGCGGATTCGAGATGACCAAGGAAGGGAACATACGGTGCTGCCGCTGCAGGGCAGCCCGGTTGTCACGAAGGGCATAGCTTCGTTCGACCTGCTTACAGGAAAGCAAGTGAGACGCGCTCTGAGGAAGCGCATTACTCAGGCCTATCTTTTTCTTGTGCAGCCTACACAAGATGAGGCTGAGGGTTCGGAATTCAAGCTGGTCGTTCCGCACCATGACGACTCGAGAGTTAGGGAGATTCTTCTGAAGCATCAGAAGGTCTTTCCGGAAGAATTGCCGAAGGAGCTACCGCCAGAACGTGACCACGCGCATGAGGTGGATACAGGGGACGCCAACCCTGTGAATATTAATGCATATCCGCTTTCCGTGGAGAAATTGGATGAGTTGGGCCGCCAAATTGAGGATCTGATTCAGAAGGGCCTGATCCAACCGTCCGCAAGTCCATGGGGGTTCCCAGTCGTTTTTGTTCGGAAACCGGACAATAAATGGAGGATGTGTATTGATTACCGAGCACTGAACGAGGTCACTTTGAAGAATGGTTATCCCTTACCGAGGGTTCAAGAACTCCTTGATATCATCGGTAAGGCTAAATTCTTGTCAAAGATTGACCTGGCGTCGGGATATTGGCAGGTTCGTATGGAAGAATCCGCCATTCCGAAGACAGCTTTCAACACAGTCTGGGGGAAATTCGAATGGCTCGCCATGCCATTCGGGCTGTGCAATGCACCCGCCACATTCCAGACTTTGATGAATCAAACCTTACAGCCACTTCTCGGAAAGTGTGTGGTTGTGTATCTGGACGACATCCTAATCTTTTCTGAATCAATGAATGACCATTACCGACATCTTGACCAGGTCCTACAGCTATTGGAACAGCAACAATTATATGCACGACCGCAAAAGTGCATATTTGCTACCCAGCAACTAGAGTTCTGTGGTCATATCGTCGGAAATGGAACAGTTCGTACCCAACCAGAAAAGATCAAAGTCATCCAGGAATGGCCACGGCCAAGGAATGTGCACGAAGTTCGACAGTTCCTTGGTCTCGCCACATATTATCGACGGTTTATCCGAAGCTTCGCACGAATTGCAGCACCGCTACATGAGCTTCTAAAAGAAGCTGATGCTCAGCTTCGGGTAAAAAGATTTCGTCCTGTCAGATGGAACACCGCAGCAGGATTGGCTTTTCGGAATCTTAAGGAAGCCATGGTTACTGCACCGGTTCTGATGCAGCCAGACCGACTCAAACCCTTCATTATCGAGACCGATGCATCAGAATGGGCTATCGGTTTCGTACTGTATCAAGAAGGCGAGGATCAAAAGTTGCATCCAGTAGCATTTGACGGTCGAAAATTGAGTACCGCAGAACTGAATTATCCGGTCCATGAAAAGGAGCTGCTTGCAATCAAGGAAGCACTCCGACTGTGGGATCGATACATCGAGAACGGAACCACCACAAGAATCATCACAGACCATGCCAGCCTGCAATACCTCCAGACAACTAAAACATATAGCAAGCGACTGGCTAGATGGGTGGATGAATTTCAGCAGTATGACCTTAAGATTCAGTACCGAAAGGGGTCAGAAGCTGTGGTTCCAGATGCAATCAGTCGGCGGCCGGATTTCGTCGAAGACACACCAGCCAATATAGCTCAAGATCGCCCTGACTGGGTGGCTCAGTTAAACACTCTTACAGTAGGGGATTTTTCAGAACAAGACTGGCTCAAAGCCACTGAGGAATTCTTGCGTTCTGGACACCTCCCTACCAACAAGAAGCTGAGCCGATACGTCAGAAAATTTGCACCACACCTCGGCTACAGAACAGTGAAATTACCGATGAGAGCTGATGCAGACACTAACCGTCAACTGGTTTTCACACATGCTGACGGGGTGGTGGCACCATATCTTGAAATGCCCCTCCGAGAGGATTTCGTGCGCAGAATGCACGAGGAATTTGGACACTTGGGATATCCTGGTCTTCAGGGAGTAACACGGCCCCGCGCCTGGTGGCCGACAATACGAACTGACATCCAGGAAACTGTTAAGAGATGTCCAAACTGTCAGGTTGCCCAGGGATTAAACGAATCCCTGGAAAGAGAGACTGCACAGCACCTTGTGAAGGAAGGAATCCGTCCGTTTGAAAGGTGGGGGATCGATCTTGTGGGTCGCTTACCGAAGACTCCGAACGGTAACCAATGGATCATCACCGCCATTGATTACGCTACTGGTTGGACTGTGGCTCGTGCTGTACCGGATGCCACGGAAGAAACCATTGGCCAGTTCTTACACGAGGATATCTTCATTCAATACGGTGCACCACGGGAAATAATTACCGACAATGGCCGGAACCTGATTGCTAAAGCAGTGGAATATTACATCAAACTTTTGAAAGCCAAGCACCGGACCACCACCCCGTATCACCCCAGAACGAACGGGAAAGTTGAAAACTTCAACGGGATACTGGGCCGGATGCTGACAAAATACCTAATGGGTAAACCAACCCGACTGTGGGATGAATACCTACCGCAAGCTCTTTTTGCCGCAAGGGTTCATGAACATAGTGTGCTCGGTGTGAGCCCGTACTATCTGGTGTACGGAGAACATCCAAGGATTCCGAGTGACGAGAATTCGGAATGGGACGACTCAGTAGGACCTTTCCAAGATTGGGAAGATCGAGTCCGTCTGATAAATCATGCGCGGTCTAAAGCAAATGAGCTTCTGTTAAATCGAGCTATCAAAACCCAGAGAATTAGGGATGAAGCTGTGACCAAAACGAGTTTCAAACCAGGACAATGGGTATTGCTTCGGAATGAGTATCGACAGAAGCTGGATTGCCGCTGGTACGGCCCCTACCAGATCTTGAAGGCGCATCCATTGGGCACATATGCGCTGGCCGAACCAGGAGGAAGGGTCTTGAGGAATTTGATCAACGGAGCGAGGCTTATCGAAGCGCAAGTTGATAATCCAGATAGGCTGTGGACATCGTCACTAGCAAAGCGGGCTATTCAAAAAGCGGGCTACACGCTACACAAACCACAGGAAATTCGCAAGATCCTAGACAGCGAGGAGCCTACACCCCCCTCATACTCAGAACTCTCCACCATCACCAGAGCTGAGTGGGAAGCACGTGAACGTTCAGGGGAACATTCAGTTTCAGTGGGGGAGGATGAGGCTATCACGGAACGTGTCATTTCGAAGAAACGAATGAAGCAGCAACGTACCGTGAGGGCTGTCAAATCTTCCGCAGCAAAAGGCCCTGCTGCAAGTAAAGAAGATACAGAAGGAGCGGAAACTCGTAAAACTAGGGCTGCTAGAAAGGTTACCGAACGACAATTGAATACTGAATTGGATTCATTTCAATACAGTACATCTGGCCGACGCCAGGAGGGCAGGAGCGCTCTGAAGATACTGAAACCCATCCGGAAATCCACGCGCCAAAGGAAGCTAACCAAAGACCGAAACCCTGACTTGATCCAGTATTAAGAAGAGACAGATTCAACCATGTCCACTACGACTCTTAGTTCTGCTCTCTCTCTGATCCCGAAAGACCACTACCTTGCCATGAGCTCTGAGTAGGTGGCTTCTGGGTTAGAAGTTGGATCCGACGTCCAATTCGGTATGCAGCCCATGTCGCTCGTTGGCGAACTGAAGTGCGCGGATGCTCCTGAATATTGGAACGGACTCGAACACGACGAGAACCCCTAGTTAAGCCATGGGAATGGCCTCCCGGAGTGGAACTAGCTCCATATCCTCGGAAAACACCAGAACGGGATTGACCATTGTGGCCTTGAGTAACAGGGGCAGTAGGCTGTTCCAAATGCCGGATCACTGTGCCAGAACGAGGTGGAGCGGTCTTGGCCAAAGCTTTGGTACGACCTCGTCGCTGAACCGTTGAAGGAGCAGAGCCTGTAGCTGCAAGGGATTCAGAATTCTCGTACGCCCTTATCCAGAGAGGACGCATGGTACGGAAGCTGCATTTGGCTCCTCCATCCAGAAAGGCACAACACAGACAACTACCCTGGAACATCAGAGTGTTGCTGTCATCTATCGCCACACGGCAGCTCTCAAAGGAACCTTTTCCAGAGGAACAGTAGCTACACTCCTCACCCAGAGGTGCAAGCTGTCCGAAACGCTGCGCCATTGCTGCTCGGCGCTGTTGAGAGCGGTTGCAGTTTTTGAACTGTGGAATACCATCCACCACCCTCCAATCCACGTTCCGAGGTTGCTCAGGCAGCTTCCTAATTACCGCTCGGTCTGCATCGGTAGTGAATGATGAAAGAAGGGGATTTCCTCTTATATCAATGCACCACTCTGCTAGTTTGGTTGTTGGAAGACCGGAATATTGGAAAAACGGAACCTGGCTTTGAAAACGCAGACGCCAACGAGGAACTGGAGAAGATGTTTCAATATTCTCCTCCTCAGGAACCGTCCGTTCTTCTTCTTCTTCTTCTTCCTCGTCTTCTTCCTCTTCCTCCTCTTCCTCTGCTTCTTCCTGGTGAGAGGGCAGCGTTCAGTCACGTAGGGAGCGAGGATCCCCAGAAACCGAATCTCCGCTCTGAGAACCGGCCATGATGGCGGGTTCTGGCGACCACAAGCATTCCAGTCGCTCACGGGCCGCTGACACAGCAGCTTCCTCCAGGCTGTCCGAAGCCGCTCGGGCAGCTGAGGGACTGACGATGGTGATGAGTGGTTGAATGTTTACAGACGGAGACAGAAGAGCCTTTTCACTCCTTATAAGGCTAACGTCCCTTACCCACTGATTTTCCATAACACATTCCTTGATACCGTCTTTGATTCGGTGACCAAACGTTCTTTGATCTCTTTGAATCACTACTGAAAGGATTATCCTTCAATAGGTGGATATGGAGATGATACTGGTACCGAACAAGGACGTGGAGTACCGAATCCCTGCTCTTCCCTGAACTAATTTCGGTACTCTTTGTTTGACATGCTTACTCCGGTTCTGATTACTACCCAATTGCTATCTGAGTTCCTCCCGTCTTTGATCTCGAGGGCGAGCTCGAATCTAGTGGGGGAGGATGTGATATTTGGCACAGAATACGCGGTATGGTCTGGTACTGACAACCCTGGTTAGGTCAGTCAGTACAGTGTGGAACAGGCTTACTAAGTTCCATTCGGAATACTGAATCTCCGATTCAGTACGCTAGTGTATATAAGACCGTATGCCCCAGATAGTTTTCAGAACCAGACAATCCCTTCTGTTGAGTTATCACACCACTAGGACCCTTTGGGATAGGCTTATTCATCGTTCACCCAATTTCCACCTAGTATGGTGCCATAACACACCATAGTTCGATTATAGAGACCCCTGAAATCCCTCAGCCGATCTCAACAATCTTCAATCAATCACCTGATTCTATTGGAAATGTTCAGTACTAGCCAGTACATCAATTTCCCATACTGACAATTTCACATTTTTGAGTATTGGGACAACACGAGGAGGCAAAATATATTTTCGATTTACTATCTTCAATCAGATTCTTCGAAATTCTCACAAGTAGATTCGCAGCTACTCCTGAACTACCTAGGCAGATGTAAAGCACCCAAAAAGAGACCGTGAATGCCGTTTTCATTGCTTCGTGGCACTGAATCGCATAGCTCTGGTAGCGGGGATCCCACGGAGGAACTCCATCAAAGCTCATAGCCCCCAAGCCGCCCCATCAGCAGAGCCCGCCAAGCTACGAAGCAGCTGTAACGTATCCACCGGATATTGACTAGCCATAAACAAATATAAATCACCTAACTATCAATTCGACGAACAAAAACAGGTCGTTCGGGTGTGTGGACTTGACCAAGTCACGTTACCAGTAATAGTTGTCGCAACCCAGGGTGTAGTGGATATATGCTTCAATCAATGGAGTCGCAAGAAGAGTCTGAATTGCTGTGTAGCCCCTATCCGGCAATTTATGGGGAAGCTGACTAATACGAAACAATCGGCAATTTAGATAATCCACCTCCGAGCTAACTATGGATTCCAACAATAGTTAAAGATTTTTACACACGTGATCTGTTTAAACCTGTTGTGGTGAATTTTTGTGGCCCAAAATGCAAACGTTTCCCGAAACCAGAATTTTTCTAGAATATCTCTGTCAGATTGACCTTCCTTCTACGGCTTGTTGACCTTTGATCTGCTTGTTATGGAATTAGCGTGAGCAATCTCACGGCGGATAGATCCATGTTATCATTTGCCACTATTTTCAGCCTCCGCGAGATTACGTTTGTGGCAAATCTTTTCTGGAAGAGTCCAGATTCTCTGGAACGAAGACGACAAGTTATTTGGAGAATTGCATGGAGCCGAGATCTTTCCTGCAGGTAGCATGGCTTGCCCAACGTCTCACTCTGCACCGCCTACAAGCAACACCTGCTGAATGATCGTAAACACGCAGCCGCGTAAAGGCAAACATGCCTTAATGGGACACGTAGCTGATGATCGGAGAACCCTTTAACCCTTCAACTCTGCTGCGACGTCACTCGTCTCCGAAAGCAACTTCATGCAGACAAGTGTCGGTGGGATGCCCGAATCAAACACGAGCCGCCTCACCTTAACGCACAGCCTGAAGGTCCAGTTTTGTCGGAGTGTACCGGACACAGTAAACCACGCATCGATCGCTATTCAACGGATTTTGAAGTGGATCTCCGAGGATCTACCGACCAGACGATCTCTCGGTCAACCGAACGGGGAAACCAGAGCAGTGAGATGATATTCAACCACATCCACCACAACAAAACAATCATTAGAATTAACTTCAAAAACGCCAAAAAGCCGTATTTACACATCGGGAAGTACTTCCATCAAAGAAAACTGCAAAAAGCCCATTTCCTAATCGAACCGAACGACCCCGATCGAGCGCCTCGGCTTGCCGGTCGGTCGGCGGTGGGGCCGAGCCCGAAGGCATGCCGAAAAGCTCGGCGAAAGCAGGATCGGGAGCTCATCGGTCTTTCTTCGCATTTACCGCAACTTTTTCACCAAATCAACGCGTCGCGGTAGTTGTCCGAAAGTGGCCTGCTTTCTTCGCTTCGCCGGTGGCGTCTGTGCATCGGACTGCAATTCGCCCAACATTATCGTGGTCCACAGGTCTCATGCGACAAAGGCCTCGTCGTTTGGTTCCTCGTATCGGCCGACTACCAAATCGGGAAAAATAGCATCAATGATGACGGACGAGACCATGAATTTTGATGAAGTTGTTTGAAGCACTGTCTTGTTTCCCTGGCTTTAGGTTCGAGATAGAGATTCAACTTCTCAGAGTTCGAAATCATGCAAGAGCAAAGAAGACAAAAGGAAAAAGGGTTGGTTGCCGACGTGGGATGCAGGTCTCCGTGTAGTCTTAGGGCCTCCACCCGGAAAAAGTCAAATTGGTCAAATGATACGCCCGGGAACACGTTGGAGCATAATGGAGTAGAACCAGACTAACCCCCACGCCCCATGGACAGGACCCGGTTCTCCATATTTGCAAACCCGGAGTCTTGCGGATGACGGCACTACCCCTGGCCAGAGAGAATTTATATGCCGCCCGTTCCCAGGTACCTCGTTCTTTTTCTCCAGAGTCTTTCTCCCCTTCACCACGTGCATATACTGGGTTGTATAGGGTCACCACCACATCACATCCACCATGAAGTCAAAGCAACAACAACCCATCTCCTCCTCTCATAACGAGAACATCCCCGGAGAGGCTGTCGTTACTCCGGAGGAGGAGCCCTACCACAAGAGCTGGATTGTGGGAGGAAAATACCGCGACCATTTACGGGAGGAACACACCGAGAAGATCGCGAGCCAGTTATTGCAGGAAGTCGAGTTTGACCTTCCCTTGACCATCACCAAGCCACATGAACACGACGGCCAAGATTACATTGTGCTGGAGTTTGCTGTGGGCGATAAGGAGAATCCTTTCAACTGGGATGGAAAGTTCAAGGCATTCATCAGTGTCCTGCTGTGCTGCATGACCCTCTTCATCGGTCTTGCCACCACTGCCTACAGTTCCGGAATCTCACGCATGACTGAAGAGTTTGGTGTCTCATCTGAGCTGGGCCAGTTGGGTCTTTTCTGCTTCAACTTCACCTGTGCTCTTGCACCTCTCTTTCTGGCTCCGTTCTGTGAGTTGGCCGGCCGCCGCATCGTCTACGTCGGAGCTTATGTCTGCTTCTCTCTGATGTTCATTGGTCTCGCCCTAGGAAAAAACATCGCCACTATCCTTGTCTGCCGCTGCTTGCTCGGTCTGTTTGGCTGCGTCGGCACCATCTTGGTCGGTGGTACCTTCGGGGATATGTATACCCCGGCTCACCGTGCGATCCCGATGGCATCCTTTTCTTTTATTGCCATCTTCGGTACCGTCGCGGCCCCCATCTACGCCGGTTTCATTGACCAGGCTCTGGGCTGGCGCTGGCTCGAGGGTATTCAGGGTCTGGCCAACATCCCCCTTGGGGTCTTGATCGTCATCTTCCTTTGCGAGACCCGCGGTGGTGTTGCCCTGAGCAAGCGTGCTAAGCTGCTCCGCAAGAACACCGGTGACGAGCGCTTTGTGACCGACAACGAGCTCGAGGCCCCCGGTATCAAGCAGATGCTGCACAACTCCTCCGTCAAGGCCATCCGCATGCTTTTCACCGAGCCCGTCGTGTTCGCCTTCGGTCTGTGGATCTCCTTTGCCTGGTTCCTGACCTTCCTCTTCCTTTCCGTCATCCCCATCACCTACCAGGAGAAGCGCGGCTGGAACGAGGGTGTCTCCGGTCTCCCCTACATCGCTCTCTGCGTCGGCACCACCATCGGGTTCGGCATGAACTTCTTCCAGATCCGCAAGTACGCCAGCATCGTTGCGGACCCCGACCGCAAGACCAAACCCGAAGACCGTCTGTACGGAGCTTTGTGTGGCGCTGTCTGGCTGCCCGTCGGCCTGTTCATCTACAGCTTCACCCAATACAAGCAATTGTTCTGGTTCGGCCCCATCGTCGGTTTGGCTCTGATCGGTATCGGAATTTTTTTCATCTTCGAGTCCTGCTATTCTTATACCTCGGACTGCTATGGCGAGAACTCGTCATCCGCGATCGCCGGCCAGGGTTTCATGCGTAATACTCTGGGAGCCGTGTCGCCTCTGTTCGCGTCGCAGTTCTTCCACAACCTGGGTAGCCAGTACGCTGGTCTGCTGCTGGCGTTGATCGCCACTCTGTTGACCTTCATCCCGTTCGTGCTGTACAAGTATGGCCCTGCTTTGCGTGCGCGCTCGAAGCTGGCCAGCGCTGTTGTCAACAGCAGTACCGAGTAAAGTGTGGAGCGGGAACGAAAGAGTGGAGGAATGATGCGAAATGAAGTTTTGGAAATACGTCCCATGGATGTCGTATATACATCGTACATAGCATAGCGAGGTTGATCCTCGACGGCGTTGACGCCTGCATTTACACGTGACGAATCAAAGCACTGCCAATTTGAAATCTGCCGCTTTTGCTTAGTAAGCACGTCGTCGTCGAAGATGGTCTGTCAACACGTGACTCTCGCTGGTCGGGGATTCATTTATCGTACCAACCCCGAAAGCGGTGAGCTGTAATATTGCCATATCTTGAGCGGCTGCCCGAAATTTTTCTCCCTCACAAACTCCAGGCAGTGATCCTTGCGTGAGCCATTTCTCAAAGATCTGGTTCCTAAACTTCCTTCCGTCATCCACCCGATCAATCTTTAACCATGGCTGAAGACGCTAACGCCGGTAAGTCTCCCCACGTCGGAAATCTCGCTCTCGTCCTACGGCCATTGACTTACGCAATCGACGCGATATAGCCTGGCCCATTGCCGACGAGACTCTCACCCAGTCTCTCCTGGACCTCATCCAGCAGGCCACCCACTACCGCCAGATCAAGAAGGGCGCCAACGAGAGCACCAAGACTCTCAACCGCGGTACTAGCGAGGTGAGCAAAATCGAGTGACGCTCGAGCCCAAAGGAATGCTAACCAGTGTCCAGTTGATCGTTCTCGCGGCCGACACCACTCCTCTGCCCATCATTCTGCACCTGCCTCTCCTGTGCGAGGACAAGAACGTCCCCTACGTCTACGTCCCCAGTAAGATGGCTCTCGGTCGTGCCACCGGTGTTTCCCGCGCCGTCATCGCCTGCTCGATCACCACCAACGAGGCCAGTGATCTGACCGCTCAGATCCGCAACATCAAGAACCAGGTCGAGCGTCTGATGATCTAAGGGAAGTTGCGCCTCTTGTTCGCAGATGGGAAGGATTGCTCGATGCGGAGATGGAACGATTCGGAGGTATTAGGACAGACGGTAATCATAATCCTCTTCCATAATCGGATGAGGGTGGTGTAATGACGTGCTTGCTCCTGATCCTCGAAGTTTTGCTGTGAAGTCTTTAGCTAGCATCTTTTCAGCTAGGTCCATTCAGATCCTTTTGAGAAAACTGTGCTTCGGCAGTAAGAAAAATGTAGCCGGCTGGGTTTGCCGAGATCGTAAGTGTATACGTAACTGCGCCGCTAGTTTCCGCTTATGAATAGCTTTGTTTGGCCACCTCACTGCAGATCTTGAACTGCAGCTGCCATGACTCGTGGAGATGAGTCTAAACTGGGGAAGGTCTGCCCTCTTAGCCGATGGATGACCCGCATCACGGGACCAGGCGTGGGATGCATCGGGTACCGCCAACGGATAGCAGAGATTCAGCTTTCCCAACGAGAGATCATCACGACTAACAAGCTTGTGGCAGATCTCATGACCGCCCAGTGCGAATAGCGCGAAATGTCTCAATAAGCCCTTGTCGTCCAATCTACTCGGCGAAATTGACCAAGCATCTCAACCCAGTCAAGTGCAGTGGACCGTCCATCAACTGCCGACAAGAACCAACCACTCCGCGCCACCATCCTCCAAGAAAAGGGAAAGATAGGGTTAGCGCCTGCAAAAACGCTTGAACCTCAAGGAACTCTCAACCGAACCCAAAGCCGACCGACTCAGTCTAAGTTATCTACAGGCCGAACATTGAAGCAATAGAGCCAGCCCAGCGCGTCAGAGTGAGCTCTAAACCGCCGATCAATCAACTCCAGACACTCCTCTTTCACCCTTCAATCTCAATTCTCCGACAGGGGCAGCTGCCAATGTGGGGCTAACCGAACGTCAAGCACGCTTTACGCAGTTCAATAAAACTCTCCCACTCGCACTCCATACATCGTTGCGGATGCTCTTGCCAGCCAGCGGGGCTCCATGTGGGACAGTGCGTGTAGGGCAAAACGGTTCATCGGGAAGAACATAATTCGAGGCGAGGAAGCGGGCTATCCGTACACAATGCCGGCCTAGCGTGCAGAATGGTCCGACTGAAGTCTGCCAGAGCAGACGTCTGGGCCGAGACACGGTTTGAGATATAATCAGACGGTTCGGTTCAGCCTTGTCATGACCCTCTCCAAGATATAAGCTCTCCGTCGCCGTGTATTCTTTCTTTTAGCCGTCCTTTCTTTCCTGTATTTTTTCTCTGTTTTAGTCATTCATTCCGTGCCCGACATCCGCGATGTTTGTCTCTCCTCTCCTCGCAATCGGCCTGGCGCCATTGCTCGCATCCGCCGCTCCCTCCTGGTCTGTCGGTCCAACCACCGATTACGCCACCAAGGCGGGCAACAAAATCTGCAATGTCCTCAACTACGACGGTGTCGCCGATAACTCCACCGATATCGGTCCCGCCATCAGCTCCGCCTGGGATGACTGCAAGTCCGACGGCGTTGTCTACATCCCTTCCGGCGACTATGCGCTCGAGTCCTGGGTTACCCTAAGTGGGGGCAAGAGCACTGCTATCCGGATGGATGGTACCATCTACCGGACTGGCTCCGATGGAGGTAACATGATCTTCATCGAGCATACCTCTGACTTTGAGCTGTTCAGTTCGAACTCCGAGGGTGCTGTTCAGGGCTTTGGATATGAGTTCCACAAGGATGGTTCTTTGAGTGGTCCTCGTATCCTGCGTCTGTATGAGGTGACTGATTTCTCGGTGCACGATCTGATCCTGGTCGATGCGCCCGCTTTCCATTTTTCACTAGATACCTGCTCCAACGGTGAGGTTTACAACATGGCTATTCGGGGTGGTGACTCTGGTGGTCTTGATGGTATTGACGTGTGGTCTGATGAGATGTGGATTCATGATGTGTGCTTCCTTTACTACCGATTGTGAGGAAAACGATACTAACTATGACTAGGTCGAGGTCACCAACAAGGACGAGTGCGTCACTGTTAAGGTAAGCATTATAGGATCATGCCGCATCCATACACCCTTCTAACTCGCCATAGAGTCCCTCCAAGAGCATCCTGGTTGAAAACATCTACTGCAACTGGAGCGGTGGCTGCGCCATGGGCTCCCTCTCCACTGACGTCGACATCAGCGACATCACCTACCGCAACATCTACACCTGGTCCTCAAACCAGATGTACATGATCAAGAGCAACGGCGGCAGCGGCACCGTCTCCGGCCTGGTCCTGGAGAACTTCATCGGTAAGCCTGACCACAACCCACACATGAAATTCAATCACTAACTCTCCAGGCTACGGTAACGCCTACTCCCTCGACATCGACCAAGCCTGGAGCAGCATGTCCATGACCGATGGAGACGGCGTACAACTGGAGAACATCACCATCAGTAACTGGAAGGGCACCGAAGCCGACGGCGCCCAGCGTGGTCCCATCAAGGTGAACTGCGCGTCCGGCGCCCCCTGCAAGGACATCACCATCAAGGACTTTGAGATGTGGACCGAGGAGGGCGACTACCAGACCTACATCTGCAACAGCGCCTACGGTTCCGGCGCTTGTCTGCAGGATGGCGATGACTACACTGAGTACTCGACCACCGTGACAGTCACCTCTGTCCCGACCGGATACTCGGCCGCTACCATGGCTGGAGACCTGTCTACTGCCTTTGGTACGGACTCGGTAATTCCCATTCCTACCATCCCCACTTCGTTTTACCCTGGTGCGACTCCATACAGTGTTTTGGCTGTGCAGGCGTCGAGCTCTGCTTAAGCACCTGTGAGTGGAATGGGTGGATACAGTGACATTGTGGTGGTCCGGATGTTGAGTATGCACATCCTGGTGAAATTTTATGTATATGTTCTGGTGCTGCGAATGGATTGCTTTGGGGAAACTTTCTTCACCTTGTAGATGCCACATTGTTTAATAATGGTTGTACCATTTAAGTCCGAAAATGCATTCCCCAGCATTTCATACTGTTGTCTTTGCCAGATCAGGTGTTCTCTTATCAATGTAATGTTTAGTATCATGTGACTTCTCAATCAAGGCAAGGCCTTCGCCGCTGATCTCCGCGAGCAACTGAGGTCCCCATTTGCCCCATTGAATAACCACAACATTATTGCAACTCCTTCACGAAGATGAAAACTAACCGGTCGATCACGCCATGCCACGCGCCAATCGAGCACGCGGAATCCGCAGGCCTCCACCGCCATAAACTTTGCGGGGCAACCGGGCCTTCCTGATTCGCGCCTGTTGATGAGGATTCCAGCGATTCTCGCGCAAGGGATTCAACGTTGCACTCAGCTGTGCAGCGCAGCTGGCGCCCGAAGACACTATCGACACGAAGGTAGCTCTATAAAGAGCGCATTTCAATCAACATGTCGAGCTCATTCAAATACCACTCCCTACGCAGCTCCAGCCCTGACGCCATGGAGGCAACAGACTCCACCTCCACCTCCGCCCCCAAATCGCCAAATCCCGAATCCCTTCCTATCGCCGAGCAGCTCCAGCCCGCAACGGATGATGACCTCGACGCGACCTACCGCGCCAAAGCGGACGTGCTGAACCGTGCGATCCAGGAGATCGGCATGGGCCGGTACCAGTGGCAGCTTTTTGTGGTGATCGGGTTCGGCTGGGCGAGCGATAATCTCTGGCCGATCGTGACGTCGCTTGTCCTCACGCCGTTGACATATGAGTTTGGAGTCGCGAAGCCGCCGCTTCTCACATTGGCGCAGAATATTGGGCTGTTGATCGGGGCTGTGTTTTGGGGCTTTGGGTGTGATATTTTCGGTCGGCGGTGGGCGTTTAATCTCACCATCGGCATCACGGCCGTGTTTGGGTTGGTCGCGGCTGGATCGCCAAATTTTGGGGCTGCTTGTGGCTTTGCGGCGCTATGGTCTCTTGGTGTTGGAGGTAATCTGCCTGTGGATTCGGCTATATTCCTGGAGTTCTTGCCAGGCTCGCATCAGTATCTCTTGACGATTTTGTCGATTGACTGGGCGTTTGCGCAGTTGTTGGGTAATCTAATTGCTTGGCCTCTACTGGGAAACATGACCTGCGGATCGGAGGAAAGATGCACCAGAGATGGGAACATGGGATGGCGGTATTTCCTCATCGCTATGGGCGGACTAGCCATGCTGATGTTCATCTCGCGATTTGTCTTCTTCACCATATACGAATCGCCAAAATACCTAATGGGCAAAGGCCGGAATCAAGAAGCAGTGCAAGTCGTGCACGAGGTAGCGCGACGAAACGGCAAAACCTCGACCCTGACTCCAGACGACCTAGACCGACTCGACGAAAGCCAGTCGCACGGCTACACCGCAGCGAATATCGTCCGACAACGGCTCGAGAAGCTGAAATTGGGCCATATCCGCGCATTGTTCGACACGCCTAAACGAGCCTTCTCCACCACCCTGATCATCCTTGTCTGGGCCTTTATCGGTCTCGGATTCCCACTATACAACGCCTTCCTTCCCTACATCCAGCAAGCGCGTGGCGCAGAGTTCGGCGACGGATCAACCTACATCACCTACCGCAATTCGCTTATTATCGCGACGATGGGTATCCCCGGTTGTCTCCTCGGCGGACTACTGGTCGAACTACCCAATTTTGGAAGAAAGGGTGCACTGTCACTTTCAACTGCATTGACGGGCGCATTCCTCCTCGCCTCAACCACAGCAACAACCTCAAATTCTCTGCTAGGCTGGAACTGCGCATTCAACTTCATGAGCAGTCTCATGTACGCCGTGTTGTATGCCTACACTCCCGAAATCTTCCTAACAAAAGACCGCGGAACAGGCAACGCCCTAACGGCCTCCGCGAACCGAGTCTTCGGCATCATGGCACCCATCATCGCCATGTTCGCGAACCTGGAGACCGCCGCACCGGTATATGTGAGCGGCGCCCTCTTCATCGCAGCCGGTGTTTTGGTCGTCTTCATGCCTTACGAGTCACGGGGAAAAGCGAGTCTGTGAAGATCCTGTACTGTACAAAGATACTACATTAGAGACCAACTACAAAAGCAGACATATCTCTAAACAAAAATAGAAAGCATCCAGCTTCGCTGAGATAATCCTGATTGGAGTATTCAGATCGCGCATGGACCGTGGCACACCTGCGCCGCTGCCCCACCGTTAATATAAAACACTTCGAATAAACCTGGCCGATCCACTCAAACAAGTATGGGGTTGCAAATGATGTCATGCCGCGAAACAGGCGTCAGCGAAACATTGAGTACACCCAGCATACTACTCAAGCCTTCTAGGACGACGTTATACCCTATCGCAACGATCAATCTATCAAAGTTAAAGCACAAACACAGACCAACGAGCCCTCGAATCCTTCCCACTGGCGTGTGGCTAAGGCGAAAATCCACCCAATCGCAGCTCGATTAGCCGAGCAATCCCTGATAATGAGATCAAGAGCTGTGGAAACCCACCGTGTCACTACGTCAGGAGATGTCTAATTGGCTGGTGGATGTGGTGTCTGGCATGATAGGCTTATGCGGGGATTTGATTTGACGTGACGCGCGTGGTTGTGGCAGATTGGCATTTGCATATGACAGTGTGGCGCGGTTGTACGTATTATATCATACCTGATCCAGGACTTGGGAGGTATATAAGGGTGTTGGGATGGAGGGGCTTTGGTTTCTCACAATATCGCATACTGCTTCATTAAAACTACAGCCTCAATACTTTCAGCTCAATACTCCTTGACAGCTACAAACTCGATTAGAGTCAAAAATGTCCCAAGATAACAACAACAGTTCGTGCCTCCCATCCTTGCTTCTTACCATCACTAACCACCCTTCAACACTATAGACGGCGGCCTCCTTGGGGGACTCACCGACACACTCGGCAAGACAGTCGGCGGCGTAACCAACACCGCTGGCGGCGTGGTCGGCGGATTGGGTAACACACTCGGCGGCGCAACCGAAGGCCTCGGAAAGACCGTTTCCGGTGCCACCGAGGGTCTGGGAAATACGACTAAGGGTGTCGGGCAGGGAGTGCAGGATGGGGTGCAGAGTGTTGGTGGGAAGGACCAGACTGCTGAGAACCCGCTTGGGTTGAACCGGTAGATGCTGGGTTTGAAGCCGGAGGGCTTGTAGCTTTGATGTTGTCTTCGTTTTTCCCCTTGTATATTTACGACTCATGGAATGATTATCTTATTCTTTTCCTCTATGTATGTCTTAATGAATACAGCCAATAAATAGCTCTGTGATTGATGCTGCTATGTCTTCAACTAGTTCCAGCTGCAAAAAAAGTCTTCTCTGAAACCCTAAACCTAGTGTATTTATCCGTCATCTATATTTATCTTATGTCACCAGGCTCCAAGCATAATATACACGGAGCATCCCACTCTAGCTCCCAATCTATTTCCGACACCATTTCCGAAGTAGCCACCCAATACTCCCAATCCACAATATAACCCAGGCAAATAAGCAGATTAGCCAAGATGATCAATAATCATGATATGTTGATATCATTTTTTAGACTCTGAGTCGTAGACAATACTTTTCTTCGACACGTTATAATGGTATAAGCCACACGCAATCACCTCCTTGGATATAACAGATATCAGTTTGATCAAGAAGTCAGAGCTGTGGCATTATCACTAAGGGAAATAACTTACAGCCAAGCTGCGTTAGAAGTCTCCCTGATTTCGTCTCGCTCTTCTGGAGGAAGGAATCCCTGCATAAACAATGAAGAACCCTGGACAACTTTGGGAGCCAGGTACCCGTTCCATCAAAATGTACTCTAGGTACCCACCAGGGATCTGGTCATTTTCGCCTCACTTTCCGGACATATGAGCATAGAGTTTTGGCGTGCATGAACATGTTGCAATCCTCAGCAACTCCAAAGCTGCGATCTCTTACTTCAAGTAATAGCTTCGATCCGGTGCTGCTGCTTATTGGGCCCGAGATTCCAGAGATTCGAACTTTGTTGTGCCTCTAAAGCACCACCTAGGTATGAGACATTTGAAAAGCCCAGGAGGGGGTGTCTTACGAGACAATGGGGGTGTGGCTCTATTAGGATTACTCTTCTACGCTCCCATAGTGAAGCCATGGCGGCAATCACACGTATAATAGTGTCAATTATGAATGCACAGTCAACAAGTCCTTAAGTAGGTATACTTGATATAGTAATCATAATATCCCTAACGCGATAACTTCAACAACACTCTACTGCTGTGGGCTATAACAGAATATCCAAACTCGTCCCACTCCAAAAAAACCCCCCAAAATTTGCCACCAATAAGAGCGCATCTATCATTGACTTACACTTCATAATTGAGCATCAAAACGAAGTAACCATTGTATACGTTATGGTGATATATTCGAGTCACCCCCATCCGGTGATAGAGAACCAATTTCGTGATAAATGAAGATTCATCACATGTGATGCCTAGTGTAAGAGCTTTCCCTGAGCGGCTAAGTGGCGTCACAGCTAAATGGAGAGCAGAAACGGAGTGTTCGCCTCTATTTCAGATTATACTGTCAGTAAGATCTATCACAAAGTGGTCTATCGTGTCTATCAAAGCAAGAACACAGGTTAGGAGAGAGGGGATAACCACAGCTCTAGAGACACGACCATCAAATAGCCCAACCAGACGTGGATTACCCATAACAGCTCTTCTTGAAAACAAACTCGAAAATCCAGACAGGGATGAAACTAATAATCCAGGGAGTCAAGTATACCTCTACTCAAATAACCAACCTGCGTTCCGACCTGAGAGACTAAGCGACGGACAATAGTCTGTATATAATATTTGTTATTCGCATTGGATTTGGAGTTGACGTCCTTAAAATGGGCAGCGACGCTCACCCTCTCTAGACATCATTATCCGGTACCTTTTTTTCCCCAATAGCTCAGAAAAACAAGGTAACAAGGGTTTTACAAACAAGATGACTGTTAGGCCTATCACTGGTGCAGATGTTGTCTATGGTAGATTTCCGGACCTCGTTCTGGGAAGGAAAAAGCCCAATTCGGTCACAACCCAAAAGGATCGTCTCGCAGCTTGGAAAATTGGGAAAGCTTCGAGACAGATGTTTGGATAACTCTAGATATTTCGACAATCATCTTCAAGACACGCAACTTGGGGTTGTCTCTCGCCATGGCAACTTGGCCCTGGAAAGAGAGTTAAAAACGGTGCGGAAATAATCAATCCATCGTTAGAAGATTTGTGCAGAAACTGGGTCATCCCATGAATGGCTATCTTTCAGGAATGCCTCGAGCAACATATCAGCTTTGGCGATTTTAAGATATATGACCAGCAGAACCTATCAAGTACCTGGAATAAGGCTCCTGACCTCGCCATCCTTGACAAAATGGATGGTCTTTCTTTTTTTGGCGAGACCAAAACTCGTTAAGGATGCACAGTATAAATGTGGAAGACGCCGGAGGTGACGATGAAAATTTTTTGGAATTTTGTCTAGGTGTATATGTTCATTCAATCAGTAGTTCACAAGTGTCGTGAACGCCAATCTGCATGGGAATTTCTAGGTCAGATAATTCAATACATGCACGGCTGAAATTGAAGTATGGGCTCCTCATAAAATATAATGAGACCATCTTTCTCAAGCAAGAGAAGTACCCTCACGAGGACCGGTTGATGGTGTGGTATTTCTCTGGGATTAAGCACGATGCATTTGGAGGCGAAAGTGTTGGGATACCCCGGAGTTCCCGGCATTACAATTCGGGTCATGGAATAGTCCACTTTCGAGAAGGTCTCCTTTGATTTTTTTCAACTTGCCTTTGAACAGCCCGCTACGGATATCACAGAGCCACTTGAAAGACGCATAGCACCCAAAGCAGCAAAGAGAAGATATCGGCTACTACGGGAAGAGCAAAAGCAATAACCAAACGAGGATGAATTCTTGGGTACGGGCTTTACCAATATGAAGATCAACGAGAATGAATAAATCTTCAACTTCAGAAAGACTACAATCACAGAATGACCACAAGATGAAAGATCATGGACAGTAATTGTTGGTATCACCAGCTAGGTACTGTGTACACAGTTAAGTGGACAGTGTGTATGCTCCAAATCAAAAGTCAATTGATTCCTGTTGATAGATGTAGATGCTCAGTCTAGTTGGAAAACACCCCTAGATCCCACACGCCGGCCTTCGGCGGTCACAACACCGGGGCCACAGCCCAGCGCAAGAATGCGTACACCAAGCAAGGGATGTTATCAATCGGTCGCTAGCAGTGGGTCTCAGCCAGTTTGTCCTGACAGGAGAATATATCCCGACAGCAATGTTAGATCGAAGTCTTTGGTGGAACATCTCTCTCATCTAACATGTGGCACCGTGATCGGAAGACGAAGATGAACGCCAATCGTCAGACCGAGTCCAGCATGCTACCAAATGTATACTCCCATGTTCTGATACGCGTGGACTGGAACGATGGGAGCACAGTATGCCGACCGCTCCTCATTCGATGATTTGGAAATGGAAGAGACGAAGGAATTGACAACGGAAACTGTTTGTGTTTTTGTTCGTTTGCAATGTTTTCTTCAGGAATTGCCAATTCGTCTGAGATTTTCTGCTGTTCTGATTTATCCGAGCTTGTTATGTTGTTTGGATGTATTGTCGCAATTGCACTAGTATATTTTTATTCCCTCGTCCAAAGCCGAAAGCGGCGAAGTAAAATACGTCCCGAAAATGTGGAGAATCCCGACGACGGGAACCCGATGCGTATCTCCATTGCGTGCCGAAGCAGCCGAGGCATCTCGTAATCTCGGCCGACAACACTTCGAGTCATACTACGCAAGGATTTCAACAATTTTCCAGGCAGTCTCGCTCACTTTCTCCCGCACTTTCAATGCACAAGATTCCCACTGATTTTTGCCAGAACGGACCCTTCCGCGGCATTTGATCGTGATGGCTGATACGCTGCGACAGGGCGCAGAGTCGCCACACGAGTCCAGCCCAGCGTCATCTTCGCCCATTCAAAGGCCATGCATCGCGAAACACGACCATGGGTGGAGGAGAGTCGTTCTCAACTTTACACCATCGTGAGTGTGTCCGCCACGTTTCTCTCGGATAGTTATCTTGACTTCTCTCAGCTGGTTCTCCGTCACAATGGGGACGGGTATCGTCTCGATTCTACTCTATAACCTTCCCTACAATGGAATATGGCTCTATTGGATCTCAGTGGTTATATTCGCACTGAACGTTCTCTTCTTCGCACTGGGATTTATTATCAGCATTCTGCGATACACATTGTATCCTGAGGTCTTCAAGGTGATGATCACACATCCGGTTCAGTCTATGTTTATGGGGGCCTTTCCGATGGGCCTTGCGACGATCATCAATATGTTTTGCTTCGTCTGTGTCCCGCACTGGGGCGATTGGGCGCGGTATTTTGCGTGGGGTCTTTGGATCTTCGACGCGGTAATTTCCGTGATGACGGCCTTGTCGCTGCCTTTTGTCTTGTAAGATCATATCTGTTACTCTTTTCAAGATTCTTAATTGTTTTGACACGTTGTTAACTGAAATTAAGGATGGCCAAAGGAAGTGAAACGCACCTGTCCTCCATGACAGCGGTATGGCTTCTGCCCATCGTCAGCTCTATCGTTGCAGCCTCATCAGGGGCAGTCGTCGCGGGAATACTTCCCAATGATCAGTACGCCCTGTGGACGCTGATCACCAGTTATGTTCTATGGGGAATGGGTCTACCCCTTGCGTTGATGGTGATGGTGATTTATCTGATGCGGTTGACACTCCACAAGTTGCCACCAAAGGCCGTGATCGTGAGTGTCTTTCTTCCGCTGGGCCCACTGGGACAGGGTGGATATGGGTGAGCATCTCCCGATGCATAGCGCTATCTCTTTATCATTTCTAATAATTTCTACAGTGCAATGAAGCTAGGACAAGGAGCCCAACTGATCTTCCCCAAGACAAATACGCTTGAGCAATCTTCCGGCCCAATATTTTACACACTGGGTTTTCTGATCGCGCTGATCTTATGGTCGTTCGGGCTTGTCTGGCTGTTTTTCGCAACCGCCTCGATCGCTCGATCGAAGAATTTCCCGTTTAATATTGGCTGGTGGGGCTTTACATTCCCGCTAGGGGTATTTGCGGCGAGCACAGTGCAAATGGGGAGTGAGCTGCCTTCTAAATTTTTCAATATTCTAGGAACCGTCAGTACCTCTCAGAAACATCCGGACGAATCAAAACTGACAGGCTGCAGGTTATTTCATTATTTGTGGTTGTGCTTTGGGGTATTGTCAGCTTGGGCACACTGCGCGGGGTTGTTTCTGGAAAGCTGTTCCATGCGCCGTGCCTGGCAGATCTTCGGATGGAAGAAGAGAAGGATATGAACAAAGCGGCGTAAATATTTATTTCAAGATAAACTCTTTCATCTCATCCGCTTGGACACTGTACTAGCAGTACGTCCTGTTACTGAAGTATGGCCTAATTTAGATGGCTGTCACCCCAGACCCGCTCACGTGATGTGGAGACTGAATTTATTTTTTTAATTTTTTTTTCTTCCCATCGAGAGATCCAGCCCAGCGTCATCCACTTTGGTCTCTTGTGCCGCTTCGTGTGTCCCTCCCATCAGGGCCCCTGTCTGCCCCGTCGGACTGCCCTTCTTTTCCCCCAGCCCGCTCCCCCTCGCCTTCGTGTTTTCCCTCCTCCCCCTGAATCGCCCGTCGTGTGCGCCGCTGCTGATTTTCCAATTTGCACTGACGGCCGCCCCCGGCGCCCGTAGCCGCTAATCCTGTTTGGGCGGTATTCCCCGATCGGGTATCCGTTGTTGCCTTACTGCCTTTCTGCCGCCTCGCCTGGCTGCCTTGTTGCCTTATTGCCTTTCTGCCTAACCGCCTGAGGCGGTGCGGAACAACAAAACACGCGGCGCGCCCCAGCCGTCGCAAGTGTGTCGCTCGTTGGCGATTGTCGCGCGACGACGGCCCCATTTTGGCAGTTCTCGCGGATCAGTCCTCACGGGGACGTTCAGTCGACCCAGCTCATTGGAAAGAGTGGTGATCGCATGGATCGCATACATTAATTCGAGAAAATATCGAGTGATCTTCGATTTGCCGCTTACGGCAGACCTCAAAGGAACACATCACCAAAGATGATGGGATACGGGGGTCAACCCTTTCATCCCCAGCAATCGCAGCAGCAACAGCAACAGCAACAACAACAGCCACATCAGCCTCAGCAGGCCCACCAATCGTCCCAAGCGCAGCATCCGCTGGGTCCCCAGCGTCCGCAGCATGGCCCATCTCCATCGCTAGGCACGACGCCAAATCTGTCGCAGCATGGCAGCCCTTATACTGGGAACAAACCCTTGTTCCGGGGGCAGCCGCAGCAGAACTTTACTGCCGCACAATCGCCGGATATGCGCAAGATGGCCCCGACGTCGGGCCCACTCGCGGGGTATCCGCCCACGACCAGCTTCACGCAATTCCCGGGGCATTTTACCCCGCATGGTTCGCCGGATATGATGGGTCGAAGCCAAGATCCGATGGCCTTGCAAAACCTGCAGAACATGCAGCGCGGGTATAGTCTGGCACATCTTCGCCAGCCGCCAGGAATGAGCCCTTCAGCCATGCCACATGGTCAAGGCATGAATGTCTCATCTCCGCAGCAGCCATTGAATCGGCTACCTCATTCAGGTGTGCAGCAGCGAGAGAGCCATTCATCCGCGAGTCCCTCGATGGCAAGCCCTTCTATGTTTGCTGTCAACCAACAACGACAATCACATTCGCAACCGCAATCTCCGCAGCAGACCCAACAGCATTTACAGCAGAGGCAGCAACAATATCAGCAGCAGCAGAAGCAAATGCATCAGCAACAACAACAAATGTTGGAGCAGCAGCAGGCTCAGCAGCGACTCGAGCAACAGCAACGCCTTGAACATCAACAGCGGATTGAACAGCAACAGCAACGAATTGAGCAACAACAACGCGCTGAGAAGGCTCGTGCTGAGCAACAGCGCCTGGAACAGCAACGTGCTGAGCAGAAACGCCTAGAACAACAACGAGTTGAACAGCAGCAGCAAATGATAGAGCAGCAGCGATTGGAGCAACAACGGCTGGAACAACAACGGTTGGAGCAGCAGCGGTTAGAGCAGCAACGATTGGAACAGCAACGGCTAGAACAGCAGCGTCTAGAACAGCAACGGTTGGAACAGCAGCGACAGGAGCAAGAGCGTTTGGAGCAGCAAAAGCAGCTGGAACAGAAGAAGCTGGAGCAGCAGCGTCTTGAACAAAAACGTGCGGAACAGCAACGCCTGGAACAGCAGCGTTTGGAACAGCAAAAGCAACATCTGGAGCAACAGAGGCTTCAGAAACTGCAACAACAGCAAGCTCAACATTCATTCCACCAGACTTCGTTTCAGCACCACCCGCAGACCCAATTCAATCACTACCAGCCAGCTCAGACCCAAAATCACTTCCAGCAGCACCAGCAACAGCAGCCACAGCAACAACCTCAGTTCACTCAGCCTCCCCAACAGCCTCGCCAACATCAGTTTACCCCAACGCAATTTCACCATTACCAGCCACCTTCCCAGTCATCGCAGCCACCGGCGGAGCAGCCTACAATAAGGCCTTTCATGCCACCGCCCAGCCAACCTCCACCCAATCAACCACCTGTTGCGAATTCCAATGTCCATTCGGATGCGAAGGTCAAGGTCGAGCCAAGAAGCCCTGCTCCAAAGAAGAAGTCAAAACCGCGCGCGTCTGGAGTAAGCAAAGCCCAAGCCGCATATCAGCATTCCTTCCAAGCAGTGCCTCCTGTCCCTGCACCTGCTCCGGCATCCACTCCTGCCCCTGCTTCATCTCTGCCGGCGCCGATTCCTCCGGCCAATGCAACCCCGACAAAACAGCCAAATGGTCACCACCAGTTCTCTGCGGTTTCGAGTACGAACTCCGGAACAACAGAGACTCCAACGCCTCGCCGCAAACGAGGGCGTCCGCGCAAGGAAGAAGTTGCTGCTAGAGCCGCCGCCGCCGCCGCGCATGCCGCCGCCACTGGCCAGCCTATCCCAACATCACATCCCGGCCAAGTCTCATTCGGGCCGAATATGACACCCAGTGCGCCAATTCCCGGCACAAGTACCGCCCAAACTCCCATCATCGGTCCGGACGGAACTCCTTTGCCTTTGAAGCGGAAGCGTGGGCGGCCTCGCAAGGCTGATCAGATTGCTTGGGCTCAGGCTACAGGTCAACCGTTGCCACCACCGAAGCCAAAGAAGCCAGCTGTTCGCAAGCCTGGTACAGGTCGGCCTCGGGGAAGACCTCGGAAAGCCGATGTGGCTGCTGCTGCTGCCGCGGCTGCGGCTGCAGGCAACACGGATCAGCAACCTGGGTCTACGATATCACAGCCGACTCAAAATCCAGATGCAAATGCGGCCCCGAAGCGCCCAGCGCCAGCAGAGGATGAATCACGGAAACGTCCTTGCCCGACTCCGTCATATCCCCAAACAGGCCAACAGCATATGTCAATGATGCAAGGTCAGCAAACGATGCAAGTTCAGCCGCAGCAACCGCAGCAACCGCAGCAGCACCAACAGCTTCAACAACAACAACATCAACAGCAGCGCCAATCAAATCCTCCACAAGGCCGCCAATCAATAACCCCTCAAAGCCAGCCGCATATGCATCCAGGTCTATCGTCGCACTCGAGTTTGTCATTCATCTCCCCACAAGCTCCGAACATGTCGCTCCCGCAGCAAGGACAATATCTGCCACCGCAACCGGGCCAAGAACGCCTGGCCCCGAGTCCACACATGCAGCAGCAACAACAAGCTCAGCACCGACAATCGCATCAGCAGGGACTGCCGCAACCAGGCCAGCCTCTCATGCCACAAACGCAAATGCACCAACCGCCTGCTCAGCGACCTACACCCTCTCAGCAATACATGCAAATGCCACCAATGCACAGCCTGCAACAACAACAACAACAACAACAACAACCCTTCCGCACACACACACCCGCCCAGCAACCTCAAAAACCACCACAAAACCGGCCCCAAGGGCCGCCGCAACCGCAGTCACACCCCCAGGCCCTATCTCAATCCCCGGCCCCACCGCGCCCTGCACCCCAATACCAACACCAACACACCTTCCAGGTCCAGCTCCAACCCCAGCCGACCTAGAAGTATTTTCTGTCTAGGTATATTGCCACCGGTACCTCATTCGATACCCAAACCGTGCGAACGATCCTGTCCATATATCTTCCTTGACGTTGTTTCGGCGTTCTCGCTCTGCTTTGTTTTCCACTGCATCGATTCCCGGAAACTCTCCCAATATTCCCAAACTGCTTTATATCCGCATATCTACATCGCATGTCCACCTTTCATCGGCGGCCTCGTCGAGGTACATCCAGCGGCGTTTTGCGTGTCTTTTGTCGGTATGATGTTTGATCTTCTTGTTTTGGGTGTGATACATATATTTAATGCAGTAGTACATATTAATAATTAAGGCTTATACCTGCATATCTTCTTGTTCTTTTCGTTCCTTCTGTCTCAGCTTGTGGTCCTCGAACACTCTGTTCTGGCATTGCTTGAAGGAACAAGGGCGTATCTGCTAACTCACTGATACACTCTGTCCAGCTCGGGTCATGGTATGAGCAAATCAACACTTATGATTGCTCGGCCACCCTGCGTAGTGTACCGACCTCTGCCAGCAACAGTCCCGCACTAATGCAACCCCATACGGTGCAATTTCCAGGTCGTCGGAACACATGTGATTCGTCCAACGTCAGCCTTGTCAACAGCTCGGTATTAACCCAGTGCAACTATCGTTGAGTGTGACTTGGAAGTCGTCAGTCTGATCAACATCCATCACCAGAATCAGCTGGCAGGACCATCAGTCTCCGAGAAGTAACGGATTTGCTGGCATCCCACGCTAATGCACGGCGGCTACGCTAAATCAAAAGCGAGAAGAAAGTCCCTGTGTGTTTTGACCAAGAGCAGTGCCGAGCGGATGATGTATACAGGGTAATTCTATCAAGTCAATCATTCTTCTTGAAGTGCACTGCGTCATGCTGCCCTAAAACGCCGAGCAGCTGAAAAATGAATATCTTACCAGATCAATTACGCACAAAATAAAAGCAAACACAATCTCACAGAATCTCTGAAGCATGAGGTATTAATCCACTCAATTGCGGTGAGCCACAGTGGGCAATGGGAAAGGCCCGCTTCACTATGGGACCCAACTTCTCGATCCAGGTACGATTTCCATCTGCCTGAATGCCTTAACGCAGAATTGGGGCATATGATGGTTATCTTTAACCATTTCTGGCCTGGTAGCCGAGCGGGATCCCCGCAACAGGCAAATGATCGCAAGGACAGTAGAGCGGTGGAGTTCCTCGATATGCCCACATAGAAAAGCTTCGAAAGCTGTGACTTTTGAGGTGGCCTATCAGTGAAAGCTGGGGGAGGGGGTATATTATTACTCGATATGGCTACCGCTCATCGGAAGGTGTGGGTTGTGAGGTCACAGGTCCTCGTTCCTCTATTTTCAGCGAAGGTAGGCAGATGAGTCGAATCTTTTGAATCCTAATTACCAGGTCAAACGTGTGGCTTATCATGGTCTTCTCGGCTACTTCGGCTTGAGTCAATGAGGAGTGATCAAATGGTTCTTGGTTTTTCGGTTATGTGGGGTAACCAACATACTACAAGTTATCTACCGGCCCCTTTCTTCCCAATTTCATTTACAACAGACCGGATCTCATTGATGCCCGTTCTACTGTGAGTGTCACATCGAATGAAGGATTCTTTCATCTCAGCACTTTCTACGCTCTCCTGCCGACTTCTTGATACATCCCCAACGCAGCCCGTATCCTCGTCTATTGCAGCAATTGATGGTAGATGTTCGATCTCATGCTGAACTAACGCTGAAAAGTTCACATTTACCCAACAATTCCGCCCAGACGCAATACCGCATACACAAGCGTATCTTCAGACCGAACCGTCGATAAATTCACGTAACGCGCCAACCAACAGGAGAGATGGATCACGACTCTGTATTCGAATCACGACCCTTGCCCCAAGCAGAAGAAAAAGTCATCAAGCCCCAAGACCTTCATCTCAAGAACGGAAAGCCCCCTTGCGACTACGACGCCGCGACCATGGCAGAAACGGGCTCTCTCATGACTAACAATCTCGGCGATCAAATTGTTCTGAGCAACGAAGATACCATCAACTACCGAACATGCAGTTGGCAGATGGTAATTACTTTGATACAATCGCAGTAATGAGTGAGTTTCAACTAATGTGAAGTTTAGACAGCCGCTTTGCTCTTCTCTGAGTATATCTGTATAGCTATCATGTCATTTCCATGGTCCTACTCGGTACTCGGTCTCATCCCGGGCCTTTTGTGTACCGTGGTTATCGCAATGATTGTCCTGTACACTTCATTAACTATCTGGTATGCTGCCTTTTTTTTAGGATCTCTCAGCTCTTTCTAATTCTACCAGGCGATTCTGCCTGAGACACCCCGAAGTTCGAGACGTCTGCGACATAAGCAAGATCCTCTTTTTCGACTCAGATATTGTCTGGTACATCGCCGCAGCCATGTTCCTCCTGAACAACACCTTCATCCAAGCACTACACTGCCTCGTCGGGGCCGAGTATCTAAACACTGTCGCAGGCCAACCATTCTGCACAGTAGCACTCGCCATGATAACAGCAATCATCTCATTCATCTGCTCTCTCCCCCGCACATTCAGCACCTTATCAAAAATAGGCACATTCTCCGCCATCGCCACCTTCCTCTCAATATTACTATCGATAATCTTCGCCGGTATCCAAGACCACCCCTATGGCTGGACTGAAGAAAAAGGCGACCCGATGATCCTCAACTTCCCAGCACCTGGCACAACATTCGTGCAAGGCCTCAGCGCATTCCTGAATATAAGCTTCACATTCATCGGCCAGATCACACTACCCAGCTTCATCTCCGAAATGAAAGAGCCGCACGATTTTTGGAAGTCTCTCGCAGCGGTGACAGTTGCGGAAATAATCCTCTTCACCATCGTTGGGGCCCTTGTTTACGTTTTCGTCGGAAATCAGTACATCACTTCGCCAGCCTTCGGCTCACTGGGCAACGACGTCTTCATGAAAGTCTCGTTTTCATTCATGGTTCCGACACTTATCTTCCTCGGTGTTCTATATGCATCTGTCTCCGCTCGGTTCATTTTCTTCCGCATGTTCGAGGGGACTCGGCACAAGACTAATCATACTGTTTTTGGGTGGGCCTGTTGGTCGGGTATTCTGCTCTTCCTTTGGATTGTGGCTTGGGTGATTGCGGAGGTGATTCCGTTCTTCACGAATTTGCTTTCCATTATGAGTGCTATCTTCGGGTCCTATTTTGGATTTATTCTATGGGGGTGGGCCTGGATTCGGATGCTGTATTCGGATCATCCTAATCTCACGAAGAAGCAGGGTCTTCGGCATTGGGTGGAGCTGCTCTTCAACGGCATTATTATTTTGATTGGGCTTTTCTTCCTTGGGCCTGGGACATATGTAAGTTTCACGAACGTCAGATCTTGTTTCGATCCACATTGCTGACCAATCTCTTTCTTTTAGGCATCCGTGCAATCGGTACTCGACAGTTACAAGGAAGGTGGTTTTGACTCAGCGTTCTCGTGTGCGAGTAATGGCCTCCACTGATTGTCGTGACGGATCAGCTACTGATATTACTTTGTGTCTATTGCTACTATACAGCAGCTACATGCGTTACGCATTCACTAAAACTAACATCAAAAATATTTGATTCTTCATCGTAAAAGTAGCATCACTATATGCACGGAAAATTCTAATCCAATATGAACAGCAGAATGAAATCACCACCAATCTATCTTCACTCCTTGTTAAAGCAAGGTAACCAAGCATCCAAAGCCTTACTGAAAAGAGTAACACCCTGATACATAGGCGAGCTCTTATTACTCATGCTTCCCTTCTGATCATCAAAGTCAGAAACATGAACCTGACCAGGGTACACCCAGCCAAACGCAGTACCCTCCTCAGGAGCAGTATGGCACTTGGGCACATCTTGAACAATCTTGCGCTCAGGGGACCCGTAGTTTGTATCCTGGCTGGCGACAGAGAATCCTCTCCAGGGGTCATATTGACCATTGGTGAACATGACATGGGTTGGGTTCATCTTCCAGCCCCCGTACTTGTTGATTTTGGAGACGTCAGGCTCACCGTGGAAGATCTTCGGGTTGAACTCGAGACCGTCAACGATCTCCGTTGTGCGCTCAGCGGTCCAGTTGGAGTACCGGCTAACAATGGAAATATTGGCAGGGTTTGAGCCCTGGAAATCACCCAGCGCAGTTGCGACAATCCAATACCAGGCCTGGGTATCCGCGTTGGGGTCGACTTGAACCTTCTTGGTTGTCCCATCGTCGGCGCCGGCGCTGGAGCTCTCTTGTTTAAGCATTGCTAGGTACACCTCATACTGATAGCGACGGGTTCCATAGATCAGGGCTTCCAGGGCAACGGACGGGCTATAGACTTCGGCAATTCCATCTGGGTGGAGCTTTCCAGTGCCAGGGTTGCTCAGAATCTTTTCCTCGCGGTTGGTGTGGTTGAAGGCTCTGGCAGATGGATCGTAGCGTTCCATATGACGGCAGACAATATCCACAGTTCCAGCAGGTCCTTCGTACTGGAAAGCAGTCGACTCACTAGCACCAAAGCCAGCCTGCAAGAGGCTGGCGAGGCGACTGCGCTGATAGGTGGTAGCCTCCGAGATGTCATATGAAGAGTTCAGACCTTGCGTAGTTGCTTCGGCGACGTAGAGCAGTTTCTGTAGCTCCACAAAGGCCTTCTTGCCGTACTTGCCGTCCATTATATCATCGGCGTGGTTGATGGCCGCGATCCAGTCGCTTCGACAAGGCTCTGATATCGACCGCTCGATGGTATTGTAGTAGGCAGATCCATCCAGACGGCTCTCAACGGGAGCAGATGAGGCCCACGAGGCGTAGAAAGTCTTCGGGTTACGCTGACGGACGAAGGCAGCACGGGACCCGGGGTAGGAGCCACCGATGAAGATCCATGGGGTATGTTCAGCAGTGAGAGGGTAGTCGATGTGAGAAAGGCGGAAGTGGTGGGCGAAGTAGACGGCGTCTTCGAGGGCTTGGTCGATCGTGAGGTATTCGTAGCTGTCGGGGGCATTCACCGGCTGATGGGTGCAGTCATCGCCAGCTTGGTAGCAACCCCAGGGATCGGTGATTGATCCGTTGTTCATGGCAAGAGGGAACGGAAGACTTGTACCGAAGTACCTGTGCTCCCATGCAATCGCGATACCGTGGTATTTCCTCGTCAGTTGCATAACAGAGGACTGGCCGTAGGTTTCGGCAATTGTGGAGGCCGCGCTTTCAGGGTCAAGTCCTGACTCTCCCGCGTCGTAGAGGAAGACAGGACCTCCGTGTTCATAGTATGTATCGTTGACATAGTACCGGTTAGGGAAGGTGCGGTGGTCCGATTTATTGAAATGGTCGATGGGCATGCGGATGTACCGCGGGACGGAAGCGCTGATGGAGCCGGAGGACTTTTTGGATAGACGCGAGGCATCGACTCCAATGGCCGTGGTCAGGAGGGCGAGTGTAGAAAGAAAAGAAAATGCACCTCGCATTGTGATCGGAGATGAGGCAACTGTGCTCTACCAACAATGACAATGCATTGGGAATTCTCCGCTTTATACCGTTAGGCTGCCCTACGAGATCTCGAGAGGTGAATATAGCTGATAATTACTGTGGGGACGTGATCGTCGCCACTAACGTGGTACAGCCTTGTTCAGTCTCAAGTGCGAGGCCTAGCCTCTGCTCTGATTTGCCAACGCCCGGGCTATTTTCAGCCAGTCTGGCTTGCGGCTGCTTCTGCCCCATATGCTCCCATCATTTCTCCAAGCAGCTATCCCAGCCTTGTTGCTCCTTGAAGATCTTTCGACAGGAACGGAAATATTATAAACTAGCTGAGCAGGAGGAATAGGGGTCGAAGGGACAATCTTGGGTAAGCTTTGCTATGGCAGTTGCCTAATCGTGAGGCATGTTGCAATTCTTTAATATACTTCATTCTATATTGACCTGATGGTGCAAAACTCTGAGTAGCGTAGCATCCGTTGAAAGTCCACCGTGAGCACAGACGGTCTCCGTTTAGGCATAAACATAGTGCTTGCCCTGCCCAGATTTACTGAGGATATGCATACACGAGAAACAACTCATCGGACATGAGTTTCGCAGGTCCTTCCTCTCAGAGCCTCAGCCTTGCGCTCGCACACACTTCCACAAAAAGGCGTGCGAAGAAATCCCGGCAGCAGTGGCACTTGACCGTCGCAGTTCTTCGATTCATGTCTATAAGTCCATTTCCATTCTGGTTCGAAGGCACGTGTACTTGGTTCCGAGGCGATTGATTATTATTCATCGTTCGCGCTCCGGTCCATTCAGGGTTCATTCAGTATCCATGGCAGAGTTTGGGGTTAGACGTGGCCCCCACACGGCCGGTGGAGCCTATTTGGGGGGCTTAGCAAAGGGTTCGAATGATGGTCCCCATGGATGCTCAAAAAATATTCTCATTTTGTTTCCAATATATTACTGTGGATACTACCCTCGCTGCCTAGCGCAGGGAGTCGGGATCAATGTGCTTGTTTTGAAGCAGCCGGGATGGAATGGTTGCTAGACATCATTCATTCCGAACCGTGAGCCGGTAAATAGACACAGAAAATGCCGATACATCCATCCCTTGGCATATTTTGCTAGTCAAAGAAGCAATTCTATCTTATCACTAAAGCCATGACGTTTTGCTGCATTTCTTTGTGCCATTTTTAGCAGCCATCACCCGGGTGCTCCCCCATAACACACCCTGCAGGCACTAACCCGCAAACATAGCTGGGTAAGCCCACCCGATCTCCGGTCTCCCCTATGCTGAATAAGGTATCGAGTACACAGCCTCAAAATCCACTTCTAATTGATAAAAAAGCGAGTGCAAATAAGCACATTACCAAAGTTTAGACTTGACCGCGATCGAAAACAAACAGCGCCCGACAAAAATACGAGTCGAACACAGCCCCCACAGAGCTGAACAATGCCGCCCCAAAAACCACCTCACACCTCACACCACGGTATTACCGGGGTTGAACTTAGTTCTTCGGCAATCTACCCTGACAGAGCTACAGTTTACGTGCATGAAACTGGGGGCTTAATGTCTGCGAATGAGCTTGGTAGTAGATTCGCCGTTCGGGCATCCTGGTTGGAATGAAACTTAAGTTGATCCCGGATGTCAGGGACTTGAAACAAGATGTCAGCTGTCAAATGTTTCATGTTTATATGGGTTGATTTGAAGCGTACTCTATTCGACGTTTGCTATTTTTCGGAACAACAAGTTGGTATATTTTGTTGAGGTTCCAGGATAAGGCACCGAATTGATGCCTCATTCCCAACCTCTGCCGGCATGCCTGTCCAGGGAAACCGGAGGCACTGAGCTTGATATACGCTTCAAGCTCTCTTGCCACCATTATATTCTACATTCGGGAGATCTTCATGGAAGAACCCCGATCGAGACCGATTATGAGGGATTTACTACTCAGGGGCTTGCCGCCCGTTCAGGGATAAATACCCCCGGAAGTCAAGTTCAAGTTCTGTCAATTCCATCAAGGTCCATAGTCTAGCAGGCCCTTATTCAATATTTAGTGCTTCGTCGTAGACTATCTCAACATATTTTACAACACTAGATGAATTGAGATAAAAGTAGATACACTTGTTCCGAATATATATATCATCGCATCACAAAAGCATAAAAAATTGTCTAGCACAAAGCCTAGTATCAACATATCACATCAGGGCAAAAGGCAAAGTTAAAATCGATGATTCTCAATCTAAAGCAACACCGAAGCACCATCTACCAAATCCATATAGACAACCTAAAGAACTGAAACCCCGGTACCCAAACCAAGCACACATTAAACGCAACGCTAATCATGTTCAGCCATTTATGTATCACATCACATCTCGTGAACATAACTAATAAGTACAATGATTGTAGGTGCCATCCGACAACCCAACAATCCACCAACACCAACACAACATCAACGCAGGCGACCCTAATCAAAATAACACGGCTCCCCACCCACCCCCTCAAAATCCACCAACTCATCCAAACCCCCCATCCGATCCTCCTCATTACCGGGCCCACCAACAAGCGTCTCCGCACTCGGCCAATCCTCAAGATCAAGAATGAGACCGGGCGCAATCTTTCGAATAACACTATCACACAACAAAAACGCCCTGCGGGCAGCCGGATCCAAGGATGCCATGGCATGGATCCAAGAAAGCGCCTTCCGGACCTCTGCAATAGCGATGTTCAAATCCGCCGCGAGAAGCGGGAGGGTAGGTTTTAGATCCAGGGGTACGTCCTTCTGTGTTGAGGAGAGGCGTGCAATGCTGGGGTTTTGCGGGGGCGAGGCGAAGGAGCAGTATGATAGGCCCAGGAGGAGGGCGGTTGTAGCCTGCATCAGGAAATGGAGGACGCTCCACCAGGGCGTCATGTGGACTAGCCAGGATTCATCTGGTTCCTTTGGAAGGACTGAGATGAGCGAGCAGGCAGCCTGTAGACAGGTTGTCGCGAGTTCGGTGCGAAATTTTGCATGGCGTGAAGGCTCGGCGGGCGTCGTACCCGGGGAGGGAGAGCCCGAGGGTATGGAATGGGTTTGTGTCAGACAAGGTCTGGAGAGGGTAATTCGGGCGGAGTAGTAGTTCATTGCGAGACAGACGCGTTCGCGGGCATAGGGGATAGATTCATCGTCCAGGTTTGGAATGATCTGCCAGGGCCCCGCATCGGGCGGGTTGAATTGGTAGCTGGGGTGAATCTTGGATCGCCAGCGATCCATGCGTGAGCCGTACTTTTGCAATCTGTATTCAGTTTGGCTGGTTCCTTCGCGAAGGCCCTCGATGCTGTAAATTTTGTTCAGGACGGCTTGGGCGATGAGGGTCAAATCAACCAGGTGGAAGAAGAAGAGGGCGGGACAAGGTTCGTGCGTTTTTATCCAGGTGGTTTTTTTCTTCCGCTCCATGTGTGATTCAAAGAGCGTGGGGCGAAGCTGACTTTCGCGAAATTTGGAATTTTGCAATAGGTCCTGGATCTCTGGGTCGTCAAAGGATTCCTCTTCTACGGGGAGTGGAGGTGGTACTGAGCAGAGGCTTTCGCCTACGCCCGATGCCCGGCCGTGCATTGATGTGAGCAGGTGTTCGAGAATGTATATGGACCACCAGAGTCGACTGCGGGCTTCTTTCGAGCCATCGTGGAGGCGGTAATCTGTGTGGCGCAGGTTGATTCCGAGGGAAAGCGCGGAGCGCAGCGCCATACTCGAGAATTTCGAGGCCCTGGTTTCGTCAATATTGTTGATCACAGTTGATCACAAGATCATGATAATACACATACCGGTTGATCTGCCCCAGATAAAGCAGGTAAAGAGACACGAGGAACTCAAGTTGGATTTGCTGCAAGTCGGTATGCTCAAATAGCACATTCTCATCGAAAACCAGCTTCCGAACTCGAGTCAAGAAAATCAAATCGTTATGCTGGGAACTCTTCGCCGGATTCGCAAGTCGACAGTGACGGCATCCAATGGCAAAAACCATATTGAGAATTCCCAGCCATTTTCGCGGTGGCTTTGACGACATCTCCACGAATTGTCGATACTGCGCCGTGAAGGTCTGTCGTCGGATAGCCGGAAATGACGGGTGGATATGCGTAAAGAATCGTTGGAAGTATTCGTCGGCCACCACACGCGGTGGCACAGCAAAGGCATCAGATTCGTCAAGGTGCGGTATTTGCAGGTCGTCCAGATGATAGTTCATCATCGCGATGGGAATGTCACGCGTCAATTTCCGAGTGGCTCTAGGCGTCCCAAGCGGTACAGGCGTAATGGGGGAGAGTGTTGACGAGATCGATTCGCGTTCCACATTATCTTCCAATCGTTGCATCCAGACAACCTCCGAGTTCTTGCCGTAAAATCCAGCCGCGCGGGCATTCTCGTCTCGGTTCAGATCCTCGTCCACCTTGTCAAGATCTTGGAGCGAGCCGACCGAGGAATCCGAGTTTGTTGCATCTTCTCCTGGGGACTTGCCATCTTGAGACTGCTCATACTGTTTACAATGGTCAAATTTACCGATCAAAAAAACGTTGTGGTGGTGTCGTCGAGTTGCGGGAATGCAAGGTTGGGTTCATATTGTCGTCACTTACTCTTAGCGCTTTTCGGATCCTGCGCGCTGTTGGTTCGTCCGAGTCCCCCTCGAGGGAGCGTAGCAGGTGTTCATATCGATGGACCTTTTTCGTCATGGACGCGAGTTCTTTCTTATCTCTTACGCGCTTGGCATCGCCATATATGCATTCGCTGTTGTTGTAAGCGCATGGGCCACAGGGCGTTTCGCCATCGCATTTGATTTTGCGTTGTCGGCAGGGCTCGCATGCCTTTGCTGAGCGCCGACGGCCGCGATGGGTGCTTGGCGGAGCCAGGCGAGGGATCGCGATCTTGTTGGCGCGCGGATTGGAAAGGTCAATTTGACCCTGGGCTGGCACTGTTGACGCGGCGGCGGGGTCAGGCTGTCGAATATTGGGGTTCATCGGCTTAGACGGCGAAATGGGATGAGCGCCAGTATGAGAAGGTTCCAAATGGGTGTTTTGTAGTACAGATGCGCCGGGGCTTAAAGGCGAGAAAGTCATGTCTGCAATGCTCGGGTCAGTTGGGGGACTTTGGTGTCCCCCACTGTCCCGGCGGTTGATCATTGAGGTAAATGAACAGGGTGGCGGTATAAACCGGTATTTCACACTGATGATCGAATTTCGTTGGAAAGAGTAACTTGAAATCGGAGGCGATTTGATCGCGTGCGTCAGTCATTCATCGCGAATTTGGTTGACAATGGAGCGAACGAAGAACTTCTTCGTTCGGGGTTGGGATGCTCGCATAATTATTTTCAAGTCGGTCCACGGTGCCATCTTTCGGTGACCCTCTTAATTTTTCAGCATGATGCCCCTCGACCGCGGGGATGTTGCTATAGCTCCCGAGACGGCTTGCTGGGTCGAGTGGGTCGAAGGTCGAAATAAGAATGATGAGAGGCCAGAATGAGCAGTGCCAGCGGACGAGAGGGACCAGCAGCTGTTTGATGTCAACGACGGATATAATAGGCGAGTCTGACTGGCCAATGCAAGCTCACTCACCCTCGCCTGCGTCCTAGACGGGATTTCAGCGGCCACACAACCGGTTTGGAGCAGCAGCCAGGTGACCATATGATATCATATGGCGGTTTTTCCCTCCTACGCACGCGCGTGGCGACTCCGCCAAAAGTGTGCACAGGGGTCAAGAGTGTACCCTCAGGTAATATGGGATCTGCACCACATGCGCCACTCATCCCAGCTGCAGCAAATCAGCAGGCTAGCACGGGGCTGGCCGATGCCTTTCGGGCAAGACATCGTCCTTGCCAAGACTGAGACTCTCATATCGATCGAGCATATCTGACAAGCTCAGACCGGGGTAGTCCTGGAGGCTCTGGCCCTCACTAATTCTGTGGTACTTGCCGTCTCGGTTAAGCTTCTCCAGGCCTTCCGCGTAGTCGTTGAAGCGCGCGTGTCCCCGATTCGTCGGCGTTTCGTCGAATAGATCCTTGAGCTCGTCAGGCACCGACTGTAGATCTCGGATGCGCTCGCCCTGGGCCTTGGCCCGTACAGACTGCCGGAAGATATGGAAGAGGTTTCGACCTAGCACTGAGCGGCTGGCAATGATGGAGAAGGCACTGGCGAGCGAGAGGAAGTCCTGATCGAGAACATCGAACGATTCCTGCTCCATCATGGTGAAGAGGGCCAAGTTGACGGCGTAGAGGGCGAAGGGGTGAGCGCGGCTCATTCCGTACTCGCGACGGTGTAGACGTGCGAGGGATGCGATGCCCCGGGCTGCAGTCGATGTTACTTGCCAGGCATTGTACTTGATAGCGGGCGACTGGCGTGGGCTTTCGGGGGTCTTGGGGACGTCGGTCGAGATGTCTTCGGAGATGCAGCTGAAGAGGTTGACGACGAGGGTGTTGTAGCGCATTCTAGCAAGTCAGCATTACATGACCGCAGCACCATAAAATACTGGAGGAATGTAGACAAGGGAGGTGCTGAACGAGGCGAGACTCACAGAAGCAAGACCAGGTGCGGCGGCATGTCCTCGTCGAACTCTCCCGGCAGTAACTTCCTCCACCGCATCAACCGCTCATACAAATCCTCCCGGCTCAACCTTTGCCCAACACGCTCCGCCGAAAACATACTGCGCGAGATATCCCGGGCAATCGTGGAGAGATTACACGCCTCCTCAAAGTACAAGCTGATTTCAGACGGGCGACACTCGCGATGAGAGGGATAAGGCCTCCAAACATCCTGATCCAGATGAACGTCTCGCTCAACACGGTGCAGATTGACCTGGGAAATAAGACAGGGGCGCAGAAAGCCGGTATGAACCATTCTGTGCTGGTTAGTCGCTGAAACACTTTTTACGGAGGGGACAAAAACCACCCACGTATCGATATTAAACAGCCCCCACGCCGTCCTCCGACAAGAAGCATCCATATCTCGCGAAAGCTGTTCACTGGTCATGCGTGGACCATTATGCCCGACTAGTCCGAGCGTCTCGCCCATTGATATCGCCTCGTGCAGCATGATATACCCCAGATCATCATCACGGGACATGGCATACCGCTCATACATCAGCAGTGTACCTTGCAGTGTTGCTAGGCTAGGTCTTGAGGGGACTTCCTCTTTCAGCCGCTCAGCCTCGGCTAGGAATTCACTTCCTTTTGAGGAGATGTCACCTGGGACGAGATATGCCTCGGAGAACTCGGAGAAATACTAACGAGTCGAGTCAGTCGATCCCATCCATCTATCCAGCAGGAAGAGACAATCATTCAACATCTCCAAGTCCATATATCAATCGACACAAGGAATACTCACACAGGCATTACTCAAAAGTGCATTTACCAAAAACGCACTACAAAACTCACTTCCCCCACCAGGAGCCACCATACACTTCAAAAACACATCACGATCTAAAAACGCATGAAACGGATAATCCCAGGTAAAATAAAGCGAGACCAGATGAGAAACCAGATCATCATCATCTGTGACACTCGTCCACGGCTTCGCGGGAACTTTGATGGGCGCCTCATCGCAAAGGTAATTCAGGTCCATCACTTTACTCCGGAAGGGCGGGTCATTCCCTTCCACATTGATGATTTCCTTCATATCTTCCAACTTGGAGATTGTTGCTTGAACCTTTTCTTTCGCAGGATCTTCTGGGGCAGACGCCGCAAGTCCAAGTCCAAATGCTGAGCTGGAGGCCGATACAGCAGACACCGACCCAGACGCAGCAGACTCCGACGCAACCCGACTCAACGACGCAAGCGCTTCATTAATATACTCTCTCACATCCTCGGCACTCGCATTCCCGCGAATAAGCTCAAGAAGTCTCAAGCCCGCAGCGGGATCCGCCTCGCGCACCAGGGTAAATAGATCATGTAGAAGATCGCGGTGGTAAGAAAGTTCATCAGCGGTACGTTTCGCAGCAACCCTTCTCCTCTGGTCGAGCGATTCATCGAAGATGCACGCCCGGTGGAAAGTAATGCAATTAGTGCAAGGGGACGTGCCTGAGCACTTTCGTTTCGATTTCTTGCACGCCAGACAGGCTGTTGAGACACGTTTTTTCCATGGGCCTGCGGCTGAGTGTTCGTCGGGGACTATGGTCGAGTTGGAGGCTTCTGCTTGGTGCTTGCACAGCGATTGTTCTTGCCCCGGGCTGTGGCTGCTGGATGTTGGCGAGGGGCCTGGAGCGAGGTTGCGCTGGTCGGGCATTTCACTTGGAGGATCAATAAGACACTTTTCAAAGGAGGACAATGCTGTGTGGAGGTATAGATGTCCAAAAAATGGAAGGTAGAGGAACTGACCTTCAGAGGATCAGCGGTGGCTAACGCATGCAGGGCACGCTCAGTTGTCGCCATGAATGTCGCCATGTATGACGACGGGGGCGACAGCGTGGAAAGGAATCCGATGTATCCAGTATGAGGCGACGTGATTACTTAGAGGCATTATTGAAACAAGATATTTGTACTCTTGTCAGGGTATTTCGGACATGGTCAGATAACATTTGACCAGGTGTGTACCTTAGGGTAGCCCAAAAGCCAGGTAAGGCCTGAGAAGCCAAGAAGAAAACGGGTAAAGATCAGCATAACCAAGGTTAAAAATGTTCGTGAATCTAGGAACTAAATCGCAGTTCTAGTCAGCAAAGTACCAGGCAAAAACAGGATACACCCGGGTTGTCGTCCAAGCAGTGGGGCCACTAGCAAATGAGCCTAGAAAAAAACCTCACGTTCTCCTACCCTGCCACTAGCTACAATTGGAGCTAGCGCAGTAAACAACCTAGTCGCAAGCCAAAATGACGTTCGACAATGTAATTCAGGACGCAAACCCACCAATCCGAAGCTCGGATTTTTGTATTCGCCGCTGTGGGGGAAGTGGAGGCGAAGCTCCAAAAGAATCTTCGCATCACATCAGTTCAGGCCAGGAAATAGAAAATAAAAATTGAATTACAGGGTAAATACCAATTATTTGTATCATACAGCAATTCACCACCCCCCGAAGGTATCCTGCCCTAGCTATTACAAAAAATAGGTGTCGGATCTGATATCACGTTCAGCCTTGCGGCAGCCTGATTGCCAGAATTATTCTCAGAGCAATCATGGCCGACAACGGATGTCCCGAACAAACGCTTGCCCAGTACTTGCAATTTAGTAGTACTACAGTACTAGTTGGTACACTACTCCAATTTCCGTTGCAGTATATCACCTCGCTCACTTCCGATAAAGGTACTTCTGCGAGGTGTTTTCCAAGCAGCGGTGAAAAGAGCTCGGCCCAGCGAAGTAAACACACGACGAAAAAGGCATACCTCCTAGCAAGACATAAAGCCTTTCCATATATATCAGTTTTTCCAATTCTAATTAGGAAGCTCACACTCACCATATCTTCCTTATCCGCTACATATCGCGCCCTCGTCCTAGACCGCCGCGAAACCGGCATCACCCTCAAAACGCTCCCAACACCACACCCAGAACTCGGCAGCGCTATAGTCCGGATAGCCACAGCAGGAATCCTTCCCTACCACCGCGCAACCTGCGATGGCACCCACCCAATGCCCTTCCTCTCCCAGTCCCACTAGTTTGCAGCTTCAGCGCAATCGGCCACATCGCCGCCATCAGAGCGAACGCAACAAACCTACAACGCGACCAACTTACATCGATACCGTGACCCGCGCACGCGATGACCCGGACTCTTTCTTCGGAGGGATCAAGCGAAGGGAGCAAGAAACTTATGCGGGATATCTGGTGGGATGGAACGTTCGCGGAGTATGCGAAGGTTCCATTGGTGAATTGTATCCCGCTCGACGAAGCGAGACTCGACAAAGAAATGGGGTATTCACTGCAAGATCTGGCGTATATGGCTTTTCCCCTTGTGCCGTATGGTGGGCTTAGGGATGTTTGTCTTGAGGCGCGGGATACGATTGTTATTTGTCCAGCTACGGGTTTTATGGGAGTTTGGGTGTACAGGTTGCGACTGCGATGGGCGCGAGGGTTATTGCCTTAGGACGGAACAGCGAACCTGGCGAGGTTGAAAGAGGAAGTGAGGAGCAGGTCGTCCGGAGCGAGAATCGAGACGGTTCAGATTACAGGTGATGAAAACGCGGATGTCGATGCTATTAAGTCCCATGGCACCATTAAAGCAGTGCTGAATATGACGCCGACAGAGGCGGCGATGTCTACGCCCACGCGAAGCGCGATTATGGCGTTGCGTCGGGGTGAGAGGGTTAGTTTGATAGGGTCTACGAAGAATATTTCTGCTTCGGAGATGTTGATTAATAATATCACGTTGAAAAGGTGATTTTCCCTGCATGAGTTTAGTATCCCTTGGAAATTTACTGGTTCTGTCTGAAGAGGAAAAATGGTGTATGAGCGAAATACCGTGTTGTAATTTGTCAAGATGCTGCAGACCGGGTTATCTCATCCTGGCCAGCATTTTGTGGATACGAGGGTTTTCCAGCTGGTAGATTGGAAGAAGGGTTTTGATACAGGGTCAGAGCATAATAGTATTGGGAGGTGTGTAGCCTTTGCGCCTTGATTCACTTTCAAATTTATCTAGAGATAAGGCATGTCACATGAAGTTTCAACTGTGGTGTGCTCGTAGAAGTGCAGCGGTTATACTCTAGTGTAAGTATGGGCGCAGCTTACCTGTAATAGTGACTGACATTGCAAGATACTACTATGTTCCAACAGAGAGGGTTGGCGCACTGTATGTTTATGGGTTCGCCGAGTGCGTACCCACTAATAAAATGCTAAACACCTGGTGCATGCAACTTATCGCAGCTATCTAAATCAACTTCGAACCTAACGCAGCTCGGAAAATACTATCAAGAGGTAAAAGGAGTATGCTATTCGGCTAGTACTTTTGAAAGAAAAGCTGGGAACAGCAAGAAAAGAAACAAAGACGCTGGATTATTGTAATGTAGCACCGGCACAACATCTGCATACTCCATAATTCCATCGAATGCACCTCCCAAACAAACAAGGAAAATTATCCGTTATCCGGGTCCGCTCCGCACAGCGACTGCGAACTTCCCGATGTCAAAAATCTAGTGCTCCAGAATACGGAGGCTACCCTGCACAACGCAGTTCTCCAGCACCGAACCGGGAGGAACATCGATGGTGCTGCCTTCGGTCGCGACGATAATGACCGTACCCTTCAGGGTGACGTTGCGGCCCAGGTTCACGGCACCGGTGATGGTCAGGTGGTCCAGCTCGACGATGCGGGGGATGCTGGCAATGCGCTTCTGGAAGTCGGAGACCTTCTTGAAGTCGGAGCCCAGCTTGATGACGGGGACGCCGCCAAACCGGTTGGGGTCCATGACGAGCTGGCCGTGCTCCAGACGGTACAGGTCGGACTTGACGACCATCAGGTCGGAGCAGGTCTTGACAGGCAGGAAACGGCGACGGGGCACGTTAACACCGTGGGCGTTCTTGAAGTGGCGGATGGCAGCACCGACGGCGGTCTCCAGCTGATAGATTGCCTGGTCAGCCTCACCCTTCTTATCGGCGGGGATGGACTTTTCGTTGGCGATGATCTCCATCTCAAGCTCGTTCTCCTCGACGACGCGCTTGATGGCCTGGACGTTCATCCAGATGTTGTTGGTGTTGAAGTACTTGAACTTCTTGATGGACTTGAACTCGTTGACGTGCTCCTTGGGGACCTGGGCGATCTCCAACAGGCGGACCTTGCCGTCCTGGTCGATGATGGTACCACCCTTGACATCGGCCTTGGTCTTGTCGGTCAATTCCATGATGTACTCGGCCTTGGAGTCGACCATGTGCTGCAGGATGCGCAGATCCACGACGGCACCCAGGTTGTCGGCGTTTGACAGGAAGATGTACTCGATACCGCGCTCGATCAGCTTGTCCAGAGTACCGGAGTTGTACAGGGATTCGAACACGTCACCGTGACCAGGGGGGTACCAGTCCTGGAGGGGAGAGTCGAAGCTCTTGGGGGCGGGCAGGAGGGAGTCCTTGATGATGCGGGGGTAGCGGGACTGGTTGAAGGTGATGATGTCGACGTTGTGGCCCTCGTACTTCTTAATTATGGACTGGGTGTCCTGGTCGGTGTTGAAAGAGTTCATGAGGACGAAGGGGACGTTGACGTTGAAAGTGCGGTTCAGGTGCTCGATCTGGCGCACAGACAGATCGAGGAAGGACATGCCCTCGCGGACCTCAATGACGGACTTGGGGCCAACGCAACCCATGGAGGTACCGAGACCACCGTTGAGCTTGACGACGGCGAGCTTGTTGAGGAACTCGACAGAGGCGTCGGCACCGAGCTCGTCGTAGCCAACAACCTGGGAAGGCTGGGGTGGGGCGATGCGGTCCCAGTTGACGGCGTTACCCTTGGCCTTGTCATTGAGGAAACGACGGAAGAGAGCAAAGAAGTTGTCCATCTCAGCCTCGAAGCGCTTCTTCTCGTTAGGGTCGGTGACGGTGTCGGAGAGGGCGTTCAGAGCATTGCGCATCTGGGAAGCGGCGACGCTAGTGGAGGCATTTTCAAAGGCCTGGTTGGAGACGGTATGCGTAAGCATTGTGAAGGAATAAAATAAAGCAGATAATTGGTACAAGTAGAAGAGAATGTAGCAGCCGATCAACACAAGCAGTCGGACCGAGTAGAGCAGTAAAGCAGGGCAAAGCAGAGTCAAGCAGAGCAGAAGCATCTCGGCGGGGGCGACGGGAGCTTCCCCTTGAAAGTTCAGGCAGGTGCCGTCATCCACGTTGCCGGCAGGAGCTCCAGTCTGGGTCTGCGCCCCGAAGGCTGCCTGCCTTACTCGACGATTTGTGGTTCGTGCTCGGTTTTCTTGCGTCCGCGGCGAGTATGCTAGATAGAAGGGGTGCTTACCATGTGCGATTGGGACTTCCCGTGGTGCTTGCCCGAGAAGCCGGACTCATCGTTCGCGGGAGTGCGCAAGTGGGCAGGCAGAGCCTTAGCAGCCATTGTGAATGATAGAGGGGGATGAAAGAAGAGTGTAAAGCTGCGGTCGGTCAGTTGGAGAAGCAGGAAAAAAAAAGCGGGTGAGAGGAAACGTGGCTATCTTAAAGCACCGGGCGACCTTGGACAAGGAGGGGTCGCAGTCGCCACGGCGTGTCGATCATCTGGCCAATCTGGATGTCGACAAGCTGCCGTCATTGCCAACAAACGTTGGCAAGCAGCGGACTGGGGGATACATGGGGGTAGAGACATGGATTGGGGCGTAGAATGTGCATGATGACACACAGACATGAATTGACAGCAACAGAATCAAGCTGGAGTGACTTACCGGTACTGACTGCAGTGGTGTCGAGGAGGAAGAGAGGAGCAGCAGGTTGGAAAGGGAGGTGGGGGAGTCCCGTGATATTTATTCCTGACCGAGTTTCTCCTTTCCTCCTAGAATACCCTAATGTCCTCTCCTTGCTTCTCTCCGTTCACAATGCTCGTGAGTCGTGTTTACTATTATTATCGTCCGCATCCAGCTCTATTTGACGCCTTCCGCAACCGGCATCTCCACCATTCCAGCTACAGAGGTACACAATAACAGAACCACCACCACCACAACACTACATCAACACTACAAACCCCCGAGAAAAGGGGTGAACACTCTCCCGTGGGGTCCTCCTTTCCATGCGAGTTCCAGAATGGCCTTGACCAGCAACTCCAGAACCCCTTTTCTCGTTCCACCCAGTGGGGGCAACGCCCGGGCCCACGCGTCGCGGCCGATCTGAGGCACTCGTGGGATGTCGAACGTGCCTTGACACATCTAAAGTCCGGAGTAGTCAAGCCCGGTACTCCTACGACACCACTACTGTGGTACCTCCTACAGAACGCCTTCGGGTACTCAGTCAGTCACTCGTCCTGGATTAACATCCCAGTACCAACCGACCAAGTCCTCCGACCGACCAGTCCAACCACCACCCACCCAACCCCATGACGAATCTGCCACGGGAAGATTGCAATATCAAATCGCACAGACAGCGCACGGAACACACCCCTCGGTCATGCAGAAATCCGCAAAGTCAGGGCCAGACCAGCCCGGAACAAGGTGGAGCGCGGCGCAAATTAGCCTCCACCGAACCAAAATAGTCAAGCACGAAAAATCGTAGGCCCTACCCGGCGCCATCGCCCCTAGTCTCCATTTCCCGATCGTTTAGGGGCTCCGTCGCCTTGGTCGGGCCAGAGCTTCCGTCTTAGCTGCCCTGCCCTTGAGACATGACGCAGCCGGACCACGGGCGTTTGGGATATATTTTCCGAGCTCCTGAATCTGCCCTCTGCAAATGCAAATGCACACCGCAAATCATTGCACGGATGCAGATAGCCCTTTCACAGTCCTGATGGCGAGCGTCAGTCGGTACTTGAGCCGTTGGATGCACTTTGTTGTCAATTGGGCTGCCTCCGTACTCTTCTACTCACAACCTCGTACATCAGAGGTGGTTGTACCGCCTGCGACGGGCTTTTGCCTCTTCCTCGTACCCACCATTAGTATATTCCTGCAAGCACAGTCAACTCAGTCACCGAAACCGCTGCAGGTATACTGCAGGTAAGCTCTTTCGCCACCACCTTGGTAAGCGCGGAGCCACAGTTGGGACCTTTGAACCCTGCGGGAGCAACTGCTCAACCGGACGACGTACTGTCCTGCCTAAGGGAATTTTCAAACTTCTCATGGACATCACTAGTAAGTAAAATTAGCTGCGAGTCTCAGAATAGAAATACACATCCTACTAGGTTCCTCCCCAGCTTTCGGGACCCTCCGAGACATAAACTCGGCGGTCCGGAAACAGCCCGAGGAATGCCACTTGTTCGCGGTGGCGCATCGGTCTCAGATAGTGATAACACTAGCTCTACCTGTCAACCAACCAACCCTGGATGGTATGGACGAAATTGAATGTCTCATTCATTCCACTTACCCTACCTTAAAATCAGTGGTGGCTTTAGTCTCAACTATTTATTCGGCGACAGAAATAGGGATTGTTGTCTTATCCTGTCTTGGTGACGGAGTCTATTGTTAAAAATATATTCTCGAGTTCCGAGGCTCAGGTCAAGTTTTGTGGCTGGAGACACCAGTGAGACTTGATCTGAAACTTTTTTTTTTCCTTTGAAATATATTCACTCGAATCTGTTTTTCAGAGCACCAGAGAATTACTGTGGTACACCTCCCATGTCTCCGTGCTGGTTACCACTCAAAGACAAGATGCGATCCAACCAGATCCTAGGACTTCAGTACAAAGAAAGGCGCATAAAGCTCAAGAGTAAAAAGTACAACTTTTCAACACAATCAGAGCCCCGAGTACTCTTAGCATCGCTTAAAAAGCTGGGAAGGGTGGCGGGTGATTCACCACTGTATCCTCCAGAATACCATTAGAAGGCACGAAACCTAACATAAAAATGTAGAAGCCTGTCAACATGGGAATTGAACTGAGCGACCCTGAAAGGAATCAGTACATTTGTAGAGCATTCCAATTAATAGCCAGCCAAGAACGGACAACCTAGCAGCACATTACCAACCCAGTTCAACGTAGAGCCTCAAAATGACCTAGAGTAAAGCCTACTAAACCTCCATGACACTCAGACAGACTTACACCAAGATATACCTTAATTTGAAACAAACATCATCCATCCCTAAGCACAAACACTCAAGCTTACCTTGTGTGTAATGTACTCCGACTTACCCTACCTCTATAGAACCCAATCCTCACTGCCCAAACACGTCAACATCAAGTACTATTCAACCAAACACTACCTCTCGATCCCTCCATTCCCCGAATCAAACCCTGGAGACCGAGTTTCGATTTACTCCGTCCCCTCCGACTCTTGACCCTGACACTACCCTGACTCTTCCATTTAGCATGCCAATAGTCTGCTGATAATTCACTCTATACAGTACCCTGGCAGTAGTGGATTGATGGGTCACGTGCGTCCGAGGGGTCGTCAGGGAATGGAGCTTACACTACTACCTAGTGTAGTGGGGAGACCCCCTCCCCCTACTACATGGGTGCCATCCGGACTATGTGACATAGCCGGCTGTATACAGTGGCCGGATAGCTAGTTCTAGAATACACCTTCTTACACCTCCCCGACCTGACCCCTACATTTGGGATCCTCGCTATTTCCTGATTGCTACGCGTGTGTTTTGTGGTGGATTTTCTGCTGAATCGACCCGCACGTCTCAGCGCGTGCTGCCATCGAGCGTTCCCCTCTTCACTAGGTAAGGGAGGGTTTATACGGGGGGTACCGAGGGGTGAGACTCTGCTATACTGGAACACTTCTACTATGTACCTCTAGGCCTAGGATACTTTCAGAAACACTACCTAGGTAGAAGGTGTACTCACATGAATTTAAGGGTTCATATAAAACCGAATTCATTCAAATCTACCGACGCTGATCAAGCAAATAAACCAAGACATAAAGTAAAAAGGATATCCCAACACCAATCCAACCATCCATCAACCATACCAGCTACCATTTTTACCCCTGCCCTAAACCACTCCTTTCAATCAATCAATCCCTCCCCCTCTTAGACAAAAAGCTCCTCCTCGGCTTCCTCGAATCCGGACTCTCAGCCCCCTCCTCAGCAGGACCAGTAGTCGAATGACTAGTCGTCGGCCTAAGATTCGCAGCCGCAGTCTCATTAAGCACAAAGCTAGAGCGGACGGTAACATTCCCCTCCCCAATCGGAATCGTCTTATCAACACCCTCCTCCGAGCCCTGATTAGCGACAAAGAACGGCGCCTCACCAAGCGGGCTATCCGACCCGAAAGTCGCGTGGTCCACGACACGGATACTATACTGCGCGTCGGCGGTGGTATTATTCACCTTAAAGGAATCCTCGAACTGGATAGAACCGGACGAAGTCTTGATAGCCTTCGTCTTGTGGACATCCTTCGCGCCCTTGGCTCCCTGCACCTTGACGATGACGCGGACGTTGGCGGTGGGAGGGAAGCCGTTGGCTGTCGCGATGGTGATGTGTGCTGTGCCGGAATCGCCGCGGCCTGTACCGCCGAGTATGCTCAGTCTGTCACCGTAAGTGGAGGCTGTGCTGCGGTTGCGGCTGTGTTCCTTTTGCGGAGTGGAAGGTGTTGGCGAGTGGGAGCCGTTGGCGTTGGCGTTGGCGTCTGTCAGGGCTGCGGCGGGACTCAGACCGCGTTCGGTGGGGGTTTCGGAGGGGTCTTCCTCGATGATGCTATTTGCCATTGAGGCGTCGTCGCCTTTATCCTTGTGTCCGATTCGGGACATGACGCCGTGTTTTAAGAAGGATGCGCCGCGGACGACATTGCCGCCCAGGAATCCGACTGTCTTCACGGGGGCACCGACGATCTTACCGGGCACTGCGAAGGTGCCGGAGAATGTGGAGGAGCCTTGGCGGGAGCGGACGACGTAGCTGGGCTTGAAGAGGAGGTTGAGGTGGATGACACCAGATTTGCCGTTCAGTGGAAGGTGGACGTCTGCCGGTTCGAAGGGGGTCAGGCTCTCCAAATCAATTGGCGAGGCACCGAGGAAATCGGCCGAGTCACCAAAGTCCCAGTCGTAGACATCGACGTGGAAGTTGGCCCCGATGCGAGTTTTGATGGGTGTTTCGAAGAACTCGTTCCAGGCGGGATGCAGAGTCTTTTTCTGCACCTTGGTCTTGTGCACCTCCTTGTGGTCGTCGCCAATTCGGAACTTGCAGTAAGGGTCGCTGAAACCGTTGCGGTCGGCAGAAGGCAGATCCGCGGCGTCCAGGACCTTCACGCGCAGTGTACCCATGTTGTTGATGCTCTCCTTGGGGTCGAGCTTCATTTGCACGGGAATGTAGCGGGCACTGACGGTCACCTTGCTCACCTCGCCGTTGCTGCCGGCGAGAACAAGTTCGGTGGGGGTGTACAGGATGCGCTGCAGGGTAGACAGAGTGTCGCCGGTCAATTGGGCAACAGTGTGCTCCTCGCTTGAATCCTTGGGGTCATCCTTGCTAACAAGACGCAGAGTAATCTTGGAGAACTCGAGCTCACGCACAAACGCCTCACCGATATCACTCGACTTGACGGTGCTGGAGTGTATCTTGGGCGAGGTGTAAGCCGGGAACATATAGTCATCCATCAGGACCTCCAGCTGCACATTACCGTGCGCCAGCTGACCCTCGTGGAACTTGAACACAATAAAACCGGACTCGTACTTGACGAGGTCCTCAGCCGCAACGTAGGTCTTGGGGATGGTCGCGATGGAGCGAACAGAGGCAGTCTCAGAGGTCGTGGTAGCAGGGCGAGAGTTGGAAGTCTCGAGACTTGCCCGACCATTGGCGGTGGCCTCACCATTCGTAGCACCATTGGCATTGCCGTTCGTCGGAGTCCGGGAAATCTTGGAAACCTTCGATGACTTGGAGTCCACACTAGCAGTCTTGGAGTGCATGCTCCTGCGAGGAGTGGCAGCGCCCTCAGACTTGACGCCCTCCTCACCCTCTTCTTCCTCCTCGACTTCATCCTCGGGGTTCACGACCGGCACACTGGGGAAGAAAGAGACAGTGTAGTTGAGGTAGCCCTTGACACTACCCTTACCAATACGCAAGCCGCTGGTGATAAGCTGCTTCTCGTCATCAATCTCATACTCGCCCGGAGTCTCAGTCTCGCGAACAAAGTCAGAGGCATTCAGCTCGGCCCAACCCAGCGTACGGTCCTTGTTGATAGACTCCTCATCCATGACCTCCACTGTCAGCTTCTCGCGGGCGCTGCGGATGGGAACATACACGACCTCGTCCCAGTCGGGGCTGAGATTGTTGCGGAAAGTCACAGTTCGCCCACGGGTGATACCAGACAGCAAAACACGAGCGTAGGGATCCGACTTGCCCATGGCCTCCAGGTTGCGCAGGTCTGTGGCATTCTTGAAGTGGAAGCGCATGACACCGATGGGGTCGACGTAGCCAGCACCACCAGCGATCGAACCCAGCGCGACGGGCTTCCACTGCAGCTGCAGCTTGGCACGTCCGCCATTGGCACCGTGAAGATGGAACCAATCCTTGCCTTGCTCCATCATCTTGATCATGTCGTTCATCTTGATCTGGTAACGGCCGATAATGGGATCCGCCATGAGATCACGGTCATCCTTGATGATCAAACCAAGACGGGCGTTCTTGCGGTCAGTGACCAAGAACTCTTTCGAGGCATTCTGAAAAATCGGGTTGTTGGTCCGCTTCAGCTTGTTGGTGATGTGGATCTCCTTTCCGTTGAGCAACAGCACACCGTACGGGTTGAGCTTGCCGACCAGACTCTTGCTGCCGTCCAGATCCTTGGCCTGTTCCACCGTGAACTGAGCAATACCAGTGTTGATCTCAGGCGGGGGCTCGGTCTCACCAGACTCGAGCTTGCGACCCTCCATGACAGGAAAGAAACGGATATCGGCCTGAATGGCACCACGGTGACGGCCGCTCGCTGTGACTTCGAGGTAGACACCTTCGTGAGACGGTTCTTGTTCCAGTTTATCAAGGCCGAAAGAGGCGACACCGAGCTCCTTGTCCTTACGGTACTCGTTCCAGTCGTACGGGGTGATGGTGAGGGCGTCTGTGAAAGAAGTGATAATAACATAGATCGTCTCGTTCCAGCGGGGGCTGTCGGTATCGTGCGCCGTCTTGGTGCGGCCAAGCTCGGTCCGGTTGTTCAGGGACACCACGGCGTACGGATCGGGAGTACCAGAGAATTTGTCGGGGTTCTTGAGCTGGTGCGCACCGTGTAGAGTGACTGCGACGACACCAATGGCCTGGTCGACCGGGTTGCCAGCCAGCATCTTGGCGATTTCGATGGGGAACACGTTCGGGTCGTACATCATGGGCTGCAGGTTGTTATGAATCTGCTCCTTGATGAACGTCTCGAGACCGGGAATAAAGTTGATATCAAAGCCGAGATGGTCACCTCCCAGCGGCTTGCAGACGTAGTCGATTTCGGGCTTATCCAAGAAGCAGACATCCACACGCTCAATATGAGGGAAAGGAATCTGAAGCTTGACCTTGACGCGCATCAAACCGGAGCAAGCCATATCCTCGACAATCACGTCCAGACCTTTGCTGACCACACCTTTACCGACGCGGACTTCCAGCACAACCTTGGGGTTAATCTTGTCCTTGAGCTGGCGGGCCGTCAAATCCATCACATCGTTGGGCGTGAAGCTGAACTTCCAGTCCATAATGACAGTGTCGGGCTGGGTCTTGGGGTAGGTCTTGACATGCTCGAGACGAGGGGGCTTGGTACCAAGCACGAAGGTCTTCAGGCGGAGGCTGTCGAGGAAAGCCGGCGTGGAGGTACTCAGGACCTGGTCGACCGAGTTGATGATGGTATCGCAGAGCACGGGCGCATAAATCGGCCAGAACTTGACCAAGAAACTGTTGATCCATTCCAGACTCTCGGTATCGGTCTCCAGACGCGCCTTGGACATCTCCCGGTTAATGTCGTCACGGAAGTTGCGGCGCACCCGACGGATCGACGTGCGGTAGTAGGTGCTGCATGCGGCCATCACCAAGAGCACCCAGCCAACACCGCCGCCGAGGGCCGCGATGAGCCAGGAGGACAAGCAGGCAAAGACAATGATCGCGGCATTGTGGTACCAATCGCCGAAGAACTTGTCGGGGAGGCGGCCCTCCAAGAATGTCTCGTGGTCGAGCAATGTGCCCTCAGCCTGCTCTTCCTCGGTCTGTTCGGTGAGGAACTTGGGTTCCCAGCCAGTGCGGTTGCGCGCCCAGCGCATGTCATCGTCGGCGCCGCTAGGCTTGCCCTCTGCGATCGCATTGGCATCCTCTGCTATGAGGGCCGTCGCCGATTGCGGGGGCGGAAGGTCGTAATCTGCTTTTCCGGTATCCTGTCGAGCAAATGGTTAGTGGGCGCTTCGCGGAGTGGCTGGGCCGCGCGGGGTTGGTGTGTACCTGGTCTGTAATCACCGACATGCCCTTGGGCTTCTTCTGGTGGTGAAATCCGGGCGGGACTCGCTAGAAACAGCGGTTAGCGTGGTAGCTTTCCACGACGCCTGTTTCCGACCGGGTCACAAGCGTGCTACTAGCTGGCAGTGAACATACCCCCTCCGCGGCGGCCGCCTTATCCTCGGGCGAGGCATCCGGGTCGAATTGGTATGCGGCGGCGCCGGCCTGGCGCGACTTCTCGACGAGGTTCTCTTCGACGGTGTCGGGGTTGACCTTGGACTCGGGGTCTTTCTGGAGTTCGGTGGCGGCCTCAATGACCCCCTCCTCCTTGATTTCGGTCTTCTCCGCCTCGACAGACGCCATCGCGGCGGTGAATCGGGTTGGGGGTTTGTCGGAGTATCGCAGTCGCAATGGCCGTAAGCTGGACGGAAGAGTTGGAAGTTCTGCGGAGAGGAGCTGGTTAGAGATCCATGGGCCGACTGGGCGGGACAGACCGAATCCGGGGATTGGAATGTACCTAAGGGTGTGCGAGGTGGTGGTACAGGTGAGGGGCCCTACGACTGTAGAGTAGAGGTAAGATAAAAAGAGGAGAGGACAGAGGGTAGGTAGGTGACAGGGAGTCGTACCGCAGTAGTGGTTGGTGCTTACCAGCCTGAGGACAAGAGGGGGAGGTCGGGGAAGGTGGAAGAGAGAAGGTACCTGGGGGATGCCCAGCCGCTTGCGTCAAGCCGGGGCTGGGCGCGGATTTTGATTAGGGCGGGAGGATTGGACTACCTTCTTACTTAGTACGGGACCTTCTGTGTCTTCTCCCGTTTCCCGAGATTATTCCATTGGATTTTAAGCCATTGGGCAATGGAGCCTGCGATCGGCTGATCGGAGATCCGTGACGTCGATACTATCTGAGCTGCTCTACCACCTACTCAGGTGTCCTACAACTTAGGGGAATACAATTCTACTGTCAGTAGTACACTACACAGCAACCCCTATCACAGCTCAGATAGCAATAATTATTCCGGAAATGTGAGCTCACGACAATCCCCTGGACCCTCCGAACTATCGAAGCACCGCCACAAGTCATTGCGTAGACCACTCCATCCGCGTCTGCATTAGGTTAGCTGATCCCCACTATATCCAAATTAGGTAATAATGCATTCCCACTGTGGCTGGAAAGGAGACAGCCCTACGCAGGCAGCCAAATAACTTGCCAGCCATTGCCTAGCACTGCCCTAGTAGTATACAGGACGAGTAAACAACCCGAACTTTTACTTTTCATCATGTATTCTTGTATTGACCTGGGTCTCTGTTTACTGCCCTCTCCACGATGGAATACCAGCTGAGCCACAGTCCCACCTGATCGCCCGATCGAACCCACTCGCTCGATAGCTGGCAGCAAGGTTCTCTAGCGCAACCAGCCTCAGCTCGCCAGCTGGCAGCCCTAACCTACCACCGACAGTAGACACCTGCAGTACAGTCTAGCCGACCCAGCCGCCTTCTGCATTGCGCATCGTGCAGATACAGCTGCAGACCGCTGCGAGTTAATGGATGTATCACGTCGAATTTCAGCACGTTCCTTACCCTGCATCGTACCCAAGCTACGGTTCCCTGGTACCCTCAGAAAATAATAACCCTACCCCACCCCTGCCAAGATAAAGCTCGGTGTCAAGATAGGGCATTCCACGAGGGAGCTGCCAGTGAGAGTAGCTCTTACTGAACTGGGTGTGGCCGAGGTAAACATGTGGGCGAAAATTCTTCCCTCCACCTCTCCACCCAGGTCATGATTTCTTTTTCGGTGGAGCAGTGACGGGATCGCTTGGTTCGCGTGAGATCGGCAGTGACTTGACCAGATCCTCGGGGTCCAAGCTAATCCTAGTCGAGCTGAGCAGAACACTACTGGACACTGGAACTTGTAGGGTACAATGTACATACGGTACACTACGTGTAGGATTGACGAAATAATGCCATACATTCAGCTAAGTAGAAACAATATGATATCTGCAGAACAGCTCGTCACTTCTTAAAGTCGTCGCAGTCAATCCTTCCCGACATACCGATTTGTTGGATTGATTTACCGGCCCAGGCGAATCACACCCGCCGCCATCAGCTTCTGCACCTTGATGCGCACCTGCGGGTTCTTCATGTGCTCCTGCAGCGCCGCGGGGTCGCTCTTGGCCTGCTGGAGGATGCTGTTCATCACGGGGTCCTGGAGGATGGACATGATCTAAGTCTGTCAGTACCGTACACATTCATTAATGTACCAGAGTGTGTGGGAAACTCACCTCGGGATCATTCTGAATCCGCTGAGAAGTCTGCTCCTCCGTCTCACCAGCCCGGGCACTAAACTGCGCATCCAGACACTTCTGCTGCTGCTGCTCAATCTCTCGGGTGTGGGTACCATCATCATGCTCCGCCGCCTCGGTAAAGGTATCCAGAGCACGGTTGTACTCCTTCATCGCAACGAGCGCCTGACCCTTGCGCATATACGCACGGATGAACTTGGGGTCGCGGGCAATGGCCTCGTCGCAGTCCTGCACGGCCTGCGGGAACGCCATGAGCTTGACCAGGGCCGCGGCGCGGTTGGAGTAGCCGCGCGGGTCAGCGGGGGCGCGCTTGGTCATCTCGGTGAAGGCGTCGACGGCCGCGGGCCAGTCGGCCTCCTGGAACTTCTTCTGGCCGAGCTCGCGGGCCTCCTCGGCCTTGGCCGGGTCCATGTAGGATTCCTTTTCGCTCTTGTCGCGGGACTTTTCGGCGGTGCGCAGCTTGGTCAGGGCTTCGGGGGTACGGTGCTCGGTCAGGGACTTGTGGTAGTACTCGATGGCCTGGTTCAGGTCACCGAGCTTCTCGTAGGCGGATCCGATACGGGTGAAGGACCTGTCGATGTCAGTGCGCCTGCTCATGCTCACTCCCACGACGGATTACTGCGGAACATACTTGGCAAAGGTCTTGAAATCAGCACGCAGATCACGACCCTCCTCAACGGCCTTCTGGCAGATCTCAATGGTGCCCTGGTAGTCGCCCTTCTCGAACTTGGCAGCACCAATGTTGTTGAGGTAGGTAACATCCTTGTTCAGCTCCCAGGCCTTCTCGTAGTGCTCGATGGCCTTGTCGTGCTCCTTCTTCTTGTAAAAGTCGTTACCGATCTTCTTCTCAGCATCACCCGCCTCCTGGGCCTTCTTCTTGGCAATAGTCTCCTCATCCTCGGGCTCAGGCTCGGGAGTAGGCTCCTTGGGTGCCGGGGCAGGCTTCGACTCGGGAGCAGACTGCTCGCCCTCACCACCGAAGCTCATGTCAATGCCCAGTAGCACGCTCATAACCTGCAGGAAGCGCGGATCGCGCATCTCCTCGCCAATAGCATTGGGATTGGATTTGAGGCGTTGCAGCTTGGCCATAAAGTCGGCATCGGCAAGCAAGCTGGCGGTCTTGGGGTTGTTGGCCAGCTTCTGGATCATCTGCGGGTCGTTGAACATGCCACCGAGACCATCCAGAGGGTTACCCTGGACACCGTCGGCGGTCGCCTCGGCCTGGATCGCGCGCTGGACGGCATCGAGACCGGACTTGGCCTGCGCATTGCCGGGCTCCAGCTTCAATGCCTCCTCGTAAGAGTCGTAGGCAGCGACTAGAAGAGTCAGCCATTTTACTCGATATAATCCACATTGTCTGACTTACGCAGATCCCCCAGTCCGCGGTAGGCGGCACCCTTGCGCAGGTGGCCCTTGGACCAGTCGCCCTTGATGCCGATAGCCTTCTCGGCATCCTCAAGGGCCTTTTGGTATTCGCTCTGGGCGTTGTACACAGCGGAACGATTCGAGTAGAGGATGTGGTTCTCGGGTTCGATCTCGAGGGCCTGAGTGAATTTCTCACTGTGATCTCATCAGCACGTGCCCCAGCATTTGACGATTTGACGATAAGCGGGGTATTGTTGGAGAGCATCTTGAAGAACATACATGGCAGTCGGATAGTCCTTGGCCGAAAAGGCCTTGTTGCCCTCAGCTTTGAGCGCGTCAGCCATGGTGTGGATGTGAATCTCGCAGGGATGCAGTGTGAGACAATGCACGGGCGAGCTTTCAAGGTGATGATGCACTGAGCTCTCCAAGGTTCTCGAAATTTCCGGGACGGTCTGAGTGCCTTGGTGCCTTATTTCTCGGCCTCAGGCTGCCTGACATTTCCAGCTCCGCGCACTAAACCCCAACGGGAACTGGCCTCCCCGCTGCGAAAAAAAGGAACACTGTGATTCATTTTTTTTACTCGTGACTCAACCTCATTCCCTGCAAGAGACGCCATGCTCCTCTAAACCACGCCCTGCTCTCGCAGACCCGCGATTCGATCATGAACCCTCCCCTCCAATGATCCTGAACCCCTCCTCGCTCGCGCTGAACCGATCCCCAACCTCCAAAAATGGCCGCCGCGGAGTCCCGCGTCGCGAAGCTCGCCTCGAAGCTTTACGACGCCTGCGCAGACAATCATGACCCCGACACTCTCCTCTATCAGCATGATCTCATCGATCTCGGTGTTCTCCCCAGCGATGACATTGCGCTCCTCCTGCAGTGCACCCAGTCGCTTGTCGATCAGAAATTGTTCCGGCTCCACCAGGGCCAGGGCCGCATCGGATGGAAGCTGATTCCTCGGGAAGACGCTGAAAAGTATGCCTCTTAACTCTCATCTTACAAAATACTCCTTTCAAAGATATCAAATGCATAGGTGAAGCGAGGGCCGGCCAATGCTGACTTCTTTGTTCACAGATTGCAGAGCCTCAATGCCGACGAGGCCTTGGTGTACAATGTCATCCACTCGACAGGCCGCTCCGGCGTCTGGGTACGCGCCATCCAGCAGCGTACGAACCTGCACAAGTCAATTCTCGACCGCGCCCTGAAATCGCTTGACAACAGAAATTACATCAAGAGCATTCACAATGTCAAATACCCCAGCCGGAGGATGTACATGCTGTCCGGCCTCGTACCTTACGAGGACGTCAGCGGAGGTGCCTGGTTTACTGACGGAGTACTCGACGCGAACTTCATCAATAGTCTTGCTGGATTCATCGAGTACACCGTCAGCCGGAAGAGCTGGTACGAAGTGCCCGCTACCGACCGCGGCCGCAGCGCCAAACGAGTCAAGACCGCCACCGGCAAAGCCGAGGTCAACGGCGAACCCCCCACAAAGACATACCTCCCGTACCCAAGCAACTACAAGGGCTATCCCACCGTGAAGGCAATTACCGATGCCGTGAACTCGAGCGGCATCACACCAGTCCAACTCTTCGAAGATCGTATCATGCAACTCCTCGACATGCTCTGTTTCGACAAAAAGCTCGTCGCACTCGACAACGGCCAGTGCTACAAGTCGGTGAAGAACCCAGAAGCCATCAAGGCTGCTCAGTCGCGCAAGCCTCCCGTCGAAGGCGTGGAGCCGGAACCTCTACTCGGTCGAAACGGCATGACCGAATCACCCTGCGGACCCTGCCCGAACTTCAAACTCTGCTCTCCCGGCGCCGCCATCAGCCCGGAAACCTGCGAATATTTCGACCCGTGGATCGAGCAGGTCCTCGGGTTCTGATTTACGTAATACACGATATCAACCATCGCCGCGTTGTACAGACGTACCAGCTCACTACCTGCGGTGTGATGCACTGCATGACGCGGATTGATAACGACCCAACCAACCTTCTTACGGAATGGGACCACATTTACCTGAGGGTATTCCTTACATCGGCATAGCGAAACTCGATAACATTGCCACTTGCATAAAGATGGAGGACAAAACAAAAAAGGATTTAGCATAGCGATGGCGTTGCTTTTGTTTTTATGGCATCTCTGCCTCGGATCGTTTCGGTCCTTGAAGGTCTTTTGAACCCGTGGCTCTCAGGACAGTGACACGGGAGTGAGACCGAGCTAGTTTCATGGCTTCGAGGTTGAAAGCGGGGATGCTACCTTACGGTAGTTGGTTAAATGCTACCTTATCCCTAGCCTGGCAAGTAGTGATTAGCTCATGTATACGATTCAATGGATTCATTGATAGTGAACTTTCGCCGTATAACTCTCTGTACAAATGGGGACATGCTGAAGTTCCTCCTACACGCGTGTAGAGCTTAATTATTTGATAATTTTGGGTGAGGCATCATCTAGTTCACGTCTAACGCATGTTTGTTTCTATTTCAAAAGGTTGACGCAAAATGCAATTCCAATTGCCACGTACCAGGTCAAGATCGATTACGATGCCATAGTTAGTATTTTGGCTGTGACTGAATTACATAATTGCACCCGTGAAGTGACGGTGCACTGTTGTTCTGGCTTAGGTAGAGCTGATGGACCTCGGGTGGCCGTTGGCTCGTTTGGAATGTGAGGTTATGGACGAATTGTTGGATGAGTAGGAGGTTCTCTGTTGTTTTTTTTGATCGTTATAGACTCAGTATGGGATGCAGAAGTTGCTGAGCTACCGGACGGAAGAGATGGGCTTATGTTCATATGGTGTTGTGGGTTCGTTGTTTTTGTTATTTGGACGCCGGGGGTGCAACTGTAGTGCAATAGTAGAGGTCTGCTGGGGAGATTGGGAGTGGGTCATTGAAACTGATATGAAGGTTAAGAGTTGAAATATTGCTGTGTGAGTGTTGTCTGAAGATTGTGGAGTTCTGACCCTTATACATATTTGTGGGATGAAATGTTGCGAGGATTTACCCATCAATCCACGTGTCATTGCCAAGAAACTAACCAATTGAATTAGCGAGATTATACGATGGCTCATAGTCTGAAAGACGCTCTACTACCTAGATCGTGGTGCAATGCTAGGTGTTATTGTTGCTGCCTGTAGGTGAGTCGGGATATAGTACCTCGGCGCCAATTGGTCACTTCCAGGAGTGCAACATCCGATGATGTGCATTCGGAGGAGATTTTTGAAAACGACATACCGCAATTTCCCATTAATATGGAGTAAAGCTATCTTATCGGCAGAATTCATCTCTCACAAAATTAGCAAACATGGTGGTTAGTAATGGACCACATCACAGTGCATTGCAGCTGAATTCTGCAGATCGCGAACCCCACCGCCGAGTGCCACACCCGTGAAGTGTTCCGCTCAGCCAGTCCCAACCTCTTCCCTTCACCACGCTTAAACTCGCACCACTCCCACAAAATCACCGAGCAGAGTGACTCCACCCCACTCTGAAAAGTCCTCAGTACAACAGCTACAATGGCTACCATCGACACAAACGAGACACCCCCGGTCCACTACCGATCACTGGGCGTGTTCTTCGTCTACCTCACTATTGTGGCTTCCCTCGCCCTGACCTGCTGCAGAACCATCTATGTTCGATACCAGGCCCGGAAGAAAAACAATGACTGGAACTCACCCAAGGCACGCAGCCATGCCATCCTCTTCATTTTCCTAACAGCCCTTACCCTCGGTATCACGTGGTTCTACATGATCAGCCTATTCTTCCACTCGTACCATGAGTGGACGTTGAGTCCTACCGGACTGGCATGGTCAGCGGTCGACATGCCAATCACCACCCGCATGGGCCTCTGGCTGAAGGAGACCTACCTCTTCCAAGAAGCGTGGGAGACAGTCGTCGAGACACCGAAGCGATTCTGGTGGAGCGGCCAGATCTTCGGCTGGTGTATTGGGTGGGGTCTTTTCCTCGGTATTGCAGGTAGGTCGAATTGCAATGTTGAATCTCACCCAAAAACTAATAAATATGCCATGAAAAGGCCGCAGATACAACATCCCACACATCTGGGTCTACATGCTGCTGGGCCAACTAGCCAGCATCGCATTCGGCGCAAACTTCTTCTTCGCAACCATCGCCGTCTCCCCTCGGCCAAACGAGAAAGACCTCTCATTCGCATGGTACCCAGCACCCATCACAGAGCTGCTAGTCATCGTGATTTCCTTCGTGGACACGCTTGCCGTTCCAATCTTTGCGCACAAGAAGGAGTTCATGCCCATCCTGATGGCCCCCCATCTCCTGACGTTCGTTCCGGGCATGTTGGGTCCGCAGTACTCTGCTCGCGTCACGAAGCCTGAGGGCGAGCGCACTACGCAGCGGTATATCGTCTTGCTTCAGTGGGTTGCTGCTGTTGCGGTTGTCCTGCAGGCTTACTTTACCTATCTGGCGGTGCTGGATATTGGGGTTGATGCTTCGTATGCGGAGATTGCTTCGCAGTTGCTTGATGCATTGTATGCTCATCCCGCCTGTAGCAGTGTTAGCTGGGATGTGATTATGTGTAATATTGGCTTTTTGACTTGGGCGGTTGTGCATGGGTTTGATGCTTCCAAAATGCTTGGTGGGTACTAGATATCCTACAATGGGAGGAGGTGAATGGGTTGGCGCGAGAGATTCATTCCGGGGTATGACACATGGGAAGACATTGATGAAGATCTCAACTCAAGCAAACTGCTGGACAGCGTGCTGGGAACATGACATCTCCGATACTTGTACAGAAGTTAGAAGATATTGTCGAACAAAAAGAAAGAGCATCACAGCTCTCACGCCTAGTCAATTTCAAACAAATCTGTCTGAGAGGCTAGTCGCGCGATTGGGACAACCAGATCCAATGGTAAATGTCAAAAATAGAATTCATACCGGATAATCCCCTCACGATCTTTGTGTGATCAATCCTAGTGTGCCCAGGTTTCAGGTCTGGCGGCACGCCAGAGTGTTTCCAAGTGCTTCACATTCGGGATCGTCTCATCAACGCCATCGATTTCTTAAACTTGTTCGGCAAAGAGACCGCCAGTAAAGCTCCATGATCTCAAAGTTGAGCATCGGGTCTTTTCCATTCGGGTAACCCCCAACACAAGATTAATCACTTCAATGCGAACTGCATCGGTCAATTGTATGCCACCCGAGGGAATTTGTCTGAACGACTGTAGCGGCATCACTGGTATTGTACAGAGGCCAGTATTCTTTCATTTCAGATCTCAAATCTCTTTCATATTGATCGAACGTAGTGCAGCATTATATCTCAGCATCTCAGCATCGAGGACTAGAATATCGAGGGTATCCATGTGTTCACAAAGGGCCTTGATTAAAACTTTCGCGTTGAAGAGATGGGGGAAAGTGAAGGTGGACGAGCGTCAATCTGAATCCAATTTTACATTGACTTACAGCTCTGTCTTCAATGGAATATAACAATTATTGCAAGTTCTTGCACCTTTGAATATCGACTGAAAAATGGTTGATTGGGAGTCTGTTGTCATTGAATATCGTCTACCAGTCTAGTGCCACATCTTCCCGTAGCCAATGGTCCATGACAGTCCAGAAGCGTCGCTTCAGCAGCTTGGTAGTAGTCGTTACCTTTATTCAGCAAGTCAACGCCGATAGTATCCATGGATGGAAAATTGGCGAGTATCTTCATCGCATGAATGGAATCCAGAGTTCCGTAGAGTGGCGTTCCTCGTTGCGTGTCAACGTTCGGTTGGAGACGTAAATCTCCGCGGATTATGAAGATAAGAACCCTTTGACGAACAGATAGCTGGCATATGTGAGGATTTGAAAGAGTGGGCAAGATCTAGCCTTGCCTGGATATGGGATTGCGAGTGAGAGAAGATTCAGAGGGCGATGAGAGCGGGCGTTAAAGCCAGGGTAACGAATGATTGGAGGTATTGGCATTCATGTCAACTCTCAGGTCCCCTAAGGATAATGCCAGATAAGCCGCGTAGACCTGGAGGAGTTGGGAAATACTCACAGACCATAACCCTAAAACTCGTGAGCTTCATCTGCAGGCCGCTGATGGAGCATATTGACCATGTTCTCGGCGCCCTGGCCATTGAAACCAAGCCTTTGAACAACGCCTTTCAAAAATCCCATTTCCCTGTCTTCAAGTTGGCGCACAGGCTCACTTTGTGCCCAGACGAAGTTATCCGTTGACCCGTTGGGACATCAGATATAGTTGGCATGTTCGCCCAGACGCGGACGTTTCAAAATGTCCATCAACAAGTCAAAAGATCGTCAATACATATTTTGGTGTCAGGTATCCTGACTCGGTGATACTTCTCCCGCTCTTTTAGACTGTGGCTCGAGCGGCATGAGAGCGATAGTGCTGCGACATCTCGGTTGGGAGCTTGAGCTCTGTTGGAAGCCCGGAAAACGACATATCTCGACTGATGCTGAGGATACAGCGCAAGGTATGTGGTCGGCCGGGTGCTTTCACGTAGAGTCTTCAAGAAGATAGAGGCTGAACATGAGCTGCGGGTGCAGTGTTCGGTTGCTGGGAAGGTGTATGGCGCCCGTAAATGTGTAGGGTCGTCGCTTAGGGCTTCTCTAGCTGTAAAGCTGAGAGAGGCACTTCTCTAACAGGCAGAGCTGCGAAAATGGAGGAGCAAGAGGGATGGAGAAAGAGGAGAGAAGAGTGAGAGAGAATAAGGGAAAGGAGAAGTTAGGGGGAATGGATGCAGGATGGAAGTCCTTCTATCTACTTGTGGAGAAGACGGCAGGGCTGTGACATGACATGAGGCCCTGGGGGTCAACAGAAGATACTACATAAATTGCATAGGAAAATGATTATGAAAAAGCTATAAACACAACAGTTCCAATCTGTATCAAGCTGTTCTCACACATTGTCATTCTACGTCCAGTCAAAATCTTGCTTGTCCCTGTAAAGAACGAAGTATTCATGGACACGGCGCGCATGGGGAATCATTTGGTCAACTCCCTCTATACTTACAAGTGACTTGTTCCAGAGTCGCGCAGATCAATCAAGGAATCGATGTGTTCCGATAATATCTGATACACAAAACCTCCAGATTCGGTGGAAGGCAATTTGCGAGGAGACGCCGATCCTTTCTTCTCGGATTATTGCTAACGCCTTTGCAATGAAGAGCAGAAGACTGATACTGATGCTCAAATGTGTCAAGGCCCAAAAGTCTTTCAGAGAGCCATTCGTCTGCCAGATTCTCTTAATAGGCTCTACCTGTACATCGTGGGGAGAGTCCGCCTCGCCAGCGCACCGCTCATTGAGCAGTGAGTCCATTTCTGCTTCGTCCAATTGCAACAGACCACATGTTGCTTTGATGTCGAGATTCAAAATTTCGAGGGTGTTCTATTGACGGAGAAGCGCTTTGAGGTGCAGGCAGGAGAATCGTGGTGGTCCCAGAGGGTGGTGGCTCAAGAAAGAAGTCGTTCAATTCTTCAAGCTGCTGTGGTTGCGACGTAGATGAATGAGAGCGTGGAACAGACAGATATGTTTCGAAACGGCGCAGAAAGAGTCGAAGGGAAAAAAAAGGAACACGGGGCCAGGCGGTGAAAGATGAATTAGATGGAGGATTTGGTCGGCTTTGAGAGCAAGCGAAGGAGTTGAAGTTTGAAGGCGCTGAGTTGACAACTGCCCATCTAACACCCTCCGCCTCCGCCGCAGCCTGAGGCACCCGCCGAGGTACCTGATATCGCCGCCAGCGTTCCTCGTTGAGTCCTCTTCTTCTCTGCCTTATATTTTTCCATTGCTCGCTGATGCTCCGCGTGGTCCACATTATATTCGTCGATGTCATCGCCATAGGCCTTCCGACGGGGAGATTGGGGTTTGGAGCGAGTGAAATGAATGAAACACATGTTTACAGATAAGTCTGGGGAAGCATACACTGCGCCCAAGGCCTCAGGGGGCGACTGAGATGTTCTTTTCCCGTGGACTTGGGGCATCTGTCGATTTAAAGACATCTTGGTGGAGTCTGCTGTGCCCAAAAGCCTGATGATCAGCCTCACGCCCGAGCGGCTGTGCTGTGAACACCTTACTTGATACAGAAGGAGGCATGTCGAGCAATGGACACCCAACGCCCGAAGTTTGATTGGATATAATCGTTGAGAGTTTTGGCACCGCGGAATGAAGGTCAGGACTGAGACAAATAAGGCCATTATCGTAAAACGTGAGCTCGTGATCGTAAGAGACATGAAAAGCTCATGTTGTAGCGTCGGTGAGAGTGGCACGTTATATGTGATATCGTATTGCATCTGTATCTTGTAATGAATAGAATAAATGAAGAGACAATCCAGAGGATGCAGAGAAGGTAGAAGAGGGAAGGGAAGAGGACGTAAGAATGAAGAATAGAGAACTAGAGAATGAACAGATAAACCGCGAGTCGGACTTCCATAACTACTTAGGCTTCCTTCCATATCAGTTCTTCCAGATCCGGACGACAGCTTGATCTACACTACTACTGCTCTTATGCAACTTATGTGTTCTTTTACAAGCAATACTTGATATATACGACGCTTGTGAATATGAAAATCCTTGTCATTGATTGGGGTATCCTAACCTCCTAACGCCTACCCTGCGCCATTTCGAAATTGATAAAAAATACTGAAGCAGATTCCGCGACTGGAGACTCGCGTACGGGGACGCTAAATCTACCATCACTCGTCGTCCTCACCCATGGTTTTCCGGCACTCATCGCAATACCATTTCCCCTGTGGCTCGGTCGTCAAACCGACACACTTCCAGTGAAACCATTCGTAAGGGCACTTGATGTTGTCACACGCCACCATATCGCCATGACTAACAGTTCGGCAAGTGCAATAAACTTCCGTATCCTCAGCGCCCTCCTCCTCTTCCTCACCGTCATCATCATCGTCAACACTATCGTCGTTCTTGTCCGAATCAGACATGTCAGCACTACTAAGCAGGGAGTCATCGTCGTCTTCTCCTCCGTCTCCGGGCGACTTCTTCGAAACCTTGACGCGACCACTAGCGCTGGACGAACGCTTAGAAGACTTCAAGCCGGAAGACGATTTGACCTTCTTCACTTGCTGATGAGGAGCAACCTTCTTGGTGAGGGCCTTCTTGTTACCGCCAATTGCGCGCGGTCCAGCGCTGCCTGCGCGGCTGGAGGCCGGGGTACCCGCCTTGGGAGTGCCGGGGCCAAGAGATCCCTGTCGCAGATTCGATGGAGCAGATGGGAGTGTACCCAGGGAGGGATTCATGCGTCGTCGCTTGTTGTCCACGGCGCCGGCAGAAGACTCGCGCTGACGTTGCTGAAGATGCGCGGCGGTTGTTCCGACGGGAGTAGCTGGAGCTGAGCTGCGGGCGGCAGCCTGTGCCAGTGCAGTTGCGGTAGTCATAGGAGGGGCCGTCGCCTGTCGGAGTTGCTGCGCGGCAGCGAGAATCGGGTTCGTGGTCGCCGTGTTCGTATTAAGAGGTGTAGAGTAGGAAGGAGAGTCGGTCGGCGCGGAGTCGGGGAAGAACACCTTGGGCGGATCGCGATAGGAAACCGGGTTGTCGAGTAAGGAAGGCAGAGGAGGATCGTTGGGCAGAAGGCCGTCGTTCACCAGGTCGCGAATGCGCAGATCGAACCGCTTGATGTGGCGATCGAGTAGGACACAGGCCTTGTCGCTGAGAGCGACCTTCTCCTCCTGCAGTTGCTTGCACTTCTCGAAATTCTCATTGACTTCCTTCTCGTATTGCTTCTCCTTTGGGTTCACGACCAGGCTGCCGTTCAGCTTGATGAATCTCTGGATGCTGGCATCGCGCGAGTTGATAATAGCCCGAGCCTCCTGCATGATCTTGTCCTTCGCTTGAATCTCTTCCATCAAGTGGTTGATCTCCAAAGGCAAGTTCGCCGAGTCATGCACGAACTGCTCCAGGACTGTCGCGCAGTCCTCAGCGCCGTGAGCCATAGTGGCGCGCTTGGGAGGACGCGCCTTCGGCTGTTGCTGGGGCTTTTGCTGGGGTGGCTCCTGGGCCTTGGGCTGTTTATTCTGCCTTTTCTGCTTCCGACTCTTAGTCTTCTTCGGGGCAGATTTCTTCTCAGCCTTGGGCTGGGCCTTGGGCTGTTGCTTCGCAGCCCGGGGCTTTGAGTCGCGACCCGCGGGAGCTCGCTTGCGGGTGCGATGGGGGGGCGAGGGGCAGTAAGAGGGAGATCGGGATTCAAAACCCAAGGGGGAGTAGAGAGTTGCCGCGTCTTCGTCACTGCTGAGTTCGAACGGGGCGTCCTTGGACGGATCAACGTCGGACTCGTCGAATTCGGCTGACGGGATAATTCCTGCGACGGGGTCATTGCCGGTTGCTGATTCATCGCCCTCGGTCACGTGCTTTCCCGCCATCGTTGCTTTGCGATTGGCACGCTGATTTATTAGGGGAGGGTGTCGACCGAGAGTTTGGATGTATTTCAAGAGCAAACAAATTCTTAACTTTAACCATCTTGAATCTGAACCAGTGAATATGGTGGTCGAGTATCAGTGACTTGGAGCTGTGCTGTGAATAGACACCCCGGGAGCACGCTAGTGCCAATCGAGTAACAACAGAGGATCAGCCCTACCAGATTTCAGGTCGAGCGAATGAAACACCACGCTACAGAAGTGTCGCATGGCTACTAGGGTCCATTGAAAACAACGAATTGTTTCGAATTTCAGCTTGAAGCTACTTGCTCGACCTGGCAATAAGCACCAGGGCCAATCAGAGTATGATCGACACTGAGGGTCATGCTTTGGATGAGAAAGGCCCAGGTCGCATAGCTCTCTACTGTTTAAGAAAACATGAAAAATAACCTTGCTGCAGTTTCAATGGCAGGAAAGTAAAACAATTCCCATTTCACCAAAACTATAGCATTGTTCGCCTTACATGCTGCGCCGTCTAATTGTATAGATCGGTGCAAACACTGCAAACTGATATCGGCTTTTCCCCCGCGCTAGCAATCGCTTTCACGCCGTTCAAAGCCGCAAAGTCCGCCTCGTCCGCTTCCTGCTGGGATTGCCCCGTTCTCTTCTATATATTCTCTCCCAGATCCTGCAAAATAACTCCTCTTCTATTATACTCTTTCCAGCGCAACAATCCCCGACCGGAATACCCGGTTAACCAGCAGAATGGGCCAGGAAGCTACCCCTCCGGTCCCGGAGGGCATCTTTTCCCTTCTGGATACCGATCTCTACAAGCTGACAATGCAATGCGCGATCCTGAAGTACTTCCCTGATGTTTGTAAGTCATATTACCCAGCTATGAGGAAATACCAGGCTGACAAGCCGCAGATGTGACCTACGGCTTCACGAATCGCACCCCGCACATGAGATTGCGACGCGCGGCCTATAAATGGCTTCTGAGGCAGATGGACAGTACGTAATATCCCTCATTGATGAGCACTAGCACGGCATAAGCTAACGCATGCTCTTCAGAGCTTCCCAATGTCCGTGTCACCGCCGAAGAACGCGCATTCCTCAGGCGCAAGTGTCCCTACCTTAACGACGACTACATTACCTTCCTCGAGACCTTCCACCTCAAGCCCGCCGAACAAGTCGAGATCAAGTTCACCCCCACGCAAGACACAGGAAGCGACGATGATGAGGGCAATGTGGAATACGTCATCAAGGGACTATGGCTTGACACGATCCTCTACGAGATTCCCCTGTTGGCTTTGACCAGCCAGGCCTACTTCATGTTTAGCGATACCGAGTGGGACTATGAGCAGCAAGAGGAGAAGGCATTCCGGAAGGGATGCACTCTGCTGGAAAACGGCTGTGTGATCTCCGAATTCGGCACTCGCCGCCGTCGCGACTACCACACTCAGGATTTGGTCATGCAAGGACTCTGTCGCGCTGCTGCTGAGGGCAAGAAGCATGACTGGAAGGGCGCTTTAACTGGCACAAGCAATGTGCACTTTGCGATGAAGTACGACACCAACGCTGTGGGTACTGTCGCCCACGAGTGGTATATGACCATTGCGGCCATCACGGACGACTACGAGAATGCCAATGAATTGGCTTTGCAATACTGGCTTGGATGCTTCGGAGAGGGAGTAAGTAGTCGCCCTCTTTACATGACAAGTAACCCACTGACCAGAAAAGGTTCTCGGCATCGCCCTTACCGATACCTTCGGAACACCTGCGTTCCTGAAGGCCTTCCGCAAGCCCATCTCAGCACCTGTCGCCGATCCCACCGCCTCAGCCACCAGCGGCGAGGACCGGACCTTCGCGGATGTCTATACTGGTGTTCGTCAAGACTCCGGTGACCCGACCTACTTCGTCAAGATGGTTCGTGAGTTCTACGACCGCGAAGGAATCACGGACAAGAAAGTCGTCGTCTTCTCCGACTCCCTGGATATCGCACACTGCCTGGAGTACAAGTCCATCGCCGAGGAAGCCGGTTTCAACCCTACTTTCGGCGTGGGAACCTTCTTCACCAGTAAGTCCACCCACGCAGCCTATCCACTACATTTCTAACCATCGTCTAGACGACTACGTGAACAAGTCAACCGGAGAAAAGTCCAAGCCTCTGAACATCGTTATCAAAATCTCCACCGCCAACGGCCGACCAGCCGTCAAGCTTAGCGATAACCTGGGCAAGAATACCGGTGATCAGGAGAAGGTCCAGGAAGTCAAGAAGAAGCTCGGTTACATCGAGCAGGAGTGGAAGGAGGGCGACGAGAGCAATCGTTGGACCAAGAAATGACTGTTCAGGGCGGGCAGCCCATGAGAGCTTCTGGTGTACTTCGGTGGCTTTGTTGATTTGGAAGTTTCGCATCTGATTGAGACGACTTTCACCATGATATCCCATTAATAGAGTTAGAATGTTTTGAGTTTACGACGTCCAAAGTAACTTTGTCGTTCATGCATGCGAAGCTTTCGTCTTGAAGCTTGAAGCTTACCTTAACTCTGAGTGAAATCCAAGAGCGTTTTCAGGCGTGGCACTTGCGAATGAGCAAGGCCATGGGCGCGGCTCCACAGTGCTGTGCAACTGATAGCCAGGTGGCCGTATCTTGTGTAAATATGAGCAGAATGCGGATATGAGAGAACTTGCCACATCCATTCGGTCCGACAATCAGGAGGTAGTCGCCCGGGTTCACGGTGAATGACAACTTACGAACAAAAACGTCGCCGTTTGGTGATATGATCGGAACATTAGTAAACTCGATCGAGTCGCTTTCCATGACCTCGCCGCGACCAGAGAGAAAAGCGGCTTTTTCCTCGGTAGATGCAGATGAGACCAACTTCTCCTACCGTCGGGTGACTTGTTGTTTACCACTACTGATCTGCTCGATACTCTAGACAGGAAATTTGGAAGCTGCGGTCTATATTCAACAAGGAACAATCATGCAAGACTTTTTGAAAATCTAGTCGGCTGCAGCGAGGTAGTCGCTCTCTATCACGGTCATGAGGCCGAAAAGGATACCTTTAACAAGGGCTACTTCACCCTCATCAAGCATGTGAACGCATTTTGCGCCGGAGGCTTTATCATGGTTTCATGGAGGACTTTGTTATAAAGTACTTCTGGGGCGCTCTTGAATTGATTCTCTGCAGTCTACCCGTTTTCTTCAAGATTCCCAGTCAAGTTACACAGACTATGGGAGATCGCACCGAAAGCTTTGTCACAAACCGACGGATGTTGCTTTCCTCGTCGGATGCCTTTGGCCGTCTGATGTTCTTTTACAAGGAGATCTCCGAGCTGGCCGGCTTCACTTCTCGTGTCTCGTTTCTGCTTGAGGTCAGGAGCGACTTGGTCGCTGAACGATTAGAGCTGAAGCTGGTCAGGCTGCAAGACACACCATACTGACTTTATTTGGAAAATCGGTGAGAAGTTGCCAATAGCACATGCAGCCGCCTTCGACTCATTCCAGGGCCAACTGAGTGTCTCCAGGGCACCAGGTCCGATATTCTCCGACAGATTACCGAGTGGGCGTACTTGCCTCTGGGGCTATGCATGTTTTGATTGAATGGAATAGCTGGGCCGGAGAAATCGACAATATCACGGACGATTGCCAGGTCTTTCAGTCGGCATAGATACCAGGCACTGCCCATATTGGGGGCGAGCTTCTTCAAAAGTGGCGAAGATCTAGAAAGGCTAGGAAGATATTTAGCACGCTGGCGGGTCAACTGGCGGATAAGCTCCCTCGGCTAAATTTTAATATCCAGAGAGCCGTTCTGGATGACCTAAACATTGCATCCAAGGGAATCAGTGAGCAGTTCGATAAATTGCTACTTCAGCCCCTCCGGGATTTGCCTGATGGACCTGACCAAACTGCGATTATCGTACCTGATGCATTAGATGAGTGCAAGAGTGAACGAGACATGGATATACGACTCATACTACAAATCTTGCCAAAGCTTCGGACGTCGAAAGCGATATGCCTGTAGATCTTTCTGATCAGCCGGCCTGAGTTTCCGATCCATCTCGGATTCAAACAGCTCTCTGGCCATGACCACAAGGATTTGTTTCTCCACGAAATCCCTGAAGAGGTTATAAAGCGTGACATCTCATTGTTCGTCCATCATCGACTATCACAGATCAGGGAAGAGCGAGGTCCTCCCTCCCTCTGCATTGGCCTGGGGCTTTGGAAATGCAAAAGCTTGTTGTATTATCTGTGCCGCTCTTCATCTTCGCCGCTACAATCTGTCGCATTTTTGAGGTCGCTTATTAAGTCATTTTTCGAAAGCCTTCCCCAAATTCTCGCCCATCAGAAGAATGAGTCCAAGCTTGGCAGCACATACCTTCCTGTACTAGATCGTATTCTACAGGGACAACCCCCAGAGGGAAAGGAGAATGTTGTCCAAGAGTTCCGTCAAGTTGTGGGATCGATCATCTTGCTGAAAAGTCCACTCGCTGTTATCTCGCTCTCCAGGCTGCTGGGACTCCCCGAAAGTACAGTACAGTCTAAACTGAGCTCACTGCATTCTGTGCTCAACGAGATGACCAGCTAGTAGTATCCGCCTCAATGGACAGGAAAGCAGAGGTCTGGGAATCTTTGACAGGGTCCTTATAGCAGACACTTTATATGATTTCGACTACAATTGAATCGTTCTTCGTCACGTCCGATAGACAGTTCTTAGCCTTTTGTTCTGGTGATTAGTCGATTCTTTCATAGACTATGTCCCCTGACTTTAGACTGTGCCTTCGACCGCTCTTGCAAGTGGCCACTATGATCCACATGGTCCTCTCATTGCCCCGACTCTTCCAGTTTCTTTTTTTCATCTCGAGGGTACGTAGTATCAGTAGGCTTTCTTGATGGTAGGGTAGAGAAATTCAACAAAGCATAAAGACTTCTGCATCTGGATTTCGAGGCACACTCAGATCAGACTAGCTCAGTGGTCTTCTCACCTGATAGTCAGCTTCTGGCATCTAGTGGCCAGAGCCCATTTTTTTCAATTTTGAACACAGACACAGGACTTTTGAAGATAACTCTGGACGGCTTTTATGGTCTGATCAATTCCGTGAGCTTTTCACCCGATGGAACTTTGCTAGTGTTCTACTCTTCGCAAGGAATCTTTTTCGGCGATATTGTGAAAGACTGCCTATCTCGTATTGTTGTCAACACGTCATATGGTATGTATTCTGTGGCGTTCTCGCCGGATAGCAGGATGCTGGAATCTGACTCTGATGATGGATCGATACAACTATGGTACACCGCATCCGGGACTAGACAGCAAATTCTCCAGGGTAATCAAGGCATTGCGTTAGCCCTCTCACCAAATGGCAAGATGCTAGCATCTCACTGTCGCTATATGACAATCTGACTTTGGGATGTGAGCCTGGAGGTGACAGACGCATCGTGTCAAACCTTCACGGGTCACTTAGACTTGGTCTATTTGCTTAGCATTTGTCCCAACTACCTCCTCCTAGCATCCGCTTCTCGCGACAAAACATTACGCGTTTGGGATATTGAGAGTGGTGGCTTAAAAGGAGTCTGAACTCTCAAGGATTTCATCATCCATCTCAACTTTTGTGCGGGTTGCTCTTGTATAATCACCAATTTAGGGACTTTCGTTCTGCGGTTCCGGTGTGGTGACCCACTTCTCGATGCTTACTATGCTACTTTCATCGAACCTGCAATCGCCATTCAGGGCGACATGGAGCAGTGGATACACCTGAACGGTGTGAGGGCTTACTGGCTTCCTGATCAGTTCCGACCCACCTGCTCTGCGGTTTGGCGTATTACACGTGCTTTAGATGACGTACCGGGAATGTTTCGTTCATCGACTTTTGATTGTAACTCAATTGAAATTTTTGTTTCACTCCGTCTTTACGACTTCAACATTTTTAATGAATCTCCTGGCATCTAATCTGGTACGTATACCATGATTCATCCCGCTGTGAATTAAGGTAGATCAATCATCCTATCAAGTGTTGCGCATCATGCCACATCATATGCACCCCCAAATGCTAAGCACAAATACATAATACAAAAAAAGCTAGTATAAATCTCCTAGCTGCCGAAAACATATCATCCTCAGTCCGAAAATCCTAAATCCCGATCTAAATCCCCTGTAATACCACTAGCATGACCAGCAGAATCATGTCGTTCACCACCCCCATCATCCTTCAACGCAAAAGAAAAAAGATCCAGCTCTTCACCTTGGACCTGTTGACTCGGTATACTAACTGGATGCGGATCGCCTTGAAACAGATCCTTTTCCAGATCCGGTATTGAAGTTCCACGTAATAATGCCTGTGTCCAGTCCAGCTCGTCTAAGTCTTCATTTGAGGGCGGGAGGTTTCTTTCTGTGTTGATGGAGGGGTCTGTAGCATTGGGGAAGGAGTCGAAGTCGACGTTCAGGAAGCTGAATGGGTTGTCGGCGGATGTGGAGTCGATGTTCTCTGTTATGGCGAAGTGGTCGTCGAAATCATTTGGGAAAGGACGGCGGTCTTGTTGGTGAGGATTGGGTGTTTCATTGCGGGGCGTTACGGAGCTTGTTCTTCGGTGATGGTGGGGATCTTGTTGTGTTGTTGATGGTGCTCTTGGACCAAGTCCTGTGATATCTGCCTGGGGGCTTTCTCGGCGGTAGGGATTCGGCGTGGCGATTGAGTCGGCGGAGCTGGGTTTCCGTGTATTGATGTTTGTTGGGGGCGGTGATGGGTCGTTGAAGTTATACTGCATAATCTGGAAGAAGGTATTGGAGTTGCAGTTTCCGGAACGCATTTTTATTGCCGCTTGAAGGTTTGCAAATTCGACGTTGGCGGCTGGGTAAATGTCCTTCAAGCAATGTAGAACTTGGATGCAGCGGTGAAAGTTGTATATGCTGCTCTCTCGTACCGCTGGATTCTCAGACATGGAGTTGGATAGGTGTGCAACTGCAGCTGGCAGAATGACTGTCACCCCAGACTGAGGCAGGAATCGGGTGAGATTTAGCTGGTTGAGCCCCTGTATGATATGCGTGATACCTGCTGCTGCGTCATGCATTTTCTTGCGAGCAGTTTTCCTCCATTCAACTCTTGTTTTCGACGCGTCTTTCGAGTGTGCTGCCCATGGCCTATGAAGGGCACTAGTGGTAGCGTGGAAAAGCATACGAAGCATAGCACCGTGTAAGAGCAGTACGTCTTCGCCATCGCGGAAGTTGCTCTTTGATGCCGGAATGAACTGCGCATCCTTTGGTAACGCACCCAACCAGGAGTCGAGTTTCTGACTGCAGCGCGTAAATTCAGACTCCGAGGCCTGCCGAGGGATTAATGTGACGGTTGTTCGATCTGTAGCTCCAAATTGACGCTGCGACGGAGCGTACTGTGCAAATAGAACTCTTCCAATGCATTGACACAGTTTGACCTTTTCGATAAACATGGTTGCAAGGCGCTTCTGATGCGAAACGTCTTCAAGCTGACGGCAGCGAAACAGCGCTACTGCCGATGGAGAGAAAGTTTCGAAGTCAAAGTCTTCAGCCCTGAGCATTGGAACATTACTTGTGCCCTCGTTTACTTGCAGTGGCCGACGCATGCCCATAGCAATGAGTCGGTCTCGGGAGTATAGACACCACCAAATTCGGGTGCGCAGCCGTCGAGTCTTCGGGTCAATGTCATTCGCTGAGGATGGGTCCGTGTTCAGGCCGATGGAATGCGCCTGCGTATTGCACACACCGATCCAGTCCCAGATATCGCGTTGCGGACTATTCTCGGGGTCGGACCAGTACGTCATTAAGAGCAGGGTCTGCAAAATGACGATACGGTCTTCTTCGCAGTCGAGTGAATAGAGAAGCTGTAAGACAGGTGTAAATAATAGGAATCTGGAGTTCTCAGACAGTGTTGCTTACTCGTAATCGCGTAAAAAAAGCATTGCGCGCACTCTTCCTGGTTGAATATCCCGCGTCTTGCAGGTGCTTGAGATCGACGAAGGCAGTCCCAACAAACATGACAGCCTGAAACAACAACACGCTAACGTTTCCATTTGGGTCATTCTCAGCCACGCATCGCAAGAACTCCTGCAAGTTCAGAACAGGCATAAAACTATGCACCCATTGGATATAAGACCTGAGCAACTCATTCCGCAATCCCGTCTCCGGAATCGACAGCGCACCCCGAAAACGCAAGAACTCAACATCCTCCGGCGCGATGCATTCGGGCAAGGGCTTCAAAAACCTAGGCTCCTCATCCAAAATCGCAGTGAGCGGATCAAAGTCAGGATCAATCAAGTCTTGAACGGCAGAGACCATATTCGCAAGTGGCAACGAATTTAGCACGGCCGGATTCCCCATCCTGCCCCAGCCGTTGAGCGGCTTCGTCTCGTACAGCCATGGGGCCTGCGGATCGTAGCCCTGCATATGGAGGCGCTTGGTCTCGGATTCAACGCAAGTGTCCGCGAGCTGCAGCTTGCGCTTCAGAGCCAGCGCGTTGCTATTGGGGGACAGAGACATCGCTTCATGCGGGGCTCTGTATGCCTCCTCGGTAGACTGTCAAGTCCCTGGGTTGTTGCCCGGTAATACGGCTGTTGACTTGTGCCGGAGTAGATATCACCTGCGATCGGCATGAGAATCGACAAGGCAAACGCAGAGTTCAAAGGCGGTGTTCGGAACTGGGGGATGTGGGGAATTTGTGGAGGCTTACGTGGATCCTTTGGGGAAATCCCCCCTTATCAAATTCGGGGTATTTCCGCTAAGGCTGAAGAAATCGGTATAGCTATACCCTAGATTCGGCCTTGGTTTCGTGGTGTTGGTGAATTATCTACCAGGATCTGAGATATTACATCAGACTTTGGCTGGCTGGGTGGCTGGGAAGTAGAATACAGCATCCTCATTTCGACTGCAGCGGCCCATATCACAACATTTACGAAAAGTCTAAATGGCCTCGGATGTATCAAAAGGCAAATCAAATCTGCCGAGCCAACTGCCTAGCTCGAACCCTGACAGCAGAGTGTTTCCCCCATGCTGTCAGCGCCAAGACTGCCATGTGTGGCTTAAGCTTAAACGCTTCTGCAAGCATAATCGAGCACATTGAAGCCTCCTATTTCTTTATGGAATATCAGATGGCTAGATTGAGTCATAGACCTGACAACTTGCAGCGCATATACGAACTACGTTCTGATATTTTTTGGCTAGCGGGCAGATGACCGTATTTCAGTTTGGCCATCCAACATCCCGCGTCGGCTATTGCATCAGACTCGAAATCCGACCATGAAAATCATCTCAAAATGCGTTTCCCAAGCTAATATGAGACATCCATGCGCTGTCCTGAGGCACCCAAGATCAGATAATTAGGTGGACCCATCATCGACACTGAGTGGCAAAACAAGGAGATCGCCTGAGCTGCTCGGGCTTCGAAAACTGCCTGTTCAAGCGAACATGCATAGCAGAATGGGCTGCTGAGAAAGAAAAGATCACGCTGCAGAATTAGCTGCCCATATAGGGTGTACCTGCCCAACGCCACTGCTGTTTTATCATAGCCCCGGTACAATCCATCATCCGTCGAGTAGTGAAAAGTCGAGTCAAAATCGAGTGGTTTTGGTATTCATGACAAATCTAACAGGCCCACGCTCGCCGTATGCGACACACGGCCTGTCCAACAAACTATTATACAGGATATCCAGAAGAGCATCGACATCGACCGAGAGATGTCTATGCACGTTTCCCTTGACCGACGCCAATATGCTTCACGGAATCAAAAAGACGATTCAAATCGATTCGTCGCGTATTTGAACGGTTCAAAGAGATATTGTTTTACATACTGCGATGGTGATTAGCTCTAACTCAATGGGCCTCGATTATGGCGGACGCTTCGACGCGACTCACGGAGGAAGGAGGAGCTCGCCGAGGCTGCTGTGGAGGAACGCGACACCGGCCTAGAATATATTGTTAGATAATCACAATTGTAGACGGTTTCGACTTGTCCGATACGTACACCGAAGACCAGGAGGCTGCGGACAATGGTGGTGTTCTCGGGGCTGGTGGCCTCGTCGTAGACGGTGCTAAAGAATCCCTTACTGGGGCGGGAGTTGTTGGAGACGACGACGCGGTTGGGAGCCATTGTTGCGGATGGACTGGAGTGTCTTTCAAGGTGAAGGTGGATGGTCGAGGATGAAGCGGGAGGTCGCTCGTCGAGAAATCTGCGGCAGCCGGGCGCTGCGCAGTGGGTCGCCCGCGCCGCCCGTATTCATTTGCGCGACCGCGCAGCTGCGACGACGGCGACCTTGCCCAGCTTCTGTTTCTGGTGTGGGTGCTGCATTCTGGCTTTTCGACTTGCGCTTTGTCTGAACTGTCTCTCTTCAATCGGAAACAATCTCTCGAAGCAATCTTACCAGGAAGTGGACGAGCTCACATTCGGTTTCCTGCGCGCCGCAGCTATGACGAGTGTCGACGAGCTATTCAAGGTAAGTCGAAAAGTGCCTGTCGCATGCGCATTTACTGATATTCTTTGCAGGCGGGCTCTGGAAGCTCCAAGCGCAAGTTTGAGCCCGTTCAGGATCCTAGTATGTCTTTGCCGGTTTGTCAACGCCTCCGTCGATCCGATGCTGACGATACCCAGACGAGCTCTACAAGGCGGCCAAGCTCGACTCCAATGGCGACGTGAAGTCGAAGGGTAAAGAACCCATGGTGGAGGATGATGTCGAGGATGATGGTGAGGCAGGCCCCGAGCTACCTCCCGATTTTGAGGAAGACGTGCCAGACGATGAAGAAGGCCGTTTCTTTGGGGGAGGAATGGATCAAAAGACTGCTCAGGCTATGGAATACATCGACCAGCAAGAGGAAGAGGAGGCGCCGCAGGAGAAGTTTGATGCTGCCTGGGTACGCCGGTTTGCCTTGAACTTTGAGAAGAAGATCTCCAAGAACGCCGAGCTACGAGCCAAGTTTGAGAATGATGGAAAGAAGTATGTAGCCATGAATACGGGCCTATTTTTAGGTTCATGCTGATATTTCGCAGATACATGTCCTCGGAGGCCGATCTGCATACCGAAATCCAGGGACTCTCTATTCTGTCAGAGCACCCAGAGCTCTACGAGGAATTCGCCAAGATGGGCTGTGTTGGCTCATTGGTGTCGCTGCTGTCGCACGATAATACAGATATTGCGATCGAAGTGATTCAGGTCCTAGGCGAGCTTACGGATGAGGATGTGGACGCGCCGCAAGAGCAATGGGATGCTTTGGTCAACGCGATGGTAGGTTGAAAGATTGCACGGATTTGATTGGCATGCTAACAATCTTCAAGATTGATGCCGATGTTATCGAACTTCTGGCTTCAAACCTCTCTCGTCTTGATGAAAAGGAAGATGCTGACAGGGCTGGTGTTTACTACACTCTCGGTATGTCATAATAAATTTGAGCACAGCGCGATTAGCGATCATCTACTAATCCCTTCAGGTGTCATGGAGAACCTGGCTTCCCAAAGCGCGCTCGCAGAGAAGCTCGGACAAGATACGTCCATTATTTCTTGGATCCTGTCTCGCATCCAGCAGAAAGAATCCCCTGTCTCCCAAAATAAGCAGTACTCAGCAGAGGTCCTAGCGATCCTTCTGCAATCCTCTGCCAAGAATCGAGAACGGCTCATTGGTCTCGATGGTATCGACATCGTCCTCCAGCTACTCAGCCAGTACCGGAGACGGGACCCCGAAAGTGATTCAGATGAAGAAGAATACGTGGAGAACCTCTTCGACTGCTTGATCTGTCTCGTGGATGAAAGCGGCGGAAAGGAAAAGTTCATCGAGGCGGAAGGCATTGAACTTGCACAAATTATGCTCAAGGAAAGCAAGTTCAGTAAGCCTCGAGCTCTGAAAGTTCTCGATCACGCGCTTGGTGGAGTCAGCGGTGGACCAGCATGCGAACGACTGGTTGAGGCAGCTGGCCTCGGGTCAGTCTTTGGTTTGTTCATGAGGAAGGTAAGAATCATCTCAAAGGGGACTCGGACAAAGACTCACAAATTGAAGCAGCAAGAAGGAGGAAATATCGAACACATTCTAGGCATTTTCGCGTCCCTTCTTCGTCTTTTGCCTGGCGGATCAGCACCACGAACTCGTACACTAGCCAAGTTCATGGAGAAAGACTACGGAAAGGTCGAGAAACTGATCAAGTTGCGACGGGAATATGCTGCTCGTATCTCGCCGGTCGAGCAAGCCATCGAGAAGGAGCGCAAGGGATACTCGAGGGAGGATCAAGAGTATATGGCTGCCGAATGGCTCTCCCGCCGGCTCGATGCCGGACTCTTTTCGCTCCAGGTATGTCCCACCATCCGGTCACTACCAGCAGATGCATCCAGGCTAACAAAAATGCTTAGACGATTGATGTCATTTTGGCATGGCTTATTGCTGAGGATGCGGGCGCCCAGAAGAAGATTGAGGCGCTTTTTGCAGATCAGGATGAGAACCTGTCTTTGGTTCGGGGCACTTTGCAGGGTATTTTTTCTCATAATCTCGCTTCCTCGCGTCTCATATGCTAACGCCTTTTCAGAACAACTGGAAGGACTCAGTGAGGAAGAGCCTGCACAGAAAGACTTCAAGGACATGCTGAGCGCTTTACTGCAGTTTGTCTAGGATCGGACTGCTTTAGCACACTTTGTAACATATCTGATGAATCATTTTCACGTCATATCATGATCGTTCAAGCACGCGATGTGTTTACTTAACCTCTTGGTTTGATAGCCGACGTTCATATCATGGTATCTGTTTGTAGCAATAGCATACTTATAACCTTGCAAGGTTATCAGATTCATTTGTAATTTTTTAACTTCAAAATGATACTCCATTAGTGTAGTATATTGGACGAATGTGGTCGTTTTTAAGACCAGTCATCGCTGATTTGATGTTTGCCTTTGATTCTAAGCTGGATTTTTGTCATTTGAATGTCATTGTTACTCTTTTGTAGTGCCGCAAAGCGAAATATATCTTCGTGCCTCTCCAGCCTGACGGATTTTAACCTCAGGTACGTCAAAGGAAATCAAATCCCGCTACAAGCTAAAGGCTACGCATCCCAGAAGCCAGCCAGTTGTGGAATTATTCACTTAATAATTCCACAACAATAAGTTGCGATTTCCCAGTTGGGTTCTACCAAGACAGTCGGGAACAAAGAGATGACATACCACGTGACCGAGCCAGCCAGCGCGAATACCCGCAGATCACGTGACCAACCCGACGAGACTAGCGCAAAGCATCAAGATCCTTGGAGATCATTCACTGCCCTTCGCTGGGACATATTTACACCCTCGCATCCCCCCACCCCGGTCGCATCTCCCATACTTGTCTGTGGCGACTGCTTGGACCCTTTCACCAGTCACTGACAAGCGGGACGGCGTACTGGGTGATTCCTCACAGGCAACTTTCCTCGGCCAACGCGCCTCAGAGGTTTCCTCTCCTACGTTCACCTTTTCCCCGTCTTCTGCGCGATTGCATCAGAAATCTCCGACCACCTCGCCAAGATGGCAGACTACGACGACGCCTACGAAGATGAGTTTTACGACGACGCGGATGAGACCATCACTTCGGAGGACTGCTGGACCGTGATTTCTTCGTTCTTCGATACGAAGGGTCTCGTGTCTCAGCAGCTGGATTCTTTCGATGAGTTCGTTTCCTCTACGATGCAAGAGCTGGTGGAGGAACAAAATGCAGTTTCCCTCGACCAGACGGTCGCTCCGGATGACGATGAAATCGATCCGGTCGTCATGCGACGTTATGAACTCAAGTACGGAACCATCATGCTGTCGCGACCCTCAGTGACCGAAAGTGACGGTGCGACGACGATCATGTTGCCCCAAGAGGCTCGCCTTCGAAACCTTACCTACGCCAGTCCGCTCTATCTGAACGTTACGAAGAAAATCATGGAGGGCCGGGAGAGGATGGTTGGCGATGACGAGCAGGATGATGGCGACGAGGATCGCAAGGATCGTGGCAAATACTTGCACTGGGAGGAGAGGGAGCTTCCTGAGGGACAGCGAAAGGAGGATACAGTGTTCATTGGCAAGATGCCCATCATGCTAAAGTCCAAGTACTGTATCCTGAAGGACTTGAACGAGCCTTCCCTCTACGCCTGGAACGAGTGCCCTTACGACTCTGGCGGTTACTTCATCATCAACGGAAGTGAGAAGGTTCTGATCGCGCAGGAGCGCAGTGCTGGAAACATCGTTCAGGTATTCAAGAAGGGTGCCCCCAGCCCAACACCCTACGTTGCCGAAATCCGAAGCGCCGTCGAGAAGGGTTCGCGACTCCTATCGTCACTCGCTCTCAAGCTGTTCGCCAAGGGCGACAGCGCCAAAGGCGGATTTGGCCCGACTATTCGTTCGACTCTCCCCTACATCAAGGCCGACATTCCTATCGTGGTTGTTTTCCGAGCGCTCGGTGTCGTTTCCGATGAAGATATCCTCAACCACATTTGCTACGACCGCACTGATATCCCCATGCTGGAGATGCTCAAGCCGTGTATTGAGGAAGGTTTCGTCATTCAGGACCGAGAAGTTGCCCTGGACTTCATTGCCAAGCGTGGTTCATCTCAGTCCAACCTGAACCATGAAAAGCGTGTTCGATACGCCCGAGATATTATGCAGAAGGAGTTCCTCCCGCATATCTCGCAGGACGAAGGAAGTGAGACACGCAAGGCCTTCTTCCTGGGTTACATGGTTCACCGCCTGCTCCAATGTGCCCTTGGTCGCCGCGACGTTGACGACCGTGATCACTTTGGAAAGAAGCGTCTTGACCTGGGTGGTCCCCTACTGGCCAACCTCTTCCGTACCCTTTTCACTCGTGTCACTCGGGACCTCGCGCGCTACACTCATCACTGCGTCGATAACAACCGCGAGATCTACCTGAACATCGGCCTCAAGGCGGCTACTTTGACTGGTGGTCTGAAGTATGCTCTTGCCACCGGTAACTGGGGTGAGCAAAAGAAGGCAGCCAGCGCCAAGGCTGGTGTGTCCCAAGTACTGTCTCGATACACCTTCGCGTCCTCGTTGTCTCACCTGCGTCGAACCAACACTCCCATCGGCCGTGATGGTAAAATTGCCAAACCCCGTCAGCTCCACAATACCCACTGGGGTTTGGTCTGCCCTGCCGAAACACCTGAAGGACAGGCTTGCGGTCTCGTCAAGAACTTGGCACTCATGTGCTACATCACTGTTGGTACTCCTGGTGAGCCAATCGTTGACTTTATGATTCAGCGAAACATGGACGTCTTGGAGGAGTTCGAACCTCAGGTTTCGCCGAATGCGACCAAGGTCTTCGTGAATGGTGTCTGGGTTGGCGTTCACCGCGACCCAAATCATCTGGTCAACACCATGCTGTCTTTGCGTCGGCGCAACATGATTTCCCATGAAGTCAGCTTGATTCGGGATATCCGTGAGCGCGAGTTCAAGATCTTCACTGATACCGGACGTGTCTGTCGCCCCCTGTTCGTGGTCGACAATGACTCCAAGAGCGCAAACCCGGGATCTCTGGTCCTCAACAAGGATCATATCCGCAAGCTGGAGGCGGACAAGGAGCTGCCACCAGATATGGACGTCGAAGAGCGCCGAAAGCTTTATTTCGGATGGGAGGGTTTGGTTCGATCCGGCGCTGTTGAATATGTCGACGCAGAGGAGGAAGAATCCCTCATGATTGTGATGACTCCCGAAGACTTGGAGATCCATAAGCAGGCTTCAGCTGGGTATGCGATTCCTGAGGAGGAGAACCCTGACCCGAACAAGCGAGTCCGCTCGACTCTGACCCAGCGCGCCCACACCTGGACACACTGTGAGATCCACCCCAGCATGATTCTGGGTGTTTGTGCCAGTATCATTCCATTCCCGGATCACAACCAGTCACCCCGTAATACCTACCAGTCTGCAATGGGTAAGCAGGCTATGGGAGTTTTCCTCACCAATTTTTCACAACGCATGGAAACTATGGCGAACATTCTTTACTACCCTCAGAAGCCACTCGCCACCACTCGGTCTATGGAGTTCCTACGCTTCCGCGAGCTGCCCGCCGGCCAGAATGCCATTGTCGCCATTGCTACGTACTCTGGTTACAACCAAGAAGATTCCGTTATTATGAACCAGAGCAGTATCGATCGCGGTCTGTTCCGGAGTCTGTTCTACCGTACCTACACCGAGACCGAGAAGAAAGTCGGTTTATCGCTTGTCGAGCGGTTCGAGAAGCCCCTGCGGTCCGAGACCATTAATATGCGCCAAGGAACTTACGATAAGCTCGACGATGACGGTATCATCGCTCCTGGTGTCCGAGTGTCCGGTAATGATGTTATCATCGGAAAGACCGCCCCCCTGGCACCTGACGCGGAAGAACTGGGCCAGCGAACCAAGAACCACATCAAGATTGATGCCTCCAGTACACTGCGATCCACAGAGAATGGTATTGTGGATCAGGTCCTGCTTACCACCACCAACGACGACCTCACGTTCGTCAAGGTCCGCATGCGTACCACCAAGATCCCCCAGATTGGTGATAAGTTCGCCTCCCGTCACGGTCAGAAAGGTACTATTGGTATCACCTACCGACAGGAGGACATGCCCTTCACCCGCGAAGGTGTTGTGCCCGATATTATCATCAATCCCCACGCCATTCCCTCTCGTATGACTATTGCTCACTTGATCGAGTGTCAGCTAAGCAAGGTATCTGCCCTCCGTGGCTTCGAGGGTGATGCCACGCCCTTCACGGACGTGACGGTCGACTCTATCTCCCGTCTGCTCCGGGAGCACGGCTACCAGTCTCGCGGTTTCGAAGTCATGTACAACGGCCACACCGGCCGGAAGCTGGTCGCGCAGGTCTTCCTGGGCCCAACCTACTACCAGCGTCTGCGCCACATGGTCGACGACAAGATCCACGCCCGTGCCCGTGGTCCTACCCAGATCCTGACCCGCCAGCCTGTGGAGGGTCGTGCCCGTGATGGTGGTCTGCGTTTCGGAGAGATGGAACGTGATTGCATGATTGCACACGGTGCAAGTGCTTTCTTGAAGGAGCGTCTCTTCGATGTCTCTGATCCGTTCCGCGTCCACATTTGCGATGACTGCGGCCTGATGACCCCGATTGCGTATGCGCCCCCTTCTCTATCTTATTATGATCAATTGCTAACCATTGTTCGATATATAGCAAGCTTAAGAAGGGTCTTTTCGAGTGCCGCCTGTGCAACAACAAGCACCGCATTTCGCAGGTGCACATTCCTTATGCGGCCAAGCTCTTGTTCCAGGAACTGGCCTCGATGAACATTGCTGCTCGGATGTTTACCAACCGATCTGGAGTCTCCGTTCGTTAGACCCCAGTGCGGGTTGTAAGCTGCGGGTATTGAAGTTGCAGGAGGGGTTTGTATTTACTGAAATTTTAAAAAACATGCTAGGCGTTAGGGGGTGACGATATCACAATTTCATTCATTTTTACATCAGAAGTGTCATACAGCTACGTAGCCTGTTGTTCAAGTAGTATTATCGTGTGCTGCTTTTGAAGGATCCAATTTTCACGTGCGAGCCGCATAAACGTAGTACTCGTGTACAATCGTTTTTATTGTTGGATCTGGCAAGTGCTGAATCCTTGCGGACATGGAAGCTGGAAAGAAGTTACAAATCTGACTCAAATCCGCCACGACAGTGGTAGACAATCCGGTGTATTGGCATGTTAATTTTCAGCTACGTGGGTTCTACTTGCGAAACCTTTAATGGTAAGACATTATCGAGCCATTCGGTTTGTAACAAAATATCATCTTGTCTACAAGCCGCAACTAGAAGTGATGAACAAGATCTGAATTTTCCGTCCAACGGTCCTATCTGCGCCTCGACAAAGCTGTGTAATGTGTTCACTAGATTGATAAATTCTTCATTTGAAACTTCATGCACAGCTACAAGTGCGTGGGTATGGTCAGCGAGATTTTGCGCAATGGCTTCAGTTAACTAGTCTAATTCGGATAGGCGCTGTGCCTTAGTGAGAGAATATGGCAGTTATGAACTGCTGAGGTGACATATCGGATCAGTTCAAGGCCTGCCGCAGCAAGCTGCTTTTTGATGTTTTCGTAACCGTTTTTGAACTCTGTCTGGGTATTTCCTTGCTACGTTGCACGTAGAACACAGTCGAGTTGGGGGGGGGGGGGGGGGGGGGGGGGAATCATGTATTGCGAAGGTCATCCCCGAGGCACATAGCAGGCCGGGGCTGACATAAAGGCTAACTAGGTGTCCTCACATTCCTCTCAGAATTGGAATATTCGATGCCAGCTTCGTTCCGCACTAGCTGTCTACAAAGCAGCCGGCGATGCCAAAAATGCCCCCGTTAGCCAGAAAAAGAAGACCCCTAATAGTAGAGCCGAGCCAGGCGCCGGCGGTAACACCTCCCCATCCTGTCACAGCCCCGGCATCGCTCAAGCTGATGTCCTAACAAAGTGCACCCAGTTGCCGGTACCTGCAAGTCTAACAGCATTTTATGTAATACCAACAATGACGCCTAGTACCCTCCCGTTTTCCACAGGGGATGCTTGACCCAACTGGAAAGGCCTTCAAGAGTGGCACCATGGAGACCGTTGATTACGATGTGTGTGATGTAGGCGAAAAACTCTATCAAAAAGGAGCCTGATGTCAAAGATACCTCCTAATTTCAGCAGTAGTAAGCCCTCCCCGTAATGTTCGCTGAGCCGTGAGGCATAAGAAAGAAGCTCTCAGCACGTTTTCCTCTTTGAAAACTTAATTGTTTTGAGCTTGGCGGTTTTAGGAGTTCCGAGTTTGGCGTAATGATTTTGAATGCCCTTGAGTGGCCACCTAGTCTTGTTGGTCATTGAAAATGCTTCCAAGAATGCTTCAGTGACTTTGTCTTTCGGTAAAAGCGACATGTGTTCCATCGCTTCAGCACTTCGAGAGTAATTTATTGTGAGGGCTTGCGTGTACTCGGATAGTGATAGTTTGAACAAGAAGGTAGGAAAAGCGAAAAAAGCAAATACCCAAACGGACATTCAGAAATAGAATTCAAGTCTGATACGGGCTGGTGACGTTGTTGACATGAGTAGAAGAGGCTCAAAAGGTTCAAGTTGTGTGCACTGTTCATACGCTTGGCCCCACTCTTCCAGTTTTGGATGGCCATTGCGGAATTACATATGAGTTAGCGCCTGAAATCATAAAGCAGCCCCGAACTCCCAGGCCCTTGGGAGATAGGATTTTGAAAGTAGATCCAATAAAAGTCGATCCCCGCATAATATTCGTCTCTGCTGGCTTTCGCCCTATTAGAGGATCTTACTCTGATCCATTTGTTGACTCTTGATGCGATGAGTGGGCGACATGGGTTCCTGTTTTGATTCACTCTCAACTTACAGTACTAAGCCATTACCTCACCTCTTCATCATTGGCATGCATCCCATATCCTTCATTATAATATTTCACCGAAAGAGAGAGTCCCGGGCACCAACACTAGCGGGCACCAACACTAGCTGGCACCAACACTAGCTGGCACCAACATTAGCGGGCACCAACACTAGATGATATCAACTCTCGGAAAGGAGGGTTCGACAAACGAAGAGCGGCTACCTGGAGTGAAGTTGGGTCGTTCAAGAGATAATCGACAGGAATCATAGCGACTTGAGCGGGTCAGGATTAAAGCAGGTAGAATTATCCTACATATGCTAAGTGCTTTGTCAGTCTCGAGTTTGTTGTAATCCCGATATCTGCAAGACTTGCGAAGTCACATTACACAAACATTGAGCCACCACAGCCAATGTACCTGCCATAACGATGATTTGAACAGCCATGATGAATTGATGTGAGCCAACAGTAACGATTCAAACGAAAGCACCATAGAGCCTGACAGGAACCAGTCGAGACTCGAATCACTTTACATCTGGCAAGCCATTGCATACGGGCATTGGATATTTTGTAAATCCTTGTGACTCTGTATGTACGGACTTGTGTGTCCAAGGGCGTCACACGGAATTGATAGCGTTGATTCTCCGGAAAACCTGGACACCACTCGTATCCTGTCAAAGCCAAAGGTAGCATCGGCAGCCATTTTTCTTGTTTATCGAATCCATGCTGCGCATCCCTCCCGCCTGTCAGATCTGCCCTATCCCGCAATTGACCGGAATCGTGCGCCGTTGGGAAGTATTGCGCACTGCGCCAAACAATCCCGGCTTGTAAATGGGGGACTGAGCCGCCTCTGCCAGTGCATGGGGCTCGGTCAGATAAGCGGATGCTGGATGGCGTGTGGTGGATTTCGAGATGCAGGATGCAATGCTGCGCTGCACGACGTGCATGTACTGAATTATGAGGATTCTCGCGAGCCTCGATCATCCCAGCCATTATTCTTGCAGAACCTGATCTCGCGGGATTGATCCAGGAATTGCATCCACACCCTTCGGTATGCAGTGTTGAGTCTGTTGACAATGGGTAGTCAGGTGACGTCGTGGCCTAAGGCCTGTACGATATGGACGATAGCGGCCATCGAACTTTCCTCCTTCAGCGTTTATTGTCTCTCTCCCATCTCTCAACAAAAGACGGCTGCGATTCCACACATTCTCACCTCCAGCCCTGGACACTTCCGGCACCAGGACATTCTAAATTTGGGGGCTGGACAGCCCGCGGTCGCCGATCACTACTTCTGCGGGGACAGCCCACTTTCTCGTCCAAGTGCAGTCGGGAATTTTCTCCGAATGACGAGAGCGTGGACTGTGCGCAGAGTCCAGATGACACGGAATCGATGTCACTTTGACTTCCTCAAGGTTGTCGTACTCGCGACTTATCTGCCCGTGTCGTTCCGATGGAGCTGACACAAGGCGCACGGCGGCACATCTTTGATCGTTGATGTCGCGCGGACAGCCCGAGGTCCCCACGTTGACATAGAATCCGCATACACCCATGGTTCTGCCTGAATAACCTCCAACATGCGTCTGGAAGCCCTGCTCCCAGGTACATGGGTACATTGGTACATTGGTACATGGACAGTCTGCAGGCTCTCCCGAGCGCAGCGCCCTCGTCTGCAGCTCGAGAACCCGAATGGCGAACAAAGCAGGCTGCGGGTGCTGATTCGCGGAGCCCCTCACCCACCGTGGCACGGCGAGCGTCAAATGCACCCAATCGATTGGATGTGACGAGGGGCCCGGCGTGCAGGCAGCTCGTCACTGCGCAACTCCCATTGCAGCGAATCGACATCACCAATTACCCGCCCACGCCCAGCCCGGCCAACATTCGGCGGTGCGGATCCATTTGCTCCCTTAAAACAGCCCATAACCGCCCAGGCGCATTTCTTTCTTTCTTTCTTTCTTCAGCGAGCGTTTGTTTGTGAGAGCTGCCTTATTCGAGTACCGACACTGGTTGTCTGGTTCTTTTTTTCTTTCTATTCTATTCTAATTCCACCTTTCCAAGCCACATTCCCAATCCCCAAAAAACCATACTTTGCACACAGTTAAGCTGCGCTTACTGTGTTGTTGCCCCCCAATTATTCTGCCTCGCCAGTGCACTACTCGAATTATTTCAACTCTACAGTTTGTCTTCGTCGCCGGTCGACGTTCGCCTTGCTGTGCCAGCTCTCTCGACAAATCATCTTTAATCTAATCTCGCTCGGATATATTCTTTATATTCTCGTCGTGGACCGGTTCCCGTCAAAGAGCATCACAACAGAACTCTGGTAGTTTCTGTTATTCTCTCGATCTACGACCAACGATTAACTTGACTTTATTTGCATTACGTCTGATTATCATTCCATCATAATGGCCGCCGTTCAACTCAAGTTCTCCCTGCGCACCTCGTCCAACGTCAAGACCGTTCACCTGGTCGGCTCTTGGGACAACTACTCGCGCCAGCTCCCCCTGTCTGCCGAGGACAAGCCCGGTGCCTGGTTGGGCAAGTTCCGCTTCCAGACCTCCATGCTGCAGCTGGGGGGCCGCTACTGGTACTACTACATCATGGACGGATATCACGTCTCGCACGACCCCGCCGTTGAATACACCGTCGAGCCGACCACCGGCCGCAAGCTCAACATTCTCGACGTTCCCGGTGGCAAGTCCAGCAGCCGTCGCGAGGCCCCGAAGGCCCGCCGTGGATCGACCAGCATCGCCACGGGCCGCTCTCTCTCGCCCTCCAAGATCCACCACCCCAAGCCCTCCAAGCCCTACGCTTCGCGCCAACTCCGCGAGGCCGAGTTCGCTCCTACCGTCGACGACCTCACCCGTCGCTTCGCGGGCTCCCGTCTGTCCGATGAGTACTCTTACTCCAACAGTCCGCCCAGCTCTGCCGGTTCATCGCTGTCGTCCCGCTCGTCGGGCTCGACCTCGCCTTCCTCGCTGTCCTCCATGAGCGATCCCCCTCTGCAATGCCGCTGCGAGCGCTACGGCATTACCCGCAAAGGAGACCGCGTCAAGCTCGACTGTGGTGGCAGCCGCTGCGGCTACCTCAGTGAAACCTCCGAGGCCAGCTGCTCCGAATCCGAGGACAGCGACGAGGAGTACCGCCGTGTACGCAGTGCGGTCCGTCGCCAGGGCATCGTCGTCCGCCGCTAAGTGCGACAAGAAGCGTTAGCTCTGCCTACACTTGCTGGCAGAGCTGGTTCTTTCACTGCCAATTATACGCTGGATCTTGGACGCAGGGATTCCGGTCATCGCGCCCCTTTGCTTTTACGAAAAAAAAAACGCACAAAAAACCCAGAAAAAAATTAACCCATCGCCGTGGGTGAACAGGCTTCACTCCGTGGAAGGGCGGGGATGATAATATACGTGAAGGAGAGCAGAGGATAAGACCCCGATGAACCTATCCGATGCGCCAGACAACACACCGCTGGCCTCCCTCAAGGGAAGCATTTTCCAAAGCTGACTTCAATCTTGCTGGGAGTGCCAGACCCGGTGGAAATGACAATCTTATCTTGCTTTTGCAAGCCATAAGGACAATTCCGCTCTGTGTCCTGTATTCAATCACTCATTATCTATATGGAATATAAAAGGTTGGACATGGCCGTGTGGACGCATTAGAATCAAGAGCATCGGATGTCATGTGTTATTCGTCGCTTGCTTGGGATGTCCAGGTGCTATGATTAATGATAATGACCTGATGTCTTGGTGCATTCTTCCATTGTAACGAGTAGCGAGAAGTAGAGCGTAGTGGTCTCTTGTAGGGTATGATGTGTGAACGATGTTATCAGATCGGCCCCAAGAATGTACGAATTACCATTAAGCCGTGCTTCTGACATTTCTAACTTTAATGGTCATGTTGCTGATGGGGGCCGTGGAATCTGAATGCATCCCCGCCCTCGGCGTATCCTAATTTCAACACCTATCATGCTCGATGGCTCGGTTAGACCTATAGTTGACAAACACTTCTTCCATTTCTCAAATTAGTACCATCCTGCCAACTATCCTTGAAGGGTAGGAAAGATTTCAACTGCTCTGAAAGAACGATGGGGGTATTCAATTTGATGCTGTCTTATGCCGCTTGTGTTTTGGCAGTTAAGCAATATCGTCAGCGAAGAAATATTGCCGGTACCATTCGGCCACTCACCATGAATGCGCATAGCCATTAGAGCGAAACCTGGATTCAAATACATGTAGGACCAAAAACGGAATCCACTCCGAAGAATGGGACAATAGAACTAGAACGTTTTGTCTAACGAAGGCCAATTATCCGAAAAGCATCCGACCACACACCCGAGAACCAAGCCATCCCGACTGCAAAGATCGAAGCCAAAAATACAAAGTTCGTCTACAGCAGCTAGTACAACATTCAGAAAAGAGCAAGTAATCTCTGTATTCTCTACTTGCATTCTATTTCACCCCATGATCAGAATTAATTTATTTGAAGGATCCCACCACGGCGAACACTGCATCCAACGAACAAAGCAATCAACCCACTGCCTCAAAGTAACACCACAACTACAGTGAAAATGACCAAGGCCTCATCATCCAATCCATCGAAGACATCGATGAGGCCGCGTCCTCGAAGCTAGGCCACCCAATCGATCTCACAGCGATAAGCATCCCATCATGCCTAGAACTTATTGTAAAAGATCACCTCAACAAACCTTGATCAACACCAAAAGTGATGTGGTAAGCCAGGTGGAGGAGTCTTCGCAGGTACTGAATTTTGTCGATGCCGCAAGCCTAGCATATGGCCTGAACAATGGCCCTTTCGGTTCCGATGCCCACGGCGAAGAACTCGACTTGGTTCTGCATATCGACTATAACTTCAATTCTCTGGATCTGTGGGTTGTCGATGTTGAGAATTCGGCAAGTAATCTTGAGAATAGATCCTACAGCCAGTGAAATATTGAGTTGAAGGTATCGAAGGTAGAGACGAGGAAGGCGTAGGTCGGATTATCTTCCCCAGTGACATTTTGCGTGTGTGCTAATTCTTGTTTGCACAATAGGAAAATCAGGTCCATGAGTCTATTCAATAGTCTGTCTCAGGAGTATTGACTTCAGACGAGGGCCAATACTTGCAAGCGATTGTCATCACCAGTGGAGATTCCTCCGAGTCAATGGAGCATAAAGGAGGTCGTTTCGCAAACAATTTTTCAAAAATGGCAAGAAATCATCCCAAACGAGCTTGACCCAACCTACACCGCAGCCATTGGCGCCGCACCACCGAGCACAAGAGTTCGCGCAGGATACTGGGCCCTGGAAGGTCTATTTTACTCAACATAACCAATCATTCCATACGATTGAACAATCCACCATCATCCCTGACTACCGCGGCCCCTTCCCAATAACTCCCTCAAGGAAATCAAATCCCTCCCTCTGCAACCACCAAGTCCTCGACCCAACCTGCATCATAGCAGCAAACGTATGTTCCTCTCCGGGAACTTCCGTCATCCCACACAAAACACCCTCCTCCTTCAACCTCTTCAAAAGATCTCGACTAAGATCAATAGGGACCATGGTATCTGCCTGTCCATGCACAATATACGTCGGCGGGAAGTTGCGCCCGACATTGCGAATCGGGTCAACAAGGCCAAACTGCGGATCTGTCGTAATTCCTGTCGGATATATGGCATCGAGGACTGTTCCCTTCGCAATTTGTGTGAAGGCGAATGCGTCGCGCGGCTTCGAGAAATCCGGACCCTTGGAGACGCCTGATTCTGTCTGTCCTTCTAGTGAGACGGATGAATCTGTCGGAATGGGCTTTTGGTCGTAGATCTGGTTGAGGAATTCTTTTGAGAGGTTCGTTGGGAGTTTGGCGTCGACGTGTGGGAGTGGCTTTCTCCACAGTGGACTCGAGAAGTTAACTGCGCCGTACAGAGAGAGGATCGCCTTTGCAGGTTTGGGGACATTGAAGCCCTGCGCATATTAGCTATTTCATCCAACCAGGATAGACGGGACTGACATACCAGACTAAGCGCCAAATGACCCCCCGACGAAGTCCCAAACACAGCAACTTTCTCCAAATCAGCCCGATAAGGTCCCTGATCTCTCAGAAACTCATCAAGGTGCCCTGCATGAGTCCAGGATAGCAGATCCCGGATATCCTGCATGGGACCATCAAGCAGATTCACACCGGGACATAACCTGTGATTCGGAACGAGTACGATCCAGCCGCGATCAAGACAGTCGTTGATTTGCAGGATGGAGACCATTCGCGAATGGCCAAGCATGAATGAGCCACCATGGATGTCGATTACTGCAAGTTATCAGTTTTGATTGCGTTCTGGCAAGAAGTTGGAGGCTCCTACCGACGGGGTATTTCTGCGGCGAGGAGACGTCGGATTGGGGGAGGTAGATGTCTGTCGATATCTTGCTGCCGTCGATCTCTTTGTAGAGTGTTGTTAGGGGGTTATCGGTTGACATGGCGTATGCTGTGTTTCTCACAACCAGGCTGCCGTGGAGGGACAGTTATAGCACCGCGGTCAGTGATGAGCTCGGGAATTCCGGACGGGCGGTCGGCGTGTGACGGAGAAGCCGGGGCAATTGCTGCCGAAGTGCGAATGAAGATGAGATGTAACTCCGGTAGGTATAGAGACCGAGTACTTGTAGTATTTACCAAGAGAGGATAAGTACTTGAGCAAAGAGGGTACTAAGTTGTTGGTGGAATGCCGACCAACCAAACATCAGACACCCCTCCAACTCCCATATACCGGGATGTCTCGGCAAACCGGAATGCATTTTAAATGCAACAATACCAAAATATGACTGGCGAATACCTTATACCATCTAACCACTAGCAGTTCGGCGATGACCGCGCATAACAATGTTCCTAAGCATGGGACTGACAGGTGGCTGAAACATCGGCATCCACCCCACGACGCGTATGCACTGGCAGACATGAGCCGTAATCTACAACGGATACAAGCATTTGAAAGCGCCACAGACCCGGTACAAAAATAACCGGAAGTATCACGCCAGCAGGATCTAAATAGCTCACTATGTGAGCCCCAGCCACTTCAGCCATAACAAGGCGTCCAATCAAATGAACGTCGAGTATGCATCCCTCTGGCGGGACTACACCACCCTAATGCGTTCACGACGTCCGCAGGAAAGCATCAAAGAGCGGGTTGTTGATTGATACAATATGGCAAGATAACGACAGAACACGCTCGCCCATGCAGTACAATGCAATGCCGCAAGCCAGCGCAGCTAAAATCAACACAGCACCTCATCAGAAGCCAGCGAGCAACATACCCCCTACCCGAGGAAGAGCAGTACTCAGCTGACGGCTGAAGAGGCGAAAAATCAAAATCGACAGATATGGCGTACTTTACAGGCCGTCTCGCGGATCCGAATCCAATGCAATCGCAAGCTTTTCCTCCATCGTACACAGTCGCCCCGCGACCTCGTAGCTGTATTCCACCAGGAAACACAACCAGATCTTCGGACGGGATTGAGTCCACAGCACCCGGCTGCTCATTTCTTCCCACAGGGAAAGATAGATGATTCAACCAGCCCATCCGATGATCATATTAAACATTGTCGCGTCGCACATCCCTCGTTATCATGTCTTTCAACCCAGGAGTCGGCGTAGTGAATCCAGCAAGCAACCGTGCAAGCGCAGCTCAACAGTCCAGACTGTTTCCTGCGTGTTCAACTAGTGAACATATCACTGACTACCTCCCCGATCCCTTGGAACTGGAATAACCGGAGTCAGGCCAGCGGCCTACATTGGGCGAAGCAGACGACCCGCGCGCAGAGTGCCTCGAGCAAGCATAGCCGACCAAGACGGTCTTCTCCTGGATGGTGTGGCCGCGTTGGCCATAGCCAGCGCAGGGATCGATCGAGTGTTGGAAATAGATGCATTTGCAGACGGAGAAGCGTTCGACAACTTTGTAGCACATTTTCGCAAATATTGGAGAGTAGATGGCGATGAAAGAATGCGAACGCGAAATTAAAAGACGCAACATGCAGCAAAAGAAAGAGAGGCGTGATGCAAGAATCGAATCAATCGAAAGCTAGCCAAAGAGAAGGAAAGGCAAAACTGTACGCAGGAAGAAAAAGACAGGGCGATGTCGAGAGAAGATCACGACGGTCCATGCGTTATATACACTCTCACCCCGTCGGTCCTACCCATAACCCACAATGCACTAAGCACCGACTGGGTTTAGTTACAGTAGTAAGTGAGCTAGGTTTAGCAACAGCATACGCCCGTGCAGATCGCGACCCATCTTCCTGGGCTCTGGAGGTGCAGTGGAACCACCGGCGAACCAAGGGACCACTCAACGGGGGAAATGCAAGGCATCCAACGGCCAGCCCTACGGTGACCCAGGCAGGACCGGAAAAGACCGACGCAAGCGCCAATCGGTGGATACGAGAGCTGAAGAGTAGCTTAGCCAGAAGGTCTATCCTGTCCATTGTGGTCAGAGGTGGAGCGTGCCCTGTACCCCATGGTGCCCTGGATCCACTACAAGTACTGTAGGAGTGATTCCCGTCTCTGTATCTGCAGAGTGGGGAGTTTGTACAGCACGGATGTGATTTCTTAGAAGGGAAGCTGGATTCCTGCACATACTCGATCGAGAAGTAGGAACGCACTCTCAGGTGGTGGAAAGAGCCTCCAAGACAAATCCGCGACGAAACCTCAAGTGATCTGGCGAAGAGTCATCGTTCATCCCCGAATAGACGCCCCACCTTCCAAGGAAGAACTCTCCCGAGAATCCCGGCGTTCTCCTAAGCGGAGCAGAGCTTCACGTCAGAATCAGGGCATGGTGGTGACTCAGTCGCCCAAGACTCAGTGGATACCCGATTGAGCGCGCGATAGTCAGATAGTCCGAAACGCAGATGAGGCACGGCCTGTGGCTTCGCAGCCAAGCCTCACAGACGGTGAGGGCAGCATTTAGACGGGCGCGGTCGGGGCCTGAATTGGCGGGCAGAGTCGGTGAGAAGGCGAGGCTGAATGCGCGGTGGAGCCGCTGTGCCTCGCCCTAACCTTTGCTATGGCACGCTAGGCCTGAATGGGACTAGCGGAGTAGAAGGCCATGCGCCCGTTTCTGCCTGGTTTGTCGGGCAATCATGACGTCCTTTCCCTATACTTGCACTTTCCCACTACATCCATTGCTCTGCCGAGGTAAGTATGCTCAGCCTGCAGGATGCTGCAGTGTTCATCCAGCAAGTCTCACCGTCTTAATTTTGCGGCTTGCTATACACTTGCCCGCATTTACTGGCCTAAGAGTCGGTGTCTGCGTTCTACGACACGCACTCCACAGGTGGAGAGCATCAGGCATCCGCGTTCAGCTGCTGACGGTCACTGGCTGCAGAGATGGATCCAGATGCCGCACGGAGGTGGGAGCGTCGTAGGGCTGAGACGATCGCCTTGCCTATCCCGCATTAAGGAGGGGTACATACATACTCCTACAAGGAACTGCCATACTACTACCTCTCTAGGATTAGACTGATGACTGCAAGATAGGGGTTCAGCTGGGGTTGGAGAAGCTACTGCAGCAGGTACATATTCTTGTTTCGTCGTACTTCAACTGGGAGTCATATTCCCACATTTGAAGGTATGAGAGGGTGGCTAGACAAGATTGATCGGCTGAGTGTTGCAGATGATGCCGGCTGGGTTACAACCGGGTTTGACGCTGATGCCACTGGCTACGATATAGTAGTATGATGTGGATTGCCTGGAAATGACAAACACCTACAGTAGCGGGCTCCGAACTAGGACTTGGTTTCGGCCGTAGCCTTGAATCGTAGAGGTTTCCCAGAATCGAGATTACGATCAACAGGATATTATGATTTTCGCGATTGCCGCTGATTCTGCTTTGCACCAATCATCAAATCTGTCACAGCAGTATATGACCTACCCCCGACACGTCATTGATCTACACACAGACAATTCCACGGCTGTTTTCACACACTCAGCAATGGATGAAGATTCATTGAGCAGACCATGATATATCGCCTCATCCACGCTAACTAATCATACATAGATCGATCGCAATTACAAACCCGTCCCATACCAGCATATTCAATGCATTTAAATGCCACCAAGAGCACCGAAGCTAAGACCCCTAGCCAAACCAACCCTCAACAAACCAAGCACATCCTTACCAGTGGTATCAGCAGGAAGACCAACCCTCCAATCCCAGCCCCTCTCCTCCGGACCCGGTACCAGCACACCCGACGCACTCGCAGATGTAGGACCAGAAAGGAGATCAGAGCCGAGCATAGAAAAGGTCGACGCCGAAAGATTCGAGACGGATTTCTTGAGCACTGCGCGAGGGGAGGGAGGCGCATTGGTTGAGCTCGAGCTGGAGAGTGTAGAACGGAAACACTCCTCGCACTGCGCAAAGACGCGGGGAGTGACTGTTTCCAGATCCTCGATGGCGGAGAGAATGGCGAATTGTTCGGAAACAGAGAGGATGGGGCTGGGCTGGTTCACGAAGACGAGAGCTTCGCCCAGCAAGGCCAGAAGTCCGTCGACCTGCACGGCCGAGTCGCGGTGCGGGTCATACAGGCCACCGTAGATGTTGTCGGCTGCACTGGAGATGACAGCCGCAAGGGCCTTGGCAGCTGCGCGGCGGCGGGCGAGAGGCTTGAAGCGCGGGCGTTGGCCCTCGGCAAGGTTGAGTGCCTCGTCGCGAATCTCGTAGTAGCGGCGGAGGGTGGCGTAGCCACTGAGGTAAAATTGGAGAATCCGGGCAGCTTCTTCGTCGACGGAGGCGATGGATTCGAGACAGGCCTTCGGGTCTTTGATTAAAGAACGTAGCTCCGGGTCGAGCTCGCTGGTTGTCGGGTATGCGCGTGATTGGACTAGACTGTAGGAGATGAGGAGATCGACGACAGATTTGACCTTACGGCGATTCCGGGCGCGGGAATAGCAGATGAGAGCCAGGCCAAAATTGTCGGATTTGTCGGTTGTCATGTCGCCGTATCGCTAGAGTTTAGTTAGCATCAATGTGCATGTCGTTAGTGGGTAGGATTGTACATACCTCGGAGACCTTGCGGCCTTGTTCTTCCAGTCCAAGATCAGAGCATAACACAACGAGTTTGTCCAGCTGGGTCGTGTTCTCCAGTGGCAGTTTATCGACAACCTCAGAAACAGCCTTCTTCATCATATCGACGTTATCAATACGAGTCAACACTTCCAATGCCATCTCCCAGCCGTCACGGGATCCAGTCTCGTTCTCAATAGAGCCACGCTCGAACAGGCCAAACGCATAGCTGCGGAGAATCTCATCTCTGTCCAAGCGGCGAGAAGGAGGACCGTCGGCCCCATATGAGAGAACCATCAGGTCATCCTCGCTAAGGCCAGGCACCTTCTTCGAGCTAGACTCAAACCAGCCGCCAACACTGGCGACCTCGGTAACAGCCGCAGTCACGCACTGTGACCAGGACTGCAAGAGCTTGAGCACACCATCGACATCTCCCTCGAAGACGGACGCAAGTCCAACCTCCAGACTATTCATTGTGTTCACGCGGAACCCAGCGTTGTCGGATGGTTCATTGGTCGCGCTGCTGAAGGCCAGATCCAGGCGATGGAGGTACGCATCTCGCATGTTACGGTCCACAGCGCGCAGTTGGCCGCGGTTTCCGTGCGAGCGCCGGAAATCACTGTTGGTGCTGGCACGAAGATCCACATCATCGTCTTCGCCGTCCCACCAGGCAGTAAGACCAATTGTGGCCTCCACCCAGTCCTGGGAGTAGGACTTGATGGTGGCAGTGTCACCGAGGATAATCCTGTACAAAGATCGAAGGCTCTGATAGATGGTCCAAGGAACACGGCTCTCAGCCATACGCGCAGACTGCGAGAAACTAATAGGCTTCTGGCCAAAGTTGCCCAGACCACCAAAATTGACAGCCTGGAATCCAGTGTTTTGTGCCACGCCTCCATCATCTCGTTCCTCGCCCTCGGCGAATCCTTCCAGGTCCTCAACAGCAGCCAGAACTCGCTTGCGGTAATGAGACCAGTCGGGCCCGGTAATGTCCCAGTCATCATCTTGGAAGCCGGGGCAAGAGTCTAGGATCTGAAGCGCTTTGTTCACGCAGCGTTGGATATTTTGCAGCTGGACACCCCGATATCCGGGCTGTGGCAGACCGTCCTCCAATGCGGATCGAGCATAGTTGAAGTCGGCAGATCGAAGAATATCCGCTGCCTCGGCGAAGCGGCCGCGAAGAACAGCCGCGTTGATAATGTCCCAGAAATTAGACGAGGCTGCCGGGTTGGGCTCGACGTATCGCAATGCTTGAAGGTCATTATTCTTCGATGCATGGGTCCCGTTCAGCCAGTCAAGCAGAATTTGGGGAATAGGAGTCGCCACGCTTGCACGCTGCAGTGCCTTGACCATGCTGTTAGCGGCATTAGCAGAAGGATTCGAGGCCGAAGCGATGGGCGCTGATCCGCGCGACGGATGGTGGATTTGAAGCAGAAGAGAGGCGAGGAAGCTAGCCTTGACCAGGTTCGGCGCTTGCTCCCCAGGTCCAATGCTGGATCCTACACCGTAAGGTCGGTTGATGCCACTGCGATCCGCACAAGTATCCCAAGTATTGACCAGTCGATTCGAAAGGTAAGCCAAGCAACCGTCAACGTCCACGTATCGATATTCCGACTCGCCGAGTTCATCGTAGAACCGTCTCATACCGTCCTCCGTGTGAATGATCATATCAGCGGGTTCATCGACAGGGGCGACGCGCGATCGCGAAGCGATGTTGTGCAGGATGGAGGGCATGGCGGAGGCCTTTTTCGGGGAGAGTTTGGTCTTGCGGAGGGGTGACTGGTTCGCCCATCGTTCGTCGAGCTTCGGGCGCTTCGCATCGATCGGATTTGTGTAGATAGGTTTGCGCGGCTGCGCCTTGCTGAGACCAGGCGACTGTGGCGGGAGTGGGTTTCCAAAGTTTGAATCCAAGAAGCTGAGGCGGTTCGACGGCTGGCGAGTGCTCATATCCAGGTCGCCTTCCGCGTCTTCCTCTTCGTCATGCTCCTCTTCATCTTCGTACTCTTCTTCGGCATCTTCCCCCGGCTCCATTTGTTCCTCGTCTTCGTATTCTTCGTTGTATTCGCTCATCTGCGAGGACGCGAATCCGTTGGATCCATTCGACTTGCCAAAGTTCATCGACTGACCAAACGCACTGGACTGGAATCCGCCGCCATTCGTCGCGGCGCTGAAGCGAGTCTGTTTAGTAACGGGTGGCTTTGTTTGGGGAATGGCAAAGGACGAGCCGAACGAGGAGCCGAAAATGCTGTCACCCTTCTTGAAACCGCCGGACTTGGTGAAGAGGGAGTTGGTGGAGGTCGCGAAGTCTTGCTCATTAGAATGAGATTCGATTTGGGAGGTATTGAAAATGGCGGAGGTGGGATTGCCTTGCGGCGTGAAGGAGTTCGCCTCGGATGGCGGCAGGCCAGCTGGAGTCGTCGAGAGATTGCTGAAAAAGCTCTGGCCCTTGCTCTTGTCCGGCGTGGACGGCACGCTCGAGTCGTAGGGAACTTGGAACGTCATTGTGGCGGGTGGAGAGGGAAACGAATGCAGGGAGGTTGTGAGTGAATAGGAAGCAGCAACTTTTGGGCCCTAACGCTGAGATGCAGGAGCGGCAGGAGCTGCAGTTGGATCTGCAGAAGAGGCGCAATGCGGTAGGAATCTGGTGAGGGGCTCTGGCGCCACGGGCAGAGGGGTTGAAATGGGGAATTGCAAGTCCAGCCAGGCCCAAGGATTGGGACTAGCGATGTTTGGTGTTTTTTGAGTTGATGCGCTTTCTCACTGACGCGCCGGTCATGTGATCTATATTGTCATGTGACCATCATCAACCAGGAATCCAGGATAGCATCAACATGACAAGTACAGCACACCAAATCAATGCGTTGTTCAAAGTCCATTGTTATTCTAATTCTCGTGTCTCTCATAAGCTGCGTTAATTATCTACTATTTGCTTTCCTGGATCCTTTGAAGAGCAAGGTTGTATTGTTCTTACCCAGCACCCCTTCTAGCGTTAACCACTTACTGCATGTACATAGGACAGCGCGAATGTATCTGAATCTAGCAATCAAAATCGACAACAACCATGAATCATGCAGACGCGGGTACTGAGTCGGACAACGCTGGGTCGCATTTCGCCCGAAATCAGGCATCTAGCTCATATGCCACACCCCACCTTCGCCGCTGAAAATGTGAACCTTTCGCATCGATACCTCGATCTGTCCTAGATGGCCGGGCAAATTGGATCCAAGCCCACAATGAGCAAACCGACATTTTTCCAGGTGTTCGCAAGAGAGAACATCCCAAATTTCCTCCCACTTTGGACACCGACACACACCATCATGACAACACTGCCATCGTAATGACTATTTCCAGCATCATCAAGCGCGCTGCGACTACCGTATTGATTCCCAAATGAGTGAAAACGGCGCATGACCGCCCCTTCCGGCTAGCCCGAAATTGAGTCGCCGGGCACATGGCAAGTTTTGACAGGGTCCACGGCCCCGATTGACACGCAGCTTACCCTATTCGTATAGTAACTGCACGATGATCGCATCGATCGGGGACGCGCAGTTCGGCCCCATTGGTTTCATCGTTCATTTGCAGTGGACCAGAATGGTTGCTGAGTGATTGGCTAATGGGGATAGGGCACCAGCACTGCCAGGCGGTTCAGTGTCATCGGATGGGGGCCATTCCTAATGTGTGGTATGGGGCGATGCTCAGCCCTGAAATATACTTAGCAACATCAACATCAGCAAAGTCATATATATGAGTTTCCCAACTCCATCGAGGGCGATCCAGAATTACCAGCAAAATCAAAATGTATCACTCAAAATCCAGATCAACAAAAACCCTCTCCCCTCTCGACGGCATCAAGTCTACCTCCAGTTCCAAACCCAAACCTAGCCAACCAGTCCACTACAAAATCAACCCCACCTTCTGGAAACGCAACTACGAAATCAGCGGCACACACCCTATCTTCGTCGAGAACTCCACGATGACACCGGGCAAACCCGACCTCACCTTCCACGCCGGGGACAGCCACGGCCCTGTGCTGGGCGTCGCCCGCTACCGGCACTTCTCGTCCGACATTGAGATCGGCCTAAGCGACCACCCGAGCTCGAATCCGGGGCCGAGCATGCGTTGGCAATCCCTGCACCGCGACGGGCTATCCCAATCCCGATATCGATTCACGACCGACATGGGGAACGGCCGACTCGAGAGCTTCACGTGGCGCGCGACCCACCCGATATCTCTCACGAGAGATGGCAGCATGGAGCTCCTGCACGATAGCACGCACACAGTGGCCGCGACCTTTTCGTCCAAGTATAGCATGCGCCATACCGAGCAGAGCCTGAAGGTATATCCGGGGCTGGGCGGGGATATTCCCCTGCTGGCGCTGGTGACGGCGTTGACGCTGTACGAGAAGATGCGGCGACGGAAGGCCGCAACGTCGGCGGCCACGGGCGCAGGTGTGGGTGCGGGTGCGGGTGCGGGTGCGGGTGCTTGAACCTAAGCTTAATCTTCTTCTACAAAAAAGGGAGTCGGGGTCCGCGGGAGGCGAGACTTCGCCAATGCAGACAGATACGAATTACGACCACTAGCGTGTTTTTGCGTGATACCATGGGGCGATGAGCCACGCGATCCATACTTGAAGCTGTACAGTAATTACTAGCAGTGCTCCAATCAGACAGCTTGCGCCCCTCCCAGTCCCTCCTGATGCTCCGCCTAAGCCCAAGGGAGCCGCAGGGAACGAGGGTTAGTCTGCAGGCTGCCCGGTCCTCAAAATGAGCCAAGCGAGGCAGTGCACAGAGACAGCCAACCTGGGAATAAGCGAGACATGTTTCAGATGAGACAAGCCTTTTCACTGTTTGATCGACAGGGTTCGCGGGTTAGTCAGCACATACATTGTAGAACATTTATGGGGCACAATCCTGTTGCCTGAAAGATTCCAATTCTTTCTTCCGATCCACGTCCCCCTGCATTTTCAGATCCCAGCGATTCCTGGTCGTGTCGGATATGGAGTGCGGTGCATGACATGGCGCTTCGACGACCGCACCGTAAATCCAGACATGGCTGTCTCGAGTGTAAACGCCGGCGGGTCAAGGTATGCCCACGCCCACGTGAAAGCGACGAGTATACATCTTGACACCTACTGATCATCCCAAAAGTGCGATGAAGCCCGTCCCGTCTGCTCCAACTGTGCCAAACGCCATGCAGAGTGCGAGTATGGCTCTTCCAGTTCGCTCCTCTGGGCCAATGAAGAAGCCCCGGGGCTGGGAGGACTGGCACAGGCACGCCCGCGTGCATCAGGCTCCGACAGCGTGCAAGGGGATCGCGATCGCGATCCGCTGAGCAGCGGCCTGGGTTCTGCCAGTGCATCAGGGAGTCCGGGGGTTAGTGTGAGCATGAGCGCGGGCGTGAGTGCTGGCACCGACTCCCTCGGACTGCTGGGTCGACTGGGGGATGCGACGTCCACGCCTGTACCGGCGCTGAACCTCCATGATTTAGAACTGATGATGCAGTGGTGTAACGCAACACACCGGACGTTGTCACGCAGCGAACGGACCGATCTGGTCTGGCGGAATTGTATTCCTGAAGAAGCGCTCTCTCATCCGTTTCTCATGCATGGCATTCTGGCCGTCTCGGCGCTGCATCTGGCCAGGACGGATTGCGATCCGTCACGGCGAGCGGCGTATTTGAATCGGGCCGTGGCACATCAGAACCAGGCCCTTGCATTGTTCCGCGAACTTCTGGGCGACGTCAATGAATTAAATGCCAAGGCAATGTTCGCCTTTGCGAGTATCGTCGTCGTCTACACATTCGGATTCCCACATACTCCCGACGCCCAAGATCCATGGACATGCATCGATGATTTATATCAAGTACTAGTCCTCACGCGCGGCATCCAGCAAGTCATCCGATCTCCAGCAGACTATCTCAGCCAAACCAGCTTTGCCCCGATTCTCCACGTAGAAGAATCCTCCGTGCCACTACCGGAAGACGCCGCAGCAAACATCAACCAGCTCCACGAAGCGAACGAAGTCTGCGGTGCGCGCGACACCACACACGAAACAGAGGTCTACACCGCTACTATCGACAACATCTCTGAAATGCTCAGCTGGGTCTACGGCGGGATGACGGCCAGCACGATCGCGGGACGGTGGGCGATCAAACTGCCAGCGCGGTTCATGGAGCTGCTGCGCGAGCACGAGCCGATGGCGCTCGTGATGTTGGCGCATTATGGCGTGCTCTTACAGAGTTTGCGGCATCGCTGGTGCTTCGACGAATGGTGCGTGCGGGTCGCGAGGGCCGTGTGGGCGATCCTGGATGATCAGTGGAGACCGCTGGTGCACTGGGCGATGTGTGCGATATTGGGGGAGACTTACATCGAGCGGGTTATGACGCAGTAAACAGCATTGACTGGCATTGCTGAAAGTACACAGCTACCACTATCTACGCCCGATTCACCAACGGCACCATATCAACAACACCAAGACCGAACCCCCTCGTCATCTTCCGACTCCTCCCAAGCAAAACATTTACCTCACTCGGATGAATAACAGCAAAAATAACCATCATCACCCACATCAGTAATCCATCAAACACATAAATAAACACCTCATTCTTCATCAAAAACCCACCGGTGCCCTGCACATATTCGACGACCCTCACAACAGACCTAATCAGAATCAACACGCTGGACGTGTGTAGCGCAAACATATGTTTACGCCAGGGCAGCGCATCCGCCGCCAACAACGCAGAGGGATTCGAGACGAGTCGGCGCTGGAAAACGAGGGCGGATATAAGGAAGAATCCGAAAAAAATAATCTGCACGAACAAGCCGCCGATAATTACGTTTTGCCCGGTTTTTGCGGATGATCCGTCGCCGCTGGATCCTGAGACCATTAAACCGGCACCTGGGGAATTAGTATTAGCGTTGGCATTGAATATCCGAAGGAAACATGGATATGAAGGGAAAAAGGACATACCAGAAGCCTGCATCAAAAAACTCAAAACATCTCCACCAACGAATATACTCGTTGTCCATTTAATCGGAACCAGAGAGAAACTCTGACCCTTTACTAGGAGTATAATCCGTCCTAGCTCCATGTAGATACTAGCTGCGAATAGTGCTGGCGCGATGAGTAGTAATGTGCTCTGGATGATATAAGGGCCCGTCGTCCAATTAGGCGATTGTTTAGCAGACATGGCGCGGCCGATGTATCCGACTGTTTCGACTGTTGCAGACGTTAGTAAAAGAACTGGAGGAGATTTCATTGCTTGACATACAGTATCCACCTATCACCATCGGAATGAAGAACCATGTTCGTGTTCGAAAGAGGTGGAAGGTATGCAATATGGTTATGGTGAGGAAGAGGAGGATGAAGAGGACCGCGGCGCCGAGGGAGGGGTAGTATTCGTAGGCTTTCCAGCCGGTGATGGAGGAATTGGACATGTTGCTGAAAGACTCTTGCTCGAGTCGAGGCGAGACCGGTGTTGAAGGAATGGTATTTGGCATTGAGGACACGATTAATTTTTAAATCCCACACCTCTACCCAATCTTCCATCTTCCACTGGCTAGTAAGTCAGGGGTATTTCGTATTCTTATTTGATTTTCATCTATCCGCACAATCCCATCCAAAATCCCTATATTCGTCGAATATCCGGATATACATAGTCGCGACCAGTGGCAGATATTCGTATATATCGTACCCATTACCGAATATCGGTTAGCGTGGGTGACCAGGCAGACAAGTTTCGGCTGTCTTTCTCTTTCGTGTTTATGGCCTTGTTGGGAATAGTGTGAAGATTCTGCGTTCTTAATCTATTTTTGCTTTTGCACCTTGTTCCTGACAAGTGTTTTTAAGTAATATGCTTGTCTTGGGTTACCTCTTGGCTGTTGGATGTGGCAGCCTAGGCCGGTCTTTGCAGAGTATGCAGCTGCTGGCCGTTTCAGCGCTATTTCAAGACTGAAACTTTTTTTTGGGATATTATTGCCGACTGTTATTGATCTGTGCGAGTATACTGATTGGTGTGCGATCGGAGTATATGCCTCAGGCACTGCAGGTGCCTGTCAGATCAAACTAGTATTTTTCCAGCAGGCAACAAGGCTTGATAATCTGAATCCAATCATTTTGGAAATTGACAGGGGGCTTATTCAATGTGCAATATACGATGCTGAGATATGTCGAAACGTGCTTGGAGTGTTCAGTGGTGGTTAAGGTGGTTTGTTGCGAAGTGGATTTCGAGTTCGTCGGCATTTACGATTCGTTCTTCGTCTCCGAAGATGCCTGCGCTGAACTTTGGTCCAGTTTAGGACTTTGGCTGTCGCGGAGCGGACGGATTGTGGGGTTGAGAGGTCTACTTGCAGACCTCGGTAGGTTACGTTGGGACGCTCTGTTTTTAGAGCGTTGATGGATTCGTCCCTTTTGGCTGGGCTGCGGCTGGTGATTAACAAAGTGGCTGGTGATTGTGAGGCCTATTTGATTTAGAAGAGTTGCCTATTCTTTCTTTCGTCGGAGGACTCACGAAGGCTTGCGTGGCCAAAAACCCGAGTCCGCCCCGATTGACGCCGGTGATAAGAATCGTCTTTCCACGGATACCATCAACACAGGACTTGGCGACCTCGATAGCCTCCGTGTCGGCGTTGAACTTGGTGTACGTGGTAGTAGCTATCTTGAACTAGGATAACCGTGCAGTGTGAAGCAGTAGAATTTTGAGAATTCTGGGAGAGAATGGTGAAAGATTAACCCACTGAACTGAGAAACGGGCCGGCGACGACTCTCACCTCCCCGTGGTGCCGGCTGGGAACCTGTGAATGCCTTGCCTGGATGGTATTTGCAGAGCTAAGAAGAGTCACCACCGGCCAGCACTGTCCGCTGGCTAGGGCTACGGCTGGAGCGAGAGCTCAGGGGTCAGGGGTCAGAGGTCCTGGCCCCACGCACAGGCGACAAGGGAACACTTTGAAAACCACCCGACACACGACTGCGAAACTGATCCTACAATCAGTGGACACTAGGGTCGTGGGATAGGACACCCTTGGGGTGCTTTCGGGCTGCTCTGTTGAAAGGAGGATATCGCTGGGTCCGATGATACAGAAACGACAGAGTCAAAATCAAAAAGACGAACGACACGGCACGATCCAGCATGCTTGAACCCACACAGAGAACGACGAGGTACTTTGGTTAGTAGGAGGGACAACGATGTGTTGCTTGGCTGTTCTGGGTACAGAGAGGATACAACCGGGCAAACTCCTGCGAGACACGGTCGGCCTTGTCGGAGAGATCTTACAAGGTAGCGCGAAACGGATTTGACAATCTGCGGGGCGCAGCATATAATGGAAGCGACGGAAGACTGGGTGGGCGGACTGCAGATACGACACTTTCTATATGGCTCGAGAGGACGGACGCGCGTGTCGGTCTACTGAGAGAATAGGATTTTGAAGATGGCTATCGAGGATGGAGTCTTAAGACCGCTATGGAAGTAGGCTTAAGGTGCAAACTGGTATTGACTTGCGGAACCGGCTGTGCCCCGCGAAGGATGCGGATAAGGATCGAAGGGGATGCAAGGTAGAGGGTCTATGTAGGTAGACGTGCTGCCACCTCTACAATGTATTATCAAGCGTCCTAGTAATACAAATCAATACTTGAAAGCGGCGGCTCTGACACTAAGAATCCTCGACAACAGTCAGGCCAGGAATTCGTCTGCCAACTGTACAAGTTGATGAGAAAACTACGGAGAAATGGAAACCAGATCAATATCCGGTGGATCTCCACGAGCGAAGACAATAAACTGCGGGGTCTGGCTAAAGAACAGGCCAGAGCCGCGACACAAGAAGATGCTCTCCCGCAAGAACGCGTCCCGAGAATGAAGTCAACAACACTGAATATCGCACGGTCCCAAGCAGTTCCCAGCAATGACCTGCCAGTGGACATAGGGAGACACGCAAAACGAGTTGATGCAGCACTCCCAGGCAAACACACCCGGCAGCTGTATGACCGATTATCGTGGAAAGAAGCGAGCGTGCTGGCTCAACTCCGAACCGGCATGGCAAGACTCAATGGATATCTTTATCGAATCAAAGTAGCAGACACGGACCAGTGTGCGTGTGGACAAGCGAGAGAGAACGTGGAGCACTTCCTCTTTCGATGTCAAAAGTGGACGGCGCACCGGACGGAACTACTACAATGTACCAACACTCACCGAGGAAATATATCCTTCTTCCTAGGTGGAAAGTCGCCTTCCGATGATCAGAAGTGGACGCCGAACTTAGAGGCGGTACGGGCCTCAATACGATTCGCCATCGCCACGGGCCGACTCGAGGCCACCTAACCATGCCGACGAACGTAAATCACCACCCTTTCGCCGATCTAACTCACCAACCACCTCGTGCTACAGATGGTAGACGCGCTTCAACTGCCGAAGATAGGATGTTGAACACTTGGAGAAGCGCCTTCAAGCCAGCCTACTAACAAAATTACTAACCCACGAGGATCCGCTGCGACACTGCTTGTTGGAAATGACATATATGGCAAGGTTTTATGTATGGGCTCTAAAGAGACACAGTACTGTATATATTATGACATGTATAGTAGATCAGCGATAGTTGCCCTTTCGGCTTAGCCGCCGGGCGTTAATAAATTGTGTGTGTGAACTGAGAAACGACACCTCTTTATATTCCTTCTCTCGCAACGATTTCCAAGTAAAAAAAATCTATCCAGCACTTCCCGCAAACCAATGAGAGATCCGTTGCTGAAAGTGGTTAGGACGAGGCTGATGAGATGCATGAACTATCACTACCACATTGGGAGGGTATCCACTGAACCCGGCACAAGCCAATGGGAGATGTACAATCCCATTTTGGGTAAGCGGAGATACGGATTTCCACATGGAGAATGGCGCCACGTTAGTTTTTGCTCTAGGGATACGAGGGATATACTCCGCCATGCGGGGGCTGTGCACGGTTCGGCATGATGGAAGAGGCTTGGTGATCTGCAGATAAAACAGGCATGCTTCCTCGATGTAGATGCCTACTGATACAATTGCTTGCATTTCTCGATCTTTGATTATTGGATGCTTGTCACGAATTAGCAACCACTGCGACGATACATCATACAGCTTTGATCACTCAATTCAATATGTCCCGGGAAGATATCAAAGCCTCCCCAAACGACACTTGGTCCCTTGCGAGCAGTTCAACAAAAATAACCTCTACGAGTGAAGCCTCAACCATCGTGCCAGAACACAAGCACCCAAAGCACTCAACACTGGTCTTCACCCGCCTCGGACCGCTCCGCGTAAACATGCGCATATTCCCCGAAAACGCCAAAAACGAAGGGCTATACTTCATCCACATCAGCGGAACAATGAGCAACGACACAGAAATTACCCTGCACTCTGGGGCCTCGAAGCACGGCACGATCCTCGGTTCCTGCATCTTCAACAAATTCCGCCCGTCAAAGATAACTCTCAAGTCACGCACCGGGTCCAAATCAACCATGTTCTTAGTTGCGCAGAGCGGATGCTACCAATGGGCAATGCCACGAACCCTCGAAGCAAGCGACGACAGCATGAAAATCGGCGAACGAAGTTTCATCTGGCGCAGGGCGGCGGAACTAGATCGGAATCCAAAGAAAGCAGACGCGTTGAATCTGGAGCTTTGTAGCTCTAACCCGTTTGAGGTACATGCGGTCTATGCGGGCGCGTTGCCTGGTTCTGGGAAAGGGGGTGTATTGGAATTGAAGGATGATCTGGGAGAGGACTTTCGGGATATGCTTGTGTTGACATTGTCGTCGTTGGTGGAAAAGGCGAGGCAGAGGAGGGATCGGTCGGGGGATAATACGGCGAGGATTATGGCGTTCGCGTAGCGCTGCAGACCGGGAGACTAAGACTTCAAGGCGGTATCAAATGGTCAAGGGAAGCTGGTAGGTCGCTTTGATATTGAATCGAAGAAGTTAAGGTCTTGAAGAGAATTTTGGTAGCGAAGGAAATGACGAGCAAGTAACTAAAAATAAATTGGCCTCTGCTGGGTTTGATCCCTCGATCTCGTCGTCGCCAACCTCACTGTCGCCGCATTTCTAACCAATCATTTCGCTCGATTCCGCCAAGGAACGTGGAATTATCATTCTGCGGGCGTGGCAGTATTTTTCCAGGCTCGAAGTAGACCTCACCACGACCCTGATATTGGGTCCCTCCTACCGACTCGCGACCCGGACCTGGACGATTCCGGTTCCGAGCCTTACGACCCGGATCGACCCTCAGGGTCATAAAATCTCGTCAAGGTCACCCTGACTACGACCCTGACTACCCTGAATTGCATAATTCTTTTACGTCTTTCCTGATTAGGATGAATAAATTCGCTGACATATCATTATATATTACTGTTTCTTATACATGTTCTGTATGTATATGATTCCATCAATTTTCATCCACCCCCTATGTAATTCTTTGAATTAAGTCTTTTGAATACGTCTTCTGGCTTGGTAATACTAAACTTGCCCTCTTTTCTATCTAAGAGGTATTGTTATGGTGTGTTTTATAGAAAGTTGGTGAAATTGGTGTGTAAGGATGCGGAAATATATTTCGAATGTATGCGATAGTTGCACTACATTCCGCAGAACTTAAACACTATCCTAACTCCTGCGGTGATGGTCTTGAAAACCTAGTCAGTGAGCTAGGAAGGACCGTGGCTATCGCAATGAAGGGGAAATCCTATGGGAATCCTATCCTATGCTATAATATTCGAGTGGGATTCGGGATAGGAAATTCCCTCCCACGGTCAGTCTGACTACCCTGAAGGTCACCCTGACTGTTGATTTATAAGTGATGCTTCAGTGTTCATGTTGTTGAGGGGAGTTGATTGTGTCAGATACAAGTAGACTGGTGAACAGGTATATAGGCATGCACGTGATCCCAGCCCCCATGATTATCCCAGTAACCGGGATATTTCAACACTGACTACCCTGAGGGTCACCCAATTAGCTTGAGGATTTGAATAAAAAGCGGGGTTTAGATGTGATCTATCAAGCAAACAATCAGATAATGCAGAATCAGCATGTACATCTACCCATAAGTCCTTTCGCTTAACACCAAAGAAAATCTCAGTAAGTCCTTCCTTCTTATACACAGCTTCATCATGTCTCAGTCATCTGATATATTCCTCTCCTCTATACATGATGCGCCACCTTCGGATTTCCTTGAATACGTTGCTAATTCTACACCAGTTCAGCTTTTCTCCCCCATCCCCTCCGGAAGCCAACAGACCGTCTACGAGCCTCTGAAAGCCCCCGAATGCCTTAAACGCGTTTGCCCGGACCGGATCAGAACATACATTCTATATTCTCCAGAAATGAGTGATGAATTTGTGACTTGGTGGCTTCAGACCGACTTTGTGAGGAAGAAACGGATGACTTGGGATGGGAAACGCGCAAAGTGCTGGGAATACTTTGACCAGGTCGCCATAGACAGAAATGGGAAACCAGGAGTTATGTGCCAGTAATGTCAGAAGGTTCTTGATCACCCTCGTTGGGCTCATAGCGGAACAACTTCAATGAACAAGCACTATAATGGGGTGACTTGTCGGAAAGCTGCCCTAGCCAAAAGGCAGAAGCCAAATATCAAGCTGGCATTAGAGCATGCTGTATGTTCAGCACCCTATTATCGGCTTTATTTTACTAACTTACTTCTACGCCTAGGCTCAGAATACACCCGTACGAACATTTGATGCTCGTAATTGGCAACAGAAGCTTGCGAAGCTTCTTACTGTGTCACATCTTCCGTTCCTTTTCCTTGAACACTCTGAGTTCCGTGATCTTATCTCTTAGGCCCGGCTTGCACCATCAATGCCAGATGTCATCCGCTAAAACTATGCGCCGGCAGCTTCGAGAGCTAGTCCGTGAGAACCAAAAGATTATCCTTCAGACACGCCCTTCTGGTGCTAAGCTATCACTTGCCTTTGATTGCTGGATATCTCCATTTAAACAGGCATTTATGGCTATCACTGGGTACTTCATTGACAAAGACTGGGAGTACCGTGAGATATTACTTGGATTTCAGTCCTTACATGGAGCTCATTCTGGTGCAAATCTGAGTGAGGTGGTTTTCGACTTGCTACAACAGCATCAGATCACGAATCGAGTGCTTTCGGTGACTACCGACAACGCTTCAAACAACAAAACTCTTATGGAGAGTGTCAACGAGGCGATTGAAGGTCTACAATCCTCGAGCGACGTCGCTATCATTCGGGTACCATGTATTGCACATGTGATCCAGATTAGCCTAAAAAGTCTTCTTGGGAAGATGAAAGCTATTCCAAAGAATGATGGGGCTGAGCAAACATAGTCTGATAATCGGGTAGAAGCTCTGCGGGCGACGCAGCAGGAAAGAGGGATTGTTCACACTCTAAGCAAGGTAAGACGTCTTAACTTAATTCCGATTCATAACCTAATTTGTTCCTTAAGTCCGAAACCTTGCGATTTATATTAATGCAAGTCATCAGCGCCAGGAGTCATTCTACAACCTGCAGGCAAGAGAGAAAAAGCTAGTTCCAATCCAGGACTTTACTACTCGATGGAACTCTACATTCTTAATGCTCGCACGCGCGAAGAAGCTCCAGCAGGCCTTCGATGCTTTCTGCTCCCAGTATGACCAAGGCCACTTTTCCTTAAGCCAGGAGCAGTGGCGGCAGGTTGATTATCTCCTTTGTATTCTTGAGCCTTTTCACCGATTCACAACGCTTTTGTGCAAAACAAAGAATGTCACTATCCATCGGGTTTTCAAGGTCTACAACAAGCTATTTGATCATCTTGAAAAGTCGATTAACCAGCTTCGACGGAAGAAGGTTGCTTGGAAGCAGGTGATGCTTATATCCCTCGAAGCAGCAAAACTCAAGCTCTCAGCCTACTACAGAGACACCGACAAGATTGACAGTCATCTCTACGCAGTTGGCACAATCCTTTCTCCACAGGATAAACTCAAGTTCTTCTCGACTCCCGACTGGGATCCAGACCCAGGATCTGGGGTCGACTACCGAGCAGCCTATCGCCAGAGCCTTGAGTCCTTCCTCGAGACGTACTCTGAGAGTTTTGCCGAGGACCATCAAAGGTTAGGTGGTCCGACTATAAGTTCGATACCGGATGAATTTGATTTAGCTTGTGCTCTAGATGAGTCGCAGCAGTCTCAAATTTCACAGCCAGCACAGTCAGATGAGCTTACAAGGTATCTTGATAGCAGTAAGTATCCCTTGATCTCTATTTGAGCAATTACTGACTTGTCCTTTAGATATAGTCACAAATGCCCAGCCTCTGACCTGGTGGAGAGATCATCAAGATAAGTTCCCTACGATGGCAAGGCTTGCTCGCGATGTGCTCTCTATCCCAGCTAGTGGTGCAGGAGTAGAGCGGCTTTTTAACTCTGCACGAGATATCTGTCATTATCGTCGAGGCTCTCTTCAACCTCAAACAATCTCAGATCTTATGCTGTATATGTGTACATCACGGTTTGAGATTCATGAAGAGGAGCGAATAATGCTTTCTGAATATCTTTCGGCTCAGGAGATACAGGCTGCAAAGGAAGAGAGAATACGGCAGCAACTCTCTGTTGATCCAATTAGCGACAATGAAGAGGATGAAGCGTCTACGACACAGCCCCGAGCCAGGTCCCAGCCCAGGGCTATCTCGCAGACCCTACCAACCTCGCAGGCTGCGCAGGGTCCGTCCGCAAAAGCACTCGGCAAAAGACGTATAAGTAATATAGCCGACTATGTGTGAGGTGATGAGGAGGAAGACGATGGTCAAGAGTCGGAAGCAATGCCTCTGCCAGAGATACAGCACCGAGTGTCAGGCAGAGTCCGTAAGCGCTGAAGGTTGCTAGATGGGTATGAAACGTCTAATATGTAATTCGAGATTCGGGCATTCTTTTCGGTTGATTCATTAGTTTGATTTGTTTTGGTTTAATTCATTCTACATTGCCAAATTAAGAAACTACTCCTCTAAGTACTGTAAGTGAGATACTCAAAAATACAGACAAAATCTACATAACTTATGCTCCGCGTGACTTTCCAATGTTTGCCTTGTTTGACGACCCTGAGGGTAGGTTCGCGACTTTTATGGCCCTAGCCTTATCCCATTCAGGGTCTAACCTTACGACCCTAAAACCTGCGTGGTCCGGGTCGCGGTCCGGGTCGTCAGGGTCACGCTCGGGTCGTGGCGAGGTCTAGGTGGGACAAAGCCGAGCCAGTGGCGGAAAAACAGACGATGGATTAAAAAACAGCCATGTTCAAAGCAGCTGTAGATTAAGCAAAGTCCAGCACACGCCCAACAACCTTGCAAAGTTCAGCTCCACAGCAAAATCTTTAGCAGCGTCGAAAATGAAGACTTCGATACGACCGAAGGCATATGAAGATTCATCAACTGGGAGACGGCCATTTCCGCTGAACGAACACCGTAGCTCACGTCCACACTGGTGTAATGCGGGAGCTCAACAAATTGCCCTACTAGTCCAATATTGGAGGTATTTTGCGGAATAACTTGGGGGCGATCGTCCGGGGAGCGACCGACTAAAAGGGAACTCATTCGTGGCATAACACGGGGGACGAGCACAGTGTGTCGAGCAAGCAGCTCAGACGGGAAGTTGACATGATGGAGGAGCTCAGACATAATTTCTGCACCTGAACAGTGGAGCATTGACTTCTTCACGTAGTCCCCTTTACTCTCAGGGAAGAGAGCGAAGCCCCAAAGAATGCGCACATTGGGAGGTTGGTGTCGAAAGACTTCTTGTGTGGGAATGCATAAATTAAGCCTCCACCGGCTTTCTCGTAAAATGACGTATATTCCAGCAGCGGACGAGAAACGCGACAGGGAACTAAGGTGTTTGAAAAAGGCGAGATCCTCGGTAGTGATTGTAAAGGATTCCAGTATTGACTGGGACTGATGGGTACAGAAATTATACGGATTGCCAAATTTGCTATGTCTGGATCTAAGCTCCAGCCATAGGGACCAGTTCTCGTCTAGCTGCTCGGCCGGTTCGATCGATTGCAAATCAGGCGGATATTTGTGCGTTCCAGTCGTGCAGCCTGAAACGGTAGATCCTAGAGTAGCGATGACAATGTCATGCGGACCGATGTCCTGGTGCATTTCGAATCCGTGTTGAATCAGATGCAGGCGCGAAACGGTGTGATGGTCATTATCGGGAGTTGTCTCGATGTCCCTGACCTTAATGTCGAAGCGGAAGTCCACATCAAGGCTCCGGAGATAAAAGTAGATTGGAAGATATATAGACTCATGTTGGTAGTACCCTGTAATATCGAGGCAGCTCAATATGGCTAGGCTGTGGAATTCGCATAGGTACTCTCGGAGAGCACGCGTTAATTCAATTGCACTGTGCGATGGTTGAAAACCAAATCTTTTCATAATTTCTCCGTTAGACAAGTTGGCATGAAAATTGTAGAATACAACATGGCGTTGTAACTTACTGGGCAGACCAGATAGCCCAAAAGGTGCTCTGGAAAAAGCTGCTCGGCAAAAAGTCCTTTATCTGGCCCCTCCCTAGACGTCGTTCTCCCTTGAGTACAAGTCTTACTAGAGCCAGTCGATGTTTAATGCTCAAGTTCAACGAATGCGTGGGAATATTCTGAAAAGTATGATCCTTTTGGACTAGGAAGGATGTGCCGCAGTTTTTGGTTGCGGACTTTCGGGTTACCTCTGCAGACTGTATTTCATCGAGTACGCTCCGCCCCCGGACCCTAACTGATGGGATAGAATCAAGGAGCTCTTTCAATGGAGCGCCGATTGGAACAGGCAAACAACCCGCAAACTGATCGTATCCGCTAGAAGGATTTCCCACTTGATGGAGAATTTGTCCCACCGAGCCATGAGAATCCAATATATGCACATTGTTCGCGGGAACCTTACCATTCTTGATAAGGTAAAGCGCCGACGCGAGGGATGAAGTCCCGCTCCCGAGAATCCAAGCCTCGGTCTCTTCGGGCGATCGCTTGTTTTCAGCTGTGTATGCTGTCTGCTCCATTGGTTAAATATACGCTAGGTCGTGATCGTAAACCGGCGGTCACAAATATGGATGTAGTATAACTTATGATAACCTCCGCGGCTAATAGTCCGACTGTGATGAGGTTATCCAAACCTTATATATGGGGCAATCTCCACCTTTCTAATACGTCATGACTTATGACCACGTGTCTCTATAGCCGCAAAGTAGGGCCCTATCTAAGTCCAGGGCTGGACGGATGGTATGATGAAGAGGCCGAACAAGATAATATCAACGACGTCATAATCCGCCTCATTGAGGAGAATAGCTTGTAGATTCGGGCATTATTGGTGACGGTATTATTAAGATGTTTAATCAAGTTTACGTTTACCATATTAAGCCCTAGAGCTACCACCACGGTCAGACACGACGTTACCTACAGGCATAGCTTCTCGAGGACTAGTAATTCCTGGATGAGAACAAGGTAGACCTCGGAGACGGATATCTCGAGTGTTTTTAATGTGGGGTGCCTCCAGTAGAGAGAAAGTAACAACTGACCAATCATAATCATGATGAGAAAAGTTAAATATCATTCGTTGGCTGCTACTCCATTCTCCACCTTGGAGTAGCAATGTGCTCTGAGCGGCCTATCCTCGCGGTGAGGAGTAGTTTAACCACCGCCTCATGTCCATTCTCTGCTGCCAAGGATAGCGGAGACCGTTCATACCTCCGCAGTCTGAGCTGATACCCTCCGAGGCCAGCTGTAGTTTTGACCTCTTTTCATGTCCGTTCACTGCCGCTAGCGTCCAAATGGGGGTTGAACGTAAGCTCCTCCTCGCGATTTTTGCTGTCGCCTTTTGCCCACGATTTACAGCTCATAACAACGTCGAGAAGGCTACAGCTTAAGATCACTCTACGTTCGACATTTTGGTTTGAAATTAGCGTTGGCGATCAAAGACCGGGAATCAAACTGACACCCATCCGATACGCTCAATGTAGGCCAAAACGGGTCATAAGCGATAGGAAGGTGCGTGGCGCGAGTGTTTCTTATGGCGTCATGAAATGAGCTGTTTGAGTCATCGCTGCTCACCTCCGCATTCAATCTGGCTGTCACAATTGGACGTCCGACATTTGGTGCCTGAATTTAGTTGATCAACCGGGGAAAGCGTGTCGGAACATCGTTGATGAACAGGCAGGAAAAGAACATGACCAATAGGACGGAGGAAGTGGCCGGCAAAAAAGCAACAAATTATAAAGTTATTCAGATCAACAGCAACAGCAACAGCAGGAAGAGGGAGGTAGAAGAAAGTGGAGCTAGGACAAATTGTATGACTGACTAAATGAAGCGGTCATGTTTCCGGTCTGATCCTTCTGAGTCAAGCCTGGTCCTACAATAACGGTTATTCTGAAATTCTATATCTTGGCTCTCTAAGAGAACGTACCGATCGGATTTTTCCATCTGCGGGTTTGGTCAAAGGAGGTCTCGTATGACGGGCCAGAGCCCGGTGGTAAACCTTCGGACACCGTCTTGGCAGGAGGATTCAAAGCGATTCCATCACGAGGTTCTAGAGGATTCTATCCGAAACGGGACCAGCACTCTTAAGGACCGCGACCGACTCTTGTCTCTTCTTCTTTCTTTCCTCAAGATTGTTGTAGACTGCATGTTGGCCTAGTACAATTGAATCAATTCTGCTACAGCCCTTCACATCTCGTAATCCTTGAGTTCTAATCTCGGAGTGAAATTGCTGAAGCCTCCTGAGTGGAGGTATTACGAGCTCCCTGCTGAGGCTCCGTATTTCTGGCTATGCTTTTGCAGCCGGATGTTACCAAGCGCTCGGAATCAAGAGGTTTTGGTAATGGGAGAAGTTCACAAATCCCCGTTGGGAGATCTATAGGAAGAAATAATGGGGTGGTTGGCTCTGAAATATTTCGCCGGTTCGGCATTGCTGAGACTCGACACCCTTGAGAGCAGAACGAGGTTTTTTGGCCCCTCTCGATTGCGAAGCACACAAGTTTTTAGAAGGCTGTGGTCTTGAAATATTCAAATAATATGCGCAGCACCTCAAGAACTTAAATCTTAGACAAAGTCAGGGGGATTCATAATTGGCATCATGTCGACGTTTCTAGAACCAGAAATATCTCACCAGCAACTTCAGTGGCGACCTTCCGACTAGATGATGTGCCTACGTCATCCGCATCGACGCAAATGTTATATTACAAAGGTAGAGCGTCCAACCGAAAAGATCGCAAGATTGGGTGTCCCGCAGAGTTAACTCTAGCTGCCCTGGTGTGGAGCCGAACCCGAAACAGCGTCGCAGCATCAGCTAAATACCGCCCTCTGTCGCTGACCTCACCTGAGCCAAAAAAGCGAAGATAGTTCTCGTCCCCAGCACCCTATGTAGTATGCCACGTCTTCAGTGCGGGATAGAACCCTGGTGTTCGTTGGCTCATAATTTGCGTCCAAATATTTGTGATGAACTGAACCCACTAGCGCCTTCGGAGGACCTCTTGACGAGGATTGAATACTGACGATTGGTTTACATTTACTATGGTACCTACTTCAGCGTATCAGACCCACAAGTATTCTCATTGGCAGGTGAAGAGCGTCGCCTTCGGGTAAGGGCGAAACGGACGTATGCGCGACCCTGCGACGGAACGATAATAAAGGTGAGAGTAAATAAGGGCATGCAATATAACGCCCAATTCAGCTTTTCTCGGTATAGGCTGTCGTTGGCTGTCGCTAGGGTCTAGACCAGCAAATAAAGCAGGGGTCGATGACGTTCCAGATTGGGCCGAATGGCGCCACTGCAGTCTACGGATATGACTTCGGTAAAATCGACTGGCCACTTAAACGGTTCGCTCCGAACCCAGAATTCCAGAATACGTTCAACCTCTGTCTGAATCGAACCAGACCCCTCTGACGATAGCGGCAGTGAACTGACTTGAGGCAGAGTTCAATCCGCTGCTGGCCTCGGAGGGCGTCAGCCCAGAAGCCAAGGATCCTTACGGACGGATGCCGCTGTCGTTCGCAACAGAGAATGGACATGAGGCAGTGGTTAAGCTAACCCTCCCCGCAGGGATAAGGAGCGCTTTTGCTACTCAATGTGGAGAATGGAGTAGAACCCAACCAATGATATTTAACATATTTCTTCAAGATTATGATTGGTCAGTTGTTACTTTCTCTCAATTGGAGAGGTGACACTAAAAGCGCTCAGTGTTGATTCTGCTTTTTCAGCTTCACGCTACGTTTTGTAATAATGTCGCTGCAGGTAGAAGTCACGGTAGCGCATTAAATGAGGTGTCATAACACGCCCCCTAAGATCGCTCATCCGATCTCAACACCTTCAATCAATCATCTGTTTCTATTGGACATGTTCAGTACTAGCCAGTACATTAATTCCTCAACCTGACATTAATGATTACACTGTGATTACTTGAAAAATATAAAGGGATCCGCATAAATAGTGCACGTTCAAAAAAGTCACGAGGCTGGAGCACCGTTAGAATCTCCACGGTGGCTTCATCAATATTCGAAATCAGTTATATTTGTATAGTATAGTGGTCTCTATAGCTCAGCGACTCTAAACCACAGTATACTTTCATGGGACTAAATTTACAAGCCACGCTTATCTGGAACCCGAGAACCCTTCCCAAGTGTTCGTGTAAGGACTCTTCCTCATCGTGAGATTCCGGCCTTAAAGTAAGAATGCATGAGACAAAAATTTCCCATAAAATACCTGTATTTTCGTAATATGCTTTGAATTTCATATTGCCTTCCCACGGGGCGAGAATATCGGATTTTTAGAAATGAAAATACTCGTTGCAGTGCACGAATTTCCCACCGAAGGCTTTAGAGATTGCGCTTTCAATGTCTCCTGGGTCGCACCCGAGATCAGTCTGGAAATTTGCGTTCATGCTGTCGCCATCGTAGTTACACCCCCAGTTTGTGACCGTGCAGGCCTCTCCATGCATGTTGTCGAGGAATCCATGGCCACAATAGTACTTCGTAAATGCCTTAGCGTCGTTGATGACGACATTGAACTTGTAAATGGCGGAGAACTCTGCCTTATAGGTGCATTGCTGATCCTTCGAAAGATAAGGGTCGTCGGGATTAATGAGATCCCTTTTGGACATGTCGGTTTGAGGATGGGAATCGGCAAAGCTTGTGAGAAAGACGACGAATGTAAGAGACTTGGAGAGATGCATAGTAGGCAGGTATTGTATAAAGGCGTAGAGTAGATGGCTCTGTTGACCGTGGCAAGGGCTGGATGAATTGTTCGTCTTGTTGGATTTGGTCTGAAGTGATGAGTGGCCTCCTTAAATATCCGTAAGCTCGCTCTTAAATTGGGAAAAGCATAAACCGAATGACGTAACTGTACAGGCTTGAACGAAATATAACGTTCCTAGTTGTTACTATGGGGGCGAAAAGTTTGATACAATTTCGGACCTAATTGGATGGCAATAAAACTCACTTTCACGGATATCCGCAGGAGTGGAAGCCATATCGCTAAGTCCCGAGAGTCAAGACTTCCGACTGTGGTTTCTCTAGGTTTTTATAAGCAAATATTTTTTTAAAATTAGTTAAAAAATATTGTAGACCTAGATAAATAATTTGGTCCTAAATTGAACCCGATAAATAATGGAATTATGTTTGTTGGTATCACCAGCTTGGTACTGTGTACACAGTTAAGTGGACAGTTTGTATGCTCCAAAGCAAATAGTCAGTTGATCCTGTTGATAGATGTTGATGCTCAGTCTAGTTGGAAAACACCCCTAGATCCCACATGCCGGCCTTCGGCGGTCACAACACCGGGGCCACAGCCCAGCGCAAGAATGCGTACACCAAGCAAGGGATGTTATCCATCGGTCGCTAGCAGTGGGACCGCTAGTTTGTTCTAACAGGAGAATATATCCCGACAATGTTTTTGTTTAAGTATTTTTCGTTTAACAAAAAGATGGACAGGGGGTGTATAGGAAAACACCTGTGAAATATATAATCACTCGGTAACTTACCAAAAAAATAACCAAACATCGTTTCTAACCCCAGTACAGAAGTAATCACTAAATTCAAAGCGACAATATATAAGAAACTTATTATCAATTAATAGATACAAGATCATTTCTTAAAATTCCATTAAGCGATGGGATGAGCTGGGTTGTTGGTATGGTTAAGACCAAACATGTATTTCTTTCAACCTAAGCGAGAATATTTTATGCTATCCAAAGGCAATCTGACTACCTCTTTTCAGATAATTAAGCGAGTTTTATGCTAGTGCGGATATCCTCAACTTGGACATGGATATGAAGTGATATCCAATATCCGCAGCATTGCGGATATGGTATTGATCTCATATCCAATGGAGCGGATATGCCGCAGTCTAGTCTGGGGGTTATCATACTCCCCAAATGTAACAGGAGGCTCCCCCAATTTGGGAAATGGGCTCAGAGGCTGGGATATGATGGAAAATCATGTGTAGTGGAATATGTAGGGCGCACAAAAACGTACGCTTAACGATGGGAAGAGTAAAGCCTATCTAGTACATTTGAATCAAGAAATGATAACATTAAAATAATTCAGGCGATGGAGACAAGAATATTCACCGCCACCTCAAGGAGCAGCAGAAGATGGATCCGGGCTTCATTCCACTAGATGAAACTGAACCATATAGTGGGGAAGTTGACCTCTTATTATGGGATATAAATCTATGTAGCGGATAGTTTTGGTTCACCGCTAGTCCCAGATCCAGCCATTGAGAGGTGTCCTATCATTTGGGCTCGAGGCGCTCAGGGGCTGCTAGGGTATTTCACCGTGTTTGGAGATAACCGAAAGCCCGCACCATATTGACGATCTCTCTCAGCCACAAGAACTCGAACCATGGGAACAGAATTCGTAGCTCGATACGGAGTACTTCCGTAGCCCCTACGCAACGCTATCCACCCTGGTTCTTCATCGTGCCTGGTACGTATATAACGTAAGCGCCCCACTCCACTCTTCCGGGAATTGGTGCGCCAGTGCCTAACGCAAAAATCCATTGCAGATATCATCCGGTCTATATGCAACTATACGCACCGGATAGATGTGTGTCCAGTTGCCACTTTCGGCCTCCTGTCCACAATATTACATATTTTGGTACCTATGATGTTTATACATTTCTGTCATATAAGAGTACACCCATCATTGGCAATTGCTGCATAGAGTTTTCCCCTGCCTACATTTGATCTGCACTCCTCGAGGTCTGTGCACCTATAGACTTTGACCTATTCATTCCGTGACGATTCTGACCCGCGATGACTTACGGCCCGCAAGTGGATATTCAAACAAATTCCTGTGTTTCTTGAAAAAAAATTCAATTCTCTCCCTATCCAACCTTCTATTATTACCCAGCAATTCACTGAAAATTTTGTCTGAAGCATAATCATCACCGACTTAGAACATGAACTCACTGAGCGGAATCACGTCTAAGCTCAAATACATCACTGAGGATGCAAATGCAATCAAGAATGCCAAAATCGAAAACTGCATTGGCTCTGTCAAAGTCCCCGTTGGACTTGCTGGCCCTCTGAGGATCAGAGGTACCGATGGCACGGATGGTGTCTTTCATGCCCCATTGGCAACCTGCGAAGCTACATTGGTAGCAAGTTGCTCCCGTGGGAGTAAGCTCTTCAGCTCCAGCAGTGGAATTCGATTCAAACTACTCCGAGACACCATGACGAGGGCTCCTGTCTTCTGGTTTTCCTGTGTGGAGGATGCCGCATCATTTTACGACTTGATACCTCAACTCTTCTCCGAATTCCGAGATGTTGCACAATCTACCAGCAAATATGCCCGGCTTGTGAAAATAAGCCCTCAACTTGTGGGAAGCACTGTTCACGTCATATTTGAATACCACTGTGGAGACGCCGCAGGCCAAAATATGGTCACATTTGCTACACAGCAAGTATGTGATCGTTTCGCAGCATCCAGTGTAGCTCAGGAAATGAGACTCCAAAAGGTTTCCATCGAGGGGCAACTTGCTTCAGAGAAAAGCTTATCCTGGGGAAATATCTTACACTCGCGCGGTGTGTCTGTCATGGCGTGGGGAAAGATCACCAAACAGGCTTGCCAAAGCATTCTAGGCTGTTCTACTTGGGATCTTTACCAACTCGTACTGAATAGCAAGGAAGCTGCTACACGAAACGGGCAGCTGGGCTACAGTATCAATCAAGCCAATATTGTGGCGGCAATGTTCATCGCGTGTGGACAAGACGCTGCGAGTGTGGCAGAATCCGCCTGGAGCCATTTGACTCTTGAAGTTGACCGGGAAACCGAAGAGCTCTGTGTGTCGAGCTATTTTCCAAGTCTCCCAGTTGGAACCGTCGGAGGTGGTACTATCTATGATACGCAGAGAGAAGCGTTGGAAATTCTTGGATGCACTGGCCCAGGATCCAAAGGTCGCTTGGCGGGCCTAATTGCATCATTCGCTCTTGCTCTGGATGTTAGTACCGTTGCCGCGGTCACCAATAATACCTTTGCAGCTAGCCATTACAAGTTTGGAAGGTCTGCTGGTGGCGCACAACATAAACTCTGACGCTTATTTAACGAATAGAAACGGCAGTAAAAGCAGGAGCGATGGGAAAATGAAAATTAAAACCATGTTGGCCTACCTGGTTAGTTCTCTACAGCTGCAGCATAGCCTTTGTCATGTAAGAGGTAGATGTGGACGAAGCTAAGGAGGAAGGAAGAAAGAGAGTGAGTGGGCGTAGATCAAGCTAGGTTGCCAGAGCTCCCTCGCCCCTTCTACACTAGAACATTCCATTGGGGTATACGGTACTTTACAATGACTCATTAGGCACTAAATTCCAATACATTCTATAACACGATAGATCCACCCGGAATCAGGTAAGAATATGATCAACGAACGTCCATTCAGCATAATTCTCCTGTTTCGTCATAGGGGTTTGACAAGCTCATACACTCCAGCATACAGTGCCCTCAAGTATCGAGAGGATGCAGAGGTTGCATAATATTCTTGCAGGTATGCAAACAGAGATCCACTTTTCTGTCGAACATGTGGGCCCCCGGGAAATCAGTGGTTTGGCAAGGCGATCCCCATTCGAATTTTCCAGCTGGAAGGTAGGGACGAGGTATGTGTGTATCCGAGATCCTTTGAACGTGTGGGCTTCTAGCTGAATCTTCTCACTCTCCTCCATGACTCGATCGAAACGTGTGATATTGTCAAGTGCCTACTCAGGACCCCAATATCTAGTACCATTGGGGCAAAACCCAGAATGTCTGCTTTCGCAGGTCCCTGCCCTTGCCAGTGCCTGATGGATGCTTTCAGGTAACCGCGTTGGGGATAAGCGAAATTCAGAATAACGCAAATTATGTTGTGTACCTCGCTAGAAAAATAGGGGGCGAGACCGGCTCTGGCCCTTGTGTCTCTAGGACCGTTTTTGAGATATCACTGAGAAAACACAGGATATGTGTGGTAGGCTTTGCAGGCAATCTCAGTTGGGAAGTATCTGTGCCTTGTGATCGAAGATCTTCTTGACACAGTCGGCCGTTTTATGTAAGTAGGGGTCCAAACACACCTTCTCAGCTTGTGGTCCATACGGAGATTATTGCCGGTGGTAGCACAACAGACTCGGACGGCCTGGCAAATAGGAGAGTTGGCAATGATTGAGACATTGGGCCCACGATTGAGCTTACTTCAAGGTCGAAGAAAAAGGGATATCTTGCGCTTTCACCTTGACCTCTACCGGAAGTAGTCCTCAAACGAATAGTGTAGCTTTGAGGTCTGTATTTTCCTTCGTCACCTCGAAGAACTCCTGGGCTTGATTTGATATCCAAAAACGACCACTTTCATGGAAATCCAATCCCACCATTCATCGAGTATTGAGCAGCCATCCTGCCTGGATGTCTTGGTATTGAGAGCAAAGTGTTGCCGGAACGTATTTTGTACGTTGCTGAACTCTCCGGTTTCGATATGACCGCAATAGGCTAGGACACTAATTGTACGATCACGCTTGTACAAACGTGGCAATAGATCAACAATCATAATTCCATGTTCCTTAATGAAATTTGGCGATATGATTGGCTAGAAAGGCGGCGACAGCGAGGTTGGCAACGGCGAGGTCGAGGGATCAAACCCAGCAGATATCATTTAATTTTTGATTCTTTTTCTCAGCGCGAATTTCTCATTCTGGTGGACCCCCACAGCCGCGTCTCTGATCGACTGTTTCTCATTGTGATATTCTCCATAGATTTCGGTGATTATCTTCGATATCAATCATCATCTTGACGATGTAGGCCGTTGTTTTGGCTCTTACCTTCGTCTCTAAGCCCTTGGGAGGGATCAATGGGCCCACCCAGGTTAGTAGATATTGTAGTGGGGAGACCCCCACTCCCTACATGGGTGCCATCCATATTAGGTGACATAGCCGGCAGTATACGGGGGCCGGATACCTAGTTCTAGAATACACCTTACAACTCCCCGACCTGACCCCTACATTTGGGTTTCTTGCTACTTCCTGACTGCTATGCGTGTGATTTGTGGTGGTTTTTCTGCTGCATCGACCCGCACGTCTCAGCGCGTGCTGCCATCGAGCGTTCCCCCTTTCAGTATATATGGTGCATCGCATACCACGCATCGAGAACGTATCCTTCAAGTGTTTCTCAGCCCGCTCCCATGCCTCGGATGTATAATCAACGTAGCACGCGAGAACATTATTTTCAAATTTGCAAATGTACTCTTCCGACAAGGTACTCTGTCACAATAATTTTGGTGAGAGCTATGGCTGGCATCGCAAATTCAGAGGGTGCATTGATCTCATACACCCATTGACAAAGTGTTCAACAGCACCCTGTGAGATGATTTCAAAAGAGTCCTCTTTAACGAAGGCGGGGTTGAAAGCACGAAGTCGTTGCGGTCGGAGGCTATCAGGGCGCGGTAGAAGGTGTCAGTTATGGCTTCGCGGGGCGTTAGACCAGCGAGGGTGTGTGGGTGGGACATTTTGTAGTTTGCGGAGGCTTTGAAAAAAATGTGCCTGTTTATCTGCTTTGGATTGTAGTTAATACCTGGGAGGCTTTCGCGTGTTTTATACTTGGCATCTGCAAAGCTGAGTATCAACATCGATAGTAAGCGGACTTAAGCGTCGGTCTTCGCGACTCGCCTATTCCGAGATGTGATGCTCTTCACGCACGTGATGTCCTCACCAAGGGGCAAAAACAATGTAAAATTGAAATCTAGGTGGCATCATTTGTTTCACTCGAGGCGGTCGAGTTGGAGCAAATAAGAATAACCATTTGAATTGATACAGTATTGACCCACGCGAAGGGCTAAGAACAAGATGACCGCATATTATCCAGCCAGATAAGAATACACATCACCTGAACGCAGGCCAAAAATCCCCGAAATGCACAGTAAAGCCAAAAATCCCTCTACTCACCCTACTCGACACTAAACATCTTCCGCCCGGAGAACCCATCACTGCAATTCGAGCTCCTCGTTAATCTTACGCTCCGTCTTCTCACGCCTCTTCGTTAATCTACGCTGTCGCCAAACAATACCGTACCGTGTCATAAGAATGAGAGTAGGCGATGCAACAATGCAAATCATCCCCAGAGTCGTGTACGCCCATCCCCAACCCATCGCCATCCGCATAGGGTTAATTGCCGCCGAAGCAGCCGCGCCCAGCTCGCACCGCATCAGGTTATTCGCGGCCGTGGCCGCCGCCGGGTTTTCGGGCCAGATGTCAACCATCAGTGCGTTAAGGACCTGCGAGCAGGCGTTCAAGACCCATCCGTTCAGAAAGAGCAGGATGATGGGCACCGCAATGCTCACGTTTCTACCGACGACCCAGCCGAAGCCGATCATCAGAACAGAGCTGAGCAGGTATGCGGGGATGGCGATTTCCAGGCGTGCCCTTTCGATGTTAAATTGGCTAATATCCTGGTGGCGGTTTCGCTTGACGGGGAGTCCAGCACGAAGGGCATGACGGCGGTAGTTCCAGTCGACGAGGCGGCCAGTCGTGAACGCGGAGAAGATACCACCTGCTCCGATAGGGATGTACATCAACCCAGTCTGGATGTTGTTGAAGTGGTACACTTCGTGGAAGGTCGTCGTGGCGCCCGTCATCACAGCGTAGAAGCCCGCGTACATCAGTCCCGTTGTGAGGAGGATAAGGCCCGTTTCGAAGTCAACGACGACCTTGAGGGTAGGGAGAGGAGACGGGAACCGGAACGCGTAGTTTTTTCTCGCTTCGAGGATCTGCTCGGCAGAGACGGATCCGTTTCGCTCACGGCATCGGTGTCGGATCCAGTCACTGATCGACAAGTTGGGCCATGGCGGCGGGATGGATCCATCACCCACCACTTTGCGGCAGGTCTCAGGCAGGAATGCGATAAGGCCGCCCGCAAAGATGGCAGAGAGGATGAGAAGGAACCAGAAGATCCAGTGCCAATTCAGATACTGACTGATCAGGCCGCCGATGATGGGAGAGAGCGAAGGGCCCAGCATCGAGCCAAGTGAGGCAAATGCAATGTACGAACCACGTTCCGAGGAGGTGATCAGGTCACCCACCAGACCGTTCGCGAGGGCCACGGTTCCACTGCTGCCGGCAGACTGGAGACATCTCAGGACCATCAGCGCCGCGTAAGAATTCTGAAGTCCGAGTCCCAGATTCGCTGTGACGTAGATGGTGAAGCAGATGATGTAGGCGGGGCGGCGTCCAGCACTGTCTGAGAAACCGGCGATCAACATGGGGGCGAATCCCTGCAAGATCTGTGAAACATTAGCTCAAGCACATAAAGTGATAATAAATTAAAACACATACCAGATACGTGGTCACCGTAAGATTGATCTTGGAAGTCGAGACACCAAGCTCCTTGTGGATTGTATCCAAAGCCGGGAAGTAGATGCTGGACGACAGTGGCGAGAAGAAGGCAGCAAACGAACCCACCAAGATGATGAACCGCTTTTGCCAGACCGAGAAGACCGAAAAGTCGCGCTGGTCACCACCTGCCTCAGTGGACTCGACTGCAGCCTCGGTCTGCCCAATGTTGTCTGCGGGAGCCGTGTCGACACGCTTATCCACATCAGCCGGCGCAGTACCCTCGACTGCGGCGTACTTTCCATTATCGGCGTTCATCTCGGGGACGTCTCCTGGGCCCTCTGCAAAGCGTGGAAACTCCTCGTATGGCGACATGCCGAGGGAGCGTGGCTAAATACCCTAGATATTCGCCGGGGTTAAGCTTGGCTTCCCAGGGTGGATGCCGAGACCGGGATACGAATTATGAATGAACTTACTGTGACAAGTTCAGAAGGGCCCCTTTTGGTGCAACAGAATGAAACAAAGCCTATTGAGATTAGTGTTGGCACGCGACTGATGGTGCTTGTGCGGAATTTGGGTGCTTGAAAAGACAAAAATCACTGTAGTAGGCGGCAATGGCCTTCTGCTGCGTGTTCCCGCACAGTGAATATATTGCCGGTACCGGGACGACTACTCTTCCACTACCGGCCTCACTGCCAGGCAGCTACTAGTACCGATTGGGATCAACTATACCCTGCTCCGCAGGTTCTCTGGTAATTTAGCTGAAACACGTTCAACCAACAGTATTCATGCTTTCCCAAACACATATATTCACTGCGCCAAGAAATCGAAGCCACATACTCGTAGCCACCCCATGTAGTACAGGGGCCTCGAGCACGGTCCATCCATCCCGGTCCCGGCATTCCGCAGGTGATCTACAAAAACCCTAGTACAACCTCACTTCTTCGCACCTTAACCTCCCTATGATCTCATTTCCGCCTCAATTCAACTTTCTTCACATTTACATTAAAGTGAAGTCGAAATGTTCGATCCATCTGACAAAACCACGCCAGGAAGATATGGTCCCTCACAAACGGCACTCCTCCTTTTGGACTTCCACGCCTTCTTCGTGAGGAGCCTCGGCACGCCCAATGCCAGAAAGGCACTCGGAACCGCCAGCCAGCTGCGAAATTGGGCAAAGTCTCAAAATATCAAGATCATTCACTGCCTCATCGACACTCACGCACCGCCGTATGAAACATGCAAAGACACAGCCCGATTCGTCAACCATTTGCAAGCACTCAATGCGAACGGTGCCGAAGAACCGTCTGAATTAACCGATGGGATGGAAGACGATGAGGTCACCTTCCTTCGAGTCCCGGGTTATGTCTCCGCGCTGAGGTCAATTGGCCTCGAGAAGTTCCTTCGGGAGCACGGCATCAAGTCGCTGATTCTCACTGGGCTCAGTACTTCTGGGTGTGTCATGAGGACCGCATTGGCGGCGACCGATGCGGAGTTTGTGGTCACGGTTATCTCGGACGGGTGCGCTGATCGAGAGGAGGAAGTACATGAGTTTGTCCTGGGAAAGATGGTCAACAACCGGGGATATGTGACAACGGCCACGGAGCTCAAAGAGGGATTTTCGAAGGTGATCGCCAGAAGGTAGAGGTGGACCGAAGACACATTTACCATGGGAGCTACAGATTTGGAACAATAACAGCATGTATTGATACGACGGAGATGTGAAATAAACAGAAAAAAGCAAAAGGCCGGCCATCCATCCTCTGAAAAGAAAAACACAGTTGTCAAAAAGTACATTCCGCCCACCACACCCTCTGAAAAAGAAAAAAAAAGGAAAAAGCCGACAAAAGAAATCCTCCCGGCACCCCGTCACCCCCAGGACGGTGCATACAATGAGCCATTGATGAAAGCCCAGAGCAGAAAAGGACACATTGATGAATGCCCAGACCAAATAACAGACTGAAGATATCCCCCCGGCACCCCGTCACCCCCAGGACGGTGCATACAATGGGCCATTGATGAAAGCCCAGAGCAGAAAAGGACACATTGATGAATGCCCAGACCAAATAACAGACTGAAGATATCCTCCCGGCACCCCGTCACCCCCAAGACGGTGCAAATACTGAGACATATTGATGAATGCCTAGTCTATATCGGTCAGTATCTGCGAAAATGGGAGAAAAAGAAAGGGAGTATACTCACACAGGTAGTCGAAAAACCTGGCCACCATGCCTCATGCCGGTGCATAGGAAGACGATTGTCCCACCACCACCCCCGTTACCCGGTAACGGTGCGAGCAGCAGAATCTGGGTCATGCCGGTGCATGCCCAGTGGCGGTCTATACCAGTCAGTATCTCGGAGAACGGGTAAAGATGGAAAGGGGGTATACTCACACAGGTAGTCGAAAAATCTGGCCACCATGCCTCATGCCGGTGCATAGGCGACGTTCGCTCGAGGGGGCATGCTGATGATGCATGCCCTGTTTGCATCAGCCAGTATGTTGCTCAACGGGGGAGGGGATAGGGGAGATACTCACAGAGCTCGAAGTTGCATGGGAAATAAGTGGCCCACCGCCACCCCTGGCTGCCCTGCAGCAGTGCATTTCCATCGAATCGACCCCGTGGTCGAGGTCGCAGAGGTCGTCGTCGAAATCGACGCCTCGGTAAAATGAGCAGCGGCATTTCTCATGCCGTGCGAGGATCTCCCTCTCTCCCAGAAGGAACTGCTATGACCAGCAGTGAACCTCGTGTCTTCATTCAGGGGGACGTCTCCCTCAGCTGAAGAGGAAGTACACAAAGGGAGCAACCAACATGGCGGCCATCGAAAGGTCCCGCCAAATATCACGACCAAAATCCAAAAATACCCGCCCCTGCACGAAGGCAGAGCTTTTAGCACTGGGTGCCACGGGTGGGACATCGTCGGATTGGGATTGGCGTTTGTGGAAGACGACGGGGTGGACGGTGCAGGAGGCTCGAAGTGGCGACCAACCAGCACTGACACCGTTGTCCTCAGCGAAAGTAACACGACCAGCGTGTGGCTTCCCTGGAACGCCCGGACGCTTCATGATCCCAACAAGAGGGGGGGCAGGAACCTTGTGTGCCCTGGCATCGGTAACGGCAGCCTCGGCGACCACAGCATCATTGACGGCAGCTGCAGTGGCCCCAGCATCGATGGTGGCAGCTGGGGTGTTGGATGAATCCATGGCAAAGGTGACCCGACGACTGTGACCTGTCGACGGGATATTAGGGGCCTTCAAGATCCCGATCGGAGTCTGAGTCGGACGGCGGAAGACAGGACGGATCGGAGCATCTGTTGGAGGAACAGCGAGGGACGAGGCTGGTCCTGGGTTTGACGTGCCAAACAGATACTGCCGACGCTTGGATCGACGCTCAGAACGTCCCTGGCGGCGGTTCTGAGCAGTTACAAGGTCGTATGCAAATTGATACTTTGTCTTTAGAAGCCGTCGATCCGGGAAACGATCCAGGAACCGTCGGGAGCGGCAAAGAGGAGGAGGAAAGAGGGAGGAGAGAAGGAGAGAGTCCCGGGTATCCCACCAACGGGCACCGGGTAAGCCCGTGTGTCCCGTGAGGAGCCGGCGAGCCTCAAATACGTCCAACATGGGCCGCCTGTATACAACATGGTCGGCCGGACGGAGAAAGGAAAGAGGGGGCGGATCGAGGACGAGGGGAGGGGGAGTCTCGCGGGTGAGGAGGCTCAGCCTCGAGATGCCATGGGACAGCCATTCAACCTGGCCAGCGCCCGCCTTCGGGAGGTCGGTGTCGCCGGTTAGCAGGAGTCGTGCTGGCCCCGGGGAGAGCATGGTCGACCGGAAATCCATTGCAACGCGAGGCTGTCAAAGGGTCCAGAGTCGAGAGAAGAAGAAGAAAGGAGGAAGCAAGGAAGGAAAGCAAGAGAGCTTTGAAGAGCAGACCACCAGAGTTAGAACGCAAAAGCTTTAAACGCCGCGAGGCAAAGCAAGCAAATTCCAAGAGGGGTGAGGAGAGAAGGAAAAGAAGAAATCAACACGCGTAGAAAGCGGATTATATACTGCCATGTCAACAACGCCGCGTCCCCAGCAACCGTACCGGAAAGTTCCATCGTTTGGAAAGCGGAAGGCGTGCGTGGAATAACAACAAACCGACATCACCATGACGATTGCGTCCCAAGTCGCGTATTACAGACAGCGACGCCAAAGGCCGACCAGCGGCTGAGGACTAAATATGGGCATCTTGGGACACACCACTACGGGAATAGAACTATGGGACGTATAGTACCACTGCAGCAACCTGCATAGCAGAATCTTACAATAAAGACAAAGGAACGCCAGTAGATTTCAAGCAAGACGAGAGTCACACCGGAGACAGCAATAAAAAAACGTCAACAGAATGAGTACGAGAGATTCGAGTCTCTGTGCGAACAGCCAGCAGCCATAGAGATAGTCTTGTTGATCCAATCGCTGAGTACTATACCAGAGAAACAGACTTCAGTATCAAAACAAAGATTAATTCGATTCTCAACGCCCAAGCTTCCGGAAACTTCGTACACAGTCATGCCCATCCAATCTTGTCAAATCATCTGGCCGAAACGAAATATAGAGATAAATTGCAGCACCAAGGAAGTCAATCAGCTGCCAGAATGATTTGCTTAATCTTGACGTCTACACGTCAGTTTCATTCGTGATTGAAGGATAAAAACAAACAAAATTACCGACTCTTCTACTCGTGGCAAATCGAAGGCCGTATCTTATGTCCTCACAGACGCACTCGTCGAAGAGAAAGATGAACATAAGTTTCCCCCCTCTAATTACACTTCTTGACTTCTGGGTCTCCTATCCCGGATCATTGGCTTCGTTCCTCTATGTCTAAGTAGTCGCTTCGTGTTCCTCTGTCCTCGGAAACCGACTTTGATCTCCTCGCAGTCTCAATCAAAGAAAACCACCGGAATTCCTCCGTGGCAGCTAGCCTCAGTGTCCCGCGTACCACAGCAATATTCAGACAACCTCGTGTTGTTTGTTACCTTCGTCTTTCTCACATCCCTCAGCTATCGACTGTTTGCCTCGTGACCTGCGATACTGACTTCCCTCACATCTTGCTTACTAGGGCTTTGTTATAGCCTCACGCATTCTTTTCGAGTCTTACTTGAACCTACCCATTACAATGAGCCTCCGGTCTATGTGGGTCCATTATATTACCGTCACAAAACTTCCCTTGAGAACAGACACAGCTGTCTTGAAAATTGGGGACGTAGTCAGTCTGATCCCGAGGGCTATTGCCACGAGGTCTTGACACCTGCCAACACCCCCATCTCATTTGTCCACACCTTCCAGATAATCCACCCACAAATTATCCCCTACCCTCAATGCGTTACGCGTGGCTCTGTCTTCCATTCGCCCTTCCCTCCCACTTGCCCATTTTTGATGTCTTTTCCATCTTGTATCTCAGTCCAGATCCATCCTCCGTTTTCTGTCTTCCTCCATCCGTCTCTCGTCCTCCATTTCCCGTTCTCCTCCAGCCCTCGCCCTCCGGATATTTTTCATTGTCTATTTTCTTTCATTAATATCTCTTCCATCTTATACTGTCCATACAACACTCGTTCCTCTTTTTCCATTCGTCATTTCTCCCCTATCTTCTTTCTTCTCCCGTATCATCAACATATCCCCCCTATCTTCTATGCGCCGACCCTATCATCTGTACCCCTCTAAATATTCTTTATCATCTGTTTTCACTATTTGGCCTTCTCTTTCATCTTTCAGACTCTAGCTATCACTATTTCCTTTCCCTCTACCATCTATCCTTCATCCTCCATCATGTCTTTTTCCATACTCCAACCATGTTTGACCCTCCTCTATTCATCCACCCATCCTCTATCATCTCCCTATTCGTCACCATCTTTCATACTTCATTCTCACGACATCTTTCCTACATTATTTTCTCTATATCTTTCTCTCCTTTACCTATCCTTTACAAGATATCTATTCATCATCCTTCAATTACCCATCACTCATCCTTCATTCTCTTTTCGTTTCCTCATCAATCATTCATCACCCAGCGTCCTTCGTCGTCTTTCTTCCATTCTTCACTGTCTTACATCCATATATCATCCCCTATCTTTCAACGTCCTATTCTTCATCCTGTGTCATTTTACCTCCACCCATCACCACTATTCCTCTATCTGTCGTCAACCGGCATTCTTCAGCACTTTTTCTCCCTTCTCCATCATTTCTCCTTTCTCCAATCTTCATCATTCCTCATCACACGCCCTCCGTCTCCGACCGCCGATGACCCTGCTACGGTCATGATTCCAACACTCCGGTTCCAGCTGTCGGACTGTTTGCTACCTGTCCCGTTACCATTATGCTCATTGGCGGTCCATCTCTACCATCATGCCCACAGTATCTCACTCGCTGCCGCTATTAAATTCAAGGTCACCACAGATCCCATCACTAATACTGAAGTGAAAGATACTTGCCATACAAACTCCAGTCGGTATTTTGAAGTGACATGTGTTGAAACGACTCGTTGTGCTGGTTGGGTCGCCACTTCGAGCCTCCTGCACCGTCCACCCCGTCGTCTTCCACAAATGCCAATCCCAATCCGACGATCCCCCACCCGTGGCACCTAGTGCTGAAATTTCTGTTTTGCAAGGGCGGGTTTATCTGGATTTCGGTCGTGATATTTGGCGGGACCTTTCGATGGCCGCCATGTTCGTCGCTCCCTTCGTGTGCTTCTTCTTCAGGTGAGGGAAAATATTCCCCTGAATGAAGATACGAGGTTCACTGCTGGTCATAGCAGTTTCTCTTGGGAGAGAGGGAAATCCTCGCACGACATGAAAATGCCGCTGCTCAATGGACCGAGGCGTCGATTTCACGACGACCTCTACGATCTCGACCACGGGGTCGATTCGATTGAAACGCACCGTTGCAAGGCAACAGGGGTGGTGGTGGGTTTGAGTGCGACTTCCGATGTCGACGCCGCTTCGAATTGAGACGCAGAGCACGGCTTTTTCACGGTACCAAAAAACACGGATATCAATGTACTAGCTCTTTCAGCTCGCCTTTCCTCATCCGAGCTTCCCTTAAGCCTGTCCCCAGCCGACACTGTCTAGTACACGTTGCTTCGCATAACGCCACGACATCTTACTGGTGGTCACATCAATCCCTTGCCTTTCATCTTTGTGACACTCTTCTGTTCACATAAGGACAGCCACGAGATAGGCGAGGCTCAGTCACACTTCTCAGAAAGATTGTGCTTTGCTTTTCGGCGTTTAAAGCTTTTATTCTTCCGACACGTGTGGTATTACGTTTGCTCAAGAGACTTTCTTCCCTTATTCTGCCTCCCTTGCGCTCTTTGCGCGCCGTTTCTTTTCTTTGTGCACCTCGGACCCTGGACGCGTTGCGATGGCTTTCCGGTTCACTATGCTCTCCCCGGGGGCAGCACAATTCCAGCTAATTGGCGACACCGAACTCCCGGAGGCGGGCGCTGGCCAGGTTGAGTGGTTGTCCTGCAGTCTCTCGAGGCTCCCACTCCCCTCACTCTCGATCCCCCACCCTTTCCTCGTCTCCTGGCCGACCAAGTTGTATACAGGCGGCCCATGTTGGACATTTGTGAGGCTCATTCGCTCCTCACAGGGCACACGGGCCTGCCTGGTGGCTGTTTTGGGACACCTGCGAATCTCTTTCCTTGTTCTCCTTCTTTTTCCCATTTTCTTCCTTGCTCGTCCCCTGTATTTCTGGGATTTCTGCCCATATCAAGTACACGCGGGCTCCGGGACTGCCGCGAGATTTTACTGGTGGTCATATAATGCTCTTGTCTTCACACATGAAGATATGTTTCGCCTCGCTCCTTAAGCTGAGACGTGAGTATCCCCTCCTCCATCTTCAAACCACGCAACTTCTAATAATTCAAATTCCAGATGACTCGTCTTCTAAGGCTGTGAACAGCCATGTAATACTTTCAGATGGTTCAATTCTTCAAGGTTATTACTTGAAATCACGGGGCCTGGGCGGTGACGGGCTACACCTTACCTTCTCCGTCACACACACCTTCTTCCATTCCTTCTTCCTTCCTTAGTTAGCCAGATAGCTACGAAATACAACGTTCGGCAAGCTGCACTCTGATTAGCTCACTACATCCAAACAGTTATATAGTACGTTTGCGGAATGTATGTAGTAAGGGTGGTTGCCTGGGAGGGACCACTCATACACGAATCAAGTCTCTGCCCGAAATACTATACAACATATGATAAATACACACTTGAGATTTCTGAATATAGCAATTTCTTTTAATATTTAGGTCAGTGTAGGTCATTTATATTTCGCCCTTTCGAATCACAATTCTGCTAGGAATCTGACTTAGTTTGTTTGTAATCTGTTGAGCTATACTCCCGATCCGGCATGTCCGCCAAGCAAAATCCCTAGGCGCACCAACCAGGATGGTGTGAAAAGAAGCATAAATCTCCAAACCAATGCAGTACTACAAATAAAAACTCAATCCAAATTAAAAATAAAAATAAAAATAAAATAAAATAAATACCCGCCGAAAATTCGCAACCCGATAACACGAGGCAAAAAGTGGTGGAGCGCGACCGCGGCTCATGCCACTCAACGGCCCCCACTCAGCATGAGACATCCCCTCCCAAGCCCCCAATATCAACGAACGCCAGAATGCGGCCTCCAGCCTTCCACAAAAAATACATATTCATCTCAAAACATCTTGAACATGTCCCTTAACCCTCTCTACACCAGCAACGGGATAACCGTGGACCCAGCGACGCCGGCGCTCACAGCGCGCCCGCTCCGCGTCGTCTGCATCGGAGCGGGGTTCTCTGGCCTAACACTGGCTTACAAGTTGCAACACGAATATCGCCTCCCATATGTGGATTTCAACATCTACGAAAAGGACAATGTTGTCGGCGGCGTCTGGAATACCAATGTCTACCCCGGCGTCGGCTGTGATCTACCTGCGCACACATACGTCTTCCCCTTTGCGCCAAATCCCTCTTGGTCGAAGTTCTACGTTGGGGGCGGGGAAATAAAGCAGTATATCCTCGACACGGTGTCAAAGTATGATCTAGACAAGAATGTTATTTTCGGCACTGAGCTTCTGCGTTCAACCTGGGATGAGGAGAAGGGGAAATGGCTGCTTCAACTGCAACGGGATGGAAAAGAGATCACCGATGAAGCTGATATCCTGTTCAACGGTTCTGGGCTTCTGCATCGCTGGAAGATGCCTGACATTCCCGGTGTCGAGACCTTCGGCGGCAAGATAATGCACACAGCTAATTGGGATTCCGGATATGACTGGGCCGGAAAGAAGATCGCTGTTATCGGGAATGGATCTTCAGGGTTGCAGGTAGTGCCGGGTTTGCAGAAGACAGCAGGCAGGATCGTGAACTATGTCCGGCGGCCGACGTGGGTTTCGTGTAATATCTGTCCAGATGTCACGAAGGATGGAAAGGGAAGTAATTTTGATTTTACCCCGGAAGAAATCGAAAAGTTTAAGCACAATCCCGAGGCATTTTTGGAGTATAGGATGAAGGTTGAGCATTCGTGAGTTGGCCCAAACCTCTGGAGCCTGCCGTTACTAATGATTGGTTGTAGACTAAATGATGTCTATCGCCTGATGCTATCCAACTCCCCAGGAAACAAAATGCTCTTTGAGGCCGTGAGCGGATTAATGGCAGAACGCCTAAATCACAACCAAGACCTTCTATCCAAGCTGGTTCCCAAATATGCGATCGGGTGTCGACGAATTAGTCCCGGTGATGGGTACCTAGAGGCCATGCAGGAACCCAACGCAGAATGGTGTTTCGACCCCATTGAGCGAATGTCGGAAAAGGGCATCGTTACCGCAGAGGGTGAAAAAGAATTCGATCTCATCGTCTGCGCAACTGGCTTCAACACCTCTTTTATCCCGGGCTGGGAGCTTATCGGCAAAGGTGGGCGACGACTCGATGAGGAGTGGAAGAGGACGCCTAAGGCGTATTTCTCGATGTGTGCGGCTGGTATGCCAAATTTCTTTATTTTTGCCGGTCCGAATGCGCCGGTTGGACATGGGAGTGTGCCAACGATGATTGGGTGGGTTTGTGATTATGCGATTCAGTGGATGGAGAAGATTGCGACGGAGGATATCAAGTGAGTATTTTCTCGAGAGTGTGAATGAGTATCATGCTAATGTCTTGCAGATCTGCTGTGGTGAAGGACTCCGTGGTCCGCGACTTCAATCGTCGTGCGCAGGTGATGCTGAAACGCACTGTTTGGAGTTCGGGTTGCAGGGCGTGGTATAACAATGGGGAGACCGTCACGGGGCTGTACCCTGGCAGCATGGTTCATTTCAAGAGTACGTCAATCCACGCTAAATCCATGTAGAGTATAAGCCTGACACCCGCAGAACTCACGGACACAATCCGCGGCGAGGACTTTGAAATTCAGTACAGAACCTCCGACCCCTTCGCATTCCTCGGCAACGGCGAACTAGACTGGGAGCGAGAAGTGGGCTCAAATCTCGCATACTACTTAAAGTAGGCCCCGGAGAAGCAGTCGTCGTGAACGTAAAAAGCATCAATTCATTAATTAGTTAAAGGTTAGGATAGGCAGCCGCTAAAGAATCAATAAAGCTATCCCGCTGATCATCATCCACGCCCCGGAAGAAATCCTGAACATGGCGGTTCCCCTTGAGGAACGGGGCCAAGTCCACAGGTCCGCGGTCGTGCACATCTCTCGATGACAGTGAGCTGCTGTTCGCTCCATCGATGAGACCTGACAGTGCACTTGTCAGGTTCTTGCCATCTAGCAGATGTCTCAGTGTATTCTTAATCGTGTCGCCGAGCGGGATGGTAGTGGAGAGCGTAAGGGTGCTCAAGATATCCGTATAGTAAGGCACCAGTGTTCCATTCCACGTCACAGAGCGGGTAACCGAATCAATGGCCAAAGTCCCGTTCTTCAACGCGCCAGCCTGTGCTTTCAAGATGTCGCCGAAATTGGAGAAGATGGACTTGATGTCCAGGACTCCCGTGAGTGGGAACGTGTTATTGCCCGGCACGAGGGTGACGTCGTTCAGGGTCACGTTCCCAATGGTTGTACCACCGCTCTTCACGTCGAGGACTAAAGTTCCAACTTGTAGGTGCAGGACCGTGGGGTTCGGAAGGGTCGCGTTGCCGATGAGGTTCGTGCCGTCTTCTTCAGGGGGCAGGATGAGGGTTGCGTCGGAGATAGAGAAACCATCGAATTGGTTCAAGGCTATTGAATTTTTGATTAGACCTGGACTTTTGAACTGTATGTTTGACAAACGCGCGATTTATTGCAAACACGCAGTAAGGGATAGATGGCGCGGAGTGGGAAAAGCAAATACGCAATAGCCTCACCTGGTGTAACCACATCCTTGTTCAGATGGACGTGAGACTTGAGCACGCCGAGGTAGGCATTAGTGACGCCTTGCATTGCGAGAGATGTTTCCTCCTGGAAAACGACCTGTCGGACGAATTCTTTCCAGGCTGTCTGGTTGAGGATCGGGGTCCGAACATTGTCGATGCCGAGGGAGTGATTGCCTTTAATCACTTGCCCGGGGATGTCGATATCGGCATACGCGTCATCCACGCCGTAGTCGCGTTGGAAAAGGTGGAATGTCACCGGCTCAATCCGTGCAGGAAGAGCGAGCTTCAAGTCGACCTTGGTTTGTAGGGTCAATAGTGTCGAATTGGGCTGTGGGTCATTGACGATTGCATTGACTAGCACAATATCGGACTTGTTGACGACCAACTGCGCGATTGCAGGAATCACGACCAAGAAGCTGAAGAGGGGGTCAATTGTGCTCGAAACTCTCGCAGGAACTCACAAGAAAGGAAAGGGAGACTCACAAGACGGGGAGGAAAATCGCGAGAAAAATGACATTGCCAATACAATAAAATAGCCAGAATCGCTTCCAATGCCGACGAAGCTTCTCTGTCCTCGTAGGCGTCTTGTGCAAGGAGAGTCCACCAGCCGATTCGACCTTCTCGAGCCCCTGAGGACTTTCATCGGTCAACAATGGCCCGCGGTTCGCGCCCAGTATGTACTTTCCCGCGGTTGGAGACATGATGGCAAGAATCGAGAGGCGGAACAGAGAGCCGATCTTCGCGAGTTCATTCGCGGGCACGAGTACATTAAATGGTGCAGCTCCGGAGCCAGGCGCACCCCCAAATGTGAATTGCATCATTCGCCGGAGAGTATAGAAGCCCCGTGGGGAAAGACGATCTGCAACATGCGGGGAAAGTGGAGCCCAGCGCACGCATGGCCCACTCGCCATCCAGCTTGATCGGTCGCAATACCACAGCCAGGAAGAAGAACCAGTCTGGAATTTGGCGTCTGCACGTCCGGAGAAGGCCCATGCGGTATCCCTGTCTTGCGCCTCGGTATCTAGTTATTGCCTCCATCTTGTGATCCAACGGCTTGCTCGTTGGTTGTCCCCTGAACTTTGTTCCTTGATCTCCTCTTTTCATAAGCTCGAACGAACTGATACGCGACCGAGGTCGACCTGATTAATATATTTCTTTGCTCTGATTGACCGCTCTTGTTGCTGCGGCGATCATATTAATCGGTTGCTTTCGGGCTTCTGTCCTGACCTGGCCGACAGAACAGACTTCGCGAGTGGATCGGACGGTTCACCTAGTTGCTATTCAACGGAGATCACAGTCCACTCCCGGGAGTCCCTCGGCTGAAGGGAGGCGTTGAGTAGCCTTGTTTGGTGTAATGAGAGGCGTGAGTGAGGTCGACAAGCCACCATGCACGGCCTCGGAGGCAGGAACCAAGATAAGACCCGATCATCCCAGCACGGCGCACCTGCAGGGTACCCTGCGGGAAGTTACGAGGTAGGCTCAAGGCCGCTTGAGCCTTGTTTTGCTTGGCTCGCAGCCATCTGAGGTGAGGGTGAGTAGGCTGTATGCGAGACCGGGGGTTGCTGAGGGCGGAATATCTCCCAACGCAGATGGCGCTCGAGTGGGGAAAGTGCAGTTGCCTCCCCACTTCTCCCACCACGACCCAGAATCGACTGCCACTGTTTGAGAGCGATTAATCAGTCTGCAAAGAAGGAGGTGTCTGTGAACATTTTGAATATCTTCGGAGCTCGTCGTCGACTGCGTATTTTTTGGACATCATTTGTGGGGACCTGGTAATTTGAAACCTCAGCCCCACATACTCGGTGGCAGAGACTTCCCCTGGGTTGAGCTTATGTGCTGCATCCTTATCTTTGAAAAGAGCAAAAAGTGCTTGTGTCCCTCATTTTCAAGAGTTTGATGCTGGTTACGACCCTTTCTAAATGTACGTGGTCCCAAATAGTGGATCTTCCCGTCCCACACCTCCATCTCTGTTGAACAATCCGACCACATGATTTATTATGCTGGTGCGAATATTCTCCTCAAAGAAGTCCATTCTTCTAGTATAACCTCGAAAAGGAACCGCTGTCGCAGGCCCTGGAATCGCTAACGGTATGGGACAGATAAAACCCGTATGCAGACCCGAATTTATGCCATCACAATTCTGTTGAAGAGGTCGGCACCCAGCAAGCCTGTCTCTGAATCATCTCATCCGACGAATAAACCCCGACAGAACTCTTGTCACGCAAATACGCGACAAGACGCTCATGGAGGATCGTATACATGTCCATCCCCTTGGGTGTAACGGGTCAGGTCCCGATCTATTGCACAGACCAAGCTTGTGCGAAGTGATCTATCAACTCCCCAGGATATTTAGTCACCGTTGGCCACCCTTTATTTCTAAAATTCTCTAAGCTTCAGATAAACAGCATGTTGGCACCGCTCAATTGAATCAATTCGGCCGTAGTCCTTCACATTGGGAGAATCATTCGCAAAGTCCACCGCCCCATTCCTCTCTGCCCCTTCCTCGAACACGTTCGAAGATTTCATCGGGTCAACCGTACTCCTTTTGATCACCGAATAAATAAGGCGGCATAGCATTGTACACCTGAGTCAGGACGTCGGAGTCATTGGCCCAGTCTTTCCCCCCATCCACAACCGGATCATATCCGCGCCATTTTTGAAGCGTTTCGCGATGTGATCCGTTCTTTCTTCCCAAGTTTCGAAGATGGCACTGTAGAATCCACACAGTGAGCGGAAAATAGGCGTCAATTCTCGCCAACTGTCGAGCGATGAGTGGAATTCGATATTATGGACTAGTCGCAGATGTTGTCGCGCATGATCCTTCCGCGAAGATACCCGTGGCTGCAGCGGTTTATCGGAACGCCGGAGGTAGTCGTGCGTCCCCAGGTGAGACTCGTCGATATTTTGAATATGGCAAAAGGTGTAGACATATACCCCTTCTACGGGAACGATTCCTCCGTTTGGCGCGCAGTGCCATCGCTCCACTGAGATATGGAGCACTTTTTCATGTCGGCTCCAGTCGTATCTATTTCGGAAGGGGTCGCAGCAGAATATACACTAGTATGTCCGAGAGTCTGGCGTCTTCCTGTTGGGTTGGTATGTGAGGCTTGGCGCATGTCGCGGTCGGCGGCGGGGTTTGGTGCTTGAAATTGGCGTCAGTGGTCTTTGGAACTGCCTAGGGACAGGCGGGGACTGTGCCTGTTCGCTGAAAGTTCCTATAGAAGAGTCGCTGTGTCCAAAGAATCTCAGCGGGTCGTCAAGTGTGAGAGAGCTTCCATGGCTGTTTTGCGATAATGGCCCTGGGTCACTATAGTAGTTCACATTTCTGTCTGGAAAATGGGGTGCGTTTCCCAAGGCGCGCATGATATCGGATGTAGCAGCTTCTTCGGTTTCGGTTGGTGAATTTTGCCAGCGCTCCATGGGCTACATCGAAGAGACCGGTCTGGTAAACCTTTTAATAGCAGGGGCATGGTTGTTCTTCACGGTATTTCCTCCTGCGTCGTCGAGCATTGGAGAGCCAGGTGAGTATCCGATTCTTGTCCAGTCCAGTCTGCTCCTCCAATATCCATCTGTCCTCAATCGACGGGTACGGAGAACCCCGATTCTGACGCATCCAACTCCTGAGAGCTTTGACAGTATCTGTCGGCAATCGTCGATATGGCTTCCCTCTTGACGGGTGACGGGATGAATAATGCTGTTATGAAAGCCAGTTTTAGCTTGTACTCTCAGGCGAGAAAAGAGATGGGCAATTGCAATTAGGGTCGACGCGCATAGCTGGTGCTTATAGAGCACAATGTGATGATCACCCCCAGCTTCTGGAGAATTAAGGAGATCTCGGGTGATGGGAGGCTAGATGCCTTGGCCAGCTCGTCCACGGTGGGCAGGCGGCATTCTCGGTGGTAGAACTGGAAGGGTTCGTTACGAACGTTGCGCGTGATGCCGCCCATCCTGTTGGAAGTGTCGATAAATATCTGTCGCAGAAAAGTCAAATTTCTCTTGACTTCGTCATCGCGTTGAGGCTGTTATGAAAGCTTGTGCCAAGACATTGCACCGGACCCACTTGAAAGACGGGGCCGCGTTTAAACGGACGCCTTATGCGTTCACGTCATCAGAACCGGTTATTCATAGGAGTGTGGTGAAGACGATGAATAAGTCTTCTGTTTGAATGGTGAAACTGGTCCAAAGCTGCCTCAATGGCACCCACTTAATCCGTGTGTCTAGCACAGCAACTTTTGATACCTTTGGTACGGTCTTCTCGAGTGTAGGGCGACATGCTGTGTCATTGGCGTCAGGATGGCAACGGTGCTCTTTTTCGTTCTTTTGAATGATACTGGACGTTAATTAAGCCAATTTTTCTCGTAGTCATTCAATCACTATATATCCTTCGTGTTTTGTAGCTTCCATATCGCTGCAGATACGGTAAATCGCTATACTAACTACCGGGGACGCCTCTGCTGAGTAATGATCGTCGGACCTCGGTCCCGTTCAATTGTTGACCTGCTCCTATACCTTCCACCAACCTCAACCCAATATATCTGAAGGCTCTCCGACTAGCAATCTCAATTTACCAATGCTGTCACACGGAGCAGCGTTTCTGTTCCGACCGAGGACGCCTACATTGTTGAGCGCTCCACACCTCCGCGTCGGTCCCCGACAACACCGAGCACTCACAACAATGTCATCGTCGGTCTTCCGGGTTAAAGAGCACATCATCAATTGCCACCATACAAGAGAGTACCCCGCGGCGACGAAGAACGGCGACACCGATATCCCACGACTCGCTGTGAAGCAGTACATCCCTATGGACAATGCCAATCCGCAGCCGGGTGATGTGACAATCGTCGCCGCGCATGCCAATGGTTTTCCAAAGGTTGTTTTCGGCCCCAAATTTCCCTCTCGTTTTTGTGCTGATCTTTCTCACATTTTCTAGGAAATATACGAGCCCCTGTGGGAGGCTCTTTCATCAGATCTCTCCACCCTCGGCGTCCGAATCCGCTCCATTTAGATCGCCGATGTGTGGAATCAGGGTCAGTCGGGTATACTGAACGAGGATATACTCGGCAACGACCGTAAGCCAGCTTCGAGGTCCATGTTCAAGCCACTGTACTGACAAGGCTGTGTTAGCGGGCTGGTTCGACCATTCCAGAGACTTGTTACGCTTGATTAACGAGAAACAAGACGAAATGCCACATCCTCTCATTGGAATAGGACACAGCATGGGCGGGACACAGCTGTGAGTCTTCTGTCCTGGCCTCGGATCATTTGCCGATATGAATTAACCTGGCTTGAAAGTGCATACCTATCGCTGGCGAACCCCCGCCTACTCCGCTCTCTTGTCCTAATTGACCCAGTCATTCAGTCTACCAATGCCGGCATCATACCAGGAGTCAGCTCCACATCTCGCCGCGACGTATGGCCATCAATGGACAAAGCAGTCTCGAGCTTCCGCAGAAGCAAACTCTACCGGTCGTGGGATCCTCGGGTATTGCAGCATTGGATAGAATACGGTCTTCGCCCTATGGAGCCAGATACACACGCTGCCCCTGACAACTCAAGAAACAACAGCCCAGTTACACTCGCCACCTCAAAACACCAAGAGCTTTTCTTGTACCTCAGGCCGACATACCGAGAGACCCCCGGCGAAAGATACACAGATTACGAACCCTCCACGGACAGATCACAGCCAGAAAGTTATCCGTTTTATCGCCCCGAGCCAATGCAGATTTTCCGACGTTTGCCCGAGCTCCGCCCCAGCGTTCTTTACATTTTCGGCAAGGACTCATACTTCGCTACTCCTGAGCTTCGAGAGCCTAAGATTGTTAGGACTGGGACTGGGGTTGGAGGCAGTGGGGGAGTTGCTGCGGGTAGGGTTCAAGAGGCTGTCCTCGATTGTGGACATATGATTCCCATGGAGCAAATTGAGGAATGTGCAAAAGAAACGGCGAACTTCGTCGCTTCTGAAGCATCACGATGGGAAAACGAGAGGAGGGCGTTTGAAGAATACCAGAATGCGCGAACGATGCGCGAACAGATGACAATTGATGAACGGTGGGTGGATGAAGTCGATCCAGCGAAGCATCAGCCTAAGTTGTGAGCTCTCTCTTGTTAGATAGGAGGTTTGCTAGGTTAATTCACACTCAATAAAAAATCGAGTCCTTCGTTCAAGAACTGCCGATTGTTGCGATACTAGTCAACTCTGGACCCACATATGAGCCTGTCAGTATTAGGGCGTGCGGGTCGAATGTCATTCGAAGGGCGCACTTCCATCGGCAACTTGTGCGAACATCGACAATTTCTCGGTTCTATCCCCGAAATTCGCAATGGCTCAATGAAAAATACTGCGCCGGTGGCGCGAAGTCCTGGACCGAAACGGTATCAATGATCTACCTCGGGTTCTTCGCCCGATGCCGGTATCCGAGTAACAAATCTTCAATCGTTTACCTCGAGCTTCGCAGTTAGTTCATTCTGTCTACTCATTTTCTCTTTTCCCGTTGGAAATCGACTCCCTCACCTGTTCAAACCGCTGCCCAGTCTACCTCATCTTGACCTCCCGGCGCTATCCCATCGGGCAAAAACGGGCCTTCCAGTCATTTGTCACGGACTGGGCCGAATGAGACAGCCAAAGGTCAAAGTCAATCTCACAGTGAAATGCACTGGCTTAGCGAATGTATACACAACGGGTGATACAATCGAAGGCTACGCTACTATTACCGTGAATCGCGATACTCCTTTCGATGAGATTGATATCATCTTTGAAGGTACGGCTACCCACGAGGTCTTGATACAAGTCGCTTATTTCTTAGGTATATTACAGACAGAAGTCGAGCGGGTAGCATGTCCCGGCTGTTCTGGATCTAAGCGACGATTCTTCAAAGTCCGGCAACCGATCGATGCAACTGAATACCCATCTCCTCGAGTCCTTTCGCCTGGCCACACATATCACTTTCCATTCTCCTTTGTCGTGCCAGCACTACTCCTAACGATTGTTTGCAATCATCCTCAGGCGGTCTCAGATGTCAAATTTTATCACACACTGCTTCCGCCGACGTTACACGACCCACTATTCGGAAAAGATGACATGGCCCCAGAGGGAAGCCAAATATTCTATCGCATACGGGCATCGGTTCATGGCACAAGTTCCAGAGCCATAAAAACAGATTTGCTAGCAGAAAGTGTTCAAAATGTACGGATCCTCCCGAAAACTATGGGACTTGCGAGTCCTGCAAAGGAGATGGGGAGCCTGAAAACCTACAATCGACAAGAGAGTACGACGCGGTTTCAAAAGGAAAACTGCTGGGCAACTCAGAGCTGTACTATGGAAGCCTGAGCCCATCCAACTTCTCCCCTCAAAAACGGGTGAATTCGAAGCTCTTGGTACTGTCGCCACGATAAATCTCATATTTCGGCCTGCTCGAGATGAACTGCCGCCCCATCTGAACACGATAACAAGCAAACTGTCTGTGGGAAAGTTTTGCAGTTTAGCTCCACTAGGCAAGCTACCTTCATTGCTTGACACCACGGACTTTACCCGCGTCGGTCGAAGTTTGAGCATTGTGGAGGTACGACTTTCTTCCCTTCGGCTGGCTCCAATTCGATGGGAAAGATGCATATCGTCTGCTAATTCTGTATGTGATGGAAGAACATATCCAGTACTTCCTTGTCAGCAAGATGCGCTCCTTCAAGAATCTAGAGACCAAATGAAACCGGTCCTATCAAACGTCTGCTATAAGGCGACTGTCATCGTTCCTGTCAATCTCCCAAAGTCAAAGGCGTGGATTCCGACATTCCATTCCTTGTTACTTATCCCGCACATATGCCCTGCGTATTGGGATATCATACAGTGAATCAAGGATGGAGCATGCCATGTCAACATTGGATCTCAGCATTCCTATCCAGTTGAACGGCTGTCCAGTGTCTGATCAACCTCCACTTCCACCACCAGAGTCACTCAATATCGAAGAGAAGCACAACTGAGAGCTCGGAAATCAATTGTATAATTACATTGAGCATATACATCTCTGCTTTCTTGTGTAGAAGAAAGAGGCATAACACTCTTTGATTTTTATTTTATTCTTCTGTGCATATTCTGACAAGATACAGCCCACGGAGCAGGAGATCTGTGGCTGAAATAGGCAATGCTTTATAGATCGCTCGATGCGGGCTAATCTCGAGCCGCAATCATATATCAGCAGCTCTACAGTAGTTTCCAAGGCGCTGTTGGCGAGAGAATCAATGTCTTGTATACATTTGTAAAGAATATTCCATGTGAAGATCACCTGCACACTCTATCAAGGTCCCCAGCCCACAAGGTATATACCTCACAATTTAGCCTGCTTCGCCCCGTTCTGCAGCACATACCGATACCTCGCCTTTCCATCATGCATATCGACCAGGGCGGCATTCACATCCTCCATCGGCCTCTGCTGAATCCAGGGTAACACCCTCTTCTCCGCCGCCAAACTCAACATCTGACGAATATCCTCCGGCGAGCCAATATTGGAACCAGTAATCTTAACCCCTTTTTGGATCAACGAGAAAGCAGCTAAAGGGGGCAAAGGGTCTTCGGGCGCGCCAACCTGCACAAAAACACCTTCCCTCTTCAGAAGTCGCAAATACTGGGCAAGCGGCATATCCGGACCCGAAACAGTCGAAATAATCACATCCAGAGATCGAGAATGAGTCTTCGCCCACCCCTTTTCTTCCCCGGTTGCAATGAAAGCATCCGCACCAAGACCCTGGATGGCATCCGCCTTCTTGCTCGATGATCGTGAGATCGCTACGACGCGATCAGCTCCCAGCGCCTTCGCGAACAGAACACCGACATGGCCCAATCCTCCAATACCAATAATCCCGACCTTCTTTCCAGGGCCAACACCATACTTCTTCAGCGGCGCGAAAACAGTCACACCGCCACAAAGCAAAGGCGCCGCCTCAGCCGAGGGCAGAGCATCCGGAATCTTGAAGACGAAATGCGCCGGTCCACGCCATCGCTCGGCAAATCCTCCATACGATTTACTCTTATCCGCATAACGCCCGTTATAGGTTCCGGTCATGCGGGTACAATAGCTCTCCTGGCCATCCGCGCAGGCGTCACAATCCGCCTTAAGACAAGAGCCACTCTGCGCACCAACGCCGACGCGATCACCAACTTGGATTTCTCGGGATGCGACTGAAGAAGCGAGAGTCGGGACACTGGATCCAATGCGCTCCACTATTCCGACGATTTCGTGGCCGACGACACAGGGATAGTCGGTTGGAGCCCAGCCGGAACGGAGGGTATGCACATCTGTCCCACAGATTCCGCAGTGTGTGACGCGGATCTCGACGTCGGTTTCTGTGAAGGGCTTCGGCGTGAAAGTTGTAAATGTCAGAGGATTTGTGGCGTCGTGGGCGACCCAGCCGTTGAATGTTTTCGCTTGTTCGGACATTCTATCGGGGTTGCAGGGTGCGAGGAAGCGTGATTGAGCGGAGTTGTTGAAGCGATCGAAGCAGTGTGAGAAGAACAGTTCCTGCGCGCGATCTGAGAGGAATTGACGGTTTTTCAGGAGTGAAGCTGGTCGGTTGAAGGGCTTCGGGGGACGATCGCTGCATGCGATGCGGAGAATGATGAGCCGAGGTTGCGGCAGCCGAACAACTGTGGATGCGCCGAGTGTATCTGCACCGCAAAGAACACCACTTGATCAATGAGTGTCCCTTGAAAAATCAGAGCAATGTGTGTTTATTCTCGCGGTTTTCATATTCTTGAAGTCGTGGGACTCTGGCCAATAAAGTATTTTTCTATCCATTTCTTGCCAAATCAAAGAGCAATCCTTATCGGCCAACTACAAATAACAATTACCTACCTCTTTGATTCAAAGAGTCGCCCATTGGTATTAAGTCTCCCGATTGGTCGATCTTTCATCAGATTTAGATATACTAAGGGTGAAGTGTCTCTGATATCTTCCAACCAATAATCAACTACTTTGTAGACGCGCGAATTAGGGAATCATAATGAGTATAAGTCCAAAGACAGACGGGCATCTGATGAACAGTGGGAATCGGCTCTCTGATGTTCAAAATGCGATATCGATTCCCCCGAAACAATGACCTTTTGGAAAAAAGAACTGATATCCATCGGGCTAGGAATGAATCTCCAAGTATAGTTCATGTGCTCACATTGACAATGCCATGTGACAGGACCGCCAAGATCCAAGTCGGAGATGCTTGCTCTCAGGCACAACCTATAATAACAACGGACTGTGAGAATTATTTTTTCGTCATTTCCAAATCAGGTCTCCTCCAACGTTCAATCTTTCTTTGACTTCATCAGAAAACAGAATCACTTCCCCAGCACTCTCCGAGATATTTAAAGAGCATCCATGGATGCTTCGACTCGATTCTCTTACTGAGCTTCCCATCTACAACAGGACCATGTTCATGCGGACTCGGACCGACACTATCTCAGTTTGCCACAGGTCAAGTTAAATCTTCGCAGAGGAAATCGAGGATGTATTTATGTCAGAGCGCGCTCTTCATGAACTGGTACAGCGCGAGGAAGCACTGCGCTATCGGGTTACAGGCCTCTAAAAGGCGGCTGCTCTCGAACCCGACAACCCTGGAATCGGAGATGCAGAGAAACAGCTTCAAGAAGTTGGAGAAGAAATTGCAAGGAAGGAGTACAAGTTGTATAAAGCAGAATGCTCTCCCACCGAATATTTGAAAGTCCGATATGATAATTTAAGGAGCAATGAGAAATGGTTTACGCTGAAGGAGTTAGTGCAGGACTGCGCAGAAACGAGGCGGATGCTATAGTCGGGCCTGTGGATGTTGTGAGCAGAGACATCAGTCCCAGATTTTTTTAAAAAAGGGAAAGGCCATTGCACTCCAGAGTGTTTGTGCTGCACCAACTATCGAGGTTTTGAGCTTCCGGAAGATCTGAAGGAAAAACGAGAAAAGACTATCAAAGCAAACTAGGGATGATTATTGAGATCATTATCAACAAATGGCCGATGCCTTCTTTATTAAGCCACAGCTACAGCCCGTTGAGCCACAGCCACATCCTACGCCGCGGAAGTCACTATGGTCGCAGCTTTTTGGACGGAGTTCCACCAGAAAAAATGCCTCATGAAGTGTCTTGCTCTCGCTTCATTCCCAATATTCGCTCTCCTCTGATTGGGCTGCTGAATGAAGATCTTGAACCCGACCTTTCTCCACAGTACATGTGGTTGTACTCGTAGCACGACTGCAATGGCAAACACCGAGAATAAATCAGAGCAACCAATAGTAACAACAGTAAAAACAAACGCGCCATCCCATATTCACATGCTCGCTCATAATATGTACAGTGCAGATTAAACTAGTATGCAATTTTGAAACGTATCCTCTACCGGGAGGATACGCCCATTAGATCCTCCAGCTCGTCGCTGGTAAGAGTGCTTCGTCGTCGATTGCCAGACCGGCTGGAAGGCTTCTCAGGCCGACTGCGCTTGCGGGTCTCGCCTTCTTTGCGAATTTTCTCGGCAGTTCGAGCTTCATCCTCGGCGGCGGCGAGTTTTTGACGAACGCTCATTCGGGGTTCCGCCCCGTCGGCCTGGTTGTTGTTCGTCATTACTGAATTGTCATGTTGGCAAACTCTTGACTTACCTGGCGAGTGGACTTTGGGTCTGTCTTCCGGCGAGATGCCCTCTGGGTGACCGATTCGGATTTGTGGGCCTTGATTTGGAGTGTCTCGTCTGTATCAGGACTCGGTTCGCATGGAGAACCCTGCAAGCCTGGGGTAAATGATACCTTCCGGTGGCGCTTTGGCCTGGCAGCTAGCGTCGCGTTGTCATTGCGCTCCTTCAGGGCCCGATCAGATCGTTCAGGCACCTTACGGATCTTGGATCTCGTTTCTGGGACTGTTGAGTCCGGTTCGGGCTGTTCTTCCTCGTTCATGGCTTCGTCCTCCTGGTCTTCCAAGATCGGCGAGATCGTGTGTGCACCTTCGCGGCTTTGCATGCTCACATTCTCATTCGAGGTGAAACTCAGATCGAGGTTAATGCCTCGCATCAACTCCTCTGCCTGCACAGAGCCACCACCGTCAGCTAGACGTCGCTGCCATCCGTCCATCATGGACACAGCTTGTCTCCACCGGTTCTCCATCTTCTCCCAGCCCACACGCAGTCTTGCAATCTCATCGTCTCGAACCTCGACTTCTTCCAGTGGCACAAACGAGGGGTTGGTCAGAAGAGTGCGCAGGTGGTCCAGCACAGCGTGCATGCGCTGAGACAATTCCTCGCAAGACGTTGGGAGCGAAGTCACCGCGCTAGACGACTTGTTCGGGCCAACACTCGTACACATTGCAAACCCCTCTTCATCTCCAGGTCCATCCTCACCCTGTGGCAGCCCTTGTAGTTCCTTCAGTGTATCAACTGTGTTTCGCGCCAATTCAATCAAGGTGTCGTTCTCGTCGCTCAGGTTCTGGCAGAGCTCAGTCAAGAACTCCGTTGTCTCCTCCTTGAGGTTGTATGCAGGGTCGTTCACTCGGTCGCCGCCGCTCGCTCCCAGTCGAGACCGATCGACCTGGGGGTTGATGTTGATAGTTGTCACACTCAGGCCCTCGCGTTTACCCCGCTGTCGCTCAGCAAGATGCGATTTGAGCTTCTGCAGCTCAAGGTCACGCTTCCGAACGTCATTCGCGCATTGCGCGCGCACTTGTTGAACCGTGGTCTTCATGCGTTGAACCTGTTCCTTCAATCCGCGAATGGTGGTCTCGGCTTTCGACATGTTTGTCTTGAGGGTGCGCTCTTGCGCTTCGGCCAGAGCGAGCGATCGAGACAGTTCGGAGGTTTTTGTCTTCATTTTGCCCTGCGCGCACACAGAGATTAGTTTTCAGGTTTACAATCTCCGGGGTCTAGGGTACGTACAATCTCAATGGTTTGCTCCGACTCGGTCGTGCGCAACGCCCGGATCGTTGTCGCGAGGCTCTCACGGTGGTCGGCTTCACGCTGTACAGGCATTAGCACAGATTCGTCATAACAAGAAGCCAGAGTGACGAACATCTCTCCGCAAAACCAGGTCATTGACCAGGTTGATGATCCGGGCCATAGTGGCATCGGTGCCCCCTTCCTCATTTTCGGGGTCGGCGAAATAGATCGGGTGTCCGCTCTTCAGCAGACCTCTCGCCAGCAAGATATTGTTGACATACGTCGACGCGGCCTGCAAATTGTGTGCCTCCATGGCCGGCAGTTGCTGTGTGGAGCTTGCCGTCTCAAAGCGGAAGAGAGTAAACATCGACACTGCGGGGCCGCACAGCGACCACTCGCGCAGCTCCCGCACGTGCCATGCCTGGGCGGCTTCCTTCCTGAGCAAAACGAAGGCAACTCTCCTTTTCTTCAACGCGTTGAACGTCAGGGGACCCAATGTGAGCTGGTCGCCATGTCGTCTCTAAAGCTGCCCCTGCAGCAACAGGGCCACGAGCTCTGTGAGAAGGGTGATTTCGAGAGAGCTGTCTCAGCTTTTTCTGAGGTACTTACCCTCATTTCCATTCTAACCCAAAATGGCAGCCGTTGATCATTCTCCAGGCCTTGCTCAAGAAGAACGCGGACGTCATCAGTATTCTGGACTCTCGGTCAGCGGCCTACTGTGCACTCAAGCAGTATGACAAAGCACGTCGAGATGCGAAAACAATGATCGCACAGGCCCGACAGGACGCACGAGTAAGTAGTCTTGGCCTCGCGCCGTGATAGTGGGGACGATGACTTACAGACCACTAGGGCTACATGCGGGGCGCCAAAGCTCTGCTGCTCGACAAACAGCCTAAAAAGGCATTGGAGGTCTATGCCTATGGTCTCAAAGTACTCGCAAGTGGAAATGCAGGACGCCCGGTAAGCCCTCTTGCGATGCCTACTTCGCGATCTACACGCTGACTATGTCTGAAGCAACTGGAAAAGCTGCACAAGAAGCTCGAGGATCACATTCTCAATGCGACCAAGCGGATTGATCCATTCTCAATGTTCCCCGTTGAGATCGCAGCTTTCATTCTCCAGCACTTTTCCTTCAGGGAGCTCTCGTAAGTCCGGTTCTGCCACAACCTTGGCCTTGCAGCAATCTAACCGTAGGTCAGAGTCATCCTCATGGTATGCAAAGGCTGGGCGAGATTTTTGGGAGGTATCCGAGACCTGTGGATGAAAATCGACTTTTCCGGCGCCCGTCAAAAGGTGAAATGGAACGCTGTGCGGGCGGCGATCCGCTATTCCAGGGGTGCGCTTACCCATGCTACAATCAAAAACATGGCTCTGTCGTCAATGCCCCAAACCCTCGATTACTTGAGCAGGTGCTCTTACTTGGAGCACCTGGAACTCTTTATCAACCACTCTGGGAATGATATCTTCCAGAAATTCAGGAACTGCAAGCACCTGAAAACCATCATTTTCTCGGCTGAGATAGGGGTGACAAAAAACGAGATCAGCAAGTTCCTCGCCCATTTCACGAAACTCGAGCGCATTGAGTTCTGGAACGTGAGGAGCTCAATCCTGCGAATTCGGCCCGAGTGGCCTACATTCCTCCCCAATATACGGAGCATTACACTAGCCACGCAGGAGAGCGTTCCAAGGTTCGATCCGAATGCGTTGACGCTTCCTGGTCTGGATAATGTTTGTACCCTGTTATCTACTCATACAAGATTCAATACTGACAATTTTCCAGAATAAAGCCGGGGCGCCGACATACCCAAATCTACAAGAGCTCCGATTGGATTGGGAACCCCCGATTTACCATCGATGGTTTTTCTTCCCCCAGACAGACCCCTTCGATGGACCAACCACTGGCGCCCTTTGGCCCCTCCGACGCCTCGAATTAAACGGCTTAACGATTTCACAAAACTTCGCCCGCATCCTACCTACTACCCTCGAATACCTCAGCCTCAGCGGCGGATCCGCGATGACCCATCACTTCGATGAACCTATTCCCAAACTCACAAAACTCCACACTCTCAAGCTCAAGGACACTCGCTGGATGGGGCCTGGTACGCTTCCATATTTACTGGCTTACACCGAAGCTCCACTCCGTGTCTTGCACATCGAAGAGGCCCCTCGTTCTGCCACCGACGCTCTGAGGATCGCTCTTTCTGACGCCTCGGCATGCAATCCGGAATTATTCAAGTTGGCCGAGTTGAGCCTCGCATCCACGCAGGGGGTGAACTACGATTTCGTCAAGTGGATCAGCTCACACTTTATGGATCTCAGGGTCCTTGATGTATCTCGGACGCCTATCACGGGTCTGACCATCCGCGATTTCGCCGTCGCGAAGGTAACAACCGGACAGCTTGCTCTACCGAACTTGGACTGCCTTATTGTTAGGGGGTGCGAATTTGTGTCTTCTGACGCGGTCGAGTTTGGGCGTCAGCGTGGATTGCAGGTGATCACTTGAATGTATGGAGAAGTTTCTGTGTTCGATTTCAGTTCCATCTAGTTTCGAACACATCCAATTCAATTTCACCGATATTCATTTCCATTTCGTTTCTCACGTAGAATATTTCAGCGTGCCTTTATGCATAAGCCTATCCTCGGTAAATGGTACGACAACTAGTTAGTTAGCAGCATTATCAATGATGACAAATTGTCCCATGAGCTTCCCTCGATCCATTGCTTCCCTCACTGTTCATCTGTATTGGATGTCCTATTTGACCACCTCTGGTAGATAGCTGAAGATGACGATCTGGCGGATACCCCTCTCGCGAATCATTCTACAAAGAGGTCCATAATGCAGTGGCAGTAAATGATCGATACGGAGGATGAGATCTGGGCAGAACAACCAACCCCACGCACTTTCACGAGTCGTAGAGGGATAACTTGACCCCGTTCGCCTCTTCTTAAACCATACACAGATCTTTTAACTACTTCGGGCGATACCAGCAAGATTGCAACGTGTATGAGCGGGTTATAACCGGCCCAAATACCACATCCAAATCACATCAGAGGGAAAAGGGCCGTGCGGCCAATCTGGACCGGAGCGGGCATATCAACCAAACGCATTGTGAATCTCTTCTTGGGCTGCACGATAACCTGTACAATAGTACCATATAATTCTTTCGCGAGACTATTATTGTGCACCTTCCCTTATCTAACCTATCTCACGGGAAATAACCAGCTACAAAGAAAGAAAAACAATTCAACAATCTCAATCTCGCAATTTTATCAGCAAATCTTAAATCACAAATCAAGCCAGGTCTACAAATCAATCATGAGGCTCAGGCTATGTACAAGTGAGCAAAAATCACAAAAGAAAATCATCTCAGAGATTGAAAAATCACTCCTTCTCAGGAACCCCCCGCTCCTGGCACCACCTCTCAACCTCGCGAGCCAACTTCTCCCTCTGATCCCTAACAAGCTCCATCATAGGCTCAACCTGTTTCCGGTGCGAAGCAATCAAATCCTCATTACCCTGAATCGCAACAACACCCTCCTTGGGCGAGAGATAGGTATCGTAGATGGTAACCATGAGATCCATGACAGCGGAGAGCTGGTTAGGGAGCCACTGCAAGAATTAGCACACTTTTCCCCCCTTATGTGTCCAAGAGGAGGGTACTCACAGTAACAATGGGACTACCACCGGTAGCAGTAGGATGCGGCGTCCTCCGAATAATATACTCACGCGCGAAGAGCCAGTGGCGCCAGCGGAACGAGCGGACGTGGTTAAGGACCTTCAGGAAGAGCACTGCGGTCTCGGAGTCTTCGACACAGTACTTCTGCACGCCGATTTGCTCGGACTTTTCGCGGATGTAGGTGAGGAATTCGCGATGGGGGAGGGGGCGGTAGGCGCGGAATTCGTGAAGGATTTTTGTTAGGGGGGTTGAGGGCATGGGGATTTGGCAGAGGTGGTCGAGGAGGGGAATCTGATTGTAACTGATTAGAATGGGGTTGGTTGAAGGTGGGTGTGGAGGGGACGTACGATGCTGTCGTTTGCACCGCTCTCGCCGCGGAAGTGTAGGGGCTTGTTGTCTTCGACGCCATCATAGATCACGCCGTTCGGGAACATGGATTGGTTTGTGATGCCGAAGATGAAGACGCGGAAGGAGAGGTACTCGGAAGGTTTAGAGTTGCCCCACATGTCTGTTGTAATTAGCGTTGGACCTGAAGTATATGGAATAGGGTTTTGGGGGGGGGGGGGGGGGGTGGTCATACCCTCCATAGCCTCTTCGATCTTCTCCATCGTCTGCAGGATTTGACGGAAGCCGTCGTTGATGTCCTGGCGAGGACCGTTCTGCTCAAGGGTGTCGACGACGCGGAGGGCACCGTTGACCAGGGCTCCGGTGTACTTGACCATGTCGACGTGGGTCAAGATGAAGCCGGCCTCGGAGCTCTTGGGGTCGTGGCCGCGTTCAAAGGCGCGAACCAGGCGGAGGTTGGAGTATTCGTCCAGTCCCTTTGCCGGGTCGGCGGTGGTGTAGTTGAACAGAGCATAGGAGGCGGCATAGGACATGAAGGGTGGCAGGTCCAGACTGGATTAGTGTTAGTTGTTATGTTGATATGAGATGGGGGTACTTTGGACAATGTCCAGTCGGCATGGGTAGGACAGGGAAGGACACCAGGCAAAGGGAGAGGAACTTACATCTGTGCACAGCGGTACATCGGACGAGCAACAGACTTCGGAAGAACATCCCGACCCAGACCATAGCTCTGGTCAGGCAGCTTGTTCCAGTTCTCCCAGCAAGGCTCGAGGAGGTAGGACGACGCGACGAAGGTGTAGTCACGGAAGATAGCGGCAATGGTGAACTTGTCATAAGAGCCATCAGCCAGACGAAGCTTCTCAACCTCATCAGTGAGGTCGGTCAGCTCGGACTCAACAGCAGGGCCAAGCTCATAGGTAGCCAGCAGACCGGGCTTGCCATCGGCCTTCACGACGGGGGAGCGTTCCACCAGCGAGGCCAGGGCCTTAAAGGCCTCGGGGAGGGTAGTGGGGGCAGTGGCATAGGGAAGGAAGCCAGTGGAGGTGGTGATGGTGAAGGGGTCCAGGGAGTGGGAGAGGGTGGCAGGGTCCTCGTGGACGTGAGGGAACTTTTTGAGGGTAGAAGGCGAAGGGAAGGACACTTGAGTTCGAGTCATGGTGACGGGCAACGGCAAGTGTTAAGTAGATGAGAGATGTATTGAGGCAAGAGGGTGGTGATAGTACCCTGGGTAGGTGTCTCAGTGGAGGAAGAAAGAGTAGATAAGGTAAAATGGACCGGACCAAGGCCAAAAGGCTAAGTCAGACCAGGAAAAAGGCAGGAAAAAAAAGTAAAAAAAAGATTGGGAAGAACTTTGGATTCTTGGGAGATGCTTAGAGAAACAGAAAGGGGACAGATTTGGGCGGGTGAACAGCCCATTCTTATAACCTCAGAGGCCGGTATCAATTCCGGCCTCAGGTCGAACGGCGTGGACATGGCGTGGATCGGGTTACATCAGACAGCAAAGTGGATTCAGCGGTGCTGCACATCTTTGCAGTGTTAGATAGGCCTTTACATAAAGGTTTCCGGTCATTTCCAGCTACTTGACCCTTCTTGAAGGTATTCACAAGGTCTATATAGAAGCCCAATATAGAAGGCCAGCCAATGGTCACGGGAACGCACTAAACCCGTTCTAGCATTGTGACTGTCAGCGCGGATTTCGCGATATTCCCGCATATCAGCTTCAAGATGCATCATCAACGACGCCATTGGGTGGTTGAAAGCCGAATCGATCGGCGAGAAACACTTCCGCCCGGCAAATCGATGGGTTGTAGTATGATTTCGCTCACTGCGGCCCTGACGCAGTCTGTATACTCCCTCCGATGCCAAGCCAGGTGCTCCAGATCCCTCCGTCTTATTGGCGAGCCAAGCCCATTTTGAGTTTACTAGCGCCATGAGGCCGGAATAGAACCGGCCTCCGAATCTAACCGGGCATTCCGAGTATATCCGGCCAGCTGCAGCCTCAATTATCAGACATAAAAGGGAAAGGAATATTGGAAGGGTGTTCTTTGAGCACTAATCTAGTACATAGGCAGCAACAACTTTTCCTGTCATCAATAAGGGAAGCAATTTCTTTGCATGAGCAATAAGATCTGGACATTAGATTACTCCAGCATCGTTTGACCTCATTTTGGGACGGGTCCGAACATCTCATATTATAACACATGTTTCTACCATATTTTTCCTTCTCGCTCCGCCAGTGTAAGGTACGTTCTAACGTCGAGGAAACATAGGAGGCTTCTGACCCTCCATTACCACTTTGATTCTCTTCGAAATATCCACCATGTCATCCCAAGGGAGCCTATATCGTATCCTGAGTGAGTTTCGAGTTGCTCGACAAGCAAAAGCAAAAGGGAAGATTCCACAGTACCGCGTGTAACATTCTGCTAGACACAACCGGAGCTCCGAGGAGCACAGCTGACAGAAGCACTGAGACAACTGGAAGAATACACCACGGCCAACGTACATGGATAAATGTGCTGGTGATATACGCGCGGCCGTGGACGTGGGTGGCCTTGGTACTGGTCCGGATAATATAAGTCATTCTCATGGCCATTTCGACCATTGATACTGTGATGTTTTTGCTATCGTATAAGATAAAAGCGGACTGGACTCCAGGGAAGTACGTAATGCCACGACCCACTGCAAGTGTGCTGTTGAAGATACTAAACACTGTTCCTAGCAAAGTGGAGTAAGTTCTCAAATCAATGGCGTAGGGTGAATACTCCGGCGAAGTCTTGCTCGCATTGGGTGGAGCCAATTTTACAGTCATCAATTGCACCTCCATAAAAATAGAGATTTTTGCTCTTTGTAGTTTTGAGGTAGCAGTGATTGACGCATCCGTCTTCCTATATATTATGGTAACTCAAATGAGAGCATTTTGAGGTCTACCTCGTATTTTATTGCCATGTTTCTGGTGCTATATGTTGCGGAGGTAGCTGATCGCGGATAACTGTCTGCCCGATACGATGCAAGCCAGAGCCCGATCTGGCCGATGAACACAGTAACCAGTTTGAGCCAATCATGGTATGGTATTCTGAGGATCACCCCATGCAATGCAGGCGCTAAGCTGTGCTGGAAGTCTGCGGCTCGCGCTCGAATCGGTTAACCGCAAGACTAAAGGCTGTCATCACAAATACGAATTCATGATCCCAGCCAACAATGGTCCAGGCCCTCGCATAATCTAGGGGGTTGAGAATGCTTAGCATAATGCGAGCTCATAGGGGCCGTCATAGGAAGATCAGAAATGACAGGACACAAAAGGCCTACACTCCCCCGGCTTTCAATTTCTTTCTTTCCATTCCAAGGCAGCGGGCCTGCCAGCCTCACTCCTTCAACTCTACCCGCTGTCGCTGCCTTTACCTACTTATTTGTGTAATCTATGATTTTTCTTCTGTTGTTTCTGTTCCTTCCTGACAACCTTTCTGTTCTTCTTCGTGGTCCTTGTGTGTATATGGGACTTTACTTGTCATTGGCCAATTTTTCTTTCTATCTGTTGTCTTCCACGTCGCGTCGAGGTCTCTTAAAGTGCAGTCTATGTTTGTTTCTTTGCTAGTGGAGACACATACAAGAAGAGTTCAATTCAGCCGCAACCGGACAGCCCAGTGAATTTCATCTTCTAAATCTTCAACCGCTTCGAAATCTTGCGGGGGCTGTTCAACCGCATTGGCTGGATGCAAGGGATACCACTGGTCCCCTTGCTTATACTTGTTAGGATATCAGGCCCCATTGTGCAGAGGAAACAATATACGAAAGGCAAAGCGACCGACAAAATCCACTTGACGAACTGAAGTAACAAGGGAAACATACACAGCATGCTCGACATGAATTTACTATTCTATCAGAATCTGGACTCGGACCGTCATCTTTCTTCGACAGACAATTCCATTCATCCCACCAAATGCACGCATTTTGGGAAGCAATTCGACCGAGAAGGCGAGCTCAACTAAGTTTATCTTCAATTTCTCGCTATCATTATTTACAGCACAAATGCTAACATGCCGAAACAGCAAGCACAACAAAACACATACCCGTCCTCACAAGTATCCCGTGTCTGGTTGCACCTATTCCACACATGGATTTCCAACAGCGAAGGAGGTCGAAAGGCACAAACACGCTGTCCATGGCTACGACGTGTCCGGCCCAAGCAGTAAAGGGCAATACTGTCCTTATGCATCGTGCAAATATTCTTTGGCCAGAGCGACGCCCGATGGACGTTCAATGCGCAAATACAATCTGGCGTGACACATTCGCAACAAACACAAGCTGGACCAGGATCTTGCGGGTCGGGGGTAGTGTGGTGCTTCTTGCGATCCATTCCTTGGGGTCAATTCTCCGGACGCAGCGCTGCACTGGATAAGGCCGAGGATAGCAACCAAGCAGGATAACAAGGGTGTGGCGGGCCTTGTTGTGTTACCACCAGCCATGACCAGTCAGTTCATCGGCGAACACCCTCTTTCTCGTGACATACTATTTTCAAAAGCAGCGCCATAGGTGACAATCCTGGAACGACCGGAGACGAAACCTTGGTCTAGCGGTTCAGAAAATTCATCATCGGCCTCAGGTTTCACACCAGGGACCTTGTACCTTAGGACGTCAAGGGTCCCCAACATGTCTTTATCAAATCTTCATCAAGATCATCGAAAGAAAAACCCGACCCAAGCTTAAGCCCAGGAAATGGCCACATTCACCTAGTGGCATTGCCAAAAAGGCGCAGACCAGCCATGTCGGAGAAGAGAAACGGTGTTCGCAAGCGTTTCACTCGAAATCATTCATGTAGCCTTTTGCCGATCACGCGTTCGATGCGTCGCTCACAGAGACGCAGCATCAGCTGGACGTTTGTCATTTGACACAGCTGTATCCAGGAGGTGCGATTCCCGTCGTCGCGGGGATGTATCTGGTCATTTCATCGACGCACAAAAAGGGAAACAGAGCGTTTCCATATCTTTATCCTTTTTGCTAGCAAGCTGGTTGCTTTGTACACCACATGAAATGATGTTGCAGTGCGAGCGCTGGTTGTGGTGGCTGGGCTTTCTTCTCTCTGCTTGATCTCCTGGAGAGTCTTACAAGTTAATGCGAAGGAACCTCCTGCCGAAATCATATTGGTCTCGCGAGGGGCACCCCTGCGGGGCCAACAAGTTGCCAGCCATGATGATATTAAGTCCGTCAATAACAAAATGATAGGCGAAGGGTATCGAGGAATCGGTATGAACTCAGAAAAGAGGAGAGGACTTCATGATAAGAAAATATATATAGTAGAATAAAAATACAAGACAGGTTTGATCAGGATGTCCAGCGCCTAGTATAAATAGTCAGCAATCCAGCATTCATCAAAGCAAACAAACCCAGCAAACAACGTACCAAATATGCAAGTCAGAAGACCCAGCTTCTCAAAGACCGTCAAAGATCATGCCGGCAAACACGGCAGTTTTTATGTCCCGGTGTTCGGATTCTTCCCTGCAGTTTGTGGATCGTCCGTCGTGCTGTGGACTGTCTGAAGCTTTAAATACTCCCTCTCCAGCGCCTTCTGCAACTCGAACTCCGCCTGTCGCTCTTGACGAATCCGTTGCTTCTCCATATCCCGTTCGACACCACGGTGCATAGCCTGCCAGCAAAAACCACTCGTCAGCACCCATTGACCTTGATACGACAAAAAGAAACCCAACATACCGCACGATCTTGTTCCTGCGCCCAGTGCACAAAGTAGACGATACCAGCAGTCCCCAGACCGGTCGCCGCGAGAGTGAGCTTCGACGCACGAGACATTGCGACAGCTCTTGCAACCGTCAAAAATCCAGGAAATGGCAATTGCCTGAGGTCAAAAAGCATCGCGGACTATCGGGGGCTATCACCGGGCGGTGTGCGGTGGCAGAACGCCCCACCGCCTTGGGGGGTCATGCGTGGCTGATCGAGCTGGAAGCTCCGGACCCTCGCCGCTCCTATCGACAAGTTATCACCCCCTTCCATCACATTTCAGGGTTCTCGGGCAAGCATGGTGAGATTAGAGGACCCAACAGAGGTGGTTGAAGTCGGTGCAGGTGCTAACGGGAACGTGTGACAGTCGGCTCAGAACTCCGCGGGCATTCAGACCCTCCTCGATGTAGGTGGAACAATCATGGGTCATTGAATTCGTGGGCGGGTATACTAATGGGATGTCCAGGCTGAGAGAGAGGCTCAGAAGATTGTTCAGCAAGGTATGTATACAGTGTCCCTGGACTTATCCACCCTGAGTTACTTGCAATTGATCGGTTACTGATACTCCGCACTGCAGCCCGAGAATGTACGATAGCTACCCACCTATTCCCCGCGACCCGACGTATCTAACGTTAATCAACAGACCGCACCAAGCGGATAAGAGACGCCAAATCCGAGGCACAGAAGGAGATTGAGGAGTACCGCAGCCAGAAGGAGGATGAGTTTAAGAAGTTCGAGGCCGAGGTGAGACACTCTGACCTTGCGATTGCCCACTACACCCTGCAACTGTACTTTCAGCAGCAGTGGCAGTCGCAGCTTCTCCTCAATTGGCAATGCTAACTCTACCAGCACTCGAGCGGATTCAAGACGGCCGAAGCCGACGCGGACAAGGAGACCGAGGCGAAGCTGAAGGAGATCGAGGCTGCAGGCAAGAAGCAGGGAGACAAGGTTGTTCAGGACCTGATTAAGGCGACGACCGATGTCAAGCCCGATGTACCTGAGAAGATTGTCAAGGCATAGAGTGGTTTTTGTTCCTTCTGCTTCTTTTCATCGGCTTGCTAGAGAGATGCGCTTTCGTGGCTGTTCATCGATATCCATTGTTCGGGAAATATGACCTCTTTCTTCTGCACCAGTGTGCTCGTAGGATGTATATCTCATGCCTAGGTCTTATCTTGTGCTTGAAATTCGAGTCTGGGGTGGTAGATGAGTACTGGTCAATCGACAGGGTCCTGGTACACTCTAGTATGAAACCAGCTGTTGTCCTCTTAGTGCTAGTCGAAATTTACACTGGTGTACCAACAGAAGATTCGTCTGTGTCTCATTCTGCGGCCTGAACGAAGTACTCGTAGCTGATCGCCATATCGCTTCCAATCACCGCGTACCCCGGACAGACACCTCAGGCAGCAAGGGCTTTTTCCTGTTGCGTCATCGCGTGGCAGCTCCAACGCGCAGCACCAACAATGCGGTATACAGCTGCGATCCGGACAGTCACACGACCACTGCCCAACTTGCATCAAGTGCCTTGTCAAATATACACGACACGCCGTGGAATACATTCGACACCGCGAAACCCCAAATTTATCCTCGAACCCCGACTGGAGGATCATGGCCAACTCATTCACGACAAGTACTCGGTGATCCGAGATAACTACGGTATGCATCGCATAAACAATGCTTGAAATAGTATGTTGAACTTGCAGAAACTCCCAAACACCCCATCGTCCTTGCACATGGCCTCCTCGGCTTCGACGAGCTGCGTCTCGCCGGCCCCTACCTCCCTGGCGTCCAGTACTGGCGTGGGATCCGGGAAGCACTAACCGCGCGAGGCGTGGAGGTCATTACCGCCACTGTGCCTCCCTCGGGGTCGATTGAGCAACGAGCTGAGGAATTGGCGCGGGATATTGAGGCTGAAGCGAAGGGGAAGGATGTTAATATTATTGCGTATGTTTCTTCTCCTTGATTTAGGGGTCGATGGCTAATTTGGTTTGTGTGCAGACATAGCATGGTGAGTTTCTTACACCAGGGTATCTGTCGTTTTGAACGTTACGCTGACATGTGTCTAGGGGTGAGTTCTCAGTCCTAACGGAAAATACATAATCTTGTTTTAACAAGGGAAAAGAGGTCTTGATTCTCGATATATGATCAGCCATCTCCTACCACAGAAATTCAAAGTCCACTCATTGACAACAATCGCGTCTCCACATCGAGGTATGTATTCTTTCTTCCCCACGGCGTACCAAACTAAGACACCCTTTAGGATCCTCCGTCGCCGACTACGTCTTCGACCAGATAGGAGGTACGCACACCACCCCCATCTAAATATAGCATAACTTACAACACTGATGCAACAGCCGACCGCCTTCCCCAAATATACTACACGCTCAACCTGCTAAAAGTTGAAACGGCCGCATTCGAACAACTAACCACAAAATACATGACCAAAACCTTCAACCCGAGCACACCCGACGTGCCAGACGTGCGATACTTCTCCTATGGTGCAGCCGTCGAGCCCAGTATCTGGTCCGTCTTTCGCCTCTCCCACCGGATCCTCGCCGAGACCGAGGGCCCCAATGACGGACTGGTCAGTGTGGCGAGTAGTCGCTGGGGCGGGGACGCTGGGTATAAGGGGACGCTGATGGGGGTTAGTCATTTGGATTTGATCAATTGGACGAATCGGGTGAAGTGGCTTGCTGGGGAGGTGTTGGGGAATCCGAGGAAGTTTAATGCGATTGCATTTTATTTGGATATTGCTGGTAAGTCTACAGTTGGCTTTGGTGTGGTTGTGTGTGTGTGTGTGTGTGTGTGTGTGTGTGTGTGTGTGTTGCTAATATGTTGCAGATATGTTGGCTAAGGAGGGGCTTTAAGCGTCTTGATACCCATTCGGAACACTGAGATAGAATCATGATAGACGTGCGTTCTGAGATTACTTTTCTGGATACATGCAATGCACCTAAATCAAATACGATAAATATTTCTGGTGAGCTTGTTATCGTTGGGCAGGACAATATCAATGTTGTGACGATCCGCTGTATACCTCGGTCCCTTGGAGCAATGATCGTCGGGCACAGACCAAATCTTGTTCCGCAGTATGGGGATGCCAGACTCGATTTTTAATAAATCACTGCTGCAGTGCATATTGAAATATGTCTGACAGTCCCACGACTGCTATAATTATCCAGTGCCACGATGCATGCCAGGGCAGGGCTGAGTGCCCACCGTCGGCAGATCGCCCGGAATTCTGGTGCCTGGCGTGCCCTCTTTTTTTGGATGCTGGAAATTCGGGACAGTCGGCTCGGATTCTTTTCGATAAAAATGATAATAATAATAATATTATTATTAAAAAAAAATCCCCTACATATCCTACAGTGCCATTGAAATTTACTGTTCTTGAAGGTATTGCATTGCTGCTTCACTAGGTCGTTAACAGCTAATCGATCGGCTACGGCTTCTAGAAGGAGATCGGCCATACTTTTGTCGTCCAGGGATCTCCGCCCAGTTTCCGCGGACAAGAGTGGCTGAGCGAGGCGCAGTCTGCATCAAGCCTACCTATTCTGTCTGTATTTACTATACTCTCTAAAGTATTCTACTGTAGAATTTCTGAGTGGTTGTTGTAGTGAGAGTCGGTGGTCGTCGGATCAGTTGATCTGCGGCCCCCAAACGTCATTCCGGCTCCTCTCGCATTTAATCCGCACTTCCCCCAACATCCGACTCCATCCTTCCTCGTCTCGTCACCCCACGTCCACGCGCCGCGCCCGGTGCGAATCGAGTTGCAATTTTATCGACGCGCTGTTCCTCGACTACTACAAAACATCTGACGCGAAGAGAAAAAGCCCCGGACCCCGGGCGCACGCCGTCATGGCCGCTTCGGCGACAATCTTGCTGGATAGCCAGCACAAACATTACACCAACCTGGACTTTCTCTCGGGTAAGGTCGTCCTCACCCTCCCGGCTGAGGCGGCCATTGGCGGGATCCAAGTCAAGTTGGAGGGCGAGAGTCGGACGCGACTGTCTGGCCCACGGAACCCGCACAATGTCAACTCGGAGAAGAAGCGCACGGAGCTGGAGGTGCACAAAGTAAGCATCGTGGGAGATGACTCTGCCGGGGGCCATTCGGAATATGTCTAATGCGAATGATGCGCAGATCTTGTACAAGGTTGCGACCGTCTTCCCCACGCCGGCTGTCATGCAGACCGGGTCGCCCGCAACGTCCTACACCTTTGCCCCGGGCACCTATGAATATCCATTCCAGTTCAAGGTGAGATTGTCTTGTCGGGGTTACTGAGTTGATCTAACCTCCAGCAGTTCCCTTTCAACAATGCCTGCAGTAGTCACAACAGCATGCTCACCAACCTCAATTTCACCGGTCTCAAGGTCGAGATGGCCCGCGACACGAACCGCCATGTGAAAAAGACTCTGCCGCCATCCCTGAGTGGATTCAATGGACAGGCCGATATCAAATACTTTGTCAAGGCAACAGTCATCCGCCCACAGTTCTATAAAGAGAATATCCGAGCCGTGAGTTCCACCAACGCTGATCGTGTGGATTACCGATACTGACAGCCCAGATAATACCGCTGAACTTCCTCCCGATTGAGCCACCGCGAACAGGCAATCCCAATGAAGAGACCTACGCCAGGCGCCAACACCAATTCGGCAAGCCGCCCCCCAATTACAAGAAAAAGAATATTTTCTCGCGCGGCTCGAGCAAAGACGCCCAATCCGATCCTCCAAAGGTCACACTCGATGCTCGTCTCCCGAACCCTTCAATTCTTACCTGCAACGAGCCCGTGCCGCTGCGTATGATTCTGAAGAAAACAACCGACTCGCCGGATATCATCTACCTTCAAATGCTGCAAATTGAGCTGATCGCATACACCAAAATCCTCGCGCATGATCTTACATGGCAAGAGACGGGGTCTTGGGTTGTCGTTAGCCGAAGCAATATGAACATGCCATTGGGCAAACCCGGCGATGCAGCCAATACCGAATGGACGATTGACCCAACTCTCTGGACCAATCTCCCTCTCCCCAACTCGGTAGCACCCTCGTTCGAGACCTGCAACATCGAACGAAGCTACGAGCTCGAAGTCCGCATCGGCCTCATGCACGGCACACCAGGAGCCATGAAAGTACGTCACCACCACCGACGACTCACCTACTATCCAACCGCTAATCTCCCACCCCAGCCTCAACTCATTGTTCTCCCCCTTCGCATGCCAGTCAAAGTCTACTCTGGAATCGCACCCCCACAAGCCCTCCTGGACGCCATGGCCGCCGCAAAACTGCAACCCTCCCCGACAAAAACTAAACCAACCTCCCGACCATCCTGGCCCACAACCGGCGAGTCTGCTCCCAGGCCACCCATGCCCCCACGGCCAGCAGACGGACCCATCCCAGCAGACGCAGGCGCTGTGTATGACGACGCACCCCCCAGCTACGAGGATGCAATGGCCGACAATCTCGGTCCGGTGGATGGACCACGCCGCGAGTATCACCCACCCGACGCCTCTACCACCCGGATGGAACCTGGAACTGATGCCAAATCCCCAGTCCAGGGCAAGGACCGCGCGGCGGGCCCAGCTGAGGGGTTTGCGGCAAACAGTCACGATCGCGAACGTCGATCCTCCTCGGAATCCTTTGACATGTTACCCACCACGCCTCCCGAATCCAATTCCGGATCCCCACCCACCTCACCTGTCCGTCGATCCCAGAGTACGATGAAGGGTCCGCGTCACACCGTGGACGAGGAGAGTCCGCCCCAGTACCAGCCTGTTGCGGAGGGATCGCAGTTACCTGCTTCCAGCTCGCAGGCGCGGCCGTCACGGAGTAACTCACGCCCTATGAACCTGGGCGTCCCTACCCGGAAGCCTGTTCCACGGACCTCGGAGCGGTCTCGCTAGCCGCACAGTCTGTTCGGACATGGAGACAGTACATAATGACAACGACTGTCTACCTGACGGCATCAAGTGATATCAACTAGTATTTGCCACATACTTGATACCCGACGATATTCTGCGGCTGTTTGGCCGGCTTGCATTGCGTGATGACCATTGGGCAATACATAGTTCAATTAATATTTCCTTCTTCTTCATACCCATCAAGTTCAGAAATGAATAATGGAATCATCTACAAGAACTCCTACATTAGTATCGAAACCCAACCCACTCTCCCTCCAACTACCTACACTAAATAAATCTACAACAATTACGAAGTGTCCCATCAGGCAGTACTCCCCTAAGGTCGTACCTAAACCCATCCAACCCAGCCAACCCTCTACCACCATCACCACAGGGACAGATGTAAAAGTCCGAAGACAGGTCAATCCCTGCAGCGAAGCGGTTTGGCAGAAGGCTGTAACCCTCAACAGGGGAACTCCGGGTTAGATGCAAGCGCCAGTGCAAGCACGGGATGATGTGATGGTTTTGATGTATCGCATGAAATACTGGTCGTTCAAGGCAGGGACCTCGCCGAGTCAACCCCTAAGCATGCGATGGGTTTGTACCCTGAATTCAAGGGGAGAGGATTGGGATTACAAGTTTGGGAGGAGAGTGATACAGACGCGTTGAATTGAAGCAAAGGGGCTTACCATTGATGCTAGCTGCTATGGGAGCTATCTTGAGGCCTGAGGATTAGTGACATGGTGTGGCGTCTGAAGCCTCGCTGGTAAGGATGGGTATGCTCATAGCACGGTGCGCTGAGTCGTATCCCTACCCAGGGTGATGCGAGAACTCGAAGTGAAGATAATGAACTGACGGAGTGAGATGGGAAGAAGAGCGCGCTAGCGGAGCAAATCGCGGCCGATCGTGCCTGACCCAAAACGGCTAGCGCAACTCCACGGTTGGAGCTCCCAGCTGTGCACGAGGCCTGACCTCGTCTTCCAGTATCTCGGACCATGAACGCCTCGAACTCGCTAGACGGTGATCGGTGATCCAACGCGTGTCTATACTTGAAGGGTAAAAAACAAACAACACGACAATCCCTGCACCCTACTGCAACCCCCGTCGAGTCGATACCAAGCGGACAAAGAATTGCGGAAAAAGCGGAGCGCGCAAAATCGGGCAAACATTGTCGAACCCACCTTTCACTTCCCCTCTCCCGTTTGCTTTTAACTCTGCTCGCCTCGCTCGCCTTGCTGTGCTACGCTTCGTCCTCGCCTCAATGCTCTGACCGACCAAAATGCGCCTTCACCTCGTTATTTCCCGGCACGGGCTGCCGGTTACGCGCATCCTCTGGACAACCAAGGCCGTCTCCGCGCCAGTCTATGCCTCGCGCGGCGCGCCCGCTTCGGCCATCGCGTCGTCTCGGACGCCCAACGCTGCCTTCTCCAATGGTGGATATACGGTTGCTCAGCTGTTGGAGGATGTGAATGAGGTTGTGCCGCTAGAGACGGAGCCCAGCATGTTTGACCCGGAGTTTAGTGGGCAGTGGGGTTTGGAAGATTATGTGGTGGAAGTGGATGGGTCGGAGTGTCTTCATTTCATGGAGATTGAGGGGTTGTTGAGGGATGGTGACGAAGTTGTGTAAGTTCTGTTTCAGCTCATGACTTGCGATTTACGAAGGACGGTTGCTAATGCTCAGTAATGGTTTAGGATTCGCTCTCTTGAGCTTGCAGACCTCCGGGCTCGACGTCTTTGCGGCCGACACCAGATCACCCCCGAAGGCAAACATCTCATCGACGGCGTACCCTTCGGTTCACCATTCTACAAGCGGAACACCAATACCCGGCCTGCGATTACGATTCCCCCGCGCAAGAAACGGCGGACTGTGTTTTCGGGCTGGGAGCATGGCGCGGGTTTTGTGCATGAAGACCCGAACGCGGATGAAGAAGGCGATGGCGAGTGGCTGCCGCCGACTACTGGGTTCGGCAAAGAACTCTCGATCCTACCGGCCGACCAGGAGGTTTCGGATATGGGGACTGTGATCAGACACCCGATTGATCACTCTGCAGACGAGGAAAGCGAGGACGATATCTCTGAGCCTGAAGAAGCGGAGCTCGAGAGTGAGCTGAAGGCTTTAAAGGAGGACTTTGAAGAGCCTGCGTCGCAGTTTATCGATATCAGGAGTCAGACACAGACTGCTCCAGCCCTGCGATCTAGTCTTGCAGATAAACGGCCTTCGTCTTCGGGGAGCCTGCGTCGAGGCTCGGTATTGGGAACTTCGTCTCTGTCTAGCAAACGCTCTCGAGCGGATGAGGATTCCCCGCGGACTTCTAAGGCTGTCAGATTCAACAAGGGCGATAATAAGCCCCGGCCTGTTCAGCCGGAGATTGCAGAGCAAACCTCAGAGTCGGAAGCTGAATCTACGTCTTCGTCCAGCGACTCGAGCGACTCAAGTGACTCGGATTCGGATTCTGACGAAGAAATGTCAGAACCCTCAAGCTCTGACTCCGACTCTGACTCCAGTTCCGATTCCAACTCAGAATCGAGCTCCGACTCCGACTCAGAGGACGAAGCAAACAAAGTCACCCTGCGAAAGCCGCACATCATTGCTCCACCTGGAGCAGGCTCTCTCCGAACGAAAAAGAGCAACCAGCGCTGCAAAATGCGCCGTCGTCTCTCCAGACTGAAGGAGCTGGGCAAATTGCCCCCGCAGGCCGACTTTGCCGCTTTGCGAGAGTTTATAGAAGTCAACGGCGAGCAGTTCTTTGATGAGTCTAGTGTTAACTCTACGACCATGTCGAAAGAGGATAAGCAAAAGCAAGAGCAGGCCGAGTTTGAAGCCAGACGTGCAAAGCTACTTCGTGATCTTGCCTCTGGTGGTGTTTACGTCGAGCAAACATCCGAGAAGGAAAATGTTCCTCCACCTCCGCCTCCAGCAGAAGCACCGGAAGAACCGATCCCTGACGCCGACACCAGCGATGCACCCGAGCAAGAACCCACCAACAGACGCCATCTAGACGTTGCTAGCAGCCGTCGCCTTCTATTCGGGTCTTTGGGCATGCGTACGCCCAAGACCAAGGAAGATGACGAAGCGACACGGCAGAAGTTGGCCGCTCAGGCGAGCGCAGTCTCTCCTCGGCGGAAAATTTCACAGCGTCAGGAAGAACCTGAGGAGAATGCTGATGCAGAGGAAGATGAAGATATCGACTGGAAGTCCAAGCTTGATGTCAAGGCTGTCGAATGTGTGCTCACCGACATTCAACTTACGGCCCCTCCGTTCCCGTTTGTGAATCGTTGGGATGAAGAGGCCGATACGACTATTCGTCAGCGTCTTGGTTGGAATAAGAGGAGCAAGAAGCGGAAGCGCAAGCAGCAAGCTCAGGAGTATGAAGAGTATGGTGAGGGCTATGGCGAGGAGGGCTATGGCGATGACAGCTACTATGGCTATGAGGGATACAATGACTACAACGAGGGGTATAATGGCAATGAGGGCTACAATGACTATGACGAAAGTTATATGGAGCTGACCTACGATGATGCTCCTGCCGAGGATGAGCAGCACGCCAATGCTGGTCCTGCCGAGGATAACATCCCCGAGCTCCCCGAGCTCCCCAACGACCTCTCCTCTCTCGCCGATCTTACGGAATCCGAGGCCAAGCCCGGAGCAATCATCACCTTCCGCCAATTCGAGGTGTCCAAAGAGACCAAGTGGCGTCCGGGAATGTCCAAGCAACGAACCGCAGAAGTCTTCGAGGTCCTCGGGGACGGCCAAATCACTATTCGACTGGCAAATCGTGACCGGCGCCAGCTAGAGCTCGATGAAAACGAAGAACAAGTATTTTCTGGATTCATGGTGCCCGGCATCGACGATGTGGAGGACGACGGCTTCCGCGACGTCAGCTTGAATTCTCTTACTGAACCGAAGCTTCTCCGTGCTGCGCCAATGGAGGTTGAGGATCCAGACAAGGCAAAAGACAATGAAGGTAGCATGTCAGTAAATTAACCTGGATTTGCTGTTTCATTTGCTCACGCTTCCACAGTGTCTCTGTAGTCGAGGATTCCATGCCCAGCGCCCAGGCCCAGCTGGCACCGCTTGTTGACATGGACATTGACGAAACCACTTTTGTCACTGGTAGAACACGCCAATCGCCCGATCGATCCCCGTCCCGAGTCTCCGATGCGCCTTCCTATCAGACCCCCGGCGGCGTCCGTCTCCCACAAACTGACGAGGCGGCCTCTCCCAACTTCTCTGGCTTCCACTCTGTAGCCTCATCACCGCACACCAGACTCTTTACCGGTGAAGAGAGTAATCTCGAAGGCCACACCCTCATCGACGAGCAACAATCAATGCTTGGACACACCCTAATCGGCGAGCCATCGCTCCTCGAAACTTCGGCTAGTGCAAACGAAGGCACAGGCCAATCATTCCAATCCGCGAACCAATCCACCACCTCCAACCCCCCAAACCGACAAATCGTCGAACCTCTCCCCGACCCCTCAAACGAAGACTCGTTGCTATCAATCGTCCACGCACCAGAAGGCCCCACAAGCGCGGAGACGGGCACAAACGCTGACCTGCCGGACCTTACCTTCCAAACAACCAACGACAACAACAGTGCTCTGCACAGCGGGGAAAGTCTGCATCTCTCCCCGCAACCTTCTCAGCTGAGCTCACGCTCACGCTCGCGCAAGCCGAAAAGCGCACAAGAGCCTTCGCCCGACCAAACCACTCCAACCTCCGTCCCGGCTGCTTCGACCCGCTCTAAGAAATCTAAATCTTCGCAGCGGGTTGAAGAGACCCAGTCGCAGTCTCAGAGTGATTTCATTGATCTCACGCAGACTTCTTCGCCTGCTGCTTCGGGGCAGGCTGAGTCGGGGCAGATTGATCCACTCGCGAGTGGTGCCGATGATGCTCCTCCGAAGAAGACGAAACGCGCCCGCCCGTCAGAAGTTAAGGAGCAGCGCATGACGGAGGTTAGCGTGAGCCCGAAGGTTGGGAAAGGGAAGAGGCGGGCGTCGAGGAAGAATACATGATCATCTCTTGAATATCGGGAGTTCAATCGACTTTGATGGTTCCGAGTTTACTGTAGCTCTACTAAAGAGCATTCCAGTCGCTTCTTGCTCCGATGCTGTGCATCGTGTAACTATCTACACACTCTCTTGTATCTATTACGGTTAACGTTCATTAATACCACAGCCTGGGGATGTAAATTTACATGAGTTTCTCTATTCTACTTTACCCAAGATACCACTAGTAAAAAGTAATTTCATATCCTCCAGAACAAGAATATATCCTTGTGGTCATACATACTTGGGTGGTCGTCGCAAACAAGAAATGGTGACAACACCTCATCGCTAATTGGCTCACGGTGATGTCACGATCAACACTAATTCAGTCTGACATATCCACAGCTATCTTACTTCGGTAGTGTATAGCAGGTATAATTACAAAAGCTCTCAATTCCCCAAAATTCCCTTCTCCAATTCTACTTGTAATGCGCCTCCCTCGACCACGTCCACCGCCAACAACCGGCTTCTCTCGACTCGCCCATTCAACTCGAATTCGCCCACTAGTACCTCCTAAACCTGGTGTAGGTAGTACCTTGGGAATACCTGCAGGACCGAGTCTTCCCTGGTGTTCTAAGCTCTCACCGCGCCCGTTTTCCAACAGTACTGGTAGTGCTGGTGGTGGCATCCGACCCCGCCTTTCCTGCATTTCACCGCATCCTCAGCACACACCTCGCATCTTCAGCACCGCCAACACCTTACAAAGCTCAAAGTCAGGCGCAACCCCCAAAATAGCCAACATGCCCGAATTCAAACTCAAGAATCTACAATCCCTCACCCTCCCCCCAAACTCCAAAACCGAATACGAAATCGAAGGTCTCCCAGAAACCAAGATCCTCCTCGTCAACGCCAACGACAAAATCCACGCCCTCAGTCCTCGCTGCACGCATTATGGGGCTCCGCTTGTGAATGGCGTTGTTGAGGGGGAAAGGATAACATGTCCTTGGCATGGGGGTGAGTTCACCCACTGCACCATCTACTAGTCCGTAGGGATAGGATAAGACGAAGACGTATACTAATGTTATTGACAGCCTGCTTCAACATCTCAACCGGCGACGTCGAAGACGCACCCGCCCTAAACTCCCTGCACAAATTCGAGCTCATCGAAAAGGAAGACGGGGTATATATCCGCGGCGAGGAGGCGGATATTAAATCCGGTTCTCGGAATCCGGTTTCTGGATGTACAGTTTCGAAGGAGGAGGAGCATGTCGTTGTTGTTGGAGGGTACGTCCCCCTCCCAATCCCACTTTCAGGCATCAGGCATCACATCTCTAACACAGGTGGTATAAAACAGAGGAAGCGGCACACTAGGCCTCCTCCACAGCCTCCGAGCGCAAAACTACCCGGGCAAAATAACAGTGATTAGCAAAGAATCACCCATCGCAATTGACCGGCCCAAACTCTCCAAGGCACTCATCGCCGATGCTTCGAAGATTGCCTGGCGCGACGCCGCCTGGTTTAAATCCGCTGCCATTGATAATGTTACGGATGAGGTTACGCATGTTGACTTTGCCGCGAGGAAGGTTAGCACTTCCTCAGGAAACAGTTATACATACACGAAGCTCGTTCTTGCGACGGGTGGTACTCCCCGGACTCTTCCTCTCTCGGGGTTCGAGTTGGGGAATGTATTCACGCTCCGCGGTGTGGATGATGCCCAGGCTATCCTCGACGCAACGAGCACTCAATCCGAAGGAGAAAAGAAGAACATCGTCGTGATAGGCAGCTCATTCATCGGGATGGAATTGGCCAATGCGTTGGCAAAACACAATGTTTCTGTCGTCGGCATGGAGTCAACTCCACTTGAGCGCATCATGGGAACGGAAGTGGGGAAGATATTCCAAGCAAACCTCGAGAATAATGGGGTGAAATTCTACCTCTCTGCCTCTGTCTCGCACGCCAGTCCTTCCAGTGCTTCGCAAGGCAAAGTCGGGGCGGTCCACCTAAAAGACGGCACAACCCTCCCAGCCGACGTGGTCATCCTAGGTGTCGGCGTGCGCCCCGCCACAGATTTCCTAACGAACAACAACGGAATAGCCCTAGAAAAAGACGGATCGATACTCACGGATGAAAACTTCGCGATCCCCTCGCTGCCGGACGTCTTCGCCCTCGGGGATATAGCTACGTACCCGTATCACGGGCCTGGTGGTGAGGGAGCGAGTGTGCGGATTGAGCATTGGACTGTTGCGCAGAATGCGGGGAGGGCTGCTGGTCGTGCTATCGTTCACGCTCTCAAGGGTCAGGAGAAGCTCAAGCCAAAGAGGTTTATACCCGTCTTCTGGTCTGCGCTTGGGGGGCAGATGCGGTATTGTGGGAATACGGTGAATGGGTATGATGATGTATACATCACTGGGAAGCCGGAGGAGTCGAAATTTGTTGCGTATTATTTCCGTGGGGAAGTTGTTGTTGCTGTTGCTACTATGGGGGTGGATCCGGTTATGGCTAAGTGTGCGGCGTTGATGCGGGTTGGGAGGATGCCGGGAAAGAAGGAGGTGCTTGGTGGGGTGGACGTTCTGGGTCTTTAATTGATAAGTTGGGTGTTGAGATGGGGGTTTGTGTTTGTAAGTGATTAGTATTTTTTATTTTTTGGTTAGTTCAGGTTCGTATGAATGATAGTATATCTACTTACATCTACTACCTTGGATATACACTTGTAGTGTACCTACACTAGTGTAGGGTGCTACATAGTATATACCCACCGGGCAGTGTATGATACCAGTGTTAGTTTGAAGTCTATTTTCATGCTAACTCAACATTGTATGAATGTACATAATCCAGCCGGAACGCCCACCGCGAATGTAAAATAACAGGGGAATATCGTCGTGATCGGCTAAGCACCATCACTACTCCTTGCTCTTCTTTTCCTTCTTCTCCTTCTTATCCTTTTTATCTTTCTTCTCCTTCTTGTCCTTCTTCTCCTTCTTTTCCTTCTTCTCCTTCTTCGGCTTCTCCTCTTCTAGTGGAACATCAACAACAGAAACCACCTCAGCCGGCTCCACCGAAACCGGGACAACCCGCTGCATCTTCCTCGGCCGCGCCGCAGCCGCAAAATGGAACGGCAGCGACTGACCCTGCTGCTCCTCCCTGAGAAGCTTCTCCTCCTCCTCCGGCTCCAACATCGTCCCCTCAATGCTCAAAAATCCCTGACTCCGCTCCAACCCAGGGATAATATCAATATCAACAACACGGAACCGAACACTCCCACGCACCCGGTGACCCGAAACAGATTGGAAATGACCAGTGGCCCCCTCGCCGTCCTCCCCTTCTTCAAGGTCCAGCTCATCCGCCACAGCCGCAGGCTTAAAGTGCTCCTTCTCCGCATCAAAGCTCGCAGGCGCACCTTCCGCCCCCGACTCGTCGTCCGTCGTGGTGTCCTTCACGGTCGACACATCTTCTTCGCCGGGTGGTACCCACCGCCAATTCGTCGGCAGACGCTTGCGCTCGATACCGACAGAGAACAAATTGAAGACGACGGCGCCGAGAAAACCCTCCGATTGCACGTTGACCAGGCCGTCCAAGATCTGTCCGCGCTGCGGACGGAAGACGAGGAAGGTGGCTGTCAAATAGACGAAGAGGACGCCGTACTCGTCCGCTGTGCGAGCAAGGGTCAGCGGCTGGGGATTCAGATCGGACGAATCGCGCTTATTCGAGGAAGGAGGAGAACTGGAGATCGAGGCATTCGAATAGGCCATCACAATTCCCTTCAGCGGCGGGTAGTAGGTCAAGAGCAGCGGGGAGAGGTGCTCTGCAAGCAACGAGGCCAGGGCGTGCGTCGGCGAGATGGAAATGGGCGACAGCGGGAGGTACAGCGTAGCTGTCGTCAGGGAGAATGGCGAGTCATCCCTAACATCGATTTTGGAAGATTTCTTCTCCTTTGAGCTGGACTTGCGCTTCTTCGATGGCGAGGCGTCGTGCTTGTCGTGCTTCTTGTGCTTGCGTTTGCGCTCTGCGTCGTTCGTCGCCCGTGGCGAGGTGTCGAGGTCCATTGCGTCGACGGCCATTTTCAACGCAACTGGCTCTGGCGTGTAAAGACCCTAATCCGACTTTTTTTCTACTTCGATATCGAGAACTTTTTTTCTTGAGCGGAGGCGGTGGGTCGGGCGGTGAGTGGCGCCGCTGTTTGGCGGGCCGCGTTGAACCAGCTGGCACTCGCAGCAGCAGACAACAACAGCAGAAGCAGACACCAGCTTGATCTGATCTAGGAGAGACAGTGGGCGCATCTGAAGAGTCGGCATGGCGTCACTCCTCCCCTTTTTCGGCTGGGCCGTTCTCCCCAATGTTCGTGCTCCGCGGGATGCCCTATACCTCTGATCTATATCGCACTGACAGTCGCTGACACGAGCACATAGTATGCCACTTCCTTCTTGCAAAGCGTCTACTATGGCCTCACAATCCGAGCCGGCGAGCCACGGCCCCTCCCACAAACCCCCCGCTTCGAAAGACACCGCCGCCGCATCTTCCTGGTGGTAATCGTCAGCTACCTCCTCTACACGCTCTACGAGACCTTCCACCAAGTACAAGTCGCAGGCGACTACTACAAGGTTCTGGGAGTCTCGCCATTCGCCGATGAGAGGGTCATCAAGTCGCGATTCCGTCGCATGGCGGCGCAGCATCATCCCGATAAGATTGGGGCGGACGGACACCTCGCCGGATCAGAGATCTACTTTATGTTTCTGCGGCAGGCGCAGGAGACGCTCACTGACCCGGTGAAGCGGTTTGCGTATGATCGGTTTGGGCCGGATATGCAGAAATGGGGCGAGTTGAAGACGATGCAGGAGTTTGTGCTTGCTTCGTTGACCCGCTCGGTGCTGCCGCAGTATGCGATTGGGTTTGTGACAATGCTTGTGTTGAATTGGTTGTGGTGGGCGAATTGGGGCCGTTATGTAAGTTCCTCAGATTCAATCGGTGCTATGTTGGAGCAAACACAGCTGACCCAACTCGCACAGTGGCGCTTCTACACCTTCGCCGCAATGCTCACCCTCGAACTATCCATCATGACCCACCCGCAGGCAGTCTTCATGCCAACCGCCTACCTGCCTTCCGCACTCCGTAGCTTGTTCCCACAAGAGCAATTCTACCTCCTCCCCTTCCAGATTCTGACGCTCGCCCGCCGGGCATCGATCACACTGCACATTTTCATTTCGCAAGCAGCGCCGCCGGGTGTCGGGACCGTGGAAGGGACGGGGGGTATCTCGCGACAGACAATGCAGCAGGTTGCGCAGTTAGTGCAGACGTCTCGGCAGACGGACTTTGAGGCGACTAGGATGCTGCATCTAGGACAGGCGCCCTTCCGCGGTGATAAGGAAAGTGTTAGTGCGTTGCGCCGGGGGATGCAGGAGGGTTTGATTCTTGGGGGTGTTCGGAGTAGTCCGGGGGTTCAGCAGGCTATTTCGCAGGTTATGCAGCGGCGGCAGGCTGAGCAGGAGAGCCAGTAGCCCAGCATACACATTGTTAGAACGTACCCCCCAAGTATTGAGATTTCTAGTCCAAAAAATCATAGATCTTTCATCTGACCTTTACTCGTAGTCGATATTATAATGCCAGGATTTATCTATTTATATCTTTAATTGTACCTGGATTGTGCTATAATATTCAATCAAGCCAAGTTTGGTACGCTAGTCCATCCGAAGTCCGCCTGAAAAGCTCAGCTTTCCGAGGGTGGCGCGACAAGAGTCTCGTGATGCTGTCAGGCATTAGTACTACTCGTAGTAAAGTAGTAAAGATTCACCGCCTCAGAAGTACGAGTCTCATCCTCATTTGGATTCTCACAAAGACTGCAAGATGTGTAGAATAAAAGAAAATCCCTGCGGTCCTAGGCAGACTATTTCGGGACGCAGCGGGTGGAATGAGATCCATCGACGGTTAGGGTTGATCTGTCGGAATGCCTGGCTGTACGCCCCGAACTGGATGATGACTACTATAGGGCGAGGATGCGGTGTGATTCTGTCAAGTGAATGCATTACAGTAGAATTATATGAGAGGAGTAGGAATATCGTTGATCTGCAAAGTATAGATCTGGATGTACGGTAACGGTACCACCCGCCGGGCGCATCGCACTCTGCACCGCCTTGCTGCGTCCTGCTCCAAGCAGTATCCCCGTAATCTATCCGTAATACACTGACGCCAACGCGAGGCCCTCTCCTCCGGCGATGTTTCTCACGCAAAGAACCTTTCTATCCAGAATTAGACGAGATGAAATCCACACGCCTCGTCTGTCCCCGGCTCGTCCCCCCGCCCGTCCCCCTTCCCCCTTCCCCTTTCTCTTTCCCTCCCCCTCCCCCATCCTCCCTGATCCATCCACTCACCACTTTCGCCTCACCCTGAACCATACGATCGCAACACTCTGCTTCAGAGCAACCGGGCGGTGGAACACACGTCACGATCGCCGCCCCTTCCTTCAACCCGACTTGATCCCAATTCTCATCTCCGCCACCCCCTGTACCAGCATCCATCCACCATGCCCGCCGCCGCGAACGGTCGCTCCAATCGGGCTGGAGGCTCCAAGGGATCTCTCATCGTCAAACTCAAGATCTCCCCCGAGAAGCTCCAGCAATTCTCGACCGAGACCCCCGATCAGAAGCCTACGATCACCACCACCGACAAAATCAACGAGCGCTCCTCGCCCGCTTCCTCCACCGAAGCCCCTGCCGCTCGCCCTTCGTCCGCCGACAATGGCTCCGAGGCCGACGCGACCTCGACCCCGGCCACGGGGGCAACTCCAGGCGACACCCCACGCCGGAAGGGAGTTCCGGGTCCCAAGCCCGGCAACAAGCGCGCAAATGGACAGACGGATGCTCCCAAACAACGGGGACGACCCGGTCCGAAGAAGAAGCCTCGACTGTAAGTCAGCTCACGTCCGAGCTCAACTTGAGATGACGAGACCCTAGCTCGGGATGAATGCTAATACAATCCAGTGACGAAGGAGGCGATTTGGGCAAAATTGCCGCCGCACACCGACTGGGTCCCAAGGCCAATACCGGCGCCATCAATGCCGGTCTGCGCGCCCTAGATCGCACCGGCGCGCCGTGTCGGAAGTGGGAGAAACAACCTCTCCGTCTGCGCAGCTTCACCGGCGTCGCCTGGCAGCTTCCATCCTGGCGTACCCATCTTATCGCCAAGTCCGAGGACAGCGACGGCAAGACTGCGGCCATCGAGAGCGGCGACAGCGACAGCAAGCCCACCCTGGCTGCCCCGGGTACGGGGACCGATACGGTCAACGGCAGCAGTGCAGTCCCCAGCGAGAAGAGCAATTCGGGCGACGGCGATGTCACGCCTGCCCCGTCGAACCTGGCTGAGCCTTCGTCGCCGGCAATCGCGATGGCGGCTTAACTGTACATTACACCTACAGCGGACAGTGGATCTAGCTGATCTTGCTGCATCTTTGCTTCACTTTTCTTCCTTTCACACATTTGCTTTTATTTTCGGCTCGGGGTTTCTACGGCGTTATGGTTGCCTGATCCTGGCTCATGGCATTCTGGTTTGCGTGCGGCCTGGTGGCCATTTGACTTTTATCTTTACCCAACGCTTGGGGAGGGCTTCTATTGGACTGTATCATAGTGCGTTTTCTGGGACATGGTGTTTGTTGCTGGATGGAGGACTACCCTAAATTTTGACTTACGAAGTAGTTTTTATCACTACGCCCATCGATGTTTTGGATGACTGTATGGTAGACTCAGTGTTTACCTATTACCTACTCGTAGTATACTCTAGGGTACTGTGTAGTACTCTGAGCCGTATACCCGCAATTAGGTCATAAATAGATCCATTCTCTACTGTGTCAAGAATCATGAATCGTCTGATTATCCTATTGATCGCACTATTCAATGAGAGCTCGGGGATTTATTCTTTGTTGCGAGTCTTGAGAACACCGATTGCCAAAGCGCCTAAGATCGGAGGGACCTCGTGACAGCGGCGTCAACTCCCCTCTTCTCTTCGCCGGACTTTCCCCGCAATACTCCTTCAGTACCTGGAGTGCCTGGACTGCTGGCAAAGTAAACATGCCTCGACTGTTTTAACTGGCCTGTCCGATGCTCTCTCTTCTGAATACTGTCCTAGATCTTCCCCACGATCGCTGCTACATTCCAGCAGGCTGTGTCGCTGCTTCCGGTCACCAGATGACCCGCTTGTCACGCAACGTCAGCAGAACCCCTCCGCCACACGAAACAGGCAGAACAACTACTCCAGAGTCGTTGGGGTTGTAGGGGCACTCCCAAATTCGGGAGTGGGTTGACCCGCACACCCGCACACCCGCCATGACTGACCTGCCTCCCGGTGGAGCTCGAGGAGCTCCAACATACACCTCCCCCGGCCGCCGCTCCTCCTACGCCTCCGTCGTGTCAGGCACCGCCTTTTCTCCCCCAATCTCCAACTCTCTCACCAACATCCTCAACGATTCTCCCTCCTACCCACCTTCCTCCTCCCCCGACGGCCGTCCTCGCCGGACCCTGTCCGGCGCGGATGCCGACATGCAATCCATCTCCATCTCCAGAAACATGACGTCCGCCGACGCCGTCCCGCCTGAATCTCGCCGATATTGCGCCTGGGCGGCTTCCGACTCCGAAATCAACTTCTCCGTCTCCGAATCCTCCTCTTCCTTTACGCCCTCCTACTTGATCGGGTCCGCATACATCGAAGGCCTCGAAGAGGCCCAGCGAGCCAAGCTCGTAGCCCAACACCGCGAGGCCAACGGCTCATCCACCGCCACCTCGAACCCGCCGCTATCCACCTCCTCAAGCAACATCCACCTGCCCCGCATGGCGCCGTCCCACCGCGGCATGACCTACGATATCATCGAGAAGGAGCCGCCGCTGGCCAGCGACCAGCCCATGCCGCTGCCATCACAGTGGAGCGCGGATGACGGCAAGGACGTTCTCGAGATAACGGGCAATGCGGTCCGATATACCGGGCCTCTACACAAGACCGATCACGAAGCGGCCGCTGTTCGTGCCGATCACCCGATGCCGGCGCAGTGCGGCATCTACTACTTTGAAGTTCGCATCGAAGCGAAACCGTACCACGGGTATGTTCCCCCTTCTGCCTACTTCGGCCCTCAGAGAACTCCGAGGTTTGTCTATCTGCAGTTTGCTTACAAGCGGCGGTTTAGTATGGTCGCAATCGGATTTTCTAGCACCAAGGCCTCCCTGGAACGACTTCCCGGCTGGGAGACCGAGTCTTGGGCTTACCACGGCGATGATGGGAAGTCCTTCTTTGGCGAAAGTCAGGGTCAAGGTCGTACTTACGGTCCGCAGTTTACTGTAGGGGATATCATTGGGTGTGGTGTGAACTTTCACACCCGTGAAGCGTTCTTTACGAAGAATGGCATTTTTCTAGGTATATTGCGTTCTTCACACATTCGTGACAAATTACTAACGATGGTTTACAGGCGTTGCTTTCACCAATATCCCTGACATCCCGCTTTTTCCGTCTGTCGGGCTAAAACGCCAGCCACCCGTGTATCTTGTGACGAACTTTGGGCGCGATAAATTCTGCTTCGATATTGACAAGATGGTCAAAGTGAGTGAAATCTCATTAGCGTTACCGTCTTCCCGTGCAAACCGCTAACCTTTTGACAATAGAACCAAGTCGACAAAGTTGAAAAGGAAATCAACGCCACAAAAGTCGACTCCTCCAGCCACCACTCAACGAAGCATCCCTGATGCAGGAACTGGTAGCCCAGTTCCTCGCCCATGACGGGTACGTCGAAACCGCCCGCGCCTTCGCCGAAGACGTCGCTGCCGAAGCCGCATCACTGCAGAGCGGGAACGCCGCCCCACTGAACCAGTACGAGGTGGAAGAGGACCACGACGCCATCCGCCGTAACCGTAAGTACACCTTCTTCCTTTCCGAGGAAGATTCTAAACAGTGTCTAGAAATCCGCTCCGCCATCCTGGATGGCAACATCGACAAAGCACTCAAGCTCACAACAGCACACTACGAAAGCGTCTTGGAAGCCCAGCCACAGATCCAATTTAAGCTCCGCTGCCGCAAATTCATCGAAATGATGCGCAACGTCCAGGACCTCACCGAAGCAATGAACGACTCCAAGGCTGAAGCTAACCTGCGCTCCCGTCCCGCCTCCCCAAACAACGAAAATGCCATCTTCGACCAGGAGATGGAGCTCGATGGCAGCGAGAACATGGGCGGCGTGAAGCTGGAGCCTGAGGATCTGAAGATGGATACGGATGGCGACGTACCGTCTCCGACCGTGGCTCGGTTCAATGAATTGCTTACTGAAGCCGTGCAGTACGGCCAGCGCCTACGACTCGATTACAATTCCGGCGGCGAGGGCGTTGATCTGAAGATGCTGGATGAGGTCTTTTCGCTGGTTTGCTACGCTGATCCGAAGAGTTCTATTCATGGACACTATCTTGATTCTGAGGGACGGGTTGCTGTTGCGGAGGAGTTGAACTCGGCTATTCTTGGTTTGTCCCCCTTCCCCTTTTCATAGGTGGACTACAGTTCTAACCTGGTGTGATATAGTCTCCCTCGGCAAAAGCTCCGAAGCCGCTCTCGAACGACTGTACCGACAAACCGAAGTCCTCGTGAAGGAAATCAGCGACGGCGGCCCAGGCGCATTCATCAATGTCCGCAATGATCTTGCGTGGCAACGCGATTCCGAGTGATCTTTTTCCACCTAGGTACTACCTGTGATTTGCCGGATGACTCCGGTCATGATAGGTATTCCGACATTTGTCTTACGAGCTTGAACGGCGCTGGAGTTCGCATGGGGTTTTCGTTTCTTGTGTTTGGGGTTCGGGTAGCCTTTCTTTTTTCATTTTGATTTTCCCTGCCCAGTTGTTAGTCGGACCGAAGACCTCACATGGTTGAGGTTCAGTGTTATTCTGGGTGGGCTGAGGGTTAGGTCACTACTGTGTAGTGTAGCAATGGATGGCGGTTCAAGCTACGCTTTACTAATTCTCTCGTTTATTTCATAGTTTCACGTAGTCACTGTGAACGCGTCGCACGTGATGTGGGTAATTGATCCTGGGCGTCTAAAATCCCTGGATGCGCTATAGTAGATGGGTTCGTATGATTGTACTGGGTGTCGGCTGCACCGTTGGAGCTTGTGTTCAGATCGGCTACGACGAAGCACTGAATATTGAATGAGGACCTGCTAGACAAATCGACCTTAATGGAATTGACAGAACTTGACATGACTGTATCAAACTGTCTACATGCGATGCGATTCTGGGGGTATTTATCCCTGAACGGGCGGCAAGCCCCTGAGAGTAGTAAACCCCTCATAATCGGTCTCAATCAGTGTTCTTCCATGAAGATCCCCTAAATGTAGAATATAATGGCGGCAAGAACGCTTGAAGCGCATATCAAGCTCAGTGCCTCCGGTTTCCCTGGACAGGCATGCCGACAGAGGCAGGGAATGAGGCATCAATTGGGTGCCTTATCCTGGAACCTCAACAGCTTGAGCATTATGAAAATGATTCCGTTATTCGTCAAATATTGTAGCGTGTGATGTGATGTCTTGGTGCCCGGCTAGTCATATTATGACATATCAACATTATGTGGAAGGGCTTTGTGGTGATGAATATTGAAGAGGAAGTGGTACTACACTATCGGATGTAACTATATATTTCACCGTTAAAGGTCACCGACGAGACCCCACCAAAAACCACTTGCAGAATCGAACAAGCACTGACAAGCCTTTACTCCAGACACACAGAGCTAGTCGTAAGTCAACAACAATCCGTGGGTTTTATTATGAAGAATGTCGGTGAAGAGTGGACCACAGCTAGCCATAACTCATACCTTCGTACCTAGGTACCACCTGGCGGCAGGTAAGTTGAGAAGCAAGGACGAAGCCCTACACTGCAGGAATGCACCACCATACCTGAGTAGTGGCAAGAATATCAACCCCCAGGTTGGTCATACCATACTCAAAATACATCAACGAACCTCTTTTATAGCTATCTTCACCCCCTACCCCGAGTTCATGTGTGAAGCGTACTGCCGTATACTTCCCCACCTCGCCTTACCTAATCAGGCACCAATCCAGTCACCTCCACTTTGTGCAACTTCCGACCCGGTCGTACATGGTACCTGCACCTCACCAACCGCCGAGCTGAACCTCGCTTCGCTTCCCAAGTGGCTGCCTTCGACAGAGCTGCGGCTGCTGTAGCAGCTCATCGAATGATCTGCCTCCCGCGAGACCACCGCCCCTAGGGGTAACATTCCCGAGATGGATTCCGCTCCGCATTCTGATACTCCTCCGGTTGGCAACCCGCCGGTGGCTGCCCGCGCGGGCATTCCGACGTACTCGACACCGACGACTCTCCGCTGTTGCTGTGGGCGGCTCGACTGTGCGCTGCTCGAGCATAATACTGTTGCGTTGGAGGGGGTTGAGAAGGATCTTGAAACGGCGGCTAGGTTGGGACAGGTACGTTCGCTCAAGCTCTCTCTCAGCTCTTTCTGGGAGAGTGTTTTGCTGTCCTTTCGTTGCTTTTTCTGCGCTTGCGAATGTGATATGCGGACGTGGCACAGTGAGGCTGGCTGAGTGGCTGCATGTTTGACACATCATTTCCCCATTCCAAGCGGGCGTCATTGCTTTTTTCGAGGAGGGTTTTGTACGCTCCACCCGCTATTCTCCGAGTGGAATGCAAACAATACCTCTTCGAGAATCCTCATGGCAGGCTCTCCCGTCCTCACTCGCTGCGCTGGTGTCCGTCATGGCTACATGTTTCTACGATTCTGCAACGGCAGAATATCATGCATCGTCGCTAACGTTTGCATTACAGGCTCTACTTCATCGCCATGAGAGTTACATTGCGGAGGCGGAGGAAGATCGCCAGCGACTGGTCGATAGTCTTGAGGCGATGGAGCGTGAGAAGCGGGGAGTGCAAGCTGAGAATGCGCGCATCGTCGAGGAGAATAGATTGTTGCTGGAGCAGCTTGAGGGACTGAATAAGTCTGTTGCGGAGTCGGATGAGCGGGTCGAGAGTCTGACGCTTACGCTGGAAAGTACGCAGGCGGAGTTGCGGCGGGTGACGGTTGCTGCGTCGCGGGCTGCGGAGCTCGAGGCTCAGCTTGCGATTTTGGAGAGTGAGCAGGTGAGGATGCAGGAGAGTTTGGTAGCTGTGCAGGAGGATGAGAGGTCTGCTGTGCAGCGGTGGCGGAGTGCGGAGAATTCGCTGCGTGATTTGAATGATCAAGTTGAGCGGATTGAGGCTGAGGCGAGAGAGGAGCGGGAGCGGCATGAGGAGCTTGTTCAGCGCATGGAGAGGAAACGGCTTGTTGAGCGTGAGCTGGATAATGCGGCGGGCCGGCTCAAGGGTGCTGCTGCTGCATCGACACAACCTGGCACGCCTGTTGTTTCGCGATTCGTCAAGGATATCTTGCAGGATAATGCGAACTTGCAAGTTGGGATTATGGAGCTGCGCGAGATGCTCGAGAGCTCCAATCAGGAAGTCCAGAACTTGCGCGATCAGGTCTTAACTCACCAGCCGCTGGCCGGTATTGGTGAGGAGCAATCGGATGGTGCTCGTACGCCTACTCTTTGTGAAGAGCTGGAGTCGAAGGAACGACGTGTCTCGCAGGAATTCCATATCCATCACCACTACCACACACCCTCCACGAGGAAAGACAAAGGTGTTGCCAATCGCAGAGTCAAGAAGAAGAGACCTGCCCTGGGCAGTCCTGTACCGCTGCACTCGGCCATGGGAACGAACTCACCCCGTCGCTCGATCCATCGCTCTCAATCATCGGGCTCATCTATGAACACCATCCTATCTCAAACATCCGTCTCGATTCCTCCACCCTCATCATCCCGCCGTTGGTCATTCCAAACACCCACTACAGACTCGCTCGCCAGCTCACCGCAGTCTACCTTCCGCACATCCTCCATCTTCGACCGCGTTGACCGCGGCACCGACTTTTCTGAGCCTACCAGCCCCGACAGCACGGTCTTGTCCTCTCCTCTAATGGACGCCCGCGCCCTCAAGGGTATGGACATGCCATTCCGCCCATTAGCTATCGACTCCCCCGATATTCCAGAATCCTCATTCAACCAACCACAACAAGATCGACCAACCCTCTTCGACCTAGACGGCATAACAACCCAAACCACTATCCCAGAAGAGTCCGAACCCTCCTCATCAGGCATCTGGTCCAGAACCATTCCCGACAAGCCCTCCGAAAACCCATTCGGCGTCCAGATGCCCTTCTCCCCCTCCGCAAATCAACTTCCCACGACAGTCTCCTCTCCGTCTCCGTAGCTGGAATGGACATCCACACCCCGACAACCCGACATGCCCGCATGGGCGACTGGCACCCGGGCATGTGCATCCCCCAACGCATCGTCTCTCCGAGCATCGAGCTGGTCTCGACTCCACCCGTCATCTCCGCGCCGATCATCACAGTCGATCGGGCCAAGGGTTCGGAGAGATCATCCCGCTCGCTGCTGGCGTCCATGGCTGCAAATCACAGCGTTGCCTCGGACGCTACCTCTGTCGTCTCGGCGGATAGCACGAGTACGAGTTCGACGACGACGCCCCGCAAATCCGCCACACTGGGCCGACGAGTCGGGGGCTGGGTGCTTGGGAAATGGGGCGTGGCGCCGGTATCTTCAGACCCAAATGCGAATGAACAACCCGAGGAACAACCGAACGAACCAACACCTACATCTGCATCTGCATCTACACCTCAACCCATCCTTAAACCCCCACCCACCCAACCACAACCCGACTCAAACCCATTCCGCTTCCGCTTCACAGGCGTCAATCAAAAAGGCCCAATACTGGGACTTAAACCACCGCCCTCGGCACCGGTCTCCATCCACCCACAGGGTATTGACGAGAATCTTCTTCGGGAGTCTCTTGCTGATGGATGATTCCCGCCAGGCACATTGATTGAATCGATCTTCTCGGGTTACTATTAATACTCTACCTATCGCATTGCATTTTTCGGACTTGCATGACTCAGCGCTTTTTTTTTTCCTTCGTTCTTGCTCAGACAAGATGGTTTTTGCTTGTGATACCCGGTCATTCTTTCGGTTTATTCATTTGTTTTAGAGGTAAATACTCTGGTTGATACATGCTCGCGGGCAGATAATTCTACATGGTACATCTTTTGACGGATCGTAGTGATACTGATACATTAACCCAAAGATGCCTTGGGTATCCACAACCCCACTAAATCTCAGTCCGTCATATCCGCTGCGTGATCCTATAAGTATGAATCGGAATACTAGTGGAATGAAAGAAACCCGTCTGTTCCTCGGACGGCGTAGACTCGAACGTGAGCGTCTCGACATTGAACGAATTTGTTTCTACAAGCTGCATTAGCCTCGCCCAGTTTCTACCCAGCCTTTTCATGTCAAGTATGTTGTAAGAACTCACCACACCCATCCAAAAACGTCTGAAACGTCCTCTCATTCCGCAGCGTCGCGGCGATCACAAATTCCTTCACGGCGTAGTTCTCGAATAAATCGCGGACTGTGCTAAGGAGGAGCGGGATTATGTCTGCGTCGTAGATCTATTTCACTCAGCAAAAGTCACTGGTGGTACAAAGAGAGGAAATATTGAGACTTACCAAATCCGCTCCAAGCGCAATATCAAACTCCATCTCCCCCTCCCCACTTGAATCATCACTCAACTCCGTCTTGTCGAGATCGAGAGGCGTGCCCCAATCCCAGATAGTCGGAACCATAAGATTACCCCCACCCTCAACCTCCAAGTTGTTTAGTCGTACACACTCCCGCATATTCTCAACCAAAAACATCTCCCGATCCGTACACACAACGTTCTTAACATCTAGATGCCTCGCACAAAAAAGTGAAAGGAATCCCGTCCCAGCTCCTAATTCTATAATCCTCTTCCCGCGGACTAGTTCTGCGCCTGGAGGTGTTGACAGGAATGAGCCGAGGTGCAGGGCTGCTTCCCAGGTTCGGTTTCCTGTTGTGCCGCCGGAGAGGATTACGCCGCGAGATTCGGAGGTTATGACTGTTCTTTCGCTGCCGGGGGAGGGGGCAGTGTATTTTATTTTGGAGAGTTGTTGTGCTTGCTGGAGGGCGGGTGGTTTGGGGGTTGTGAGGAGCGAAGCCCAAGTTTCCATTAATGTGTCGTGAATTTCCTGGGTTTGTTAGTGGTTTGATGATTGAGATGAATTGGGCGAAGTATCAATTGCGCACATCTTCTTCTGGGTCTGTGATTGCTTCCTCGATTCGGCTGAGGAGGAGCTTTAGGACGCGGGCTCGATATGGTGCTGGTGGGAGTGGGGTGAGGGATTCGTTGAACATGTGCTCGTATAGGGCTTCCTGGACGGTCGGTTGGATGAGGATGTTGTTAGGAGGGATTGCTAGTTGGGGTGGGTCGACGAGCTGGAAATACTGCCTGGCGAGCATGCGAATTGACTCTACCATGGTGGCTGCCAAGATTACCCTAGGGTAGCTGGTAGCTGTAATGAACACACTGCGGGACATTCGAGGCTCGTTCCCCGCAGAAGCAAAAAGTATTTTGCCTGAGGTGTCTACCTTATCGATAAGACCGACCTGCCGCCCGAGAAACCAGACAGAAACACATGACCAAGACCCGCCCCATGCCACTGGCGGTACTGGCGGTGTTGGCAGCCTCAGGCAGGATGTATGAGTCAGCAACCAAAGTGGCTAGCGCCAAGCCCTAGCCGAGACGCACCGCACGAAAATTGAAAGTCGACTATCCACACTGTTCCTTCCTGCATCACCACGACACCACCAAAATGGCCGACACCCCCGTTACCCTGCGGACTCGCAAGTTCATCCGCAACCCTCTGCTGGCTCGCAAGCAGATGGTCGTGTAAGAACCCCCTTTCCTTTTTTCTGCGATGGTGGGAGGAGTGGACGATTCGATTCGAGATTCGAAATTCGAGATACCGGGAGGGATGCGACACGACACACGCACACACATACGACCACAAAAAAAAAAAAAAAAACGAGAACCGCGCACCACTATACTTGGAAACTACTACAACCCAATCGGAAGAATATCGAATCAAGAATCGCGCCTGATCCGACCACCAATCGATTGAATATTATGTTTCTGAAAGAACGCGCGACTGACTTCTGGCAGGGACGTCCTCCACCCCAACCGTCCTAACGTCTCCAAGGACGAGCTCCGCGAGAAGCTGGCCGACCTGTACAAGTCCAACAAGGACCAGGTCTCCGTTTTCGGGTTCCGCACTCAGTACGGTGGTGGTAAGAGCACCGGCTTCGCTCTGGTCTACGACTCCCAGGAGGCCCTGAAGAAGTTCGAGCCCGCCTACCGTCTGGTCCGCATTGGCGCCGCCACCAAGGTCGAGAAGCCTTCCCGCCAGCAGCGTACGTCTTTTCCCTCATCCGCACCCGCACCCGTTGGTTTCTGCATACTAACATTGTGAACGCACAGGCAAGCAACGGAAGAACCGCTCCAAGAAGTTCCGCGGTACCGCCAAGACCAAGGGCCCCAAGAAGAACAAGGACTAAACGTCTCATTATTTTCATCATGTTATGGCGCGATGGATACGTTTAGTGGCCTGGTGGTTTGGGACATCTCGGCTTTGTCTCTGGCTGGGATAGGTGGTGTGAAACGGAGATGGCTTTCGGCATTTGCATTTAGCTTTCTTCCAAAAAAATATCAACGTCGTTTGCCGTCTCCGAAAGGAATGTGGAACTCTCCCCTGTTATCGACCTTGCTCCGTTCCGGTCAAGGAGGTCGGTGATCTGATGATCCCTTTAAAAGGCGTCAGTGTTGTTTCTTTGGTTTGGATCATCTGAAGACAGCGAGGGATACGAGAAGGGCTTTGTCCCGATGAATACATATTTTGTTTTTGTTCAGGTCAGCCTTGATGTCGTAGATTTACACCTGACTGGGTGTGGACGTGGACTAGCCCTAATCTTGGAGTATGAGTGCATGCCTGAGACTAACCTATCTACTTGTCTACTTCAAGGTTAGGTAGAGAGTAGTCCCACCTAAAATCCGGGGTGAGTCTGGACCTGCGTACGCTCGTGCACTGCCCTTCTACCAGGTCAGCGTGTAGAGCATCTACGCACGGAAGTATCTCCAACTCCAAGTCTGGAACGGAACGCATTATACTCGCAGACACTGCAACACCACAAATCCATGGGAAATAAGTAAAAAGAGGAACCCAAGAACCACAGTTATTACATTGTACATTGAAGGAGTGATAAAAACCTTATCGAGTCGTACAACTCTTAATCCACGTCATGTACTGAAGCTGCACGTTCCGGAAAGCCGGCTGAGATTCCTGATGCAATTGACCGGTCCATGTGTACTGTACACCACCTCACACGCTAGTACCCATTCCCTCCAGTGGGCAGTGGATATCCACGACATTCCCGCGTGTGCATTCCAGGAAATCCGGTCTACCCGCTGAATCAGGGTGGACTTGTCCTGGTACAATCCTCGTGGTATTGTGGGATGTGAAATGGCCGTGGCTGTGGCATGTGGGGTGTGCCTATCACACTGGCAGCGAGGGTGAGTTGGATATATTTCTAAATTCTGATTGAAAATTATCTCAGACCCCGAAATCTCGTGAACGCATAATATTAATCGGATGTGATTAAACCTGAAACACCAACCGAGATATATCCCACACTAACTCTAGGGTTATAGTGTGAGGTAGTAAGCTTGTACCCCTCAATCACACCTCTAGTGTAAAGAATCAACAACAGGGCAGATCCATGGAAGACAAAGTGACATGATGCAGGGTCTCCATTCCAAATCCTATTTCTTCCTCTTTGCTGTGAGGCACTGTAATTCCAAATCTTCATGTGGGGGTGTGTCGTGCAGGATTACACAGGCCGAACTGCCGCCCGTGGATTGCAGGTACATCGAATCAGGTTGGTTCTTCTTATCTTCAGCTGTATCTGTGAGTAAGAGGGTATTTGACGGGGAAGTAATTCATGGAGTGGCCTAGACTATACTGTCTTTAAACGGATAAGTATCCTGCGCCGAGATAATTGAGACACGAGGGTGACGCACAGACTTGAGGCTGATTTCACAAGGTACGTACTGCTCCTAGCTATAGCGAAGGTTCTATATACATGGATAGGTGAGGTAGGTGATGTTACCATGGTACATATGGCTGATGCACCCTGCAAGTACTATGTATAATATACTCTGGGACTCAGGGACATAAGTACTGATAAGTGCTGCATGTAGGCAAGGTCTTGGTACTAAGCTGTAACTTCAACCCGGTGGCTTTTACAACCTCCTCACCAAAGGTAAAATTTGAGAAAGTCGTCATCATTAATATAGTTCATATTAGAAGTTGTTCGGGGCTAACCGCTATAAACAATCGACAAAAAAGAATTAAGAAATCACTGCTAATAAATAACAATTCCATCAATAAATCACAAAAAGGCATCCCAACTAAGCCTCCCGAACTCTGTGGGTAAAATTCATCTTCCCCGACTCTTCGCCCCGGTGCTTGGCTCTCATCAAATTTTCCTCTGTCAGTGGTGACAGTACACTGATTCACATCGCAAAGAAATCCAGCTGAATAAAGAACGAGACAAGCAGAATTAATGCAGGTTCCTGCAGCTATCTCACACACCGACAGAGCGATATTGACTGAGAAGATAAAAACAAATGTAAACTCGCAAAAACTTGGAAACAACAGCGAAACCTCCTCACAACCGTGACCAAACAAGAAACAAATCACTGTAGCAAGAACCCACCATAATCGCAAAAGGGGGTATTAAGTGGAATTGGATGGAATGATTGCAAGAAGGGAGTGGACGGAATGGGGAAAGAAAGCGAGGTACCAGCAGAAAAGCAGAGCAACAACAATAACAAACCAGCAATTAAACCAAATAGTATGCAAAACCAAACCTAATGACAAGACAAGCCGCGCAGAATTGGCCGGAAAAATGCAGGTGCAAACTGTAGTGTATCCAGGCCACGGTTGGTTCCCCTGAAACTTCAAGAGGGAAGGGAGTGGTACTCAGTCGGCGCTTTCATTCGCACGGCACAGGGAGAGGCTGATACCATACCACAAGTACAAAGCAAGTGCAAGTAATGCATATCAGAAATGCATTAATAAGCCCCCTGATTCCCCAACGGCTCAACCGACGGGCGATGCATCTCAGCAGGCCGACCAAACTCCAGTGCCTCAGGCAGCAGACCACAAGGAAAAACGGGCGTATCAGCATGCCGCACCCTTGTATAAGGAAGACCAGAAACAAGCGTCGCGCCACACTCATCTGTCCTCTTCTTCTCGCTGCTGCTGTATCCATATACATCAGGCATACACTCATTCGACAGATTGAGCAAACGCTGTCCCTGCTCTCGGAAGGAGCGGAGACGCACATCGGGGAAGTCTGATGATTCCATTGTGTATGACGGACTTATGACAGCGCTTGTGGCCGGGGTGTCATCAGTTGTGGAGGTGAGGTAGGGGAAGAGGAGGTCCGGCGCTTCGGTTTTGGGAGGTGGGCTTGTTGTGAAGGGGGGTGCGTTGCTGGGGAGGGTGTATCTTTCTGTGCGTTGTGGGTAGAAAGGTGGAGCTCCGGATGCTTTGAAGTCGGATGGGACGGTGAGGCCTTCGAACATACTGGCATTAAGACTGTTGGGGACTTGTTGGCGCGTTGTCGGCGTGGGGAGAGTCCTCTCTGGGCCCGGGATGTCGGAGGAATTCATCGCCACGGCGGCTGTTGTTTGGGGGATTTCAGTTGATGATATGCCCTGGCTGGGTAATATGTAGGAGTAGTTGGGCTGGGTCTCTTCATAGATGGCTCCGTTTGAGCGGTTGACAATGGATTCCCACGCCTTCGGATTCCAGGAGGGCGTCCCGTAGTCAATCATGCTGGACGGGGTCAAGTTGGACGGGGCGTTGGGGAGCACGTAGACGGATGACTGGCAGTTCTCTCCCTGCTCGTCTTCGTAGTGGAGGGTGTCCAGACCGACTGTGCGCGGGAAGACGTGGTTCTCTGCCAGATCAAAATCTGGTGGCCTTTGGAAGGGCATGCGCTGTGGCGAGCCCATGGAGAGGAGGGGCTTGCTGGGCGTGTACATTCTTAATCGGGGAGATACCACGGGCCCTCCTGTCGGGTTTGGATATGGCCAGCCTGTTCCTTGGGGGATGACGTTGCTGGAATTCACCTAGACTCTATCAGCGGGCTGAAATTTGTAAACGGTGAAGGAAACGACGCACTCGTAGAAATTGACAGTCTGTGTTGCCGGCAATGCGGCAGTTCGAGCAGCCTTGCCCATCATTCTCTCCGCTGCATTTGATCTTTCGTCGTCGGCATCGACCACACTGCTCATAGTGTTAATGGTAGGGCGCGGGTGAGGTTGAGGTAAGTACATACAGCAACCGCGACACGCCGCCTCTGCGGATTGCGCATTTTGCCATCCTCTGCAACAGGACTAATACACGTAGTTCGGTCACTCAGATCATGCTGGTTCAGTCGTATCCGGGACATGGAGAATGAGTCGTGCCGGGACTGATCGTAGAAAGAGTCCATGGTTTCTCTTATCATGGTCAGCTGAATCGATACAAGAAAAGTCAAAAGACATACTTACTGCGACAGAAGCAAAGAAGAACAACAGGATGTTAAAGTACTATCGGCATAATGACAGGGAAGATAAATAGAAAGAAAGAATGTTTTTCGGAGTAGGGTAGGGCTAGATTTTTAAGCCCCAGGCCTCTGGTAACCATCGGTGTGATTGTTTGGTCTTTGGTTTTGTATGCGATGTGGATTTTGGATTTTGGGGGGTGGCCAACACACCCTGGTCATTTTGATTTCTCATTTTTTTTTCCTTTTTTGATTTTCAGTTCTTTTGATCTCTATCCCTCCCCCTTCATCTACATCTAGCCACTTCTATCCTGAAGGTGCAAGTGCTAGGGCTGTACACCGTCAGTACGGGGTGCCAAAGTATACACCCTGTTGCGCTGGGGAATTTCTTTTTCCTTTTTTCTTGTTTCTTTTTTTTTTTTTTTTTTTCTCACACACTCGTTGTACCCAGGGGGAAATGATATGCACATTTCCGTAGTGCATCGAAGTCCAGATTCCCCCAGTCTCCAGAGTCAAAGACCAGCAGGACTGCCCCGGCGTTTTAACAGGAGTGGTTTCACAAAGTAACGTCACACGGGACATGACCTGATGGCCATGACGAGAACAAGTCCAGACGGGGAGATTAGAGCCTGTTCCGCCAGTAGTTTCAACCAATTAAACACCCAGAAGATCTTTGCTTGTCTTTGCCTCTTTCAACAGGTTTGTTGGCGCCTGCCTTGAACATCGACGATCGGTGGAGCGGCGTTCCAGTTAGCTCGACGGCTACCAAAGAACGGCAAACCACTGCCTCCGTTTGCAAATATGATCCTAGTGTCGATCCGGGACGGCTTTTGTGTGGAGAGATCGAGATGAAGGGCGAATGTTTGCCTGCTCCTGTTGGGCCGGTCCAAACGCTGATTGGCGTGGTTGCTGCGCCCAGCAAGACCGGGGTGCGATGCACCAGCACCAACTGCGGCATAGCTTGAGCAGATAGCGCGAGAAATAGCGCGGCCGGTAGCGCTCAGCTTGGGCGAGTTCCAAGCTTTCCAAGCTCTTCCAAAGGAGGCGTTAAACACTCCGAACTCGGCCCGGGACGTTGAGATAGACCTGCGCCGATCGAAATGATTGGAAAGAAAATAGCCGGACATTTTTTCTTTTTTCCCTTTCATATCAGCACGAGACCAGACTAACTTCAAAACTCTATGTTCAAGTTTAATGTATCTGTCGTTGATGAAAGATTGTCTCAGACCACGAACACGAGTGTCTCATGATGTTGACTCCAGAAGGAAAAAGAAAAGAGCTGACACCTGTCACTTTGACCGACGGGCACGATCCAGCGCATCTGGCTTTCTAGCTTCTGGCTTGGCAGGCCTGCATTTCTCTAGAAGCAGCGCGAGCAGGGATCGATGGTCTTAAGGTTGCGGGCCTTGATCGACGACATGGGAGAAAGTCTTAGCGCTTCCGGAGCGCAGCTAGATCGAAACGGAAATCTGAGAAAAAGCAAAAAGGGGGCGAACCGTAAATTGAGGCAAAGGTTCTTGAGGGTCTGGAGCGACTAAGAGCTAAACAGTCAAATACGAAAAGAAAATGTCGGCCCTCATGCTGGGGTCTAAAAGGGGGAACCCGAATGCAGCAAATCCCGGGATGCTCTCAGGTGCTTGCTACACAGCTGGCACGACGGACGATAGAGGCACTGCATTGTGCTCAGTGGGATCACGCGTAGATATGTAGAATGTCGGGGGAAGGAACGTGGGGTTTCGCGGTTGGAGTCGATTAACCAGAGCAAAAAGCCCAGGGCCATTTGAGGAGAATAGACGACATCGAAAACCGTCCTTTGCAAGCCAGGGCTTGTCGTATTGGCCCACTTCCCACCACGCAGCCTCAAGGTCAGACGATGCACGACATTGGGCCCGTCCAAAGACGACGGGGCAAATCGGGCGAGACCAGCTGACTGTTCTCGCGCCAGGAACGCTCATTGGGATTGAGACCGGCCCTTCATCTTGCGTTACGAGGGACTGGTCGGCTGCTTCTCTCTCCACTCGATCTTGCCCCATTTTGCCCCATCTTGCCCCCCTGAAGTCGTTTACCTCCCTCTTCCCCCTGGTTTGTTAGTCCCAATCCATACTGCGCGGACCAGGGTACACCTCTTGACCCTTTCAGGGCGAGGGAACCTGTAAACGAGGGGGCTGGATGGATGCAGTGGATACCCTCGATGGAGCGTCGATCTTCTTCAGATCCCACGTGTAGAGTCTTGTTGGTGGTAACAGCTGTCGTGCGGTGCCGCTGGAGGCTGCTGCAGGAGGCCGCCCGTTTTCCCCCACCGTTTTTGGGGGATGCCGTGAAACGGTTACCCGGGAAGTTCTTCGCACTGGTGAGAGGAGGTCACTGCGAGTCCCAGTAGTACCCGCGTCCGTGGCTGAGGATGGAAGGGGCTTGTCATCGTGATCTCAGTCCCGTCTGGGTAGAAACATGGGGTAAATAAGTTCAAATCCAGGCCTCGAGGAACTCCTCAACCTTGTAAAAGAGGTAATTGAAGATCCTGGAAGCCAATCCTGGCCAGGACTGCGGATGCATTAGGCGTGGATCCATTCTGAGAACCGGTGAGTCTGCGACAAACACCCATGATCTGCTTTTCAGAATGCGTATTCTCGATCGGAGGTCAAAAGTCGGTCCAACAGGGACCGGCCGGAAGATATGCCGCTCGATTGACAAGGCAGCGTCGTACAGGCACCCGGGTCCATCATCCGGCGAGAGCTCCGCGGAGGCTGGTCATTGATCGAAATCCTCCCGAGTCGGGGGTACGAAAAAAGAAAGCAGGAGCGGCGGAGAGTGACTGTTGCGAGGGGTGGTGGAGGTGGGAGTTGATAGATAGAATAGTAGGGAAGAGTGAATGGTGATCAGTGATGGAGCTAGGTAGATGCGGAAGCAGGCACAAGTACCGCGGCCCGCACCGCCCTGCTTTTCTCCCGCGCATCTCTCCAACTCCCAAGGAAATTCCGCCCGTCCCACACCATGAGTGTGATGCTGGAAACCAAATTGGGCGACATCGTCATCGACCTCCTGGTCGACGAGTCGCCCAAAGCCTGCGAAAAGTGTGTCCCCCCTCCCCCTGCAGCCCGTGGGGCCCTGCACCAGACCAAGCTAACTGTCGCGCGCGCATAGCTTCCTGAAGCTCTGCAAAGTGAAGTACTACAACTACTCGCCCGTCCACACCGTCCAGAAGGGCTTCACGCTTCAAACCGGCGACCCGCTCGGCCCCAGCGCGCCCGACAGCGATGGCGGTTCGTCGATCTGGGGTCTGCTGGGCGGGCCGAAGACGTTTCCAATCGAGCTGCCGCCGAGGCTCAAGCACACCGAGCGCGGTACCGTGAGCATGGCAACGGTTGCGCCCAAGCATAACCCAGACCAGAAGCTGGCCGCGAGCCAGTTTATCATCACTCTCGCCGAGAACCAGGATTACCTGGATGGCAAGGCGGCTATTTTTGGCCAGGTGGCTGAGGGTTTTGATGTGCTGGAGAAGATCAACGATGCCTTTGTCGATGAGCAGTCACGCCCGCTGAGGGATATCCGCATTCGCCATACCATCGTCCTCGATGATCCGTTCCCCGACCCAGTGGGCCTGGTCGTGCCGCCCGAGAGTCCTGTGCCGAGCAAGGCGCAGTTGGCTACGGTGCGCATTGCGGACGATGAGGAGCTGGATGACAATGTGGATGAGGAGGCAATGGATAAATTGCGCCGGGAGCGAGAAGCGCGCGCGCAGGCGCTGACACTGGAAATGCTGGGTGATTTGCCCTTTGCCGAAGTCAAGCCTCCGGAGAATGTGCTCTTCGTTTGCAAGCTGAACCCAGTCACGCAAGGTATGTTTGACAGATATGTGAGATGATGACACGACAGTATGCTAACTTGACACAGACGACGACCTCCAATTGATCTTCAGCCGCTTCGGAGTCATTCTTTCCTGCGAGGTTATTCGCGACAAGCGCACCGGTGATAGCCTGCAGTATGCCTTCATCGAGTTCGAAGACAAGGAAGCCTGCGAACAGGCCTACTTCAAGATGCAGGGCGTGCTCATCGACGACCACCGAATCCATGTCGACTTCTCTCAGAGCGTAAGTAGAAACCACACCTGGCTTCACTCCGGAGACCCTCTGAATCCATCGAAGTCTTAACTAAATACAAACAGGTCTCGAAACTGGAAAAAAGCTGGCGCAATGCCACTGCCTCCAAGCGTCGCCAGCGCGGCGGCTTCGGCGGTGTCGCCGACCTCGAACAGAAACGCCAATACCGTAACACTGAAGATGTTCCGAAGCACGATGATTCCTACGGCATGGTCTTTAATAAGGACCGCAAAGACGCCAGCGACAACAAGGCATCTGGTGGATCTACTAACCGCAGTGGTCGTGATGATCGTAACCGTGACCGCAGCCCCCGACGCCGTGAGAGAAGCCAAGACCATTATTACCGACGCTCTCGCAGTCGTAGCCCGCGACGTGACTCGCGCCGCGGCCGTGACCGACACTACGACGATGACCGGAACTCCCGACGTGATCGTGACTGGCGCCATGATGACCATCGGGACTCGCGACGTGACCGTGACCGACTCCGCGACGACCACCGCGATTCACGACGTGACCGACACCGTGATGAGGACCGTGACTACCGGCGTGAACGACGCCGTTGACGATTGAAATGAGCGACGATGATGAAATGTTTTCCAAATCCAAATGAATTGTTGCTCGAAGGACCATTCCGAGTATTCCAATGTACCAACAGATAACCAATGGAAATATCCAGAAAGAATTTTTATTCTGACAGAAGGAATGCCGCTAAAGCACTGTATACAATATTAAGCAAGTGTAAATTTCACCATGACATGACGTATCTGCGAGGGTAGACTCTTCCGTGATACCCGTAGTGTTATTTCCAAGGTCACTGGGCGCCTCGTATTTTCCAGCGTAGCTTCCCATCAGACCATTCCAGATATATCTGACAATTAGGAACTTGGGATGCGAGACTTAGTCTTGGCTGAGAAGTAGCCGCATGTTCTCGCATGGGCCGAGTCATAGTAGTCGAGGCGGGTACTACGGTGAGTCATGGTCAGGAGAGATGTGAATGGCATTCTCTGAGCTGCATTTTACTCAAACTAGCGCAAGTGATACCTGCTTGAAGCTCTATCAAACGTTCGGTACAATAGTATACCACGTGACTACGCGTTAATTAGTGCAACACGTCACTATCTGCGAACTCCAGCGAGTCAGATTTCATCCATTTTCAATCCACGAGGAGATATCGAAAGGCCAATGGGTTGTCTCTCAATTTGGGAACGGATACAAAAGAGCGGAGCGGACAAGGATATTTCATTTTACATAATCTTTCTGGCAGTCTACTGACACTTCACAATCCTCAAAAAGCAAGATCTTGGAATCAGTACATACAGGCATATCAAGCCGCCTCATCCAGCGCTATCTCAGGCGTCCTCCGCTTCAAACTAACTCTTAGCCCCGGATGCGCAGCAATTGTATACGCGCGATCCTGCTGCGCCCCTCTTCAGGAGCTTTTACCGAAAAGTCGTACTTGAGCAGGATATGGCAAAGAATGATCTTGATCAAGTACGAGGCAAAGAATCGGCCAGCGCACGCTTGATTCCCGTGACCGAAAGCAATCTGCTCCGGGCTTGTTGTGACATAGTAATGCGATGCCTGGGCCGCCTTGTCTGATTTCTGACGCAGGTTAAAAAATCGGTATCCGTCGAATTTATCGCCGTCCGACCAGACCGATGAATCCATCATCATGTGTGTGGCTGAGATCATGAGGAGGGTGTCCTTTGGGATGACGATTCCGTCGGGGAGAGTTACTTCCTCCAAGGCTTGTCGTTGCATGAGAACTAGTGGGAAATTAGTTATGGGAATCAACTGACAGAGATAAAAGAACTCACGGTACGACTCGGGATGCAACCGCTGGCTCTCTTTCATGACACTATCCATCAGCGTAAGATTCTGCAGGGAAGACTTGGTGAATCCCTCCTTCCCAACCACATCGAGAATCTCAGCGCGGAGATCGTGTATCAATTGATCCTTCCCCGAGAGATCACTGATGAGGTGGGTGACAGCTTCGGTCCCAGCATCGTACGACACCATGCAGAGGGAAATTATCATGGACACAATATCAGGCGATTGGCCCTGAAAAGCATTATGGAGCCACTCGATCGGAGTCTTGGACTCCTTCCCTTCCTTTGCTTCGTCCAGCTTGAGCAGGAAGGGCTTCAATAGCTGTCTGATCTGCTTGAGCTGCCTGCGAACAAACTTGGTCCTGGGATGGAAGTTTGCAACAAGTCCCCAGATGGGCTTGGGCCAGGATCGAAGCTCGTGCGCAGCTACGAATGACTCCTTGATGTATTCTGTGCTGAGTCTGATCCATTCCGGATTTCGATGTACCGACTCGTCGTTGAAATAGGTCTTTGATATGATTTGTCCTAGGATTTTCCACATCGTCTCTTTTAACATGAATTCCTGCGACTCTGAGTGATGTTAGTTGCTGCCTTTGGGAGAGATAGAGGCGTCAATACCATCTGAGTCAGACCAGTTCCTGCGCAGTGCATCGTCGCACTCTGAATTGATAGGCTCGATCACGCTCGCTTGTGTTTTCGCATTAGCATACTCTTGGACCTTGGTTTTGAAATTGGCAGCGAAAACTCACCGAGTGACCGCGTCAGAACTTGCTTCACCATGTCGCGCAAAAATCTCTTATCGCTGCTCATATGAGCATGCGGCTCGAACCCATGGACCCCATTATTTAGTTTCTACCAACACGTCAGTGGTGCATCAATCAGAAAAAAAAATTTGCTACTTACCTGCTGAATGGCTTTCATAAAACTGAGGCGATTATCATAGCGAATGGCATCAGCGTACTTATAAGAAAGAATCAGATGAAATTTCGAATCCGTATAGAGATAAAAGGCATCTCCATACTAAACACAACCCCCAGAAATTAGTCAAGCTCGATAAGCAGGTTCCCCAAGGGCTTACTTTTTCAAGACAATCCTTTACAAGACGCGGCGCACCAGTCTGAAACCGACGACGAGCCTTCCCATATCCCAGCTCATACCATTTTCTCCCAATAACCGGCAACCGCGACGGATTCTGCAACTCTGCCGACTTCGTCCAGATAAAAAACAATATCAGAGCAGCAATTCCAAGAATAATATAACGCGGGTTCCAATCATTCTTGAGATCCAGAGCCGTCGATGTGACATTACTCAAGTCCGGCTTCCAGTTGTCGTTGAAGCCTAGGACCGTCGTGCGATTCTGGACGAAATTCATTTTCGCTAGAATCCAGTCGCGGCCAGAACTTCCTAGGGAAAAAAGAGACAGTGGTATTAATAAATGATCCTCAAATTGTCTTAGTTACACCGTAGAACACTTCTCTAGCCCTTGCTTTTCAGCTATCCAAGACTATCTTTCAATAAAACGACCTCGTAAGGTGACCACTCCACCCCATCGTCAGGTGGGGTAGAATTCGTCCCGCATTCTCGTCTGTATTATTGATTTTCATTGTAGGTGTTATGTTATGGGTTTTGGATTACAACTTTGGAAAATAAGCAAGTTGACCCGATCTCGTGGGTCGGTATTCATCGTACTTTCTGTGTTACGGCATGCAGATGCATGCGGGTTAGTGGAGTGTGGATCGTCGGATCTTCAGCGGGATAAAGCATACGTATATTACTATTACTGTAAACGATTTTTATTGATGCAGTGCAGATTTCAGCCAGCCACTTTGCGCCAGATCGCCCCACAGGATCGTCTGCGCTTCCCGGTTTGACGACATTGCCGGCCGAGGAAAGCTACCTTTGAATACTCGTTTTCAGTCATTCTAATGATAATTTTATTAGCAAAAGCAATACAGAAAGAAAGCTTTACTTTTTACGGAATACAATAAATGTGCTGGTGGGCTATTTTCGATAAATCCAGTCGAAAATACAACTCCAGCTCCGAGAATGTAGAGCAGGGTGATGCCAGCTATTGCAAAGAGGCGTGATTGTGTACCGAATCTATCAGAGTAGAAATAGTCAGATCCGTGACTTTCAATCAAGCCATGTTAAATGAACATTCAGAATTCTGCTCTTCAAGTTTGTAAGACAAACTTCCAAATTCTAGTGTATCTTCATACGAGCATAATTGGAAAAATTTCTCCCCCCTTTTTCTGTCCAAGTGATAGTGCTATGAATACATTTAAGCCATTTCGGCTTATTGAAAAGACCGGACTATTCCAAGGGTTTCTGTGGTAGGAGACAGAGGGCGGGGAAGGATACGACAACGGCCAAAACGCAAAGAACTGAGTATTGTTTAGAAGCTGATAAATGACGATGAGGAATTTGGACTCACGTGAAGCAAAGAAAAATGCATGTTGGTAGCTATCCACGACAAGTCCTTGAAGCTTGTCGGGCAAGTGAGTAAACGCAAAACGATTGTCCTGGAGGACGTTCCGAATTATCTGCGTCAATTAGATACGGAGATTGTAGTATTTGGCTTTGAATTTGCATAGACATACCTCTTTCCAATTCGACTCCCCGGCGAGTTTCTCCACAAGGTAAGACTTGAAAGTATTTTGAGTCAACGATGCAGTAGATATGACACCCACCAGCATCCCGAGCTGTTGGACAAGGTAGTAGGTAGTAAGAGCAGCCGCCGACTTGTCTTTCGGAACCGACACCGACATAGCCACAAACAGAGCAGAATTGAGCCCCATGAAGCCAATGGCGAGAAGCCCAAGGTATGCAAGCTCGCCAAGGTAAGCACCTTGTGGCAGTCGAAGCATGATCAAGAGGGTTCCAACAAAAAGCACGGCCCAGCTCACGAATAAAAGTGACCTATATTTTCCAGTGCTTTGTTGAGTGAGCTAGCTGTATGCAACATATCGGTCAGGGCTGTCTTACTATCGCATAATATACCCGCTAATAACAGAACCAAGAATACTGCCGACGGGCAGGTAAATCAAGCTGACCCCGTTCAGTCGATTCGTGGCGTTTCTCGTCCGAACTAGGAACTCGCCGATATTGGATGCAACCTGTTGGGAGTTAGCAGGAAGTACTGGGAACAACCGATTGCGACGTACACCAAAAGCGGGAAAGTAAATCAAAAATTGGATCAGGTAGATCGCCCAGACATAGTTGTTCGTGATGATGCCAAGAGGCATCAAGGGACTCTGGGTCCAGAATTGTTCATTCAACCCGAATGCAATGCCAGATACCATGATTACTCCCAGAGTAATGAGGAGCATCGTTCTGTTCTGGTTCCCTTCACCAACGGTCTGTAAAAGCATCATGACGCCGGTGATGAGGATTCCCAACGAGAAAATGCCGAACAGGTTTAGCTCGACATCCTCAGGACGAGTTGAATACTCTTTCTTTCCTTTTGATTCGTTCTTTTCTGGTGGAGAGAGTTTCCAGTAGGAAACGCAGAAGCAGAGCAGTCCCATTGGCACTTGGATCAGAAACGACCTTGTACATGTTAGCACATGTTCGCGACCAGATAGAATGAAACATACCATCTCCAACCTATGGTATCAGTAAGAACACCGCCAAGGGGTCCACCACAGCTCAAGCCTAGTGGAAAGGCCACTCCAAGATAACTCCGAATCAATGCGATTTCTCTCGGTGGAGCCTTGTCTAAGGCGAAATATTAGCAGTGTCCTTAAACCAAGGACAAGTTGAAACTCACCGTTGATGATCACGCTGATCAGATCGAGCATCCCGGATGCGCCGACACCTGACAGAAGTCTACCTGCAATTGCAACCCACATCACAGACGCCGTGCCTCTTCAAAAGTGTCAGCAGTGCACCGGGAGAATCGTTTCGTTTTTACACATACGTGACAGCACACCCTGCCGAAAACATGACATACGCGACCAACAAAATGGAGCGGTAGCCGTAAACATCGCTAAGTCTCCCATACTGTTGCTGTCAGATTCGCCCCGAGTAGATTCCACCAGAGTCTTCGACATACCAGAGGGAGCGTCGCCATATACCCGAGATTATACACCGTAATGAGCCATGGTCCCAAGGGTACTCGTTTGAAATGTGAGCCGATTTCGCCGTGCGTAACAAGAACGAAGGAATCGTCGGCCGCTGCAAGAAATATACCTAACAGTCGTATTCGAGTCAGCACCTGCCAGATGTATGTCAAGAGCGCACTCCGTAGCTCAACTTGCATACCTAACAGAGCGACCAGAAGAAACATGCGATCAACATGCGACTTCTGGCCCCCATTTTCCGTATCCTCCATGTTCTTCGCATCGTCGCCCGAGGATGGCTGAGAGTTAATCAGTCGCGTCGTCTCGTCGGCCATTTTTGAGTTCTTTTCCGGGATTTCCAAGTCGAGGGAGAGACTTTGTGAGGCACATGGGACGAAAACGTGGAAACAGAGACAGAAAGAGCCATGATCGAATTCCCAGCAGTCTCACGAAGTGCTGGCCTCCTCCCCAAATGTGGCGTAAGAACCCTTGTGACCAGCGGATCATCGGCTCAGCCTCTTGGACTAGTGAAGCAAGGTGGATCATGATCGCCAATCGCCGGCAAATGTGAGGGGGGTGTTGACCAGTGACAGCGTGAACGTCCTTACTTTTACGCGATCGAACTTGAGACACCCCTCTCGGTGTTTTCTAAGACGCGAAGTTCGGTTAAAACCGAAGCATGGGTACAACAGGGCTGAGGAGTCTCCCCAACTTATTCCGATCGGGTCGTTCCTGTAAGCCACATAGTGCGAAGTGTACGTTCGAGTACCCACTGCTTTCAAATCTCGCTGTCACACAGGAAGGATATAGTGAGTTCTTTGGGCTGAAGAACTGTGCGTCATGGCAATAATTGATATCGAGATCGGGATTCCCCACAAGTTCGATTGAGCCCACACCGGTGTCGGACTCTGATTCCCATTTTTATACAGCCAGCCAGCGACGGTTTTGAGAAACTGGGGAGACCTTGTAATCACAGCGCTAATTATCACGCGAAACCTGCATAATTGTAGTTATACTTGCAGCGATTTTGTAGTGACACCTGGTTGACGGTTCAGTCTCTTGGACATTGCATATTGTGCTATTTTTACGCGAAAAGGTATACAGCACTATCATTAGCTGAGAATAGATCCATATAAAAACATATTTTAACTGAAGTGTATGCAAGTTCTTGGTATAGCAATACAGGTGGGTCAGATACTTGTAATTTTAGAAGTGGCGGTCAGTGGTGACCCCACTTGTTTGAGCGTGCATTATGCAGGGCGTTTGTGTAACATGAGGAGTAATAAGACGCCATTTACAAACAGAAGACATATCCAAATCGTGCTTCTATCAGCTAAGCCACAGGAGATCCACACCTGTATCGTGTAACGGATTGAACGCCTAAAGATCTGGGATCTGGTCACTGCATGTCTAGTGTGCAATGTATACAGCAGGTAGAGGTCGAGAATATTCCGCGATCTGTATGAGAGTTGCTTATTTGAACACTTTCTTGTTTCGGCCTTTTATTTTATCTGATTTTTTATGCTAGAACGAATTGAAGAGCTATGAATTGCCACACGGGATCAAGAAAAACAAAATAATTTAATAGACTTATGTATGCAAATACCAGGAGTGAATATTGAACCTTCAAGAGCTGAGAAGGGTATCCTGTAGAGTAATATTCAGCTTGATGCTGTCCGGTCCTGTAATACTAGCTGCATCGAGGTGCATTCTGCTCATATTATGTTGATGTACCTACGGCTGGCAGATCGGGGGCACTAGCCATATTCTGCACTTCTGGAGCCGAGAAACGCTTGCTTTCGCCGGGAACTAAGGAAAATAAATACTTCAGCACTAAGCGAGAGGACTATTCGAAGGACTTTTGCGTGCATCTCAGAGATAGCCAATCTCGGATTTTGACAATGGGCTTCAATGAAGTCATTCTCAATCTCCCCCAACCGCCTTCGATCTGGTTTGTTCTCATTGCCACGACCGTTTCTGCCTTATTATACCCTTTCATCCTAAGTCGGAAATCTCGGATCGATGGATCAGACGAAAAACTGAGCAATCGGTTGCCGGAAAATCCCAAACGTTTTCGACCAGCCACCAAACCAACTGCCCCGGAACTATCATTCAGAGAGTTGGAATTCTACAAAGACCTCTTTTTCAAGCTGCAAAATCTCGAGAGCTACCCGGATGTCCTCCCAATTGCCCGGCAATCGATACTATGGCTGCTGTCCGAAGCATTGAAAGATTATACGAAAAGCCCTCAAACCAATATCTTATCACTGGAAACCTTCGATGAAGAAAAGCTCTGTCGCTTCCTCGGAGACCATCACAGCAGGGTCACAGCTCAATACAAGGAATACATTGAGCTAAGAGATTCGGGTGGTCCTAGGCAGCTGGTTCGCGACCGACATGATGCAGAGCGCTGGCTGCGAAAGATTGCACCGCTGAAGCTCGTCGACGGCGCCTGGCTGGGTCATCTGAATAAGATCAGCATACCATTCGCCTTGCGTCCTATCATGAAAAAGACTTGGCAGATTTTCACCGAGGAGCTGGGAGATGGAAATCATCAGCAACATCATGTTTACATCTACGAAGAGCTCTTACGGCAGGTCGAGCCAGATCTGCCCAAGCCAACGACGAAAGAAATTCTCCACCCTCGATACGGATTCAACAGTATCAAATACTGGCGGGGTGCTGTGGCTCAGTTGATGATCTCTCTGTTTCCGGAAGAGTTCTTCCCCGAGATATTGGGATTCAACATGCACTTCGAAATGCTGCAATTGGATACCATGCAGGCGGCAAAGGAGCTTCCGGAGGTTGGCTTCGATCCGTATTACTTCCTGCTTCATGTTTCCATCGACAACTCCCACTCCGGTCATGCTGCAATGTCAATGGAGTGCCCCGTGAGCTACGTGCAGCAAATCGAACAAACCAAAGGCAAGGAGGCTGCTCGTATTGCATGGCGGAGAGTTCAGGCTGGGTATATCTTGAGCGAGTGGCTGGCTTCAACGAAGGACGAGGCGACAGGAATCCCTTTACAGATCAATCGCACTCCCTGTAGCCAGCTTGAGAGCCGAGTGACTGCTATCTTCCGCGCCAAAGCCCAAGCTGCACAGGGATTGCATTGCGGATGCAAAGTGAAGATCGGCAATCGCCATATCGACGAATGGCTGAGCCCGGGTGAATTTGGGAGAGAGAAATGGCAAAAGGACTTTGTTGATTCTCTGAGTCGGTCTAAGCCGTGGGTCTATCCTGGTGATAGTAACAAAAGCAGATTGGTACGCGAGTTGCGTTGGGGTGGAAAAATGTTCGGCTCCTTCACGAGAGACGAGCTTTTGGACTTGGAGCACTGGATTGACTCTCTTCGACCACATCGCATCCCATTCTATTACGATTTTGTCGGCCTGGCTGAATCCGCCCCTTGTCAAGGCTGCGAAGGCTCGGATGTTGCAAAGGCAGTATTTGGTACATCCGGGGTCTCAGATGATGCTGACGATACCTTGACTTCACACTCTAAACAACAACTGAGAAAATTGGAATTTACTGCCTCCGACCTTGACCTGACCCGCCTTTTGCCTCTTTGGATCACGCAATGCTGTCTCCTAGAATCCTACGTTTACGCCCCAGCTCGAACAAGCGACAAGATTGGATGCGCAGTGGTGCGCCTGTTACGAGCTCAGCTGGGATTCGAAACAGAGGGCATTATGGTCACAGGCATAGACGAGCCACATCATGATGGAGATAGTGGTATCGTCGGAATTGGCCTTGAGATGATCAGGCGAGCTTTTCTTCCCGTCCCCCCAGACTTGAAGTCAGTCCTAGCTCGCTGGCCATCCAGCTTTGCGGAAAAGATGCTCCGTCTGTCATCAAAACCGCTGCAAAATTTCGGTACGTTACTTGGAATCTCCATGGCATTGCTGGAGCTGCAGGAAGTTGTATCAAAATCTGCGGACTCGGGCATCATCTCGTCTCAGAGTGGCGTCTGTCTGCAGGAATTGGTGCGAAGACAATACCACCAGTTGGAAGAGTGCCGGCAATGTATATCCACGGACGAGAAGCTGCTCGCAAATTATTCGCAGGGCTACGCTATGGCGCTGTTGGAGATTGAAAAGTGTGTGAAGTCGGCATGACAAGACTTTGAGAGGAATTCGTTACGGCCGTTAGAGTATACCATATAGACTGAGGGATTCTGCCCTGCTCGGGGAATTGCCTCTTATCATTTCATGGGATTTCGTGGGCTAGTTCATGTCAAAAGTCATTACTTTTAATGGAAGCGAAGCGAGGCATTATTTATCATTATTCTGTTGTGCTAAGATGGGACTGAAAACATCACCACCTGAATAACTCGAAACGAAAGGTTATGTGCCCATACAAAACAAAAATCCGCCCTCTTATGTGACTTTGGCTCAGCCCTACGTCAGGTGACCTGCTCTACATCAAAGAAAATGGCCGAAAAATACGTGTCCATTTCAAGCTAGATCATCCTCAACCCAATCGGACGATTACGATTAACTCGGATAAGCCAGATCCGCGATCTCCTGCCACTCCTTACTGGATGCAAATGCCTGGCGAATTGGCTCGAGCAGCCGATTAAGGGTAGAAGCCACGGCAACCTTGATACATTTAGCACCAACAGTCCCTTCCTTCAAATCCCGAACAAGCTCCTCGTAAGATATATACTCTTTATTGCGACCATCTGCCAGCTCGCATGAGAACTCCCAAGGTTTGCCAGTGGAATTAGCAATTCTCGTGAAAGGGAAAATCACCATTTTCGCAATCGCAAGAAGCCCGTTGCTATCCACGTTTTCTTCGTCGAAATGGCACGTAAGGATTTTCGACGTGACGTCATCTGCTGTGTCAAGGAATTCAATTTTGGATGAAGCTGCCTTCGATGATGACATCTTCGCTCCACTCAGTGCTGGCAGTAGGGGGTTGATCAGGTGTGCTGCCTTGTCGAATCCCAGTTGTGGGAGGAAAGTGTTTGCGAAGTTGAACATTCCGCGCTGGATTTCGAGATTAGCCGTCAATCAGTGGGTGTGGTGAAAGCATCGAAGGGGAGAGGTGTATAGTTACCTGGTCTTCGCCGCCTAGTTGAAAATGGACACCCAGGAATGCTTCTGCAAGGGCCTGCCGACCGGGGCACATCATGGGGCTGAGAGCATTTGTCTCGTCAATCTCGTTCCCGCAGGCTCTGATCGCATCTTGAGACACGAGAACACAAAGTTGGTGTTCCTTTGAAATGAAAGCTGGGTCGTAGGTGAATCTTTCCGACTCTGTGACGAAAGAGACTTTTGATTTCGGGACGCCGAGGCTGTCGAGAATGGCGGAGAGCAGGAATTGATAGTAGCGAGTACGATATCCCACACGTTCAGCTGAAACATCATGATTGATCAAAAACGCATAGGTATCCGCAAAGTATACACAAGTCTGGGTCGTCAGTCTCATACCTAGTGATTGCGGAAAGGCTTCATACCTCTACACCAGCAGCTACAAACTCCATGAGCTTGATACATGGTAGCAGATATCCAATATGTGCTGCCGAGAAATTAGTTCAGCTAATCTTGACCTAGTATTCTGATCTCGCCTCACGTTTTCCAGTCGGTGCAGTGCCTTTTCAATTGGTGTCAGCTTCTCAAATATCAATTTCGCACTGTTCTATTCTACTCACCCCAGAACCCTTTAACCAAATCGCCATTGTCAAGCTTGTGCTTGATGATTTGCGCATCTTGCACGTCCACGCCCCGTGCAATCAACTCATAGTTCTTATCGATTGTCATCTCGACGACGAAGTGATGGGACAAACCGAATAACAGCAGGGACTATGGCGTATTCAGAACGCACGGGTATTTCTAGGCATTAATATAGATCTCTCGCAGGTTCGTGCTAGATTGGTCGACTTTCTAAAACACTAGGCCCAGAACGAATTTCCAAAATTTACAAGGATCAGCTGTGGCTGGCGCGACTATGAAGTTTCTACATGCATGTGCAGAGAATTAGGTAAACACCGATCACTCAGCTCTCCACTGGAGCTGGAGTGGGACCTGAATCAATGCGCATGCGGGGCTGCAGGATGTGGATCACTTTGTTTCTGTATGGTTGTTTGATTTCCTGGCGGTTCAGCTCCCCACTTGGGCCGTGCCTCGATTGGTATGCAAGCGGGCAGTAAAATATCGATCACAAAGCATATCGTGCAGGTGTCCACTCCCTTGGAACTGGCTGTGTCAAGTGGCGCTGGCAGTGGGCATGTATATTCGGAGTTTAGTTTCTACGAATTGCATCGGTGTCCTTCTCGCGGCATACGCATTAGGAGTGACTTTACGTGGGAAATTGGCTCAAAAGATGTAAGAAAGCAAATTTGTTGCGACATTCTAGCTGTGAATCGTAATACGGTCAGCTTCAAAAAGTCTTAGACGGTCTAAAAAAGTACGAAACCATGAACCTATCCTCAACCCCATCAGTCGGCTGGGTGACTCGATGCACAGGAGAATGCAGTGTGCCGTCCGTCTGCTTTTGGAGGGAATTGGCAATGTTGACAAGAACACACCGACTAGTGGGTTCAATCCAAAGCCACTCCTTCGTCTCGGGGATCTGGACTTGACTAGCCCACTTTCCGCACCAGAGGAAGGTGATGGATCCTCCATCTGTGTGGGTGGTGTTGGGAACGTCAGCCACAGTGGGCTCCGTCGGACCGGAAAGGAGCTTCAGGCCGCTGTCGTTGGGGTCGTTGGGGTTATGGGTGTTTTCCAGGTGGGACTGTCCCTCGAGACCGAGGCCGGCTGAGAGGGCGCGGAGACAGATGCGTGAGTAGTTGTCGCAGACGCTGGAGAAGTCGCGGAGGACATTGCTGTATGGGACTAGCTTGGTTGGTAGGGTGATGGTGTCTTTTTCCTCGCGGGCAATCTGTGATATGTTAGCTTGGTCCTCATAGGGGTCTGTTGGGATAGCCACATACTTCGAAGGACTCGTGGCCTGGTCCTTTCTTGTATCTGCCTTGGTGTCAATCTCATATCTAGGCTGTTGTTGTATGGTTTCCTACCCTCGATCAACGCCCTCTCTGAAATCTTTCATCTTCTCATCGCCAGACTGGGCGAAGTATTTTTCGCAGGCTTCGTACAAAGTGTTGATATCCTTTGCGATGTTCTCCGAGGCCGGCTCATCGAAAGAAAGATAGAAGAATCCCGGGGACTTTGCGGCCTTCAAGAGCGTCTCAGTTGCGGCGGGATCGTTCGCAGCGAGCTTGTCGGCATTGATGACGCTCAAGTCTGCAATTTTCAAAGACTGCTCTCCGATCACTTTGGTGATGGCTGGAGCGGGGGAAGTTGTGGTTTGTGTCATGTTGTGTGTAAAGATTGGAAGCACACAGCAATGATTGAGAAGTTCTAGTAAATGGGATGGAGTAGAAGTGAGATGTAAAATGAAGTCGGAAATCAGGACAAGCAAAACATACCAGCCACCTGTCACGAAATAAATGCTGCTCTTACCAAAGCGCTCAAGAAAGTACCATGCCTAACCGCGATATACGCTTGCCAATCGTCCTAAAGGAATTCCATTGGCGAATCACCGTATTTTCGAATGACTGTATTTGAGATCGTCAGCAAAACTTTATCTATCAGGTGGAGGCACTCCTGTACGGAAATGCAAACAGCGCTAGTAATTTTATACATCACAAGTAATTTTATCCAGCGAAGTGGGTAATGCAAATTGACTACGTACTGTAACACCGATCTACGTATATTCATCACGGTCCCATTCCAGCTTCGCAAAGAAAAATACAAGAAAACATACATATCATCTTGTCAATATTTCAACCATGTATTGAAAAAAGAAGATCTGCAGGACCCACAATGGTTGATCGATCAGAATTAGCAATAGGAATATGCATCTGCTCAGCCAGCCCTCAAAACGTGCGGTGCATGCATTATGCCGTGAAAACTCACTTCCCACAATGCCCCCTACAGTAGGATTCTAGCTGAGATTTTTACCGCTCTATCGGATCCACCTAAACGCGGAAGGATGGAATTTTTCAGCCGGGTGCATCTTGCGTAATTGGCGCCACTTCAAGCTCCTACCTAGGTACTCCACATTTCTATTGCATTTGCGACGTGCAGATGTCGACTTATCATATTAGAACGCCAACTAGCTAGCTCCGATCTCACAAATCCTTGGAAAAATGCGTGCGATGAATTGGACTTCGATTGTACACTAGTGTAGTCTGCGGGGCTGGGCTCTTTCTTTTCTTCTTGACTTCGAAGTGAACTGTGATCGGACTGTCAGTGGAGGGAGCTGCTGGAGGACATTTCAATTCATGCATATATATTGTCTATCTTTCCAGAGGACACCGCAGTCTTCAGTCTATCACTCTTCAGTGTATCATCGTGTTCTAGCCTACACTGGTTAACCATGTGTGGAATCTCCGCCTTCATCAGTGTCCATGGACCTGAAGGCCTCCCACGACACGACACGAAAGCCAGCCTAGAAACAGAGCTCAATGAGAGTCTGGATAGCATTAAGCACCGAGGACCCGACGCACGCGGTGTGTGGGTGAGTCCGGACAACAAGGCGGGTATGTAAATTCCTCTCAGAGGAATAACCACTCCATCACTCTTTGTCCACCAGAAAGAGCAGTGAAATAACAACCTCTTAAAGCCCTCGGCCACGTCCGCCTCTCCATCGTCGACCTCAGCCCAGACGGAAACCAACCCTTCATCGACGCGGATTCCGGCATCGTCGCCGTCGTCAACGGCGAGCTCTACGGCCACGAGGCCTACCACGCCCAGCTAGCCAACGAGTACAAATTCCAAGGCAACAGCGACTGTGAGATTGTGATCGCCCTGTACAAGCATTATGGACGGGCATTCCTGTCGCATCTGCGTGGGGAGTTTGCCTTTGTGCTGTGGGATCCGAAGAGGCAGCTTCTTTTTGCGGCGAGGGATCGGTATGGGATCAAGCCGCTTTATTACACTTTCCTCGAAGGTGGGAAGAGGTTGGCTGTTGCGACGGAGATGAAGGCTTTTTTGGCGTTGGGTTGGAAGCCTGAGTGGGATCTTGATGCGCTCAGGGGGCATGCGTGGAAGTTTGGGGAGGCAACTTTTTTTAAGGGAGTTAGGAAGGTAACTTCTTCCTTTGATGTGTTGGGATTCACAGGTGCTGATGTGGTTTGGATAGGTTCTTCCTGGTCATTACCTGACTTGTCGCGAAAATGGGGATGTCAGGCAGAATATCTACTGGGATAGTGATTTCCCAGACAAGGTAAGTTGTATTTCGTCCGTTCCCAAAGTTGATGTCTGATTGTTGGCTTTAGAAAACTATCGAATCGCGCACCGAGGCCGAAATGATTGAGGGAGTTAGGAAACATCTCCTCGACGCGATCCGAACTAGACTGCGAGCGGACGTTCCAGTCGGCGTATATCTGAGTGGTGGTCTTGATTCCTCCACTGTTGCTGGAATGGTTGCCCATCTTATTAAAGAGGAGGGCGCGAAGCTCGGAAACGAGAGCATTAGCGATCTGTCACGGTTGAAGTGTTTCACGGTGGAATTTGACAAGGACAGCGGGGTCGATGAGTCCGGTGAGGCTGTCTTGAGTATGCACAATGAAGAAAAGTCCCCGCTAACCTGCTGTGTCTAGAAATCGCAAAGCGCACTGCGGACTGGCTCGGCGTCGAGTTTCACTCCGTGCACATGGACGAGGCCAACCTGGCGTCGCGATTTGAAGACGCCGTCTGGTACAGCGAGTTCCCATTCCCGGACTTGAACGGACTTGGGAAGCTAGCCCTAGCTGAGAAGGTCCATTCGCTGGGCATGAAGGTGATCCTGAGTGGTTCGTCCCTCGCTCCCCTGGCAGCTGCGTATACAGACATTAACATTCTCGATCTGTACAGGCGAAGGCTCCGACGAGCACTTTGGCGGCTACGCCGACTTCCGTCCCGACGCTATCCAAGAGCCCGACTATTCCTGGCCAGCCTCACACATCCCTGACTCGCAACGCGAATCCGCCTGGCGAGCCGCACGGTCCAAAACCGGCGCCCTCGTCTTCGGCAACTCGCCCTACACCGTCCCCGAATCCACACCCCGCATGGTCAACCACACGCACACAATGACCGAAATCGCCGGCTGCGGGAACCTCCCCTTCCTTCCCTGGACAGACCCATACTTGCACGCCGGCGGGGACCCGGAGACCCGACTGGCCGAGGACATGGACGGCCGTGCGCTTGAAGCCATGGCGAAGAAATGGCACCCGCTCCACACGTCCCAGTACATTTGGCTCAAGTCGTATCTTCCGAATTTCATTCTGCGTTGGGGAGGCGATAACATGGACATGGCGCATAGCGTTGAGAGTCGTCCTCCCTTCCTGGATCACCATCTCACCGAGTATGTCAATTCCCTGCCGCCTAGCCTGAAGATGAAGTATGACCCCTCCTCGCCTGGTGCGGATGAGTATGGTGCGTTCAAGGAGAAGTATATTCTGCGGCAGGCGGCGCAGCCATTTATTACAGAGGAGATCTTTACCCGGCGGAAGGTCTCGTATCTTGGGCCGACGCTGCATAAGCTGAATGGGCCGATTCACCAGCTGTATTCTCGGCTGCTCACGAGGGAGAATGTGGAGCGGTTGGGATTCGTGGATTGGGATCGCACTGAAGGGTTCCTGGCTCGAACATTTAAGGATGGAGACCGCGCTGCATTCCGGGTTGCAACCCTCATCGCACAGTTTGTTGTTCTGAGCCAGCGGTTCGGAGTTGTTCCTGCTGGTCCACTTCCCAATTGAGATGCCAGTTCATTGTGGTGGAACTCAATTAGGCAAGATGGGTGATGAAAAGAGCTAAATTATCGACTGTAGATGATAGACTGTCACGTGGCATTGTGTCGGGTACAACAAATTTATATTCATGATAGAGGTAGACTCGGGTCTTTTCACATTCTCCAGCGTGACAGAAGTCTTCTTTTTGACTTTTGATGTAATGGTTTGATACCGCTTCACGTGAATATAAGACTATTTTGACTTGCTTGTCTTGTTCTTCCAACTTGAAGTGTTTAGTCGACGAATGCTCAGCTGATAGTCACGTGATAAATACATCTGCTTAGGTAATTATACTGACGCAAAAAACGGCGAGGGGAGGACCAAAACAGCATCAGATTCTACTACACCAGATCAAGGTATACAATTATTTAGATATGACTACGTAGTAATTATCAAATTGGTAGATGTCGCAATACCCAAAGTGAATGTTGCACTTCGCCTCGCTTTCTCGCCCTCATAAATAACTGCATGTCGCAGCCAGACTGAACTGCCCCGCCGTTGGGCCCGCCCAGCTCGATAGTGGCCGACGAGTGGACAGGTCTCAGACTGATCGAGTGTTAGTGCGCGCGTCCGTGGTTCTCATTCGCCTCGCGCTAAAAATAAGTGCTAGCACATTCCTGAGCTGTCTGGTACACTTGGAGCGGGCAGGTGTGGCCGACTTACGGTGTGTGCAGCTTCACCCCGCGTCCATTTATTTACCTTTGCCACCCCCCGTCTTTTTTTTTTTTTTTTCTCCTTTTTCCTCCTCCACCCCCTCACATCCACAATGGCTGCCGCTATCAAAGAAACCGTCTCCAATCTAATTGGAAAATTCTCCGGCTCGGACGAAGCTCCCCGCGAGCCCTCCGTCGACGAGCTCCAGCAGCTCCAGAAGAAGTACATCGACGCCGGCCAGGGCCAGGTCTTCGCCTTCATCAATGAGCTGTCTACCGTCGAGAAGTCCCGTCTCTTCCACCAGTTGTCGACCTTCGACCCTGTCCGCATCAATGAGCTCGCTAGCAAGGTACTCCAGCCGCCCAAGGCTGAGGAATCGTCCGTCACCCTCGAGCCCTTGCCCGAGTCTGCGACCGCCTCCATCCTCGACTCCGACCCCGCCGATTTGAAGAAATGGTACAATGCCGGTCTGAAGGAGGTCGCCGATAACAAGGTCGCCGTCGTGCTGATGGCCGGTGGCCAGGGTACTCGTCTGGGCAGCTCGGCTCCCAAGGGCTGCTTCGATATCGGTCTGCTGAGCCGGAAGTCCCTCTTCCAGCTGCAGGCGGAGCGCATTGCCAAGCTGCAGGAGCTGGCTGCCAAGGCGTATGGTGTGCACTCGGCCACCATCCCCTGGTATGTCATGACCAGTGGTCCGACCCGCGGTCCTACCGAGGAGTTCTTCCAGAAGAGCAACTACTTCGGCCTGGACAAGAAGAACGTCTTCATCTTCGAGCAGGGTGTCCTGCCTTGCATCTCGAACGAGGGCAAGATCATCCTGGAGAGCAAGGGCAAGGCTGCCGTCGCCCCCGATGGCAACGGCGGTATCTACCAGGCCCTTGTCACCTCTGGTGCGCGTGAGGACATGCGCAAGCGCGGCATTCAGCACATTCACACCTACTGTGTCGACAACTGCCTCGTCAAGGTGGCCGACCCCATCTTCATCGGTTTCTCTGCCGCCCATGACGTCGACATCGCGACCAAGGTCGTCCGCAAGCGCGACGCTACTGAGTCCGTCGGTCTGATCCTGCAAAAGAACGGCAAGCCCGACGTCGTCGAGTACTCGGAGATTGACAAGGAGACTGCCGAGGCCAAGGACCCCAAGAACCCTGAGCTACTCAAGTTCCGCGCCGCCAACATCGTCAATCACTACTACTCCTTCCGCTTCCTCGAGTCCATCGAGACCTGGGCGCACAACCTGCCGCACCACGTGGCCCGCAAGAAGATCCCCTACGTCGACACCCAGACCGGCGAGGGTGTCAAGCCCGAGAAGCCCAATGGCATTAAGCTGGAGCAGTTTGTCTTTGACGTGTTCCCCATGACCCCCCTGGACAAATTTGCCAGCATCGAGGTTCGTCGCGAGGACGAGTTCTCCCCGTTGAAGAATGCCCCGGGCACGGGTCAGGATGACCCGGATACCAGCCGGGACGACATCATGAAACAGGGCCAGCGGTGGATCGAGGCCGCGGGCGGCGTAGTGATTACCGAGCCGGAGGCATTTGGCGTTGAGGTTTCGCCCTTGATCAGCTATGTAAGTTCATTAGAGCCTATCCAGCTCGAATCAGCTGGTGCTAATTTCTTTTCTAGGGCGGCGAGAACCTCGAGTTCCTCAAGGGCCGGGAGGTCAAGGCTCCGGCGATCCTGGAGAAGGAGGAGTAGATCGACCTGGCGTCGGCTCCAAAATTTCCGTCCCGTGCAGGCACACTCGAGAATAATCTTGAACGACGAAATGAATTATCGCGATTTCTACCCTCGTACTAGTAGTTGGAGTAGTGCAGGAGTGTTGATCGGAGAATGGCCCGCGTTGCACCCACCATACTTCATGTGCGGTGGAATGCAGGGTTTAAGTGCAGTATGCCAATCCTGTGCATGTCCTGGCCCTGGTGCTGCCCGTGTATTTTCTTTCCATTATCTATATTATGTACTCTTCAGTTATAGCTGTCCCAGTTCCTCCCAAGGTAATCTGTATAGATGCATGGCCAATCCCGTGCGGGTGAATCAGCAGCCTTACGCAATACGGCAAAGCCCGGGAGCTAATTTGACGAGTTTGCACCTACTTCCACTTTTCACAACTCTTGCCTTGGAGAAGTTGTAAGTGGTAAGTCTTCTCTCGGATTCCGGTTGTCATTGTAATTGCTGTGTGCGTGAGTGCAGGCTCGCAGCACAGTGTGCTATTCGCTGTTCTGTGCGGCCCACTTTCGCTTTTTGCGTGGGCCGTCGTGCGTTTCTTCCGCATCCCAGCTGACGTCCATCATTACTCCAGACTCGTTGATCACGGTTCGGTTTCGCGGTTTCGAAGTGTGAGTTTTTCACTGGTACAGCCTGTCTCCTGCGAGTAAAAATGTCGCTCGCTCCGCTCCCCTCCTCGCGCGTTGCTGCACCCCACGGTCCGAGATCGACGCTCCCCTCCATCCCGCACGAGCGCCGAAAAAAAAATATTTCGGATGAGACGCACAACCCTGCGGCGCGGGATCGAGGGGTGAGCTTTGGGGAAGTAGTGTTCTCGGACACGCGGAATTTGTTACTGTCGTTTTTGCGCTCAGGGCTGAGGGGAAGGAGTCGCGGTGGCATTGCATCTGTAGGCTCAAGCTGCACAGTGAGACCTCGGTACTAACGTCCCGAAAGAATTTAGAAGATGATGCTGTCTCGTCGTGCGTGCTACAAGTGTGGCAACATTGGCCACTATGCTGGTTAGTTGAGCTCGGGACTTGGGTTGGATGTCCTGCTAATGACTTTTTAGAGGTCTGCTCTTCCTCTGAGCGTCTTTGCTACAACTGTGAGTTTCTTCTGACCTTCTTGATCTTCAAATACTAAACTCCCCATAGGCAAGCAGCCTGGTATGTCACCATAACAGCTTCACCACCACGTCACACCTCTAATATCCTTCAAAGGCCACGAGTCTAGCGCCTGCCCTCGCCCTCGCACCACCGAGAGTAAGAATCCCTCCGCCACTCTCGCAGACCCAACCTAACCCTCCCCAGCCAAGCAGTGCTACAACTGCCAGGGCCTCGGCCACGTCCAAGCCGACTGCCCAACCCTCCGCCTAAACGGCGCCAACGGCCGCTGCTACAACTGCAGCCAACCGGGCCACCTCGCCCGCAACTGCCCCAACCCCTCCGCCGCTGGCTCTGCCCCCCGTACCCCCCGCAACTTCAACCCCAACTTCCGTGGTAACTTCGCCGGCTATCCCCGCGCCGCCACCTGCTACAAGTGCGGCGGCCCCAACCACTTCGCCCGCGACTGCCAGGCCCAGGCCATGAAGTGCTACGCCTGCGGCAAGCTCGGCCACATCTCCCGTGACTGCACCGCTCCCAACGGCGGCCCCCTCAGCTCCGCCGGTAAGGTCTGCTACAAGTGCGCGCAGGCCGGCCACATCTCCCGCGACTGCCCGACCAACACTGCCGCCGCCGACGCGACTGGTGTGATTGAGGCCGGTGAGGCCGTTGACGCTGCCCCTGTCCCGGCTTCTGTCCCGGCCCCCGTCGAGGCAGCTGCTGAGGCGCCTGTTGCGACTGCGGCTCCTACTACCGCTGTTGCGTAGGGATGGAATTGATTCTGATCTGATCTGATTGATTCTATACCTGGTCTTTTGAATGTCTTGATTTTTGTCATGATTTCACTCTTTTCGTCGACTCTCTTCCTCTCTGTATTACGGTTTCTTTTTGGGGCTGCTGACTGAGTTTTCAGTCTTCACCTTCACTTTACCCTCTAAAGAGTCAAAGAAGAAGACTCAGCCACAGCCCCCAATCTCTGCCACCACCATTCCACTTCCATTTGCATATATTGACCACGGCCTCGGCCTTTAGCCTTGCTTTTCCCTTTCCCAAGTTGTTTCTTGTCTTTAAAAGTTCCTTTCAAAAGGGTTTACGAATCACCCGACCTGACGACTCCCCGACGCCTCTCGAATCTTGTCTGTGTTGTCAGGTCGGCGCCTCATGATCGGCGTCTTGTCTTTTATCTATGGTTCTTACCATCCACCCCCGGATCGATTTGATCTTGATCGTGATCTTGCGGTTTTCCAGGGCCGAGGATGTGGAGAGTGATGAAGTAGGTGTTTGCTGGCTTGCGCGGATTCGATGGGATGCGGGTGGTGTGCAGAGATGATATTTGTTGAGTGTTGAGTGTTGAGGGTTGATGTAGATCCTCGGTGCTGAGAATGAAAACGCAAATCTTTCTTTTTCTTTTTACTTCAGTGTGGTCTATGTGTGGTTTGGTTGGGGGCTTGTAGATGCCAGTAGGTGTTCGGTAATATACTTGTGTATACTTCCTCGTAGCAAGTATTGGTTTGGGCTGTATCGATATGTTTGGCTTTGCATACTTCGTTGGGATAGTCGGTCAGCTCTGACGCGGAAACGGTCGTCTTCATTCCAAGAAAAGCGGGCATATAGCTTTGCCCGGAGTGAAAGGGGACAACTTCCTGAGGTTCGTTCTGTTGTATGAATTTGAGACAATGCTGTGTTTTGTATAGGAGAGTCCCGGATGTAAGCCTTGGGCATTGCAATTGTATACCATGAAGGCTGTATGGGACCCACTGAAATTTCGAGATACCACACAGACCGACAACCAGACTCAGACCGCATAAACCTCAAATCCAAAGCCCAAGCACGACAAACCAAAGAGGTCGACCTATTCCCTACGTGGAGCTATCCAAATCCGCCCTGACGCAGCCTCAGGCACACGCCCGCAGTGACAGGCACCCATCCCAATCGGGCCTAGCGCCACCGCCCTACAGTATAAACGCCAACTTCATTTCCCTCTTCTCTCTCCTCCCCATCCTGGTGCTAGGGCGTTACGTGGGCTGATGAGGAGAGATCCGAGGCCACGTTATTGCTAGTTGCAAACTACCATTCTTGACTGCTTCAGTTGGTCTTCGGATCGGCTGGGAATCTTTGGAACCTTCCTGCCCTTGGCTACATCGGCGGTTCTTTTCATTGCTGTGCTGCCCATGTGGTGGCCTGTAGAGAAGGGTGCGTCCATTGAAAACTCGACCTGGTTTGACTGAAAGTGCAGATACCTACGGCACTTCTGTAATTCAATCTGAGAATAACATTACTGATTACCCTTGATAAGATCTAATATACAGTCATAATATAGAACCTGCGATCATAAAACAAAACTGCCGTAACGTCGTCGTCAGCGTCAATCAAATCGTTGCATCAGCAGCACGTCGCTAGATCTTGTCAGGATCATTGATGCCTCCATTCGTAATGATATAAGTCGCCTCTTTCTCGGGGCAGTCTGAAAGAGTCAGTCGAGAAGACGAGGCGTGCAGAACAAAACTCACCAGGTGAATCCTGAATCTTTGCCACTCGCTCCTCACCACGACCTTTGCGAAGGAGTACTCGAGTAGTCGACGCATGTGCAAGGACATGACCACCAACAGGCTTGCGACCATCAGCCCCGGCGAAGAGCGCGCTCGCACCGGGGTCACTCTGGACCTGGTTTGTCTAGAGGCTGTGAGTGTCGCTCTGATGGGTGGCAGCGGGGGACCTACCATGAGTACACAGACGTTGAACTCTACACCAGCGCAAGCAGTCAGCATCATCGACAAACCACACTCGAATTAGGGTCCGCAGGATACTCACCCTCAGCCATATGCGCCAGCTTCATAAGAAACTGATTCAACTTCTGCTGCCGCTCAGCCAACTCCCCGCGCCCACAGTAATCCACGCGAAAACAATTCATAATACTATCAATAACGAGCAATCGAAATTCGCCGCCCGCAAACTCACAGCTAAGCGTATTTAGAAGTTCAAGCTGGTGTTCACTATTCAGAGCCCGGGCATACGCAATATTCTCCTGCGCAGTATCCGGATCCATACCAAATCGTTCAGCAATCTGCGCAATGCGCTCCGGCCGGAAGGTTCCCTCTGTATCGATGTAGGCGACTTTGCCGTCGGCACCGCCGAGGGACTTGGGAAGTTGTGCGATCACGGACATTGTGTGCGAGAGCTGGGTTTTGCCACACCGGAATTCACCGAAGACTTCACTGATGCTCATGCTCTGGAAGCCTCTGAAAAGAATGAGCGGAGGGTGAGATGGAGACGGTGGAGTGGGAACGTACCCGCCTAGGATGGCGTCGAATTGCTTGCTTCCTGTGGAAATTTTGACGACTTTTCTGCGTTGGTGGAAGAGTTCCATTGCCGTGATGAAGCCTGATGCGGAAGGCTGTGGATACACTCAGAGAGTGTTGTGTAAGACGAGGAGAGGGACTTACTAGGCACTTCTGGATGGCCTCCTTGACCTTTTCCACCTTGATCTCGCTGAAGCCTTTGATCTTCAGGAGTGTTCTGCGCGTGGCGCCGTGAACGGACTGGGCTTGTCAGCTGGAGTTGATGTGTCTGAGGTTCGAGGTATTCTTACGGCGACTGTGTAGTAGCCATTTGCCTTGAGCTTTGTGATGTCTGCTGCGCCGATGCCGTGAGACTGGATGGTATCGATGTCGACGATGAAGTTCTGATGGTTGGGTTGTCAGCTGTGAAGCTTCAGCTAAGAAGTAAGCGTACCTCTTCATTGAAGTCGTCATCCGAGATTGAGCCAGCCATTGCGATGGGTGGGATGTGGTGCGGTCGGAAGGAATGTGAGTCGGTCCAAGCTTGTCTGGCAATGGTCGGTCCTCCCGCTGGCCAACACGCAATATCAGCAAGTAGACAGACACGGCGTGTCTACTGGTTCAGGTTTTTATGAATAGTAATTTAATGAGCAAGTGCACTGAATTGGTGGACATTCTAGTGTATACTGCTGTGAGAATGGCCATATGTCCCATATTTTCTGCATTGGGAGCGTGTAGACTGGTCTATTTTACAGAGGGCACAAAAAGTTGAGAGCAAATATTATTTATCAGTGCTTCAGTATATCAGTAATGGCAGGGTTCCGCAGACTATATACTAGAGGTCTAGTCAAAGGTATTCGTAAACTATAAAATTGGAAATTTACCAACAAAGTAAAAACGCCAGGCCAGAATCGTACGTAGTCTAGTACCAAGTGGGTGATATCAATCCATCCCCGAAGCTGGGTAGAGGCTTTCAAAGCCATAAACCCTACGTTCGCCGTCAAGCATGCTTTCATCATATGCAACACTGCGGCAAGGAAACAAGACAACAAATCGATGTCGAAAGTATCATGAAAAGCGTTACAGCGAGCGTATTCGTAGTAACCGACTATGGGCGCGCCGATGTGGAGACTGCAGCTGTACAGTTGTAGCATCTGCACTTGATCCATCAATAAGACTGATCTTCTTTCCATTGTCCGTGGTATTAGAGAAGCAATCGACATCAATTTAGCCAATCGACGGTCATGGAAGGTGTCTAAATGGCGTTTCCAAGGCCGTCGTGGCCACCACTGTGACACCCAGTCAATCCTCGGTTGTTGCTGCTCAATATCTTCTTGTGGTCAAGTATTTATGCTTGAGATTCATACCCTGGCTCCTATGTTTCTTCTTGAAAAAGGGAGAGGAGGTGTTGATGATACAGACACTAATGATCCAAACAGCTCGCGTGGCTGTTCTCAAGAGAGAGGGAGATACCATATCGGCCTGGAACACTCCATCCATTTTTCAGCTGCTGGGAATCGAAGAGTGTCTCGGTCGGACCTCGTGTATCGTATGGATTGGCGTAAAGTTCTACCGGACGCGGCTGTAGCTCAGAACTTCTCCCCAGTTTCAACTAAGCACTGTATTCTTCGTCGACCCGTGGGATTCGGTGGCTTCATCGACGTTTCACTCAGACACAAGCTCCTCAATGGCGTGGTAGCCAAGGCATTGGGTCTTCTCAGAATGAGCTGTAAGTTGTGGGAGGATGGACGGTGGGAAGTGCGTGACCTAGGCAGAGTGGAGGATCGTGGAGTGTGCGTAGACGGGGATCGAGCGAAGGGAATCGTCACGGTCAATAGTGAAGCTGAATGAGTGAGCGAAGAGCCGCAGCTTTTCTGATATCGAAGCGAGACAGCGCGAATGGGTGTGCACTCGACCTCGAGAAGACCCTACGAAGAATTGAGCAAAGTCCAAACAGACCAGTCTTAGACATTATCAACTCTCTGATCATAGAGTCTATATCTTGTAACTCTCTCACTCACAACAAGAACGCACACAGAGCTCACACTCGTTTTGAAAACTCTCTTCTCTACAGACCACCGCAAGGGCAACAAGTAATGAAAAGCACCCGATGGCAAGCCAAGGGCATGTAAGTTCCAAAAATCCCCAGCCGACCCGAAGACCAACTGAAGCAGTCAAGAATGGTAGTTTGCAACTAGCAATAACGCAGCCTCGGATCACTCCTCATAAGCACACGTAACGCCCTAGCACCAGGATGGAGAGGAAGGACAGAAGAGGAAGAAATTCAGCAGGTAATATTTATACCTCCAGGCACAAACAACGCTAGTCCCGAAATGGACTGCAGCTTCAGTGAATCCGGATGCTTGCCACCGCCTACCCCTCCGCCCGCAGTCTCCGGCAGAATCCCACGCTAAGCGCAAACTTCAAAAAGTTCATCAGCGCAACACCACCAACGCAACACAACCTCAAAAATGAAAAAAGACACCGTGGAGGTGGCAGGGTACATAACCCTACCACTTCAACTCCCAGGCACAGATGCCTACCCAAAGACCGCAACACACTACCTCTACCTCCGGCGCCACGAACCGCGCATTCCAGACCCAGACTCCGCACGCTCCCTCTTCCTCGTCAACATCCCCATCGACACAACAGAAGCGCACCTCCGCACCCTCTTCGGCAAATCCCTCTCCGCTGGCCGCGTCGAAAAAGTCCACTTCGAAGATGTGCCCACGAAGAAACGCGGCGTCGCCGCCGCAACAGAAACCAGCCTCGCACACCGCGGGAAAAAGCGCAAGCGTGCAGTCGCCACGGCCGACGAGCTCCAGAACCAACTAGATGATATCAGCTTCCCGTCAACCTGGGACCGGAAGTTGCAGAAGTCGGGCTCGCATGCCATTGTGTTGTTTGCGGATAAAGCGAGTATGGAGACGAGTTTGAAGGCTGCGACCAAGGCCGCGAAGAAGGGAACCAGCCTCAAATGGGACGAGGGTGTTTCGGACAAAGTTCCCAGTCTCGGGCTGCAGCGGTACCTTGCGCACGAGAAATTGCGATATCCTGACCGGGCGGACTTGCTTCGGTCTGTGAATGAGTTTATGACTGTGTTTGAGCAGGTTTCGGAGGCGAGACGACGGGAGGAGGCGCGGAAGTTTGCGGAGCCGGATGAGGATGGTTTCGTTACTGTTTCGCATGGTCCGAAGCTTAATTCTGTTGCGCGCGAGGAAGAGCTTAAGGCTTTGGTTGAGCGGGAGAAGAAGAAGCGCGAAGGATTGGAGGACTTTTATCGGTTTCAGTCGAGGGAAAAAAGGAAGGAGAGGCAGAATGAGTTGCTCAAGCGGTTTGATGAGGACAAGCAGAAGTTACGGGATATTAAGGAGCGAAGGGGGAAGATTCGGGTGGGTTTTTTTCTGCGAGGTTTGAGAGGGGTGTTACTGACGCTTTCCAGCCCGAGTGAACGAAGCATCAGCATGGCGTTGGGAGTTTTTGCGATGGAATGGTTGTTCGAGTATATGGTGAGTTGCTCTGCTCTTTTTTTTACCTTTCCTTCTTTCTGCACACTCCAAGGATGAATACGCTGGGGCCAGTGGAGCAAGACGCGCTTGCCGCTGTCTGCCATGTCATCACACACCAGCATTAACAATCTTCTCGACCACTGAATGGAGCTGTCTTGCATTGCTGTTTGGTTTAAGTTCGCTGGTTGCGCATACGCTAATATGTCAGTTACAGTTTCGAGTAATCCACCAAAATAGATATGAACATAAAGCCCATTTTTTCATACCACCCCCTTCGATTAAATTTACCAGTATATCAAGAATATTCGTAGATAGCCTCCCAGAGGACAAATGCACGACCACATTCTATAGCATTAGTCACATGATCCGTAACAGTGTATGGATGTGGCTGTCTCGCATCGGAGCTGACGAGCTGCCATCACCACTTCTCTGCACAGACCAAGGCTTGGCATGGCATCCCACCTCGCAGCTCTCACAGCTTTGGGGTACCTGGTCTGACAGTCTGTAGCACAACTCCTCTCTCATCCTGACCACGAGAGGATACACAAGAAAGACTTTATTCCCGCAACAACCGCCCGATCCGCCGTCGCGCGCAGCCGACCGCGACTCTCATACCCCGCATAAGCTCTACAGCTCTCACCCGAGAACCACCAAGAAGAACATCACGCATAAATCCTCGAGGCTCGGATTTCAAATTTAACGCCACGCTACTCTCACTGGGATCAAGGTCAAACAATGGCTGACTCAGACTCCGACGACGCACAATGGGAAGACGTCCCCATCCAACACCAGGTACCAAAACACTCATCCACTCAATAATCCCAACCCATCCTCAACTGATCCCTTCAGGGAGAAACTGGTCATGCCTCCGACCACGCCAACGGTGTAGTAATAACACCCGCCCCATGGACCCCACTTCTGACCCTCCCACCGCAACGAGCAACACCCATACCCGCGGGCTCAGATGAGGAGAACAACATGCGCAACCGCATCGACCTCGGCATCGAAAATGTCAACTACCGACAAATGAAAGCGGAGATTGGCATGTTCGACGACGAGGATGTACCTGCGTCTCAGCGGCCGTACGAGAGTTTTATGCAGCTTGCGGGTGATGTCGAGAAACTGGTTGATTTGCTTTGGGGGTCTGCTACGCGTATGGTCTCCCTGGAATTATTGCATCTACCCATCATATCTTACCTGCGTGGTATAAGAATGGTACTCACCAGGTCCCCATAATGCTGACTCTTGTGAAATAGCAACCCTCCAAACCGAATCCCTAATAACCCTAGCGGGCATAACAGAACGCGCCATAAAGCAACACCCACTGGACCCACCAACAACACTCACACTGCTACACAAATTCGACGTGATCTTCCACGCCCTCTGCACCGGGACAGACCCCGCCGGCGGACCTCTGCGCGAACAGGAACTATTCGGCCGCCCGCTCGTCACACAGACGCAGAAGGTTCGGATTCGGAGTCTCGCGGAGGCGACGCGTGTGCGGTTTTTTCGGCGATGCCGGATGATGAGGATGAAGAAGAGGAGGATGCTTGGGCTATGGAGGCGACGAAAATTTATGAGGGGGTTCTTATGTTGCTTGCTGGTTAGTTCTGTAATTGGTTGTATGATAGGGGCGTTGGTTGGTTGGATTTATTTATGTTTTCTGGTGTTTAGTTTTGTGGTCAAATGTAGATGGTACGATTCGAGTCTGAGATGGCGATCGACGGCGATTTTAATTTTGGAAATATTTTGACTCTCATGAGATCTTGAGGGAGTGTGTTATTTTTATTCGGATAATCTTGTACTTTTAATGATGAGGCGCAGCTGCCAGCTACCCGACACCCACAGGCGGCTCACCAAACCAAATGGCTGCAAATATACTCTGCGTATATTTGACACTCCCACCAACAAGCCCACCACGCCACCATGCCTCACACCTCACTAATGCAATTTAGACTCATCCTAGCAAAGCATTCGAGATCCACTCCAAAGAAAATTCTCGAAGACACTAGCCTACCCCAAAAAAAGAAACGCGGTGGGGGTCTCAGGCACACCCACCAACGTGGCAAGTGCATTATTAGGCACCTCAAGCCCGGGCTGAGGCTGTACACACTGCAGTAATGTACTACTGTAAGTAAGCCACGAACGCGCACTAATGTGAGGCACTCGGTAAATGAATTAATAATAGGAGAGTTTAATGGGAGAACCGAGCTGTCGGTGCCTTACCCAGTTGCTACAAGGTACTACTTAGGTACCTAGGTACCTAATTTTGGAAGGTAGTGTTGGTGGTAGGCGGAAACAAGTTCCAGCACAGACACCGTCATAGAACCTGATCAATACAGAACTGCCTACCTGGTACTGGGTACCGGGTGTAGGTTCTGTCAAAGGGGCGTGCGGAAAGCAGAATACGGGGCCAGGTATTGAACGAAGCGAGTTGCGGGCTTTTCTTTCGAGGAGGGCGAGCGAACTACGCAGGAAGAGTGGAGCGAGCCCTGAAAGTGGGAACGGGCTTGGGGGCTGCTCAGCCTCGGGTCTGACCACGCGAGTTCGATTCAGCTATTGTAACCTAAGGCTATTAGAAAATGATAATTTCTTTGTTCAAACTCAGTGTATGAGTCCTACTCCCTAAGGTATCTATAGTCTGTAGTCGACTCTTTATAGGTGTTGGTAGGGCTTACCCTACCCCGACGCCGTTCCATGGTTCGCGCGCATTATTAATCGGTAATGATGGAAGCGCGTCGAACCCAGAATGCCCTCGCGGACTCTTACAGTAGTATAGAGGTAGTCGAAAAAGATGTGGTGTAGATAGACTACTATGTAGTAAGTAGCTATGTATCGGATAGGATACAGCATGCCTTGCAGTCAGTATCCCGGGAAATGCAATATCCACGGGACTAATGTATACATACATTACCCCGAATACTAACTCTGCATTGAGTAGGTAGAGCAAGCAAGGACTTTACCACTACATGTATACATGTAGTATAGTAGTCTGCTGAGAGCTCAGATCCCGATCAGCGTCCCTTGCACATACCAGCCCTTAAACCGGTTTCAAACAGAGTATTGAGTGTACCGTATCATACGCGATACCCCGCCGAACCCACTAGATTGGTTCAGCGTGACGTATCGAGTCCTTGCCGACTGGGATTATGGATTGTCCTTGCTTCGAGAACCAATTTGGCCAGCATAGATCCCTTTCTTTTATTTATCCTTTCTTTACCCCTGGTAGGTCTCACAGCTGTTATTGCGGCCCCTTTCACCATTTGAGATTCTTTCAGAGCTGCTTGTTCGCGTTAGCTCCGAGTCGGAAGTCGCCAGCCATGGTTTTGTGGCGTGGTGGAGCATGTCCCGTTTGTGCAGTTCTCGCCTCCTTGAGCCCCTCTTTCAGCTGAGCTGACCCAGCTACACTAGAACGAGCACGAGAGGAGTAGGTCGTTCTCAGCATGGACAAACTGAAGAAAGGAGATCGCGGAGAGCTGCGCCTGCAGGACGTGAGGGTGACAGGTCATAATTGTACGGCCGGCGACAGTTTCCTTGCAGGACGCTTACTCGCGTCTCCCTCGGTAAAGTTGACTCCGGGTATGGCGGATGGATGTAACCGAGAGGGTATAATATATACACCAGAGTGCCCAGTGCCTCGAGGTGTGACTAGTCGTACCCGTGATAATATGATATCGAATAAAAATTAAAAGTATTTACCGGTAGACTTCGTAGAGACTACTGGTGTCTGCATTGTACAAGGTCAGCTGGGAGATACCGTAATGTATCGTCCTGACAATACCATACATACCAATTTCGCGCAAGTCCACTTTCCCCTCCTCGACTTTCTCTTCACAATCCGAGATTTCATTCTTCATCGTTTCCCCTCCTCCAACTCCTTTCCTATTGTTCCCCTTCTCGGTTTGCGGATTTCGTTTCGTCTTGCGCCGTTGTCAGGAGTTTTCTGTTAGGTCCTCTGTCGTCCTTCTGTTTTGAGCTTTCCTCCCTTGGTAAGTCTTCCCCAGTATCCCCGCCAGAGCAGCGAGTGCAGCGGTGCGCTGAGCGCCATCCACCTGGCGCACTCTTCCTACTGGCCTTGCCGTGAGGTTTTCTCGTACTCTAGAGAATAATTACACTCGACCGGATCTTCCGCTCGAGTGCAGCAGCAGCAAGCAAGCAAGCAAGCTGCGTATTCACCAGTACTCCAAGCACTGCAAGCACCAGTCGTTTCGACCGCATCATCTCCATCTCCATCTCCATCGCCGAGCCCCCCCCTCCTCCATCGCATGCTCCCTCGACCGCGCTCCGCTTGTCGCTAGGCTCGGAAATAGTGTAGGATCTGGTCGCGCAGAGTGTCTGGCGTGGGTGTCGCGGTGGAGCGACAGTCGTGGATCACGGTCGCAATCGCGCACCCTCATCGACGAAAACGGCCAGCGCACGGCGCCTTCGATACCGGCCCTCTCAACCGGGTGATCTTGCGCATTCAATCAGCCTCTAAATCAGGCCCTGAATTTCTGCTGGCCGGCCGCGCTGAGGAAAATAAACCTGAACCGAATACGAGGACATCGCACAACTCTTGAATAATTGGATCGCCGCTGCGCTGGATGTCGCCGGTTGAGCACATCGATACTGGTGCTCAGCCGATATCCGGCTGTGCTCGCCCGCCTTCTTTGCCGGTCTGGAGGGTGGAACCGTGATATTCCGATTTCCTCACTTCAACCTCGCTCCCGCACCGCCCGCCTTTTTCCACCTCTCCTCCTCCACTCATCGACTCTGTCGCTCCCGTCTCGCGTTCGCTTCGCTTTGCGCTCTTTCCGTCCATCGCTTGCTTGCTTGCTTGCTTGCTCCTGTGCCTGCTTTCTGCGCACGCGGCATCTCACGCTTCTTGGTCCTTGCTCACTGCGCTGAGCACCACCACCACCTGCTGCTTACTGCTCGCTGCTCGCTGCTCGCTCATCTCCATCTCTAACACCACCGCTCCTTCAGGAATCCATCGCCATTTTTTCGTTCCTGGGTTCATTACGAATTGCTCGTTCACAGTCTCTTTCTCACGACTCCACGAACTTCCAGTCGCAGGCCGTTTTTATCCTTACGTCGACTCTCGATCAGTTTAGCTCTTCGCCATGTCTTTCAACAACTTTGACTCTTTCCCCAACCAGGGCGACGCCGCCGCCGCCGCCCCCGCGCCTGGCGCCGACACCACCATGACTGGTCAGGCCGATCCCGCCACTGCTCCCTTCCAGGGCCCTGCTCCTGGTGAGCCTGCGGCTGCGCCCGTTCCCCAGCAGGGTAACGAGGGCAAGACCACCCTCTGGTATGTACCCCACAAAATTCCATGCCTCATATGCAGTTCAGTTAACGAGTGCCGTGCTAACTCTCTCAGGATGGGCGAGCTTGAGCCCTGGATCGATGAAAATTTCATCCGCAACCTCTGGTTCCAGATGGGCGAGCAGGTCAACGTCAAGATGATCCGCGACAAGTTCTCTGGGTATGAACCCTCCCTGATTTGCTGTCAGTACGATACTAATGGTGGTAGTAGGAGCAACGCTGGCTACTGCTTCGTTGACTTTGCTTCCCCGGCGGCCGCCGCCAAGGCTCTGTCTCTGAACGGCACTCCCATGCCCAACACCAACCGTGTGTTCAAGCTGAACTGGGCTACCGGCGGCGGACTGGCCGATCGCAGGTGCGTACGACGAAAATACAAACACAAACATGCCCGCAAGCACTCGCATCCCGTGCCCTTTGAGCACATTCCTTACCCTCAACTCTCCCACACTCCCATCACTCCCATCACTCAACCCCATTCTCCCAAGTCCCATGACCAGGATATGCCTGATGCACCAATGCTTGATGCACCGGTATTCAATGCGCCGGGCTATTCTCCCCCTGCCTCCTCTGACCCTCTCGTCTATCCGGTCGATGCTCACTACACTTGGTACCCCAACTATTACGGACCTCAGCATCTAACGAATCCCTCCAGCCGTGATGACCGTGGTCCCGAGTACTCGATCTTTGTTGGTGATCTCGGACCCGAAGTCAACGAATACGTGCTGGTTTCTCTCTTCCAGAGCCGTTTCCCCTCGTGCAAGTCCGCCAAGATCATGACCGACCCCATAAGCGGCATGTCCCGCGGCTACGGCTTCGTCCGCTTCTCCGACGAGAACGACCAGCAGCGCGCCCTCACCGAAATGCAGGGCGTCTACTGCGGCAACCGCCCCATGCGCATCTCCACCGCCACTCCCAAGAACAAGGGCCCCGGCGTCGGTGCTAACAACATGGGCATGGGTCCCGGCCCCGCCGGCATGTACCCCCCCATGGGCGGTCCTCCCATGCCCTTCTACGGTGCCCCCCAGCCGATGAACCAGTTCACCGATCCCAACAACACCACCGTGTTCGTCGGCGGTCTGTCCGGCTATGTTACTGAAGATGAGCTCCGCTCCTTCTTCCAGGGCTTTGGCGAAATCACCTACGTCAAGATCCCCCCGGGCAAGGGCTGCGGCTTCGTCCAGTTCGTCCAGCGCCACGCTGCCGAGATGGCCATCAACCAGATGCAGGGCTACCCCATCGGTAACTCGCGCGTCCGTCTGAGCTGGGGTCGTTCCCAGAACAACTCCGGCCCCGCTGGCAGCCCCTACCGTCCCGCTCCCCCGCCGCCGCCCATGTACCCCTCCATGGGCATGCCCCCGGCCCAGTATGGCGGGTTTGCCCCGATGAAGGTTAGCAGTCACCCCGGCAGCCCGGCCCCGGAACACTCTTGAGTTACAGGCTCGCGTCGGCTGACTCTTTTTTCTGTCTCCTCCACAGTAAGCGTTCCTTTGAATTGAAAAGCACCCGGCAGGAGTTGTCTGCATTCAAGTGATGGATTTCTCTCTCCCCCGAAGTTCAAGTTGTCTCTGTCTCATAAACAAGTTTGCTCGTTTCTTCTCTTGCTTTTTTTTTCGTCTCCTGCTGTTCGAGGATTTTTCCTCATCGAGCCTTTCTCGTGCTTCGGATTTCCCTTATGAGCGCTTTCATCTGAGCCGGTCTTGCGTTGCCTTGCCTCTTTCCCCTCTACCGTCCTCCGGTTCTCCTTTGTCCTTTTCGTGCTTTGTTTCTCGTGGCGGTCTTTTCTGACGGAAGTCACCTGACCTCCTCACCATTCTTACTCCTCACAGTAGGGAGTGACTGGTGTGATTCGGGACTGCCAATCAATTTTCTCAATGCCATGCCTCTGTCAACTGCCCATGACGATTCGCCCCGAATGTTTTACTTTCGTATTTCCAAGTTATCCTTTTCTGCTTCTACGTCTTTTATCTCTTTTTTACTCAAAACGAGTTGAGTTGCGTTTTTACCCGCCCGGGTTCCCTGTAACGAAAGTGCGTATTGTATTTCATGCGTTTCTTTTTACTATACTCCTTGGGCAGGCTTTCTGCAAAAGTTCAAACAATCTTGACGTTCTATTCTCCCGAGAGTTTGACTCGACTCTTTTTTTCTTTTTCTTTTTTTTGAAGCTGCTAAATTGAATTATCGCTTCTGCGTTTTTGGGGTTTTTTCTGCTGGTGGTTGGTTGATATTGTGCGGTTTAGATTTGTATGATTATGATGATGTACTTCATTGCACCGGGCTAAATTGGATTGGGTTATTTTTGTATTTTGTATGCCAGAGCTTTGCGATTGCGGCGTGATGCCGAGCGAGGAGAAGTACTGTATATGCAACACCCATCTCAACTCGAATCAATATCGTGGAAATGAACATCCGTGTCGGAAGAGCACTGCCCGAGAACTGGATACGCCTCTTATCTTTTAGTCTAGCGTTGGCAGTGGAAGAGCTACAGTGTCTGTATCCTCCGCGACATCTGACTTGCATAATTCTGTATGATGAGGTGGTGTACTTGTACCCTTGACAGTACTTTTGGTTTGCTGCTGGAGTCGACGCTACTTGGTCTGCTCGAACCACATCCGCGCTCAAGACTGTTCTTCATACTGTATCCTGAGAAAGCAGGCTCGCGGCATTTTTCGTGCTGTGTTTTGGCCGTGATTCCCTGGACAAAGCAGGTTCAGCTTCATCCGCCGCTTAGGGTTATGTCGTACACTGTACTATGTGGGATTTCTGCCTTTTTTTGATGGGAATGAGATTAGTGTATTGGATTTCTCTATTTTGCTGATTGAAGGTGAAAACATGGATTGTCGAGTCCATTGTTGGGTGTAATTGGAGGGTCGTGTCGTAAATAGGAAAAACATTGGTGATTAATTGGCTGTATACCGTCGTGGTTTCGTTTAGTCGGCTTCGCTCAACTCTGGTGTATTTAGTACATGCGGAATGCGCTTCTTCGAGCTACAAGGGGCAAGAGTGATCAAATATGCATTTGTCTAATAGATGAACTGAAATGAATTGAAAATGGGTGTAATTTGGATCATGTTAGTCGTGATTGGCTGGTTTGATATCGCTGTCTGTCTATGGATGGATTGCCTCGTTCTCGAAGTCCAAGAAGTGAAATCGATGGAACTCGTACTCATCTAACTACTTAATCGAAATGAATGAAAAGAGCATAAATAGAGAGCGAAACTTGGGGTATTGTTTGGGCATGCCGTTGGCTATGGCTCACTGTTCGACTTCGTCGTATGCATATGCGCGGAATGCCCACTTTCTCGATGATTGAAATGAGATTGATTTCACGGGCATTTGCCTAGTTTGATAGAACTAAATGAACGAGAAGTGAATAAATTGCCTTGGGTCTACTGGGCGTATTACGTTGTAGGCGTACTCGGCTGGTATTTCTGGAACGCTGCCTTCCCGATTAGTCTCGGCAAGCTCAATGCGCACCTTCCCCCAATTGCGCTCGTCCAGGCCACAGCAGTCACGCCACCCCATTTCCTTCCCGTGTAAAAATGCCCATCTCTCTCTCCATCCCTACAACACTATCTCGTCAGCTTCCACCGCACCTCATCAAAATGCGGTACCAAAACTGGGGTGTTGAGCTCTTCGCCTGGGAGCGGGACGCTCCCTCCAAGAATACGTCACCGAGTGTGCCGTGGCCCGCGACAAAGAGTTTCCGCGCCTCCAAGAGTGGTGCGTGAACCGGGCTCGCACCGAGGGTACAGAGGATAAGCCCCTGCACCACCACGAGGTCCCCCAGCCGGGCAACCTGGGTCAAGTGCCCGTCCTCGTCTCCTTTGTCCCGTCCGTCCCCTGCCAGACTCCATTCTGGATTGCGCTGCGTAACTGGGGCCCGAGAAATCCCAGTGAGCTGGTTGAGCGGAAGGTCAGGCCTGGTGTAGACAATTTTGTCTACGAGGTGCGGGTGCTTGTTGATGGCGAGTGGGTGGCGTAAGAATTTCCAACTTCCGATGTCGATATGGTACTAATGATGCTGATGATTAGAGAAGAGATTGTTTCTATGGGGGCGAAGTGGCCAGTGACCATCCGTAAGTTGTCCTTGATATTCCGCAAGAAAGCATTGCTGACTGGTGTAATCTGAAGAGTACAACTCGGGTATGTTTGTCCTTTCCCTCGCAACCTCGGGCTGCTCCTGACGTATGCAGCCACCGAAAAAAACGGACGCAAGGACGTCCTGCGCTTCCCTGTCTACCGCGAGCGGAAGTGGTGGTTCAACGAGGCAATCGGGAAGGACTTTGGAAAGATCAAGGTCATCATTTCCGAAGGCGTGATGCGTCCTGATCGTGACCCGATGTACGAACGGGTCAGCAATCTGGTTGTCTTTGCCTTCCAGCATGCCCCTCAGGGTAAGTAGCTCCAGCGCTCATTTAATTTCGTGTATATCCAATTGACAATAGTAGATTTGCTGGAACATCAGGGAATCGCCTGGCCATGCAGTAGAATGTGGATTGATAAAACCCTCCCCGACTATGGTGCCCTCCCCACAAACAACGAGTCCTCTCCCATCCCCGATGATATCCACGGAGATTCACCCAGCCGACGAGACCCTATCAACCGCGGCCCCTTGCCAACCGGTGGCCTTGCGCAGTCTCTTCACAACCCCTTCCAATCTCCACCTCCTCCACTTCCCAGTGTTCAAACCCCCGAACAGTCTCACCACCAGCGCCCTATCATTGAAGCAGCTTCGCTGCACCGTTGCGCCCGCTCCTCCCATGAAGACGTGTCGATGAGAGATTGGGACTGGGACCACCGCGGTACCCGTTCGACCCGCGAAGATCTCTCAATGAGAGACTACACCAATTCCAGCGCCTCGCAAAGCCGTGATATCTCCGGTACCACCGGATCGAGCATGGGCATGAGCTTTGAGCACAGCAGCCAGGCTGGCTCGCAAGCGGGCAAGTTCATGTACCACCAGTTGCTGGACAAGACGCGTCCGGTCAGTACCACTTTCAGGCTTGGCCAGTCTACCGATGAGAGCAGCATGTCTTATGACGGTTGCAATGATGCTGTTGAGCAGGATGATAATGAGAAAACCCCAAAGAAGGCGTAGAGATGCCTGGATCTCTGAATGAAATGTTTCGGAGCGGCGTTTGTTTGAGTGGTGGCGTTTCTTGTTTGCATTTTTGCGCGTTTGCAGATAAGGTTGAATGTTAGTCACGAAATGAATATTGACGCTGTTGATTTGCAGAAAGCACTCCAGCAATTTATTTAAGGAAGAATAAGCGGAAGTGTATTGAAGCCATGCCCTAATTTATAGACGTTTTCTGCGTACGCTCCTACTAATAAACATCTCAAATAACCCGCTAAACCCTGTATATCTTCTACATTGTTCATAAATGCCAATAAGATCACCACCAATCCCAATATTCTCACCACAACCTCGCCTTTATCTGAGATACTCCGCACAAATGTCTTAGCACCGCCGCGAAATCAATCACTCACAAATAATAATCGTAGACAAGGCATATGAGCGCTCCTATGACCGGTCATATGGCCGGTCGCCTGCCAGGGTAAATGGGAGAATAGATGGTCTTTTCAGCATCCCACATACGAGCTTTACTGGTTTGGCATGGCTGGTCAATATTGACATTGCACCATTAACTGGAAACATGGTTTTCCTTAAGCACTTGACTCAGCATGTCAATAGGATCAAGAATCGGACTCGGGCTTATCGCAAACTGATGCGGTACATGTCCCGACACGTCCAGTCCGGTCAATCTACCCTGTCTGCCTCGAGAATCGCCTTATTAAAGAGCGAGTCTACTGGTTTCAGGTTATGGTCTTCCTACCCCTCCGGCAACCACTCTATCAGGGTAGCCGTGGTCTTATTCCTGTGGTTCCCACCTTGACAATGAACATGACCCTCTAGACGAGACTACGAATGGGAAAATGAAAGGATATAAATGAAAGGCTATTGGTACACTGGTTCTGCCGAGATACCAAGAAAGCAATTCTGGGTACTGGTATTCTATGGCATGGGGCTCTTCGATTCGAACAACGTCTGCGACCAAACAGATATCTAAGCACGTTGCCTTCAGGAACCAGAGGTTTAAGAAGAAACACTCTGGTGGTCCTTATCAGCCTTTTCGTGAATTCCCCCGAACCAGGGTGGGAAGTCCGGGAAGGGGGGAATCTATCTGTTCTGGAGAAATTGCCAGGTACCGACTCGCCCTCGAGCAATGTTCCCTAGAATAAAGAATATCCAGCCCTGCTCATCGGCGATGACAGGAAAACTCTGTCAGAGCTTGGGGAGCTGCGGATAAATTGGAGGACTTTGTCCAGACGCAAGAAATCTGCAGTACTCAAAACGGTCGCCACAATTTATGGATGTTGGTGCGCCTACTACCCAATCTCGGTGCAGCACCTTTTGCTCAGTATGAGCTATTCCTTAAAAGAAATACATCAGATACAACCAAGCAAGTGCTCTTTCAAGCCAAGGAAGCCTTGATCGCGGCACCGAAGTCGTAGAATGAAAGTGTCAACCGCGAAGAGATCGGACCTCGAACTCCCCATAGCAGTGCTATGGAGAAGAGTTTATCGTCATCTTCTACATTATGGTCGGCTTGAAGATGAAGAGGGATAATTTATATCCTCACATACCGCTCACATTGGAGGAGTGGAGTGGCCCGTCATCGACGAACATGACTCTTGGCGGGAATGTTTGGCCTCGACAACGTCGTCTAAGGAGAGACCACCACAGCCGCTACAGATCCTGAGAAGATCGCAAGCGCAAGCCCAGACCATCTGGTGGTTCGTTATCACTCACACGTGTCGATGTTCCATTATCAATAAGAAGGCTGTATGGACACTAAAAACGAGTGCCGCAATCTCATTGAGATGTGCGCAGTGATATGCTAGCGTGTTGTCGCCCTCGTTCAATTTATGATTGTGGAGCTGCATTTATCTGCATCAACGTAACATGTCGCGTGTTGGCCATGAGAGCCTCCGCATCTCCATGGCCCTGAATTGAGTTTCGAGGAGCCTAACCCTACGCCACATCGAAAATTTAGCGACCTCAAGCTCAAAATAAAAAGTTCTTGTCACATTTGTCACCTTCGCAGTTTTTCATCGACTTCTAGTACAATCGCACAAAGTACAATCGACTGCCTCTCAATCGTGCAATCTGTTACATATATGCATAATTGGATCACCACGGCGGGTCTGAATAAGGTTTAGGCTGATAACTATGGGGCTCTGCGGCTACTAATGCCTGAGGCTGCAATATAAGCCTCATCCCATGAATAGGAGGGTTAATCTCCCTGCAACAAGTTATCTAATTTGGCTCTCGTTATCAGGCTCTGCGCCTTGTGTACCCCAAATTATACTTCTTACTCTGCTGCCAGTACAAAAGAGACCTTGGCGCGAACATTCATCGAAAGCCTAATTATCCAGCAATATACCCACCCTCAACAACCCTCATCTCAATATCAACTTCCTCCCTAACGAAAATCCGCCTCCCATTCCCATCCCGCTCCCAATCTCTCTCCCCACTCCTGGCGCGTGTAATCTCCGTATGGCAGCCCTCACCACCCGACCTCCAACACTCACCCTCATTCTCGAGACCTATATTCATATTGCGCGGCTCCGGCTTATCATTGCTCGAAATCGGAGACCCACCCTTGAGACCATTTAAGGGCGTTGCACTCCGGCTTCTGCAAATAAACGGAAAATATCCCCTCAAACTCGCAACCGCCGCCTGCACCGATATCCGCATCGTCGGCAGACACGTACAAACTATCCCGGTCGATATCTCAATGATGTGAACCATACAGGGCCGCCCGAATTCCCAGGTTTTGTCGTAGTCGCTGTTATCGGGAATTAGGGTTACGCGACCGATTGCCGTTGCGATGTCACTGCCCACAACAAATGAGTTAGTCACCTCCACACCCGTTTCTGCTCTGTGTTATTTCATTTCGACATGGGTGGGGACCTACAAAAGCCCTAAAGCAAAAATAAACGAAATTCCAACCCTCTGGCCCCTCGGAAGCTGCAAGCTCCAAACCCGCGGAATAGGCATCGCCCAAACAATAACTGTCGTAACGACATTAACGACCGCATAAATGTACGGGTCGACGTTGAGGCAGTTGCCTTTCCCAGTCCACATCGCGCTAATAGGTGTGCAGAAGAAAATGACCAGGAAGGTATTTATCATTCCCCAGATGAGGATCACACCGATCATGGTGTACACGAGATATACAAAGCGGGTGTGTATGAAGATGCGCCGGTAGAGGAAAAGGAGGGAGAGTTTTACGGCTGTTGGTGCTGGGACGTAGGTTATTTGGATGAAGTAGAGGTAGCGGGTGAAGGTTTCTATGTCGACAGGATTGAGGGTTTGGACGTGTTTGCCCAGGCCGTGTTGTTGGGCTAATGTGAGAAGGGAGTTTAGTGTAAGTGGTGGGTGGATGGGAGAGACTGCTTGCCTTTCTCGGTTACGCCGTACATGGCCCAGTTTAGCAATAGGGCGATGCAGATCATCCAGTCGTCAATGCCGAGGGTTAGATTTCGGATTCGGCGGGCCGCGAAGCGCCCGATTACTGCGAAAGTTGCGAGGATTGAGAAGATTATGTTTACTGCTCGGAGGATTGGGCTGAAGTCTTCGGTTAGGTTGGCCATTTCGTGGGCTTAAAGTGGTGCATTTCTGCCGGAGGTTTGTCAAGCCGATTTGAAAAAGATTAGATTATCTCTTTGCTTATTCTGGCGATCTTTTCATTCTTATTTAATCTGTGCCGATGACATGCGCATGCGGATGGCCGTGCAACCACGACCAGAAAGATTAGTCCGCAGAAAAGTTAGCATTCGGCTACGCTAATAATATCTTGTTATACCCCCGAGTAAGCAGCTTCGTTTTGTGACAGGGACCGGGCTGGCCTGACTTGGCGCCACGCGGTGGTTGGAAGCTGTTGCACGGCATGTTAAGGTGTGACGTCGTTGGGGAATGATATTCTGTTGCGGGACGGGCAGGGGGGTAGTTGAGGGAGGTGAAGGGTTAAAAGGTTTACTTGAACGCGTGAGTCAATGTGGTTTGTAGTGTACAGCTGATATTTATAAGTCCTGTTGTCTCTGGAATGAACAGGCAGTTCCGAGATGTGTAAAAGATCAATTCAACGCCCGCTTAAACATCATTACATGTCTGGATATTGGGTTTGCTTATTTTCCCAGTTCGCCGAGTATGAGATTGCGATCGGAGGAGCCGGAGACGACTGTGAAAATATGTTAAGAGATGCTTCGACTATTGTAGCGTTTGAATGCTTGAACTCACTGATTGGCTCATTGTTGGGCGAGAACCGCACATCATTGACCGTGCCCTTGTGACCGGGCAGCTTATACAGAAGCTTGCCGGTCTTCACGTCCCAGACCACAGCACTGCCGTCACCACTGCCCGCGGCAATCTTCTCGCCCTTGGGATCCCAGCTGGCACGAATGAGGTTCTTCTCCAGGCCGACGGGGGCGCCGTCAAAGGTCAGCACTTGCCGGTTGGCCGGAGCGAAGGGACGGATATCCCATGTTCGAACCGTGGAGTCGTGCGAGTTGGACAGGAGGGTCTGGGAGTCGGGGGAAACTTGTAAGGAGGTGATAGTATCGTTGTGACCAGCCATGGAATACACCACGGCCTTCTTGCGCAAATCCCACACGTTGATCGTGTTGTCAATGCCACCACTGTAGATCTCGTTGCCGGCCTCGGAAAGAGCAACTGCGGTGATGGGGAGATCGGTCTCGAGATAGTCCAGTGCTTCCTTTTGCCGGGTGTCCCAGATACCGATGCAGCCGTCGTCGCTGCCGCTGACTAGCAATTCTTCACCCCGCTTGCTGACATCCAGAGAGTTGACAACTTCTTCGTGTCCGATGTGGCGGCGGACGCGCTCTCCAGTTTCCACGTCCCAGCTTCCTAGTGTCATGTCCGCGGAGGCGGAGAAAATTGCTCGCGAGTCGCGCGCCCATTTTAGGTCCAGGACGGCTCCTCGGTGACCGGAGAGTTCACCATAGTTTTCGCATTTTCCGTAGGTGTTCCAGAGCACTATGCGAAAAAGTTAGTCATTTTTCTCGACATTACGGAACAATACTTGAATATCACGTACAAATTGACCGGTCCATGGAGCCGGAGGCCATGTGCTGGGCGCTTGGGTCAAACCGAACGGCGAATACCTCCCCAGAATGACCTATTGAGATAATCAGTTTATTTCCTTCATTGGCAGGCTGGCGCGACTCACCTGTCAGTTCCATGATCGGCGCATCGAGTCCACTGGTACGAGGGACCTGACCAGAAGGTTAGCCATATTCATCAAGTATCGACTGACATCAAAACATACCGATTGCACGAGAGCTCCGCCCTGCGAAGAGCTCCTGACCACCGCGGAGCCGGGGTTGAGGTCGGCGTCGGACTTCTTTCGCTTAGCGACGAGCTGATTGCCCGTGCCAAAGGCCGCCGGCGCGGGGCGTTTTTCTCCAGACATGAGTGCGACCGAGCTAAGCCTCGAGTTTCTGAGGGACAAATAAGACCGGGTGGGGAAGGGACCTGAGAGACGTAGGCGCAGAGGGCGAAAGGTTCCTGGAGGCTTTTGGAGCTGCGGGAAGAACGATAATCCCACTCGGCGGGCGGTGAGTCGATTGTGTACGGCGACAGCTCCAGCATCTCGCACCTCCCCGCAATCACCCCCTCGTCTTTTAATCGACTGTCGCATTCGACTATCTGTGTTTGGATCACATTATCCTTGCCCCTTTTTACGTCCTCTCGTGGCTAGCGTACCTGCCGGACCACCATGTCGGCCACAAAAGCCTCCAGAATAGGAGAAGAGTGAGTGAGGCCTGTCTGTCGGATGGAATGTCTCCACTAACGCTATTGTTGATAGGATATGGAAGTCAGTATCCCGTTTTTGCTCTCTGCCTGAACTTTCGACTGCGATCGTCCGCCGCGAGCTCCCCGAAATCCCAAGCTAACGTTGCCCAGGACGAGAATCGATAAAGTCAATGCGGAGCTGGTCACATTAACCTACGGCACCATTGTTGCGCAGCTATGCCAGGACTACGACAACGACTACCAAGAAGTCAACAAGCAATTGGAGAAGATGGGCTACAACATCGGCATGCGACTGATTGAAGACTTCCTGGCCAAGTCGGGGGTGGGTCGATGCGCCAACTTCCGCGAGACGGCTGATATGATTGCGAAGGTGGGTACCTGCCCTGCAGTCACAAGAGCTGAACTGACTCTGAATAGGTGGGCTTCAAGATCTTCTTGAATGTGGCACCAACCGTCACGAATTGGGCCAGCGACAACAACCAATTCTCGCTGATCTTCGAGGATAACCCGCTGGCGGACTTTGTGGAGCTTCCGGACGATGGTCGCGCTCAGGACGAGCTGTGGTTCTCGAATATCCTGTGCGGTGTGCTCCGTGGGGCGCTAGAGATGGTAAACTTTGCTTCCCCTTTCCCGGTGAGGGCACCTTTGCGGCGGGTCCGATCGCTAACCCCGGATCCAGGTTCAAATGCAGATCGAAGCGCACTTTGTGAGCGATGTGCTCCGGGGGGATGACACGACAGAGATGCGGGTGTCGCTGGTACGATACATTGAGGACGAGATGCCGCCGGAGGAGGAGTGAGCTTGCATCATGATGTACGGCGTTGGATGGTATTCACAAGGGTTGTGCCTTTTTTAGATTCTATTGAAAATATTCTTCACCGAGTTTTATTCTTCAGCACAGAGAAGAATGTGCCTTAGAGTAGTCCAATGCTGTCTTCTGTTCTGTTCTGGCGTGTTCGGTTCGCATTAGCTTTCTGATGTATCAGCTGTAGGAACCGATCGATCCCCGCCACGCGATTTATCGCGCGCAGGGGTGTTTCACCAGGCATTGCTAAAGGTACAGTAAGATAGTCATAAATAGGAGTTAGTTAAAACAGTGAATAAGTCTGCCAGGGATGTGTTCCTGGATACGCGTGTGCTGTTTGCAGCAGCATATAGATTTTATACTGGGTGGTCAGGTGTTCCTTGGGTCGTCTTAGGGCAGCGATCATGCCGGGGTTGGTGTAACAATACGCCGATACTCCCAACAGCCCCTCCTCTTTTCCTCCCCGTTAGATTTCCTACAGATCCAATTTCGTATCTCACTTGCGCTTTTACTTCTAAGATCCTGTCGACTTCTGCAGTGACAGAGTCCGATTGGTCCGATCGGCGATCTACTGAAGATAGTCGGGGGGAATCCTATACTTATCCATCTGATACCAACCTCTCTTCGTCTGACTTTTCTTTTCACCCACTTTTCCATCTCATCTTTTTTCTTCCGTCTACACTTTTTCTCCTCCTTCAGCGACACTCTTTCTACACTGCCCACCCCCTGCAACTGTTGCTGCTGCTCATACTGCTCTGCTGCTGCCGCCATACTTACAGTATACTGTAGTGGCAGTCCCAGAAATACGCAGCCCGCGCATCTCCCGCCCCTCCGGCCAGGTTAATCCGCTCCGAACAAGCGACTCTCCCGCGCCTTCCCAAATCGCCCATCGCCTGTCGCCGAACCCGCTCCTCTCAGTCTGTTCAGTTCTCCCTTTCCACCCGTGAGATCCCTTTCTCCTGCTGCCTGGCTCTTGCATGCCATATCCCATCTGTCGCTGCGATCTGCCCCGGTCGGGTCTGTGTCTGGTATACTTGCCCCCCCCTCCTTCCCTGCCAGCCACCTGCCCCCAGTGCGCTTTTTCCCGCCTCCCTGCTGCCGTCATCGCCCCATCGCGCCTCTAATCCCTCTTTGTTCCCCACGCCCATTCCGACCCCGTCGCTCATACTTTTATCCCAGTTAGCCGTGTCCGAATTCATCGCTTGCGCCTCCGAATCGTCTCATAGATTCGATTTCTCCCACTTGGCGTGATATTCCCGGAGTTCGACCTCCACCCCCCGAACCCGTCGCAGATCTTTATCGCATCTCAGCCCCCGTGAACATATCGGCTTGTTGTGTCGTGCGCTGTAATCCCGAACGCGTCCATAAACGCCCTGGACCATTTGCTGATCTCGATCTCGTCTGAACGTCGAAGCGCTCACCGCTTCGGTCCTACTTCCATCGTCCCGTTCCCACGCGTCCGTCCTACCCCCGCGTTAGGCTTTGTCGCCTGAGTCGGTGGATGCGCGCCTGGAACTTGTCTCCTCCTTCGATCTGATTTCGCATCCGACAGTACATATAGGCAAGGGCGGCTGCAGTCCCCCCGATCGCCACCATGAATCAGATGAATGCCGCTGGGATGAACCCCGGGGTCGGAGGCCCCGTCGGTGGTGTCCCCATGATGAACAACGGCTCGACAGCTCCCCGTAATGATCCCAGCATGAACAGCAACCCCGAGCACATGATCAACAACCTCAACACCCACATCTACGACTATTTCTTGAAACGTGGCTACCACGACTGTGCACGCGCCCTCCTGCGGGACGAATCCATTAAGCTCAATACTGACCCCGGCACCAAGACCAGTCCGGGCAGCCGCCGCGATGATATCAATGGTGTCGACGACGCGATGATGACTGATGGCAAGGATGGCGAGAAGATCAAGATACCCGACGATCTGCCTCGGCCCCGGCTGTACAGTGAAAGTATCCAGACGTCGTTCTTGCTGGACTGGTGGAGTCTGTTTTGGGATTTCTTCTCGGCCCAGCACAAGAGAGGAAACAGCCCGGACGTCCGTCAATACCTCCAGCACAGCCAGGTACGGCTCTCTAAACTGCTCTTGCTCTGGCATTGGACTGACTGGCTAAATAGAACATGATGCGTTTTCGTGATCAACAGCAGCAGAACCAGCTCATGCGGCAACAGCCGATGATGGGTGGCCAGATGCCGCTCAATATGCGCCGCAATGGCATGCACCCTGGAGTTCCCCCTAACCTCCAGAAGACGGTGTTGCAGAATTCTGCTGGCTTGAATACTGCTGGCCTGTACGTATTACCACACCTTCACTCCACCCCTCCCACTGGTGGCAGTGGAGTTAAAACTAACAGCTCCAATAGGTCGCAACAGCAGATCGCGCAACAATTCCAGAAGAACCAGCAGCAGATGCATATCATGCAGCAGATGCAGCGCGATCAGTCCGACATGGACATGAACGGTAACCGGCCCCAGTCACCCGCATCCGCCGATAACGCTCCTTCGCCGTCGAAACGCCCCCGCCTCGAGGGTGGTGGCCCCGTCAACGGACAACAACTCGCGCCCAACGGACAACGACAGGGACAAGGAATGCCAGGACAGCCGAATCCGCAGATTATGATGCAGAACGGAATGAACAGGGCTGCAATGAACCCGGCGCAATTCCAGCAGTTCCAACAGGGGCAGGCTGCGCAACAAAAATCTATGCAGGTATATGCCCAAAACTTGGCCCTTCATCACACGAGCTCAGCACTGAATTCCCAGGGTCTCCCGAATGGTGGTATGGTGAACCCCAACGTTATGCCAAACCAAGAATTGATGGCGATGTCGGAAGCCAACGGTGGAATGTACACCATGAACCCCGAATACTACCAGGCCAATCCCCAGGCGATTGGACGGCCTAGTATGCAACCTCAGAACGGCGGCAACCATGCTCTTCAGGATTATCAGATGCAGCTTATGTTGCTGGAACAGCAGAACAAGCGTCGCCTGATGATGGCTCGTCAAGAGCAGGACAGCATGGCCCGTGATGGACAGCCGATGCCGGGACAATTGCCTCCGGGCACATCTCCCCAGGGCAGCCGGACTGGAGCCTCGCCGAATCCCAGTGAACAAATGAAACGGGGTACACCAAAGATGCCCCCGACCGGTTTGCCCCCCTCGCCCAACGCTGGCGACATGAACCAGAACCGCGGATCTCCCGGATCGATGAACCTGAACGGTGGAGCTCTTCCTGGTGACATGAACCCGCAATTCTTCCAGGGTGGACCCAACCCAATGCGTCCCCCCAGCTCTAACCCCGCCTTCACCGGGCCTCAGATGGGCCAGCCGATCCCCGCTGGCGTGAACCGCGTGCCAAGCGGACAATGGGCACCGGGCCAGCCGATGCCCCCGCAACACTCACCCGCCGCCCAGCCTCAGGCTGGCACTCCTCAGGAACGAGGCGCCATGCCGCCTCCCCAGGCACCTCCCGCCGGTCCCAACGCTGGGCGCACTCAGCCTCCGTCGCCGCAAACCACGGGCAATGCGCCTCCGACGCCCTCGCAAGCCAACAAGCCGGCTCCTAAGGGCAAGAAAGATACTAAGGAGCCCCGCAAGCGACCCACTAAGAAGGCCGCCAATGCCGCAGCTAACGCCCCCGGTGCTACCCCATCGACCGAGGCTGGTGAAGCTGCCCAGACGCCCACTCCCTCTACTCCCGTCACCCCTCAACATCCTAATTCCTTTAACAACAAGGCCGGCGCCAATGCGCCACCCCAGCCTACCTCGGCACCTGCTCCTCCTACTATGGTCCAACCGACTCCGGACCAGAACCCGCAATCCTTCAATGAACTTGGCATGCCCGATGTAAGTTTCAAACGACAATTCGTGCCTTCCCTTCTCTAACAGCTCCCGCAACAGACCAATCCTTTCAGTCTTGACTTCAGCGCTCTGGATAATCCTGACATCCTGGAGAGCTTCGATTTTGACACATTCCTCAACACCGATGGCGATGGGACTGGCTTCGGCTTCGACCCGAACATGCCTTATTCCACAGACCCTGTTGAGACCGGGCCCGACCTCTCGTGAATGATTTAAAAGTCTTAACGGTTCTCTTCAGGTGTTTAAACCTCTCCGATATACCCTTGTTTTTGTAAATGTTGATCGATCCAATGTTTTGTTTTCCTTGCCTTGGACGCTGCTCTTTCCTTTTCGCGCGGATACTGTCGCCCTGCTTTTATTTTCCTCGACACTTCTTTCCCAATCTTGGATACGTGTTCTATTTCGCATGTGCTCAGAGATCGGCGTTGGTGTTTCCTTCCTTTTTTTTTGTCTGGTGAAGGTGAACACTATGCCTTTACTCCTACATGCTACGCTGGGAATTGACTAGGTGATCTTCATTCTGTATTCGAGATTAGTTGCACTGTGACCTACGAGTTTCGCTTCTCTTCTTTCTTTCTATTACTACTACTTATTCCCGGTGACTTAATGCTCCCCTAGTCTTGTTCACTTTAACCTTGGCTCCTGATTGATTGATTGGAGTCATGCTTGACCCAGTATACTGAGCGCATTTGCTAGCTCACTCGTTTCTTTTCTTTGACTTGATTGATTGATTAGTCCCCGCGAACTTTCCCCTTCTTTTCTGCCTTTCCTTTTTGTTATTTTGAAAATGGTCACTCATCACATTTGTTGAACAAATACCGGGCGTTGAATTCCAGGCTCTTGGATTTGAATTCATCCATTTCTTTTCTTTGACTATTCCCGAATCTATAGTAACGAATCTCTTCTCTTTTCCTTAACGTCGTCACAAAAGCTGAGCATATGTAGTCTTGCGTTTTCACATTCGCGGGGGCAGTTGCTGGATGGGTGTCTCAAGGGCAATGGTTGATGGGAAATGTGTTTTGGGTGGGGGGAGAAGACTTGTTTTTGAATGGTTGATTGTTATTGATGATGTGAGATTGATTGGGTGTGCTTTGTTATTATAGGTGTTTGGGTTCAATGATATCCACTTTTCTTTTTCATTCTTGGACGTAATGCCTCACATGTTCTTGAGATATCGAATTCGGGCTGGCTTCTTGAAGATACCTACAGGTCGAAGTGTGAACCCTGTGGGAGATGATAATGGATGAATCTTACGTGAGCTTGACAGTTCACCTGTATGGCTTTATATCGTCACCATCTTGGACTTTGGCGGGAGCGTTCCTGATCATTCGATCCAGGTACGGCGGCATCAGATGGTCACAGTTCGCATCGGCCAAGTGACTACATTCGCTATCACTTTAGATTCAACAGGACGGAGGCTCTTCGGAGTATTCGACTGCAGATGCGTTCACTGGATAAGGCAGAGACAGACTTAGAGACCGACCGGAGATCCGAGAGCAACCCGGACTTGATGCCTGTTGAGAGCACCTAAACAACTTACAGAGCGAGGCGAAGGCAGACTTCTGGAGCCTCGCTTCTAAGTACAATTATTGTAGCTAAACATAATCTGATTCGTTTAATAAATATCTTTGTAGAACCTTAGCGGTAATATTCTATTAGGTAGGATCTTTATGGATCTTTATGGATAAATAGTGTAGTGGGGAGACCCCCTCCCCCTACTACATGGGTGCCATCCATGTTATGTGACATAGCCGGCAGTATACGGTGGCCGGATAGCTAGTTCTAGAATACACCTTCTTACACCTCCCCGACCTGACCCCTACTTTTGGGGTTCTCGCTATTTCCTGATTGCTACGCGTGTGTTTTGTGGTGGTTTTTCTGCTGAATCGAACCGCACGTCTCAGCGCGTGCTGCCACCGAGCGTTCCCCTCTTCAAAAGCTAGCAGGAGTATATTTTTGTTACGAGATCGACATCGACTACATATATCTAGTAATTACGCACATGCCAGTACACTAGACGCGCCAAGTAGTCCTCGAAGGGCTGAGCCCTCGTAAGGTACCTGAGTAACCATCGAGCTCGCTAAGCGAGCGCAGATAGATATACATAGCGAGCGAGTTCTCTCTGTTAGTCTACTACGAATAGAGACCATACCTGTCTACCTCGACGAGGTCTTGGATTGTAACACTCTGATTCATCACAGTAATAAGGGGCAGGCGCAATATATATATCCTAAAATTTCTGATCGGTCTCAAATTCAGGCATTCCAATTTTGCTTCCAGTACTGATCTCCGACTGTGCACTGTGTTTCTCATTTACCTAGACAAAAGCACCGCCATAAGGAGTCCTCTGAGCTGCCACGAACAAATCCTCCATGGAAAATTCATCAGCATGCCACCGCCTGCGCAGTGAAAATGTTGTTGACAAGTTGCTGTATGCGAACACGCATGTAGCCAGAATATCCACTAGAGGTATGCCTGCGTGGATCAAAGTCGGGTTCAAGAGCACATATTCACATCCTATCCAAATATCCGCCGGAAGTGAGGACCGAGTTCGCAGCCTCCTGGTCCAGGTACAGAAATTTATTTTGTGAAACTCCTTCGGATAGGTTCTTTCCGTACTTCTCTTTAAAGGCCCTTATTGGGCTGGACCTAATAGGCCATCCCAATTCAGGGGCACCATCTTTCGGATAGCTGTATTGATCAAGAAAGGGCCGGGTCCGAAGTTCCTTGAATTTCGCGCGTAACACGTCGAGAACGGCCAGGAAGCTCTTATTATCGCCAGTTTGTGTAGGCCAGTCAGGAGACTCCAGCTTCCAATAGATTTGCAATATGCCAACGCGGATCTCCCGAAGCGATAGTTCTAGAGCTCTATACAGCTCCGCCTCATAGCCTCCCGTTGACACTGCTTGCATATTCAGGGTTTTGAAACGCCGCAAAGCCCCAGGAACTTTTGTCAATTTCGTGCCAGAGGCGCTGCAGCTAAGGTCTGCATGCTGGACTATAAGGTCGTATTCTTTATTCACCCATTTTTTGGCTGCTCTCTTTGCCTCTGCGCAGATGCTCTTCCAACGCCTTATCGAATGCATCGCTTTCGTGTCCTTCAAAAGGAGACCTGTGAAAGCGATCCATTCGCTCTATTGCCTGATCGCAAAGCTCTTTGGACACTTGGTCCAGATCCCAAGTTGCATGGACATAGAAAGCTTCTTCGTTGTCGACCCCCGCCCACAAGCGAGAAAGAAGGAGTTTGATTTCTTCCTCTGTCAACTCTTCGGGTGAGGGTCTTGCGCGTTTCAGGAGTTTATCCTTTGTGAGTCTGCTCATAGCAGAAACATTGTCATCCTACACCGAGGGAGGAGGCAAATCGAGAAGTGAGATGCGCTCTTCAGCACTGACGCCGGACGGGTTGTTTTCGAAGGTTTGGAAAAGCTCGAGGTGGTCCGCGTCGTCTAGGCCTCTTTGGGCTCGAATAGAAGCGCCGAATAACCTGTCCATGCTCAGCCTTGTGCGTATTGACTGAAAGGATTATTAAAAGGTCAGTAGCGTTCGCGGGCGGCTCAGGGTGAACGATGAATTTCCTGTGAGGTGTTTCAGCCCCAAGTGGGGGCGGATTGGTAGGGGCGAAGGAATACATTCGGCGACAAGGCACTAGCTCCAACAAACTTGCGCGCGAGAGGCGAACGAAAATTACCATGGCCCAATGTAGCTTCCCGGTCTAAGCCAGCGTCAGAGAAAGGAAATTCGGCTAAGCTATCTCATATTTTGCTTTAGCAAAGTACATGTGGGAGTCATTGTATATATATCGATGATATATCCCTTCGAATGGGTTAACCTTCTATTCCAGCGTGGAAAGTCATTTAATCTCATATCTTCTGCCATGACAGGATATATTTTTGACAAACTATAATTTAGCTAGCCCGGACAGTAGTAACTACAATGGGGAGTCTAAGTGTTAACTCATCAATGCGAAGGTCGAGAGCGCATCTTGTGTTCCCGAGGTACATGTTCTCTCTCTTCTCGGCTCCTGCGATACTACACTCGTTATCAGTGTGGTGCAGAAGTTGCGTGAAAAGGGAATATTGCACACATTGGTTGAACCAGTTATACTCATGCCTTGCCCCCCGGTGGATGCAATATTTCCCATGAGAACACCACCACTGTTTGAAACCGGGCCGTCGAAGCGAACTTCACCCTGATATATTGGTGCAGACTTGTTATATTCAGTTCGTGAGTATGTGACGAACTGAGTATGTGAATTTTGCCTCTTGGACCGAGGATAAAGGGACTGACCGTATATTCTTTCATCCATGCACGCAAATCACTAAAGTCAGCGTGCTGTCTATCAGGATTGTCGTCGTTTCTTTGCGTTGGCTTTGATTTCTGAGTGGGAATAACGGATAATAGCTCTTTCGCATAAGCCGCTGCTGTGGCTGACGCATACCGCTGCCAGTGCTTGTTTTTATGAGAGTCGGCATAATCACAGATTCCTCGAATCACGAGACATGGGAAATGGTCCATCAATCCCGATGCCTCCATCTCAAAACAAAGGACGGAATCCCCGATCTCTTGTGCAATGCGGTCTCGTGTTATTCCATCTCGCATGATTTGGTTCCCAGAAGCGATAGTTCCATAGTGAATCGCTGGATCGTTTGAGGGTCGAGGGCGACGCCGAGCAGAAAATCCTCGCGAACATTTAGTGCATGACCCGTCCGCTGACTTGATATGTTGATAATCTGCATTGAACAGAATGTCCGGCTCCGAGCGTGGGTAAAGGAAATCACCCATGTAAGGGTGATGCTTTACCATTTGAGATAGATAGGAGGGTATCGCAGACAGCTTGATTGAATGACTCGCTTCGAGAACCGCTGTTGCAGAAAGTAGGAGAGATGGTGGTTTGCTTAGGGATCCTGTGCGGTGAAGACGACCATCTCTCAATGTCTTCCCCAGATCATACTGGACAACTCCACCCAAAGTGCCCACTGGCCTGCTAACCACCACATCGCCAAGTCGTATATCAGCAATTTGGCTTGGGACACCCCCAGCGATACCAACCATCAAACCGACAGAAATGTCGGGGAATTTGTTGAGCATCTGCATCGCGACGATTGATGCTGAAGAGGTTCCATATATCCCCGCGGGAAGGCAGGCAAGGACAACATTATGACCACTCATCGAACCAAGTAAATACATGCCCCGGTCAATCTCAGGATGCCGTGGATGCTCTTCATCAAGCATTAGTCTGGCCGCGCCCATCTCCACTGGCAGTGCACATATCCAGCCAACTGTGTAATCGGCCAAGGACGGTTGGCGGTCCTGCATTCTTCTCGGAGTGTGAGAAGACCGAGGGTTCATTCAAGGGCATGTATTACGTGTGTAATAGTCTCTCAAATGCGTGTTGTGGCTGTTGAAAAAACGTCAACAGCGATATCAGGATGACATCTCGTCAGCATTTGGGTTGCGGGGCGGCTTCCACGTTCTCTCGGCCCTTCCGCCTCCACTTTCTTAAGCACCGCCTGCAACTCCTATCACACTGCCCTCCACCACCGGCGATTGGCCCATATCTCTCCCCCACCTTTCGTGTAATGCCTGAAAAGGCCGTCAAACGCAGAAGAAAGCGTCCTCTCACAATCGATTGGTCCACGTTGCACGCGGCTCAATCGACTAAATGACGTTGGTCTGCATTGCACCCTCCCGGGGGAAACCGAGGCGATATGGTCAGACCTCCAGGGGTTCGAGGCTGACTACCGACTTGAAATGTTTAGGTAATGGGGCTGAGCCAAGCAACTAGTTAACTAACTACGGACTGGCGCTCTCGTGTTCTCCTCTTTTCTGCCTGACTTCCTATCTCTATCTGCGGGTCATTTTTGGCGCTCCAAATCGTCTTTCTTTGGGCTTGATGGCTATTCCTGCCCGGTAACCGGCCAGATATATCCCGACAGATGGAGCCGGCAGGCTCCCAAGGCGCTACCGGATATGGCACCGTTTCAAATCATGGGGTGACCCTCGGAAACATGGCGGGGGTCCGCCATGAAATCATCGGTAGGGATATCTTTCCACAACGAAAACCAGTTTACGCGCTGATGAATTCTAGGAACACAGAGTCAGTTCAGTCAGATATTCGCGATCAGTGCCTGCTCTAACCAGCACAGCAGTTCACATGCATCCGAATGTTATTCCCGACGGTTCTCTTTCTTCACTGATAGCAGGGCTATGTAAGCTCGTGTATGAAGGTCAAAACGATGATACTGCTTCTATATCGTCGCGAATGACAACCTATGATAATGATGACAAGAAGGTGTGGCGCGAATTTCGCAGAGAACTCAAGGAACTAGGATTTCGCAGCGCCGATATTCAGAGACACTCTGCAGCGCTAAAGGAGCATTTGCTCAAATTGAAGGCCGAGATAGAGAAGTATGTTAAATACAGTCGCTTCAATTTCCTCCTGTTTCAGGTCACATATCCACCAGCTCTGTTGCTTACTAGACGCCAGTGAATCAACCACGCAAAGGGAAGAGGAGTTTCTGACGGACGCTGAACCAACTCCTATGGACATATCTCTGGAGGAAACCAACCCGCCTCAAAAGTCATTTAATACCAACGAGGGTAATGATTGGGAAGCTCGTTTCGTGAAGTCTGAAGGTTTTGCTCGACAGAAGCGAAGTGCCGATGACGAGGATTTATGGAGCTCAGCCGCGACTCGTGGTGCCGCTTATGATTCATCTAGGTCAAAGCCCGCGCGAAATGCATGGCAATACTCTGAAAGAGAAGGCCGAAGACCTAATATTACCGTCAACAAGCCAGGTGATCCACAAACCACCGCCAAACAATATTTTCGATCATCAAGACCTCAGCCAACCCGACCCGATACACGAAGACCTCCCCACAATCAGTCATCAAGAGAATTTCCCAGGCCCGGGGACAGAACTGATTATAACTATACAACTACGCCCTATCCGTACACTTATACTCCGCCTGATTATCAACCCACCTTTTACCCTCCACCACCACCGCCACCACTGGACCCGTCTTCGATGCCCCGACCTGCTTTTCCGAAACCCTGGTCTCCCCCTGGATACGATCCAAGAGCCGAGTACCACCAGGGAACACAGAACTTTGGTTACTATCCGAATCCGATTCAAGAGAGCTTTATGCACAGCAATGCCTTCCCTAATATGAGTTCAAATCCAAATTCCTTCCCAAATGGTCCCGACAATTTTGGGGAAAGAACGACATCTGCATTCCCGGATCCTCAATCCCATCAGTGGGGACAGCCTCCTCCCCCGCCTTCTCCAAAGAAGGACAATCGACCGAGGAACCGAGAGCCAGGCACCTCAAAGAGCCAAAAGCCCACAGAACGGCATTCTCGTTTTTCTGTCTGGGTAGGGCGGCTCGTAGAAGAGCGGCTTGTGGATGCACACACTCCGTCCACTACCAACCGAGCCGATCAGAAAACGAAGATAATAGATCTTATACCATACGGCGGGCTACTACCAGATGAGAAGTTGATGGAAGGGAAGCAGGTTCGCGTGACTCTCGATGAAGATCTGAGACGGATTGAATCGGTTCGACTCTGCGAAGAAAATGATAAAGATCATCAGAACCAAGGATCGCGAAAGGCGAGGGAAGCATTAAAAAGCCAGAATTCACATCGACCACCTAGGATTTCCAGTCCCCCAAGCAAGCGGATGATTGGCTGGAGTCCACACGCGGGACTCTTGCTCGATGTTGACGCCAAGTCACTCTGCGCTGTCCCAGAGGGATGGGACTGGCGGTTTGAAAATGGCAGGGTATTCTACATCGATACGTACGCCAAATCGGGAGAAAAGCGATGTTTCTGGCTTCCACCCAAAGAGGAAGACGATTCTGTCTGGGAGCTTCCCCATTGGGAAAAGGTTTCGAACATATTCGGTCGTATCTCCTGGGTTCATCGAGATTCTGGTTTGAGGTCATACCGGTTCCCTGGCACCTGCAAAGATTTCAAGTACACGGTCAATGGTGACCTCTACATTGAGCAAGATGGTGTTAAATATCGCAGCAGTGACTGGGGGTTTAGTCGACTGCAACTAAATGATTTGGGCGTTGCTTGTCAAATCACACATGAAGTATGGAACAATGGACTATCAAACGAAGCTGCTGCAGTGCGAGGCGACCTGTGGTGGGGAAACGAAAGAGTTCGGCAACGACATTTGAAGTTATCCAAAAACAAGCGCTCTAGGCCTCTAATCGCCGAGACGAATACAGCCCCTGAAGCCGCGGAGCCAATAGATATAGAGATGGACTCTGATGGAACGAACCCAACTGCTCAAGATGATGAGATGCAGTCTGGTGAGCCGCCACAAAGACTCGAAGAGGACGACGGTTCAGAAGACGGAGCAAACGTGAGAAAATACATCCTCTATCAACTTCCAGCGAAGACTGATTTTGATTTGTTTTGAGAAACAGATGTCTGGTGACATGGATACGCCCACTGGATCACTTGTTTCCGATGCTTATACGAAAGCTGATCATCCAACGCATAATGGAAACCTGCCCTCGAACTACAGAAAGGCAACAGTCGAGGATGTTCCTGAAGAATATGCTTCTACTGCAGAAAGTGACTATAATTGGAATGATTTCTAGCCTGAAAATGAATTGAAATAGCCCTCGTTTAAAATCTGCAACACCATCTCTCTTACAAGATCCGCACATTAGCTGCCTGGTTCTTCGTCCACAACTTGGCCTCAAGGACTCAGGGCATGGCTCATGATCTCGTGCCCCGTTTCAGCCCTCACGCGTTCAGAAGAGAACTTTGACGAGTAATGGAGGACTCCGAAGGTCTAATCATTTGAATGTGGATCACAGCTTCTGCAGGCTTGGGCTGGGTTTCAACAGTGTGAACAGAGTGGATGAAAGTTTTTTGGCCGTGGAGATTAGCCCACCGTATCAATATCGGTACCGTTGACCGTGGAATCTTCTTCAAAGCCATATGTGCATACTTTTGAAGTGGATACTTCTGTGGATACTTCTGAGGATCTTTTCAAGAATCCCTTCGTTAAATAGGATATGGGGTGCGTTGCACTCCTAACGTTGGGATTTTGAGCCAAAATATTTTTCTTTGCTGTTGACTTGATGGGTCATTCGATCAAACATCATTATCAATTGTACTATTGGGGTTTTTTCGCTGTGCGACCTTTTATAGCTTTGTGAGGGGCCGAATTCCCCGTGTTATACTTTTTGTTCATATCAAGATGTCGTTTCTGGGGATTGGTGGGCCTAGTATTTTCGTTTACTTGCCAGCCAGCGTCAGAGAGGCCTTTCGTATCTTTAACCCTGGGGCAACCCAAACAACCATTTGTGGTCGTGTACGGAGGGCCTCCGCGATCGAAGCTAAATTTCTCTGTTTGGGCCATTGTTGATCGCTTAGATCCAAGTAGGCGGCAGGGGAGGTGACAGTGCAAATGTCAAAAAATGACATCTCTATGTTAACGTTAAATTATATTCCAAATATATGCTAGAATCCAAGTTTAGCCCAAAAATATGTACAGGAAAGCTCCCTCAAACCATCTGATTCAACCGATGCTGTTTGTAAAAGTCAAAAATATACTCCGTAGCGTTGAACACATAATGTCCCCCGGGACATTTTTTCCGCCCCATAGTCTCATAATCATCGTTGGGCACCGTGCTGGGCCAGCAATGGCCATTGTCTTCTTCCCGGTAGAACTGGACAATGTCCTTCTTGCCCGCGCAGTCCCAGCTCGCGTGCTTGACTAACGGGTCTTCGAAGACAGTGACATTGCTTTTCCACTTCGCGTCCTTTTCGCATCCGTTGCGCTCAGTCCACTTGTGTAGCACATCGATCAGGGATACTTCGTCATCTTCCTTGCTTCCGTCAATCGGCGCGGTCTGGTCGACTGTGCCGTGGAAAATCAGGAACGGATACCCCTCTTCACGCATCGCAGGCTCGCAGGGGCCGACGCCGGGGACATCGCCAGTCTCGTGCCAGGCTCCGCTGACGACCGAGAAGGCCGCGAAGCGGCTGCCGACTGTGGCGTTGCAAGCGATCACGGCGGCGAATTCTCCTCCGTTCGACTTGCCGTTCGCGTAGATTCGGCTGGGATCGACGCAAAGTTTTTCTTCGAGGTGTGTGAGGAGGTCGTTGGTGAAGTCGACGTCGTTTGGGTGGGAGGTGTTGGCGAGGGAGTTGGAGAGCCAACTCCGTTCGACATTTCGGGGTAGACCGCGATGCCATCGGGGTTGAATTCGGGGTTGGAAAATTGAGATAGGCCCTCCTGCTCTTTTCCGTTGCGAGAGGCACCGCAGAAGGAAAAGTATACTGGTGTTCTTCGGTTCACATCATAGTTCTCGGGGATATGGATGCGATAAGACCGGTCGCTGTTGGGTAGGTCGATCGTCTTGCTCGAGCCGGGAGTGGGAAATCCTTCGGGGAAGTTCTTTCCACATCCTGATGGCTTCGCTGAGCTTATGCTCACCAGGGCGGCGAGGGATAGAATAGAAGAGATGCGCATATTTTTGATGTTGTTGTGTCTTTTGTGAAGTGAAGACAGCAACTATAATGTTGAAAAGTTTAAAAGTTAAATGTTATATGCCGCCAAAAAAAGGGAGCGACTGGTAGAACTTATCTACTTCCCAACCCTTAACAATTGACTCTTCGACGTGAGTTTGATTGACAGGAGAAGTAGCTAACCTCGGTAGTCTCCTATTTGTGCCATAAATTCATCTCTATGAGCTTCGCGGTGAGCCAAGCCCCTATTCCGAATCCGTCGCCGATGATCGGCGGATCTTCGCAGATCAGCGGAGCCTCCCTCACTAATTGTTCTTCCTATCCCCAGCCATTGGCCGCAAATCCTCCTTTTCGACTCCGGACACAATGGTATGTACGCGTAAACCCAATGACGCCAGGTTCTTCGATTGTGACTTTCTGCTGCAGATGCGGGTTCCCGGCGAAAACGAGCCGGCCGTTGTTGGTTGATTCGAGACCGAGCCGGCTCGGTCTGCAGGATCGGGTTCCCGCGACGCCGTACTTTCCGCTGGACGGACCCATAGGCAATCTATGTTAAGCTTGTCCCCTGCGGATTGCGCGATTGCTCTAGACGAGCTGTTCCCAATGTACTCCGTACTCCTAGTCCCAGTATGCAGTTCCGAGGAGGGTATTGCTCCGCGTTTCGCCTATATCGCGCGTCATCGTCTGTGAAACCCCTGTTTTGAGTCGATGTCAGTCATGCGAATTGAGTTCGAAAAAAATAAATAACACGTCATTGGAGCCATTCCCAAATACTAAGGATTCACGTATAAGACAGGATTCGGTTCACAGTCTATGATAGAAGAGTCACATTTGAATTACGAATTTCCACTTGGCAGCAGTGAGGCAGCAGTCGTTTACTAATAGTCCTTTCTGATATCGCTGAGCAGCTGTCTTTTTCACACTAGTACGTACTTTCGGTACCATGATCGGTGGCCCTGGGACATAACACATAATGTAGGAGAGGTGGGGCTCAAACTGACTATTGCAACACGAGCCAACTCGCACTGGGTACGAATTTGGAAAGTGGAGTCGAGAATAAAATGAGATTCTAGGCGTGAAAACTGTGGATTTTGCATAATAACTAACGATTACTACGCTGCCCCGTACTCCAGGAAGAGGCTACACGTCCAGACTGTTCAACCTCTTCCTGAAGGAAAGCATTCTTACGCAGGGGTCGATTAACATTCAGGAATCCACGCACATCGAAAAGAACGAATATCAATTTGAACCGGAAACCAAAAATAACTGAGAGGATGATCAGTGGAAGGTGAGAGAAGAATTTACTAGGCTTCAGCCCTCGGCAAGGCTGATCGCAGAGCTTGACCCTACGTAGCGAACACGGATCGCGGCTTCGGGGTCACAAGCATGGCATCATTCACCTTCCGTTTCATAGTAGGTTTCGAAAAAGGTCTCGTCTTCACCTACACAGATCCTGTAAGAGATCTTTGCATACTCGATCGCCTGACTTTCTAGTGAAGGTGCGACTTCGTGGTACGCGCTAGAGAGAATCAACCAACATCCCACATTAGAGTCGGTCATCATCCCCCACTTCTGGACGATCAGTGAGGTGTTCGAGGTAGTCGGGACGTCGAAGCCGTCGATCACATAACCGAGTGCTTCCAGATACTTCAGGGCGGATTCGATGGCATTCTCAAACTTACCTTTGTGAAGATAGGCTCTAGCCAGGGCGAGATACGGGGCCCAAAGTGCGAGGCGGGGGATTTTGGAGGCCGGTCGATCATAGGTGTCGGCGATCTTGGAAATAATTTCTTCGATGCGCTGAAAGCCGACTTCCCCGGTCCGTGTGCTTGCAAGTAAGCCAGGAGTGTCTTCCGGGTTGACACAACACTTTCGGGGAGTCGTCGGAGTTCCCGGCAAAGCTTGCACTTACACTTGTAGCCCCGATACTTGAGGCTGACCGCAGTTTCCTCAAGGTTGGCAGCAAGTGGTGTCTGGAAGGAGATGGTAACCTCGGTGTCAGCGGCGATGTCTTGGGTGGCACGTACGATCATCATGTCTCCAATGAACGAGCGACGGGCATTGCTAAGGCAAGAATGCTTAATGTACGATGCCAAGGACCAGATTCCACATATGAAAAACTTCTTGTGGAACTGCCGGGCTGCGGTCAAGGAACTTACAGCGGCGACGTGGCTCTCGCGGGAGGAAAGGGGGCATCCGAAGCTGTGCAGCTGGATGATTCTCTGGGCATGAAAACTGTAGCAAGTCAGCTTTTGAATCTTAATTAGTCAATTTGAATTCCACACATACGTATTGACAATGGACCGACCATCCACGTCTTGGCAGGCCACGGGATTGAACTTGTGGCCATAAAGATCGGCAAAGGTCGACGACAAGGAGGGATTCTTGTAAAGCTTCTGGGTTGTCATATCCAGAAGCTTTCCCTGGGTACCTATAGTGGCCTGTTCTGGCTCGGGGTTCAGTAGCAAATTAACTCCGCTCGAGATATCGCTTCCGGGAAACGCATGAGCAAACGCCTTTTCGCAGAGCAGAAGGTCGCCGGCCTTCACTGCTTCTGTTGTAAACAGTCGCATTCTTAGCCTCCGAGTTTTCTTTAGCTTTCCAGTTTCTTTCAAGGCCACAGGGCCGATGTAGCTTGCATTGTCAAGGTGTGGAGGTCGACGCTTACTAGCCTCGAGCTGCATTTCTTTGAAGTCGTACCTACCACTCTCTTGCTCTGCAAGTCGTGCCGACGCCCGTTCGTGTCGAGCCAAGGGGCTTCCTGGATACTTTTTCCCAAGCAAATCGTGGATATCACATGATTCTTTGAATCGACCAAGATGGTAGAGGGTTAACGCTTTCCGGAAGAGGGCTGTTTCGGATTGTTCGGGGCCACGCAATGTTGCTTCGATGTCGTCGAGGGCGGCGTCAAACTGATGTGTTTTGAGGAAAGCCATGGCGCGGTCTAGCTGGATCGTATTCGCTAAGTCGTTCGAGGGGGACAAAGTGAGCGCCTTCGAGTAGCTGTAATCATGATTAGCCTCCGTCCCTAGCATTGCTTTTCTTTCAGATCCGATTCTTACCAGTCAATAGCCGAGCGATAATCGCCTCTGTCAAATGCCCCCTTCCCTGCCAACTTCCAGTCAGTCGGCTCCTTGTACTTCGTGGATGTGTCAGACCAGGATACCGGGACCAACTCATCGAACTTTGGAAGAAATTTGACATCTGACAGATGGTCGACTCGAACATGGTAGGCATTTCCCACCACTTGCACATAAGGCTTCTTCACACCGAGCACCGAGCCCTCGGCAAGCTTCTGTGCACCTGATAGCTCTGTACCTTGATGGTGAAGCTCCAGCGGGATGACATCTCCTTTCTCGTCCTCGACGATGACTCTAGAACCGGTCTCTACATCTGCCGGGGTGACTGTTCTCAGCAACAAGTAGCATCCCCAGTGGTGAGTCCCGAGGCGCAGGTCTGAGACCATGATTTTGCTCAGCCAATGAAGAGGTGTCCAGCAAGTTTCGTAAGGCATTGGCAGAACAGCTGGCTCAGAGGTCGTTGCTGCTCCAGGTTTGTTTATGTTTTCATGTTGCAGAAGCTTGAACTCCCGGATAATGTCTTCCCTTGGCCTTCCTGGCACTGCGGCTTTTCCCATTTTTTCTCTGGCTTTCAGGCGCCTTTCCTTGTATTCTTGGAGCACCCCAATGTAAAAGGGGTCCGCGGAAACATCGAAAATCTCCATTTTGATGGGTAGAAAGAGGTAAAGGATGGTTGAAGAAAAAATTGTGGAAGAGAATTGGAGAGAATTGTAGCGAGAGGAAAACATTGGTCAAGTGTGCTGGCGCCTGCCTATGGCTGCCTGACTAATCCTGTCAACAGAGGGGTATTAGGGTATAGGGCAGGCATCTGCCATTCAAAACCCCTCTTCTCTATTTGCCGGTCTCTGCTTTACTCTCCTTGCCTCTATACTCAGAGTTTGTCCGGGGAACATGGTGCTACCACCCTCCTCATCCGTCCTGAGACCACCAAGCCTGTCTGCTATCATGAAAGCAGCATATCACAATTGAGACACTCGCTCTTTTCAGTTGATTCGGACGCCCAGGAAGTCGATCAAGAATGTAGCAGCTCTGTCCATACCTTTCACATAGGGTTTGTCACTGCCAGGCATATTCTTGGCATATTTCGCTCTGTGGATTGTCCTTGTTTCTTTCATCAACTTGAGTCAGTGTCTTGAGCTTAGAAAAGAGAACAGCATTCACTTTTCTGTATTTATCGCCATGACACCGTATCACCAGCGCTCCTGTACTAGCTGGACACGACCCACACAAGCTTGCTTTTCTACCTCTTCATTTTTCGCTGTGTTTACTCTAAGCTTTGTTTACTACTAGTGCCTTATTCCTTTTCCGCTACTGGTAATTTCGGCGTTTGTTGATGATAACCACTCGGACTGAACACAAATTGCATTTCAAACACAAATACGGACTCAGGCACCATTTCGAAGCCCTCATCCACGTTACTCTGTCGGGAAGAGTTGATCTGGTGGGTCACGGTTTCTTTAGCCTCATGTCAATTGTGGAGACACCGTGATTCAAGTTATTCGGAAAACTGCTGCTTGGCCACTCCCACCTGTTGATTATCCTCCAGTATTCTTATCAAGTTCAACAGCTTCACATCCTTTCGATGCGATGCGAATACCACGGCCCCATCATCAGATACCAGTGGAAGTACCGGTCTCATCCAACCCTCTTCTGTGAAGTCTGTTCGCGGTTGTTACGAGAGCCTGGGGTGCTTAAGCACGTTTTGGGATCGGCTATGCAATCAACACAAGGGCGGAACACGGAGTCGTCCTTGTAGTGCCACCCTCTGATCGAACATGAGTGATTGGCAAGGGCAAAATTTGAAGAGAAAGCCTGCCTGGAAGCTGTCTAACGGCCAGTCCTCCAGCCGCAACGTCTCCAGAAATTGGTGTAATAAATTGAGAATATATGAACTGACTTAGTTACTGGATATGTTTAATTATATCATCTCTGGTTTAGCATCTACAAAACACCCCCTCTGTGACTTCTTCTCAGTCACTTTGACATGGAAAACCCAGCCCCCACCTTTCGACCTCGGATGAGCCGCGTCCCGGTAAGACGATTGGCTATCAAAGCCCGATGGTAATTACAGGAGTGGATCTGTAACTCGATCTATGATGTGAGTCATAAGTGTCAGGATGAGGAATTGATGTACTGGCTAGTACTGAAGATATCCCATAGAATAAGATGATAGATTTGAAGGTTGTTGAGATCGGTTGAGCGATCACAGGGGTCTCTATAATCGAACTGTGGCTTGTTATGAAACCACACTAGGGAGAATTGAGTGAACGATGAATAAGCCTATCCCGAAGGGTCCTAGTGGTATTTGACCACCCCCTCAGCGTTCGCACAATCTCCAAAAATCCTCTGCTAATCTAGAAGGTTTCCAATATCCTCCATGCCCATCAATTGAACGAATTCTGCGTGCTTTTGACGCGACAGTAGCTTGGTGAGTCCATCCGCCGCCATATCCTTTGTTTCGGTCCGTCTGATGAGAATTCTGCCTGCCTGGACCTCCTGACGGAGCCAGTGGTGGTGTATATCAACATGGCGTAGCTTCGTGCGCAGCTGAGGAGCTTCCTTAGTGAGAAGCCGGATCGTCTGTTGGTTATCACATCTGATAGCAAGCTCGTGCTTTGGATCAAAGCGAATAGATTCAAAGAGACGTTTCCACGTGCTCATATTCCTTGCAGCCTCAGAGATCGCCAGTAGCTCCGCTTCGGTAGTACTGGTAGTCACTGTACGCTGTTTGCCAGCTCTCCAGTCAACAGGTCCTCCGAAAATGGTGCATATATATCCCTCCGAGCTCTTCCGGTCAGGGTTATCAGCGAACGAGGCATCATTAAAGAGAGCGACGGCTTCATTGTCCTCAGATCGGCGCGGCCGCTAGGTAAGGGCAAGAAAACGGGTGTGGTATAGGTAGGATATCATACGATTGATTGCTTCGAGATGCTCCGGTCCCGGGTTCGTGAGGAATTGAGCTAACGCGGAAGTTGCTTTGGCTGCATCTGGCCGTGTGATGGTAGTGGCATCCTGAGTGGAACCTACCTTTTTCCTGGTACTCATGAGTCTGTTCCTTTGTGGCCTGCCCAGCGTACGGCTTCAATGTAGCTGGTGCTAAAGGTGTATCAAAGCGGCGATAGGTGTTAAGGTGATATCTGCTGGCCATAGAGGAGATGTATATGTCCTGACAGAGCCAGAGGGCCATCTGCTGTCTGTCACGGACGATACGAATCCCTAGGAACCACTCAGCTTCGCCTATGTCTCTCAATTCCCATGTTACGTTGAGCTTTTCTCTGATGTCAGCCGCACGCTGGCGCTGAGATGGGTGATTGACAATGATTGTATCAATATTCTTCTATGTGGATGATATAATCATTGTCAATCACCCATCTCAGCGCCAGCGTGCGGCTGACATCAGAGAAAACTCAACGTAACATGGGAATTGAGAGACATAGGCGAAGCTGAGTGGTTCCTAGGGATATGATAATGCCGTCCGATGCGAAGAGACAAAGATCTTCTTGAACGACAGTGAGACCTAGCGGAGTCAAGACCTTTGAGGCCTCGCGCTGCCAGAGCCTCGGAGATTTCCGTAAGCCGTTGAGAGCTCTTAAGAGCTTCCAGCAATGTCCAGACTATCTGAATCCTTCTGGCATCTCGGTTATCACTGTGTCATCCAGTGAGCTATTGAGAAAAGCGTTAACGGCATCAAATTGGCGTGTATCAAGGTCAAATGCAGCGACTAGGGCGAGAACGGCGCGGGCCGTACGGGCAGCGAGGGTAGCTGAATAGTTTTCCTCTGTAGAGAGCTTCTGGAGATCTCCTCGCACACAGATTCTCGCCTTCAGCTTCGCAAGATATCCATCGCTATCGAATTTAGAGTTGAATACCCATTTCAACGGAAGCACCTGCACGCTGCTGTCATTCGGACGCTGTATGACCTCAAAAGTGCCCTTTCGTTCGATAGTTTTGACCTCGAGGCCGGCAGCTGCTAGGAAACCTTCGTTGAACGGATGATTCATCATCTCTCGCCAGTTCCGGGGTTTTGGGCGAAGATCATCACGGTGAGGTCTCGCGTGTGATCGAGATCCGTTGAGGCCAGTTGCAAATGCTGCGAGTATACCCTCTTCAGCTTCCTCGTCTACTGAGATGGCTAAATTCTGATATCTCTTGATCTTCGTTTACGTGAGCCTGACACAATGTTCCGAGCCGAGATATCTCCCACGATGTCTCTAGGCGCACTGCGAGTCCCTTGTGTAGGTGTAGCGGCTGAGAGCTCTCTCTGAAGTTGTTCAGTGAGTTGATCTTGAGATTCACGATTTGGTGGTTCTGGAAAGGCACCTGGGATTGGTTCTGGTGTTATGCGAGGTATTGAGGCCTGTATAGGCTGAATGGATAGGCGTGGGTGACGGTGATATCATCTGTTGAAGCTCCACTAGCTTTGAAGTGGCTGATTTCTCTGGCTGGGGTATATCCAGACTTAGTCCAGAAATAACCTGGTCAGCATCCTCGTTGTCTTCAATAACCCATGGCATGGATTCCAAGATATCGCTGACAGGCTCCTTCTCTAGCTCTTGAGTGTTAAAGAACACATTCTCATCAAAAACAACATCTCGCACTGATCGTACGGCTCCTCTGCGTGGAAACCACACTCTCCAGATATTCGAGGCTTCATAGCCAACGAGATAGCCTATTTCGGCGTGTGGTTCCATCTTCACGACGTTCGGAATAGCTTGCTTCCGCACATACGCTCGGCAGCCGAAGATCATCAGATTTGCGAGGTTAACCCGCTGTTGTGGTTGTTTAAGGAAGGCCTCTTGGTAAGGAACTATCCACCAGCCATCTGGCAACTTCGTGGGCGATCCGTTGATGATCCATATAGCAGCTCTAATAGCTTCTGGCCATAGAATCTTTGGAAGGCCTGCATCGGATATAAGAGTACGAGCCATGGTGATTACCACCACCCCCCAGATCGCTCTGCGAAGCCATTCTGCTCCGGGGTGCCCACGACGCTATGTTCAATGATAAAACCTTCATTTGACAAGAAATCCTCTACTGTACGACCAGCAGAGCGTTCGTTATCATATCGGAAGGCACGGATCGGAAGATTCCACTGCTTCTTGGCCAGGGCCACAAATTGACTAACCGCGTCTTGACAGCCATTCTTCTTCTCATGAGTATAGGCTGCATGGAGGCGTACGCCCTCGAGGTAGAAGTGCGTCATCCAGCGATCTCCATTATAACCTGGGTCGATCTGGACAAGATCAAAGTGAATACGGCCATACTTGCCGTACGGTGTTCCAGTAGTCCTGGAGAGATCTGACGTTTGGCCTTGGTTAGCTGACAGACTTCAGATCTCTCAGGGTTATCGTGACGGCTATCTTCGCACATCCCATCGATTTTGACTCCATAAACCATATCTGGTGGCTTTTCAATCTTCTGGTCAAAGGAGTGGCCTAACCGACGATGCTAGCGTCGCGCTGAAGCTACTGAGAGATGAGGCTTCTCCGAATGTCGTACGGAAAATGCTGCTCGGTGATTCGGATTATATATGACTAGTGGAGACCATGTTATCTCTCTATCTCAAGAACAGCCTCTTCGCCTTTAAAGATCGCTCTTTCAGCAGATTTAAAGCAGAATCCTTTATCTTCAATCACAGAGAGTGAGATCAAGCTTGTGTGGAAACCAGGCGAGTACCACACGTTATCCAGGATAATAGGCACTGTAGCGCCCGTACGAGGGTGTCTCCCAGTAATGCTGACCTGCCCATAGCCTATCATCGGCGTCACTGTTTGACCGGTTTTAACAGTGCTATTTCGCGGCGTATAGGTCAAGAACTGTCGGCGATCGTTGCAGATATGACAGGTGGCTCCAGTAGTATCAAGAATCCAGCTGTCTTTAAGAAGCTCATCGTCCACTGCTGACGCTGCGATAGCTCGAGTATCATTGGCGAAAAACGTTAGGGACGGGCTCTCTCGCTGAGCCGAACCAGCTAGGTGAGCTGATTCAGCCTTTTTTTTGCTGTATTTTGGCGATTTTTTCCTGATCTTGAGGGCTCATTTGTTTTATATATTCGGGAATCCGTTGAACAGTACCCTCTCTTGGCTTCCATCCATCTGGTTGAAGTGATTCGTCAAGATAGAAGCATTTCGAGTAGTGATGCTGAGGATGTGTGTTACCACACGGACATTTCTTGCGATAGGACTTTTCTGCGGGCTTAGCCTCAGGTTCACCATTCAGTGAAGCTAGAGCTACCTTTGGCTGCTTCCATCCTCCAGAGATTGCAAGATCTCCAAGGCGGCTGCGATAGCTAGCTATAACTTCATGAAATGTGACGGATTTTTTCCTTATCTGCAAGCTTTTCGCGCCAGAATATGCACCAGGCGTCATCAACTGGTTGTATAGCGTCAAGAAAGTCTCGTATCGCGAAGTGGTCTCCATTTGAGCAGTCAGGTACGCCCGCGATCTTGCCCTCTTCGAATAGGCTAACCCACTGAGTTAACCAGTGGTTAATACCACCTGAAGGCTTTTGTCTGATCATCTCTCTCCAGGCACGGCGAAGTTGTTGCTGTCGATTCTGAGATTTGAACGTTTCAGATAGCTCCATTGGCTTCTTCCGCGGAGAGTCCTCTCCCACAATAAGATAGTGATGTTCTGTGGCTAACGAGCGAGTGATAAGGCTATTTGTCAGCATGAGGAATTGATGTACTGGCTAGTACTGAACATGTACAATAGAATCAGATGATTGATTGAAGGTTATTAAGATCGGTTGAGCGATCTCAGGGGTCTCGAGGTGGAGATTGCGTGAATGATGAATAAGCCGATCCCGAAGGGTCCTAGTGGTATTTGACGAGAACATATGTCTATTGCCAAGAAATTGGTATTTAGCCTGACCAATCATATTGTCTTACTAATCAGCCATCTACACTCGGAAAATATATCTTCCTACGGAGTGCGGCCTGACCCACCTAGTATTGTCGGCTTGACCTGCTTCCTGGTATTTGACCACTTCCTCAGTTCGTCAGTAACTAATAATATGATTTGCTGCTGAGCCGCATCTCTTAGCTCTTAACAGCCCCGAGAGCCCATAGCACTTGGACACGTTTTGTCTCGGCCTGGATTCAACAAAAAATGTCTCGCAACACGCCTTTTATCTTCCACCCGAGTTGGTCGAAATCATTGCAGGGTATCTTGCCTTTGGACACCCGCCAACACTTTTGAATTTCGCAAAGGCGAGCAAATCCTACTACGCTTATTGTCGCCCAGCTATCAAATCGGTATTCCTCCACGATCTCAAAATAGTGGTCCCGAGGGACGAAAAGAAGCTTGGAAAGGCTGTGATTCACTTGATCAAACAACTCCGAACGGCGGATAGTCTAAAGTATGTGCGTCGGCTTATCATTAGACACTCAAGGTATTCATATGAATATTTCGGCGTGATTCCCGAAGAAGATCAATGGAAAGCACCCCGATTATCCGACTTGCGATGTTCTAGGCCTAGGATACTTATACGACACAGTATGGACAATGGCAAGAAAATACTACGAGTGAAGATGTGCTGGTGTCGCTGTATACGGCCTGCTCGGCACCACTCAGTAATCCTCAAGTATCGACTCGCAACCCTACCGTTGCTGTGCGAAGCCTTACACGGACTCGGGTCCTTTAGAGTAACTTCGAAGGATGCGCCAGGTAGCGGTGCCGAGAAAACCAAAACGACGTGAAAGCAAAACGGGCGGTAAATAAAGGCTTAATTCCGTGGTGTGGGGACCATACATCTTCTTGTCATGTCTTTCCACTTCGTCTCCACTTCTTTTGGCCCCCTCATTCTACCGACATCTCTATTGCCCGATATGGTTAGCGGAGGCCTCAAAATGGACTCACTCACCACATTCGCTTGGAAGCTTAAGGTGGCGCACGCGCCTCATCGTATAAAGGAAGGGAGCGTGGATAGATGCGAGCCAGATGATATGGAGAAGGAAAGGGTAAGAATAATTCTCTAACATTGGGACCCAGCACACCATCTTCCTGAATACTCTTTCATGGACTCTGGACGGGGTCGTCGAATATCAAAAATATATTGACGACCTGATCAACAACCATCATGGGTCTCCTGGAAGAGACCTGAGTTACAACAGAGGTTCGAAAGGAAGCTTGAGCGAAATTATGGCCTTTTAGAAAAGAAATGGAAGGTCTTTCAACTTTGTTGCAAGAATTCAAAAGAAGATTGAGGTTTGACGAGGGGCATTTGTAGAGGTATCTCTGGTATTCGAAAACTTCCATAAGCTTTCGAGTTTAATCTTAGTAATTATTACATCTTTTACGAATATAACTTGTGGAAAGAATCATCAACTCTCGAAAGGGAAGTCAAAAAAGTTTTCGAGTCATATTTTCCAAAAGCATATACGCCGACCTTCTCGCCCAGATCAACACCGCAAGCACCCTTCTCGAGAGGCTCCTCAATCAATCGGAGTATCTGAATCGACCACAAAGACGGAAAGTCTCATAGCGCCCCTTTTTACAAGAAAGCTTGCGGATCGGCCCGCAGCTTACACAATATTATTATCCGAGGCAAATGTTGGGAATGCCCATGCAAAATCAAGCACAAAATTCATTTTACCTTGAGCCATCCATACATCGACACTATTAATGCGGCGACTGGAGAGTTCGAGAAACCTTGTCCCGGATTGGTTATAATATCTGTGACCGGTACAGGGTCCTCCAGTTCCCGTACCAACGGCTTTAATCTCGAGGCCGAGTCAGAAATAATTTCGATCCAGCATTGGAGTGCATCATATGTGTGTCTCCGACCATCAAGGAGAACGCTCGATCAAGAATCCCAAAAATAACGGGGTCCAGTTCTCTCTTCCTATTAGAGCATCTGAGTCCCCTCCGGCTCCGAACCCTCAGCTTCCTCTTATTATTGATATATGCACCACTCTCCCAACTGTGATAACCGAGCGAGAGAGTCGAAAGTCTCTTGGGCGGTTATCCGATGAGTGTCATCGGCACCATATAACCTTCTCCGGAGGTTTTGTTGGAGGCTTGAATTCACAGTCGTGTGAGGATTTGATATAGCTTCGTGTCGTTTTTCTGAAGGTCAAAACGCGAGGTTGATTTCTTTTCAGCCAGTTCCATTGACTTTAATTAGCTGCAAACCTTACATGCAGCGTTTTTCGGTTTCACGAAAGCTGGATGAGACATCATTAGAGACCTCGAGATATAATATTGATCCGCCAAATGAGACTGGAATCGGGGACTTCTATATCCCTTAGAGTGCGGGAAGACAGTATTGAAAATTCCAGCTCATGGAAATGTCCCAGCACTCCGACGCTTATCCGGAACCAAATTCTCTTTCCTATCCATCTTGCTCTCGAACAATAATTTCATGATGCCTTTCTTTATGAAGCCCACTAACTGCTGCGGCAGCCATCCAAGTCTGCACTTGCGACGCCGGTGACAGTGGCGTCAGCCAGAATGGATTTAGCCAGATCCTCAACGGCCTGAACCAAACTTCAATGACAAATCCTGTGTTAATGCCCCCGACTACGATGGCTATTATACGAAAGGAAGCCCCATGCAAGGCATAGCGGACTTTTACGCTTGTGGGATCTCTTGCGCAGATGCTGATAACAGCGGAGTCTGTCTATTCACCACTGCCTGTACGGCGTACTTAGGCGCGAACACTGGCGGCTGTATTTCCAAAGACGAGCTGGTCGCGATTGTGGGTGATATGGCCCAGGATGCGGAGCAGTATCAATCTGCGAATGGAATTTCGGCTGAGACGAATGGTGGTATTCGAGTGGTTGTTCAGAATGGGTATAACGTTACTGCAGGAAACCAGTGTGATCCATGCAACTGTATTTCTTAGTCTGGTTATTTGCAATCGGGAGTATCAGTCAAATTGTCATGTACCGGTCTGATGTCGAGTTGGCTTGATCCGAGCTCTCGGCTTCTGTAACTCCCAGAGACCTGTGACATATACAAGACTTGTTCACTTCAGGATAAATCGAATCTCTGTCATCTCAATCCATAAAAGGCTTAGGTGAAAAAGTTTTGCAGGTTTACTGCTGTATATGGCTGTTACCACACGCAGCAATTTTCTTACCATTTATTTATTCTACCTCGATCTTATATGACGTGTTTTCAATTCTACCCTTTTCACCCTTAGAGTAGGATCTGACTCGACTTCCGTGGCTAAGACTTTACTTTCTACCTCATTATTTACTTTAAAAACGAGAAATAATCATTCCATTATTTTATTACAGTCGCGTATAGTAAGCCATCATAGAAGTATTCATCTCCGTCACGCAATAAATACCTCGCAATTTGGATTTTGTATTCGGGGTGAACCAAAATAAATCAGAAACACTTTGCATTTAAAAATCGACAGTAATGTAGGATGGACTACGTGGCGGTCCACAGCAGACCTCGAGTATGCAGGGCGGATGCGGTGATGCAATTGCAGATGCTCCGAAATTGGCTTATCTGGCCGAATCCGCCCGTCATCGCAGATTATTCCTCCTCCACTTCCCCGGCCTCGCGCACTTTTCCAGAATCCCCCACGTGCGATCGAGTGCTGCGCCAGTCTCCTCGTCGGCCCCTTCCATGCCCTCCTGAGCCCTCTCCGGTGATGCGCACGCGATGTTGGAGCTTACTGATGTTCAACCCCCGTCGCGCATGGATAATGGTGGTCTGGGCTGTCCTGCTGTCGCTATGGCTCACGCTGGCCCAAGGCATGCGAGACTACCAAATCAAGGAACTCAGGTGAGTTATTTGCCTATTTTCACAGCCCTCTCCCTTATTTTGCGCTCCGGTGCTGACTCCCTTGTCCCCGCGAACCCACAGACAGGATACCGAGCGCATGTTCTACCATGGATTCGAGAACTACCTAAACCACGCCTTTCCCGAAGACGAATTGCGCCCGTTGACCTGCGGCCCATTAACTCGCGACGAGAAGAACACCGAGCACAATGACGTCCTCGGAAACTACTCCCTGACACTGATTGACAGCCTGTCAACCCTGGCGATCTTGTCGTCGAGTCCCGAGAGCGGCGATCGCTCGCTGTCACATTTTCAGAGTGGTGTGAAGGATTTTGTAAGGCTGTATGGCGATGGATCGCAGGGCCCTGCTGGTCAGGGAGAAAGATCGAGGGGTTTTGATATCGATAGCAAGGTGCAGGTGTTCGAAGTGGTGATCCGAGGACTCGGTATGGCTATCCTCGCCCTTATTATTGTGATTTCATGGAGGATTCAATTACTGATTGGCACTTTGTGGCAGGTGGACTGCTCAGCGCACACTTATTCGCCGTCGGCGAACTTCCCATCGCCGGATACAACCCGCCGCAACAAGAGGCCGATTACGCTGGCACGTGGGACAAGACATCGCTTTCGAAAGAGGATCATGGCATTGTATGGGAGGATGGATTCGTCTATGATGGTCAGCTCCTTCGTCTGGCGGATGATCTCGCGCGTCGTCTGCTCCCTGCATTCTATACGGACACCGGTCTTCCTTACCCTCGAGTCAATCTGCGACATGGCATTCCGTTCTACGAGAATTCTCCGTTGAATACCAAGTACGGCAACAAAAAAGAAAAAGAAAAGGATAAAAAGAGAAAGTACGCCTACATGTCTTCATCCGATATTACGGAGACGTGCAGCGCCGGTGCTGGAAGCCTAGTCCTCGAATTCACCGTCCTGAGCAGGCTCACGGGGGATGGTCGATTCGAGGAGCTGGCAAAGAGAGCATTCTGGGCAGTTTGGGCACGTCGGAGTGAGATCGGACTTGTTGGGTTTGGTATCGATGTCGAATCCGGGAAATGGGTTGGACCGTATTCTGGAGTATGTGATTTTCTACACAGAAGTTTTTTTTCCGAACATTATTGCTCACAAGTGATAGATTGGTGCTGGAATCGACAGCTTTTTCGAATACGCCTTCAAATCCCACGTCCTTCTTTCCGAGGGAGAACGTCCAAACTTCAATTCATCGAGCCCTTGGTCCATCCTGGATGACCACTACCTGCCTTTGACACAGGATCAACACTCCGCCGATGCTTTCCTTCAGGTTTGGGAAGACTCGCATGCCTCGATCAATCGCCATCTCTACCGTGGTGAGGGATATCAACATCCTCACTTGGTTGTGGGAGATGTGGCCACTGGCGCTACACGAGCTTTTTGGATTGATAGCTTGAGCGCGTACTATCCGGGGTTACTTGCCCTGGATGGAAAAGTGGACGAGGCTATTCAGATTCATCTGCTCACCACTGCAGTCTGGACACGCTATTCGGCTCTTCCTGAGCGATGGAATGTAGCCACGGGTGACATTGACAGCGGCCTGTCTTGGTATGGTGGTCGTCCGGAATTCATTGAATCGACCTACTACATCTACCGCTCGACGCAAGACCCGTGGTACCTGCATGTTGGAGAAATGGTGCTTCGTGACCTCAAGCGCCGCTGCTGGACTCAATGCGGATGGGCTGGTCTGCGGAATGTGCAAACCGGGGAAATGATCGATCGTATGGAGAGCTTTTTCTTGGGAGAGACGGCCAAGTACATGTTTCTTCTTTTCACGCCGGACCACCCGCTGAACAAGATTGATGCGCCTTGGGTGTTCTCTACGGAAGGTCATCCCTTGATCATTCCCAAGAAAACCACCACTAAAAGGCAGCCTTCTCGCCAGACACAAACACAATCGCGGCCTTCCGAGGCTTCTCCCGAGAATACCTGTCAAGCAATCACCACGCCAATTCTGGGTGTGTCTTTCACGGCCTCTCGACCAGACATCTTCCACGCGGCTAGCTTGGCTCGTTTACACCTCCGGCCGCGTCGCGGCTTGTCCGAAGGTCCCATTCTAAAGGGAACACCTGAACACCAGAGCGTGTCCGTGGCTGATTTATCATCTCCGAGCAACTATACGTTCTACCCTTGGACACTACCCCCACAGCTCGTCCCATTTGACGCGACTAGTGCACCAATGGTCGTTCGCCCGACATTGGACATCTCATTCCCGTCTCTTCCAGGGGGTGTCAATCTCGGAGCCGGGGCACTTGAACGAGTGCGAGACGGAATCCTGGTCAAATCAATCGGAGGCCTTCGGCTGAGCATGGTGCAAGATGTCCCTCTCGGTCAGGCGCTCACCTCTGAAGAGGACGACGATGGATTCCGGGTGCAAGTGATCAACAATGTGCCACTTGGAAAAGATGAGAAGGTATACATCTCACGCCAGATCACCTTTGATGTCGTCGATCCCTATGATCCAAACTTCACCCGGATTCGCGACACCTCCATGCTTGATCTCGTGATTGACGTTCTACCAGACACCTCTCGCGGGCGCAATGATTCAACTTCTTCAGGAGATGAACCACATGCACCAGAACATTCAGAACATCAAGAAGATCCAGAGCCTGACCTCGGCCACCGCAAGCCTGCTCCAGCCCTCAGCGACGAAAGTCCAGTCGACTCGCCCGAGTCTACCATGAGAAGCATGCTGTCGAGCTTTGTCAACTCTGTCTCTAGTCTACTCCGCGACGATTCAGATGACGCAGTCACCCCATTACGACTCAGCCTCCCAGCAGCCATGGCCACTGGCATCGGCGCAGCGCCTCTACCAGAGGTCGACGACGCAGTCACAATGTCGCTCTTCAGCAATCCGTCCTCAACCCGCCTCACCTGGAGCAGTATCTACTTCGCCGGTGAACTCTGCGACGAACGTCTTCTCCGCGACATAGTACAAACGCACGAAGTCCTCGTCATCAAAAGAGGCACCTGCACATTCTCGGAAAAATTGCGAAACATCGCCGCATTCCGCTCTACGCGCTCATCCCTCAAGCTCGTCATCGTCGTCTCCTACGACGACAACCAACCCCCCAGCTCGCCGCAGGAAAATATCAAGCGAGGCTCTGCCCCTCTGGCTGCTCTGCGCGCGGAACACACGCTGATTAGACCGCATCTGGACGAGAGCCAAGTTACTGCAAGCGGCATTCCGCGCAACCAACTCATCAGCATGATAATGGTTGGCGGTGGCGATGAGACGTATGCGCTTTTGCAGTCTTCTGTCGGTGTTGGTATTAAAAGGCGGTATACCATGCGCTCTCAGGGCGTGCCCATTACGAATCTGTATATTGTTTGATTTTGAATACATTTATATACCCGGAGATAATAAATTGACTCTTTTGTTCACTTGTTTCGAGATTTGCCTCGGCGGCTATTCATCGCACTTTTGATGCCCGATCAGACTCCGCCCCCATCTTCATGCAGCCGCCCATGCAAGCTGATGTAATGACTTCGCCCAGCCGAGACGAGGCTTAGACCTCAGGGGAGACAGAGAAGCCCGACCCTTGGAGTTTCTGAGTCCTCACTCCTGCGTCTTACGGCTATCTTAGCCATGGAGGCTCTCGCAGATATCGGTCTCGCAGCAAACATCATCACATTCATCGACTTTCTTTTCAAAGTAATAAGCGGAAGTCACAAACTACTCAACTCAGCTAGCGGTCTCACCCCGGAAAATGCACGCCTTGGGACGGTCGTAAATAATCTGGAAGTCGTTACTGACAGCCTCGTTTCCGATCTTCCTGGAATGATCAAAATGAGAGGGAGCTCTGCAAGTTGGTGGAGTGTCGGGCCCCTTCCAAGGAGCTCTCCGATATCCTCAGCAAGTTGCGGCTGATAGACAATATGTCCAAGTGAAAAGTTTTTCTGATGAAGTGGCGGAATATGCTGCAGGAGAAGAATATCACCGCTCTAGCAGGGAAGCTGCATTCCTTTCAGTCGCAAATTGTCATGCGCTTGGTTTTCAGGCTTAGGTGTGTACATTCTGGCAATGATATCCTGTGTTGTCTTGGCTGGTTAAAGTGTTTCTATTTAGTGAGGGCAACTACGAATATCGATGCCCTCCGCGATGATATTACAACATCCATGCAGAATCTGCGAATACAACTTCCGAAACAGCAAAGCACCACGGTCAGGCGACGTGATTTAGATAGTGAGACTTTGAATGAGATGTGAAGCTCTTTGAAGAAGTTCCAAGCGCTCGCAGAATTTATTTCCCGAGAGAATAGCATTCTCCATCGCCTCGCATTTCCCTCCATATACCAGCGAGAGTATCATATATTGGCTCCGGGAAGCGGGACATACACATGGCTTGTGGAGAATGATTATCATCTGCTGTTGAAGAGAGATGAAACGGAAGAATCTTCAAAGAACGGTGGTAGGATTCAGAATTCAAGTCGAAGCAGGAGACTCGAGAAAAGTTTGTCGAATGGCTGAGCTCGGGACAAAACATTTTTTCACATTTCTGGCAAAGCCGGTGCCGGAAAGTCCACCCTGATTAAGTTCCTGAGGTGGCATCCCAAAGTCAAAGAAGAGTTGCACAGTTGGACAAATGACAAAAGGCTTATATTCGCCCAATTTTTCTTCTGGAAATGGTGTGACCAATTGGAAAAATCTCTGGAAGATCTCTGTCGACGCTTATTATTCGAGACTTGCAAACAAGATTCGAATTCAGCTACTCATAATTAGTCCAGACTTGATTCCGCGACGGGTTTGCGGGACAGTTTGGCTTCATGCTCAAACTCAGAACTCTCTGTTTCATTCCTCTTGGATATATCAAATCCGCGTTTGAGCGTCTCATCGCCATGGAAGTTTCCTCGAATTATCGTCTTTGTTACTTCATTGATGGCTTGGACGAATATGAAGGCGACTCGGTTGATTGCTGGGAGCTTGCCAGCGCTCTAAAAGCTTGAATACTTTCGATTAGACTCAAGGTCTGTGTGAGAAGTCGACACCATGTCGAATTCCTGCTCTTTTTTTCAGACCTCCAAATCGAAATGCACAACTTGACTGGGTCGAAATCTACCAGTACAGCGTGTCAATACTTGAAAATATACAAATTTTGATCGAATCGAGGAATTTCCTCGCGTGCTCGTCTGGGACATCGTTCAATACTTAGATTATGTTTTTCTTTGGGTATATATTGTCGTGTGAATGCTTTTGAGAGGTATAGGGAATCGCAATACCCTTGAAATCTTGAAAAGAAAGTTGAAAGGTATTTCAAAAAGCCTGAGATGATCTTTTTGATCAAATCTTCAGTTCGATAAGTCCAGAATATCAGTTCTTCTCAGATCTGCTGTTCTTAATTGCTGTACAGGACGGTCAGGATGGTCTTCAAATGAATCTTTGGTGTATTCTTGGTATTTTTGGTTGAGGATTTATCCGATCCAGAGTCCCCACTGTCTCAACATCTTCGTCCATGTTCCGAGGTCGAAGCCGATTCACAACTTTAGAAAACAAAGAATTTTTAAATGTGCTTGCTCCAGTCTTTCCAAGGCCTTGTTAGAGGTCGTTTCTGGTCCTACTTCCCGCGGAGCTTGAAAAAGTATGAGATACCACTCCCTTCGGGTAGAGTTCTTTCACCACAGTGCACGCAAATTTATTATGAATACTCGAATACTGACGATGAAAGATCGTCTCCCCAGTGTTGACATATATGATGATATTCTCAGGCTTCTTGCCGCCGAGTTTAAGTTTTCTATTTCCCAGCCGATTTTGGATAATACGTTGAAGGTGCATGCATATCTTGTTTTCATGGATGTGCAATACTCATGAGAGAGGCTACAATATACCATTTGAGTACCTTGAAGAGTTTGAAAGGATATTCAAATCTCATGATACACGCACAAGCCCAAGGACAAACTCAGAAAATGATTGGATGCTAAACCAGGACTCTACCAATTTCAGTCTCACGCGAAACTCCGTGATGCACTCGTTTCCTTGTCTATTGGCATGGTGTCGGATTGAGGATTGCCTCACACCCAATATGTTGGAAGCGCAGTTACCTGAAGTTTACCCCGGTTCTGGTCTCAACCCACTTCTCACGGCATCCCTGAGCGGTCCGGTACGAAAGTTACGCCGTCCTCCAAATCGTGACATAAGCTCATAGAGTTATCGTTGAGGCCTCCAGACATAGTAAGAGTTTCTTTTACCTTCGAGTCTCTCAAATATCGACATTATGAGCTTGTACGAACGACCCTGGGAATGAGAGTCGACCCGAGAGGCAGACTGACAACCAAACTGAAAGCCACTTTCCACATCCCCATTCTTGACCCCTCTTTTCATGATATATCTATTTGAAATTCAATTCAAGTGCGCTCTTTGGCGTTTTTGTCAAAATTAAATGCTTGGTGCTATCCATTACAGCCAGTAAGTGAGTATCAACTCAAATCTATTCATAGAGTTATAGTTCCCACCCTACTGCAACACTAACACCCGATCAACAACCACAACCCCTCTTAGAAGCTAAAGCTACGCAAAAGGAAACAGCGATATCACAAATAAATGAATTTCTATCTCATATCACATCATGCCCTCCCTCGAAGCAAAACAGCTTTTCCAAGGATGACCCGCTTACTCAAGAGCAATGCACTCAATCTCAACGGGAACACCCTTAGGCAGCTGGGCAACAGCAACGCAGCTACGAGCAGGCTTGTGAATGAAGAACTTCTCGTAGGTAGCGTTCATCTCAGCGAAGTTGGCCATATCAGTCAGAAAGACGTTGACCTTGACGATCTTGGAGACGCTGGAGCCGGCGGCGGTCACGATGGCCTGGATGTTGTCGCAGCAGGCCTGGGTCAGGGTGCCGATGTTGCCCTGCACTAGGTTGCCCGAGGCATCGGCGGGGATCTGGCCGGAGACGAAGATCTGGCCGTTGGCGCGGATAGCCTGGGACTGTTTTTGGGGGGTTAGTATTTCTGTTTTTGGTGGGGTTGCGGAGCTGGTGGGAGGGGTGTTGATGGTTTCATCCAGGAGGTAGGGGAGGGAAAGGTAGTTGTTTGGTCTGGAAACGCACGTAGGGGCCAGCAGCTGGGAAGATTGATGTTAGTCTTATCTCGTCGTCGCACAATTGCTGCTCGCGGGTTCTCGCGAGAGCTAGTAGGTAGCTATGATGTAGCTGGATGAAGGACTCACGAGGGCAGGCATCCTTAGCAGTGACGGGGGTCATGTTGGCGGACATTTTGGGAATGGTTGAGAAGAATTGAGGACGGTGGAAGGATTTGGGAGTGTTGAGGAGGGAAGGAAGACGTCGAGCGAAGAGTAGCGAAGAGCGTTGCATGTTGGTGGAAGGCGGAGAAGAGGGGCCTTTTGGTGGGGTTTTTGTGTTTTCCGAGGAAATGCGATGAAGTCACCGGGAAATTCGGGCCAGGGACGCGCTCGACGGATTGGGTAGTGTTTTACGGGGATTTACGGGTTTGTTACTCATACTCTATTCAGAGTCTGGATATACTTGGCGAAAGAATCGGGTGGGTTTACTACTACAGTATAGAGGACCTTGTGGGGATGGAGATCTGAGGATCGGAAGATGCATTGTCATATTGTCGCTAGAAGTACAGAAAATCGTTAAGTCGTCATCGCTGAGCGCAAAGGATATTCAAACGCCGTATTCAAACACCGCGAGCAAAAGATGGGGAGATTAAAACATTAGGGGTTGGGTTTGGGGGCGCCGAGATGGCCGAGTTGTTGCATCAGGCTGGCTGTCTGTTCTGCAGAGTATCCGAAGAAGACCGGCCCATTGAAAGTGACATGCGCCGGAGGAGGTTCGGTCTTTGAGGCTTCCTCTGTTGGTCTCTGCGTCTGTGTCTGCGTCTGCTGCGCCTGTTGCGCGCCAGGATCAACACCCGGATGCGAGGCGACGGGCTCCTCTTTGATAGATTTACCCCAATTAGCCCACGGCGAGGCGGGTTTCTCAGCTTCGGGCTCTGGCTTGGGAGCACCGTGGCCGAAGGGACATCGGCCGGCCGGCTTGGTCGAGGCTTTGCCAGGAGATGCGTCCAAGGCGTCGGGGGGTGCAGCGGGTGGTGACATGAGGCCAGCCATGGGACCCGATACCGAGCCAGAGAAGGGGACGGAGGCAGAGGGTTGTTCAGCGAGCGGCACAGGAATACCCCAAGGCCTGCTTGGGGATTCACCCACGCGCACTTCACGGAGTGGCCGGTCAAAGTGACTCTTGCGGTTGTTATCGTCATCTTCTTCGCCCTCACCGATATCAGCAGCACTACGGTCTTCTCCATTCTCGATCCCGTTCTCATGAGGAGCGACTGGAGTTGTCGGGTCCACGTTCTCGGCCCATTTCTCGACTCGTCCAGTAGAAGCAGAGTGTGAGGCTGCATCGCCATTGCCATTGGCCTGCTGCGGTAGGAAAGCCTGATGTTTGGCGGAAAGGCCGCTGATCATATTGATCAAGCCACCGTACTTCGCATCCAACTGGCGCATATTTTGCGGGTCCCGCTGGTATCGCTTGACGCAAATAGCATGGCTTCGGGGGATTTCATGCTTGTGCCGTTCCACATATTCTGCAATTTCCTCTGGAGAATGTTGATCAAGGAATCGGATCGGACAGCGAGATACCGGGCACCGACTCCCAGAAGTACGGGCTGAGGGGGTTGTGCTCGGCCGGCGCTCGTCCTGCTCGGCCTTGATCGGGTCCAGGTCTGGATTGCCGCAGGTGTCGACACGAATCTTCGGTCCGTCGCCGTTTTGCGGGTGGCCGTTCTGCACGGAGCCGCCGGGGCGTGGCGAGCGCGGCTTGGAGAAGGGACAGTGCAGGCTGCCTTGGGTCCCGTTGGTGGTGAAGTCCTGTTCCAGCGACACCGACGGGTCCGGGCCTCGAGCGAGGATGCACGAGTTCGTGTTGGAGTTGGGAGAGGAGCCATCTTGAGAGCGGATGAGGGCTTTGTAGCCCTTGACTCCGTCCAGGATGGCTCGGAAGGCAGTTTCGTCTACATTTTGGTGTGAAACGAGCGTCTTGATTACATCCATTGAATTCAGCGATTGTTCTTCGACTGGGGGTTTGTTGTGCACAAGGCCTAGACACAATTGTTTCTGTTGATCCAGTAACCGTTGTTGCACTTCCATCGCATGCGGCCTGTCCTGCACGGCCAATTGGCGGGTCACGGTCGAGTACTGCACGATGCGCGTTAGCATATCTGGTCTTGTTGACAAATCAAAACAAATGTGCAGTGGGAAAGTCTCATCAGATAATACATGTTAATCCGTCACCACCACAAAAAGATGTGGCTCCTGATCTAGAGCTAATCAAATTTTCTCATCACGCGAGACGGGGGCCCGGGAAAGGTAAAGCAAGGTGGAGTGGAAGGAGTATTTACCTCTTTGAAGACCTCCTCGGCATGTTGCTTGAGGTCGTTGTGTCTGTTGGTAAGTCGGTAGAGGGTTAGTAGCAAGGCATCGAACGCTTTGCCCACGGCCTGCAGCTGGTCCGACTGCGGATCGGCGAGCTCTTCGATCGGAACAGGCATGATGTGCAACGAAGAGATTACAGAAAGAGGGGCTTCATGGAGATTTAAGAGCCGAGCTCGGGTGGACAACCACCGACGGAGGATGAGGATGGGAAAAGTCAGACACGGGCATTTTATAGCTGTCGTCCGACGCCGGAAAAACGTTAAGCGAGTCGGCCCGTGCTAGCCCGTGATGGTCACGTGGATGTCTCAAGACAAAGAACTGAGAACGACCAGGGAAGGGTCTGCTGACTTTCAGAACAGTGCCAATGTGGAGAGTCATTTCGGCACTAGAACATCTTGTTTGCTATTTTTACATTTCCTATTCAGAGGATACTGGCTGCCTGGTCCCTTAGAGTCGCCACATTCTGATTGTATCCCGATTGTACTTTTTACTAGCTGGGTCATCAAACCAAATAGCTCTGGTAGTTGACATAATCGGCCCGCTTAGTTTAGTGGTAGAACGTCGCACTCGTAATGCGAGGGGGGCGGTTCAATTCCGTCAGTGGGCATATATTTTTGCACTTTTTTTTTCACAATATTTTTTTCTCTTACTCTCCGAATCATCTCATCTTCGGTCTCTATTTCCTTTTCGTTGTAAACTTTGCGATGGAAATTACAGGCGGGCGCATTTGATTAAAACGGAGAAGCTCTTATTCTGTTGTGGATTCTTGACAGTATTCACAAGAACGAGTCAGTCAATAACAACTCTGGGGCGCCGGACAACATTTTGGATCAAGCTCACATCCATTTATTGGAGATTGATACTCTCACCGGTTGCAGCTGGTAAACCAATATCTGTCGTTGGGTGAAATGTAAAGCACATCCCGCAGATCCTCTAATATATCACCTCAGAAACTAACACAGGAAGGATGGTGACCCCAGTTATATTTGTCGGCTTGGCTTGCTTCTATCGCCATGTCCTTATGCATTGCCACTGACCGGGCCCATGTAGATTTAACAAGTGGGTTTTGGCAATGGGCCGTGGGACGCGGCAGGCACGGGCACTCCCGTGCTCTGGGATACTTCTGACAAAACAGAGTGGTCAGCAGTCACCTCTGCTGCTGCCACAGTCGTGGAGTTAGCTCTGGGGCTTCCACATTGGTAGCACACAGTGGCGATCAATGAAGTCTGAGTTCCAGTCTCGAATACACACTTTAACCGTGTCATTGTCAGACCTTTCTTGTGGGTTCCTGTATCCAGAAGTGGGTTGTATGTAGGCAGGCCGTGGCAGAAAATGAGGATTGGTGAGGGTGCGTTTTCTCTCTTGGCAAGCTCTGACGCGGCTTTAGCGGCTTCGAGTAAACGGTTGATGGTAGTAGATTACGAGATCGCGGTAGCTGGACTTAACTCGCTTCTGTCGAGAAGATCCTGACTTCACGGTTTATGCTTTGCGGATTTCGCAAGGATTGTCAGGGAGGTAGGGACTGTGTCTATCAACGAGCTCTTCTTGGTTTGCTGAAATTGCTGTAGGCATTGCCAATGTAGCCTGAAGCATTTCAACATAAAGCTGAAGCGTAAAAGTCCGAGATATACCAGCCATCTTCTAGCGGGCTACCAGCGACGATGGTCAGACTTGCTGCAACGACGATAATTGTGTTCTTGTGGATGACAGATACCGTGATACGTTGTAGCGATGAACATGCCGGAAGTTTTTCGATGCCGGCGGGGGCTATGTCCACCATAAACCAAGGGTAGGAGGGATGAAGGATTCTGGGGAGGCGAATCCTGTCTTGGGAGTGTGAGAGTCGGGGGCTACTTATTTGAATGGGAAGTGATTGGAATCGTTGTGCTTCTTATTCCGACTGACCTTTCTTTTCTTTCGCTTGGGTTAATTTTTGATAAGAGTTGTAGATAGTAACGGAAATTTCTAGTCAACATTACTTACTTAAAAAAATTTGATAAATCGTCTACAGGATGTGTGTGGGCTTGTCTGTGCCTTCACTTGCGTTTCAAATGCTACCATAACCCTTCGATGGCTTACTTTGGCTAGAAATTAGGGTGGGACTTTCAGGCGGTGGGGTTGATGTTACTTGCTAGTTGTAGTGTTGCAAGAGGAACTTGTTGCGTGAAATTGGGCATCACATTGACCGCGCATTGAGCTCTGTATATATTGGGTACAACACCACCACGACGGATCTTGGAACACCAGAATTCCTTTTGTAAATTATTGTTGGCCCGTACTGTACGACAAAAGAAGTCAATACCAGTTGTGTATTTGCTCAAGAACCGGTAATTGTCAATTGGGCGACCGTTACAACCTTATCGGCACCCTAATCCATGCAGCGTGCCTGGCTGCATTGAGCCTCGTGACATTTTTCGCATTTAGTGTACATTGCTTCCCCTTATCTAGCCAGAGGTAGTAGCCGTCTTCAACAGCCCGGCCGGGCTAGCTCAATCGGTAGAGCGTGAGACTCTTAATCTCAAGGCTGCGGGTTCGACCCCCGCGTTCGGCTTTTCCTACAACACCTCGAGATTTCATTTTTGAATCCTGAAATACTTGAAGGGTTGTCTTTTTTTTTTGTACCCCAAATAGTCACTTCCCCGGATGATAAATTTTAATTACTAATTCTAGTACTTCCTAGGGTACGATCTAATCAGGTACAGTATCGTTACTCGGTCGCACTAGCCTGCAGAATATGCGCAACGTCCCCTCCGATCGCCTCGCTGCATGCCTCAAACGCTAGCCCGGTGGCCGTGACGAGTTTCAGAACCACGACGCCCAATCCTCCCCGGCTGATTGGAAGTATGGCCATGTTCTGGACGGTCGGATGTGTCAGCCCTGCAGGTTGTATCGTCATGGCCATGGCCTGATGGTCTTAGAACCCCGCCACTTTCATACATACTATACTATTTTGTATGTAGTAAAATGGAGGGGCACCGCTCTAGGCTATAGAACTCCGGTGGTAGGTGCCCCTCGTCCAGCCTAGTCGCATCGTCGGGTCTAGATCGGCCGCCCTGTGTCCAGAGCGCACCCTCCGAACTCTTTGGGAAGGACCGTGTGAGTCAGGCGGGTTCGATTCGATTCGCACTGCTCCAGAGGCTGCCACTGGCCTCCCCGTATGGTGTGATAGGCATGAAACCTGTTCGTCCTGCGGGCGCTGATTCGCGGCGGCCGACTCCCCGCTGGGCCGGTGCAGGCGTTAGCGATCCGGCACTACGCCGTCTCTGGCTGGGCGCCAGCGCCCGCTGCAGATCGGGGTGTGTTGGCCCCCCTCTTAAGGCCCGCAGCGGGACATCCAGGCTGGCTGCCGGCGGGATTCTAGAAACCGGGTCGAATGCATTGCGTGACGGCGGATTACGCTGTTGACCGCTGGTTGATAGAGGGGTTATCGATCTACTCTGTACCTTAGGGTACTGTGGTACTGCAACTGTACCGATGTATACGAGGTCCGAGGCTTGTGCTCTCTATCTATGACTGCCACGGTCATATATTCATGAACACATGGTAAAATAATATTTCTACACCTAATAACAATATGACTAGCTATTTAAAGAGTAACTAGACCTGCTAGACAACTGTACAATGGTACATTGTACGAGGGGTATCGCTTATCGTATCGTAAATTACGAAATCTCAATTTTCCCCTCCATCTTTGTACATCCGAAAAATTACCCTAAAACCTACCTAATGTCTTTGGTATCTCCAACCTTTTTACTTTTATTTTCCCCCTCCCCTCATCCTCCTCTCCCCTTCCTTCACCATGTCCCAATCCACCCCCGATGCCTCCGCCCAAATCTCCGGACACCCCGCCGCCCATCCCTCCAGCGCCGCCGAACTCGCCAGTCTTAAAGTAAGACTGCGCGGTGCCCTGCGTCAGTTCCCGGACTTCCCCTCCCCCGGCATTCTCTTCGAGGATATCCTGCCCATTTTCGCCGACCCCTCCCTCCACGAGGCCCTCATCCGCTCCCTGGAACTGCACATCCTGCAGAGCTCCGGCGGCCAGAAGCCCGATGTGATCGTTGGTTTGGAGGCCCGTGGCTTCCTGATGGGCCCTTCGCTCGCCTTGCGTCTCGGTGCGGCCTTTGTCCCTGTGCGCAAGCAGGGCAAGCTGCCCGGTCCCTGTGAGACTCAGGCCTATGAGAAGGAATATGGTCAGGACTTCTTCCAGATGCAGGCTGGATCTATCAAGCCCGGTCAGAAAGTCGTCGTTGTGGACGATATCATTGCTACCGGTAGGTACCCCGCGCAGCTGTCGCAAAACCTTACAAAGTCGAGGACCTTCTTTCTAACAATGAGAAATTATAGGTGGCTCGGCTTGGGCTGGTGGCGAATTGATCAAGAAGATGGGCGGCGAGCTGCTCTCCTTTATCTTCCTCCTCGAGCTGGAGTTTCTGCACGGCCGCGATAAGCTCCCTGCTCCCGTCCACACCCTCCTCACTGGCCAGGCCTAAGCCGGCGCATTTCTTCCTACTGTCTGACGCAGTACCAAAAGTTGCATTCTCTTCGATCCTCTCGATCGCCTATAATGAACCCCACTTCATGTGTGCCCGAATCCCGGTTGCGCCTGCCAGTCGCCCGGGTTGGCCATCACCCCCGAACGGCCCATCGACGCTCAACAACTGATGGCGTGCTCGTCTATTTCGATTTCTCTCCATTTGTGCTTTCTGGCTTTTCTGCTTGTCGCGCGGACGCGGGTTAGATTAGAGCCGGGCTCGAAACTCCCTACCTCCACCTTAATGAATCAAATCCATATAGACAGATACCTCGGTGTTTTATTTTCGGCAATGACTTTATATCCATACGGCATTCTAATTATATTCGCTGTATGCAACGATTCTAGTAATTCCAATGCTTGTTATCACATACACTACCTACATAGTACTCTAGCACCGCAATCAGGAACACTGGATAGGGTATATAAATGACTTGAAATCTATCACTCCCGCGGAATAAAAGGCCTCAAAACCTCCTCAATCCATCTCTCCTCGATACTCAATCCAACACACTCCCGAATAGCCCGATTCATCCTCGGAACATACTCCGCCTTGGGCGAACTAACAACAACCCTCTCCTCATCCACATAAACAAGCACAAACACACTTCCCTTCTCCTGACTCACTCTCTCATCCTTCGCATCAAACCATCTCACAATCGCCGCCTCCAGATACCACTTATTATAATCCCCCTCCCCTTGCTCCCGCGGCCTCACATCAACACCCACAGCCCCACCCTCCGCGCAATCCGCCTCCCAATCCACACCCTCATACACGTCCAGAATGCGCTCATCGCCAACATCCATCTCATAAAGGATCCCGTAAACGCCATCCTCCGCGCCCGATTGCGGGACTTTACTCGCGGCTGGACTGGTTTGTCCGCCGACGCGCAGTCCTTGCGGAGGCAGGACGTTCGCGTACCCCGCTTCGCAGATTAGCCAGCGCCAGCCGGGAAGGAAGGCGATGCCTAGCGGTTTGGACGAGAGGGTTGGGTTTATTTGGCAGCGTTGGGCCATTTGTGTTGGGGAAAGATTCGAGCCGTAGGCAAAGTAGAGGTATTTTCTTTTTGCTGGGGTTGGTGTTTGGATGGTTTGGAGGGGGCAGGTTGTTGCGTCCAGGGAGAGGAGGGTTTCTGTCGGCGTTTTAGGGGTTTCTTTGAGGTGCATTTTGGCGAGTGTAGTCTGAGGTTTGATTGGGGTGGTTTGAATATGGCTGCTTGGTGTTTTATACTGGCTTCGGTGGAGAACTTGACTCAGCTTGCGGGGTGAAGAGCGGACTTTTGAGCGGAGAGTTTTCAGATCATCGGTCGTTTCCATCCGAGCGAGGATGGTAGATTTTAGATGCTAGGGGCAGTATCAGACAATGTCTACAAGGTAAATGAGGCATACGTAATGATTCATGATCGGTATGTGACAGATTACGAGTCGCATCAGACGGTATCCAAGCCTCATCGCTAACAAAAGGAAGTAAAACATGCAACAAAAGATACTCGAATACCCTAATCACCTCCGGGGGATCGTCCCACTCATCCGGCTACCGACGCCTGCCATCAGACTCTGCTTCACAATTGCATCGGCGGCCGCCAACGCCGCCAGTCTCTCCCGCTGTCGACTCCGATCCCGTAGATACCCTGCGGCTTCAGGTCGCATGCGGAGAATTCGCAAAATCATGTCGTCGTTTGGCTCGGCTTGTGCTTCGCGTCGCTTCTCCTCCTTGACCTTCTTCATCGTGCCCAGATTGCGCGACAACATAATGCTCTTAGCACGTCGAGCGGCCGGCACTCCCAATCCACCATGACCGGGACCCGTAGCACCGAGGTGTGCGGGCGCCGAGGCACGGTTGCGATTCGCTTGTTGCCGGTTCGCGGTGGCCGAGGCCATTCGCTCCGAGGTACGGATGAGGTTCTCCGTGGGCTCGAAGTAGAAGAAATTCAGACTCTGAATCTCGTGATACTTGGGAGATTTCAATATGTCGATGGGAACACCGTTGGCTTCGCCCGTGTCCTCGTCAATGGCGTGGAAGAAGTTCAATAGTAACAGCAGCCAACGTGAAACGATGTCCACTTCTTGCATGGTCAGGGGCTTCTGGTGAGAGGGTTTGTCGGACAGAGGTGGGACAAGCAGGCTCTCAATAGTAGCGAGAACCTCTTTCCATAGACGAGCCATCACCATTCTCATGGCTTCTTCGGTCAGCGTCTTGTTCATGATGGCAAAGTTGTCGTTAAAATAGTTAAAGAGCGGAGTCAGCGCATTTTCCACATCAGCGGGAGTCGGCCCGGTAGGGGCGGGTTGTCGGTTGCGGTTCAAGAAATTGGAAACAGTGGACATACTGATTCCCCGAGATAGGAGGGACTTCAAGGTCCGGCGGGACAAGCAGTGGCTGATATAGGCAGAGAGCTAGAAGAAAATTAATAATCTAGAAATTCGAATAGCAATGAGCAGTCTTACCTTCTCCGTGATTCGTCGCGTCATGTCTCTCTCGGTGCGCTTCAGAGTTCGGAAAGCTTTGCCAAAGTAGAACTGAATGTCGTCACGTTCGCCTTCCATGCTGACACGCAGCAAGAGTCGTCCTTGAGTGTCCAAGTCCAGCCAGTACTCCCTGGGCAAGAAGTCGCTAAAGTGGACCGGATCAAGCTTGATTGACGTTCGACCAACATAGTCGTGATCACCGACTGCGTCCCAGTCCCAGATGGTGGCGATGATGTTGAGAGGGCCTTGCGTTGTGATATCCACTGCATCCTCCCAGCGCGGGTTAAGGTTGTTATAAATAATACGCGTCTTTGCAATCCGCTTTTGGTACTCGTCGGTCAAGACCACATATGGATCACTGCCACCGTTCATGTCGCATGCTTTCAGATCTTCGGCCTCTACGACCTTGATAGTGAAGACATATGTCGTAGACTTGCGGACCTTCTTCAGCTGGGGAGGGGTGTTCTTCGCAATGACATCGGCGCATCCGTCAACATTGATTTCACGCTCGAGTCGGTCCAGTTGAGCGAGAGCATACTCGATATTGTTCAATTTAACCAGAGACTATTTCGAACCCGAGTTAGAGTCCTATACCGAGGGAACATGCGACATGGAATCCACTTACCTCCGACAAGAATTGGAACGGCTCAATCTTGTCCTTGTTCGTCCATGTGTCCTTGGCAAATTGCATGAGTTTCTCCTGCGTGGTCTGGTTCAAGGCAGCCTCCTGCTCTGGCGTAAGACGGTCCAGCTCCCGGGCAAACATCTGCTCCAACGCTTCACAGTACTTTGCCACACCCTTTCCTATCGAGTTGGAGAGGGCAGTCATGAACTTGGCATATCCGAGATCGTCGTCCCATTCCATATGTACCAAGTTCTCCACGACTTCGTTGAACGACCGGAAAATATCGATGACTGACACACTATGACGGTTTTCTTCAGGGGCCACTTCGACACCCTCCTCAGCGCGTACACCAAATGCATCCTGTCTGATGGCTTGGTTGACCCATTCCATGACACTTTGGTCCGTCAAGCGAAGCCACCTCCAAACGAATTCTTCGAGCAAGCCTTCCACATGGCAAGGGAAGGGGGTACTGCATCCCGTTAGCGGCAAAGACATAGACAATAATGGGCTGAAGCAGTACGTACTCAGGAATTGTATTGATGAATAGACGTCGGACTGTAGCAAGCTGCTTGTAAAGATCGAGTCCTTCGTCAATATCAATTTCCTCTCCCCTACTCTTGGCAGAATCGATGATCCGGATGACCATCTCGTTTGCGTCCTCAGCAAACATGGGGAGCACACTTAGACAGAGCGTTGTGTAGGGGTTGACACTATGAATATCAGTAAAAAAGTCACACTTCAGGGGCTCGAGCAGGTACTTACCCCATAATCTCAGGGTTATTCCTGTAACGCTTCTGTATCTTCTGTGCGAGCTTGGCGATCGAGTCGCCCAGCTGAATGACATTGTCAAACTGCCAAGACTCCTGATCAACTGGAACCAACTGGCTAAGCAAACTTTGGTACTTCTCCGTCGCTTTCTGGGCAAGGCCGTCCTGTACATATGAAGAGAATCGGTCGATGTCCTCCGGGTCCTCTGTATAGCTCGGATCCATTTGAATGTGATTCTCGAGAACATACATCACAGGGCCAAGAGGTCGCGGCTTGGTTTCAAAACAGTCCATCATCACATCATACAGCTCGCGAAGCATGGCTTCATGGAGCTTAGAGAGGAGAATCTGCATCGTTTGCAGATCATGAACTGTCCATTTCTGGCGATCATATACAGAAGAAACCGCCATGCTGCTGCGCTTCGACCGGGGTTCACTGGAGGGCGATTCTTTCACAAAGGTAAATGCCGAATCGAGAGTGTTGAGGTCGATTTCATTATCGACAAATTTGGACTGAATCACATCGAGGAAAAGCACAATGCGCGAGAAATTAGGGATCCGCCAGCGGAGACATATTTCATTGAGCAATTCTGTGGACTGCTTCGACAGCAACTTCATGGATGGCGCATCAGACGAGGCTTGACTGGCCTCCAGTTCTCGATCCCGCAGGTCATGACTCAGGGCCTGGGAGAGAATGTGCCGATACACGCTACGAGGGTCAGATGGGATAAAGGTATATGTATCTGACTCCTCCGAATCATCATCTGTTACGCCCAACGAAAGCGAGGACAGGTCGACGGGAGAGTCGAAGCCATGAGACATGCGGCCAGAAGATGTTCTCGACAGGTCATCATCCGCGGCGGGACTGATCGCGGGCAAGGCCCCGGGTGTACTCTTTGCTAACTCGGGGTTGGACTGTACAATTGCAAGCATCATCTGCGAGAGATCAGGGCCTTCACACTTCTTCCATACTTCGAAGGCATCATCCGTCTCAAAGTCATCTCGCGAAAGTGTCTTGTGAGTTTGGAGGTTGAGGTGCGTTTGATAGGTCTTGAGATCTTGTAGCGCTGCTTTCTCGGTCCAGGTCGTCTTGTGCTTGTCAATTTCCAACTGCGCTTGACTAGATGTCATTCCAAAGATTTTGGCAACATGCTGCACCAGCGGCATGTCCTTGACATCGTAGCTGAGAGGGGCAACCGCCTCTGTAGTCGTCGCGCCATTGCCTTCCATCAGATCTTGGTCCTGCAGGAGCAGTTTGTTTTCCAAAACAGACAACCGATTGGCCAGCTCTGGTCGGTCCTTCGCCCAGTCGTGGCTTTTCAGGATGAGCGCAAGGAGGCGAACAAAGAGCGCAACGTGTCGATCCACCATGAGCTTCCAGCTATCATCGTCGTGTTCCTTGCCCTTGCTCAGTTCCTTGATGGCGTTCGAGTAGAAGATTAGAACGAGATCTTCCGCGCGGCGGTCCTTCTCCATGCGCTTACGAAAGGAGTCTTCCTTCAAGCTGTTGAGAAAGGCCGCGAATGTGCGCACGACCAGATGGTCCTGGTATTCCTTTCTCTTTTCCTTGCCCATCAAGACCCCTGTCAACCGCTTCTCCAGCTCGGCCACGAACCCATGGGGGATCCTGGTGCTTTTCGAATCCCTGATAAGGGAAAAGTCGCTCATCAAATCATGGATTGAGGTCGAGGATCGCTTCGGTCGTGACGGGGCGGCGGGAGCATTCTGGATGCGACGCGAACGAGGGTGGAGGAGATAGGCCAGATAGGCTACACGGAGAGCATGGCTGCTGGTGACGCTGGCGCTGAGAGGCCGGCGGCGCGAGACGGAGGAGTTGCGGGAATGGCGACCCTCATTCTGGATGCTGTTGATCCGCCGGTTGACTCCTCGGGACTGGCTAGAAGCTGTCGACATGGAGCGGTGCGGTAGTGGGTGCGTGAGAGGATCGGAGGAGAGAGCAAGTGGAATGCGGGACCATGAATGGAAATGGGGGACGCAGACCACCTGCCAGCATTCACCGTGGAAGGTCCTGAAGGTATTTTTTAGGGGCGAATGTCTCAGGTGGGACCGGCGCAGAAGGAGCGAGTGGAGGGGAGAATGTTTACTTGGGAGGAAAGGAGGGGGGTGGAGGATGAAACACAGCCAAACTGACGTAGGCGCCCGAGCTAACAACAATGCCTGACACAACCGGCCACAGTACTATGTACTATAGTGTATAATACTATAGTACACTACGAATCAGTCAACGGGGAAATCCTTGGTTTTGGGTTGCGCACTGGGAAAATAAAGATTGTTCAGCCACCTTGGCTTCTGAAGCCGATCCTGCGGGCGCTACTGGGGTTCGCGCAGGCGCAATGCAAGGGTGGCCGACACTACCAGGCCGAACTATCGATGTCGCGACAATTTTACAGATGCAGGTAAGAGGTGACGGTGATGCGGGATTGGTCCTGGTTTCAATTTTAATTTTTATTTGTTGCCTTGCTTCCGTTTCACCATTGGTTTGAAATATTCTCAATTCCTAACATTTGCGGAATCAGCCAGATATACATGTGTGGAGTGGAGTCCCTCTTGACAAATACATATCTACTGGGTCGCCCGCCCAATACGCACCCGAGCTCTACGTACGGTAGGTGCTTGGAGTAGGCACAGCTCTAGTATACAGAGAGATCTTCACAGAAATGTTGATATACTCGCGTAGCCGTGGAGTCCAAAGTGGCTTCGGTGGCTTCACTCAAATGTGCACCCGCCACGAGCTGTCGCAAACCGAGGCTGAAAGAAAATTGTGGGAACAAAAGGGTCGAATTTTCCTGGGACTGATTCAAAGCGAGCCAAAGAAGCCGAGATCACTGTCTCGCCTCATTGTCTATCAGAGGCCCTCAAGCGACGCCGAATATAGGAAGAAAGTCGTATTGGTATTTACACACACAAGAGAGAACAAACAGATAAAACAGATTTGAATCACCACTTGTCATCACCAGCCTTGCGGGCCTGTCAAATACCTCGGAGTTAGAGAGTTTACTCCAATGATTGCACCGTCCCTCGAAATGGAAAGGCGGGAAGGGATTCGTAGCTTACCGGCAGGGCATTGGGGCCGCCCAGCTCCTTCTCCAGACCACCCTCGTAGGTCTTGGGAACGCTCGGCTTGTCCGGGTAGAAGAGGCTGACAACACCGACCAGGCTCAGGAAGCTCGCAACGAAGATACCGAAGTGGGTGAGACCCTTGCGGGCAGAGACGTGGTTATATTGCTCGGGAGAGAAAACACCAAGGATCTCGTTGTCCTCGTGAACGGGCTCGCCGAAGTTGCGCTTTTCTTGCGCATCCCACCAGCCGCCATACGGATCTCTGAACTGACGCTTCACACGGGGAGGGTTCGGGTAGTTGTTGTTCTGGGTATGCAGTTAGACACCGATCGTGGGTAGGTCACAGGGCAATCAGGTGGCGCGGCGGGGTCAGCCGGAGTTCGTACCTGGTCAGGATCCTCGGCCTCAGCAGTCGCACGGAGAGCGGGTACCTGGGAAAACGAGGCACGGGGGGCAATGGCGGCGCGGGCAACCTGGGGCAGGCGCCGAGCCAGGATCCGTTGAGACAGCATCTGGAAGAGTAATTGAAATTCAGAATTGACCCTCAAGTAGCTCGAAAGTAGACGGGCGGAACCAGAAAAGGTGACTCACGGTTTCGCCAAAGGACCGGAGACAAAGGCGAGTGGATGGGAAGGGAGGTGGAGGGTTGCAGGGACGATGATGAGGTTGAAGCGGAGGTTTGCGAGGTGGCAGCCTCAGGCACCAACAAGGCATCAACAAGGCATCAACGCGGCGCGGGCGCGCTTACAAGTCAAACAGGCTCGCCCGGACGAAAAAACCACTTCCTCACGTATTCCCCCCGTCGAGGTCGTTTTTCCATCCCCATCCACGCCACAGACCCGATAAGCATGCCAAACTTCGTGTGGCACCTCGACTCGACCCTACCTACCCGCTGATGCCAAAATCGCCTACTCCGACTGCGTCATTGTTCGGAAAACTGGGGTCACCTGTGCAGAAGGCCCCTGTCGTCCGCGACTTGAAGTCATGCAAAACGGCAGTCCCAACGTCCCATCGCCTCCCGATGAACCATTAACCCCAGTCCCTGATTCTCCACGTCTCGAAGCATCCGCTCTAGAAAAAGCACCCGATTCTGGCCCCTACGACTCACTCCCTTCCGAACCGCAAGACGACGAAGCTGTCCATCAACTCGAAGGACCTCCTTCGAAGAAGCGAAGACTGACCGACACGACCCCGTCGCGCCGATCGACGCCACGACCACTGTCGCCGCCTTGGAAGAAGGTCGGAGTCGAGGGGCCAACCTCATTTCAACTTGAAGGCAAGCGCAGGTCTTCGCGGACCAACGCGGTGCCTCTAGAACTACAACCACAATCCGATAAACGACACACTCGTGCTGCGCAGAGCGACTACGTGAAGAAAAGTGCCCGCGACAGCGCGAAACCTGCCACGTCATCTCCACTTGCCGCGACTCACTCGCGTACCGCAGCCAACGGCAAACTTGGTGGCAAAGTGACCACCAATGGATCACCCCGGACTGCGTCCAGCCGGGGCGCGAATGCTAAGCAAGCGCCAGTTTCACAGTCGCCATTATCAAAGTCGGCCCACTCGCGCGCGAGATCTCGAAGCTCTGGCACCCTGCACCGCTCCCGCCCCAGCTTGAATGGCGCAAATCCTCGTACCCTTCGCGATCGCAACTCAGGTTCCGCAGCCTCACCACCCCACGAAAATATCGAGCATACAAATGGACATGTGGAGGAGCTGGACTCAGGGTCATCAAAGGTCCCGCGACTGCGTATCAAAGTCAAGAAACCTATCTTGCCTGTTCGACACCCTGGCCACATCACCAACAAAAGATATGAGTCGTTCCGGGAATGGGTGGATCGCGAGGACGCTCCGAACCTGCTGTCGGAACAGGAGGCTCTGGAAGAGGCCGAGAGGCGTCGTGAAGTCGTGATCGCAGCTGAGCCCGGTGGTCCTTTGAGCTCAGACGTATGCTCGGCATACATCACGGAACAACAAGAAGAACCTCCTCCACAATACTCGCACCAGGATCACCTAGTATCTCATGCCCTCTATTTCCAGAAGCTCTTGGACAAGGAACACAAGCGCCATCGACAGACCGCCAAGTTGTTCGCCCAATGGTGCGCCGATGCGTACAGAAAGCGCCACAAGGATCCGGAAGACATCTTGCGTGAACAACAGGAGGTGGTACGGGTGAAGCGTAAACAACTTGGCAAAGACCTGCAGAAGATGTTTGATTTGGCTCGTGCGGAAATTGATCGCATACGGTTGATGCGTTGGGAGGAAGAACGGAAAGTTCAAGATCAGCAGGCTCTGGACCGTGCTATCAAGAACTCGACCATGCTCTTCGAGAAGCGCCGCTCCGAGATCCTTGGTGAGGCCCCTACAAGCGACGCTCCAACCAGCGAGGGCGAGGAGGAGGACGGGAGCGATGGTTCATCAGATTCTGGGACAGACAACGAGAGCAACATGTCCTCATCAGAATCGGAAATGGACGATGAAAATATTCTCGATGATGATGCCAACCTGACCCCTGAAGAACTTCGATTGAAATACGCCAACCTGACCGCGGAAGATACCGGAGACCAAATGTCTACAACTTCTGGCATCACCCCATCCGTTCTACATGATAGTGAAGCCGTTCCCGACGAGGCCGATTCGCAGGCGACCCCCGGCGATACCAAGTTGGATGATGTGGATTCAGTGATGATGGACGACAGCGACAACTCGACTGACATGGATGATGATATGGGCGATAGCGATGATGATGATGAAGAAGACGAAGAGGAGAGTGAACAAGAGTCCGAAGATGAGGGTGATGGTGCGCCTGGCTTGCTGGGCTTCTTTTCTTCAAAAGACCTTCCTATTGCCAATGACGGAAACGAGGATGTGGATGATGAGCCGGGTACAGACGTGGATATGTCAGAGGGCGAGAAGGATGAAATGGAAGATCCAGACGAGGTTTCTCTTGTTCCTATCGGACCACAAGAAGGAACATCCACCGAAGCTACAGCCACACCGGCACAAGCCGCAGAAGCCTCTGAAGGAGCCCCAGCGGATACCGACGCTTCTATTGTCGATACTCCCATGACCGATGAAACCGTTGAGCCAAATTCTGCTGATCCTACGGAACCTGCTGAGCCCATCCCCACCGAGGCTTATACCACCGAGGCCGAGGAGAAGGTCGATGAAGTCGTGCATCGGCCCGAACTGACTGGGGAGGTATCGAGCCAGGCTTCTCCGGGGACCTTTGCGACCAAGCCGTCTGAACCCGAATCCGTTTCTTCATACGAGCCCGCTGCGGAAAATGCACTGCAAGCGAGCCATTCTCCCGCCCCAGGCCCGAAAACACCTATCCCCCATCTACTTCGCGGCACACTACGTGAATATCAGCACTATGGATTGGATTGGCTTGCTGGCCTGTACAACAATCACATCAACGGTATCTTGGCCGACGAGATGGGTCTCGGTAAAACCATTCAAACGATAGCCTTGCTCGCCCACCTGGCTGTCGACCATGGTATCTGGGGCCCGCATATTGTGGTAGTGCCCACCAGTGTGCTGATGAATTGGGAAATGGAGTTCAAGAAATGGTGCCCTGGTTTCAAGATCATGACCTATTATGGCACCCAAGACGAGCGCAAGTTGAAGCGCAAGGGCTGGACCGATGACAATTCCTGGAACGTGTTGATCACCTCATATCAGCTCATCTTGCAGGACCAGGTGGTTTTGAAACGTCACGAGTGGCATTACATGATTCTTGATGAAGCGCATAACATCAAGAATTTCCGTTCGCAGAGGTGGCAGGCCCTCCTCACGTTTCGAACCCGCGCTCGACTCCTCTTGACCGGTACTCCGCTGCAGAATAACCTCACTGAGCTCTGGTCGCTTCTTTTCTTCCTGATGCCCTCCAATGGTGAAGATGACGGGGAAGAAAACGGTGAAGAAGGTGGTGTTGGCCGCCGTGGCGCCGTCCAAGGCTTCGCTGATCTCACCAAATTCTCCGAATGGTTTCGTCGGCCAGTCGAGCAGATTCTCGAGCATGGAAGGGAGACGATGGACGATGAGGCTAAGCAAGTCATTACCAAACTCCATACAGTTCTTCGCCCCTACATCCTGCGACGACTCAAGGCCGATGTCGAGAAGCAGATGCCCGGCAAGTACGAGCATGTCGTCTACTGCCGACTGTCGAAGCGCCAGCGATTCCTCTACGATGGCTTCATGTCCATGGCAAAGACGAGGGAAACTCTTGCCTCCGGCAACTACCTGTCCATCATCCATTGCCTGATGCAGCTGCGCAAGGTCTGCAATCACCCAGATCTCTTCGAGACAAGACCCATCTCTACATCATTTGCAATGCCCCGCTCTGTGTCTACGGAATACAAGGCCACAGAATCTCTGGTTCGTCGACGACTGCTTTTCGACCATCCTTTGACCAAGGTTGACTTGGACTTCCTCAACCTGGCCCCCATCTCTCGCGAAGACATCTCACGCCGCTTGGCTGACGACAGCATCCGATTGATGGCCTTTGGCCCGTTCAAGAAACTCCGCGAGCGCCAATACAGTCGCACCAATTGGCAGATGGGCTTCGATGGATCAAACATGGAGACAATCCTCGAGTCATTGGAAAACGCCTGCCGCAAGAGAAGAATGGCCGAACTAGAGCGTTGTCTCTACTTCGAATCCAAGCGTCACGGTCGTCGTCCTGTCTACGGCAGCAGTTTGATCGAATTTCTTCGGGCCGGCACCAAGGAACATGCACTTTCGAATGCTCCGCTACGGAAGAGTAATATGGCCGAATGGCTCTCCAGTCGGTCATCCGTCCTCGCGTCCATGATCCTTACCACCGAAGAAAGATCCATCAACATGGATGGCTACGTCCAGAGGTTTGCGTGTGTTACTCCCGCCGCTGTCGCCGCCGGTACCACCGAAGCTGCCTTGACCCCGGTGGAAACGCGCCTTTTAACCAATACCAACCGCGATCAGTCCTATGATCCTTTCCATGAGGCCCGCATGCGACTCTCTATCGCGTTCCCGGACAAGCGGTTGTTGCAGTACGACTGCGGCAAGCTCCAGCGTCTTGACAAGCTGTTGCGTGATCTGAAGGCCGGTGGTCATCGAGCCCTTATCTTCACGCAGATGACCAAGATGCTCGATATCTTGGAACAGTTCCTCAACATCCACGGCCATCGCTACCTCCGACTCGACGGTGCTACAAAGGTTGAGGCGCGACACATGCTCACCGAGCGGTTCAACAACGACAACCGCATTTTGGCCTTCATCCTCTCCAGTCGATCCGGTGGTCTTGGTATCAACCTTACGGGTGCCGACACAGTGATTTTCTACGATCTCGATTGGAACCCCGCCATGGACAAGCAATGTCAAGATCGCTGCCATCGTATCGGCCAAACTCGCGACGTCCACATCTACCGCTTCGTGTCCGAGTATACCATTGAATCCAACATCCTCCGGAAAGCCAACCAAAAGCGGATGCTCGACGACGTCATTATTCAGGAGGGCGAGTTCACAACCGATGCCTTCACGAAGATGAAGGACGCGCAGGTCGTTGTCGAGGATGACGAGCGTGACGGTCACGACGAAGCTAGTGCTGCAATGGATCGCGTCCTGGGGAATAACGTTCCGACCAGATCTCGTGTCTTTGAGCAGGCTGAGGACAAGGAAGATATCGATGCGGCGAAGAATGCGCAGAAGGAGCTCGAGCATGCGGATGATGGTGACTTTGACGAGGCTCATACTGCTTCTCAGGGCGCCACCCCTGCACAGCCTGGTACTCCCCTACCCGCCGCCGAAGACGGAACTCAACCTGCAGCCGGAGAGCCGCAGCTTGGTCACATTGATGACTACTTGCTTCGTTTCATGGAATGGAATATGCGTGACGAGCCTCTTGTGCTCCCACCGGACAAGAGCAGGAAGAAGTCCAAGAAGGGCAAGGAGCATCATCTGAAACGGCGTCGTTGAGCGATTCGTTTCGCATTGCATTGCAATCTTATGCCTCTGTGTGTTAAACTGTGTGAAAATATCAAATCCTGATACGTTTTCTTTTTTTCTGGCGTTGTTTCTCAAATAATTGTTCGATGTATTTTGTCAGGAAACGCCGGAGGGTTTTTTCCTTCCTCAGCCTGTATCTTCAGTTACCCCACGCCCTCAACGTTTCACAAATGCACATGGCTTGCGCCGGAGCTGATTACCCGATGAAGCGTTTTATGGGTTTTTACTTTCCCGTGGCATTTTGTGTGTTTTTACTTTTTTTGCCTGGCATCCTTTTAGCGATGTTCCTTTTTGCCTTTTTTCTTTTCTTTTCTCCTGGACGTTAGTGTGTTAGTACTATTATTATCATCTTCATTCATCTAATTTTCCTTTTTTCGCCCCCTATTGTCTCATTGATTGGAAGGCGAGTCGCTGTGTGGAGTAAGTGTCTAATAGTGTCGATGAAGTGGGGAACGTGTCGCGTGGGAGATGAGCCTGTTGTCAGATACTACAGGTAGGTAGCGCCAGTCGGTGTGTACAGTATGGAGTACCTTAGGGTAGGGTAGACCAAATGCAAAGCCGAGAATAGTGTGACGCTGTGGCGATGTTTTGATTTTACTTTTTCCTGTTAAGGTTTTTAGGTTTGGGAAATGCGTGGTGGTTGGGCCTCTTTCCCCGTTTTTTTATATTGATGTAGAAGGGCGATTCCACTTCTCTGCTCGATTTCTCCGTTGTCTCTTCTGGTTTAGTGTAACGACACTATAAGCCTGTTTTAATCTACGACCGATCCTCCCGCTCCACTTTTCTGGAGATCCCCTAGCCCGCTGGCACAGTCACAGCTGCACAACCTACCTCATCGTCAATGCACTAGACCCAAACTAGACTCGCGAGGCAGGGCCTAAGCACACGCGGGGCGTGAAAAACCATCCGAAACTTAAGCCTCTTCCGATCGGAAGCGTGCTCCCTTCATTAGCTACTGACAAATACTATTATATCAAAACGTGCTTAAAAGGCTCTCCGGAGAATATACTCATCTAGTCGCGGTGGAGATCGAACCTGGGACTAACGTTGCAGCTTTGTCTTGACGCAATTGTGCACATCCGTTCCTTCCCACTGCCCTGGTTCAAACACATGGACTCTGGACTCTGGCTGGAAGGGGTGGATGGAGACTATAATCATGTTGTGGAATTGGAAGGCTTGCCCAGTGCGCATGATTTGCTGCACATACGGAGGTGGAGGGGGAGATGGGGTTCGTTCAGACTTTATCACGGACTCAACTCTGCCTCCGACCTTCTATGCTGACTGGCCGCCACTCTCTCTCTAGAACTAGAATAAGGTTCTGACCTTTGTTTCCTCGTCGCGAGGCACGTTTCGAGAGACGCAACTGTGATTCTTTGGAGCTTTTACTCCGGACGGACGAAAGGATTCCCAATTCCTATCGCCGGCGTCTCTTCCCTTGCTTTGTGGTCACGGTCGATGACACGATGACTAGATTTCGAACCCCAGGAGATGGGACTTGAGCATGAACCAGGCAGAAGGGACCGGAGAGAGGCAACCCAGAGCCCACCCGGCCACCGGCCACAGACCAAGTGCTTCACCCCTAACACATGGAGGATGAGGGCCGCCCGGTCGATCCTCTCGGGACCGCGTCGATCTCCCCTTTGTCTGGTGCCCACCTCACACCAAGGGAGTACTCGGGATGGGTTTTCCGAAAAATAGCCACGCTCTCCTGCTATCGCACAGAGCTCTTCCACATATAATCCCCCCATTTTACCCTCTCGTATGGACTCCCCATAGCAGATAGCGTTGTCCGCTCGACATCTCCGGCCCACGTGAGTGGTACATAGGGCTAAGTGGGTCTACGAATGCGAGAATACGTTGGAATACGTTGGAGACAGTTGGAGTAACGGGTCCCACCATCGGGGTATAAGCAGGTCTGGTTCCTTGGTTCGCATTCTGCACAAGCTCACGAGGTATGTCTCATGGCCGCGGTGCCGAGTATCTATCGGCCGGGGGAAAGAGGAGACAATCCAGTGCAATGGAACCAGGCCAGGAGTAGTCAAGGTACGGAGTTTCATCTCCTCGGTTCTCTTTCCCCCTCCTCCTCGTGATGGTCCCCCCCTCTCCCCCTCTTTCCCCGGATGACTCCGGGAAGCACAGTGGTTGGGAAAGTAAGGCATCGAGCCCCACCGATCACCGGAGCGTGATTGTGACTTGAGGAGCGCATCTTGCAGAAGGTTTTCTCCGTCTGGAGAGAGAGTCCCGGATGATTGGAGCCTGGAAAGCTTTCGGGGGAACAGCCATGAGCTGCAGTCGATCCACGGAGATCCGGAGATCCCTCGAGATTGTTAATATCGAGCAGGCCTGCTGATTGCTCAGGTTTCTCCAAAAAAGAAACGAACCCGCCCATCTCATTGGGTCAGCGGAATGGTGCGAAAAAGAGGGGGCCTGGGGGGGCCTGTGGATGCCAGCAGAACGAGACTAGCCTGGAGGCTAGCTGGTCTAATAGGTCTAGGTTAATCTCGAATTTCTATGTATGAGCGTGGCCTAGTACTATCGTAGTCAAACGTGTCGGAGCATCCCAGCGCGACTCCCCCAGTCGGCATGTGCGGCCTCTCGCTTGAATGCAGGGATGGTATGCTCAAGCGATATGAGACAGCTCGATCGAGTTTTGTTCTTCGATCTGACCTGGCGAATCATTGCTCTGACGTTGTTTTTTGTCTCCCTCCGTCTGCTGTGCAGACAGGTCTATCTACCCTGGTCGCCGCTGGTGGTCCAGATTGGCTTAACCTGAGCCAGCCTATACTCCGAACGGCGTAGTCAGTCCTATCCTGCCCATATTGGCCACTTGGATGAGCGACCTCAATGCCTTGCTAGAGAATTAGCTTTCTAGTCAGACAAAGAAATGGCTAGGGTTTCGGACGAGCGCTCCTGGAGTGCCTCCCAAGTGGGAATTGACGTAAATCCCTGGACCACGGATTCAATCGCCGCGGCAGTTCTAAGCCTTTTCATTCCGGAGGCTTGAAACGTGGAAATCGGTGCGTCTGCCAGCTGGGTCAAGGGTCCGGGGAAAGAACCTTTCGAAATGGTACCCTGGATCGACAGAATGGGGACCATCTGGCAAAAGTATGCTATGCAGACACAAGTCAATCCTTCCCTAAACGGCCACGATGACAGTTTTGCATCGACCGGTGTGTCACACCATGCAGCCGTGAAAATACCCTCCCCCTCCACAAGTGATTGGCTGGGACAGGGGAAGGTGTTAAAAAAGGCCTCGGTTAGAAAAGCATGGACGTCGTGCAGGATGCGCCAGTGGCGATTTTGGTCGGGTCGGGTCGGTGCAGTGCAGTGCAGTTGTCTGTCCAGCCTATCTAGCGTTGGAGCGAAGGTGCCATCTGCAGCAAGTAGTGGACAGCCGCCATCCATGGTCGGCATGGCAGTGGTTGTCCTCCATGGTTCCTCGTTCAGCACCTTCTGCACGAATTCCGATACTTCCGATATCATGGACGGCCTGGAGAGAATGAGCTCTGATCCGGGCGACTCCTGGGCGGCTCTGTCCTTCGTTGGAGCTTAGGAGGCTCCACCATATCCACTATTGAGGACCCGGGTAGATCGTAGATGATCCTCGGCCGGATCGATTGGCGCGCTCACGAACTGCTGCCCCACGTATCTCGTCATCATTGGTTTCGTCCGAGAGAGGGGGTGCTTCCCACTAGCGTCGACGCCATACCCGTTCGCTCCCTAGTGCATTCGGCCCAAGGCGCATCTCACTGTTCCGCAAAAGGGAAGAACTCACCGGGAGCATCCTCCAGCATGGTGTGTGCGTCTATGTACTCCATACAGCCCGTAGATGTTGGCTTCCATTCGTGTACGAGATTCTCAGACGGGATACACGGGCGTCGAAGGCGCTGCTTGCCGTGCACACACCAGTGTGATGTCCCAGCGGCGTGGTCTTGGTCTACTTTAGTTGGTAGTCGGTCTGGTCCACGCTTCTCGCTAGTGTGGATAGCCGTGGGCGAACTGGATCGGAACAGACCCTTTTGGTTCCGATGGGATTCGCCATCGGGAGATGGGTGGCCGTCTCTCTTGCCAGCCATCCGGCACATGGTTGACTCTGTTATTCCGATTATATATCGGAATTTACATAGAAGGTTTGAAACGCCCAACGGCTCTGGATCCGCTGCATTAGGGAAGACATCCGGTGCAGAGCCCACCCAGAAACACCGGGTGAGAGGCCCGGGACCGGCAAAGGATCGGCAACCTTGGCTTTTTTTGCGTGAGATCCAGCTAGTGCTGGTCCTGGATCCTGTGGAGGATGGACCAGCAGGAGGTGGCACCGTCCCCTGTGGAAGTGGAGCCCTCCTCGGCCTGGGGGAAGAACGTGAGAGGGGCATTATGGGCTTTGGGCTTATCTGGACTGGAGCTTTCCAGGCCTATCCACAAGGCTAGCTCGGTACCGCATGTAAATCAGTAGCCCCGGGTCCCGGAGAGTCGTCGATTCGCCGCAGGGATGGAGACATTCCCATGTTCGTAGGGTTGGTCCGATCAGGGAGGGGGAACTGTAAAACACGCAGTCCACATCGGAGCTGCAGGATGCAGGATTGGTACTGGGAAGGTGTATTGATTGGTATTGGATAGATCATCGGATGAGAGCGTACGATGCAGCCGGGGGGATTGCGGGCTGTGGGCAGGAGGGAATTGAGGCTGTCAGCTGTCAATCGTGGTGGACAGGGTCAAGATGATCTGTCGATTTCGGCCGTCGCTTTGTCTGGCACGAACGCATGGCTGCGCCAAGTGCTGAACTGGGGAAAGCCCACGGGTGGGAAGTGCACGAGATGGAGAGATGTCAATGATCCACCAGGGGATCGCCGCCGATCCACCAAAACCACGTCAAGCATCGTCATGCCAATCCCGAGCGATGATCGACCATGCGTGCTGGGGGTAAGAGGGAAAACGTTGACAGACCCGACGCCATGGGAGATTGCGGTGGAGGAGAAATCCAGACCCGGCAGTAATCCCTTTTGGGGAGTGGTCGAGTCTATTCGCTCCTCCCCGGGCCCGCGCCTTCTCCTCCTCTACATATATCTGCTGGCCCCGGTCTTTTCCTTCTGAACACTCAACCCTGTACTTTTCACCCACTACACACACCTTGGACCTTGACACAATCTCGTTCGTGATTTCGTGATCAAATTGTGAACCGCAAGAAGGATGAAGACCTCCATATCGTCGGATGTCTGGGAAAAGAAGAAGGCCCTCATCGCCAAGTTGTACATGGAGGAAGAATGGCCGTTGAAGCAGGTCATCAAGCAGATCCGGTCGGACGATTTCAATCCTAGGTGAGTATCTCTTGCATTCGATCCTTGTGGCCGCTGGATCGTGCTAACTCTTCCCAAGCGAAACACAATTGCGCAGCCGTCTAAAGAAATGGCGTGTCACCAAGCCCTCGCGCCAGACTCGCAAGAAGCCTCAGGGTGCCACCGACGACGAATCGGACAAGGATCGGAGGTCTTCGACGGCCTCGCCCCGCCATCGCAAGTCCTCGCCCCTGCGCGACTGCGCCAGGCATACCGCCGACTGGGTGGCACCCACCCACTCGCTCTATGGGCAGCCGCAAATTGCTTCACAGCAACTGACGCCCAGCCCATCGGGCGACCCCTCGGTGCACTCCTTCACCGACGGGAACCCAGTGACTTCGTCTTTCGAGCACCCCGCGCAGACTTCCCCTGTAGGACAGGGTCTCATGGTCAACACCTCCTCCGTCGTGACGCCCTCCTATTCCAGCCTGCCCCTCTCACCCGAGTCCTGTCTGCCGAGCCCCGGGTCGAGTGCTCCCCCGGCCATGGCCCAGTGGTCTCCTCGCTCTGTCTCAGTTGATCTGGGCCTCAACCCCACCATGCACCAGGCTCCTTGGTACTCAGTGCCGTTCGAGCCCGTGACACCGCCGGCCGGTGTTCCACACTCTGCACCCCTCCCGCCCTCCGTCTCGGGCTACATGGTTCCTCCTGCACAGGGCGTCTTCCCTCCCGAGTTCGCCCATTATCCCGGTGAGGATTACCAGACATACGATGCGAAGCCGTGGAAGCGCACAATGTCTTTGCAGTATGACTATGGTCATGGTCGCCCCGAGCACTCCGACCGGAAATATCACCACTCGTACCACCAGCCTCCGCCGGGAATCATTTCGATGCCCCCCAGTCAGCCTGTGATGTGTGCGCCCATGATGCCGTACTCAACCTAAGGGCTCCGTGACTCGACATTGACAGCAATAAGAAGATTCCCCGGCGTTTGGTACTCGTGAAGAGTGTTTGGCATTTCTGTGATACCTCCTTTGTCTTTGTTTTCTTTCTTTCCCTTGTCTCATATATTATCTACGTCTTTTACGTTTTTCTTACGCTTTTCCTCATTTTTCTTCTAACATGTGAAAATGGGCGGTGATCTGTATCTAATAGACTCCTGTGTATGAAATACTTGGTGTTGCACTCGTGGCGGGGCTGATTTGGTCTTTTACCTCTACTTTTGATTCCTGGATATACGGCGTTGGCGGAATGTGTCCTGATCTGATACCTCATACCTATACCTCGTGCACTGACTTGTAATTTCAACCTCGTCAAATTGTCTTCTGTTGCCACTTGAGTGATTTTGCGCGCATTCTACCTTTGGATCACCTGACTTTACATTTTGATACCCATTTCGGCAATACTACCGAGTGCTTGCACCTTCATCCACTTGATCTACCAACAAAATATAATGTCGACTCACAATCTATCCTCTTCCCACGTGGGAACCACAACTGCTCATCTCCGGCCCACCGAGATAGTGTCAGGTAGTAGTGACGAAGTGACTAATATGGTTCTCTAGGGATGTTAGGGCAACCTAGGTGTAACCTTATCAATTGCGCAATTATTGGTTTGCTCCCCTGGATCCTCGGAGGGGCTGGGGCTCTGGTGTGATAAGCATGTGCCCGCGATTCTCTCTCAACGCATGCCATGCTTTCTTGCCGGAGCAACCGGAGTAAACCAGAAAACCAGGTCCGGGTATCCACCGTTCGTCTACCGAGTCTAACGGCTGCCACATGATCATGATCTTCGCCGATGGAAGATCCTCATCTGGATCCCGGCCCTACTTTTGAGCTTTTGTCCGGCCGATCTGGTAATTACCTCCGCGACTATTGTCGGATCAAATCAATGCCCCTCTCCTCCCTGGTGCCATGGAAGAGCTCCTTTAATTACTCTGGTATGTCTCCTGAGTCAGTTTCATCTTGTGTACAACGCACAATGACAAAGTCTATTTTAGCTCGATCTTGCTGAGGACCTTGGGAGGCGCTACTCGACGCCTGGCGTCGCTTGTTATGGTCAGGATCTACTACTACTGCCTTCTACTTGACAGTTGTTTCATTTAATAGAACCTACCCCCTGCATCATGCCCTGCATAGGGTCCTGCAGGCTGCATCTTGGTCTCGTGCTCATGCGTTGGAGTTTGAAACAAGGCCTCAAACACCCGAAAGCTGCTGCATAGCTGAAACACCGTCGAGATCGAACACGCTGTTTGTTGCTCGTTGTTCGGGGATTTGTTACAGATCACTTTGGGCTCACACGTGGCTGCCATGTTCCAAATTGATTGTCCATTGTCGTTTCGCTATGAAAATGAGACTCGTCTGCTGAAGCGAGGTGCACAATGTCGGCATCGTGGCCAGTGCAGGGCTGAAAACCAGCCCGGTAGCTTGATGCCTAGCTTGATTTGAAAGGTCCCGATGACATGGGTTTGCTGGTAGCGTTGACTCTTCGTACCTTTTTACCGCTTCCGTCTTCCTCCGGCATCCACTTTGCAAAGCCTCAAAATATGTGCTTTTTTATTTTATTTTTTTTCTTTCCCCTTTACCAGTGCTCCGAGCTCATTATCTAATTCCCCTGTAGATTATTGTAGTTCTGATATCAGTTAGATCCTCACCTCGGCTCTGTCAGATCGACAGATCGTCTGTATGAAGTATGGGGATAGTGAACCCTGCACTTTCTCCGCGACTCCTCGTATCCACGTTCTCGACCTCAATAACCTCAACTCACCTCAACAAAATTTCCCTACAGTTTGGTAAATTTACCAAACTAAGAAGTTCTCCCGGCGACAATTGAATGTATCTTTCCAGTGGCAAAACTCGTCGGAACTCGTCGGTATCCCGGCTGTTGCAGCTCGGACCGAGACCACCTGCCTCACTATTTTTATCGCGACATACAGCGACAAGTGGATTTTTCACGTGCAACGAAAAGCAAGGACCTTTGCAAAAATATCACCTAGCTACTACCTTAGGAAAGCAGTTGGAATCGAGATAGTGCTAGTACGTGGTGATTTACCACAATAGCCGCGTAGACGCGCCGCGATGCAACGTTGTCGCAGTATCCGAAAGTGACCTCGGCATCTTTCGCGGGGAAAAGCTGTCTCCGCAATTCAACCTCCGAATCCCATCCTACCGTACCCCAACCCTCAACCCCATCTATCTTTGGTTATTTCCGAACAATTGGAGACCTCCTGATTTACTGAGTTACTGAGTCAAGATGCGCGCTGTCCAAGTCAGCGAATATGTCAAGGTTAGGCCTCGAACGAGCCCCCTAACCCCAATATGCTCCCCGGTCACTCGCCGTTGTCGCGAAGACCGAGAAAGAAAATGCAACAAGATCGAAGCAGTATCTAACAACTATCCTGCACATATAGGGCCCCTTGGACCTCAAGGTCACCGAAGTCCCAACTCCAACACCGGCCGCAGACAAATACCTCATCGAAATCCACTCCGCAGGAACAAACTTCTTCGACATCCTTCAAATCCAAGGAAAATACCAGCACCAACCTCCGCTCCCCTGGGTCGGCGGTGCTGAATTTGCCGGAACTATCACCGCCCTCCCAACATCCTCTTCCACTACCCCCAAATTCAAAGTCGGCGACCGCGTCTTCGGCGCTACACAAGGTGCCTATGCCACACACATCCTCGCGCCTGAGCAAGCTCTCCTCCCCGTCCCGAACGGCTGGAGCTTCGAAGATGCGGCCGGTCTCTTTGTTACGGCCCCAACTTCCTATGGTGGTCTTGTCCAGCGCGCCGGCGTGAAGAGCGGTGATTGGGTCCTTGTTCATGCCGCCGCTGGTGGTGTTGGTCTGGCTGCTGTCCAGGTTGCCAAGGCTATGGGCGCGACTGTTATCGCTACAGCTGGTACCCAGAGAAAGAGAGATATTGCTCGGGAGTTCGGAGCGGATTTTGTTATTGATTATAGGGATTCGAAATGGCCCGAGCTCGTTAAGAAGCTCTGTAAGGAAAACCGGAAGGGGAACGGCACTGCCGGCGTGGATATCGTTTATGACCCAGTTGGTATGATCGATGCTAGTCTGAAGTGTGTTGCTTGGAATGCTAGACTGCTGGTCATTGGATTTGCGGCGGGCAAGATTGAGAAGGTTGCGCTTAATCGTGTCTTGTTGAAGAATGTTAGCATTGTCGGCTTGCATTGGGGTCAATATGCTCGCTTTGAGACACCAACAGTGGGTGAGGTCTGGAAGGGAATTTTCGACCTTGTTGCACAGGGCAAGTTCCGTGGTACGGCGTTCAAGGATGAGAGTTTTGTTGGGCTGGAGAGTGTGCCGAAGGCTTTGGCCGCACTTGGCGAGAGAGAGACTTGGGGTAAGGTCGTTGTTAATGTGACCGGGAATGAGAAGGCGAAGAGTAAGCTCTAAGCTTTGATTTATTGAGAATGGTCCACGAGAGATGCGGTTATATACATGTATGAGGTTATATAGACAGAATCTCGCAAGTTCTTTCTTATGCGTCATTCTAGGGGTTATTAGCCCAAACTCGGTGAAATATGGAAGACTTTTTCTCTCAATGAATATCCCGGACCAGCCATTGACTGCGAACGGTTATATTCCAGAATATATCGCCCGACGAATGAGATTGGTCTATGAGAAATCCCATGCAAAGTCCATAATCTAGTGGCCTACACATATTCCCATCGCTGAGTAATAGCCACCCTACCGTTGCAGAATGTGTTGAAAGACAATTGAACAAATGCAGATATCTTGATCCATATGTTACCACACATCTTTTGACCCAGAAGATGACTGTAGCCACACCCCCTTCCTCGCATTTCAATTACCTTTTGGTTTTAGAACCCTTGATCTATGCACAGGAAGATTGACCAGGCAGCTGGCCAGGTGCGTGGCCGAGTAGATGACCGAGTAGATGACAAGATAGACAATCATAGACAATCAGGTAGATGACCAGGATAGACTCAAACTTAAAAATTTTGCAGTTTAAGATTCCGATGAATAAGAAAAAGCAGATGAAATTATAATCGTAAGTTTAAATTTCCAGATGGATACAAGCTCAGATGCATCCATACATCTTATACGGTTCACCCTATAATGCAATCCATGATATAGCACGCATATCCCTGATTATTTCCCTAACGGTAGGAGTTGCAAGCGATATCGGTGGTTTCTATCATGTTCTTCAACTCGTCCGGCTGATCGTGCTTCGCGAGGGAATTCGACGAAAGTAGGAATACCCGGCCGATGCAAGCGATGGTGAGCCAATGATGCGACCAACTAGCTCAATATTCAGATATTCCTGCAGAGATTACCATGGAATTCGGCTTTGTATCCATGCCGGATTGTATACATAAGTTGACGTACTACTAATATGCCAGAACGCATGCGCCTGGGAGCCACGAGCCTCATGCCATTTGAGGCTAGCTGCCGATTCGGTAAAATAGTTCCCATTCCACGTGATCCAGGTATGCATGTTCATCACTAGCCAATCAGTTGTCAGGATCGTGAAACTATTGTAATCTTGACCAAAAATTGTGATCTTGAGTCAGTAAAACTTGTGGAGTCCGAATATTTTGATCTCAACTGCGGTGGCGGCTCAGCTGTACATACGTAGCGCCAACCAGGGTGTGAAAGCGGGTACGAGATGCGCCCTGCATGGTAGGTTTGATCGAGATTTGCGACCCTGGATGGTCGCTATCTATTTTCCATAGTTATTTTATTGTTTTGAGGAGAAAAAGAAGAGGAAAGGGACACAAAGTACGGTACAGCGTCTTGCTGACTCACTTGAGGCGATTCCTTGATCTATCAAGTCAGCAACTATTTTATGAAAGCAACACCCCCGGCGTCTTGCAAGTTCAAATATTCTCTCAACCACCGAAGGCTCAGGATCTTCCTCGGAAATCATGTCGCCAGCACACTCTATCCTGAATCAATACAACTCGCAGATTTCGTCAAAAGGTCCGGGAATATGTACGTCGAATGTGGTCCTTCTTGCTCGCAGAAGCCAATCATCGATTCAGACCTCAAGCCTGTTGCTCACTGCCAAGCAACTCGCTTGCCTTACAACCGACCAGCGCAAAAAAAGGTTGCCAAAATTAAGACACTAGAATCCGAGGAGATTGCGGAACGACTCGATTTTCTCACACCCGATGCCCAACTAACTACTCAGCCGTTCGAGTGTCAACATCTACTTCGTGATGTGAGAAAGAAGACTCCAGTCCAAAAGGGAAATCGACTTGACAAACCTGAACGCTTTCCTGAATTCGAGAAAGTCAATAAATCCTGGGTGTAGTTGAAACAATTGCCAGATATTGACAGCACGAAAAAGTGATCGATCTGGTCTAAGTGCACCATGGGATTATGCACTTATTTGCTACCTCGTATCCCCTGATTCTCAGAGACAGCCTATTCGGACGTCCTTTAATCACCACGCAAGATCTGATACCCATTTATATGACACAATAAGTTGAGTCGCAAATCTTCGGGAAACTGGATTCCATTGCAGCTTTTTGCCACTGGCCGTGGCAGCCGACAATTCTATACCGGCGTCAGGCGTCGTGAAATCTTTCAGCCTGCAATGAATGACTTTCCACTACCGGGGAGCTACTGACTCCTCCGCGCCGCAGTGGGATTCCGATTGTGTGTTGACCTTTTTTGACAGGTTCTTTGACGTGTCATTGAATTGAGAACTACCCTGGAGAGACATCCCAGGGGAAATATCAAGGACTTCCTGAGTGTGGTCAACAAAGACCTAGATGAGCTTTTCTCTGGTGGTATGCAGTATGTATAGCAGCAGCGGAAGGTCCTTGAGCTACGGCTTTTCTATCGCATTATCGCCAATGCGAGTACAAGCGCTCAAGAGATCACGGAATGAGTTTAAACACAACAGATCGCCAGAGCCTCAGAGGTCTACAACAAAAGGGACAACGGGTTACTCGATGACGCTAAAATACTTCCAATTAGAGGAAAATTGGGCATTGCAAAGTAGCACCCTCGAGGCTCTGGAAGGGGAGCTGAAAAGGTTATGGGACAATGTCAAAGCTTAGGAAATGCGAGGGGATCGCCGGACCGAACAGCCAAGATGGACGAATAAAGATGAGAGGAAATACCGCGACTCTATCAACATTGGCCTTCTGCTGTGCCAAAAGGCCTCAAGTCTTTGAGGTTTGAGAGAGAGGAGGCCAAGAACAAATACGACCGTCATATGACTGAACGCAACTTCCAGCAGAATGACAATGTCAAGTATTTTACATATGCGACTGCCATCTTTCAGCCACTCGCATTGGCTGCCAGCATCTTGAGTATGCAAATTGCGCCGCCCACAGATGTGCTCCAACACATGATGATATGCTCTGTAGTGGCATTTGTCGTTCTTCTGATTGTTATTTTCTTACTGCCATTTTTCCTGGACACCAGTGAGCACCTCGGGCATTCAATCTAGCAGAGGCTCAAGGCTCGCCCTGAGAAGCCCTACAAGAAGCTCAAAACTAGGCTTGAGTACCCCTACCAAAAGTTCAAATATGTCTTCTGGTGACCCTCCACATTGTTTGCTACTGCCACTCGTGGCAAAGATGGAAGTTCAGCCTGGAGGCATGTCTGGAAGATGCCACCCTCCGAAGACAAGGCAGGAGACATAGAATCTGGATTGGAAAATGGCCAGCAATCAGGAGTCGAAACCGACCAGTCATCGGCTCTGAAATGTCAGGTGAATAATTTCCGAATTTCAACTGAATTTGTGTCTTCCACTCTACCAAACCAATCAAATACCCAAGTCTAACAGTGTATGTAGGTGCGCAAGGAGTCATGCTCTAGTAAAGAAATTCTCCACAAGGAAGAACTCGAGCAAGAAAAACATGAACTATGAAGGCCCTTTACTTGCTCTAGCAACTCTTCGAAGAGAAATGAGCCGGCCGTCCCGAATGAGACATACCAGCTCGCAACCCAGCTCCGGTCGGTCGTACCCACAAGACGTGGAAGTACGGTGACCGTCCTTCGAGGAAGAGTCCGTGATCTCGTCCTGGTGGACTAGGACAGCTGGATTGAGGAGTTGCGGCGGTGTGAAGGTTATTGAGGGTTGTTTGGAGGCGTCGGGACGACGCGAGTCTCCGGATTATGGAGGGGAAATGGATCTGGCGAGTTGGGTTAGTGACTAGGGCGAGTTGCGCTATCCATTTGCGACTCGTTGGCGCAGAACGCAGTATCTCTTTCTGGCCAACGCGCGCTGGAGCTGGAGTTGGGAAGTTGAAGGTGGAGAGCGGAAAACCCAGTCGAAAAGGGCGCGCTCGCTTAGTGATTAGTCAGCGAAAGTACTTGAGCCGACTTGTAGTAAAGGAACGACCCGATATGTATAGGCAGTTGTTTAAGTATGGAAATTGGAAAAAGTAAGGTAGTAATGACAAATTAGTGCAGCAATTATGTGAAAGGTCGGGGATAAGAAGTACATTATGTTTGAAATAGGTAGGAATAGGTAAAAATAGGTAGAAACTGGAGATTTGGGGCCAGGGAACGCCAACCCGAAACGGAAAAGGGGCACAGAGGGGACGGAAGGTAAAAATAAAGGTAAAAATAAACCCATAGAGCAAATAAATATAAGAACGTAGCAGTCGTGGTCATGTGGCGTCATATCAGCGTCGAAAATTGTTCATGAAAACCGTAGTTGTCAGAAATGAATAGGGCATGCCTAGTGATATCTCTCCCGCATTTGAACGAGAGTAGTCCATCCTTGGCAGCAGGTCTTGGTCATTTGATGTCCACACCAGCAGCATTGCAGAGATGTGGACTCGGAGCGCTTGGTCGGTTCGCCCTCCTTGTTCGATGCAACCTTACCAGAACCCGTGCCGGGAAATGGAGCTTTGCTGGAAGGCTGTTGAATACGCAGCGGAAGGGGCAGACCCCGATGACCCGAGTCAGAAGAGAACAGCGAGCTCCGTCGAAGAGAAGTTTTTCGTCGAGAGAAGGTGCGTACGAGAAGCGACTCGGGCGCGGTGGCCTCTGGACAGGCGAGTCGGGCGTAGATCTCGGACGGTATATCGTGCCAGTACTTGCACGAGCAGCAGATGACGAAAACCTTGCCGATGATGTGATCCTTTTCCGGCGGCATGACTTTTTGAACGGAGTTCTTGCGCATCATGTACACCGGACCACCGGGGGCGAGTGGGAAAGTACAACGGACTGGGGTTTCGTGGATGGTCGCTCGGTTCGCTGCAGGTTCGTGAGGCCGTGCCGCCGCATTGGTCGCATTAGCATCTTGGGGCTCCGATGCTTCGGCTCGATCTCGGATTTTGTAATGCCCTAGCAAGGGGGTCTGGGTTGGGGGTTGGTATGGGGGTTCGGTTTGGTTATTTCGCGTATGGGCTTTCGATATATCTAGTACCTCTTCGTCTGCGGTGTCATAGCTCGAACCGTGTGAGGAAACAATGGAAGGCGCTCTTTTGTGACCCGGGCTGCGCGCACTTTGAGTAGATAGGCTAATCACAGGCTCGTCACTCGTGGACAGAAGACCTCGGTCCGCGGGCTCTGTCTTTGACTCGACCGCTGCATCGGTTTGAATCGTTGGGGTCTCCTGGACCTCGCTGTCCATCGTTTTTGGGAAACCTTTGGTCATAGTAGATCGTCGACCAGAGTGCTTCAGAGGCGGGACCATGAGCGGATACCGCTTCGCATCGTGCGACATCTGCTCCGGGTTGAAATCAGGCGACTCAGGTTCCAGGGGAGAGTTCTCTTTGGTCTCGGCACTGATGACCCCAGGATAGTGTGGTTTTCCACCACTCACAGAGTGATTCTTCTCGTCAGGCATTGGACCAGCCTTGCGACTTGCCTTCATTCTTGCACCCGATTCTTGCGCTCGCTGTTCCTTGACAGGAGTTATCTGCGAGGAGTGGATTGGGGAAGACCTTCCTGCGATGCTAGATCGTTGAGCAGAGGAGGGTGTGGATGGCTTGGACCCGCCTTTCGACTCAACGTCTTTGTTTGTAAAGGGATTCAGCGCGAGCGGGGAAGACTTGTACGCCTTTGGCAGCGTGTTGGGGCTGGTATCCGGGCGGTTCTTCTTCGGAATACCACTGGGTAGATTTGACGGCATCGATGTCGGAACAGGGAAAGTCTTTGATTTGAGAGAGTTGTACTGGTGAAGACCAGAACTCAAATGATGCGCGTTATTTACGCGAGGAGCTCTGGGTGCCTGTTGAGCTCCAGGCAGCAAAGGGTTGGCCGAAGACCCGGATGGCAGTTTCGCCGACGCAGCAGAAGAGTTTGTGATCGTAGGAGCCTTCACAGGTCGGCTGGCCACTCCTGGGGCACTTCGCTCAATTCGAAGCGCAGCAGTAAATGACTCTCGGTCCAGATCTGCAGAGAGCTCCGTGGCCTGGGGGTGGGGATGAGGTGTAGAATCATACTTTGGGAAAGGAACATAGGTCTCAGTAAGGGTACGTCTCTTGAGACTTCGCAGTCGCAGACCCGGCATACTTACAGATATATTGCCGCCTGCAGCTTGCAGTGAAGGCTCGTTGTGGCCGTTCTTCTTCTTCCATGCTTCAGCCACCTTCCAGTGCTCGCGCAAGTCATCCGACTTGGTAGCAGGATGATGGAGTCGAGGCATCTGGTGCGTATCTGCTGAGGCCAGACCTGTACCGTGGCGGGTAGCTAGCTCGCGAGAAACGACAGTGCCGAACTGCTCAGGAAGAGTCAAAGGCAGACTGGGGGGACCTTGCTCGAGGGAGTTGCGTGAACCAGTGTCACTTCCATTGACTGAGCTTGCGCGGGATCGCGATCGCCGTTTGGTGAAGAAAGAAAAAGTGCTGGAAGATTTAGGCCTCTCGCTGCTGGCACTAGAAGACCGCTTGGAGCTGCCTAGAGGCTGCTTTTTAACGAGGCGACGAGAATCTCTTTCGTATATGCCTTGTTCCAATCTCTGCTGGGCGGCCTCCAGATTCGACAGGCGCTTCTCCAGCTCTTTGCGCTCGGCTTCGAGCCGTTTGGTGGCACGTCTTTCTTTGCGAGCCGTTTCGCGCTCCCAGGTTGGCGAACTGCAAATACGATCGACCTCTGCCGTACTGGGGTTGCATGCTTCTGTCGACGCCATCTGTTGGGGTGTGATGCTTTCATCTTTGGCAAACACCGGGTGTACTCCAGGGCTGGAGCCTGGCGTGCTCACTGAGGGCAGTCGCGAGTTTAAAGACGAGGGATTCGCGGAGCTAGGCACTGTTTCGCCTGCATCAAAGCCGATGGTGATCTCAGAATTGGGCACCAGCGCGCTGTGTCTGGCCTGAGCCACCGCCGTGTGTGGCTGTCCAGCATCGCCATGGACGCTGGCGTGTTTCTGGGTCTTCTTTTGGTCAGGCACTGTGGTTCGGCCAGAGTTGGGGGAGGAACTGACTTTGTCTGACCGATCGACACTGAAGACGCGCTGGATATGCTCGGAGATGGAGGATCGCCGGCGTCTGCGGGGGTGATCGTCCGACATGGCGCCCAGCATGGAGTGCCTCTGGGAGAAAAGAGGAAAACGAGAGAAAGCCTCCGACAGAAAGTCGGGGGCAGCGGTGTTGCCCGATGTTGCCCGGATTGAAGGTTGAACCGCAGTCGAGACTGAAGAAAGAAATTCCAAACTCGCCACAGCGCATTCACGCAGGTGAGACCTGCAGCTGCCACCATCCTATTTTTGTGTGCGATCTGGGGAAGCCCTGTGGTCGGAGGACACTGAATATTTTCGAACGGTCTTATATTTTTATTTTCTAAGTATCAGAAAATAGTGAATTATCATCAGCAATATTAATATTATTATCGGCTGCTAGCTGTATTTGATTGAAGCGCCGACTTGGTTGGGTTGGAAACACGGCACGCGTCGCAGATCCAACACCAACATCCATCCCAGCAGCTCTATCTCCTCAATGCTATACGCCACACTCGCCACAACCTTTTCACGGACTACATATCAACTATGTATATAGTCCATAGTCCCGACTATTAGGTGTTGGTCGGCGCTTCCACGGTTCTTTGACGGCACCGCCCCGCTTGGCATCCGTGGAACAAACCAGCCTGCCCGTCAGCTTGATTTGACACCGCTGATCCCCAGATGTGAACCTCCAAGCACACCAGACCAAATCAAACTCACCATCGACATCCCCAACATGGCTCAGAACCCCTTTGCAGGTCCCCCGCCCAGCTACGAAGCTGCGGTTGATGCCAGCAGAGCCAACGGCAGCAACACCGCTCAAGGCGACCCTCCGCCATATCACAACTGGCAGGAAGCCGTCCCAGACACCTCAGTCTTCCCCCCGCCGCCTGTCCAGGGATACTACAGCTCAGGCACAGGAAATGCCTCTGCGGACGATGCGGACCGCGCGCATGAGTTCTGCGATAGTACCCCGCTCTGGATCCCGACGATGCCTTCCTCCGCCGTCTGGAGGGATGTCCATGAACATCGAAATCTGCGTCCTGTCCAGCCCGTCGAGTTCCAGGGGACGTTGAAGAGCTCTTCGCAGGGGCGCTGGTCGGGCGCCACGCGGGATCGGAATGGGGATTGTCTTGTTGTCTCCCATCTACCGCTGTACTTTGCTGCGATGGATTCGCCGCTGTTGAGGAATGATGGTCACGACACGGTGATCTACTTTGAGGTCAAGTTAAAGGGACTCCGGGCTGGTCCGGGGTCGGGAGAGGGAGAGTCGGGCTTTTCTATTGGGTTTGTTGCGCAACCGTATCCTTCATGGAGATCGCCTGGTTGGGAACGCGGGAGCTTGGGTGTCTGCTCTGATGATGGGTGTCGCTTTGTGAATGACTCCTGGGGTGGCCGGGATTTTACGACGCCCTTTCAGGTGGGCGAGACGGTTGGACTGGGCATGGTGTTCTCTGCCCCGAAAGGTATTCGCCGTAGCAGCTCCGACAAGAAGGAAATGTCGAGGATGTGCGATGTGGAGATCTTCTTTACGCGGAATGGGCGACGGGCAGGCGGATGGAACTTGCACGAAGAGATGGATGCCGATTCCGGTGGGATCGAGGGTCTGGAGGGCGACTTTGATTTGTATGGGGCGATTGGGCTTTTTGGTGGCATTGACTTTGAGTCCTGCTTTAACCCTGCAGGGTGGCTCTGGAAGCCCTAGGCCGATGATGGGTCGCAGCTGCGTCGTTGCGGGCCTCGATCTTGTGTGCTTTCAGTCGTTGGGTTGCTCGGGCTTCTTGCCAAGTCGAGTCATGCACACGAGTTCAGGCACCGAATGGCAAGCGTTAGGGCTGAGATTTGCTTTTGAGGGGGTGTGACAGCTCTCATTGCTTATTTGCTAGCCTCCGATGTGTACCTGATGAACGGCGGAATGATATCAACAGATGATGACCTTGGCTCACACAATCAGCCCATGCTACAGCTGTACAGTTGTATACCTAGAATATGTACCTGCAATCCGAGACAATGACTATCCATGACTATATGGAGTCCGGGTATAGCTGGCGGAGCGGTTCCAGACTCCCTCTTTCCCCTCCCAAAGCTCCCTTGTCCCTGTCCTCATCTCCGAATGTAGAGACGCGCATGGAAAATAATTCCAGTCCGAGGTAGCCGCCACGGACCCCCGGCAACGACCCCAATTCGCACGGCATCGCAGACGCCCATGGCCTACAGCCTATTTCGACGGCCTGCCGAGGATGTGCCAGCCACCGTGCAAGGCGATGCAGCCCCCTGCACGCCCGCATTCCTCCGGTTCTAGAAAGTCATCGCCCATCCCCGAATCGCTTCCTAGTAGGATGCGCGCATTAGCGGCTCGGGGGAAGCAGATGGTGCATTCCCGGCATGCAGCACAGTTGTTCTTTTGAGTGGGACGAGCAGGGGTGTATTTTATTTTATTTTATTTTTTTTGGTTTCCGTCTTTTTCTCGCCCCCAAGGGACCACGCGATCATCCATCGGTTTCTCAAAGTGCATGAACAGCAGAGCAGGAGTTGACGTCACCGGCGATACCGCGGTAGGATCGTCTGTCTCGTGCAAAATGCAGCTTCTTGAAGATCCGGAGGGCTCGGCTGGAGTCGAGAACATCGGAGATCCCGGGGAACTCGGCCGGAATGAACAAAGAAAGCAAGAGCCAGTGGATGTGGCATGAGACATTCTCAAAGAAAATGCATCGTGAGCCTCACACGTCGCGTATCTTATTGATAGTAGGTTGCCTGACCCAGACTGCGAGACCCTCAAAACAGCCTCGTGCGGTCATTTACAGTTGTGGAGAGGAGGGCCTGAGCCCGCTGTAACGCCATGACCGCATATCAAAATGCATGTCATGCGCTTGGACAAAAGGAGTAGACTGTTCGATGTCGCACCTTCCTTTGAATGCTGACAGACGACAGAAAATATGGGATCGTCTCGGGCTATTTTTCGCCCAGCCCGTGGATGTGGCTGCCAATCGAGGGCGCGCGTATGGTCCGAACAGGGCAAGTGTCTCGCCTCGAGCGAACGTCCCTTTTGTCTCCGTATCGGCAGGAGAGGTTTGCATGTGTACAATGAGGTACCAGAATATGTACAGCGCACCCTGGGCAGGCTTGGCATATCAGGGTGGGCCTCTCGTATGAATCAAAGTGAAGTATATGTCGAGATGCGACGATATGATTCGAATTGTCTGGAAGAGGCGAACGCGCAATGGCACAGGTAATTGTCTGGAAATCATCTCACTGGGGGCAATTGATTGCGCCATTTCGTTCCTTTCGACGCGACGAGATTCTCGTTCTCGTACAGTGTATGGAGTTTGTACGAGGTATCTCTGGTGTTCCACTTCCCCCTCCCCAACACCACCCCCACGGCAGGCAAAGGACGCGACACTGGTCACCAAGTCCAGTTGCCAAAAGGACAACAGCCGTTCTTTTGCTAGAAGTATCAAAAGTGTAAACGAAATACAGGGAAGCGCACAAGATTCTACGAACAGTCGAGTGGAGACCCGAAATCGGTGATAATCCCGAGACTATCCCTGATGGTTACAGCGGCTGCAGCCTCGCTGCAGCTAGGGAATCAGGGCGTCGGCCGCGATGTCCAGCCTGCGGAGTCTGTCGGCTTGAATCGTCCCCCCACGCGAGGCACCAATGAGGATCGACAGGCGTGTGAAGGACGGAGCAACTCCTGAGCCTCCGGAGAACGGATGTAATCGTACGGAGTAGTCCACGAGACAGTGCGCAACCTCCTGCAGGTGGTGCAGGTGGTGCAGTGCAGAGTGGGGAGGTTGACCGTTGCCACCAGATCGCGCTACATGGTGCATCGTCTCGTCCCGCGCACATCGATTTCCAAGTGTGGATATGCTGACAGACCACGTCGACACAATGGGTGGAGAGGTGGATGGAGAAAGAGTACGGAGGAAGTGGAGGAGGGCAAAGGGGCATGGACCAACACCCGCTTGGCGGGGGGGCTCCCTCGTGGCCGATGGATGCTGCTGGTGGACTTGCTGCTGATCGCGAGCAACTGCTGGCTGCACGTTGCAAGTGGTTTTTTTTTTTTTTTTCTTAAATTGAGACGGGGAACCTTCACCCTGTCCGGTGTAGTCCAACCCTCGGTCTCCGAATTTGGGACCTTTGATCGTTTGATGTTGTATTGGTTATTGTTGTCTGGTTTTCGTCTCGGGCCACCGAGGAGAAGCGTGTGCGCGCGCGCGATCCACCCTCGGCGTTACGCCGCTTGTAACGCACCATGTATATCCTATACAGCGTGGTCGGTGCAGGTTGTATAGTGTATAGGCCGAGGAGCTCCACGGACGATCTGGATAGTGTTCTTTGTACTGGCGCCAGCCCCCGAACCAGGCAATACGCAACTTGGGGCGAGGGACCTGGGAGGCAAATGCCGGGTATTGATTTGTCGGAACAAGAAAGCGTGGCTAATCGGCTGGTCAGCGCCAAAACGGCCAGAAACGGATGAGGCAGACGAGAGGGGAAGTGGGATCGACCTGCAAGTCATCTTGCCGTGTCCCGTCCCCTCCACGTCCAGCAGCAGCAGCAGCAGCAGTCGTCCTCCTGTGGTCTCTTTTTGTTCGTTGGTGACTTCGCCGCACCCACACGGCCGTGACCTTTGCCTCTGCCTCCTGCGTGTCTCCAGTTCTCGCAGTTCGTCTCCATCATCAACCGGCCATTTCCGGGATTTGAATAGTGACAGGGTGGAGTCCGGGTGTCCGTGCAGCCGAGAGACGCGTCTGTTTCACTCACGAGAGCTTGGGGATCTCCCCACGATCGGCTGGTTCGGTTCGGCCCAAAAGGGAAGCATCATGGAAGGCAGCGCAGGCAACGAGCAGATGGCATAGAGTAGGCATGGCTGGAAGAGCCGGCGCGTGCCTTCGTGCAGGGGGCAGCTGCGATGGAATGTCGAGGGGTCGCCACTGGAGTCAAAATGCAACGGCCTGTGCAGTTGGAGCGAACCATGCAAAGTACCAGATTGCGTGGACCCCGTCGCCAAGGGCTGTCGACGGGCTGTGCAGTGTCGTCCCTTAGAAGTCGCTTTGTGCTCAGGAGTCGAAGAGGGCTAGTGTCTGATCTCTGCAATATACTTTGCAGCCGATCCGCGAGGGGAGATAACGATGTCCGCTTTGGGCCGGCTGCATATTGCTGACTCGCCGACTTCTCCTAGGAGCACGCACTCGATTCCTACCCAGGTTGGCATAGCCTGGCTTTGTCAATAGTTCTGCTTTAGCTTCAAGGGCTGCCCTAGCACGAGCTTGCGGCCTCGATTAGACGCCAAAGCGCGCCTGGCAACAGCCTTTATATTGACCTGACTCGGGGATCAGGGGTTCCCTGTTCGCCTCAGCCAACCGATCGCTGCACGTTGGATTTGATATCATATTCCATCGATCGTCCCCCTCATCGATTTTAATATCTACAGTTGTATAGCGAACATATACCAAAGAAAAGGATTGGATGCCACAATGCAATGTTGGTCGTCGAGATGGCGATGATACATACCTCTGGACATACTTTGGGTCGACCATGGTATATTGCTGACACGCCACGCCACCGGGTCGCCTTAACCCCTTGGGGGGAGGTGCGATATCGACCGCCTGATTTGGCCATCTGATGTTATCAAAGTTCCCAAACCGGACTCCAGGGCCTCAGACACTCACATTACGGGAAGCTGGGCCTCGTGTTTGCCTCCCCTCCCAACACACATCTGCTTCACGGTACCCCACGAAATTATACTCACTTATACTGACTTCCTATACACTACGCTGCCATATCTCAAGATAAATTACTCGGGCACTAACTGTACGCTCGTGCACTTACCACTTACCACGCCATAACCACTGCATGGTCCCCACTCAAGCTTCTGGCCGAGTCACGGCGATCGCCGCTAGGATTCCCGCCCCGTTTCGTGTTTCACTTCGGTTACCGTGCAGCAGTGGGTTCGTACGGCCAGCCTTGATAGCCCTGCCCAGGCTCCATTTCTGCTCGACGTTAAAATTAAAGAATCCATCCTGTGCCACAAGGCGTGCGAATCACGGTCGATCATTTAATAAAAAAAAAGGATACGCGGGATGCCTTCGACGGGAGCCCATTGGAGACACGCTAGGCCCATTGTCCAGTTCTTCCACTAATCACTGCCGCCCTGGTCCTTCGAGGCGCCCCTAAGGTGCTAGCTAGATATCGAAAGTCGTCTCAGCGCTTCGAGGACCCCCAGTTTCTCGGAGTATTGGCGAGGATTGGTCTTGGCCACTGATAACGCGCGCGTCACGCTGGTACCTGGATACCTGGAGCTGAGCCTGAACCATGTCGATCCATCAAAACATGAATCATATTGTTCGAATCGTAAACACAAAAGAAAAAGAAGTGAAAAAAAAAAAAAAAAGAAAAAGAAACAAGGTTCCCGCCCTGGGCACCAATCCAATCAGAAAGATGCGGGCCCACTGAGATGCAACCAGAAATGCACGAGGGGACGAGGGAATCTCGCGTGCATGATCGGAGATGTTCTCCTTGGGCTCGCATGCTGTCTTCCAGCATGGTATTTTTGTTAGGCACTTGTTTTGTTTCATGCTGAAGGTACTCTTTTTTTTTTCGAAGGATTGCGATTAGTTTCTTTAATAATCATTAAATAATCAGCATTATCATATCATAGTATCATGTAATACAGGAATCACCACGGTAAACAATGGTGTTAATCTTTCTCTGCCGCTGCTGCATGCCACCAGCGAGACTAAAGTGACTTAGTCGATCACACTGTGTACCTGCGACAGCAGAACCCCCGACAGCCAATGGCGGCAACCACCACCGCGCATATCAGCTGGTTGCCTTGATTTCGTCATGTCGCGCGTGGCCGTTGGGAATGTGGCCGAGAGGGAATGCCATGCGGAACTCAAAGAGCTTCCGCCATCTGCGCAGGGCTGGACAGCATGAACCTCTGTAACGCTAGAACCGAGGAAGCGTATGGGATGTACTGCGTACTGTGGTATGTACTAGCCGTACTAGCCCACGCGCAGTCGCGGGCTAGCAGTGCAGGCCGGCCCACCCTGTCACTGCTGGCTGCATGGGCCGCCGCCAATCCCTCTCCACCCTAGACATGCTCCCATCTAGATCCAGGGTCTCTGACGCACGAGGCAAAACTACACCTGCAGGACACTCAAAACGACAACGGGTTCTGGGGCAGTTGTTTTAGCTCCAAAAATACCTACGATTTTCCTCGGATTTTTTTTTTTGGGTTCCAATTGCTCGCGTCGATTAGTATCAGCTCCCTACAATTTAACTCGGCCTCCGTCGCCCCAAATACCTCGTCTTCTATTTTTCTCTCTCCTCCGTCTCCTTCTCTCCACATCCCCTCCCCCCTTCCCTCTCTTTCCTCTGGGCTGGTTGAGGAAGCTGTGTCTTCCCCGACATTCGTTTGTGCTTCCTTGATCTCACTACCAGCCCATCTGGTGTCGATTCGGGACAATTGATCCGTTGAGTGAGTTGAGACAATCCAAAGATCAAAAGTCTTAAATTAGTGGAATGGGAAACTGACTTTGAGCCATAGATCGAATCACCCAAGACCCAACCCAAAAAGAAAAACGAAAAACGGGTCGGATATTTCTTGGAGAGGATATCCAACACGGGCAATCGGGAAACCGGGACTATCATTGTTGGATCCGCCATGGCCTTTCCCTTTCTGCGCGCCTTTGTCGCATTGTTGTGGGTATATCCCTAAGCATCGCTAACTATTCAAAAAGAGACGCAGCTGACCAAACGTCTCTGTCTGCAGCATCTATCGCTACTTCCGCCTCGTGGTGAACCTCATCTCTTTCTGGTCATTTAAGCCGATCCCGCCACCGGAGAACCCGAAACTCACCTCGCAGGATGTCTCGGTCATTATTCCCACCCTCGAGGGCTGTGGCGAGGAATTGGTGGAGACGATCCGGTCGATTCTCGACAATCAACCCTACGAGATCCTGCTGGTCACTATCGAGGCCAACCGGAAGAAGGCCGAGCGCATGCTGAGCCTGATGCCGGCCTCCAAGTCGCGCATCCGCCTGTTCACCGTCACCCACCCCAATAAACGCCGCCAGATGACCCGCGCCATCCCCGAGGTCCGCACCGCCATCACGCTGCTCGCCGACGACGACGTGAGCTGGCCTTCGACCGTGCTCCCCTGGATCCTCGCGCCCTTCGAGAAGGACGAGCGCTACGGCGGCGTCGTGACCTGCCAGCGCCTGCGTCGTGCCGCGTCGCCCACGCTGCCCCAGCGCGTCTGGGGCTACCTGGGCGCCTTGTATCTGGAGCGACGCAATTTCGACTGTGGCGCCACCACCAACGTGGACGGAGGATTACCGTGCATGTCCGGCCGCACGGTGGCCTATCGGACCAAGATTCTCCAGAATGAGGGCTTCACCTACGGCTTTACGAATGAGGAGTGGTGGTGGGGGAAGTATCAGCTCAATGCGGACGACGACAACTTCATCACTCGCTGGATGGTCTCGCATGGCTGGGAGACCTTTATGCAGTACCACCCTGAGGCCGAGGTGCTCACCACCCTCGAAGATAATCCCCGATTCCTCAAGCAATGCGCGCGCTGGTCGCGAAGCAACTGGCGGAGCAACCTGACCAGTATGTTCCACGAGAAGCACATCTGGTAGTAAGTGCCACCCCTTCCCCCCGTCGCCTATCTCCATTTTCCTTTCCCCTGTCCCTCTGTCCCTGCACGTCGACCATCTCGTCTCGACACGGCGCGTCCAGTTCGTCCATTTGTGGGAGTGGGCCTTGGCTGGACGCAGCCGAGCAGGGATGTTGGGAAATAATCGGGAAAAAAGCACTGGCCCCCAATCCGCGTTGCCTCTAATTTTATTTTAATTTTTTTCCTTTCATGCCTTGTTTATCCCATATATCATTTTCAGCCGCAGCTAACCCCCGTTGCAGTCGCCAGCCCTGGAGCGCCTATGCGGTGCACCTGACCACCTTGTCGCCGCCGGCCTTGCTGGGAGATCTTTTGTTAGTCTGGCTCTGCCACAAGGCGACCATGCCCTGGGGCGATATTCCCCATTTGCGTGCCATGACGGCTCTGGGTCTGTGGATGTTTACGAGCAAGTGGATCAAGCTGCTGGGTCACTACATTCGGTACCCGGTTGATGTATTCCTGCTGCCGGTGTCCATCTTATTCGGTTATTTCCACGGCGCCATCAAGATGTACGCGGTGATGACACTGAATGTGGTAAGTCCTGGAATTTTATATTTTTTATTTTTATTTTTTTTAATTCCTTTGCTTGTGTTTATTTTTTTTTTTTTTTGTGTTGGTTGTTTTGGCTCTTTGCGGTCGACCCGCTGTGGTTCCAGCCGAGTGGGCTCCCTAAGCGTCGCCCCTCTTTTTACCCCCCGTATCGGCCTTCTCCCCTATGACATGCCCGCCTCACAAAACGCTTTGATCACGACTCCTCCCTCGTGCAGCGGCCTTTATCCACCATCTTTCCGTGCGAGGGCCGTATTTCTTGGTCGCCGCCCCTGATTCGCCTCTCCGCTGGCGACTTCGGGAGATGCAGTCGACATGGTGTTATTTACTTTTGCTTTTGACACTCTGGGAATTCACAGCTGACCTTCCTTCCACAGACAACATGGGGTAGCCGTGACGGCGCCGATGACTACGACGCCGAGCGTATGAAGAAGCGCACCGATGCCGATCGCAGGAAACAGCCCTACTACCCCAGCTATCTCACCAAATAATCACCTCGCCTCGTCCCCCCACCCCCCGCCGTGGAATCCGGAAACAATATCCATCACCTACCCCCCTCATGCCCTCTGGCTGCATGACGGCCTATTTGGCATGTGCTTTGCAACCACAGCTCGGGCTATTCTTCGAAGGTCCATGTCCCCGACCCTCCTTCGGAGATGGTCTCCATTCCCAAAATCCAAAAACCTCCCACCATGCACGAGCACGGTAAATGACAAGATGTGCTCCTCCGATCGTCTTTGGACTCGTTGACTTTTTATTTGGATGCTCGCTTTTACTTACGATGAAATGCCGTGACGATTCTGTTTCGACCATGTTCTGCTTTTCCATTTGGGTCATCGCCTTGTGTTTCGGTCTCGATTCTAGATGCGTCCAGCGCCTTCACCTTTTTCTTCCCACCCTGACTTGCGACCGTTTCTCACGGCTGCAGTTTTGTTTGTTGCCTCTGGTTCGCCATCCGGACAAGGACCGGGAGCATAGAAACCACCCCGGGACCTTGCTCCTCGCAGCAAACGGCAGCAGGCCTCGACGGCTTTTTGTATGGTGACTCTGCAGGCCCGAAGACACCTCGTCTCCCCTCATAACAACTTTGTGAGATCCGACAGACTCGATGGGTGGTACCAGTGTCGACCAGACTGTCCATTGGTGCCCCGGGCTTTTTCTTCTTTCTTCTTAGCTCTGCACACGATTGGTTCTCAAAAGCGAAAAAAAGCGCAAAAAGAAACAAAAACCAAAAGGGGCGACCAACTCGAAACTTGAAGCTTTTTTTTTTCCTTCTTGCTTCATTTCTCTTTGTTTCCCTCATTTTCTTCTTGTGTAAATTACAAAAGCATGGGCGGATTTCGTCGCTTTGCTGTTTCTCTTGCGTGTTGCATCTCGTGCTGTTTGGCTGGTTTGATTCCCCTGGCATTTTTTCTGGCGATAGCATTTGAAATGTTTTCTCGTGTGACGTGATTGATCTCTCGCTTTACGTTGCTTTTTCTTTTCTATATCTTTCTTCTAGATGCAATATGGGAGGCTATTTCTTGTTTCTGCATGTGATTCGTTGCAACCGCTTTTGCTGTTGATAATATCTAATCAACTGGATCTGCATAGTACAATTGGACGGTCTCCGAGTAAATCCAAATTCAGCCGTCAGAACCTTCAGCTCAGCTCGTCGACGCGCAAGGCTGGTGTCATCGTACATATGCTCCGATCATAGCGCTCATCCCTGATGCAATGCTGCAGCCGACCCCGCTGGCGGACGAACGCCATGGCTGGGCCTTGAAAGATCAGATGTAAAGTCAATACGAGGATCGGCAGCGAGAACCCGGAAAAGCAGACGTCAGAAACTTGATGCACGCTCACGCTAGTCTCGAAGCAAGGTACTCATCGCTAAGAGATGTGTGTCGAAATGTCAAATGTAAATCATGGAGGTGCACAGGGCCAACACGGGCCAGGCGATTCCGCGGTGCGCGGACGATCGGGCCGAGACTCGAAAAGTTCCGCGACTTTCACTCCGCCCTTCCCGTTTTCACGTCGTCATCCCAGGGTTTCAACATCATGCCTTTCCCCCGCGTTGCGTTACCCTCCCAGCTCGCTGCGGTCGCACGGCGCAATTCTCCGACCCTTCGTCACATTCACTCGTCCTCGTTCAGAGCGGCTGTTGCCCATCCCGTCACCGCTCATGGGCCCCCGCCGAAAGCTCCGGCGCCTGCGGCCGAATTCCAGGAGAAGTCGACCTTGAAAGATGAAAGTGCCTCGGCCCACGCTGAGAGTGCTCCCGCACAACCTGCCAAGTCTTCTGCTGCATTAAAGAAGCGCTTCTGGAAGGATGTTCATGTTCACGGCAAGCCCGGTATGTCATGGGAAGGGACGATGATCCCATTCGAGAGCTCTGGTCCTGGCATTGACCCCATTGCGCTGGAATCATCTCTGTTGTCGCTGTCATTTTATTAATCCTAGACTTTATTCTGTCTGCTACAGGGGAATATCAAGTGCTGCTGGACAAGCGCCCCGTCCGAACCCCGAATAAGGATATCCTCTCCCTCCCCCCGACAAAACCTCATCTCGCGCACGCTGTCGCCCTCGAATGGGATGTCATGACTTCCGCCCAACAGGCTCTGAAGAGCCATCTGATTCCTCTCACCTCGCTCTCCGCACGCGCGGCGGACATCGTTCGCGAAGAGGCCGAGGGTGTCAACACGACCCGCGAGCAGATCCTCACTACCGCCATGCGCTACCTAGAAACTGATACACTACTGTGCTGGGAGCCGGAGCGTGAAGCCCACCCGCTCGAGCGCAAGGAGAACGGAGAAAAGATTGAGAGTCTGCGCGAGATCCAGGTGCGTGTCGCGAAGGATATTATGAGCTTCTTGTCTACCAAGGTGTGGCCGGGACTCGAGATTGTGCCCATCTTGGACACCGAGAGTATTCTGCCGGTGGCTCAACCGCAGGCGACACAAGATAGCATCCGTACTTGGGTGTCGGAGCTGTCCGCCCACGACCTGGCGGGTCTGGAGAGAGCTATTCTGGCCTCAAAAAGTCTTCTCGTGGCGGTGCGCTTGTTGGTGGAGTGGAGCGAGAACTTCCGCCATCTCCAGCGACAGACTGTGAAGAAATTCGGCCTGGAGGAGGCGGCCGAGGCCTCGAGCCTGGAGGTGAAGTGGCAGACGGACATGTGGGGCGAGGTCGAGGACACTCACGACGTTGACAAGGAGGATCTGAAGCGCCAGTTGGGCAGTGTGGTCATCCTGGTGAGCGGCGAGTCTCGCTAGAGCTCTCAGGAACCCCTGTATCATAAGAAACGTACCATTTACACCTGTACAATGCATTAAAAATACCCATCGCGACTGCTGGTCCACCGTAAAATAAGGGAGTCGCAGTATAGAAGCGGTGTTTGCCAAGGCGGAGCGATCAGCGTCCTCGACCCTTTTCCCCAAGGGCTCCTCCCCCAATCTTCTTCTACGCTCTTCTGCTTCGTCCTTCCATGCCCCTGCAGTAGCACGGTTGGCAAAGTATGTCTGATCGACCTGAAGGGTGAGTGACCGGCTTTCTCGACCTTTCCCCCAAAGCCCCTCTGGATCCCAGGAACGAGCCACGGTTCGCGGTCGGACAGCTTGCCCTCGGCGGGACACTCGACGTCCTGAGCAAGAGAGGAACCTCCAAAGCTGCTCGCGAATCGTGACATCTGTCCCTCCAAAAAGCAAGAAACTACCAGTACCTGGGAACCGATTTTTGGGGAGTCCTAGTCGGCCAAGCCGCGAACGGCGATACTATCACATGGGACCGCCCACCACTAACAGGCCGTCTCACAGGCACAAGCGCTCACGCAGCGCCCTGGCGCTTGCCCTCCTGCACCGCGACAAGTCGAAAGGCGAAGACAGAGACAAGAAGGAAGACGGCCCAGACGACACCAGCGACCAAGCCTCCGTCGGTTCGGCCTCGTCGGGGAATGGCTTCTCCCTGAGACACACCCGCAGCACCAGCCGCCACAGTCCTGGGAAACCCTCGCTCGACCCAAGCTCGCCCCCCACGTCGGGTGCCCCTCTCAAGAACATCCCTTCCAACCACAGCAGCCAGGGTGAAAGTGGGTTGGAGAAGGTGCCCTCCGTGGCTCAGATCGAGAGCGGCAGCATGTCCCTCGATCAGTCGGTACGGACCTTCCGCTTGTTTGAGATCCTGCGGAGCGGGGATACCACGGCGATCGCGAGGGCGATTAAGGAATCGCAGGATCCGCAGACGGCCAACAGTCTCTATGGTACCACCATCCTACACCTAGCTCTGCAGTGCGCGGAGCCGCAGGTCGTGGAGTTTGTGTTGTCCTCAGGAGATGACCAGAGTATCAATGCGCAGGACCGAGAGGGTAACACGCCTCTTCATCTGGCGGCTCAGATGGGCCGGGTCTCCCTGGTCCGCGAACTGCTGAGTCGGTCTTCTGTCAACGATGCGATCGTCAACTATAGAGGCCAGACCCCGTTGGATGTAGCACGCACACCCGAGATATTCCAGCAGCTGCAGCTGGCTCGCTCACTCTTCATCGACAACAAGACGCAAGAGATTCAATCTCTGATTGCGAAAAAGGACTATGAGAACCTGGAGAAGCTGTTGGAGGAGCCTCGCGCGGAGGGCATTTTGGATGTCAACAGCCTGGAGTTGGTCACGGACCGCACCACGGCGCAGTCTGGCGGGACTCTGTTGCATGAAGGTGCTCGCAACAAGGATGCCCAGCTCATCCAGATTCTTTTAACCCACGGAGCGGACCCATTCCGTCGTGATAAGAAGGGAAAGCTCCCGCAAGATGTCACCAAAGACGACAAGACGCGGGCTCTCCTCAAGAAGTCCCCGGCGGCAGTGATTGCTCAACGCGGCATCCAGGAGAAGGCCATCCTTGGAAACAGCAATGCCCAGGGCCTAGCTGGTCGTGCCCCTATTGGTGACGCACCTCTAGCTGGCAAAGATGCCCGGGAAATGAGAGGATATCTCAAAAAGTGGACAAATTACACCAGTGGATATAAATTGCGGTGGTTCGTTCTAGAGGACGGCGTTCTGAGCTACTATAAGCACCAAGGTAAATTGCTTCGACCCGTTTTTTGTTTGATTCTCGAGCTAAGTGATCTTTACAGATGACGCTGGCTCTGCTTGCCGCGGTGCTATTAACATGAAGATTGCTCGGCTCAACATGGACGCCCAGGATAAGACTCGGTTTGAAATCCACGGCAAGTCTTCTGTCAAATATCATTTGAAGGCAAATCATGTGGTTGAGGCAAAGCGCTGGTTCTGGTCTTTGAACAATGCCATTCAATGGGCCAAGGATGAAGCCAAGGAGGAAGAGCGGCAACGGAACCAAAATGCCGAGGCTCTTCGCCAGGCCAAGATGGACCAGAGTGAAGGACGCTCGGTTGGAACTCCCTCCGAGTCCGGCCTGAGTCACAGGCCCAGCACTAAGGGCCTGGCTCCTCCGTCATCATCCCTAGAAGTGCCGGGCAACAGCTCCACTCGACTGAGTACACATGCTTCACGCACCACGCTTGAAACGACACCCGAGGATGAGGTTAGCTCGGCTTATGGTTCGCTGGACCAGAGCACCGCCCCGAATGATGTGAACAGAGTGATCAGCCACATCACAACCGCTCCTGATGCAGAAGGAGATGATGAAGAATACTATGACTATGCTTCTAGCCACGAAGCGCCTGCGGAGGACAAGGATGCTCTCAACATCACTGCGCAGTCGGCTAAGCTTCAACTGGATCTCCTTGCCAGTGTGGCTGCTTCACTGCAGGCTGAGCGAACGAAGAATCCTGAAATGTCTATCGGTGATCCTGCCGTCGACCAGGCTCTTGGTGCCTATGAAGGTGCCGTGAGTAGCCTGAAGGGCCTTGTGCAGAACCTCCTCAAGATCTCGCGGGATCGTGACTCCTACTGGCAATATCGGTTGAGCCGGGAGGAGCACTTGCGCCAGATGTGGGAAGAGAGCATGGCACGTGTTGCTCAGGAGCATGAAGAGCTACAATCTAAGATGGGCGAGTCCGAAGAGAAGCGCAAACGGACTAAGCGAGCTTTGAAGGAGGCCTTGGAGAACGCAACAGCAGCTAGCCGCTCGATCAGCGGCCCACCTTCTCGTGCAGTTGCGGATGGTCAAGAATCTTTGAAGCAGAGTCAGCCTGAGATCCGGGCCCCCGAAGTCGTATCGGAGGCAGAGGAACCAACCCAACCCCTCGCCGAGACTGCAATCTCCCGCAAGCCCTCTGTGGCGAGCTGCCTTTACGACTCTGAGTCGGATAGCGATGAATTCTTTGATGCTATTGATGCTGGAGAAATTGAAGTTGAGGATATGACTCACGCTGAGCCTGAAGAGACTGAGAAGCCTCAGGATGAGAGCACCCAGGCTCGAACCGATAAGGCCTCGATGATTTCGCCGTCTTTCAAGGGTTATGAAGATCCTGTCCGTGAGAGACTCAAGATGGATAATGACAACCGCCCCAAGATATCTCTCTGGGTAAGTATCCCTACTGTTCTTGTGACTTTACTCTACGTGCAATTACTAATGCTCGTCTAGGGTATCTTGAAATCCATGATTGGCAAGGACATGACGAAGATGACTCTGCCTGTGTCGTTTAACGAGCCCACTTCTCTACTTCAGCGTGTCGCCGAGGATTTAGAATACACTGACCTTCTTGACATCGCTGCTGATAGGACAGACTCGATGGAACGTTTGGTCTACGTGGCGTCGTATGCTGCTAGTGAATATGCTTCGACCATCGGACGTGTGGCGAAGCCTTTCAACCCGCTTCTTGGTGAGACCTTCGAATACGTTCGGCCTGACAAGGGCTATCGATTCTTCGTCGAACAAGTCAGCCATCATCCTCCGATCGGTGCTGCGTGGGCCGAATCGCCCAAGTGGGATTACTGGGTAAGCATATCTCTTTCACACATTGCCACATGGTTGGAAGTACATTGGCACTAACACCACATGCGCAGGGCGAGTCTTCTCTCAAGTCCAAGTTCTACGGTAAATCCTTCGACATCAACCTTTTGGGCACATGGTTCCTCAAGTTGCGACCGGTTACTGGGGGGAGGAACTGTATACTTGGAAGAAGGTCACCTCCTCTGTCATTGGAATTATCACTGGTAACCCCACCGTCGATAACTATGGTCTGATGGAAATCAAGAACTGGACTACCGGCGAGGTCTGCTATCTTGACTTCAAGCCTCGTGGATGGAAGGCCTCCTCTGCCTACCAGGTCGCCGGTAAGGTTGTTGACAAAGACGGCTCTCCCAAGTGGAGCATTGGTGGCCATTGGAACGACAAGATCTATGCCCGACACACCCCCGGCTTTGAAGCCGCCGTCTCCGGCCAGGATCCTGAGTCGGCCAAAACACTCCTGGTGTGGCAGGCTCATGCTCGTCCCACCGGTGTGCCCTTCAATTTGACTCCATTCGTCATCACTCTCAATTCTCTGCCCGATGGTCTCAAGGCTTGGCTGCCTCCCACTGACACCCGGTTACGTCCGGATCAACGGGCCATGGAGGATGGCGAGTATGGCTTGGCTGCCGATGAGAAGCACCGCGTTGAGGAGAAGCAGCGTGCCAAACGGAGGGAACGAGAGGTCAACGGCGACACTTACTCGCCACAATGGTTCACTCGCGACAGATGTCCCATCACTGGAGAGGAATTCTGGGCTCACAACGGCAAATACTGGGCTAGCAGAGATGTGCAGGATTGGAGTCGCTCTGAGGACATCTTCTAATCCGATTGACCTGTTCCAGGCTACCCACTTTTCTTCTTTTTTGGGGTCCGGATAGGTTCTTCTGCTTATTTTGACGTTATTGTTTCGCTTAGACCTTCGCTATGTATAAGACCCTTGGCAGTGTTCATGCATACACTACGAAACACGAGCTATTGTCAATATCAACTGTTTTACTAGTTCAAATCGAGAAGTACTTTTCTTTCAAATGCACATTCATACAAGCATCTCTCATTGTAAATATTGAGATAAAATAAAGACAACAAGTAGTCATCACGTTAAAGAGTACCACGCTTGTAAGCCTCAGGTAGGCTACCTTATGCGTGGGTCGAGACGGCATGATGGTACTGTAGGGTATCGTGGATATTCTCTATGTATCGGAACATATTTAAAATGTCCATTACTGCTCACTTATAAGATAGAAAGAAAAGGAGATTCCAAATATCTCCCTCGGGTCTCACTGCTCGATGCGCTATGCCTACAGTTATAGTGACCGACAAAGAAATCAGTGATGAAGACTCGTCCGTAGTTCTGTGCGGTAGACTGCAATAAACAATCTACGTCGAATCGAACCACCCCATTCCGCTTCTCCACACTAGTCACGTGCAGCCGACCTTCCTGGAAAAACGTCGCGAATCAACCACTCCCTCAATCCACCCCATCACCACCAATACGCAATGGCAGTAGGCTACACCTGCGCTCAGTGCCTTACGGTACTCCGCCAGGGTGCACGGGTATCCGGATCCCCGGCACGCCTGCAAAGTCTCGCCCCCATCCGCCGGAGATGCGCCGTCTCCCCATCCTGGACTCGCAGCTTTGGCTCCGAGCGCAACAACCGGTCTCTCGGCGGAAATGGACCTGCGTCTGAGCAATCCAAGGCAAAGACCGTCAGTGGTGGCTGCTCCACATCGTGCTCGCACTCGACTCCGTCTTTCGCGCAGAAAGCTTCCGCATCGACCTCTACCGGTCCCTCCGTCGATACGCGACCAATCCTGAAACCTGATAACCTGTTCCACTCCTTTTCGAACTCGCCCTCATATGCTATCCGTCAGCGTGCGAACTTTATCAAGCAGAACGCCTTCTGCCCTCATCCGAGTCACCAGCAAACCCGAGCCCCAGTCTCTCCTCATGATCCTGAAACCCGCAAAACTGCCGACGCCAGCAAGGCCAGTCTCCCGCCTGCCCATTCGCATTTCGAGTGCCCGGACTGCGGTATTCCGATCTACTGCTCGGAGGAACACTGGATGGATGATTTCGAGGCTCATCTTGAGATCTGTGAGACTCTGCGCCAGATCAATGAGGATGATCATGATCTGCAGTCTGGCCGCTTTTTCCCAGAGTTCAATTATCCCGGTGTCCAGGACGATAACTTTGTGGTCAACATGACCAATTGGGATACCTTGATGTATACTCGCGAATTCGACGCCATCAACGACGATCGCTCCATGCGTCAGGTTACCCGTATGCTTACCTACCCGCAAACCATCGCAAGTGTTTTGCATGAGTTGAGCCCCTACAGCGTTCGGGGCAAGAATCGGTTGACAGCTGAGGGTTTGAAGAGTTTGGCTGGTATGTAACTTCACGTCCTTCGGGACTGATCCATTTTGGTCTCACCGCTGAGTCTGAATTTGCTAACATCTCCGTTTTTCAGCCCTGAGATACTCCCTTCACCCACCGCGAACAGGTGAGGATATCGACCTGAAGGGTCTCCGTTTGAAGGCTCCCCCTGTTCGAATCTTCATTCTCGGTGCCCGCGCTGAATCCTCGCTCCCTCGCGACGTCTGGCTGCAACTGCAGTACATGTTCCCTCGTTCCCTGCTACACCTGGTCTTTATCGGACCGGAGAGCATGTCGAACCGCGACGCTGAGTTCCCTTTGCCCGAGCGTACCCCCGGCAATCCATTTGGCGGTATCGTGGAAGACCGTCTCGGTGGTCAAATGAAGATTACCACTTATGTCGACTATTTCCACACCATGTACAAGGCTCAGTATTTCCAGCCCTTCGACCCTTATCTTGACATGTTCATGCTATTCCACCCTGGCCTCGGCCACCCGGCCAGTTCGCACGAGTGGGAGGAGACGCTTCCCCAGCTGCTGGAGACTAAGGTGCCTATCCTTTGCACTGGCTATACGCAGTGGGATATGGAGCGGGATATTAAGTGGGTGCATGAGAAGTGTGCGGGCGAATTTGATCTGCTTCTTGAGCCTGGTGAGAATATCTTCCGCAGCTTGAGGTGGGATCTGAATGATATGGATCCGCATGATATCTCCTGTGGTAACTGGGGATTGTGGGGTTTCCGTGGAAAGAGGTATGCTCTTTATCTTCCCTATTGCCATGATACATTAGCTGACTGACTCCGTACAGGTATGAGGCGACTATGAAAGACTAAGCTACAAGACGCGCTGGTCGGTGATAGTGAGAAAGTATAAGCCTTTTTTTTGTGTATGATATTTTAGGGTCCGGCTTATGTTGGGATCGCCTGTAGGAAGTACTAGTAGATAGTTTTTTTGATCTTTCTTGCCAGAGCTCTCCCCTCGATGTTGTCTTCAGCATCCAATGAACTTTCGAGATGTGGTTCTCCACACCGTTACAGGATTTGTGCCCTCGTATAGCCTTGTACAGCTTCGTATAACGCACTGGGAAGGTGATCTTCAGATCAGTGGAGAATCTGCTCGACGCGCTATAGCTTAAAGTACCCAATTTGAGTCCGCCAGTGTTTCGATATCCCTCCTTTTCACCAGCTGTATATCATTATTACTTGGTATTGCACTACTGATACATACAAGAGACAGAGAGGAGAAGAGGAGTTATCCAAGACCAACAATGCTGCACGCATCTCCATCAGGAAAAAGAGGTTCGAGTTGAATTCCATCAATTGATATAAAAGGTTTAAAAACAAAAGAGTTCTTGGATGACATGAAAAAGGGTTTGGAGAATAGAAGAAAAGGGTATTGGCATCAAGAGAATCGGAGAACACATCAACAAATCCGTGATCATCGAAAAAAAAAAGGTGTATCGAAGAATATGTATGGGAGAAAGAGAATCATGGGGACCACTGGAAGAAGAGAAATTGCCAGAATAAAATGGGTCACCCAAAAAAGAAGAAAAACATGGAAGAAATGAAAGTTCGGTTGTCGTCTTCGTAGACGGTCGGCTTTCGACAGCACCCCGACTAACAAGGATCCTCAAGACCCAGTCGCAATGCGCATTGGCGAATCTGCGCTCCTATTCGGTCATATATATTGGGCGTGGTTGTGGTTTAAACCACCAGGAGACCGGCAACAGCCAGAGCACCAGCGGCCATGGCGCCAGGAAGCTGGAGCGACGCGGCGCCGCTGGACGGGTTCGAGCTCGCGGCGGGAGCAGCACCGGTAGTCTGAGTGTTGGGCTTGACGGCGGCCACGGTGGTGGCCTTGACCAGAGGAGTGGATGAGATGGGAGTGCGGGTGAACGAGGCGCTCGACGACAGAGGAGTGCTGGTGCGCATGGGGGTCGAGCTCGGAGTCGAAGTCGGCGTCGGGGTGGTTGTCGGGGGCGTGTAGCCCGACGGCACCAGAGTCAGAGTCTGGGTCACGGCAGCGGGTGAGGCAGCCTCAGCGGCAAATGCGACGGGGGCCAGGGCCGACGCGAGCAGGATGAGAGTCTTGGTGAAGTACATTGTTGTGGTGCTGTGATTGTTGGTTGTGTGGATGTGGATATCCGGTTTGTTTATGATAGATTGGAAGACTGTGAGATTGAAAGAGTGAATGGAGCTGGTTTAAATGAATGCGACAGCCCGTGTCCGGGAAGATGAAACGAATGGCACTGCTTCGAAAAGACAGGAGGAGTTGGTGGGGGAAACAGAGGGTCGCAGGGGAGCGAGGGAAATGAGTATTCATTTAGGGGCTGCCCGAACAGGACTAGCGCCAACGTAACCGCGCGACGGCCGGAATGCAGCTCGTGCTCCAACACGATAGGCCAGTCTATACTACAAATGGTGTATACCTACTAGGAGTACATCATATAGGATGGGAATTTATACAGGTGGTATTAATAGCTCAAAGTATCTATCGTATCACTACTGCAGTACAATAGTCGTAATGGCCGTCATGGGGTATCAAGAAGAGATCCAGTCGTCTCGGGTCATCAAATCTTGAAGTAGCCGAGACCACCATCAAGAAAGAAAAGATCAGAATTGCAAGGCAAAAGCAGGAAAGCGAGCACGGAAAACAGCAAACAAAAGCCATCAGGCTCCGGCAGTTTTTTAGAACATCCACACGGTGGCGCCGACTACGGCAAAGACCACCCAGTATCCACTCGCGTGCATCAGGGTCACCACCGAAAGGGAGGCGCCAGATTCGGACCCGTCATCGGCGGTCGTGCCGTTGGCCAGCGTCCCGTTGATATACAGCTTCTCGGTGCCGTTCACGTTGACAACGCGAGCGTTGGAGGTGTTTCGAGGCTCCGTGTCATTGAAGAGCGATTCATAGTAAGTGCTGTTGTTGTTGTCGTCGCATCCGCACTCCTGGTACTCCTGGCACAGACAGACCACCGGTAACGACTCGTTGTGGTTGTTGGTGTGGTTGACATAGTGATAAGGGTGGGTATACGGATACGCGTAGGCACCGTACAGCCACAAGCCCGGGAAAAACGCTAGCGCGGCAACGGGCAAGAGGAATGGAGTGATGCCCAGGGGCGAGCTCCGTCCTGCCGTATAGGGAGTGCGCGCACCACCGGCGTAGTACCTGTCGAGGCCCGGGGGCCGATAAATTAGCTCCTTTGTTCTTGTGTTCGACTTGGTGGTGGATGTGAATGAGAAGCTGGACCCGGGGCTTTGCGCCGCCAACGGCCAGGATGAGTTGGGAGAGTACCCAGAATAACAAGAAGGAGAGTTGCCATAGGAAGACCGAGAAGATCCCGAAGATCCCCAGGTCCCATGATATCCAGAGTTTCAGAATACCCCGGGGACCACGAGGATCCACGATTTCCCGCGGAAGATGCGCCAGGACCGGAATTAGGAGAACCATACCTGCCGCCGCCATACGATGGGGACACGCCGCTGCCGCCGCTGGAAGAGCCACCTCGGTTGGAGGATGAGCTGGAACTGCCACTGCTTCCGCCGCGACTGGAGCCAGAGCTGCTGGACGATGACCGGCCGCCGCCGCTACCTCCACTGCTCCCTCCGCCGCGACCTCCGCCGCCGCCGCCGCGTCGCTTTTCGAGGTCGACATATTCATGGTCAGCGGGGAGTGCCTCGCGCACAACGAGGTCGGATCGAGGGATGGACAGTGATGTCACTCCAGAGGAGCAGGCCAGGAGAGCGGTGGCTACCGTCGCTGCCCACGAGAGCTTCATGGTGTATTTCAACAACAAGTCAATGTTCAATGATAGACAAAACGCGAATTCGATCCAAAGAGCCCGTGATCAAAAGAACAATGCAAAGACTGGCTAGGTGCAGATGGGAGAAACAGCAAGTTTTAAATTTCGGGCGGAAGTAAAAAGGTACACAGCCCCGAGCCCGAAAACGGCAAGAGAGGCCCTGGCGATCGCTGAGCGAATACGACGGCGACCCGTGGGTCCAACAGCGAGGGTGGCTAGGCCTAGTCGAGTTATTGGTGATTATCATCATATACCAGGAGCACATATAGTGATTGTAATAGTCGCCCGTCGTATTCTCGAGTTAGTGGCCACCAGGATGATTTCATGCGCGGATCTTGTCTTGAAACAACTTGGCCGGTGTGCGGTGGCAAGCGCTTGGCTCCGAATAATGAAGGAATTGTGTCATCGCTAGTATGGTACATAGTACCACAAGTACTGCACAGTCGTCGCTTAGCCACTGGGTCGCGTTGGCTATGTCCGCGCCAACCTGCAGGGCGCCTCGCACAGCCTCATAGTGAGCTTATTCTCGGGTATTCCTTTACGAGGGCCCTGTATAAACCCTCTGGGGCGCAACGAAGTGGGCTGTGGGATAGCTGTACAGCCCAGGAGTTACCTTCTCACCGGTAGAAACGAAATCTGAAGTGGACCACTGAGAAGTTCGGGGGTGTGTGATTGTATCATCATCACTCTCCGGATTCTATAGTCCGTCCATTATATTATTACCAACACAAACAGTGGGCGCCGAATAAACGAATGTCGCCCTAATTCAGCCTCAACTACAGAATTCATTCTATTACTTAGGTTTGATTCGTATTTAATATTCAGCATTCGAAAAGACACCAAGGAAAAAAAAAATCAAAATCAAAATCAAAGAAAGGAGGAAAAAGAAAAGTGAAAAAGCCCAATTAGGCCAACTAGTCGTCACTAGCGGTGCGCGCACATGGGGAGCTCGGCTTCTCTGCGGCGCATCTCTTCACCCACCTTTCATCCACTTCTGCTTCACCACAGCGCCATGGTGCGCCCGAGGGGTCTGTCTGCCTCGTCCGAGGTTTCCTCTGTGCCCGACCAAGACCAGGTATGTCTGCCCTGCCCAGCCTAGTCTGCCCCTCCCGCTCAGGCGCGGATCGCTGATCATTCAGGAACTGGGAAGCATGTACGATTACCTCGCCAAGGTCATCCTGTTGGGCCCCAGTGGCGCAGGCAAGTAAGTCGCACAGCTCGTGCCATTCGACGCGAATTCTCCGAAGCTAATCGGCGTGGAACAGATCCTGTGTGCTACATCGGTTCGTCAAAAATGAATGTACGCATGCCGTCCCTCAAGGTCCTCCCCATGAGGATCCCTCGCTAACCCCCTCGTCACGCCGGTTCACAGGGCGCATCCTCTCCTCACAAACCATCGGCGTCGAATTCGCTTCTCGGATTGTCAAGCTCGGCTCCGGCTCTCGACGACGACGCATAAAGCTGCAGCTGTGGGATACAGCGGGCACAGAACGGTTCCGCTCTGTCTCCAGGTCTTATTATCGCGGCGCCGCCGGTGCCATCCTCGTCTACGATGTCTCCTCCTACGCTTCCTTCGCTGCCCTCCCAACGTTCCTCATGGATGCTCGGGCCCTCGCCTCCCCGAACTTGACCGTCTTGCTGGCTGGGAACAAGGCTGATCTCGCCGATGCCACGGCCACCTCAGACCCCGATGATATGGCTCGTCCGCCCCCGACCCCGTCCAGTACGTCGAGTAAACAGTCGTCAATACCATATGACGTCGGGGGCTCCATTCGATCAACCAGTCAACTGCATACTGGGACGAGGCTGACGGCGACATTTGCGGAGGGGGAGAGGTGAGCCCAGAAGATACGTCGCGCTGGGCTGCGCAGTCAAACATTCCCGTCGCAGTCGAGGTCTCAGCTTTGACCGGTGAGGGCGTTGACGAGATCTTCCAGCGGCTGGCGCGTATAATATTGACCAAGATCGAGCTGGGAGAGATTGATCCTGATGACCCCCAGAGTGGAATTCAATATGGGGATGGCGGTATGTATGGGCATGGGACAAGTGATGCATCCAGCATTCGCAGTCGCGCCACGTTGGATGATAACTCTTTGCCGCTCCATCGGACTTCACGCCGGCGAGGGAGGGGTCCCTCGCAGAGCCAGGGTTGGAGAGGTGGCATGAGGGAATGGGAGGATGTATTCCGTCTGGGTTCCTCGTCCCGGAGAAATCAAGGTTGTTGCTAGACAACTTCCCTTTTCTCCGTTATTTTGGCTACAGATTCCCCATGCGCCAATTTTTCTTTTCTTTTCTTTTTTCTCTTCTGGCTGCGTGCATTACTGTTTTGGCTTTTCTATGGCTTCGGCTTGTCTTTCGTTGAATCTCCCTGCACGATACCCCTTCTGACCTTCATTCATCAATTGTTTTGCAGATGCTCTCCATATCGCCCAGCGGATGGGCTTTATTTTTTTTATTTTTATTTTTATTTTTTCTGAACTAGGGAGTCGAGTTGCATGACTCTCATATTAAAACTTTATATTTCTCTCGCTCTATATCAATCGAAGGACACGGCTCCCAGACCAGCTTTTCCGGGCTCCGCTATGTTTTTCTCGCTCAAAAACTCGTGGAAACACCGGCCAAATATATCATCATTTTCGACATTAAAGGGGGAAAAGAGGACGGACAACACGCTCTGCTTTTGCTTTACTCGGCAACACCCGCAATGAGGGTCTTGATGCCCTTGCCAGCCTTGACGTCCTTGAAAGCCTGCTCGGCATCCTCGAACTTGACAGTGCCCGTGATCAACTTCTTGACGTCGACCTTACCGGACGCAACCAGACCGACTGCGAGCTTGTAGTCACCGCTGCCGTAGCGGAAGCTACCCTTCAGAGTCAACTCCTTGGAGCAGGCGGCCATGATAGGGAATTGTATCTCGCTACGGCCCATGCCGCCCTGAACGTAAGTGCCACCGTTGCGGAGGACGTGGATACCAGTGTGGACGGAGGGCTCAGCGCCAGAGGCATCAATGGCGACATCAGCACCAGTGCCCAGGTTGTTCTCTTGCTTCAGACGCTCAGCGTTCTCTACCGCGGGCGACTTGCTGGGCATGAAAGTGGCAGTGGTAGCATACTGCTTAGCAAAGTCCAGACGCGGCTGCTGGATATCGACAGCGATGACCTGCGAAGCTCCGAATGCTGTGGCGACAGCGCAGCAAAGAAGGCCAACGGGTCCAGCACCGAAGACGACGACGGTCTGTCCGGGGCTGACTGAAGCCTGTCGCACAATGTGAACAGCCACACTGAGCGGCTCCATCAAAGCACCCTCTTGCAGCGAGAGGTTCGTGGGCAGCTTGTAGCAAAAATCCTCCGGAAGCACATAGTACTTGGCCAAGGTGCCATCATATGGCGGGGTCGCAGCGAATGCCATGTTCTCGCATAGGTTGTACTTGCCGCTCTTGCAGGGCTCGCATCGTCGGCATGCGATACCAGGCTCCATGGCGACGTGGTCACCTACCTTGAGGGAAGTGACGGCGGATCCGACCTTACTGATGACGCCGGCAGACTCGTGGCCCAGAACCATGGGGTCCTTAACGACGAAGTTGCCGATGGCGCCATGCTCCCAGTAGTGAACCTGTCGACGTTGTCCTAGCGGTCAGCTCAACTCTCCCCGTTTCTCGATTCGGCGCGACAGGCCGCGGATCGGGTGCACATACATCACTGCCACAGATACCGGTGTAGCGGACGTTGATGATGACGTCGTGGGGGTTCTTCAGCTCGGGCAGCGGGCGGTCCTCATAGGAGACCTGGTGAATGCCCTGTAGGACAAAGGACAAGTTCTGTAGAACATCAGCTAGCTGTTTTGTCTTGAGAGTCCGGGGAAGAGGTGGGGAGCGGGGCATCGCGAGTCGCCCTAGGCCTGCTCTCTCACTCTTTCGCGCTTGCTCGAAGACCATACCTGGGCAGTGGCAGTCGAAGCCATTATGGATGTTTGTGATAGAGAATGAGGAAAAGACGCTGAGTGTGACCGCGGGGCGATATATAAACCGGCAAAATGTGTGAATTGAGCCGAGCTGACCTCCCCGCCGTCGGGCGACTTGCCCCCAGTGAGCCCAATTGGGATTTTAACCGCGGGGGCTCTTTACCCGATCGTCCTTTTTTGCCTGCACGTCACCGCGCCACTCACAATCGGCCGAGTGGGTTCAGGTGGGTAAATAAGACGGTGTGTCCAGGCCAGGAGCACGGTGTCAGTGGTGCCGAGGAGATTGAAAGTGGATTCTTGAAGAACGACGCTGGCTGGGATTGCCAGATGAATATACCAGGCGAGACCAGACATGAGATCATAGTTCGCGCCAGCCGAACTGCAGATTCGGCCCAAATAGACCGCGATCAATCATATCAACGGTTCCAATTGGAAATTTCGGACCCTATTCTAAAGAGACAAAAGAAGATTGACCGAAAACAAACAAGAGAGGTGGTAAGAAGACGGAACTGGCGCTATATACAATTCCTCTTAATTGATCCATCTTATATCCAAGAAGAGACAAAAACCGCGTGGCTGCACCAACACTCCAAATCGATTGCGCAATAGACCACCGTGATCAAATGAGCCTATTCTGCAGAGCTACTAACATGCTATCAGTGTAGTCAGGGACAAGCTATCTACGTACAATTGTTCAACCACGCTCATATCGCGCGTCAAGCACGCAAAGCCCGTGCTCCGCCAAGCCCCGGCGAGCTTCCCGCAACTTCCCCTCTGCATCTCCACGATTGTCCTCCACCACCATGGCTCGCTCCAACATGGCCCTCCGAGGCGCATTACAGAGCCTGCGGGCTCGTCCCGTCGGCATCCCGCAACAGAGACTCTTCGGCGCATCGGCCCGTTGTGCGGCGAATGACAAGCAATCGCAGCAGCAATCCTTCAAGAGCCAGCTCTACGAGAGCACCCAGCAACGGCTCAAACGCGAGCGAGCCGAGCAGGAGCGTTTTGCCCAGTACCAGACCCAGTCGCCGGGCGGTCGCTATGCTGCCATGATGTTTGGTATGTGAAAAATCCCAAGACGCTGACCCGGTCTTGAAGTCCGGGTCAGCTTGTCGCTAACGCTAACGCTAACCTTATGCTCGCATGAACAGCTTTGGTCTTCTTCTCTACCGGCGCATACTACCTTGGCTCCTTGAAGCCTGCAGCCCTTCCAACGTCGTCGACAACGACACTCGCCGACCTCGATGCGCCCAAGCATAATGTCTCCCCGTCCAATCTGCAAGCCGCCTGGTCGGATTTCGTCGAGATCCTCGGCAAAGAGAACGTCTCGACCGCGCCCGGCGATTTGGATTCACACGCTGGATCGGACTGGTCGTCCTACTCCCATAAGGCGGATGAGAAGCCCTTCTTGATTCTCTATCCCTCAACCACGGAGGAGGTCTCCAAGATCATGAAAATCTGCCACCAGCGAGTCATCCCCGTTACGCCCTACTCCGGTGGAACCAGTCTGGAGGGTCACTTTGCTACCACACGAGGTGGCGTCTGTATCGACTTCCGTCGCATGGATCGTATCTTGGAATTGCACAAGCGCGATCTGGATGTTACCGTCCAGCCGGCTTTGGGATGGGAGGACCTGAACGAGGAATTGGCGAAAGACGGTCTCTTCTTCCCCCGGACCCCGGCCCCGGTGCCATGATCGGTGGCATGGTGGGTACTGGCTGCTCGGGTACGAATGCCTACCGATACGGCACCATGCGTGAGTGGGTTCTGTCATTGACGGTCGTCCTTGCCGATGGGACGGTTATCAAGACTCGGCAACGTCCACGCAAGTCTAGTGCGGGCTACGATCTGACCAGACTCTTCATCGGTAGCGAGGGCACCCTGGGTCTCGTGACGGAGGCAACACTGAAGTTGACCGTCAAGCCCAAGAGCCAGAACGTGGCTGTCGCGAGCTTCCCAAGTATCCATAACGCTGCTGAGTGCGTCACTCATGTCGTTGAGGCAGGTATACCCGTGGCCGGTGTCGAGATATTGGATGATGTCCAGATGAAGTGTATCAATGCGAGTCAAAGCACTAGTCGCCAGTGGAAGGAGTCGCCGACTATCTTTTTCAAATTCACCGGAACCCCGGCGGCAGTGAAGGAACAAATCAGCATGGTGCAAAAGATTGTGTCGAATGCATCGGGCAAATCCTTCGAGTTCGCCCGTGGTGAGGAAGAGATGCAGGAGCTCTGGAGTGCTCGTAAGCAGGCTCTTTGGAGTGTCATGGCCATGCGACGCGGCCCCGAAGATCATGTCTGGACAACCGATGTGGCGGTGCCGATGAGCAGGTTGCCAGACATTATTGAGGCAACCAAGGCGGACATGACCAAGAGCGGTCTATTGGCTGGTATCTGTGGACATGTTGGTGATGGCAACTTCCATGGTGAGTATTTCCCCTCTATGATTTGGTAGCTAGCCAGCATGAACTCCCTTCAAATGCTGACTGAAATAGCCATCATCCTGTTTAATGATGGCGAGAAAAAGATCGCCGAGGGCGTCGTTCACCGCATGGTGAAGCGCGCAGTGGAAATGGAGGGCACCGTCACTGGCGAACATGGTGTTGGTCTGGTCAAGCGGGATTATCTCCCCCACGAGCTGGGAGAAACTACAGTGGATGCTATGCGCCGCGTAAGTCTCTTGAAACAAAAGACAGTGATCTTTTACACTGATCTACCGAAATGACAACTAACACATCGACTCCAGTTGAAATTGGCTTATGATCCTCTCCGTCTGCTCAACTGCGACAAGGTTGTTCGAATCGAGCAACCCGCACCTAGTGAAGTCAAGGAATGGTAATTGGCCCATCTATCTGCAAATAGTCAAAGGGCATCTAATCCGAATCCGAGCCCGAGCCACGGCGGCGATGGTGGTGATGATGACGCTGGTGACGGTGACGAGAGCCGCTGCGGCTGCGAGAGCCAGAGCGACTGGAACCTCTAGGTCGACGCTCCACGTACTCAACACCACCGCCGTCGAATCGCTGGCCGTAGCTTGTCTGCTGTGGCATAGGTGAAGGTCTTTCGAGCTCACTGTAGCCACTGCGCTGTCCGCCATAACCGGACGAGTACTCCCTGTATCAAACCATTACATTAGCATCGTACTTGCCAATACAAAAGATATGCACATTACTTACTGCTCAAATCCACCACTTCCGTAAGAGCTCTGCTGCATGGTCTCATAGGTCGTTCTCGGTGGCGATGCGTAGTCGTAGTGTGTCTCCGTTCGTTCATACTCGCTGCGACCACCACCATACGTCTCACGTCTCTCTTCCTGATAGAAGCCACCGCCGCCGCTGGACGACTGGTACTGCTGGTACTCCTCGCGGTGGTAACCCGGGGCCGGGGGTCGAGGAGCATAGTCATCGCGGCGCACAGATGGCTCACCGTAACCGCCACCGTAGGAAGGAGTCGCGCTTTGATACCCAAAGCCCTCTGGGCGGCGAGGAGGATAGTCATCGCGAGGTGTTGGCCGTTCACCGTAAGATGGAGTCTCGCTTTGATAACCGTAGGCTTCCTGGCGACGGGGCGGCGCGCCGCCGTATGTCTGGGGTTCGTGGTGTTTAGGGCGCTCAGAGTGTTGGCGATGCTGGGCCTGCTGGCGCTGGTGACGCTCGCGGTCACTATCATCCGAATCATCTTTGCGAGGCTTGTGCGGATGGCGACGTTCATGCTTGTCATCGTCACTATCGTCCCTGCGAGGCTTGTGCTGATGGCGATGTTCATGCTTGTCATCGTCACTATCGTCCCTGCGCGGCTTGGTGCTCGGGCGACTATGATCCTGACGCGGCTTAGGGCTCTTTCGATCATTCGAGTCCTCATCACCGAGAACCATAGAGCCCACACCACCGACGAGACCGCCAACAAGGCCACCAAGAGCACCACCGCCCACAGCCTGAGATGCAATCTTCTCTAGGCCCGAATCGTTCTTGGACTGGTGACTTTGACCATGGCCTCCACCGTGGCCTCCTCCATAGCTTCCTCCGTGGCTTCCTCCACCCGACTGTTTCTTTCCATGAGGCAGAGCGAGCGGCTTGCCGCAGCCATGTCCGCAGTCTTGGACGCCTTCCTTGTGGTTTCGACCCTTGAGAACACCATCCCGGCTCAATTGATCACGAAGAGAGTCACGCTCCCTGTCACTCTTCTCGCCCCACCACTGCTCCACTGTGGAGAACATAATCTGACGAATCTCGCCCGCGCCATCATCTCCATATTCACGGAGGGCCGGGTGGTGAAAGACGCCGGAAATGATGCGGGTCAAAGTTCGATCGATATCGGCATTCTCGTCATCCCAGCACTGCATCAGTTGGGGTACTGACCATTTGACCACGCTGGACGCAATTCGACCGGCGGGCTCGTTGAGAATGTTGGAGAAGTGATCCTTGGAGAGCATGGAGTGAGTAGGGTTGGAACAAGAGTCGTCATTGAAGACAATGTGCTGCTGCTCTCGACTGCTCTGGATGACTTCGGACGAACCAGTCTCCAGCTCGGCCTTGACCTGCTTGATGATCGGGAGCACGTAAGGAGCCAGGATGGAGAAAACAAAGACGGTGATTTGATCCTGGACTTGTTCAATGAGATCGGGGAGCACGGGGATCTTCTCAATTGCTTCGTTGATGGTCTTCAGCAGCTGATCGTGCCACTCGAGAACAGGATAGATCTGTTTCTGGACATCGTTGAGGTAGCGGGTCCACTCCTCGGGCTTGCGAGGGCTGATGTTCTGGTTGTTCTGCCGGGCGTCATCCGCTTTGGACTTGAAATCGTCCATTTGGCCCGCTTGGGCATCGGTGTCACCAATCAAACCACTGGGAATCTTGCTGAGAAGGTCCTGCAGGAGACTTGGGCTGTCGCCCTCCGACTCGGAGATGACACCCTCGAGCGATTGGATTTCCGACTGCATGGTCTTATCGGACAGTTCACCGAGCACGGAATGGAAGAAATCGACACCACCAAAAGTACCGGTCACAATGGGATACACAGACTGGCGAGCGCCACGTACTTGAACCTTTGTGTTACGGCCAACGTGCGGGAAGATATCCCGTTCACCGAGCTCCAGCAGACTCAACTCAGTATAGTTCGAATGCGCTGCGTAATCCTCAAGACAATGTAGACCCGTACCCAGTAGGCGGAGAGCTTCATAGAGATCATCATCATTTCGCGAGCGGGAATAGCGGCGGCCCATCTGGATCGAGCGACCGAGTACACGACGAATCAGAGCAGCCGAGGTATCAATGCCCTGGTCCTCGGAGGCGATATAGCTCTTCAAACCGGTACGGGGGTCAATGGAAAGCTCCCGCTCGTCATCTACGGGACCTCGAAGACGGCGGTCATAGCGCCGAGCATCGTCACCCTCTGCATATCCCTGGGGGTTGTCAATATGTTCCGTGGGTTGGTAGCAGCCCAGTCGCTCGGTGGTGACCTCAAACTCGCGGGTGCCGTAACTAGATTCATCCGTCAGCCTTCTCTCACACAGCAGACAAGAAACTTCCTCGACCTCAATTGGATGCAGACACTTACCCAAAGCTCATGAAGCCCAGAACCCAAATGAGGATCCGAATGGCCTCGGCACTGACATACTTGACTGTGCCCACGTCGACGGCCTGACTGTAATCACGCAGCCAGTTCCCAAAATACACACGCTTGACATCCAGCTTGCCAAACTTGCGACCACCCGCCACGCGGGCCAGGAACAGCGTCAGAAGAGTATCCTCGATATCTCCATGACGCCAGTTTTGGCCTTCGATCTTGGACAGCGAGGCGATGTTACCGGCTCCGAAGCCATAGGCCTGGCCGGAGATGGCGAGTAAGATAAGGAGGGAAAATCCCACGCTCTGCAGCGATAGAGGCATGGCGGGGGACGGAATGTTAAGAATGTACGCAAGATACAAAATGCAAAAAGCAAGGAGGGGCAGCGCAGAAACGAGTGCTGTTTTGGTGGGGGTTGGTGATGCGCGCTCTTGGCTGCTTGGCTGGGCTCCGCACTGGCTTGGCGGCCATCAGGCGTCGGAGCCATGCTTGTTGCGATGCCGTCCGAGAGCGCCTGATCCAGCCGAGGCCGAGGGTGGTAAGGGATGGGCAATATCCCGGAGTAGTTACATCGTAGTTACATCGTAGTTGCATCGTAGTTGCATGGGCTCATCGTTTCACAGCAGGATTGTCCTAGGACTTGGTTTCGTGGGGGCCAGGATATCATGGAAGAACAGGCCGAGTCAAGAAACGAGGCGACATGCACAGAATGGAGCAATCCGGCAGATTTCCTGCATGAGAGCATGGCTGTGCCATGCTGCCTCGATGCATAAACAAAACTGATCCAGAACGTGGGCCTGATTCCCCAAGATCCCCGGCCGCATGCGGCGGCGCCGTCTCCGGCTTCACCGCTCCCTTTTTCCCCGACTTCGTTGCTCGGCCAATCTTCCTTTTTTTACTGTCTTGGGGATCTTCTCTCAACGGCTTCCTGGACGTGTGACCTCCGGCAGTAGTGCTTATCGGACATGCGCCAGTGTCCTCCGCGCCCTTGAGATTGTTCAGCTTGATCTTTTCGCCTCGCACCCCCGCGCTTACGTCTCTCCCCCGCTCCCAGTGGTCGATGCCATCGCCCCAACAGACGCATACGCGCCCAGCCCTTTAACTACCCCCGTTCCCTGCTCGCTGTGTTGGTCGCCTGCGCCCCGATTTGCGACTCTGATCCATCTGTCTCTCCGGCCTCGCAGTCCCTCAAACACCATGCGCAGCACAGCTCGATCCTGACTCCTTTTGTGAGATCGTGGAGGAGATCGATCGCCCGCCATGGCTCGTGCCGACATTCAATATGCCCGCGAGCTGGCATTTCCGGTCTCGAAGGGTCGACTGTCAAGTGAATCAGTGCCACGGCCGCGCCCCAAGAAGGGCTCTCGTACCGCTTCCTATGCGTCCGGGATGGACGGCCAATGGGCTGGTGATGCCGGGCTGGTCCCGTCACTTCTAGACGTAGAGGCCTCGCGTGAGCCATCGCCCTTTCCAGAGTATTCTGACTATTCGCATTCCCATGACTCTAAAGAACGCGGCTCGATCCGGTTGACCAGACCTCCGGCGATGACCTCCAATGAGCCGACATGGCATCAAGACTCGACCCATCTCATGTCAGCGTCGGGCTTGAACGGATCGTCGGAAGGACTCGATTACCGCTCGCAAAGGAGTAAGCCCATCAAACCCAAGGTCCATATCAAACCAATGCTGCGCAAAATGTCGCGCGACGATGCGCCATCCACCTCGATAGACTTGTCTCGGTCCTCGACGGAGCAAGAGGGACTCGGCATCTACATGAACTTTGAGCGAGACCGCCGTCGAAGTGAATCCTTGACGGGTGTCACCTACCGGAGAACCCCCTCGGGTCTTCATCATCGTTCCACCAGTGGGACATCCCAATTCTCGACTGCGACGGGGTCGAGTGGAGGCAAGCCTAGCGCGTCGCAATATGTCTACCCCATGCGCCCAACTCCAAAAACATATACACCCCCACACAGCCAATCGTACCAAACCTCTGTCAATGAGAGTGATGGACAAGACGATAGCAGCCCTGAAACCGAATCCCATTTCTTACCGGGATCCGAGACTCATCGGACCAACCGTGCTTCCTCGGGGCCAATGCCTCGGCTCTCGTTGCAAATTGAAGATGAATCTCTCACCCGCCTGTCGGGTATCTCACAGACCAATGTCGCGAGTCGACCATCACTGAGTTATTCTCGTGACAATGGAAGCACCCTGGATACCGCATCTCCCACCTCCCGGACATCCCTTGACTTTGTGTTTCGCTCCCGTACCCGAACCAGCACCGACCCGGTCTCCCGTGCAGCCACGATTCAGGCTGCACGACAAGCGTTCGAGGAGAAGGAGGCAGCCAAGGCGCGCCGGTTCGAGAAGCAGCAGAGCAAGGCCGAGGAACGACAAACGCGGCGCCGGGTGAAGCGTACTATGTCAGGGGGGCCCGAGTCACCCGCGGTACATTCAAGAGCAGAACTGTCGGAGAAATCAGGAAGCTCTAGCATGAGCGCGCGGGATTCAAAGCCGACCATGGAAAAGCCCGAGCGACAGCCGTCGACCTCGTTCAAGTCACAGTCCAAGAGCACCTGGGTGCTGTTCATGACTTGGCTTCGAACTCGGGTGTTCAAGTTTCGACGCAAGATCCGAAAGGCCAAATAACCAATTGATTTTTTGTTTCCCTTCTGTTTTCTGATTCCTAGCTTAGTTCTGCCTGTTTATAGTCCAACCGTTGAGCGATCTACTTTTTTTTGGGGCATCTATGCAGCTGCACTTGGGAAATTGACACCAACGGGAGTTTGGCAACGGCGTCTCGATAACAACATTTGAATCTTTCTCTCGCTTCTTAGCAATGGATACCATTTGAGTATCACGAGTCTTAATTTTTTTTTTTTTTTGGTTTCTGAGTCGTATATGGAGTATTCTTTGTACCCATGGTACTCCTCGTATCACTGCTCATGCATACCCGATGTACGCGTCACGTGACAATCTGCGCAAGTGTTGCCTCTGCACCCGCCGAGTCCTGCATCTTTCCCCAACCGCTACGGCGCACAGCAGCGACAACAAACGCCTGATAAGAGCTCCGTCACCTTCGGGGATTCACCTTTCGCCCCAGACGCGCCGCCGACGCGCGGGAGCGTCTCTGCCGCAATGGTGTACGATTGGGCTGGCAAGCGCGATATCTGCTATCGCATGTACATCGAGGAGAAACGCGCCCTGGAGGATATCATGGAGTACATGAGAAATGCTTATCAGTTCGCACCAAGGTAAGCTCCGAGCTCGTCGCTGCCCTTACCTTTGACATGCTATTCATCCGCGACTACGCTGCTAACTACACTGGATCCTCTAGCAAGCGTGCCTTTCAGACTCAGTTCAAGCGATGGGGGTTTCCTTCCAAACAAAACCCAGCACATAAAAATGTCCAACTCGTGGCGCGAGTCAAGGAACTATGGGAACACAATACGAACCAGCGCGACATGCTCCGGATTTTGAATCAGGAAGGGTTTGAGATTAAAGAAAGAGAGTTAATGCGCGTACGTGCGAAGAATCGCTGGCTATTGCGCGTTCCCAATGGCATGAAGTCGCAACCAAACGCCGAGACCCATGAGACACAGCCGGAGGATGAAGGGCTTCTCGCCTTGCAGCAGGAGGTCTACAAGCAGGATGCGCCCTTCGAGAGCACCGATGCTCTTCCGCATCAATCTGTGACGCCGGTTGGAGAGGAACCCGCCTCGCCTGGCTTGTCGCCAGAGGTCATGGCGAAGCGCAAGGAGAGACTGGAACGTCTGAAATCGGAAAGCGCTGAAAGATGGGCGTCCAGAAAGCGTCGTCGCCGTACACGTGCATGGGCTGGTATGCCAGCTGATCCGCCGGGGCCTCCACGATTCCCATCCGAGACTACGATCGATGAAAGTAAACAGTACCTGAGTTTGGACAGCACACTGTATCGCCAAACACGAGACCAGTTCCAGAGAATTTGCGAAGACGCAGGATTTGTCAAAAAGACCTCTGCTGGATCGGAAAGATGGCAAGCGGCTAAAGACAGACTGATTCAGGAATCTCCACACCTACAGCAAGTTTTTAATGCCGAGCCAAACCAGCGTGATGCGAAAGCTCTTGCCCTCGATGTTGTTTGCACCGATGTCACGAAGCGGATGAGAACACTTGAAAGACGAATGACGATCGCAGAAGCCAAAAATGCTCTCGGAATCAACCCTGAAGAAAGCCGCCAGATCCGCAATGCATTCTACGAGACTTTGAAGGCAGACCACTTCACAAGCAAGTTAGAAGCTGGGGACGACCACTGGCAAGAACTAAAGGCACAGTGGATTCGCAACTCAGCATTGCTCCAGCGAATTCTCGAACCCGGTCAGGCCGACCCGGATCACACGAACAAACTGAAAGCCATGGAGGTACTGTGCCGGGATGTGATGAAACGGCTTCGCGACGACCAGACAAAGCGAGATCCGGCTCGCAAGAGATCGACTCCACGCAGCGAGACACAGAATACTGCTGTGGGTAATATGTTAGGAAATGAGATCAGCAACGGCATCAGCACCCTTGCTTCGCAGGCGCTTGCAAGTGCTCCAATTTCCACGAGTGACATTGGGGATATGCAGATTGATCCGTCTTTGCTGCAGGCAGCAAATGACCCATCCTCGTTCGCCGCCAATCCCCAACGGGAGGCCGGGAGTGCTTTTGAATACATGGACCCAATAATCCATTCAAATTTGCTGAATACCCTTGTCCATCTGCAGCTAAGTCCTCATAGCCAGCTCCAGGACCCTTCTTTGGGGACGTGGGTTGAGAAGCTGGCAACACGGTCGGTCGAGGAGCTTCGCCAAGTGATTGGAGCGAAGTATCCCTATTCGATCATCAGCAAGGTCGAAGGACTCGACAGGGATGAACATGGAAACGAAACCTTCTTTCCCATTGACGAGGATCATGAGTTGGATGCTTACTTGAATCATGTTCAGGGAAGAAAGGCATTGTTTAATTTGGCATTACACAAATTTTAGGGAAATTGCTCTTGGTCCTCAGCAGCCTTTAGCTCACTGACCAATCTAATCAATTAAAAATTATTAGTTGTGAACCATTGACAAGCAGAACAAAAGATCCACAAAGTGCTTATTCCTTCCTAGTGACCCTTTTTTGCAGACATCCTTTAGACCCCTTGGGATCAACTATGCCATTACTCCCTTCTACCTGCAATGACGTTGAATTAGTACGCCCTTTACGGGGCCAGGAATGTTTTATTTCCAGATATATGAGAAACTGGATATATTTATGGGTACATAGCTTCTAAGACTCAAAATGCTGTTAAAATTTACATCAGGGTATTTTTTTGGGTCGGTCCAGCGGTTTGCTTAGGTAGAGCCCAGGGACTGGACAACATTCCTGAAGAGAACGCTGATAGAGGGCAAAGAGAAGGACGGGGTGTCACCAAACACACCAGCCAGCCCTTTGCCTGAAGAGGTAGAGGATTCGCCGTCAGTCGGGTTCGTAGCCACCGTCTCCTGGCCCCGCTTAAAGATATTTGCCAGACCTGAGTTTAGATGACTGGTGACCTCATGAGGCTGGAGGCTCTTTTGTGATGCCTTGTCCAGACAGCCCAAGCGCTGCACACTAGCCGAGGTATCGACGACGACGTAGTCCCCAGAGTATACGTCCGAGAGCAGGGCGACCGGGTAACTTCCCAGAGTTTCTTGAAAAACCACTTCAAAGGACGGGACGTCATATATGCGGATTTGGAACCGAGATCTGCGTCGTCTCTTGGCGGAAGTGTTGTCCAGTTCCCGAGTAGCAATAGCAAACGACTTGGTTCTTGCGTTTACAGCAACCATTGGTGGGTAACCTGTGTCGGCCGATTCGTTCAATTGAAGAGGCTTCACCACATCATCAACAGTATCCCAAATAGCCAATGATTGTGTTGAGGCCACGATCAGATACCTTCCCAGGAATTTGGCGGAACAGGGCTTTCCGAAGAAGACACCAGTTCGGCGATAATGCACGGTACCATTTCTGGCATCAATCAAGAGAACCAAACCATCGTTTGCACCGGAGCCAGGCGACAGGCAAACTGCAAGCACCGAGCCATCCTCGGAGAAGCTCATGCAAGCCATTGACAACGGCTGACCTGAGCTGTCGAGACAGCCTGTCAAGTCAACCATGCTTCGGCACTTCCATGTATCTTGGTGCTGGTCAGCAGGGTTCGTCTTGAGCCCACCTCGGTGCCGGGCAGTTGGGCACCAAAACCGAAGTACAGCATCTTCTCCGAGTGTAGTAAATTCATGAGAACACGGCCGGGGTGCGAGACCGAGGATAGATGCATGGTGGTTATCGGTAAAATGGGGTGCATCAATGCGAGTTACCAATTCCCACATATCAGATGAAGCATTCCATTTCCAAAACTTGAGGAATATCTCCGGCCGCAGCAAGGCGGCACTGGACGAGGAGCAATTGGCAGCGGTGGCCTCCAGGTCCTGGCGTTGAGGGGCCCAAGTATCAACGGTTGCCAACCATTTACCATCTTCAACAATTTCCATATGCCGAACATCGGGGGTAGTGATCGGAGATCTGTCTGGTGTCATGTTGAGAGTCGTAGTGTTGGTCCGCGCCAAAGCCTGGCGAGAGATGTGAGAGTTGGAACGAATATCAAACGTCTGAAGCATGGCCGAGCTCGAACGCTGAGGGGTCAGCTGGTTAGGCTGATGAGATGCCGGCACAGCAATGAGCATCCTCTCGGGATGCTGGGGGTGTAATGTCGCAATGGCGCGGGACGGCTTTCTCGAGGAAGGATCTTTGGAACTCGCCATATCGAAGGCCAACTGAAGACCAGTCACATTGGCAGAAGGCTGCAACTCTCTGGCTGATAGAACCATGACCGAATTGTCGGCCAGCTTGACCACATAAGAGTTTCCACTGGGTGAAACGACAAGGTTGCAGATTGGTGAAGACAGGTGAGGGAGGAACTGTTTCTTGCCGGTATCCAACTGCCATAGAACCAAGACTGATTCCTGGCCACCGGAGATGAGATAGTTTCCTATAAGTACAGTTGTTAGAAAGAACCGAAATGACACTATATAAGCAATACCAAGACCTACCATCCTTCGACCACCGCACAGTGCTGACGGCACTTCGGTGCCAATGAAGTTTTCTGGGTGGAGACTTCTTTTCTGCATTTCGACTGAAAAGGGTATTCACAAGATCGTGATAGATTAGAATAGATCCACTTCCTTCGCCGATCACCAGATCAACAGCCTCAGAACCCTTACCAGACTTCGACTCGTCGGGATTCTCTCGTAGGTGAAGGGATGTGGCGGTAACTGGAAAAGTGGCTTCTCTCCACATGTACTGTGTAGACTCGGGGTTCTCCAGATCAATACTGCGGGTTGTCCCCAGGAAGACACGAGTGCCATCACTGACAACGATAACGCGTCCCTTGCAAGCAGTTTGAATAGAATTAACCTGCTCTGCGGTATCGAGGGCAACAATTTCGGTCGACTTCTTATCCCCAAGAGCACTGATAATAACCTGGCGCTTGCCATCCTTTTGGGCCCCGATGGAGTACGATGCGACCTGGCCGGCAGTCTCGCTCTGTTGCACATCAACGGCGATTGACGAGTAGGTTGTCCCCCAGCGGACGAGCCGTTTTCCAGAGTTCCAATCCCACTTAGTCACGAAACCAGAGGTGAAAATGTAGAGAACACCTTGGTCGACTGGGCTCAGCTTGTATCCAATAACCTTTTGGCCATTTTCCATTTGCAGTGTGCGCAACAGGCGGGAGGTGGAGGTTGCGAAGACTTGTACAGCCGTATCAAGACCGACAAATAGATAACTGTATCAAAGGATTAGAAACAAATGAGATACGAAAGGTCGAGCGGTGACCTACGCTTCATCCTCAGTCACAACGGGGTCCAAATTGCTGTATCGACCGCCCACTGGGCGAGAAAATGACCATGGTGCAGCCGCGCTTCGCTTCTCCACGCTGTCCGAGGAGGCGCCATCGCTCTGCTTTTCCTGAACCACATTCGAAAAAGGCTTCGGTTCCTTCGGTCCCTCGTTGGCCTCTGAAGTTCGACGGCGTTTAGCTCGATCATCGCTAGACCGTGATACCTTTTCGGCAGCATCACTGGCCCTGGAGCGTTTTTGTTGCCGATTAGATTGGTTTCCGGCCATTGTGAATATCCTTCGCTAAAGAGTCAATCCCGGTAGTCTCAATTCGAAGTGCCAGCTCTTAGCGGCAATCAATCATGTCAGGAGATAATTTCACGCAGACACCCAAATCTTACCGATCAAGCCGAGTCGCAACTTTTTTTTTCGGGAGGAAAAATCAAGCGGAGGAGGGCGGCAGAAAAGAGGGCGCCCGCGTTGACCGCCGTCGCGGGAAAAGTTTGTGAATGCGAAGAGCTTCATTCACTCGTGGCCGAGCAATTTTTATCCACTCCAGACTCCTTTGAGCGTCCTCTCCTCGTCAAACCTGCACTTCCTCCAGGACTTTCTCCTAGCCATTCGGATTTTTCGCCATCCACGATGATTATCCCCGTCCGTTGCTTCTCGTGTGGAAAGGTATCTATCTGGACTCGTCTCGATCTTCAAGCTCTCTGCTGATCTTTGTACAGGTTGTCGCAGATCTGTGGGAGCGCTACCTCCAGCTGCTGGATGATGGTGTGCCTGATGGGTATGTGTCGAGAACTTGGGACCACTCGATTTTCAGATCAGATTCTAACAAGCTTCCCAGCGATGCCATGGACCAGCTTGGTTGCCGACGATACTGCTGTCGTCGAATGATCATGACTCACGTGGATCTGATTGAGAAGCTTCTTCGGTATGACTTCACTTTTCAATGATTTACTAGTGTTCTCTATTTGGCCGCTCTAACCGGATATTCTAGTTACAACTCCGCCGAGAAGGACCGCACAAAGGCTCAGATCTAATAGAGCCTCCGCTCGTTTCGCTCCTTCACGATCTCGAGCACCTGATCTCTTTCCGTCACGAGACACCTGACCTCCTCACACATACACACCCGCATAGTGCATTGGCTTTCACAAAACCCTGGGCCCATACCAGCAATGACAGTCGCGCCTTATCCTCCTTGGAGAAACATCCGAATCGGAAGAACCAAGGCTCAATGCGACATGAGTCTCACAAATTTCCCTGCTGGTACATGAAATTGTTGAAATGGCGCCGGCGGTATCAATTTCGGGCTATCCGATAGTCCTCCTGGGGTGAGAACGGTCTTGTTCTCGCCGACTTGCATGAAAAACGGCGTTTGCACATTATTAGTATTATTTCGGATCCGGCGTACCTGGAGACATTTGTAGATAATCCATTGTTTTCTGTTCCCAGATTCCCAAAAACTTCCTCACTATCGACCCTCCTTCACCTTCCGTTATGCCTGTCCATATAGTTCACGAATGGGATCCACCCATGACGATCTGCGAGGAGGGGGTTTATCAACCCAGCCCCAACTTCTCCTGGAGACGGAGGCAGGCCGACGAGGCTATGGACGTTGGACTTGGTCCTCGGGGACACTTTTTGCATTCTGGCCAGCCCCACGGCGTCCCCACCGGCGTTCCTGGACGAGTCAAGAGGGTCGCGCAAGCGCCCAGTAACCCCATGCGGACTAGGCGGGAGATGCTGCGCGGCGTCTGAGTGGATACGCCTGTCCGGGATGCATGCTCATCACAGCCCAGGCGCCTCCGTCTCCCAGTTCGCAGGGTCGGGTTGTTCGGTGCAGGCGATCCGTCGTATCAGCGAGGTCCGTTGGATCCAACAGCGCTGAATCCTCCTGGGGCCAATTACCGGCGATTTGTCTCTCGGACTTAGCTCTCTCCAACATCTCGCGCACAAGCGGGGACCTCTTCTCCTCGACCCTTCATCTTCTTCACCTCCCTCAAAGGCAGTGCCATACTTCGTGCTCTCCAGCTCTCGGCCATGATGGCCGTCAGGTCGCCGCTTTCTGTTCTTTCGTACCGCGACGCCTCCAGTTCGTATGCTGGATCGGATCCAATGTCAGCTGTGGTCCCCTCTTCAAAGCAGCCATGCGCTCCCTCACTTACGCCAGTATAGGTCTCTCGAATCTCCTTCCGCCCCGTTCGGTGTGAGGGACTCGAGTTACTCTGCTCCCGGTTCAGAGTTCATCAATGCGGCGGATACATTGTCGGTGGCCCCCAATGACTCGAGCGACGTCGGGGCCGAGGTTGAGGCTAGCCAAGATAATGGCGATGGTGTTGGCAATGAGATCACATCGACCACTTCCGTTCATACACCAGGACTGACGGTAGGTTGGCGCAAAGGTCGATGCGGGCCTTGTTATCGTGTGGATTTCCAGTTGGGCACTGACATAGGCAGATCCAAACAACACCTGCGCGGGTGGATCACGTCAACCATGCCAGATCAGACGAGGACGAGCCACCACAGTCGGTCATACATGCCCCACCAGGATTTGGAGACTTTGTGAGAACTTCCCCTCTTGTCTTCGCCCCGGATGACTTTCCACAGTCCATCGGGACCGTACAGGCTTGACTCTAATCACGGAAACGACGCACAGTCGATGCAGCATACATCGGAAGAAGCATGCGACGAAGAGGAATCTTCTTCCCCCCTTCAATTTCAGAAAATGCCGAATTGGCGAACATATCCACTAGTACTAAAAGAGTAGGCCATTCCGTTCGATCTCTCCATGATGTACTGGGGGTACTGGCTAACCAATCTTTCTTGGGCAAAGGTCGATCACAGCCCTATTTCGCCGCCACCACTGACTACCTCTGTGACGCCCTCGAAGGATTGGTCGGATCGCGCAACTCCGCGTGCGCAAACCAGAAATGAATTTGATGAAATCGAGCGACGCACCCATTCAAGCAGTTTAGAAGGTGAAACCCCTCCTTTCCCCGAGCATCCCAGTCAATACTCTAGGATAGCCAGTTGACCACTAATCAGACATCCCAGAAGGTACCGCACAGTTCCGAACTTGCGATCATCCCTTGAGTCCACGGACGTGAGGATAATGCAAAGGCTGATATCGCTCACTCTAGGAACTTTTGGCAGTAAAGAGACCGAAATCAGCGCTCTTCGAACAGCGCTAGCTGAATGCTGGACATTGTGCAACACGCTCGCTAGTTTAAGTTACATTAATCGAAAAGAACGATTATCCAAATCCTATGAGGATGACATGCAGGAAGACGCTTGGCGATCTTGCTGGAGACTGTGCCAGAAACTCTACGACACCCGCGATGACGAATGTGCATCACAGGTCAATTCTACTCTGGATCTCTGTCGAGATTTCTGCCAGGCATTGTTCGAGGTTCGAGTCTGTGATAATGACCTGGCGGACTCCGTTTTGCGCGTCAGCTTCGAGCTGAATAATCACCTTTATAATACGCACGACCGCAACCTTCCTGACGCCTTCCGAGAGCGCACTTTGGACTTCTATATAACCCTGTGCCACCGCCTCATGAAACAGCGGACACGTCTGACCGAGACCGATTCTCTTCTCAGCGCTTGCTGGGCACTGGCGGAGATGTTGTTCAGTATTCGTCAAAGCCGAAGAGAAGGAAAGAGGCTTGATGAGGAGCTGCTGGGGTCTGCCGTGCAGGCCTGTTGGGAGCTCTGTGATATCTTTCGCGAGGGCTGGACCCTACACAGCATGCGCAACTCGGACCGGGGTACTCCTCGGCCCAGCCAAACCACTTTTGCACAAGCATTCCAGCAGGCAACGCAGGTGTCAGAGCTCGATTTCGTCGACGACGTATCCGGTCAAGTGGTGAATCCAGAGACTCCGACGACCATTTTCGAGGACACCGTCACGGTGTCCCCAGATGAAGCCCCGGTTCCGAATATCCTTGTCCTCGGTCATGCCAACGGCCATAATTCGCATTCCAAATGGCCCTCCAGTGCATCAAGCATTTCGGAAATCTCTCGTTCATCTGGAAAGACTGCGTCCTCAGCAAATACAGTGACAACGATCTCGGAGGATCCCAATTTCACTAGACTCAAAATTCTCATCACCCGGGCCGCCATCAACAGTGGGTACCAACGGGGTGGCACGCAGAGCCTCTCATCATTTGTCAAGTCTCTTTCCTCTGACTCCTTTGGCTCGGCGCCCTGGCAGACGGCTCTGTTGAAGAATTATCGGAAATTAGTCGCCTATGACCCCGCATTCAGAAATGTCGGTTCGCAGGCCCGTGTCAGCGCGATTGAGGTGGGTCGGGCGTGTCAGGCGATGCTCCAGAGTGGTCAGTACTCCTGGTTGCGAGATCTGTATCGCCTCGTCTTTGGCTTTCACATGGAGGAGGCTATGAGCCGTAAGGGCGTGACCATCCAGACTTAGTCGGGGCTGGCCCTTCCACCCTCCATTTCAGCGGTTTATAAGGGATGAGTGGAGTAGACGTTGCCAGCATACTGGAAGGTCTTTTCATAATTATTAGTAAATTTTACTGCTGGTTTCCTGGCTCGGCTTTTGTCTGTAGTTTTTCAGTCTTGCCGCCTCTGGGGAATTCCTATCTCAAGTAACTTCCAGGTGTATGTGTCTTTTGAGTCATATAATTAGGTGAATCAACATCCGTTAACTTCGGTAGAGCCAGGACGAGGTCCGGCACAACACTCTTCACGTTAACTCAAGGTTGAATGTGTTTCGTCTATCCGATTGTTGCTTGGTTATCTATTTGGTCATCTACCCAGTCAATCTAATGATTAGCCGCCTAGAATCCAACCTCGGATCCTCCACCCTTTTTGTCGCATTTAGTTAAGATCGTGCGGACCGTGTTTCCCTTTACTTTTTCTGTTCTTGGAGCTGCGCCTCTGGCTAGAGGAAATCTTGACTCCGGTCATAGCAGTCGACAGTGGGGTCCTGTTTGTGAAATCGCCGATAATAAACAATGTGAGCTAAAATATTGAAAACTGAAACGCCGGAATGCATCTATAAAAGGGTATCGGGTATCTCGTGTAAGAAAGTATTCCATCCACATCTTCACGACGATGGAGAGGCTCGTTCCCTGGAATCAGAGCGAATGTCGAAGTCGCGGGTGTAATAAATTCCACCCTCAAGAGGTTCCTCTCCATTGCTGCGCTTTTCAAATTTTGCGATTGATTCCTGAATCGCGAGGTTCTCGACATCAGTGCCTCGCTCACTTCCCTTGCCCCATTCCTGGAGAGGAATAGTCTCGACCCGCTCCAGATCCTCCGCAAGCTCGCCTGTTGAAAGATTGATTGCCTCTTGACTGGAGCGTTCGGTGTTGCCGTGTCCGGTGAGAGTGTTGTTCTTTGACGAGCCCCGGAGTCCGGGTCGAGAAAAATGAAAAGCACGGGGAAAGGAAAATGATGCGTGAGACTGCGAGCCCACAGACTTGGAGTATGGGTTGCTCCCCTTGTTCACATTGTCGGTACCCCGGGATCGCTGTCCAGGAGTGCTGTGATACTGGAAGGTTGTCAGGCCAAACAGCTTCCGCAACAATGGCCACCAGCACATCATGTTGGCGACAAAGACGGCTGTACTGGCCTCCCGGATGTACCAGATCTGGTACACGGTGGTCAGCGGTGACGCAAAGTTAAAATATTTGTTGAGTATAGCGGCAATGATGGTAAACAGGCCCAGACTCATCACGCCAAGGAGAAGGGCCTTACGGCGTCGAGGTAGCTTAGCCTTGATGATCAACGGAATCGGGATGGCGAACATGAAGGCGTCAGATGAGATATTAAAGACAGCCTGTGTGATTGAATAGTGTTGGTACGTGGCGCATTGCATATTCGACACGGGTAACGCCCAATATTGCGAGAAGGGTCGACAGTACACGCCGTAGTAGGTGATCATAATCACGACAAATCCCAGCGCAACATACCCGGCAAGAACCTTGACGTAGAGATTTGAGGGCAGGTTCTTAGTGATTCGCCAGTAAAGGATCAGCATGCATGTCTTCACTCCCCATGTTGAGAAAACCATGCACTGTTCCAGGGCAATAACAATTTTGCTTCCAAATATCCGGTCCTGAACCTGCTGGGGATCGGACAGTATCTCATCCAACTCAGTTGGATCCATCAGATTTGTCGCATATTTTGCCGATACCTGAATCAGAACCAACAAGGACGTATAGACAATCTATACCGGATTCCATAATACATGGTTAGTCTCGGATAAAGCTCGCTGGCCCAGACTTGAGACATACGAAAGTTGCCGTCATCACATAATCGTCCCCTAAATTATGCAGATTGTTGGGTTACCCACAGCGGCTGAAAAAACGAGAAATGAAGATACATACATGATATCCCCTGGATTGACAGGTTGGCAATCAACCGGGAAGCCCTGTTCATGCCATCAGCACGGATGCTCGTCGTGGTCTCGGTACCTCATCTATCTCAGCATGCGGTCAGCTTCCACCTACATCCGACCAATGTATAGTACCGCTCCAATGCTCCAGAATATCGCAGCTTCCACCAATAGTTGGTGGGGGGTGGGTGATACGTTCCCCATATCGACGACTCGCCCTCCGTACACAGATCTACCTCACTGTGTACTGGGAATGAAGGGCAGGCCTGCCATGGAGGCTCCGGGGAGAGATAGCAGTGGGAAAGAACTTTCCAGTTGGGACCAGCCAGGCTGCCGATGAGATCCTTCTAGTGAGCAACCGGGCATTAGGCTCGGAATATGCCGTCACACCTCGAGCGCCCACGGAGGATCGAGAGTTCCGCTCAGATCATCGCAGGACAAATCACGATTGGCAGTGGGCCAAGATAAACTTCCATCAAATCCATCGCCAGCTGAGACGGCCAACCATAAGGGTCCGATCCTGCAGGAGCGCAAACTGGATGAACCCTTGGCCGCGAGTCCCAGATGCATTTGATCAACGCGCACGATATGGAGATGAGAGCTGGCCAACAACTTGCCCAGTGGGATGGATGCATCTTTGTCTCCCGGTACAGGGAAGCCTCGTGTATAAAACGGATTGAGCGAGGATTTCGCGCTTATCCATGCTACATAGTACATACTGACACCAGCTCGATCCCGATCAGACCCGCGATCAGATCCCTGACAGGCACGATCTCTCCACCGGAAAGCGGAGCCTCCTGGAGGGTCTGAATGTGAGCACGATCCTTCGGTAGTGTTAGGTGCATTTGGGATGCGCTAGATCGTGGGGGCCATTTGTCCTTCACCAGTGCTCGACACTCGCGGCGCTGCTGTCCTGCCGTAGGTGGGTTCCGCAAATCGGCGACGTGATCTTCCCGACGCCAGCAATCCAGCCAAAAACATTGCCGGAGAGTGCGCATCGATTCCCGAAGCCTGGTGGTTCTGATATTGCGGGACCCGTCGTGCCTGAAGGTTAATAACTGGGGGAGCTCCACCGCGGGAAAGTCTCCCAAACATCCCGCCTCACTTCTGCTTCGTCTCTGTTCTCCTCGGCGATCGGGGCATGGATCATCGGTTTCAACTTGAGGCAAGACCCAAAGGAGCATATGTGATTGCATGGAATTCCCCTCCATCGGTGGACCCTCTCGTCCCCTCGAGGGGCGCAGCGAATGGAGAAGCTTGTTGCTCCATGTTGCGTGTCACTCGCGTGGAAACATGCCAAAGAGAACCTTCCGTGCCGATTCCACAAACACTAAAAGAAATTTTAATGCAATTCTTGCCAATATGCACGGCATACTGCCTCATCCGCCGGCGTCAAGTCCTGCTCCCTACTTGGCTTCTCTTCCTCTCTATTTTAATCTCTTGGGTCTGCTGGTTCTCCTTCCTTCCACATCCTCTTCCTTCCTGCCTTGTCTTTACGGTCCTTGTCAATAGCGCTCAAGCATTCAATCGGCAGCATGGCAGTCGAGAAGCAAACACCGCAGGTCGGCGAGTCTGGGCTGAGGAATGAGCCGAGGAACGGCACTGAGATGGACGCCGTACGCCTCGAGGCGGCGTTGGGTCACAAGCAGGAACTAGTTCGCAATTTTGGGCTATGGAGTGTGACAAGCTTAGGAATTGTGATTGCAAAGTTCGTGGTTTGAATTAAAGCGTCGCCTTTCTCGACCTCATGTGTCTCTGCTAACCTTATCCGACAGTTCCTGGGCCGCAACGGGTGGAACCATTGTCACGGCGCTGATGAACGGAGGCCCGATGGCTCTTCTCTACGGTTTGATGCTAGTGGGCGTCTTCTATACAGCTATATCGGCTTCGTTGGCCGAGCTAGCGTCTTCGATGCCCTCTGCTGGCGGGGTATATTACTGGTCCACGGTGCTGAATGGGAAGCATGGCCGCGCCGCTGGTTTCTTCACCGGCTACCTTAACGCCTGTGCATGGCTCCTGTCAGCCTCTTCAATGAGCTCAATGTTGGGCAATGAGGCAGTAGCCATGTACTTGCTTCGCCATTCGGACGTAGCCTGGAAACCTTGGCAGGTATTTATTGTCTTTCAACTTGTGAACTGGACCTGCTGTGCAATTGTCTGTCTTGGAAATCGGTTCATTCCTCTGATTAATCGCATCGCGTTGATCCTTTCAATGTGCGGACTTTTCGCAACTGTGGTGGTCCTAGCAGCAATGCCAAAGACCCATGCAAGCTCGTCACAAATCTGGACGCAGTACTATAATATGACGGGTGGCTGGTCTGACGGAGTGTGTTTTATGACGGGCCTACTAAATGCGGCTTTTGCAGTGGGTGTTCCGGACTGCATAAGCCATTTATCAGAAGAAGGTAGGCAGCGCAATTCATGTCCAAGATTCATAGTAGGCGGGAAATAGAGGAGGAAAATGGAAAGGTTGCAGTGATTAATGCTCTTATAGTTCCCAAACCAGAAACCAAGGTTCCTCAGGGAATCATGCTCCAGATGTTGACGGCCTTCACAACCTCCTTTCTATATTTGATCGCCCTCTTTTATTCAATCCAGGACTTGGATGCTGTCTTCGATACAAGTATTGGGTATTTCCCTACTGCTGAAATCTACCGACAGGCCACGGGTTCCATTACTGGTGCCATCGGATTGATCGCCGTTCTTTTCCTTGCTACCTTTCCAACTCTGATCGGCACATTTGTCACAGGAGGGCGGATGTGGTGGAGCTTAGCTCGCGACAACGCTACTCCGTTCGCGAGCTATTTCGCCCAGGTGCATCCTACCTTGAACAGCCCAGTCCGTGCTACTGTCGCGATGAGTGCTATGGTCACCTGTCTTGGCTGCATCTATGTTGGCAGTACAACTGCCTTCCAGGCTCTCATCTCGTCATTTATTGTCCTAAGCACACTCTCGTATTTTGGAGCTATCTGCCCACACGTCCTAACTGGTCGCCGAAACATCGTGCCTGGGCCCTTCTACATGGGTAAGCACTTAGGAATGGCGGTGAATATCGTCTCATTGTTATATATTTTGGTCACCGTGATATTCTTTTGCTTCCCATTGGTTATGCCCGCCACCGTCCAAAACATGAACTATACAAGTGTGATTACTGTCGGCCTAATGACATTGACCGCATTGTGGTGGTTTGTTCGTGGGAAGAGCGAGTATCGTTGTCCACAATTTAGTTTTGAAGCTGCCAAACGATTAAAATATCTACCGAGTGAAAAGTGATATCAAAGCCATGTGCGACACTGAAAACAGATTCTGTGCCTGCTCATCTTGGTAACGATGGTTGCATGGAGTAAATCATATAGTGCATTGTTTGCACTGTTCATGGTTACCCTGATATACTCGATAGATTAACAATTCAAGTTCTGCAGTATATTACATTGAGTGTGATGTGTATATAAAATAGAATATAAAGACCCGTACCAGAAGTTTGGGCACACATCCAAATTAGGTAATTTTGCCCCACTACCCATAAACCACAGAAATATATATATTGAACCACACACTACATATTATACAACAAAATTTAGTATACTTGTATGTTAACCAATTCTCTATTCAAAAATTTCCAATAGCGTGTATAATAGCCACTAGCGAGGTGCACTGCGTGTACTCGCTTATTCACTGACAAAATAAGGCTATCTATAATTCTCTGGTCTAATGCATCCCAAGCCTGGCAAATTGCCTCTTTGAAGAACCCCCAATCGGTCTCAGTCTTGCCTGAACAGGCAAGCATTGGATACATTTGGTAAAGCTTCTCTTTAGATAGTCTCCATACTGGCTAAATTGGGTTTAAATCGGGTGAATGTGGCGGCCAATCTAGGTCGTGTATGCCGTGAGTTTCAAACCACTCCTTTGCCGCTTTTGACACGTGAATTCGCCCGTTATCTTGCTGAAATATCATATCAGGCGTGTAGGTTTTAACAAATTCCTTTTCGAGCGCTTCAAGTTATGGATTTGTGGCGTAACCGCCCTTTTTATTCTTAGAGTAGTCCCGATTAAGCACCACTAGCTTTGTACGGCCACCTAGCCATATTCCTGCCCATACCATTGGGAAGTATCCTTCACATGTGGCTTGATCAGGACTAAATCACGCCTATATGTTTCTCCTTCAAGTCGAGTAACATATTTAGCGTTTATATTAGGTGTCCATTGAACGCTACATTCATCTGAAAAGATAATGTTTCCAAGTTGCCATTCTAGGTTCTGCGATTGCTATTTCTGACAAAAACGTCTCCGAATTCGTGCTACCCTCTCTGAAATAAGTATACAGCGCCTCACACGGAACCGTTTTAGATTAAAACTGCGTAGAATCCGGCGAATATTTGACTTAGAGGGTGTCCTGGTATCTGGGCAGTAAGCTCTTTATAGCTTAGCCAGGGATATCTTTGGGTGAAAATTTTGACGTATCGGGGAAACTGGCGGTCCAAATTGGCGAGGGGCGCCTGATCCAGGTAGTGTTTTAACGGTTTGGTGTTGTTTGAAGCGTTCAAGTGTTTTACATATCGTGCGGCGATGAACGCCAAAATCGGCAGCGATCTTCGTGGCTGAATTGCCTAATTCAGAAGCGTATATAATAGCTGAACATGCTTCAGGTGAGAGTTCTGCCCCTCGTCCACGGCTTCCACTGATTTCTTTGCCGAAACCACGCATTTTGTATGTGTAGGAGAAGCTGAAAAGAGAAGGTTGGGAATGGACGCCGAAAATACGCGCTAAGATCACTAGTGTGTGCCCAAACTTCTGGCACGTGTCTGTAGATCTTGCTCTTTCCGTACAGTACTAGCTATGATGCTCTATAACTAGATGGAGTATAGAAAAAGTGGAGCCGTGGGTAGGAATTCCCATGTCATGGTCCCTGCGGCAGCACAGCCAACTGAGGGACTGCGATATACTGATGTACCATCATGAGCCAATCATTTCTAGGGGTTACGCATTAACCCCTAAAGTCACGTACAAACCAGACAAAGACAAAGATCCTATGAGTGTGATCACGTGGCATCGTATTACAACGATAGGGTGGGAACCTATCCTACGTTAGGACGGAAATACCATCAGCACGATAGGAAGGACTAGATATATAAGAATACTCATCAACGCATATATATCTAGTTTTTTGCGATCAATTATATACTACTACTTAGATCTACTATTAATTCTATCTTCACTGTTCAATATAAGCTAAATATCCCATAGGTAGTCTGCGCCATAACCCGCAAATGGGTCGGTGAACCCGACCCATAACCCGCACCCATGGACCTGATGGGTTGGTCGACCCAACCCGCAACCCAACCCATAGCCCGTGTTGATTGATAAGTGATGCTTCGGTGTTCATATTATTGAGGGGAGTTGATTGTGTGTAAGATACAAGTATGCTGGTAGACAGGTATACATGTATGCACATGATCCCAGCCCCCATGATTATCTCAGTAACCGGGATATTCAACAAACCCATTGCGGGTTGGTGAAGCCTACCCATTTCCCTACCCATAGGTGAGATGGGTTGGGTTCGGGTGCGGGTTGGTGCGGGTTATGGCGCACCCTACCCATAAGTAGGGGAGCTCTCCAGACTGACCTACCTGGCGCACCCGATTAGCACATCCGTGAAAGCACTCCAAAGGCCCCAGCCCGTGTAAGGCTTTGCATCAGCGATGGTACGGTTGCGGAGCCGCTTGGAGGCCCGCATACTAGCAAAGTATCACCGAGGAAACCGCGTTTCACCGCGCCCAGTCAGCAGCGCGTAACAATAATGTCTTTCAATTGTTCGGTTGAACTCCTGCAAGATGTTGGGCTTTGGCTTGCGTGCGGGCTTCTGGTGACGGAAGTTCGTTGAACTTTTTGAAGATTTGAGAATCTCCCGCGTTGAAACTGGGGATTTTTGGTATCATGAAAAGCGCCAATAACAAGCGCCCTTGTTTGATGAGCGCTGTGCCTTTCAAATCGCGTGGCGGCATGTTGATGTTAGAGAAGTCTCGGGGATAAAAAAGCTTGCTCAAAGTCAAGTGGCTGCTGAGTCGGCACCTGATGTTGTTCATTCAAAACAATCACGCATCACGACGGAACAGCGGGTATTGAGGATGTAGAGGGAGAGGTTTTGCGTTATAGTTTGCAGAGTTTGCAACAGATAGATCAGTTCTGCTTGTTCTGTCCTACAGCGGAACGGCTGGCACGGCTATCGTAGCCCAAATTGGATACATCAGTAGGCCAGCCGGGCCTTCGTGACAGCAAAAGCGATGTCATCAAAAGCCCTACATTGGAGAAGAGAGGGTTCGAGATCATGAGTACTTGAGATTAACAAACCAATGGACGTTCAAATGCCGATGGACTTACAACAGAATTTCAATCCCGCAGTCATGACAGCCGAGAGCTGGATTCACACAAACGCCCCAAAAGAATGGGAAGGAATGGTAAAGCACGCACCGGGATTTTATTTTAGTAACGGAGCGGCCGGCCATACTTTAAAGGAATACGATTTGTGGGTCGTGAAACCCTCACAACCTGTATTTGATTTAAAATATCCATTTCATGAAAAGAAAGTGGTATAGTGGCTCTTACTCGGGGTCCAAAAATCCCCATATCTTCATCTTAAGGCGGCAACCATTGCCACTTGACACTATAAATGTGAGCACCTGCTTTCCTCGCAAAGTGGTGCGTTGAAAGACGTGTCTGTTATCTCAATGGCCGCAAAAGTTTGTAGCAATATCGCAATGGTAAAACCAGATGCCAGCAACGCAAATTCCTGTCCTAAACATATTCTTGGTCCCCCATTGAATGGCAAATAACTTCACTCAACCTTTTTTAGGGCATCATTTTCCCAGCGCTCGGGGTGAAAACTGATCAGATTCCGGCCCATGAATGCATTTTCGGCGATGCATCGCGTAGACGTAGTATACTAATGCTTCGCCCTTGTGGACGAGAACTGGAGCTGTCCTATTGGGACCAACACTAACGGGGAAAGTCGTTGTTTTCACTGCCGCTCGTGAGTTTACTGGCACGGGTGTGTATAGTAGAAGAACTGTTCATAGGCATTAGTTATGGTCATATTATTCGAGTTAAAGCGAGATCAAATTCCTAATGCCTTATTTCAAAATGAACGACAGATACGGTAGTCTTAATTCGACTTATTGTGGGTATTAGTCTCTCACTACTCACACCAACCGCATCTATGATCTCGCAACAGAGTTTGAAAAGGACTCGAGGGTGTTGCGCAAGAAGATGTCTGGGTTTTGTCGAAAGACAATCTTAGGGCATACTTGCGAAAAATTGGTCCACTTACAACGTCCATGTGAGGCAGCATGCTGTTGTATCTCAACTAGCCAATAAGATATTAAGACACTGGTAAATCAGTACCTTCGGATCCCTGCTTCCCCTGACGAGTGCATCGAAGAAGACATATGATTCCGTCTTTGAGTCAATATTTTTAGCCTGACAGTTTGTAGCCTTCTTCACATCGCAGTCAAGAAAGTCATGACAGACTTTGCACGCTTTCCGAAAACTGCTCCCCCTAGCGGCCAGTAGAAATCACCAAGAACGACCTCATTGGGCAAGATAGCCCTGACCAAGATTAAAGGCCTCTGCAAATTCGAGATTCAGCATCAATTTCGCGATCAACGGCCTGGCTTCTCTTTGGTGTAGCCGGGGCATCCTGAGGCTCCCAAGGCTCAGTCATCATACCGCCATTCACCATTACAGGCTTAGGCAAGCTGTCCAGAGTGATTTGGCTCGTGCCTGCTATGCCTTCAGACTTTAGAGCAAATGCTGTCTAACTAGTAAGAAGAGGGTAGTTTCAAAAGTGAGCGGAAGAATAAGGGCTGTAAGTCAACTTCCTCATCTTCTGGAATGCATAGAATGAGATTGTTCAAAACACCCATTATTTGTAAAGAGTTATTAAGCTGGTTGGTCATGAATTGTGGTCGTAGAAGTTCCCGCGAGTGGCGCCACTGTTTGCCGTCTTGAGTGAATATACCACTTCCCATCAAGGGAGCGAAAGTAGGGGGTCGCAATCCAAGTCCAAAATCTTAAGAGTTTGTTACTGGTTAGTGAGGAGCTGTCCTGGCGATGACAACCGGTGAATTGTGCCGATGGAACGGCCTCTATATTTTCGGGCTCAATTGTGTCGATTCCCCGTGCGAAAAGGGGATTCTGCTCAAAAATGTTTCCCGGTTTATCCACTACATCGAGGAAAAATAGGAGTATTCGCTGCTCGCGCTCGTAGTGAAAAGTTTCAGAAGCAGATCGAGTCCCAATGGCCAGTTTGAGTTCCATTTTTGCGGTGACTGACAGCTTTTCAAGGCGGCAAGTTTTCTGTCGACCTGCCAGTCAAGTTAGAATTTACATCAAATCGCTTCTGACTTAGGTGATATGAATAACCTATAAGAGGTATTCATCTCCCTGGCAGCAAACATACTTGTAATTCAGGTCAGCGAGCGAAAATCTTATACGTGAATATCGAAATCAATAATCCAATGAGAAAATGCACGGCAAGGGGCAGAGTCTCTACTATTTTGCTTACTTGAGAAATTTTCTCCGATGCGATTCAGAACGCAGATGTTGGGCTGTTGGTCAGGCTCGGGATATAACGAAAATAAAGGTGGAAGGGGAGAAGGAGGCCGGCGACAACAACCCCTTAGTGGTTAGTGTTTGAACATGTGACCAATGCAGGAAACTGCAGGTATCACGCATTGAAAATAGGCGATGCAGTCGATAAGTGATTTCGAAAAGGTCCCCGCCGACTAAGGGGCCTCAAACACCTGGCCAACTGAAATTGATCCGCTCTGGTGTTTGAGCCACGTCACTTGGCGGTATATATTGTAGTGCAGTGCAGCATTGTGTTTCCGCAATCAAGTAGCATCTCCAGCGTCGACTTTCTGCACTTCCGCTTTCACATACTCCAGAGAAAACTTCTGTTAGCAATATGATGATGATTATGATGATGAATTCATTTGCCCGATGTAGCTTGCTCTAAATATATGCTGCTATGCGGGAGTGCTGTCAGGCCTGCCGACAGCTTGAAGGTGGTCGCCAGCCCACTGAACGATTGTTTCCATGGGTTGCAACGCAAGCCCCTGATTGGTCGCCCGAGAATACATGCAAACATGACAAAATAGACAAAATAAACAAAAGAAATCCAAAACGAACGTCGCTTCCCCTCTACCCACTCTCCTTTCCACAATCAGACTTCATTCTCTGATCTACTTCATCCTCCACCCCCTTCATCTGCGCAGCCCTCTGGGCCGTCGGCTGCCACTCCTGCGCTCGTTTGCATCAAGGGAGTACAGTGGACCTGGCACTACACTCCTAACGGGCACCATCCTTCTCCTTCCATCACACTGTCCTGAGAGGTCATCCTTTTTCGTCGCCTTTTTCCGTGCCGAGAGCCAATCGGTCGACTGCTTGAAACCGATTTAAAAGACCTGTCCGGACCATGAATTCGGCCACAATTATGCGAGCCTCTGGCCGCGTCAGGAGCTCGTCGCGTCGAAGAGCAACTCCGCGGTCGGACAGAGCGTTTCTCATCCAGTTGCGCTCGTCTTGGAGTAGCGGGCATTCAAGCAAGATATGATTGACCGTCTGGTTCCCCAGATCGCAACCACATCTCGCTGACTCGCGCCGATTGATGCGAGTTAAGTAGGCAGCAACGCCAATTCATCCAGTACGAAGCTGCATCAGAATGGACGCTGTCGCTTTCCGCAGGTCGGACCAGTATTCCAGGGTCTTCTTTGTTGGTCGTTCGACTAAGCGTTTCGCCGGTCGACCTGTTCTCTCTGTAGACCATGACCTTTCCCACTCGATTTTTGCCTCGCGGCGAATGCGGCTTTTAGCTGCGGCTGCAAGGCGAATATAACGATTGTTTGGGTTTTGTGGTCCTTCTGGTTCCTGGGCCGCCTCCTTTGCGTGTCGGTCGACACGTTCATTGCCGGCCACTCCTTGATGAGCAGGTATCCACCTGAGGTGGATTTGACGGCCATTGGCTGCGTGTTGCCTTACCAGGTGGAGGCATTCTTCCAGGTAGACCTGTCCTGATGGCATCCGTGGTTGGCGGAGCGCCTTCAATGCCGCTTGGCTGTCTGCAAAGATGACAAGCCCGTTTCTCGCCTGTGCCGCCCACGGTTCCGTGGTCTCCAGGATTAATTTGAGTGCCATTTCGATGGCACGGAGCTCGGCAGCGTATACAGTGGACGTGTCTTCGCCGCCCATTTGGCTGTGAGCGTGGTGATCCTCGAGATCAACGACTACTGCTGCTCCAATTTTTCCCTCGATCCCACTCCCGTCGGTGTAGAGAATCAAGGGTCTTTCTCTTGGGTCTTTGGATAGAATGTGGTCGTGAGTTTTCACTGCCATCTCTCTGTCCTCGATGAACACCTCTGGCGGCGCTTGCCATGGTGCCTGGACGAATGCCTTCCGACTCTCCCAGTCCCTCGCCAAAGTTCCCGGGGAGTCGTAAGGCATCCGCCCGTTTTCCAGGCTTGCGCCTCCATCGGTGTCCATCCAGACCAATCTCTCTCGTCCACCGGTCGGCGTCGTAGCATTGTTGGTGGGACAGCGAATGCTGGTCCAGTCCGTAACCGTAAAGCCGTTTCTTTTACAAGGCGGTTCATATGGATCGCAATTGGTGGTAGGTGTAGTTCTGTGTTCAGTGCCTCCGCTGCTGTCGTTCTGAAAGCTCCGCTGATCAGGCATGCTGCCCGCTTCTGGATGGCCACGAACGGTTGACTGATTATTCGTGCCTTCGTCTTGCTGATCACCATTGGGTGGTACCAGGCCGATACTCCGAAGAGCATCTGTGGGATGACTACCGCTTGGTAGATCCTGCGCATAGCTTGAAAGAGAGGCCCCCACGTCGAGCCAGCCAAGCTTCGTAGCGCCTGGAGAGACACGCTTGCCTTCGAAATTGCTTTTTCGCGGTGATGCTGAAACTCCAAGTTGGGATCAAGCCAGTAGCCCAGATAGCGTTCCGCCGTCCTTGTCGCAGGTACTGTGTGCCCCTGCAGTGACAGTGGTGTGTACCGAGGCTCGACTTCTTTCGTATTTACTAAATGCACGAGCGCGTACTTCTTTGTGTCGAATACTGAGGCATGCTTTCTGGCCCACTGTTCGGCCTTCCCGCAAGCAGTTTTGAGCTTCCTGATGGTCCTTCCTGATGGTCTCTCGCTCGCTATTTCCTTTGGTCATAAAGCAGACATCATCCACCCAGCCGTTACTGGTCACTCCGCTTCCGCATTCTCAATCAGGTCTGCATTGTAGATCAGATAGAGAATCGGCGAAATCGGCGACCCTTGTGGAATGCCCGTTGGTGTTGGTATTGGACCAGAAGTGCCTTCTGGCATGCGGATCTTTGTGCTTCGATTTGACAGGAAAGCCTTTACCCAGGGACGAGTTGCCCTAGGCGTCTTTTCTTGGGATTGTGGAGCAGACGTTCGTGAGAGACATTGTCATATGCCCCCGACACATCCAGCATTAACAGGGAGACCACCGGTTTGCCTTTCCCCCAGGGTCAGTGGAGATGCCTAGACCTCGCCACGACCCGAGGGTGACCCTGACGACCCGGACTGTTGATTTATAAGTGATGCTTCAGTGTTCATGTTGTTTAGGGGAGTTTTTTTTTTGTGTAAGATACAGGTAGACTGGTGAACAGATATATAGGCATGCACGTGATCCCAGCCCACATGATTATCCCAGTAACCGTGATATTTCAACACGGACCTCGACCCGGACCTCGACCCGGACCACGCAGGTTTTAGGGTCGTAAGGTTAGACCCTGAAATGGGGTCAGGCTAGGGCCATAAAAGTCGCGAACCTACCCTCAGGGTCGTCAAACAAGGCAAACATTGCCAAGTCACGCGGAGCATAAGTTATGCAGATTTTGTCTGTATTTTTGAGTATCTCACTTACAGTATTTAGAGGAGTAGTTTCCTAATTTGGCAATGTAGAATGAATTAAATCAAAACAAATCAAACTAATGAATCAACCGAAAAGACTGCCCGAATCTCGAATTACATATTAGACGTTTCATACCCATCTAGCAACCTTGAATGCTTACGGACTCTGCCTGACACTCGGTGCTGTATCTCCGGCAGAGGTATTGCTTCCGACTCTTGACCATCGTCTTCCTCCTCATCACCTCTCACATAGTCAGCTATATTGCTTATACGTCTTTTGCCGAGTGCTTTTGCGGACGGACCCTGGGCAGCCTGCGAGGTTGGTCGGGTCTGCGAGATAGCTCGGGGCTGGGACCTGGCTCGGAGCTGTGTCGTAGACGCTTCATCCTCTTCATTGTCGCTAATTGGATCAACAGCGAGTTGCTGCTGTGTTCTCTCTTCCTTTGCAGCCTGTATCTCCTGAGCCGAAAGATATTCAGAAAGCATTATTCGCTCCTCTTCATGAATCTCAAACCGTGATGTACACATATACATCATAAGATCTGAGATTGTTTGAGGTTGAAGAGAGCCTCGACGATAATGACAGATATCTCGTGCAGAGTTAAAAAGCCGCTCTACCCCTGCACCACTAGCTGGGATAGAGAGCACATCGCGAGCCAGCCTTGCCATCGTAGGGAACTTATCTTGATGATCTCTCCACCAGGTCAGAGGCTGGGCATTTGTGACTATATCTAAAGGACAAGTCAGTAATTGCTCAAATAGAGATCAAGAAATACTTACTGCTATCAAGATACCTTGTAAGCTCATCTGACTGTGCTGGCTGTGAAATTTGAGACTGCTGCGACTCATCTAGAGCACAAACTAAATCAAATTCATCCGGTATCGAACTTATAGTCGGACCACCTAACCTTTGATGGTCCTCGGCAAAACTCTCAGAGTACTTCTCGAGGAAGGACTCAAGGCTCTGGCGATAGGCTGCTCGGTAGTCGACCCCAGATCCTGGGTCTGGATCCCAGTCGGGAGTCGAGAAATAATTAAAATTGAAGACACAAAGACTCGAGTTGATCGACATGAAGTGTGTTAAGGCTGGGGGGAACAAAGGAAGGTGTTTTTTAACTGATGGTTAGGCGTTGACTTGGAGGACAGTTGGAAGACCCTTTATATGGAGCTGTTTGCTATTGGGATGTTTGCTAGCCGCCGAGGAAAACCAAATTTACAGCCGTCGACGTATATAATTGAATTACGGGTAAATCCACCAAGGGCATTTTGAGAAAATGTCATCTAAAAAATAGCAAGTCTAAATAAATACCATGGTACCGGAAAAGGCCTAAAATGTAGTAAATATTGAATAAAGGGGGATACGCTCGATGGCTCGCTGACAAGAGA